AGAATCAATGATCAGGTTCAAATTCATTTCAAAAGAATCCAATATCAAATTATTCTCAAGAATGATTGAAATTTTGAATGATGGTGAAGAATTTTTACAGTCGTTTAATCTAACAGATTTAAAGATAATCATTGATTATCCATCATTATTCGAGGGTGTTGATAAAGGAGTTCAATTAATAATTGAAACATTGCGTGGAAATGATGAATATGGTCAACAATTATTCAAAGATGGTGTTATTTCAAATATTTATAAATCTCAATTCATTCAATATTATTTCAAACAAACATCATTCATTGCAGTTGAATCTATTTTAAAATCAATCCAACAATCAAATTCAAAGAGAATCATCAAGATTCTTGAAATTGGAGGAGGAACTGGAACAGTAACAAACTATTTGATTCCACAACTTGATGAAATGTTATATTCTCTTGGTAATGAGAATCAAGTTGAAGTTGTTTATACATTCTCTGATGTTTCATCATTCTTTGTTAATCCAATGAAAGATAAATATACAAAACAATTCAAATTCAAATCAAATTTGAAAATGAAATTCAAAGTTATCGATTTGGATCAAGATTTAGTTGATCAAGGACTTTTGAAATCATCATATGATATGATTATAATGTCATTGGTTATTCATGTTTGTCCAAATATCAGATCTCCGATTTCAAATTGTCATCAAATTCTTTCACCAAATGGAATACTATTATTTGCAGAGCCTGCTTATAAAAATATCTTCCCTGAAATGTTATTTGGGGGATTCAAACAATATTGGAGTTATAATGATGATATTCGTGATCATTGTGCACTTAAACCAAATCAATGGGTTGAATTACTTTCTGAAGATGATCAATTCAAGAATATCAGAATTTATGGACCAAACGATTCAAATGGAAATCAACTTCCACCAGATGAGGCAATGATATTCATTATTCATTGTCAAAAACCAAAGATTGAAAAACTCAAAATCAATAATATTCAACAATTATCTATCATCATTGAAGAAAATCAAACAATTCCAATTGAATATTTTGAAAGATATTCTGAACAATCAATATCATTGATCAAAATAAATGAAATTGAATTTAAATCAGATATTCTTAAAAACTCAACAAATATTCTCTTCCTCCCAACAATTGAACATCAATCAATTGATAAATATCAACAAACTATTTTTTCATTAGTTGAATTATTACAAATGTTCACATATCAAGAGAATCAACCTAGAATCACAACTGTCATCAAAGATAATGAATCATCAAATTATTTATCAAATTCAATTATTGGACTTTTAAATACTGCATTTGTTGATCATCGTGAATTGGATTTATTGATCATCAATATTGATTCATCTTTGAAAATTGAATATGTACATTCAATAATGCAACTATCACAAAATAAAGAATCACTTGGCGAACTTCATTATGGTATCATCAACAATGATATAATGGTATATAGAGATTTCAATATCAAAGATGATATTTTCAAGTACTCAAATTCATATGAAACAAATATTGAAAATATATCAACTTTGGCAAATTTGAATCTTGATTTCAAACTCAGAAACAGAAGAGAATTGAAACCAAATGAAATAGAATTTGAAATCAAATCTGATGGTTTGAATTTTAAAGACTATTTATTTAATCATCAAATACTTCCACAAGAATTGATGACAGGTGGTGATATTTATCATCCACCTTTTGGATTAGAATCGTCAGGTCTTGTTTCAAGATTGGGATCTAATGTGAAAGATTTCAAAGTTGGTGATCAAGTTATTGGATTTCATACAGTTAATTCATTAGCCTCACATTCAATAAATGATCAAAGATTCTTTATTCAAAAACAAAAGAACTTTCACATAATGAATGTGACTCAATTCAAGTTATATATTTCATCTGTTTATCATTCATTGTTTGAAGTTTGTAATTTCAATTCAGAGAAAGATACAGTTTTAATTCATGGTGCAACTGGTGGTGTTGGAATAGTTGCATTGAATGTCATGAGAATGTTGAAATGTAAAAGAGTTTATGCAACTGCTGGATCTCAAGAAAAGATTGATTATCTCAAATCAGAGTATTCAGATATTCTAATTGATGTTTTCAATTCATATTCAAATGAATTTGCAGATAAAATCAAACAACAATGTAAAGGTGTTGATGTTCTTATCAATACATTACCTGTTGAATTTATGAAAGAGAATTTCAAATCAATGGCACCTTATGGAAGAATTGCTGATTTGGTTGTCACTCATATCATCAATGATAATAGATTTAGATATGGTCAATTCAGATATGATGTCAAATACAGTTCTGTTGATATACAATATTTATTTAAACATAGAATTCATTATAGTAGAAATTTAATGAAAACTATCATGAATGATTTAACAAGTGGAAGACTTCAGTTGACACCAATCAAAGTATTTGATGTCTATGAAACTAAAGAAGCATTCAATTTTATGAAAGAAAGAAAACAAATTGGTAAAATTGTTATTGACTGTTCAAATATGAAGGAATCGATTTTCAAATCATTGATTGAATCAAAAGAAAGAAAACCATTACCAAAGATTGATTTCAAACTTGATATATCGAATACAATCATTGTCACTGGTCAAAGTGGATTATCTCTTGAATTGGTTACATGGCTTGCAAAACATACAAATGCATCTGATATTGTTGTTCTTTCAAAATCAAAATTGAACAATCGTTTGAATCATATTATTAATTCAATAAAATCAACAAGAATTCATTTCTATCAAACTGATATCACCGATATCAATAAATTGAAATCAAGAATTGAATCAATTTCAAATTCAATGCCATCAATTGAATCAATATTCCATCTTGCCATCATTCTTGAATCATTCCCAATCAATGAAGTGACATTCGATAATATCAAGAAAGTTCATGATCCAAAAGTTGTTGGAGCACATAATCTTCACACAATATCAATTGATTTAAGATTACCATTGAAACAATTCATTGTATTCTCATCAATATCTGGATTTAGTGGTGAGGCATCACAACCATCATACAATTCAGCATGTCTTGCAGTTGATGCATTGTGTAAATATCGAAATAATATTCTTGGATTGAAATCGAAATCAATCAGATTAGGTCCAATTCTTGGGGAAGGAACTGTTGCTGAATCTGCTGGAATTAAAGAATTGTTTATCACTAGAGGTATTTATCCAATTCCACTTTCAAAATTCTTTGGAGGACTTGAAGTTATTCTTTCTCAACCTCTTTATTGTACTCCAATGATTTCCAATATAACTTCTGTTTGTTCATATGAATTGCATGCTCATATCCAACATGGAATTGATCATTTGGTATTTGAAGAAACTGGAAAATTAAACACTTCTAATCAGAATTATGATCCTCTTGAAACACTTTTGGAAGGTCTTTCCTCATTACTTTCAATACCAAAACAAAAACTGGACGCCGAGACACCACTCAAGAATTTTGGAGTCGATTCATTGATGACAGTTCAAGTTAAAGTATTTATAGATACGAACATTGAACTAGATTTGTTCACAATTTCTCAAATTCCTAATTTGACAATAGGTAGTATTATTACAGTAATAAATCGCAGAAATTTAAAGAAATAAATAAAAATTAAGAAATTTATCTGATCTCTCAAAACAATATTCATTTACTATGATCTTTAAATGTCCGTTGGAAAACAACTGGAGTGAGAAAACATTTTTTTTTTTTTTTTTATTCAGGAGTAAAAATTGATTTATTAAGTTTTATATTGGGATGGTGTAAACCATTAAATTTTTCTTTTTTTTTTTTTTTCTGTTTTTACTTTTTCATAATTCTGCAATTGATTGCTATTTTGATTATTATTATAATTATTTTAGTTATTGATATTTTATAGATTATTAAGTTGATGAGAATACTGATGATTGAATTGGTTAAGTGAAAATGAAGAAATAATGAAGAGGAAATAATAGTTGGCTGACATTTGAATGGTTACTGGTTATTTAATTTGGATTGTAAGTTACTGATACTGTTATTTATAATTAATTTCATTACTGATAAGTGCTGTATATATTCATTAATGAATATATACCCACTATGCTAAAAGGGAAGTTAACTAATTATCATCTGCTCCACAAGCATCACCTTCTTACATGAGGTCTGGGAGTCCGCTTGCGGTCCGATATCTTTCAAAGAAGGATGCCATCTGTCGGGATCGAACCAACGACCTTAAGATCTTCAGTCTTACGCTACTACCAGCTGAGCTAAGACGGCCTTTTTATAATGAAGTTTTCTTTTTAATATTGACTTTTCGCCAACCCACCTCATTAGCTTCTAAACAAATAAAAATAAAATCCATTTGAGTATTCTTCAAGATATGAGAATACTTTAAAAAATATTGACTTTATTTTGTAAAAAATCAAAATTTCGTCGTACTCAAATACCAACAGAATATCAAACAATTCATCGACAACTTCAACAAACACTGGTACAACAGTAAAATTTTCACCACTAAGTTACCGGCTTACCTAGAACATCACATTACAGCTTAAAACACAACTCACACCTCTTTTTATTTCCTTTATTATTATTGTTAATTTAAATAACGTAACACCAGGCAGTGGTACTGCTACACGTCATCGAACAGCTTTCTGCCACCCCTACTCTCTCCGATTGTTTGTCCAAGAAGAGATCGAACGTAGTGTAAAACATAGTACAGATACTATATTCCCGTCCTGATAATTATCAACCATTTTTCATATATAATTAAAAATAAAAATTCAAAAAGACTTAATAAAATATTTAAATAAAGATAATATTCTTTCATTTTTTGAACATAATAGCTGTTCACTGATACAATTCCACAACTATTAAAACCTTTGGCAATACGGATATATCTAGACATGTAGTAAAACATAGTATATAAGTAAAACAAAACTAATATTCAAATATTTGCTTGTTTGTTCAATCTTGATTTAAATTTTACAATAATAGCATTATATTTTATTTAATTTATAATTGTTTAGATAATTCACGAGCAGCCTCCTTAATAAAAGTGGAGACTTGTTTGTCGTGTGAGAGAATAGAAGCATGGCTCGATGGAAGGTGCACTACCTTGGCATTGACCATGGTTGACATAGCGTTTTGTGCAACCAAAGGAAGGATTCTGTCTTCATCCGAGATTTGGTACCAACATGGCAAATTCTTGTATCCAAGGGTTGTAACGTGTTCATAGACACACTTGAGTCCGAGTGGCTTTTGGGATTGCAACCAGACAGTGCTGTCCTCATCGGTTGTGTCCTGAGCCAAAACTGTTTTGAAAAGCTTTGGATTGAGCCAGAGATTGCCATAGTTGTCTTTGAGCATCAAACCATCGGGTGGGAATTGCAAATTACCACCGAGAGCAGCATCGAGATTCTGACCTTCGCTTGGGATGATACCGTTGACATAGAGCAAACCGACAACCTTGTTATCCAACTTTGGAACGGCTTCAGTAATGACGAAACCACCGTATGAGTAACCGACCAACAAGACCTTTCCGTCGATTCTCTCTACCAATCTTCTGAGTGCTTCGACATCGTCAGTTAACGATGTAAGAGGTAACTGAACGGCATATACTTCATTCTTTTTAGCAAGTCTGGCAAGTACCTTTCTCCAGATGTTGGCATCACACCACGATCCATGTACCAATACAATCTTTACCTTTGGAGTGGCAGCAGTAGCCTCAGAAGTTACTTCAATGATTGGTTCCATTGTTATATAAATATAGATAAAATTGAAATATGTTTAATTCTAAATTGAATTTGAAATAAATTGTAAAACGATTTGTCTTTTGTTGACATTTATATTTGAAAATTATTGGGTAAAAAGATATTTAAGATTTGTAATATCTTCAATTTGAAAAAAAATAAAAAATAAATCAAAACTGGGTGCTGACACGCGAGTAGTTTAAACCAAAAAAATAGAAAATTTGTAGAACATGGAGTTCCAAAAAATATCGTGATTTTTAACAAAAAAAAAAAGGTGATTTTTGCATTTCATTTGCAGAGTTACAAACCAATCAAATAAATTCTTGTTTGACCACGAACTGTTTATTCAAAGTTATAACATATAGAACGAAATGAGAATTTAATATTAGTTGTCTTTGGAATCTAAGATGGAGATAAGATTATTAAATTAATTTTTTTTTTTTGGGTACTTTTTGCAAACTTTGCAATAATTTATTTAGGAATGGAGTAATGATCATTTTATCCCTCCCCAAAAAATGAAAAAATTTTGCTAAGCATTTGTGCGTTTTGAAAAAATTCAAAAAAAAGTTGTGCAAAAAACATCAAGCAGAATGCTTGTATTACGATTATCGATAATTCAAACTTGGGTATTGCCATTCCACCGGTGTAAATCAAATTGAAGTGCATTCGTTTTGAATAAAATTTAACTCTACAACAATATGTGTTACACAGCCTCAAAGGATCTTCAAGACTGTAGACAATTCTTAATAATCTACACGTGATTCAGTAGTGCTTGACAAGATTTTGTTTTCTAATTAATTGAAAAAAAACACCTGTTCGTGTTTTATTGTTTTTTTTTAACTGTTATTAATTTTCTTTTCTAAAACATTTGACATTAGATTCAATTCATTTCATATTTATATATTATAATTTTAAAAATGATAAAACAAACAATAATATTATTATTAGTTACATTTATTGTTGTATCGTTATCACAACAAAATGAACAACAAAACATAATATCGATACCACTATTAACAGAACTTGAATACACTTTAAGATTCACTGATTGGACTTTAAAATATGGAAAAATATACATCGGTCCAGAATATATAAAGAGATTGCGTAATTTCAAATCAACTTTGGATTTCATCATTCAGTCAAACAACAATCCAAATTCAACAATTACTTTGGGATTGAACGAATTCTCTGATTGGTCAGATGAAGAAAAGAAATCACTTTTAGGTGCTATGATCTCACCCAACAGAACTTCTATTGGTATACCTTTCATTGATGATGAGATTCCATCACCACCAGTATCCAAAAGTGGTACCTCGAGATCATTACTCTCTACAAATTATATTGATTGGAGAACTCATAGTGCAGTAACCAGTGTAAAGAATCAAGCATCATGTGGATCATGTTATGCATTCTCTGCTATTGCTGTCATTGAAAGTGCTCTTTTTAAGAGAGGAACAGGTTCATTCGACTTTAGTGAACAAGATGCAATCGATTGTACATATGGTAGGTATGGTGGTGGTGGTTTCAACTTTGGATGTTCAGGTGGTGATCCAGCAACAACAATACAACATATACTAGTGAATGGACAAGCAAGTGAAGTCGACTATCCGTATACATCTGGTAACACCAGAATCCATGGCCCTTGCAAAAACGTCCAAAGAAATCGTTTGAATTTGAATCTTCTCCGAGTACAACGTGGAAGCGAGGATACTTTAGCGAATGCTCTTGCCACTGGACCAATTGCAGTTACTCTCAATGCTGAAAACAATGAGTTTTACAACTATGCCGGTGGAATCTATAACAATGCAGCCTGTTCAACATCTATCAATCATGCAGTACTACTTGTTGGTTATGGTCAAGCCAATGGTGTTGAATATTGGATCATCAAGAATTCATGGGGAACAAGTTGGGGTGAAAATGGGTAAGTCTTTTAATAACATTATTTTACTTACAATATTTATTTTCTAAATAATTTCTTTTGAATAATCATATTACATAGATTTATGCGTATTGCCAAAGGTTATAACAGATGTGGAATCGTATCAGCTGAAAGTTTTTATGTTATATAAGTATTAAAATAATTATATAGTTAAAGTCTTTATAATCAAATAAGTTAACAGGATAGTAATAAATAATTTTATTGTGTTAAAATACGATATGGTTTATTTCAATTAAATAATTGTTTAATTCCATGGAAAAACAGTCGATTGTACATTTGGAAAGTATGGTGGTGGTTTCAATTTTGGATGTGGAGGTGGTGATCCAGCAACAACAATACAACATATATTAGTGAATGGACAAGCAAGTGAAGTCTACTATCCGTATACATCAGGTACCAGCAGACTCCATGGTTCATGTAGAAGCGTCAAAAGAAATAATTTGGGAAATTTGAGGCTTATCCGAGTACAACGTGGAAGCGAGGATACTTTAGCGAATGCATTTGTAAATGGACCAATTGTAGTTACTCTCAACGGTGAAAACCAAGAGTTTTACAACTATGCCGGTGGAATTTATAACAATGCAGCTAGTTCAACACGTATCAATCATGCAGTACTACTTGTTGTATATGGTCGAACCTGAGAGGTGATTGGTTTGATTGGATTAGTTTTCGAGTTTTTGCTAATTTCTTAGCTTGAGATGGTTTGGATTGGTTAATTGCTTAGTATTGAGATGGTTGAGATGGTTGAGATTGTTTGGATTGGCTTGCTATTTGCTTAGCCTGAGATGGCTTGGATTGGCTAATTGCTTAGCTTGAGATTGTTTTGAGATGGATTGGATTGGTTAATTGATTACTGTTACGAGAATTACACTTAATACAGTTATTTAATATGAATATAAAATAAGACCACTTTATTAGTTTACAAATGTATAATATTTATAGTGTTTGTGATTAGCTAGTATTCTTGATAGTTTCCATATTCCAAGGTATTTCTTATTCTAGTATATTTCTGTAGCAATTACCCAAGGATGATCAGTCTAAGAGGGACTATTTTAGTCAGACACATTGTGTTGGGTGTTACTGTGATTGGTTGGTTGAGGTGGGGGTTGTGGCCATGCTCGTTAACAAGCTTTTTCCAAGCGTTTTGGCATTTGGTGAACAAGGGAGATGGTGACATGTGCCCAGTGAGGTAGTTTCGCCAGAAGTTGAGCATGTAATCAGACACAACACAATTATTTTGATGTAATGAGAGCACATGTCATACAACTAGAGATAAACGACTTCAAATCTGGGATTATTGTCAACCAATAAAACTTACATTTGATTTTCTCTAACGTTTTGATAAAACCAAGGTGACCTCCGGTAAGCAAATCATCATGATAATAGGACATGACCTTATTACGTAACGACAGTGGAACCCAAATACGACTGGTGAGTACCCTTGAGCTGAACGGGTTTACTTTTGAATGATCGTAATTGAAATAGAGAACATCATCTTCCAATGAGTAGAACGGAAGATCAACAGGAGCCTTCAATTCAGTACCATCCAATGCCTTACGTATTTTAATACAAAAGTCATCCTTACCTTGCTCGGTTTTAATAATGTCTAATGTTAAACCATACTCGTTTAACTTTTGTTCTTCCAAAGCGCAAACTTCCATAGAACTACTACCATCCAGAGCTGAACCATCCAGAGCCGAACTCTCCAAACCAGAACCAGAACCATCCAGACCAGAACCAATACCATCCAGACCAGAACCATCCAGAACCGATTCATCCAAACACCCAGCGGAAGTAGATAGTCATAACTCATCTCTATCTACAGGCAAACGGGACAATCCATCGGCAAAGTCATTATGTTTACCAGCTCTATAACGAATGACATAGTTGAATCCTTGCAAGAACATACTCCAACGTAGGATACGAGCGTTCTTAGGAGACTTGTCATTTAACACCTTCAAAGCTTGGTTGTCAGTGACGGCAGTAAAGAAAGCAGAACCTAAAATGTGTCTGAAATGTTTCACACTGTCTACCAAACTTAGGCATTCTAATTCACCAGAATGATAGTTCTTCTCGGCAGCTGTAAGTTTACGACTATATGCACTAACTAACATTCCATTCTGAAATAACGCACCACCGATACCAACACCACTTGCATCGGTTTCTAAAACAAACTCTTTATTAAGGTCGGGTATTTTAAGAATACCACTATCTTTCATACGGTCAACGATAGTTTTGACCGCATTCTTACACTCCTCTGACCACTCCCAACGAGTGTCCTTATTTAATAATCTGTGTAGAGGTGCGGCAATAGATGCAAAATTTATTATGAATTTTCTATTATAATTAAGAATACCAAGCAATTTCTGCAATTGGTTAACATTTGTTGGTTGTGGTAGGTTTATAATACTATTTATACGATCTGGGTCAATTGAAATACTACCATTATTAATGATGTGACCCAAAAATTTCACACTTGTACGAAAAAATTTGGATTTTTTACGATTTAATTGAACATTATTTTTGAATAAAATTTGTAAAATTTTGTCAAGGTGTGTGATGTGTGATTCTACATCATTACTAAATATAATAATGTCATCTATATATACAAAACAAAACACACCAATGTATACCTTTAACATAACAAACATACCCTTCTGAAACAATGCCGGCGCATTTTTCAGACCAAACGGCATAACATTGAATTCGTAAACACCACGATGTGTTGTGAAAGCAGTCAACCAGCGATCTTCTTCTCGGACAGGAATCTGGTGGTACCCCGCCGCGCAATCCAATATACTAAACACAGAAGCATGTTGTAGAGCAGAGTAGATGTCATCCACATGAGGAAACGGATACACAAGAGGACGGGTTAAGTTGTTCAATTTCTTGTAGTTGACACAGAAACGAACCTCCCCATCTGGCTTAGGAATGAGAACCACCGGCGATGCATAAGAGCTATTAGATTCCGATATAATACCTTTCTTCAGCATATCATCCACAGCTTCATCTATAATCTTCTTTTCCTTAATACCAGTACGATAGGGTTGTTGACTTACCAATAATTTTTCACCATCCTTTACCAAGTCAATAGAACATTCCATACCAGTTATCTTACCAGGTTGTTCCAACTTATTGACGAACAGAGATTCATATTTACCACGTTCCAAGTATTCCAACATGAATTCATGCATCTTCTCATTATCGGACTTATCACCAAAACTAAAACATTTACGTTCACGATGCGGATCCTTCTTAGGTACAGTCGACTCTATGACACAACAATCGATTTTGGAATGCAGCACTTCAGCGAACGGATCAGCTTCCTTCCAGACGGACTTAACAGCGGTCGGCTCATCAGTAGAGAGAACTTCACGGACACCATCTGACTGCTTGGCATAGGGAATTGGCATATCGATATATAACGTAAGTACAGATCTACGAGTAGTTAAAGTGTTGGAACATAGATCTAACTTAGCTTTCCATGTAGCAAGGTCTTTCCTTCCAATGATACTACGATACATCAAGTTACTGGAAACATATACATGCAGAGAATACTTTTCACGAGGGCTAAGAACACAATTCAGAACCGCTTTACCAACGATATGTAATCTGGTCAAATTCGCAGAATTGATTCTGACCATCACCGGCTCCACTTTTGCACCAACCAGATCTATCAGTTCCTGAGAAACTATAGATACACCAGCACCCGTGTCAATCAAACATCGAGTAAGTCTGCCATTCAATTGAATCATGGCAACCAACGAACCATTTCCATGACTGGGAAGAGGTGGCAATCCAGGTTCTTGTCCTCCATTAGTACTATTACCAGTGCTGACCACATCCAGTACTAACGCATCATTGTTATTCAGCGGGCAATCCTTCCTAAAGTGACCCGGCTGACCACACTTAAAACAGCTACCTCTAGGCTTAGCTTGTGACGGTTTTCCAGACTTACGATCGAATCGTTTCTTTACCTCCATAGCCATTGTAGGTGTCTCCTCTTTCTTCTTCATCTGCGACGGTACCGGAATCTTTGATGGTTGGGCAGTATAAAAACTCTGAGACAACGGTATAGGAGTTGTATCCAGATCCGTCATACGCATCGATCTGAATACGGTCTGTGGTTCCATTGCTTCAAACTGGGTAGAGTTTGGTATCTTATATGGAGACATTAAACCAGCAACTGTCGAACCATTAGACACAGGGATCGACGTTTCCTGCATACTCGTATATACTGGATTATACATATGCAGATAGACCGTACCAGCTTGGAGCAGTTCCACGGCATTCTCGATAGCTTTATCTATGGTCTTAGGCAACGTGTTTATAACCTTCTCTTTGAACGCTTGGTCATCTAACGTTTCGTAGAAGGCAGCCAACAACTCTCTAGCCGAAACATCCGGTAGTTTAGATGCCAACGCTTTAACGTTCTGGACATGGCATCGGAAGGTAGGAGCAGCGGTCATTCGTAACATTTTTAAACGGTCCAGGTACGATCCATACATATCACCAAATACTTTTTCCAGCTCCTTCATAACGGCAGCAACATCGTCTCCAGCGCAACTCATTAATGATCTTAAAGCCAGACCGGTAACATGCGGAACAATGTATTCTATAGGCGGCAACTTATTCTCCTTCTTGATGTCTCTGGCTTCCTTCTTGACAAGAACCTTCTCGGCAAAACACATGAACTCCGCAAACGACAACTGAGAACCAGCCTCCCCGGAAAACAAAAGCGATTTCATTTTGGAATATGTATAAAAATAAAGTAAAACAAATAAATTGTATTTTTAAAATTGAATATATAACTGCGAGGTGTCGCCAAATGTGATGAGAGGAGGTATATACCACTGACGTATGTATGCTTATCGGCATAAGGATTGACCAGATACCTTATGCCCTACCGCACCATCGTCACATTTGATAAATATATATGCCGTCTTAGCTCAGCTGGTAGTAGCGTAAGACTGAAGATCTTAAGGTCGTTGGTTCGATCCCGACAGATGGCATTTTTTAAAGATGTTAGTTCCGCATGCGAACCAGTTGAACAGCTCCAACAATAAATAATGTTCTTTCTATCTCACTAACTGAATGAATGTGAAATTGTATAATCAACTTAATTTATTATATTAATACAATAAACTGGAGTTGTTGAATGATCATCACTCACTGTCTCATTCTTTCAAAATAAACAATTTAATTTAATTTTATTATTTTTTTCAAAAAATTAAAAATATAATATTACTTGTAGTTTGTAATTAAATATTTAGTTAGCTACATTATAATTGGCATTACTAAATCTTGTTTTTATTTATTGAGAATAATATTATTAACAAATGATAAAAACAAAAAAAGGTATTTTAATTTGTTAATTAAACTTAATTACTTTTACTTCCTTTCAAAGATTGAATCTTTGAGTCTAGAATTTCATTTGTCAATTCCTTGGTAATCTCTGCATACAATGCAATGGAAATTGGCTAATGGTTTTTAAAAAACAAAAAAAAGAAAATTAATGAATAATTAATTATAAATTTCAATAAAGTTAATTCATAGTAATTTTGTTAGTGTAAGTACTTACAGAGAAAAAGTCATCAACAACACCCTTGTGTGAGGTTATCTTTCCTTTGAACATTGGTGATACATTGATACCGACCCAATTGATCTGAGCAACCTTTGTTGTGATACTGTTATCGATGCGATCGGACACCTTCACCAAGCCATAGTTGACCTGATCGGCACGCAGATTCGATACCAACTCATCGATTCCACCGGAACCACTGCCGACCAACGAGAGTTGTTCATTTCCTTCGTAGCCGATCAACATCCAATTGGTCGAGGATTGCGGTGATTTTACATCGGCCAACAGCGATTTCAATCCGTCTAAATCTCTAAACGATAGCTGTTGAGTGTTGCTAGTGTTGACAGTCGGTAGTTTCACAGTGTTTCCAGCACGACTTCCATAGGGATTGGCCGAGCCTGCGCTAGTAAGATGTGGTGCCTTGGCTGAGATCTGCTGCTTCTGAGAGGTAGTGACCTCGCCAGTTCTATTTCTCGATCCACTTGCATCTTGAACCTTGTTTGTTATTTCCTCCTCGGTTACCTCACTCTTTAGCGAAGCGATGATCTCAACATTATAATGTCCAAGTAATTTAGTAATCGATGACTTGTTTGTTCCATTTCTTGCTTTTTCAATACCCTTTACATTTTCACCAATCCAAGTTAAATAAACGTATCTAGAAAAAAAAAAAAAAAATTTTAATTTTAATAACTTTTGATTCCAATTATTATTATTATTATAACCAAATTTAAACATACTTATCATTTTGAACATTATCAATAATATCAACTACTCTTATGATTGCATAAGACATTTTATCTTCGTAGAGATGTGGAATCAATTCATTGATACCACCGGATCCAGTTGCTTCAAGCTTGATGTGATTTGGTGATCCGTTGTAGTTGACCAATATCCAATTGATTCGATTTCCACTGGTGTGAACTGATTGTACGGCTTGATTAAACTCATCTCTATTGGAAATTTGAACTTCATTACCACTTTCACCTGGGGCATGAGTTGCTGTTCCTTTTGCTCTAACTTGACTTGCCATTTGCTTAAAACTTTAAAGTAAATAATAATAATTGTAAAATTACAAAATAATCAAATAAATAAATATATTACAAATAAATATTGAAAAACTTTAATAAAAGTCTTTTGTTGCTTCTATATTCATCCTTTTTTGTTTAATTAATATTAAAAATCTAATAAAAAATAAAACCCAACAAGATTTTTTTGATTATCAAAGTGGGTTTTGGATTTTTTTATCATAATTAAATTTCATATTTATCATTAATAATAAATCTTCTTTTAAAATAATTATTCATTAATAATTATTTATCATTATTTAAAACTTGAATATTAATTAGGAAATCATGTGAAAATACTAAATTAATAGAAGAAATTAAAGAGATTCTACATTGCTCTATAGATAAAGAAATATGATTATTATAATGAATGGTAAATGAGGATAGCAATAAAACAAAAGATCTATATTATAACTACTTTTTTTAAGAATGTTTTTTTTGTTTATTTCTTATTGTAGATTGAATAAAACATACAATAATATTAATATACAAGTTAATTAAAAAAAAATCACAAAAAAATAAAATTTAAAAAAGTCTTGACAAACCGAAAAACGAATCATTTTCATACCTATTTATATTTACTATAGTAAACAAAACAATTATGAGTTCGCCACCAGATGTATCAGCAGAGATTCTAGATGATGCCGTCAATATTTTCGAAATAGAGTCGAGCGATGAAGAAATTGAATATGGTCTCACTACATACAATCGTGTAGAACCAATAAGTAGGTGTTTCAACAAAGCAGCAACAGCCAGCTATTAAAAAAAAAACATTTATTAATAATAGTAAACTAGAATAGAAAAGTAACCCATTTCTTTTTTTTATATTATAAAAGAGAATAATACAGATATCACATCATTGACAGTTAGACTACCACAAAGACATTCATTATGGGCACATCTAGCTTGGAATGCGGGTCTTGCACTCTCTGATTTCTTGGATCAAAATATTGATTTCACTGATAAAACGTAACGTAATACCTCCTTACTTGTGGCATTACTATCAGTGTTATATTGATAGCTACGAATGATCATTAACTTTACTTACTTACTTTACATACTATTGTTAATGTTATAATTAGTGTTTTGGAATTGGGATCGGGTGCAGGTTTACCATGTTTTATTGCAACATTGAACAATGCCAAGACCGTTGTTATGACAGACTATCCAGATAAGACTTTGATCGACAATTTAGAGTACAATCGTAGTAATACACTACCGGAGCGATTTACAAACAACAACAGACTATTTGCAAGAGGTCATCTCTGGGGAAAGGAGCCAGAGACACTGAATCAACTACTCGATCGACCAGAGAACAAGTTCGATATCATCATCCTTTCGGATTTGATCTTCAATCATGTAGTCCACCACCATATGTTACAGACTTGTTTTGCCTGTTTGAATGACAATGGAATTGTATGTAAACACTTACAACAGTGCTCATTAATAGTTTACTAATACCAATCATTATTTTAGATTTACGTTGCATTTTCACATCATAGACCACACAGAGTAGAGAAAGATATGAACTTTTTCAAGATTGCACAAGAAGAACCATTTAATTTCATCGCAGAGAAATTCAAAGAGTTAAAGATGAAACCGATGTTTGCCGAAGATTTAGGAAGTGAAGAAGTAAGAAAAACAGTACACTTTTATACATTAAAGAAAAAGCAACAACAATAAAAAATAAAAATAAAACAAAAAAAAAAAACTATATATTATTATATTTTTTAGATTTATAGATCTATTTATATATCTAACTATCATTCAAAGTCTGACTCTACATATTCTAATACACAAACAACAAGTGAGCAGTTCGATAACAATCAAATCTCTTCAATTTGCAGGATGATTTGTGAAGAAAAAAAGAGGTTTCATCTTAAATTTCACCATCCATTGTTGTGATATTTTATTAAGATTGAGACCAATGGTGGGAATCAGATACCAACGTCTGTAGAGACGAATGAAAAAAATAGTGTAAAAACATTCAAAGATTCACACAGGTCTAGTTAATTTACAACCACCAGGTGATTTTTTAAACAACTTTTCTTTTTTTTTTTTTTACATTTTTTATATTTTTTATGAAATTTTAGATATTTATTTGTTCAACAATTTTGGAATTATAATTATGATGATGTTGTCGTCAAATTAAATGGGGTAATAAATAATAAGCAAAACAACAAAAAAATATCAATATTTATTATTCCTATGACATAAAAGTTAAAAAAGAGAATATCTTTTTATAAAACTACCAATTACTTTAGAATATTCACAAAAATAATAATAATAGGTGACAATATTCAAAAACCAATTAATTAACTTCACTTTCAACACTCACACAAACAACAAACACACAAATTAACACACTTATTTTACTTTAGTATTAATTATAATACAAAAACTTCAAGTTAAATAAAAAAGTCATTGTGTTGTTCAAAATAATAATAATAAAATAACGAAATAATAAAAATAACAATATTGTAAATAAGTTTTGTTTTTAAAGAATATATATATATTTCATATTTAGTAAATAATAACAACTAGTAGTATTTGTATAAATGAGTAAATCACAGATTCAACAACAACAGGTGATACCTGTTAAATGTGTTATGATTGGTCCATCTTTTGCTGGAAAGGTATGTAACATGATAAGATAAACATCACTTCATCTGTAGATATCACATGACTTACCTTTTCACTTTATAATATATGATAGACAAGTTTAGTTGTAAGATTAGTTAGAAATACGTTTGAAAATGAACAGGCTGCAACTGTTGGAGGTATGATTGAATTGAATTGGATTGATGATTTGGTTAATCATACATACATTCTAACTAAATCTATCTTTTATAATAATAATAATAATATAGCAATGTTTTTAAATAAATTCTTTTATTTCGAGAAATATGTACTTAAATTTGAACTGTGGGATACAGCAGGACAAGAGAAATTCCATTCTTTGGCGCCAATGTATTTCCGTGGTGCTAAAATTGCAATCGTTGTTTTCGATATATCCACAGCAGTATGTTTGTTATGTTATGTTATTAGATCTAGAACTTCAAATCCAACTAATCATATGTGCTTATAATTATCATATCATATCATATCATATTATTATTATTATTTTAGGAATCATTTAATAAAGCGAAATCATGGACAAGAGAATTTAAATCACATTCAACAGAGCCTGCTATCATGGTGTTGGTAGGAAATAAATGTGATTTAGAGAGAGCTATCACCATGTCTGAGGCGGAGCGATATGCCCAAGAAGAAGGAATGATCTATTTCGAAGCATCTGCAAAACATAATACAAACGTAACCGATATATTTCAAATTTTAGGTATGTTTTTTAAAATACAAATCAGATGATATGAGATCAGATCAGATCAATTTGGTTGATAGATTGTAATTACTAACATTCATAAATTTGACAAACTTACAGCTGAGAAAATACCTTCACCTTCCAATAACAATACGAATGACAATTCAAATGAAAAGATTGTTTCAGTCAATAAGGGCAAAGAGAAAAAGAAATGTTGTTAGGTTAGAGGATTACTTTATAATAATAATAGTTTAACTAAATAATAATAACAATAATAATAGTTATAGATTTCTAAACAAAACAAACAGGATAATAATATACAAGTGAATTTATAAAGATAGTGCTCTATCTATCTTTAATATTCATAAAACAACTTCAACAACAACAACAACAACAACAACAACAAAATCAAACCAACAGAATATAATAGCATAAACAATTAACACTCAATCTTATAACAATAATAACATTACACACTCTCTATGAATTGCAAGGTTCAATTAATTAATACGTTCGCAATTCAACAGTTCAATTTTTTTACACACAATCCCATTTCCAAAATATCTTCATCCCCGATAGGATTGAAGAACCGCCTCGAAAAAAAAGAGTAATCCCCGAAACCGACTTTTACTTTTCTTCTTTTTTTTTTTTTTTCTTTTTTTCTTTTTTGGTATCGACAATAATTACAATCAATCGTGACCATTGGGCAATCAGCAACAACAACATCAATAATAATAATACAGCCATCCAATCAGATTCTCTACACAACAACAACAATGAATATCATATTTTAAAAATTAATTAAAAATCTTTGAAACCATTTCTTTTGCAAACCAATACCAACCACTATAATTTATTAAATAAACAACTTGAACTTTTTAATAATTAATTAGTTAGTTAGATAGAAATAATGAATTTCAAACTATTATCTTTATTAATCATACTGACATTTGCTTCAACAACATTCTCAACGAAAATCAAATCTTTTGTTGGCTTGAGAGAACTCACCCATCAGATAGAAGGATATGAGATCTGTGATAAATGTTATACATTTGTTGAGGATAATATACATTCTACTGTAAATAATATTATTCGTAAGTAGTTTCCGATAAATCATCAAATGTTTAATTAACAAAATTAATGTTATTAGATGGTGGAAATAAATCATGCTCCGATATCTGTAGTGTATTAAACAGTACTTCTTATGATGTTTGTGAGACAATGTGTGAAACCTTGGGTTTAGAATTATTTATGGTTCTATTTAGTGTGTAAGTAAATATTAATTTCTTTTTAAAAAAACAATTATTATTAATAATTTTCAAAAACAAAAAAAAAAGAGTCGATCCTGATCCAGTTTATATCTGTGAATTATTGAAAGTATGTGAAATCAATGATAATGGATTTGCAAATGTAACATCTGTTACTGTTAGTCCAACTTCTGCTCCGCAAAATACTTCTTTCAATGTCAATGTGGATTATAGTGTAAGCAGTGAATTGGGTACTGGAACCATCCAAGTTCAAGTCTGGGCACCAGGAGATGGTCAGGTTGTCACACTCAACTATCTCTTGGAGGAAACAACGGTTGGTCAATACACACAATCTTTCATTATCGAAACCTATCCAAACGATAATTGTAATTTCACTGCTGGCCTCTACATGGTAGATGTACTGATTTGTGAGGGATCATGCCAGTCGACTCACCCACACTCTAAGATCTACAATTTGGAGCGTTCACAATTTACAATCACTGGAAACGGTGGAAGTGGTAGTGGAAGTAGTGGATCATATTTATTTTGGTGAATTTAAATAAAATGAAACAAAATATTATTTATACTATTTAATATTAATGAAATCATTTATTTTGTTTGTGGAGTTTCAAAAGATTTATAAAATAAAATTATTATCAGACATATATATTATTCTTTAATGATTTTTGTTTTTGTTATTCATTTTATTGAGACTTTTTTGTTTTATTAAAATATTTGTTGACTATTCACTTGAAAGGTGGAGTAGTGGATATTATTTAGTAGGGTGGATTCCAATATAAGTCATTTATTACCTGAAAAATTATTGTTGTATCATTTTTTTAGTTCAAAGAACATTAAAAGAGCTTGGTGTTCTTTTGCTGTTTTGTACTTTGTAATTCCTTTTTTCAACATGAAATTGTTGAAACTACCATACCATTTATTAATAAAAGAGTCTGACCACTTCACATCTTCATCATCATAATCTTCTTCTTCATCACTGTCAGGGCTATTAAAATAATTTTCTTTTAATAGTTTTTGAAGATATTTGGCTTGTCTAAAATCTGTATATCCATAAGCATTCATAAAGTTTGCGAAACTTCCAAAAACAATATCGATATCTCTATTTGAATAGGGGAGTAGACCATTCTCAATGTTTTGATATCTGAGTCTTTGTTGATGGAAAGACAACTTCACTTCGAAAAATACATAGTATGATTTAGCAGATTTGAATGGTTCATCATCGTCATCGTCTTCATCATCATCATCCTCGTCATCATCATCGGTGTAGTTGTCATCTGAAAGAAGGCTCAATTCAAATTCTTCTTTGAGAAGATGTTGAATTTCTTTCGCTTCTCGATAGTCTTTCAAATCATAGAACGATTGAAACTGGTTGAAACTACCAAATAATAATTGAATATCCTTGTTTGACCATGCAGTAATACCTGAAAATAAATTCTTTTTTCTTATTAATCTTTGGTAATCAGTTAAACGATCTTCGTAATAACTGAGGAAGTCACTAAAAAAATAAAGTATAGTAAATAAGAACAAAAATAATTAATAAATCATAATTTATTTTTCAATATAAAAAATAATATTTACTTTGAAGAATTTGACATTTGTTATAGTATATAACTATAAAAATTATAATGAAAAGAATAATAAAGAATAGGTTGATTTTCAATTTATAATAATAATTTTCTCCTATAAATAAAAAATTTAACAAATGTCTATTTAAAAAAAAGAAAAATGACACCTTTTTTTTTTTTTATCAAACTATTAAATACTTCTATCATGTTAATAATATTATAATATTATTTATTGATGTTGTTCATAGAATTTCAAAAGTGATTGTAATTCTTTTGCTGTTCTGTAGTTTGATATTCCTTTTGCCATCATGAATTGAGTAAAACTACCATATCTATTATTAATATATTTGTTTGACCATTTCTGTGTTCTATCTTCTTCTTCTTCTTCACTATCACCACTATTATTACTATTATTATTATTATATCCATAACAATCACTACTACTTTCATCACTACTACTACTATTATAATTATTATTATAATATCTATCGTCGTCATCATCATCATCTTCATAGTAATTAACATCATCATCATCTTCTTCTTCATCTTCTTCTACATCATCACCAAACAAATCTTCATATGCTTCTTTTAAACCGGTTTGAATCATCTTTGCATCTTTGTAATCATCAATTCCATAGAAATCCATATAATCTCTAAAACTGCCGAATACGATATCTATATCTTTGTTTGACCAAGCCTTCATTCTATTGTGAACGTTGATTGCTCTGAGTGTTTGTTGGTGTTCAGACAGACGTTCATCGTACATATCGTAAAACGATTTGGCACCGTCGTACTCACGTTTCAAGTCGTACGCTTCTTTAAGTTCTTGTTGAATTTGCTTCGCTTTGCCATGATCGTTTATCTGATAGAATCTCTTGAAATGATTGAAACTTCCAAAGATAATATCAATGTCTTTGTTTGACCAAGGCGTGATACCATTCTCTATATTATCTGTTCGCTGAACACTCTGGCTATAAGATAGACGATCTTCATATTTATTATAAAATCTACAATAACAATTTTTTTTTAAAAGTTAAATTTTAAACAATGTGTTTTTGATAGCTGTTAATAACTTACTTTACAGATTTTATCATCTCTTTGACAATATTAAAACTTTGAATGCAAAAAAAACGAAACATTTTTTTAAAAACAAGATCAATGTTTCGTTTTTTTTAATTTAATTTTTAATTTTTTCTTGAATTTGAACTTGTTTTTTTCAAAGAATTATTCTAAATAAAGATAGTATTAACATAATAAATTTAAAAAACATTAAAAAAAAAAAAGGTAAAAAAAAATTAGACAACACATGTGTTAACAAGAACCTGGTTTTAATTGAAAAAAAAAGTTGGAATGTTTTTTGTTAATAACAATATTAAAAATTTAATATAAAATAAAGTGTGTTGGGTTGATTTAGCAAACAAACCATCAATGTTTTGTAAAATAAAAAAAAAAGTAATATTAATAATAATTTCAAATGTCAATAATAGTAACAGATAGACAACCTTTTAAATTGATAATCAATTCAATAGTATTAAATAAATTGATATTCAACTATGTAAAATTATTGCATAAAATAAGAAACAATAATAGAAAATATGTAGAAATCAATGGTCTAAGTATTGGTGGTGGTGGTGGTGGTAGTTTAGGTTTAGATGGTCTCAATTCATTTCTCTATGGAATTCGTAGTGGTATCGGTCAGAAGACAGCGAGATTCAATTGGTATCAACTTCTAAGGCGACCCGATCAATTGATAAAGTATAGCTATATCGAGTGTTTCTTTGATCAGTTTAAACGTCACTACGATGAGTGTGATAAGCGGTTGTTACGCTCCAGACATACAGTACCGTCGTTGCTACTACAGTATATCGATGCCGTCAAGGTTGCATTGTCTCGTGGCTGTCTACCGATTGTAAAGCTATTCTTTGAGCAGCATCACAAACTTTTATTGGAGTTGGTCAAGAATTCATCGATAAAGATTGCTGCGAGAAATGGACATCTCAATATTGTAAAGTATCTGCATGAGAATAGCAATCGATTTAAAATACCTAGATTCAAAGAGGAGATGGATTCCGCTTCTATGAATGGACACCTGGAAATTGTGCAATTCTTCCATCAAAATACAACCAATGGATGTACCATCAATAGTATAAACATCGCCGCTAAAAATGGATACATCGATATAATCAAGTTTCTCAATGAGAATCGGAGTGAGGGGTGTAGTATAAGTGCAATCAATTTGGCATCTTCATCTGGACACCTTGAAATTATAAAGTATCTCCACTTTAATAGAAGTGAAGGATGTACGAAGCACGCTATGAATCAAGCTTGTTGTAATGGCCACTTAGAAGTGGTACAATTTCTCCATGAAAATAGAAGCGAAGGGTGCACACGCGAAGCAATGTCGTTGGCCGCAAGGAATGGACATATCAGAGTTGTTAGATTCTTGCATGAGAATCGATTGGAAGCATGGGGAACACAACCAATGAGTTGGGCAGCTGCACATGGCCATATGGAGATTTTAGAGTATCTACACATCAACCGATACGAATGCTCTAAATACGCGATGAACACTGCTGCGACGAATGGGCACCTCCCGGTAGTTCAATTCCTCAATGAAAATAGAAGTGAAGGGTGCAACCGTGACGCTATGAATGGCGCATCAAAAAACGGACATTTGGAAGTGGTACGGTACCTACACGAGCACCGAACCGAAGGATGTTCAAACCTAGCTATGAATCAAGCCGCTGCCAATGGACACCTCCAAATTGTTCAATTTCTCCATGAAAATAGAAGTGAAGGGTGCACTGTCTTTGCGATGAATCATGCCGCTAAAAATGGCCATTTCGATATTCTGAAATTCTTGCACTATAATAGAAGTGAAGGTGCAAATATCGATGCAATGAACTACGCTGCCTCAAATGGACATTTAGATATATTGCAATTTTTGCATTATAATCGCACAGAAGGATGTAGCAGCCAGGCACTTGGATGGGCTGCCACCGGTAATAAACTAGAAATAGTTAAGTTCCTCCATGAGAATCGCACCGAAGGTTGTAGTAATATAAATACTTTTCATAATACTCTTGATGTTGTGGCATCACTTGGAAGGTTTGAAGTTTTGGTAAGCAAGAATGAATTGAAATTGATGTTAATATTACACGATAGAATATATAACTAACCATTATATTGTTTCGACTATAGAAATTCTTTCATTACAATAGAACTGAGAAATTCACTTCGAGGGCTATGGACTTAGCCGCTCAAAACGGCCACCTCGAAATTGTGAAATTCTTGCACTATAATCGTACCGAAGGTTGCACAACTGAGGCTTTGGAGTACGCAGCTAAACAATCACACTTGGAAATTGTAAAATTCTTATTGGAGAACAGAACAGAGCCATTCAATATTAAAAAGACGATATCATTGGCAACTATAAGCAAGAGTACCGATGTCCTCAATTATTTAAATGAACATTATCAACCAAAACAAAATTGTATATTAATGTAGGTGGTGCTTTTTGCTAAAACATATCAATTAAATGTATAGCTTTTCATATTTGTTTGCTTATCTTTTTCAAATATTTCTTTTAAACTATTATTTTAAGTAGTCTGCTTAACTCTGGAGATTAGTGAGTTTTTTAATTATGTTAACAAGGATAATTTTGATGCTGATATTCTATTCTAATGTAGAGATACCTTTTATTACTTTCAAGAATTTATTAAATTGTCATACTGCTTTTTTTTACAAATATCAAAGATAGTTTATTTATGAATCAAAGAATTCTTGAGAACTTAAAATATGTTGGTATGAATTGATTAAGTACATATATGTTGAAAATTTTTATCAATAATTTTATTTGTATAAACAACTGGTTATTATTAATAAAAAGATTAGTTTTTTTTGTTTATAATAATGATGATGGTAATTGATACGGAGAACTTGGATAGAATCCATCAGAATTTGGTTGAACGCTTGGATTTGATGCATGGATATGATAGAAATACTCCCAATAGACATAGTCGACCTTGACACCGGCTCTATTGAATGATTCATCTGCTCCTCCGAAAAGTGCTTGGTTGACAATTTTAATGTATAGATTGGTTTGGTCGAAATAGTAAACTGAACCATTGCTTGCTCTGACTTGCGCAGCAGATGTACCAAGAGTACAGTTGAATCCATAGGCATTCTGCCAAGCCCATCTATTCTCAGAGTAGATATTAAAGGTTGTACCGGCTGGATAAGGAATCGCCATAAAGATGTAGTGTCCATAGGGAACTTGAGCGACCCACAATTGCAAATAGGTTGGAGTACCATAATCCAAATACAAGTACCAACCCATATTTAGGATACCGGTGATACCTGCATTTCTGGAGATGTTTGTCTTTCTAATATCAGTGATACCTTCACCAAACAAACTGACACAACCAACAAATTGACCGTAATCATATTGTTGACCACGATCAATCAAGTTTGGAATGTAAATTTCAATGTTACCAACAGATTTAGTGGTTTTGTCACAAACCCAAACTGTCCAATCAGCTTGGAAACTACAATGAGCATCAGAGTACTTCCACCATTTTTCATGAGCTCCGACAATTGTTGGAACACCTGGATTACCAACTAATGAACCATCCCAATCGATGAGATTAAAATATCTCGATGAACCTGAATCTGGAACGATTCTGTGACCGATAACTTGAGATTTTGGAACATTTTGAAGTGTTATATTTACCAAAGAAGAGATGAATTGTGGTTTATAGATATCACTGAATGTCAAAGCAATAATAACAACATTATCAACATCTGGATATACGGAAGTTGGATTTGCAATAAAGTTTCTAAATGTGACATCGGAAATAATAGTGGTAACGTAATTATCGTAGAGTTGGAAACCTTGACGATAATTAGCATTGGATTTACTAAGAACATTACCAGTTTGTCCATCAACAATTGCTTGATGTAACCATGCGTCACCGAATAAAGTACCTGGTCTATTTGAATCATATGCTTCAAATTTAACAACTTCAACTATTATTATGAAAATTGAAAAAAAAAAACAAAATTAATCAATCGTTGAACATATGAGTTGTAATATACATTCAAAATGTTAATCTTACCTCTTGAACCCCAATGTTGAAGACCGAAATTCGATAAAAAGATCTTGGTATTATTGAATCTCATCCATACAAAAGTGTCTGAACTCCATGAGAAAATACCATCTTTACAAGTGTTTCTTGAATGTCTACCAGTATTATAAACTAAAATACCCATTGTTTCATCGAATTCCAATTTTCCACCAACATAAATAGAGGCACCAGAGATCCACTGGTAACCAGAACTATGAGCTGAATTACCTTCAAAAACCTTAGTAGTCCAAGCTTGCGGTTCCATACTAACATTTCTATGATTACCAATTGGTTTTTCAAGATTTGGGAAAGAATAACCTGACCAACCACCTATTTATTATTTCAAAAAAAAGTTAGTTATTGATAGCTATAGAAAATAATTATTATTATAATAACATACCAGAAGCAGCGTTACCAATAATTGTATTCCAAGCATTGGTAATGTAGAAACAACCAGCAGCGCTATCAGCCGGTTGAGTTAGATTTTCATTTTGATAAAAAGTTTCACCGGTTTGACTTCCACCAGCAGCTGGTTCTCCAATTGTATGAACATAGGCACCCAAATTGAAAGATAAAGTATTGTCTTGTTCAACACCATCCTCAAGATAGTAACAATGACCAATAGCATCAAAAGCTACATTTCTTGTTAGAGTAACATTGTTTGCACCATGAATTGTGTAACAACGATAATAACTCTTGGTTACTACACAATCAGAGATGTAAGAATTCTTAACAACACCGGCCAAATGATAATGCAATGGATAACGTGCTTTGATATTCTTTTGACCCATTCTCTTTAACTGAACACCAGCAAATTGACCTTCACCAGAAATGATGATATGACCACCAAATTCAGTTGATTCAGAAGAAGCGGAATCTCCTTGGAATACGATTCTTCTTGAAAGCAAACTTACTTCAACTTGATACTCCTTACCACCATAATGATAGAACTTTAATGGCTCAGTGAATTCAATTACCTTTCCAGAGATAGATTTAATGGTCATTACTTCATTTTGGTTATCTTCCTCATCACGAAACTGAGATGTCATTACAACCACTTGCTGACCGACCTCCCAATTAACATTGTCTTGAATCCAGATAACTCTATCACCACTCCAAACAGTGGCTGCGAGTTTAGTCCAAGTGCTATGATATTGTTTACCATGAACAGAAATGAAACCACCAGTTGAAACACCGAGACCTTTGGAACCAAAGAATGGAGCAATAGTATTTTCAAATGTTTTTGCACCATGGAAAATGATGTTGATATTTGCATTGTAACGACATTTGGTAGTACCCATAATGAATTTACCTTGAACCAAGATATCTTTGACGTTCATAGTAAAGTCAGAGTCTGCAAATACCAATTCACTTGTTGGTGGAATAGTAATTCTTTGATAGATTTCAGTTTGAGAGATGGAACATGGACTAATTAAAACACGTTTACCAGCTGGTAAAGTAATGTTACTAGAGGGAGATGGAACTACACCAGATGGCCAAGTTGATGGATTATGCCAATGAACTAAATCGGTTGCGAGATATGGGCATTTAGTGTTATCTTGAGGATCTAAAGCAGCGGATGGTTTTGGGAGATGTACTAATTCAGAATCTTGAACAACTAAATTTGGTGGAGTTACAATTGGTTTTGGTAGGACCGTAATTTTCATATTTCTAAATAGAATGTTGGTATCTGCAGTACTGGTAGCTCTGGTACGATTGACTTGAAGAATGAAAATCGAAAGACCAAGATCAAATGGAACACTGAATGAAATTGAATTTGACTTGTATTCAGTGTGCGAGCTGAAATTACCAGAGAAAGTCTTTGCATAGGTTGGTGCTCTATAAGTCCATAAGATGTAATCGGTATCACCAGGTTGATAGAATGACAATGTCATATTGGAATATACATTATCTATGGCATTCAATGGATGAGTTAATTTGAAATCAAATGAGAATTGATAGGTAACATTAGCTTTGATGGCTGGTGCAGATTGACGTGAGACAATATAGAAATAATCTGGCGAGTATGCTGGGAAGAATACAGAGAATTCACTATCATTATCACTCACTACATCACGAAGATTATTTGGATCGGTAACGAAATAGTATGCCATATAATACAAGTCCTTGGCGCCATAGACGATATCAGATGCCGCTTGAGTTGTCGGTAATGGTGGTGATGTTGTTGGTGGATTGAAATTTGCTGGAGTTGGTCTCCAACTTGGATCAGTCGGACATGTACCAAATACAAAAGATACTATAAATAAAATATTAATAAATAAAATTATTATTTTATTCATTTTTAAATAAATAAATAAATAAATAAATAAATAAATAAGATACTTTTTGTTATCTAAATTCTAATCTTAAGATTTCTTTAATTTATATCTTTTCTATTTTCCTTTTTTTACTAAAAACATTTTTTATTTCTATATATTTTTGAAAATAAGAAATATCTAATAAATGAATTGGGTAATTCTAAATATCTATAGATTCTACAACAATAAATATCAGTAGCCAATCAAAAAAAAATATCTTAAAAAAAAATGCATTTTTTATCATAATCTAAAGTTATTTTGATTGAATATCTAGTTTTGTAAAAAGAATAGATTTTTTGCACAAATATCTATAAAATTACCGACAAATGATGAGATAGGTATAGATGGTATTAAAACAATTCATATGACAAGATTGAAACAGTTATATTTGATGTTCATATGACTGATGGGTTTGTGAATTGGGTTATCATAATCAAAAAAACCAGATGATGCAAAAAAACCAGACGATGAAAAAAAGAATTACCGTTTCTTCTATTTTGCATCATCTGTTTTTGTGGTGACTACAAAAACTAAAAAAACCCAAAAACAAAGTTATTAAACCGTTTAATAAAAAGAATCTATTTCTTATTTGCAGATAAAAGATATCAAAAAAATTGTAACTGTTAAAATACTAGAACATTTTTGATACCAGTATCAAAAATGTGTTATTAATTCATTGAACATCTAAAAAAACAACAATCAATCAAGTAAACACAATTGAACCAATTTATAAAACAACTTTAGTTTCTAAGATTACTTTTTTGAAGAGATTGATTCATCTAAAGAAAAAATCTACGAAATTTGCTATGTTTTATAGATTTCTTTTTTACTTCTTTTATAATCATTGCCTCATTGTTGTTGTTATTTAATTCTTTCACATTATTGTGTTATTTGCTAAAGCTACCAAAAACACACCTGGGTTGAAGAATCAATATTAATATTCTATATTTTCATTATCATGATATGAAGTTTATTTGTTTTTTTATATTATACACCTGATACACTTTGAAGACTAAAAAATTGGTTGATTGACCGATTTATTTTATCTTTTAAATTAATTTATTATAATAATATGTGTTTTTTAATAATATAGTTATTTATTTTCTTTTCAACCAAAATGAGCTTCCAAATATTTGAAAAATGGCATTATTGATTTTGTTTCTTTCAGTAACTTGTAGTATTGCCAGAGTGATGTGTAGATTCCACCGACGGTTGTGTTGCTTTTAACTAGGATTTCAATCATTGCTGTCAACTCGTTGGCAAACAACTCATCGCCATACGAAAAGTAGTGTACCATTCTGCCGGCGTGTGATGCACTCATTAATTGAATGATACTCTTGAGGTACTTGTCACCACCGAATACACCGCAACCCCAGTTACCGGTGGCAATCGGAATGGGAACGGTCATCGAGTAGCGATCAAAGTAACCGGTGTAACTCTTGACCAACTCACGATCAAAGTTGTTCGGTGAGTACTGATTGAAAGGATCACCGTACAACTTGATTGCATCGATAGCGACAATCGATGTCATTCTTCTGCCCTTATTGTCAAAGCCGGTCGTATCGACATGATCACCCGCCCAAGTAAAAGTATCACCATATCCAGTGTAATTCGAGAATCTCTCTGCACCAGTAATAATAACAGCTTCATTATCTTGCAATTGTGCTGTAAACAATCTCGACACAATCAACTCTGGATTTATCATGAATCTAACTTCTTCTTGTACACATCCCTAAAAGAAATATAAAAATAAAAAAAAGTTTAGTTCTAACTAATTATAACAATAACATAACATAACATAATAATAATATTATTATTAACATACATGTCCTAATACACCACCACCAATCAATTTGTTTGCAAAATCAACTTGTAAATAACCAACACCATTATCTTCAATGGTTCCATCTTTGTACACCAAAAAATCTTGTAGTTGTGCTTCACTCTTTTCCCAGTCTGGACTTTCCTTCTCAGAGGTAACCTGTCTATGGAATGAAATGACTCCATCCAATTCTAAAAAACATTAAATTAGTTTGTTAATATTAATTTGTTGTTGTTATTGTTGTTGTTGCTAATAATATGTTTGTTAACTTTCATCAACTTACTCATATTTGCTATTCTTTTAAAATAATTTATAATACACTTTAGCTTGGAGGCACGCGAGGGTGTGCACGGCGCAGAGTAGAGTGAGTGGAAGTTGAACGTTGGGTATTTGGTACCGGTTCCACCTTGTCTTGGCATGGTGCAGAGGAATGCGTTGGCCAGCAACGACGAGACCTGGAGCTGTGAGAGGCATATCTCCTTGTCGACCGAGCGCTCCAACAGCGGGATGGGACGCGGACACAGGTATGGTAGCTGCTGCGCGCGATGCTTGATGAATGGCAGTGTCTTTGTGAAGAACTCCTGTACTTCCGACTCAGAGTATTCGCTCTCAAAGAAGTCGTGCAGTCCTTGGAAGTCCCAGGCACATCGCGGATTGTACTTCTTGATGGCCTCTTCGAGTTCATCGCAATTCTTGATGTGTTTCTCAAAGACCGAGGTGATAATGTACCACTTACTGGTGCGTTTCTGCTCCAGGAATATGGTGTTTGCCATTGCACAAGGCATCTTTACATACTCTGAGTTCCAGACTTCCTTGTACTTCTCGGATGATCCACTCTCTGGTATCAGATTGATCGATGACTGTTGTGATTTTATCGATAACTCTACTTCACTCATATCATAGGGTTGTGTTGGTGATAAGAATAGATCTATATCATCAAACAATCCACCACTACTTCCATTACTATTATTATTATTATTATTATTACTATCTTTATCTTGATTGTTATTATTATTATTATTATTATTTACTTTATAATTTTTATTTGATTTATACACTGAACCACCATTACCACTGTTACCACTATCTTTTTCGAGATCAGATTTCATTTTCTTTAAAGTTTGAAATGATTCATCTACTGAATTACTTGAATTACTTGTATTATTATTATTATTATTATTTCCATTCTTATTATCTAGTGATGATCCATTTCTTTTATTATTATTTGTGGTTGTTGTTGTGGTTGTTGTTGTTGTCGAAGTTAAAGATGAAGTTGATGATGAATTTGAAGTTGAAGACGAAGTTACACTAGATGCAGATTTTACAAAATAATTTGTTATTGTGTTGTTATTATTATTACTCATTATAAATAATAATATATTTGATTTATATAAATATTAATAAACCAAAGTAATAGATAGAAGATAGATATAATTAATTAAAAAAAACATTAACCGCTAAAAATTTTGATTTTTAAAAAAGAAAAAACAATAAAAAATTAATTATTGGAAAAATTTTTGGTTGTGTAAAGATCTTTTCATTTTTTTAATTAAAATTTGATTGTTGTAAAAGAAATTTTGATACTCATAACATAAAAGGAAATCATGGTTAAAAATGATAATTATCAATATTTAAAAATTATATTAAATTCAGTTATTTTGCGAAATGAATTGTTTAGTCGTGTAAAGTTGGTCAATGGTATTGTTGGATTTAGGAGATCCACTATTGATTCATTGTTATTCAGTAGTTTGCAATTCGATGTCACCAGGTTCAGCTGGTCGGGGCTATTGGAGAGACCCGATCAATTGATACACTATGGCTATGATGATATATTTTTAAGAGAGTTTGATTTTCACATGTCGTCGACCACTACTACTACGGTTGTTGAGAGTGAAGACGATCCAGATAGATTCCATGTGCCACACATCGTGAGGAAGTATGTAGATTCCATTACGGATGCGATCATCAAAGGTAACCTACCAATAGTGAAAACAATCATACTTTGTCGAAACGCCTGGCAAATAATGAGTGCGATGAATCATAATAGCCTTTATTTCACCGCTGCCAAACACTGCCGATTCGAAATCATCAGGTATTTCGATGGTCTGCCGAGTCACCTGGCAATACCTTGTGACCAATCGGTGGTGGATGTCGCCTGTAAATACGGACATTTAGAAATAGTACGGTATTTTCTAGAGGAGAAGCCGCAGCAAGAGTCGTCAATTGGCATCTGCTCAACGAGTGCACTATCAGCTGCCGCAAGTAATGGTCATTTGCAAGTGGTAAAGTATCTCTTTGAAAGTGTTAAATTGCAATGGGATTTCGATATCTATTCGTTGGTCACAATTTTTGAAAAAGGATATTTACAAGTGATAGAGTATTTATGTTCAAACTTTGGAAATGATAAATTGGAATTGAGAGTGGAATACTTTGACGCCGCTGCTAGCAATGGACATTTGCAATTAGTGCAATGGATTCATGCCAATAGATCGGAAGGTTTTACAAGAGAGGCGATAAATCGCGCAAGTGAACACGGACACTTAAGTTTGGTACAGTTTCTTCATGAGAATCGCAGTGAAGGATGTACTAAGGACGCTCTTCATATGGCCGCATGTAATGGTCATTTAGAAGTCGTTCAATTTCTATGGGAGAATCGAACCGAAGGATTCTACTCAGGACAAACATTAAATATGGTAGCAGCAAGACAACACCTCCATATTCTTGAATACTTTTATAATAATACAAAAGAGAGGTGTGACGATAGTATTTCTCTAATTGGTTTAGTTGATGATAAAATATTAGAATTTCTAAAAGAAAGAAAAGGTAAATATTAAATTCAATCATAACTATGCACAACCAAAGAGTTTCAAATAAAATAAAAATACAACATTACAATAACAAAAAAAAAAGAAATCATAGTATTGTCATGTGATTGTTTTTTTTGCTACTTTTTTTAATTAATGGGCGATTACTTTGTACAAAGTAAAGTAAAAGATGTGATTTTAATTTAATTAATTTTATTTTTTTTAAAATCCGGCTATTTTAATTGATTAAACAAAATAAATTAAAACAAAACAATGTAGATTTCTTAAACTTTACGGATATTATTTATTATTTAACAAAGATTTATCTTTTGTTTTTTTATTTATTTATTTGTTAGATATGGAAATAAATCTTTTTAGAATATTATTTAATCATTTACCATTGAGAAAATTAGTATTTTCAATGGTAAGAGAAATACATTTATATCTTTCTAGTTGGTACGATCCATTGTTGTTGAGATTCAATTGGGAGCAACTCAAGAAATTCCCAGACCAATTGATAAAGTATCGCTATATAGAGAGGTACTATGAAGAGTTGAACATTCTAGAGAAAAAACACTCGAATCGCGCTGGTAAAATAAAGATACCACCATCCGATGAATTCACACGATACCTACTCTCTGTGTATATATCGATACGACTGGGTGAATTCGATGTAGTCAAGTATCTAATGAAACGATATCCAAGATATATGCCCAAGTCACTCAAGGTAAGGGCATATCAAGTTGCTGCAGGGCGAGGACATCTGGAAATCATAAAATATTTCGATCGCAAACATTATGGCTCTAAAGGTTTGAAGTTTACTTGTGGTGTGGAAGTTGTCGAAGCCGCTTGCTCCAATGGATATTTGGAGATGGTTCAGTATTTGGTTGAAACAAAGAAACCAGTTACCAAAAAGGCATTCTCTGACGCAGCAAGATATGGTCATCTCCCAATCGTTGTTTATCTTCATGAAAAAGTATTTCTAACGACTCGTCTCGACACTAGAGCAATGAATCGCGCTGCTGAATATGGTTTTCTCAACGTTGTAAAGTGGATCCATGAAAATAGATTAGAAGGTTGCACTACTGAAGCGATGGACTACTCAGCGGTAAACGGTCATATACAAATCGTTAGATGGTTGAATGAAAATAGGAGTGAAGGATGCACCAAGATGGCATTAAACGAAAGTGCAAAAAATGGAAATTTAGAAATTGTACGATACCTTCATTACAATCGAACGGAAGGTTGTGATGACTTTGCTCTTCACTACGCTGCAACCGGTGGACATCTGGAAGTGGTGCGATTCCTAACTGAGAATCGAACGGAAGGCTGTAGAAATCATAACTCTAATAATCCCAATGGTCCTTTGTTCAACAATACTATCAACACTGTTGCCAGTACTGGTAATACAGAGATGCTACGGTATTTTTATAAGAATAGAACAGAACGATGTACGTTTCAAGGTTACTTTTCAGCTAGAATACGAAATCACATGGAAACTATTGATTTCCTCAACGAAAAAGATCCAACCTTTTCCATTCAATATGAAGATTATTTTAGAAATAAAATTAAAAACAAATAGTTAGTAACTATTAGAATTCCAAAAAGAAAAAGATCCAACTTTTTCCTTTTCCATTCCAATATTAAGACTATACCGATATGCTAAGATATTTTTATGAGAGTCGAACAAAATGATGTAAGGTTAATTCAAGGTTACTTTTCAGCAAGAGTGCACGAAAACAACCTCTTCCATTTAAAAAATAATATGAAGATTATTTTAAATTAAATTAAAATTTCGTCAAATTTTAATCAAAGATCTGAAATCAATAAAAAAAAAATGAAATTTCTTTTTTCTTTTCTGTTTTTGATATCAACCACAAAACAAAAAAAAATCAATTGCAATTTTTACAGACCTGGTGGTATCGACAGTTTTTGTTAAATTTGATGACACATGAAAAAAAAAAATGGCATAAAATTTTGGTGTTGATCAATTTTTTTTTGTTTTTTTTTTTTCAATTATTGCACCTTTATTTTATACATAAGTATTGAAAAACTCGGAGTTTAAAATTGGGCTGACGGACATCACCACAGGTGTCGAACAATCACAATCATGATTGATGTTGTTTTATCCAATGAATGACGATGTCAAAACATCATCTCTATTTGGTTTTCTAAAAGTCAAGCAATTGTTTAAAATACAATTCATTGTTTATTATTCTTTCACTTCAAGTTTATTTATACTATATTAATTAATTTTGTGCTAATTTTAAACCTTTTTAAAAATATTAAAAAAAAACAATAGTAAATATAAATGTTTAACTAAATAAAAGATTTAAAAGTTATTTATTTAAAAAAGTGTAATAGTAATAGTGTTCAATAAGAACACACAAATTGATTTCCTAAAGTAGGAAACAAAATCATAACAAAATAAAATAATGTATAATAATAGTAATAGAAATTATAATGAAAATTTAATTTCACCAGATCAATCAAATATTTATAACAACAATAGCGATGATCACCAAAATAATGTAATTTTACCATCAGTTGCATCTGGTTTCAATGACGATGAAGCATCACCCATTATGATCAAATCGTTCGAACCACCTGCAAATAACGATGTGGAATCCAATCAGAGTTCTGCGAGTGTGGGCGAAAAACTGAAATTTTGGAAACAACCGTTTTTCAAAGACAAAATGGGTATTATCATCTTCGTTGCCATCGGTCTCATCAATGTAATTTCCACCGGTATACTTTTGCCAATTCTATTCACCTCGTATGTCTCCTACAAGAATCCACATTACACTCCCTCCCAGATAGAATCAGAGGCATCCCGTTTGAAATCGATTTCCGATTCGATGCCGTATCTCGCCAACTTTATCTTTTCGCCACTCCTCGGAAGTATATCTGATCGATACGGCCGAAAGATTGTCCTATTCATCATCCAACTCCTCCAGCTTATCGATGTCACCATGATAGGTCTGGGCTACTGGAAGAAATTCATCATTCCAATCTATATTTCCCATACGCTTTCGGGTGTCTCCAATGGTATGCTATCGGTGGCATTCTCATATTTGGCCGATATCACTTCGAAAGAGGATCGTGCACCTTGGTTCATGGCAGTGGGTGTTGGACTTGGTTTCTCACTGATTGTTGGACCACTCATCTTGATGGCACTCATCAAGCACTCCTATGAATTCGCTGTCTATGGAAGTGGTGCATTCCTGGTGATCTCAATCCTCGCATTGCTACCACTGACCAACTCGATTCGCTATGCCGACGGAAAGCCAAAGTCACCGGAGCAACTAGCATCGAAATCATCGGCTTCACTCAACCCGTTCAAATCGATCTACGGTCTATTCAAGTCATCGAAATACACAGTCTGCTATGCAATTCTATTCATTTCATTTTCATTCACCCTTCAAGATACAGTAACCACATCATACTATTACACCGAACTCAAATTTGGTTGGGGAGCATCACAAAACTCGATCGTTACCTGTTTAACAGGTGTATTTATTGTATTATATAGTGGTTTCATCATTCCATTGGTTCTTAAATTCATCTGTAAGTTATTATTACAATTTCATGTTGTGAAAACTATTTCCATCAAACAATTACTAAAACTTTTAATTGTTTATTTGTTTGAAAAACAAACTATCTTCTTTTAAATACCACATGCCAAATGATAATCTTTTCATTTGAATGAAAACTAACAACAATAATAATAATAATAATAATAATAGCCGATAGAAAACTTGTTGCTGTATGTTTCTTTACCAGTTTTGCATTCCACTTTTTCTATGCTTTTGCTATAAATCAATATATGTGGGCTGTTCCTGTTGTAGTTGGAGCATTCTCGTTGATTGTAATCAATCTGATTCAATCTATCATTTCCAAAGCTACACCATCCAATATTCAGGGTGTTGTACTTTCAGGTGTCTCATCAATCACATCACTCACATCGGCAGCTGGTGCATTTGCCTCACAGAATTTATTCTCATACTTTATCAGTAGTAAATCACCTATTTACTTCCCTGGAATGCACTTCTTGATTAATGCAGGTATCATTTTTATAACATTCATATTCTCTGTCGTCATCATCAAGATATTCCCTAATCCAGATAAAGTTGCCAAGCTAATTGTCGTCGACGATGAAGAAGCAGAAATTAAGAAACCAATTTTAGATGGTTATGGAATTGATAACACTGATGATGACGATGACAATGATATTAATTATAAAGTTGGTGGTATAAACTAAAACTAAATTAAACCAAATTAAACTTATTTATTTATTTAATTTTCAAAAAAAAAATTATTATTTTATTTATTTAATATTTTCTTTAAATTAATTATATTTAAAACTTAAACTTTAAAGTTCATTCTTTTTCTTTTTTTAACCACTACTATTATTATTTTTGTGCAATCTTATAAGGGTAGAACCGTCCAGATGACACAAATATGGTTTACAAAAATAAATAGAATCGACTCGTAAAGAAATCGTGATGATGAAAATTAAGGGTTATAGACTTAAAAATTCCATGAATGAAAAATGAATGTTACCCTTTTAAAAAAAATAAACACCCACATTTTTCAACTTATATTTTTTTTTTATATGATCATATAACCTGTTTTATTCTGTTGGTTACAAAAATAGTGAAATCGTCTGTTCTTGAGAAACTAAAACTAAAACAAAAATAAATTTAAATATTAATATAACAAAAAATTAATAATAATAATATGAATATAATGAATTCAATTAAATATAAATATACACATCATCATCATTGTTTATTATTACAATTCAACAAGAAAAACAAGAAATTACAATTATTACAACATATATAATATAGAAAAAACAAACAAAATGAATATCATATATAAAATTACAATTTGTTTAATATTAATACAATTATTATTTATATCGAATGCAAGAGCCGATGATGACGAGTATGACGAATGTTGTATCGGACAAATGGTCAATGGTGTTCCATCGTGCTCTGGAAAAATCAAGGATGCCAATAAATGGTATAAATTCGTTTGCGATGACAAAGAAATAGGTGTTATCAATAACAATAGTACTCTGGTCTGTGATGAGTGTTCTCTCAAAGCCACTAAAAGATTGGTCATTCTCCTGGCAGTTCTCATTCCGATTCTGGGTCTCAGTGTCTGTGCATGCATTGGTGGTGGTATCTACTGTTGCTGCAAACACAGAAAAGAAAAGAAATCTCATCACAATAAATTATTAAATAGATATTAAACTACCATATATATATACAAATCAACAATATAAAATAACAAACTTTTTCCAACCAAACCAACCAAACCAACCAATCCAAATGTATTTACCTTACACACATATATATAAATATTCCAACATGTTGTTTTTTAAAACATTTTTGTAATAAATAAATTATTAATTATTTTCTAATTAATTCACATTAAACGTTCTATTTTTCATACAAACTTATTACTTATTGCCTCTTATATTATATTATATTGTTAAAAAGTATAAGTATTTATTTACTGAGATAGTTAGCAGCACCAACGAATACACAAGCTAGAACTGTTGTAAGACCACCCCAAATAAGATAAGATTGAATTTGATTTGCTTCTTTTTCTTTAATTTTACGGAGAGTATTATGTGTACCATCTAATGTGTATATTTATGTTTATGTATGTTTTAATTAAATTGAATAAGTATTATTATTATTATTATTGTTGTTGATGATCAAATGCTAAATAACAAACTTACCGCAGAATGGAGCATCTTTAGAGTGTCCACAACGACAGACCCAAACAACTTTGTCTTGCTCTTGAGCGACTTTCAATGGACTGAACGAAGTGAAGTGTTGTTGATTGTACTCCTTGTGAGAGCTGTCGCAGTATGGGTAGTTCTTTGAGTGACCGCAACGGCAGATCCACTTGTCACCCTCGGAGACATCGACCTTGATTGGTCCTTGTAGTGAGAAGTTCTCTGGTGCAATATCCCATTGCTTTGCTGGTACTTGTGATTCAGACATTTTCTTTCTTTCTTTCTTCTTTTCTTTATAATAAATACAATACAATCAAATTTTTAATTAAAAAAATTAAATGATCTGAACTTGATGGTTTGTTAAAAAAAATTAAGAAAAATAAAAAAAGTATTTTAAAAATTAAAAAAAAAAACTTTGAGGTCCAACACAATCAAAAAATCACAATTTAAATAATTCTTTCATATTTTATGATTGTCGAATAAAATCTTAACTGATCTAGATATAAATATTTAAAACAAAATTTAATTTTTTCCAACAACAAAGTTTATATTTATTGTGAACTTGGTCATAATAATAAACAGACTACCATTTTTGTACTCATTGAATTTTTATCATATAATTAAGAATCAAATCTCTGGACACCAGTAGTGTCACTTTTTATAATAATAATAAAATAAATTATAAATAAATAAAATTTTATTTTTCAAAAAAAAAAAAAAGTACAAGTGGAAGAAAAGTTAGTTTTTCAAACGTGGTTTTTTTTTGCGCAGCAAAAATAAAAAAAATAAAAAATAAAAATAATTAATTACCCAAAACTCTTCACACGACAGTTCTTCTTCTTTTAATTATATATTTAGTTAGTTGTAATTGTAAGTATCATCTTAAACAACAACCATTTATAATATCTTTAGAATAATAAAAAAACATAGATAACAAAGATCTAAATCAATCATATTTCAATTTCAATTTCAATTTCAATCTCAATTTCAGTTTCTAATCTTATATAATATAAGATTAGATTATAAAAATATAGTATTATATAACTTTATCAATATAATATAAGCTTAACATATCAAAGTTCACAGTTAGTTTACCAATTTTGACTTTTTTATTTATTTATGTTTTTGTTTGTGTAAACCCCAACACCCCAACAAACAACCAATCATAAAAACTTAAATATTTATATTGTCAACAATTGTCTATTGTTTATTGTTCTCTATATTATTTATTTATTTATAGTTTAGGTTTTTAGGTTTTTTTTTTTTTTTGTTATCTAGATAATCAAATAAAAATCAAAATTTTTTTAAGATAATAACAAAAATTTTAAGATAATAAACAAAATATTTATATTCTTTTTCTTTTTTATAAAATAAATAGTAAAAAAAAATAGAAGTACAAACAGATATGTTTAGTTATAAGAATAGATCGTTGTTTGTACTACTCATTGCACTGATAGTGTTGTGCGAACAGTGCAATGCATACCTACCGGGTTTAGCAAAGACCTACAAAGCAAATCAGAATTACACTATCCAAGTGAACAAGATCACCTCTGTACATACTCAAATTCCATATGAATACTATAAATTGCCGGTTTGTCAACCAGACAAAAAAGATTATGAAAGTGAGAATCTAGGTGAAATCTTACTTGGTGATGTCATTGAAAGTTCTTTATTCAGAGTAAGTGAAATCAATCAATCAATAGATAACAATACAAAGATTAACATAATATCAATCAACCTATCAAACAAACAATAGTTTAAATTCTTAGAGGAACAACCATGTACAGTTATCAATGGATATCAAGATACAAAATGTGAACCAATTCTCACTGCAGATCAGACAAAGACTTTACAAGATAGAATCAAACAGGGATATAGAGCTCATTGGTTATTCGATGGTCTACCCGCACGTCAATCTGAACTTGAAGCACATCAACCTGGATTCGATATAGGTTTTGTTGGTAGAGATGGTGTATGTATATCTAAAATTTTACCAAAATGTGAACAACCTATTAGAATAACAAAATATATTAATATAATAATTAATTAAATTATTTATAGCAAGAAGGAATCTTTGTTAATAATCATTTTAAAATAGTAATTCATTACCATCAAGCTCCGGGTGCCGACGATTATAATGTTGTTGGATTCGTTGTTGAACCAAGCAGTGTTGAATATACAGGTGCAAGTCCAAAGGGATACGAAAAGGATTTGAATTGTCCAGCTTCCACCGATGGCAGCCAAATAGTCGACAAGGACAGTTTCATTCTTTGGACATACTCTGTCACCTTCCAAAAGAGTGAAACTCGTTGGGAGAAGCGTTGGGACACCTACTTGAAACCCAATGAACAATCGGTTCGTTTCCATTGGTTCTCGATCCTCAATTCCTTGATGATCGTCTTTTTCTTGACTGTTATGGTTGCACTCATCATGATGAGAACATTGAAGGCCGACTTTAGAAAGTACAACTCGATCGATGCCTCTGACGAACCAGAGGAGACCGGTTGGAAGATGATTCACGGTGATGTATTCCGTCCACCAACTCACCCAATGATTCTCTCTGTCTTGGTTGGTAGTGGTGTCCAAGTGTTTGCCATGACCATCATCACCATGTTGTTTGCCATTCTCGGATTCCTTTCACCAGCCAACATTGGTAGTTTACAAACTTCATTAGTTGTATTATTTGTTATTATGGCGTAAGTTAATCTATCTATAACATTAGATTTTCTTTTATTAACTTTTTTAACAAACTTAATTCAGTATGTTTGCAGGATATTTCTCAACAAGAGCATACGTTTCTTTCAAAGGAACCAATTGGAAGAGAAATACAATTAATACAGCATTCGGTTTCCCAGGTTTCATTTTCTTTATTTTCTTTATTATCAACATGATGTTGAGAGGTTATGGATCGTCAGCAGCCATTCCATTCACCACTTTCTTATCGTTGATTGCAATGTGGTTCGGTATCTCTGTACCATTGGCATTCACTGGAAGTTATTTCGCCTTTAAGAAGCCAGTCCCACAAGATCCGGTACGTACCAATCAAATTCCACGTCAAATTCCCGATCAAATCTGGTACATGAAGCCTGCACTCTCTATTTTGATGGGAGCTATCCTTCCATTCGGAGCGGTATTCATCGAACTCTACTTTATTTTATCGGCCGTCTGGGACAATCAACTCTACTACATCTTTGGTTTCCTCTTTATCGTATTAATCATTTTGGTTGTAACATCCGCCGAGATTACCATTGTAATGTGTTACTTCCAGCTCTGTGCCGAAGACTACCACTGGTGGTGGAGATCGTTCTTGACCTCTGGTGCATCCGCACTCTTTATGTTCTTATATTTTATTTACTTCTTTAAACACTTGCAAATCACCAAGTTTGTATCTATTATGTTATACTTTGGATACTCTTTGATTATGGCTTCCACATTCTTTGTCATGACCGGTGCAATTGGTTTCTACGCTTGCCATTGGTTCGTAAGAAAGATTTACAGTAGTATCCATATCAATTAGAAAACAGAAAAACAATATATACCATTTATTTTTTTTTACAAAATAATTTAAACATTTAAAAAAAATATATTCAAATAAAAAAAAAATCAAACATTTAAAGAAATTATTAATTATTACAGTTTTATTTAACTTTTGCAATTTTCTTTAAGAATTGATCCATATCTTTATCATCTTTGAAATATTCCATTACTTTTAGACAATCCGAAGAGTTGGTGGTTTGCTTTATATTCATTAGTTTCTGTGATTCGACCAACATTCTGTAGTATTGTTTGAGTTGATCGACAGAGAATGAAAATAATTCAATGATGGAATGAACTCTTCGTAGTTCTTTCTTGATGTATGCAAATGTCAAACCTTCATTTGAACTGACATGGAATATATAAATAATATTATCTATCAACACTTCGATATTTGAAAGTATTTTCAAAGTCCATATCTTTTTGTTATAGGTTTTTGGTAATAGTACATTTATAATATTCTAAATTAAAATAAATTATTAATATTTAAGTTATCTCTATTGATTTAAATTTTTTACTTACAATTATAATCATTTTAAATAAATATTTCAAGAATTTTTTGAATAATCTTGGATATAAAATTACATAACAAACTTTGATATGTGAATCTAGGAAGGCTATAAATGATTCTAAATCTTTACTTATAATTTCCTTTCCATATAATATGTTACAAACCATTGGTTTAATTTTATAATCCATCTAAAAATAACAATATTATTAATAAAAAAAATTGAATGGTAACAGAAAAAAAGTAATGATATATTTACCAAATAACAGAAATAAGCTATTAATGATTTCCAATGGAACTTAAGATATTTAAATAAATCTCTGAATGAATCTCCGAAAATACCATCATTATCCAAATCAAATTCATCCAATAATCCTCTTGCTTCATCTATATCATTTATTTGTAAACACATCTAATAAAGAAAATGGATAATTAGTTATGGTTTAATAATTTTTTTAATAAATTACCTTTTCAGTTATAAAAATAGTTGACATTGGTATAATCGGTTTATTATCCAATAATAAAGTCAAAAGAGTCGATGCCTTTTTCTTTGAACTAAGAGCATTGTCAATTGTTGTTGTTACAAACATTTGATGATTCTTATCCAATTCCGATAGCATATTCAATCTTAATCCTTTTATATAAAGATAAAATGTATTATCCAATTGCTAAGTTTTTGAAAAAGTTGGTTAATTATTATCGTTTGTTTTTTTTTTTCTAAATTCATAAATAACTTACAACACCAAATGATTTTAAAAGTACAGGTACTTGGAATGATAATTTATCTTCAACAAATTTAATTGATTTATAACATTGCCAAATATAAGTGAAAAGGTCTATGGGTGCAGAGGTATGTGAAATGTCTTTACCATTGGGTGCCCAGTCTTGTTTCTTTATGATTGATTCAATGAATCTCTCTAGCAGATTTACACTACTCAACACAAAATTTCCTGAAAAGAACGATAGATTCTGATCTAATGGTAACATTATCCTTGATATTTAAAAAAAATAATAAAAATTAGAATTAACCAATTTTAAATAATTATAATTTACTTACTTTTTAATAAAACTAGTTGTCTTTTGATTAAATTCTATCATTTTAGGTACAAGTTCAACAAGTATACCAGTCAGCCAGGCAGGTGTTTCCAATTTCTGATTGTTTCTAACATCGATATGCATGAATTTCTGTGCAATCAAAGATAGATCACTGTTGATGAATTTGACAAATGTTTCAATGACGATTTGAATGTGTAATTCCTTGTCTAGATAGCTATTGGTAACTTGGTTGTAGAGATTAAAGTCATCGTCTAACCACTTGCAAATATCAGCAATTGCCAATGATAATGCGAATATCTCAACACAGTCATTGTTATTGTTATTATCGTTACTACTACCCTCTGCCAATAGATATTCATAACGACTACGATGAATTCGATATTCCTTCTCGGTTGCTTCGATCAGTGATGACTTTACCATTTTCGAAAGTACCATATTCTTCCAATCCATCGAACGTATTATCTTGTCCATCAGACGCAGCACCATCGATAGAGCAGCGGTACCACTTTGTTTATGAAGTCTTACATTCTCTTCTGGTTTGAAACAAAGTCTGTAGTGTGATAGACGATGTTGTAGCTGTTCCAACAGATTGTTGCAAATCTTGTGAAACTTTGCTTCCTCTTTGATGGTCAATGACTTTGGATGATTCTTTTGAATCTCTATCAATTTACCGAAACAACCATAGATTGCATTCAGCTGTACAACGGAATCATCGAAACGCTCCGATAAAATAGAGAAAACAACCAAATTTCTATAGAAATCTCTTATTCCATAGATATGACAATATTCTTTGAGAATCCAAGAGAATTCCGGTTTCAGTGTAAAGTTGTTATCATGACTCTTCTGTGGAATGATATCGGGTTTGAGTGGGAGGAATCGATTGTTGTTACTCTCTGGTAGTTCGCCTTGAGTCGAATCGACAAAGTGACGAACGAGTTCTTTGTATCCACGATGTATGCCACCACCGTCATTGTCGTTATTATTATCAGAATCTTGTGCATTGAGAGTGTGTCGTTTCAAAGTCGATCCAAAGATATCACGAACCGATGGCTTTGACACCTTGACCTGACTGTCAGCCAACAACTTTGAAATCTGTTGAATCTCATCGTGTTTCCACTTTTCATGACCGTCGGGATCACGAAACTGCTCGGATCGATAGAGAGGATGATTGTCACGCCAAGCATATCGAAGTTGTAACTCGGCTGCAGTTACATCTACCGGCGAATACTCCATAATCTTTGAGGAAACCTCATCGTATTGCTCCTGTGTCAAACCAAATGCATCTCTTACCATTGGACCAACACGTTTCTCATCGATCGTAACATCATGTGGTTTGGCGACATTGTTTGAATACAAACAAAGTATTGCTCTTATCACTGCATATGATTTTATATGATTCAGTTGAATCTTTCTTACCACTGGTAGTTCCAAGTTTGGGTCGTAGCCAGTACTGGTGTCTCTTGGTGATTTCTGACGATCGTAGTGAATTGCCAAGTTTGTCGGTGGTGCCGGTGGAAGAACCAGTGCTTTTTCAAGTGTAGATTTACTTGCAGGTGTAAACAGTGGATCGATATCTTTTCTTTCCTTGACGAGTGCAAGAAGATTGGCTTCTGACATTTGCTTGGAGATTCTGTTGATTCCCCAAGGTGTGTTTCTACCACCAGCCGCAAAAGAAGAACGATGATTGTTATTAGCAATAGCATCGGTTTGATAGGGATTGAGATTGTTACGATCTTTGTTGAGTGTCTTTATCTGTTGACAGAGCATTGGTACACCGTCGATGCTCAGTGTCATTTTCATCTTGCCTATATTCACACCGGATTTCTTCATATCGATCGTCAGAGTCTGTGTGACGCTCGCCGTTGATTCGCGAAGATGTTGTTTCTTCCAAGAGATAGTGGAAAGCACCGAAATCAATGGTAGTTTTGAATCGGCAATCGTTATTTCCCTACCTTTTCGATGAATACTACGTATCTTTACGAAAAGATTGGAATCTGCGAGTTGATGTGGTGGTACTCCACGCATATAGACCGCTTCCGATTTCTTCCATTTCAATTTACCACGAGTCTCTTTCGAGTGACCGACTTGACTAGCTTCATCTTCATTGCCAACGAATATATCGATTCTATAGCCGCAGTTGGCATCGATGCTCTCCACAGGCATATCGACAGACGACACATCGTGAAGCAACACAACAATGTCAGAGAGTTGTGTCATGAACGTCCAGAATGTAATATTTCCAACGACGGTTCCGCTGTTTGAATGAATGAGACTTGAACACTGCATAATAGGACCGGTTGCAACGGTAACAAAGTCAACCGAGCCCTGGCCAACGATGTTATCGAATAGTTTACCACTCTCTGAGACGGTCCATTTGAATTTCAGTGATTGCAACTGATCGATCGCTAGAATACAACTCATTTCAAACTCATCTTCAAAGTCAAACGATGAGCAACTATGTACATCTTTTGAGCAAGTGAATTTCTTTAGACCACCGATATCACATTGAAACAAAAGATTCTTACTATTGAATGATTTTCGAAAAATTTAATCAATACATTGATTTAAAATAAAAGAGTTTTCTTTTTCATTTAGATATCTTACTATTCTTTAGAATGTAGTTCAATTAAAATACCGGATATCTTTACATTGAAATTAATTGAAGTTGTAGACATTAAGAATATATAATAGTGGTTGTAAGTAATAAATAAATAAACAATCAAAAAAAAAAGTAAAACGAAATTCTAAATTACAATTTTTTATTTTGGTTTAAAATGAGCCAATCTATTGAAAATTCAAAGAAAATTTAAAACATATATATATGTTGAAAAAAATCCAAAAATAGTTTAATAGTTTAGAAAAAATGATTTATATTAAAAAATATTTGTTCTTAAAGAGAAAAAACATATTAATTTTTAAAATTAAAGTAAAATTTTAAATTATTAAAAGGAAAATTATCCTACAACAACGGGCTTGTAGCTCAGATGGTAGAGCGCTCGCTTAGCATGCGAGAGGTAAAGGGATCGATACCCTTCTAGTCCATATAAAATTCTTTGCCCTTAAAAGCGCAGGATGCGCGCATATTTTCAAACAAAGATTGTTGAAGGTGTCAACACAGAACTCACAGATTCGTAATGGCAGGCGCTGTCCTATGAAATGTTTGGTGATGGTACCCATTACAAGCTGGAAAATACCGTCAAAAGAGCAGTCACTCATTACACCAAATTAATCGATGCCTATTACCACAAGTTTAACTTCACAATCACTAATTCTATCTCCCAAGGAATCACTGTCGATTGCTCTGAAATAACACGTAAATTTAAATCTGATTGGAATCTAAATTATTCCAACTAAGTGCCACCACGTTATACTGTTGTTCATCAACACGCAACTACTGTTAGATCTATTCTATTCTAATACTACTCAACTTATTAATTAATAATAACTAATAACAATAATAATAATATTAATAATAATACAGCAAAAATCTGTGAAAACGGACAGAGGTTTCAAAATATCAAACAGTAATACATTTATTTGTTATAGAAACTAATAAATATATTCTAAGATAGATCTTTGAAAGATTAATTATTAGAAAAAAATTGAAACATTTACCATTTTAAAAAAAAATATAAAAAATAAAAAACAAAAATTAACTGTGCAATATTTCTGAAGTGATAAAAGAAAACTAAGCAAAAACAAACTCATCACTGAACACAAATACTATATGTATAAAAAGAGTATATATATAAAAGATTACAAATATATTTAAAATAAAATTTAAAATTTTTTTTAAAAACATTATATATTACATAAGAAATAGAGACATCTGATTCTCTATTTTGGGTTAATAGAATAATGCTCCCATAATAATATTGGAGAGAGATTTTCCATCTTTAATTCCTGCAGTAGGTTCCAATACCAATCGAACCTTGTTAGATTTGAAAGAACAATCAATGAAGTATGCAGTGGCACCTAGAAAGCTTACTCCTTTTTACTGTTCCACACTTCAATGTAATTGAATCTAAACTTGCAAAAATTCTTTGTAGTTATGCAACTTCCTTATGAGTACAAGTTCGATCAATGAATTCGATGAGTTGATGTTGTAAAAAAAATCAATCAATGGTTTCAAATATGAAAAAATATTCAATTATTTAAGGATTCTGTTGTATCTTTGCCATTAATAAAAAAATCAAATAATAAGAATGAATATCAATGATTTAAAGACTATCTTGTTCAACTTTTTTTTAAATAGATAGCTTGAAAAAAACCCAAAACTGATATAGTAAAAAATTAAAATTTCGATTGTGGTGAAGTGTTCCAGATTATGATTAGAATTGGTTAAGATAAACTTTAAAAATCTATCGCTAAAACAAACAAAGAATGTCTTCTAATTTTACCTCAATTTGTAAAAAAAACTTTTAAAAAATGTCTAGGTTTTTGTATTTTAATGCTACAAAAAGATGACCTTTTCAAAATCATGAAAAGATACTTATTGTATGAAGAAACCATATCTTTTCAAAGCCTGTCATGTGGTGAAGCTTTTGAAATTAATGAATGATATCATTAAAACATGCAAGAAACAGAGCAAATTACATCCAAAGCCTAAGTAGTTAAGTAATTACTTTATTTAAATATTAATTGTAATTGTTTTTTTGAAAATTTAATACTTGGAGCTATTGTTTTCTAAAAAAAATCAAAAACATTTTGTTATAATATTAATTCAACTAGATATTTAAATTTATTATTCTTTAAATTAAATAAAATGTTAAATAAAATTTTTATTTATGATCAATTTTACATTATTCCAATTTAACTGTGTATTTTAAAAATATTAAACAATTCATTTTAAATATAAAGATTATATTAATATAATCTATTTTGATTAATATTTTACTTGTTTTATGATTTTCAGAATCTGATTTCATATTTTTCTATTCTATTGCAGTTCTCAATTTATTTATATCTGGATGAGTATATCTGGATAATGGTGTATATTTCATTGCCATAGTATCTATCCAAAATATGAATAAAATTGGAAAATTCATTAATCTATTATATTGTCCAAAAAAAGAAATAAAATATTTAAGTGGAAATTATTTTGAATATCCATATTTTCAAATACGAATAATATTCAAATAATAATAAGTATAATTAAATATTTTGTAAAGATTTAAGTTTTAACTTTATGTGATCATTAATGTAGAGCAAAAATCTGAGAAACAGGACAGAGGTATCAAATCATCAGAAACATATTCATTTATTTGTTTTAGAAAGTAACAAATATATTGGAGTATAGATCTTTGAAAATGATTAGTATTTATAAAAACATTGAGACTTTTAACTTTTTTAAAAAAAAAAATAAAAACAAACAAAAATATTTAATTTTATTTGTGCAATATTTATGAAGGAATAAAATACTTTTTGTTTTTATAGATTTAAATTTATTTTCTTAAAAATCAATAAATAGGATTAAGATATATATATATCTAGATGATGACTATTTCAATAAATTTGATTGCTATAACCATACATTATCAGATGTTATTAAAAAAAATAAAGTTTTTTATCTAAAGAAATTGTTTTAAAAAATAAAATAGGGTTATCGCAAATCAGATAAGAGTATACTTCGGGAGTTGAAAATTTTTACTATTTTTTTTCTCTAATAATATTTTGTTGTCTTTTACCCACAACTGCGTGAAATTATTATTATTTTCTGTTAATATTTCTATATTTTCAATTATTAAGAATAATCATGAATACATCAAAAGCTTTAATCGATATCACAACTACCATTACAAGATTTGAAAAGGAAAGTGAAGACTGGAAAGATAAATATATCAAGGTAATTGAAGATAACAAAAAACATATAGATAGATTAGAAGAAGATATCAAGAAACACATTAGCACTATAGATGATTTATCTTTGAAAGTAGAAAACCTTCAAACGCAAATAGATCAACTCAAAGCAACAAGAAAGAACTTCTCTGATAAACTTCTTCTTGGAGAGTTAGGCAGACAAATAGAAAAGGCAATTTGCAAACATATTCTTGGAGATAATACAAGAATTAATACCTTGTATGTCATGTTCAGCTTATTAAAAAGCGATAAATCTTTCAAAACAAATTGGAGTAACTTAATGAGTAATGTTGGTTGGAACAACAACTTATATCAAACCATTTTGGATCTCAAAGATTTACATTTAAATGAATGTCATCCTACAACATGTGAAGATGGTTCATCACTTACCTCGGATTATTTACAAAATATTGCTAGCAATTACATAAAAGGTCAATACAAGAGTCTCATTTTACAAGATATCAAAACTTTGTTGAACATTTTGGAAAGTTTCAATAAACAAACACTTTTTGTAATGGATTAATACAAAATACCAGCAAATTAAATTGAATCCTTATTATGTAAATAAATGATTTCCTTTTACCCAATTACGATTACTGTTATTTTACAATGGTAATAATATCATATTATAAAATACATATAAACATATAAATATAATACTTACAACTTTGATATAAGATTAGGAATTACTTTAGGAATAGTTTTGGTACAAAGAATATAGATTTTATGAATGTAATAAAGTTTAGAGATATAATTTACAGTATAATATTTAAAGATAATAGTTTATTTATTTTACAATTTGAAGATAAGAATAATATTTGGTAATGTTGAATAATGTTGAATAATTAATTAATTTCGATAATGGATTTCCATGGTATTTATACTGTTGGATTTCTTCGACCAGTGCAGTTGCCCAATCTCAGAAATCTGTTCTTGATTAACTAGTTTGGTATTCATTGTAGATTAACTTGTTGGTTATTTCATTATGTTAACTTTGGTAGATTGATATTTTGTTGATTCACTGAATGTTGATATTATTCTAATATATTTAATTATTGTTAAACAGCTGGATTATTAATTTAAGTTATTTGAAATCGTGTCCATAAACTGTTTGAATTGTGATAGTTGAATTCTTAATAAATTATTGAAGTGTAAGTTGATTTGGTTATTATAATTCTAAAATGTTAATTTTAGAACAATCACTTTTTATTATTTGTTTTTTTTGTATCCTTAACAAGATAGAGAATCTATTTTTAGATATGGTATTAGCCAACTAATTCAGTTACCCCAGTTGCTGTCCATATCTTATTGATCGTATCTAACGTAAATTTTTTTTTTTTTTTTTTTATCAAAAAAAGTTTTGTTGACTCATGATCAGGTGTAGTTAGTGTTTTAAATTATATACATTCTCACACAGGTCGTGAGAAATAGCCAATGAAATATTATTGTTATTATTATTATTATTGTTTATAGTTATTATTAATTAATAAGTTGAGATTAGGGTTAGGATAGAATAGATTTAACAGTAGTTGAGTGTTGATGAACAGTATCACAGCACTTTAATGTGGTGTCACGTAGTTGGAAGGATTTAGATTCCAATCAGATTTAAATTTACGCGTCATGGCAGAGCAATCGACAGTGACTCCTTGGGAGATAGAATTAGCGATGGTTTTGATTTTTTTTTTAGTTAAACCATAGAATTATTTTAGTTTTTGTTATTTTATAGATTATAAAGTTGATGAGAATACTGATTATTGAATTGGTTAATTGAAAATGAAGAAATGAAGAAGAGGAAATAATAGTTGGCTGACATTTGAGTGGTTACTGGTTATTTAAGTTTGGATTGTAAGTTTCTGATACTGTTATTTAAAATTAATTTCACTACTGATATGTGCTGTATATATTCATTTATTATAGATTCGTTAGATAGTAGGTTGTTTTCGTGGAGAGGAGTACCGCCAAAATAGGATTTACAATAGAATTTCCATTTGATGAAAGACAAGTGAAGCCAGAGTAGTGATGTTGTCCTTTCTTCTAACCAACTGATACGCATCTTCCATAGTCCAATCGAATCGTTGACCATCGGAAAGATGTAAGCATTCAAGAATGGTGTTAAGATTGAATCTGTGCATAACTGCTCGACAATTAAAGAATGAATGGAAATATGGGTCAGAGAAGAATGTGAAGCACAGTGCACATTCTTTGTTTTTGTTGTAAGCCAAGCCAGGAAGCGAACGAGAGAAGAACCGGAAGATAGTGTTTCGTCCACGCTGGTATTTGATAAGCGATACATGGTGAAGATACTCTCGTAAGATCAGTAGTCGAATTTGGTTGGTGGTAGAGATAGTTGGAACGGATCATCAGTTAGTGGCGGAATGCCATGTTTGATGATCAATAGGTGGTCGTAGATTTGCTTCAGAGTGGGTGGTAGACCATCAATCAGAATAGGCTTGCATATCTGATTGTGTTGTCCATATGCTTGAGATGAACTGCCAATTGGTGCCACAGAGTGTAGCATAGATTGAGATATGGCCAGGTGATAGATCTGCATTGGATTTGAGGTAGTATATTAACAAACATTGGAAGAATCAGAAGACGATAGTAGGAATCTGTTGAATATCCACACATGGTTGCGCATCATTACTAAGTTGGATGTCTCAAGAGAGATTCTATTGACAAAAACTTTTTTTTTTTTTTTTTTTTTGCAAAAAAAGATTTGTTGACTCATGATCAGTCAACAAATTGCAGGTATTGATATTAACCTGCTAGTTCGTGTTTAATATTATATTTACATTCTCACACAGGCCGTGAGAAATATAGCCAATAAAATGTTATTATTATTATTATTATTATTGTTGTTATTATTAATTAAAAAAAGTTTTGTTGACTCATGATCAGGTGTAGTTAGTGTTTTAAATTATATACATTCTCACACAGGTCGTGAGAAATAGCCAATGAAATATTATTGTTATTATTATTATTATTGTTATAGTTATTATTAATTAATAAGTTGAGTAATATTAGGATAGAATAGATTTTTTTTTTTTTTTTTTTTTTTTTTTTTTTGCAAAAATAGATTTGTTGACTCATGATCAGTCAACAAATTGCAGGTATTGATATTAACCTTATAATAGATTTAACAGTAGTTGCGTGTTGATGAACAAAAGACAATGTGGTAATTGGCATCGATTAATTTGGTGTAATGGGTGACTGAAAAAAAAAAAATACAAAATCATGAACCTTACAAAACATTTTTAAAATTATTAAATTCTTTCCGCATGCGGTAAGAGTTTTTATTAAATTGTTTTGTGGAGAAGCCGGGTATCGATCCCGGTTTTCAAGCATGCAAAGCTAGCGTTCTACCATGTATACCACTTCCCCATTCTGTGTTTTTGATCTATTATAAAAAATATTTTGATATAAAGATATATATTTCTGTGTTGAATCAACAAAATTATAATATTTTGACTCCGCTTCTAAATTCTGTCGTGCATCTATCTGTATTTATTTGTATTAGGAGTCTAAAGGTGGTGGTTTTTTAAATACTTTGTGCTCTTTTCTCTCTTACTAAGTTTTTTAATAACTTTTTTTTAGTAAAGTGGTTTTTCGCACTCAAACCCACTCCTTTCTTTTATTTTTGAATTTTAATCTTTTTTCTTTTTTCTCCCCTTTTCTACCTCTTTTTCTTCCCAGGTCTGTTATGTTAAGATACGCGAACGTGTATCCAGCTTGGCCAACTGGTAGCGACGCTTCTTACTGGCAGGAGTTTGCTGAACCTGCTTAGATGCTAACCATGAGGAGTGGAGACCTACATGCCCGCGCTTGCACTCCGATAGAACAATTGGATGACCAAAGTTCTTAGATTCACCTATACAAGAACACCAAGGAAAAGTTTCCCATTTACCGAGAACGCCGAACCGATGGAGCCAAAACCAAAACCTGTGCTGTATCTGCAATTAACCAATCCAAACAATCTCAACATCTCAGGCTAAGGAATTAGCCAAGCCAATCCAAACAACCTCAAACCATCTCAATACTAAGCAATTAACCATTCCAAACCATCTCAAACCAATCAATAAAATCCATTTGAGTATTCTTCAAGATATGTGAATACTTCAACAAAAAAAAAAAAAATAATATTTTGATATAAATTTTGAAAATGTAAAACTTTTAAAAATAAAAGGGGTATACATGGTAGAATAGATTAATCTACGTATTTCACTTATTTTTATTTTTTATTCTTTTACAATTTGTATTTTCAACTACAAAAATAAAATCTTCTTGAAGAATCCAAGAAAGATTCTTAACTCACGATTTTATGCCTCCCCAAAAAATTTGGCATAGCTTTTGTGTGCATTTTTCAAAATAATGAGAGAATACCAAAAAAGCTGTGCAAAAAAAACCCAAAAATGAAATAACACGTATGCACACAGGTTAAAACAACAATGTGCAATTCATTGATTTAAAAAACCCAACCTATAAAATGAAATAACACTGATATTTTGGATGTGGAGTGACTAGGCCTCATTTTAATAATTATTCAAATGAGGGAAGAAACAAAATCTGATAATAAATTGATGGCTATTTATAATTTGCATTTTATTTCATTCAAAATCAGTGTAAAACAAAGTACCACAAATCAACTAATCACTATCATAACACAATGTTAAAATTATCTATTCTATTTATAGTACTACTATTATCACTTTAATCATTATCATTAGCAATCAGAATTACCGATGAGAAAGTTGTTGAGATCTATCATCCTGACCCAACAATCTATTTAATTTCAGGTTTTGGTTCAGTGGGACTAAATGTTTCAATTTATAACCCATTGACTCGTCATGCCAGTATTGTTGTTAATGATGAATCATACTCACAAATTTCTGTATTTAGTACTTTGCTACTCACACCACCAAAGATTGTTTTCATTTCTGGATATTTTTGGCCAGATAATTCTCTTCATAATTGTACATTGAATCACTATGATTTAGAAACAAATTCGATCATATCAACATTCACTTTGCCCGTCGTATCAGAGCCAGCATTCTATTTATGGCAGACCGCTCAATTATCATCGAATCAGAGTCAATTCTTTGTTGTACTATCAAAAGGAAATGGTATTACAGAATTACAGACATTTAATTTGGCTGACGGATCACCAACAGGTTTCAGCGTAACACTACCTCAAATTGGTTTCAGTGACCCCAGTTTGGTAATTTCTGAAATATTAATTGATCCCACTTTACAAGTTACCTATGTATGGGTTGGATTCCCTGGAGAAATACCAGATTTATTATCAACTGCCGAAAACAACAACAACAACAACTACGAAAAAGATAAAAACAATGAAATTAAAGATCGTCATGACGATTCAACAGTATTATATTGTGGTATATGGTCTGGTTGTAATTACTTATTTACAGTGGATTTAAATAGTGAAACAATGACAAAGACACTCGATCTTACATCAAAATTCCCTGATGAAGCAGCAGGATTTTCATTATCTGATGGTATCATACAGCCAGATGGTACGATAGTTACATATGGTATACCACTTGTCAAGTCAGCTTACTGTTTACCTGCAGTTATGACGTTTGACCCAACAACAGGTTCAATAAGAATTGGTGACATATTGGAAATATATGAATCTGGTTTTTATGCTGGAGCAACTCATGATAATGTAATCTATATGTTGATTATTGATATCCAAGGTCCTCTTCCAGCTGGTTTAACATTGATTGGATATAATATAACTAGTAGTCAATTCGTTTTAAATGTGCCCGATTCAGCTATTCCATCATTTTATGATTTAATCATTATTTAAACAACAATATAGATCTTACTACTTTATTCATATTACCATATTGTAATATCATTTCCATTAATTGGCAATCAAAATTACAAAAAATGATTCATTTTTATTCAATTCATTTTCAAACATCAAAACAATCAACTTTAGTTTTATAAAAGATTTTATTTAACGATCAACCTATAATTAGATCAAAGGCAAGAATATATATATATATTATTATGAGTGATAAGCTTACACTAGACTGAGAAAGAATGTTTTCACACCAGATAATACATAATATCAGATGTTTGGATTGTTTGAACATTGTGAACAAAAAGACATCAGTAAACGTTTTCGCGAACTCTCAAAACTAGTACATCCAGACAGGAATCAAGATCAAGATGACAGTCATCTATTTCATATAATCAAAAAGATCAGATATTAATAATAGATATCAATCATTTCATATCATTGATCAAACAATCAAGAGCATTCGACAATCAAACAAAACTCAATCTTATTTCGCATAATGCAATATTAATAGTTTGCTAATCTTTGTATATTTGTATAATTGTATTATGCCTAACGGTTCAATCCATAGCTTATTTGAATAGGCGAAACTTTGTGTTTTTTTCAAAAGCTTTTTTTTATTTTTTTTTTTTTTCATTGCCCAGCAACTTGAGGAAGAGGAAGATAAAGAAGAAGAAGAGGACATATTTGAAGAACAAAATAAACCGATAAAGAAAAGAGGTACACTTCCCCTTTGTCTGTTTTTTAATGTTTTACATTTTTCAATGAATTTTTGATTAAAAAACACACAAGGGGGAAGTGTATACCTTGATTCTTCGGTATTTCTCTTCTCTTTAAATGTTTGGATTACTTCTTGTTTTATTAAGGCTAACAAAAACTTTATAAATCCTTAAGATAAGAGGTTGACTGTTTGAAAATTTAGCTAAGGTTCGGTTTTGTGTTTAGTGATTGAAATTAAAGAGGATTTTTTATTCCTATCTCTTTGATTGAAAAACAACTTTTTAGTCTTATTTATCGCTTATTTCTTAAAATACATTGACAAATCAAAAATATTAGATCGAAATTTCAATTCCAACAACAATCATGAGATTAATTTAAATTAATAAGTTTTGATCGTTTGGTGACGAGTCATAAAAATTGATAAAAATATTTAACAAAAAAAAAAATGATCAAAAAAAAAAAATGGATTCGCAATCAGAAAATAGTAAATTATTAAAGAATATATTAAGTTCTTTGGTTGTTAGAAACTTGATATTCAAATCAATCAAAGATATACATAGAAGACAATACTCAAAAGATTGTGATACCTACAGTTGGGATAGTCTTGGTTGCTACCCTGTACAGCTGATCAAATACAACTATCTAGAACGATATCAACAGATCTATTCGAAAGTCAAGGAAGAGCAAGATGATAACGAGTTGGTGAAAGATTTCCTACATGCTTTCCGATCATCTCATCGGGCTGCTGCATCGCGTGGTTTGGTAGAGATAATCGATCAATGCAATGCAACCGAGGATTTGAATCCGTATTTCAAAAGAGATGCCTATGTTTATCCTCTTAATGCCGGAATTCAAAATGGCCATATCAATATCCTCCAATATTTCCATCAGGAACGATTCGCCAGTTTGAATCTAGTCAATAGATATACAATGGATTTGTGTGCTAAACATTGTCAGTTGTCAATGGTCGTTTATCTTCATAATAATATGAGTGATGGCTGCACAACCGACGCTATGGATTCAACTAACAGTTTGGGAATCGTTGAATTTCTACACAACAATAGAAGTGAAGGATGTACGACCAAAGCATTTGACAATGCAATCGCAAATGGTAATCTTCAAATTATACAATTTCTACATGAGAATCGCACCGAAGGATATACAAAGGAGAGTTTCAATGTGGCTGTAAAGAACGGTAGATTAGACATTGTGAAATTCCTATTGGAGAATCGAACAGAAGAGATTCCAGTCACAGCCATTTCAACTGCTATTACACATGGCCAATTAGAAACATTGAAGTATCTCTTTGATAAAACGCCACTCGAAAATCAAGTAAAGACAATCGTTGATAACGTTATTTTCAATGACGACAGTGTTCAGACTTTGCAATTTATGATTGAAAAGTCTCTACCTTTCGAATGTACATTGTATGCTATGGACAACGCTGCAAGTGTCGGGTGTCTGGAAGTCATTAAACTTTTAGTGAGAGGAACAAGAGAGGCAATGACAAACGCAGCTGTCAACGGACATTTAGAAGTGCTACAATACATCCATGAAAATAGAACCGACAGTGGATACTCCGATGATATCCTCGAGAGAACCGCCAAGAACCGTCAGTTTGAAACATTTAATTATCTCCATGACAATATTCCAGATTTGAAATGCTCAATCAAACCAATGGATTACTTTGCTGGCTATAAAACAACAGAGGCATTGGAGTGGTTAAATGCAAATCGTACAGAAGGATGTTCGTCTGAGGCCTATGCCAATGCAAGTAGAGCAGGTTTAGTAGAGAATATCAAATGGTTACAAAACAATATGCCTTCTATTCCAATACCTGAAGATCTCATCGAAAAGATTTGTTTCCATGAAAAACTGGAAGCCATAGAGTATCTACATCAAAGTGGTGGTGTTAAATGCAAGAATGCCAAGATTATTGCAACTGATATCGGTTCCTATCCTATTGTTGAATATCTCCATTTCAATTCCGATGAAGGAGACCATGAGCAAGTAATCAAAAAAGCAATCCGATGCAATCATGACTCAATCATTAGATTACTCACCAACGATGGTGAGATAGATGGTGGTTCATTCATCCAAAGATTAAGATTTATTAAAAAACATAAACTATAGCTTTTATCAATTGCAATTATTATAACTTGTTTTTATTGTTTGTTTTCAATATAAAAGTTGTTTGTGGAATACATATATTTGGTTAGAAAAAATCATCATCCGATGATCCATAATAATCATCTTCAGAATCCGATTCCTTGGAATAATCACTTTCATCATCAGGTCTATCATTTCTTGGTTGCCATTTTGGGAGTGCAGCTTGTTGCTTCGGGGAGATACGATACCACAAGTTGTTTTTGATACTGATCCACAAGTGATGACGAATTCTCGGTCCAAAGACACGAGGATGCGATATCACATATAAAAATAGGTTGTAAGCCACAGACTTTGTTGTATTGTTTCTCCAATCTATCATATTATTCTCCAACTTTAGATACAATACAGTGGCGGCATCCATTGCACCCGGTACATTTCCTTTGACCGTCTCGTAGCAGTGTCTAGCTATCTTATCAACATAGGTTTGATTATCCTTTAGACGGCAATAAATATCCTTGAGGGTCCATTGGTCACCTACATCCAATTTCAACATTAGGTAATCCATCATTCTAAATACCTCTCCGATATCTCTATCCTTTGGTAAAGATCTGAGTAATGATGACATTCTTTTAGTCGATTTAAGAACAACATTGAATATAATTGGATCGAGATCTAACAATAGTATTCCATTTTCATCTTTGTTTACTTGAAAATTTCCTGATAGGACTGGACCAAAGAATGGATATGATTTAAAGTATCTTCTGATTCTTCAAATATTGATTATCTTTACACTTAATTTTAATCATTTTTGAAAAAATAAATTGAACATTTATTAATATTTATTTATTTTTTCAATTATATAATTTTTTTTTTTTGAATTAAAACCATCAAACTTAAATCTTAAAGTTTTTGAATAAAATGAATTATTTTTTAAACAAAAAAAAAAAAAATTTCTCAACACATATTAAAGTGTATTATAGTATTAATTCAAACCTAACATAAAATATTAAAAAGTTTAAGAGTTGATATCAACAAAACAAAGACAATAGAGAACTAAATTTTTTTACATTTAAAGTTACAGTGTAGTTTATAAACTAAAGATTGAATATAATTGATCAAATTTAATAAAAGATAGAAACATATATAATATATATTAAAAAAAAAGATAGAATTGATATAAATAAACCATTCAAAATTATAATTAATTTTGTTATTTCTTTACATAAATTAATTAAATAAATATTTAAAAAAAAATGAAGTTTCATTGCTTCCAAATGGAAAGAAAAAATCAAACCAAATCTTTGAATGATCGAAAAATGATTATTTATAAACTTATGAGGCAAAAGCAAACTGTTTTTTGAAAAATTAAGAGGTCAAAATATTTGATCTGTTTGAAATAAAAAAATCAAAAAAAAATCAGAAATATTTATTTTTTTATGGTTCCATGAATAATTATTCAATCCCCGAGTCACTTTTTTATCATAAAATGGGTTAGGCTGTTTGGTTTTTTTAATAAGCATTCAATTCAATCGTGTTTTTTTTTGATCAAAAATTTTTTTATTTTTTTGGTTTTTTTCACCTCTTAACATGCACTTTAATTCGAATGGTATGATTTTATTATTTTTGTTAAAAATTTTTTTTTAATTTTTTGCAAAGTTTTTTTTTTTAAGTTTGACAAAAGAAAATTAATTAGTAGTACTTTTTTGAAAATAGAGAGATAATTTAAATAATTTTTAGATAAGATTGACTAAAAGTTATAAATAAAACAAACAGATTAAGATTAAAATAAAATAAAAATAGAAGAAGAAGAAGCAGCAGTATTCAGAATATATATATAGAAAACAATCATATAAGAATATATAGCAATAACAAACATAACAATTGTATTATAATTAACTATTGTAACATTAGAGTAGGTAATAAATTATATATTTTTCATAATAGTTGTTATTGTTGTTATAGAAGTAAATAGTATTTTTGTTATTGTCATATACAATTTCATCATCATTAACATCATCATCATCAGTAAATTATAATAATGAAAATGATAAATAATAATAATAGTTTCATTCATTCATACAATCAATGATTCATTGTCTGACCATCGATTGCTGATGTTTGTGTTAGATAGATGGTCAGGTGTGTGCAAGTGTCGAAAACACTTGTTTTACACCCACTTTGGGTGATATTATTGTGTGCTGTGTGAGTTTTTAGAAAAATAAAAATACCACCAAAAATTGCCAATGTCACCTAAGGTTAAATGACCAAAAAAAATTAATAAAATATAATAAAAAATAAGAATTTAATTAACAAGATCAGATAGATTATATTTTGTTTTGTTTTTTATTTTGTTTTTTAATTTTATGTTATGTGCTTATTGCTATACTCAGGATCTATCTATCTATCTACAGGTTTAGTTTAGTTAAGTAAGTGTATAAGTGTGTGTGTGTGAACTTGTCATTTTTTCCAATTCTCTATATATCATTATTTTGTTTTATTTTTTTTGTATTGTTTAGGATATCATCAACAAACAAATAAACGACATACCACAACCCACACCACACACACAACCACAACTATTAGTTACTACCAAATATAAAAATAAAATAAAATAACACCAACAACAAACACAAACACAACATAAATAATCTAAACTCAAAATCATATTCGAATCGTTGATTAAAGTGCATACTTGCTCCACCCTTGAACAGAAGAGAGATAACTCAATTTTTTTGTTGTTTTGTTTTTATTATTCATTCTCTCTCTTTTTTTTCATTTTTTTTTTAAAAATATTGTAAGAACAAGAAGAACCATAACAAATCATAATAAAATAAAACACAGGCAAAACACAGGCAAAAACAAACAAAACAAAACATAACAAACACAACGATAAACAAATAAAGCGAGAGAAAAAAATAAGCATCGGAACATAAATGTCAACAATACCAATAACAACCAATAATTAGACTTAAAATTTATTATCATTTCCAATTATATTAATGCATTTTTATTTAAAATATAGTATCATCAGAGTAAAATAAAAACAGAATTAAACATACAGATAAAAATAGAATAGGGTGAAACAAAAGATAAAAGATAAAAGAGAGCGTGAAGAGTTAGAGTTAGAGTGAGAGTGGAGTGAGAGTGTGTGTGTGAGAGAGAAAAGAAGAAGGAATTATTAAAACAAGTTTAGTTTAGTTTAGTTTGTATTTGTTTTATTTTTGTTGTATTATATATATATATTTATATCCATTCATAAATAATTATATCATAAAAATATTATTATTTTATTATTTCTTTTCTATTTTTATATAAAATATATATATATAGTTAATTAAATATTTATTTTATTATATATATATATATATATAGTTATATTTTTTATTACAAATATTTAAAAATAGAAAAAGAAAGAATAAAAGATGGATAAAGATGAATTAAAGAAATCTAAAGATAAGTTGAGTGGTTCATCTTCATCTTCATCTTCATCGACGTCATCGGTTGCAAAGAAAGAGAAAAAAGACAAGAAGGATAAAGATAAGAAAGATAAGAAGGATAAGGAGAAGAAGGAGAAAGAGATAAAGAAGGAGATCGAACGTGAGAAAGAACGTGAACGTGAACTTCAAAAGGAACGTGAGAAAATCGAAAAAGACCAACGGTACCTACAAAGAGAAGGAGAAGGAACGTGAGAAAGAACGCGAGAAAGAGCGTGAGAGAGAACGCGAGAGTAATGGCGGTAAAGAAAGTAGCAGTAGTAGCGGTGGATTATTTAGTAAAGTTGTCAAAGTTGTCACCGGTGACAAACAAACAAATGAGACTGTAGCACAACAGACACCAACATTGTCAACAACATCCACACAAGAGAATCATAAGAAAGCAATGGACTTTTGGCAGAATCAAACACCTACAACAACAAATAACAACATGAGCAACAGCAATGGCAACAACAACAACAATATAAATAACAACAACAACAACAACAACAGTAATAATATATCAGCTACAATATCAGTTTCACAGACATCACCAACATCCAATTCACCTCCATCTCCTACAAATACTTCAGTTCAAAACAATAATGATAAAGAAAATAACAACAATAGCAGCAGCAGCAACAGCAACAGCAGTAGTAGCAAAGAGAAAGAAAAAGATAGTAAAGAGAGTAGAATGGAAACAAGATCGATGTTCTTTTCAAAAGTTTTAGATAAATCAAAAGATAAAGATAAGGAAAAAGAAAAGGAAAAAGATAAGGATAAGGATAAAGATAGTGGAAATAACTCACCACCAATATCAAAACGTGATAGTGATATGAGTAATAGTAATGGTAATAATGGTGGCCCGGTGACGGACGACCAAAAGAAGATCATTCAACACCTCACCAACTTTACATCTCAGTATGGCGACAGTATCAAAGTGATGATCGAAGTGTTCTATCAACCACTGAAAAAGAATGATCAACTACTTACACAAGATGAAGTGAAAAAGGTGTTCAACGTCATCGAATCGATATCCAGTTTCAATTCCGTCATTCTCGAAGATCTACAGAAATCACTCAACACAACACAAACCACCCAACAACAATTACTATCTATATTTTCACAATTCGTAAGTTCACCTAATAGAACAACTACGAGCTAACTTACTAACCATTATTTCTACATATAACTATTTATAGACTGGATATTTAAAGTTATATAAAGTATATGCATTATTGTATAATTATGGATTGTCAGCATTATGTTCATTGGCATTCAATAATACACGTTTCGATCATTTCGTAAAGAATGGAGAGCAAAAGTTACAGAATGACTATAACCACAAGTTATCGCCATTAGTCGATTTCACAAGTATGTTTGTTATGAAATGATTGGTATTATCTTGGAGCGTTGATTTAATTTATTAACTTGTAATCATTTGTTTTGTTTTTTAGCATCAGGAGTTATGAAACCAGTTTCACTAAGTGATATATTCGGTGCTAATTATGAAGCATCCACTACGCTGCAGTCGGGATTGAGCAATTTGAGAAAGACTGGATTGAATCCATCGTCGAATGTCAGTAGTGCAAAGTTTACAAACGAGTATACCTACTATAGTTTGCCATCACTCTTGATTCTACCGATTCATTATCTCGCTCGGTTCAACCAGTTCTTCCGTACCTTTATGGATTCGATTCCCAAGCAATCGCAAGAGTACAAGACCTACACCAAACTACATCATCAAATTGGAATCGTTGTAAAAGAGATTGTTATCGAATCAAACAATATCAACAAAGTAATTTCCATCTCAAATTCAATTAAATCCAATACAATTGGATTATTTAATGTAAGTGTATTAGCAAATATTATCATAATATTGTGATACTAATTTATTGATTTTCAAACAACAAAATAGAATTCTGAAATAGTTCAAAGTAGAAGATATTTGAAAGAAGGAAATTTAATTGAACAATATAATAATCAGAGAACCAATTATTATGCATTCTTGTTCTCTGATATCATTATGTTTACAGAGAAACTTGAAGATGCTCCACCAAATTCAAATGTAAATTTAATTGCCTATGAAGGATCACTTCATTTATTAAAGAAGCTGGAAAGAGTATCAAATATTCAAGTGGATGATCCTGAACTTGGTTTTGGTAAGTAGTAGTAGTTAGTTGGCAACCAAAATTAATATAATAATATTCATTAACATTGTTATTATTTCATTATTATAGAATATAGAAAAGGATTCCAAATTAAAACAAAAGAATTTTCAATATTTTATATGGCGTTGAATGAGAAGGATAAAGGAGAGTGGATGCAGAGTTTTCAACAGGCAACAAGAAAGACACCTGGTGGACACGCCAGTAGTTTTTCATTGGGTTCGGGAGGAGCGGCAGCAGCAGTCGCATCGAATGGCGATGAGGATATCGACGATGAAGATCCAAAGGATATCCAGGGTGTCGTCAAAGCAATTGCTGGTGGTCAGCGCACAAAGCTAGAGTTGAACGCTCAGATCCTAAAGACTGGCGAACCAAAGCTGGTATTCACTCAACTCTCATCGACAAGTTTCATCACTCACTTGTTCTTTGCGCCAAACTCGATGAATGAGAAAATCATGAATCTACTCGTTGCCTATGTCAGTGTGAGTCGCTCGCTTACCCATCTCACACTCTCGCAGAATGCGCTGTCACCGACCTGGGCAATTGCGCTGGGCGATGCACTGCGTTTCAATCAGTCGTTGACTCAGCTCGATCTGAACGAAGCACAGATCAACGATAGCGGACTGGCAAGTGTAGTCGACGGTGTCTTGTCGCATCCGTCACTCTCGATTCTCAGCTTGACGTGCAATGCCATCACCAATAACGGAGCATCGCAGATTCTCCGACTGTTGCGATACCAACAGACTATCAATGCACTGTTCTTGGAGGACAATGCAATTTCACCACCGATGGCAATCGAACTGTACGACGCATGGCTCGCCAACTACACAACTTCACTCACGCTTCTCGTGTTTAGCGCGACACCACCCGAGTACGCCGAGAAGATCAAAAACAAGATTCTTCACATCAAGAATCGTCTCGACATCAGAAAACGTCGTGAAACTTCCAACAAGCCGGCACCCCCAGCACAGCCAAGAACTCTTCTCGACCTCGGTCACTTGGACGCTTCTGAAATCACTGTTGCCTACCTGAACAAACTGAATATGTTGCAGCTGGATAATCGTAGATTGGCCGACCTGACCGAGTTGTATCTCGACCACAACTGTATCACTACACTGCCACCGACCTTCTTTAAAGAACTGCAACGCGTTCAGATTCTCGACTTGTCGTCCAATCAGCTCAGTCAGTTGTCCAACGATATTGGCGAAGCCAAAGAGTTGCGCCGTTTGAATGTGTCACACAACAATCTGTCGGCACTGCCAACTGGTTTGCAACAACTGAAACAACTACAACATCTTGATATCAGTTTCAATGTTATCGAATCGATTGCTGACGATGTCCTGCCAGTGTTGACTTCACTCAAGACGCTGATGATGCAGAGAAACTTCTTTAGTCGTCTACCAACTGCTCTATTCACCGGTCTCAACAAGTTGGAAGCATTCTCTATCAATGGATCACCGTGTTTCCATCCGATTAAACAAAGAATAATGGAGGCATGGGCTCTTCGTGTTCAAAAGATCGACTTGTCAGAGTCAAACATTGGATTCCTCCCGTTGGAAATTGGAAACATCATTACACTGACCGACTTGAATATCAGTCAGAATCGTATTAAAACACTGCCTCCTCAGATTGGAAGACTGGTAAACTTGGTCAATCTTGATATCTCATACAATCAAATCAGTGAGTTACCATGGCAACTGTCAAAGTTGGAAAAGTTGAAATCGATTGCTATCGTGGGTAATTCTCTGAGTTCCGAGCTAAAGATTGAACTTCCAGAGGTGTTGCAAGATGAGCAACTCACCGGTATTCTCACCTACCTTCGTCTGCAGCCAGTCTCCAAAGATATTCCATGTATGAGAATGAAGTTGATGTTGGTCGGTCAAGAGAACGTAGGAAAGACATCGATTGCCAAGTGTCTCAAGAAAGAGGTGATTCCAGTGTCAAAGAAGCTGCGTCAAACCATCGGACTGGGAACACGTAGAAAGACAACTGTGGTCGAGCCAGAACCACAGTTTGGTTCGACAGCAATGGCGATAAATCCGCTGAACACAACTCTGAATCTGTCGACCGACGGTATTGACATGGACGACTGGAAGCCTAATGCCCAAGAGGATTCCGCCACACCGGTCACTTTCAGCTTGTGGGATTTCGCAGGTCAAGAAGTCTACTACTCGACTCATCAGTTCTTTATATCGAGTCGTTCGCTCTTTATTGTGGTATTCAACATGGCTACGTTCCACATTGAATCCGAGTCGAGAGTACCCTACTGGCTGCAGTGTATCGAGGCATGGGGAGGTGACGCACAAGTCATTCTCGTCGGAACACATCTTGACGAGCTAGCTTCCGGCCAGGAAGAGAAGATTCAAGCAGAGATTGAGAGTCGGTTCTTCACTACATTCCCATCGATCAAAGGATTCCTCCCAGTCAGTTGCAAATCTGGTAAGAACATAAACAAACTTCAAAACTTGATCGTTCGACTTGGTCGCGCCGAAAAGAAGTTGGGTGTGAACTACCCGCGTTCTTTCTTCCAGTTGGAATCACTGATTCTCAGTGAGCGTGAGATGAACACTCCACCCATTATAACGATCGAAGAGTTCACAGCGATGGCCGAGTCGTGTGGTATCTCTGCGGCACAGGTCCCAAGTGCAGCTCACTTCCTTCGTGAACTCGGTATCATTGTCTACTTTGACGATATCAAATCGGGGCTGGATTCATTTGTATTTATTGAACCGCCATGGCTCACCAAGCTAATGGCAACCTTGATCACCAGCAAACCAAACTTTGTACAATCCGGTGTACTCGAGCAGTCGAATCTCCACCAAATTTGGAAACCACCCGATTTCCCACATCACCTCCACCATGTACTTTTAGCTATACTTCAACGATTCGAAATCATTCATCCACTTCCCGATCCAAAGGTTGTAAACACCACACCGATTCCACAGAACATCAAACCACAGAACAACATATCGAAGCTGAGATCCAACTTTATCACCAACCAGAATCTTTCCTCCAATTCACTGGCGATGAACTCACCGGGTCCATCGAACGCCGCCGCCACCACCACCACCAACTCTACTGGAGTTTCAAAGTTGAATGTCAGTAAATTCGGTTCACTCTCGAAAGGATCGTCACTGAATATCGCCAAGAATGCAGCTACAGTCAATGAGAACACCGCTCTAGCAGCTTCAACATCTTCACCTTCACATCAGACAACACTTGTTGCCAAAGTCAGTGTCAAACACTTGATTCCCGTTCTTTTGAATGAAGACAGACCCGCTTCAATGGAAAAGGTGTTGGACGAACTAAAGAAAGAAACTTCACCGGTATTCGAAAGAATCTACCAATTTGAGTTCCTTCCCATCGGTATGTTCTCAAAGTTGATGATTCGTATCATGCATTTCACTACGGTAAAGGAGTATTGGAAGTTTGGATTGTTGGTAGATCGTGAGTCATCGATGTCGTTGATCGAAGCGACCTCCAATCAAGTGTTGATTCGTGCATGGGGAAAGAATGCAGTGAATCTGCTTCGTTTCATTGTAGAGACAGCCGAGGTGTTGCTATCCGGTTGGTACAAGTTGAGATTCCAATTCTTGGTGCCCTGTAATTGCGCCAACTGTAAGACTATTGCAAATATGTCTGGCGCAGCTACTCTTCCGCGTGGCATGGGATTGGGTCACTCCTCTGACAAAGTGTTTGTCAACGACGGTGCAGAACCACTGACCGCTCAACAGATTCAACAACTGGCACTCCAACTTCAACAGCCTGGATTGGGTACTAGCAAAGACGGACAACCAAGCGGCTCAGGTCACTCCCCGACCAACACAAATCTTCAAGCGATGCCGCGTATCCCCGAAGATCCATCGGATTCCGGACTGGACTTCACTGAAGACTTTGAGAGTGATATATCGCCGGGCGGCACACTCAAAGCCAAGAGAAAGAAGAACGCAGGTCCAAAGTTCCTCACGCTCTACAAGAACAAACAGACCAAAGTCAAAGATTCCAAGAATTTCCTCAACTCTGCATCGGCACTGATCAACCAGAGTTTCAGTTTCAAAAACAATGATTTGCGTACACATTTCCTCTATGAGGACTGCGAGCGCGCCATCATTGCTAAAAAGACAGAGATAATATGCAAGTCAGCGCTGAACGGCGAGGAGAAAGCAGTCAAGCTGGAATCGATTGTACCGGAACTGCTGTTGAGTGATATGGGTTCGAATTTCACGATCGAATACAAGGATATGGAAATCATTGAAAAGATTGGTGAGGGTGGTTTTGGAACTGTCTTTAAGGGTCGTCTTCGTGGTCAGTTGGTTGCCATCAAACAGTTGATCATTGAAGGTCGCACTCAATCCGAGGAGATCTTCCGTGAGTTCCGTCGTGAAGTGTGGCTTTCAAACACTTTGAATCATCGATCGATCGTATCATTGAAAGCATGTTGCTTGAATCCCTGTTGTTTGGTAATGGAATACATCCCCAATGGCAATCTCTACGACTTTATTCGTAAGCAAACCAACGCAACCTGGCTGACACGTATCAAGATCGCTCAGAATATTGCGTCGGCCATTCAGTATCTCCACGATTTCAATCCAAAGATTTGTCATCGTGATCTCAAGTCACCGAATATCTTGATGCTCGGCGACATGAACTCTGAGATTGTCTGTAAGGTCAGTGATTTCGGTGAGACCAGAGCAGTCGTCACATCTGCACTCGGTCGAGAGAAACTGTCCAACCCGATCTGGTTGGCTCCAGAGATTATGCGTGGTGAAGAATACACTGAGAAGGCCGATGTCTACAGTTTCGGTGTGATACTGTGGGAGATTCTCACTGGTTTGTTGCCATTCGATGAGTATCCAGTGGCACATTCATCGTTCCTCTACCAATTGGAAGATGCCATTTGCGATGGATTGCGTCCCACCATTCCAGCGGCGACACCTCCCACCTACTCCTCGCTCATCCAAGAATGTTGGCACAAAGATGCCATTCAAAGACCTACCTTTGCACAGATATCACAAAGATTACAAGCTATTCGTGATCAAAAGTTGAACTATGTTGTACCAGTTCCACAGCAAACAAATAGCAATGATAATAATACACAACAGAAACCTCAACAACAACAACAACAATCTGCTCAGACAACAACACCAACTGCTACACCAACAACATCAACTCCAGCTGCTATACCAACAACACTATCATCATCATCAATTCCAACTGTTGTTTTAAGCAAACCTCCAGCTGGAGCTTCACAACCACAGGATAAGCAAACGCCACCACCAGTTCCATCAACACCGAAACCACCAATCAGCAATGGGGTTATTGTCAAGGCAGCTACCACTGCCAAACCATCTGCACCCATAACCAAACCACTTCCAACACCAGGTCTTGTGAAATCACCAACAACACAAGGTGACAACAACAATAACAACAGCAACAGCAACACTACTGTTAAGCCAGCACCAGCTTTCTCACTTAACAATAGTAGTTCCTCAACACTAAATATATCGACATCATCAACAACACCGACACCAGCACCAACACCACCATTTAAACCTCCAACATTGAGATCACCCTCAGTTGCTCAGAAATTGAATGCAACTCTCAACAGCAACAGCAACAGCAACACCCCAACAACATCACCAACTCAAGGAACTACAGCACCATCACCAACTTCCACCAGTCCATCGTTAGTTGGTAAATCACAGAGTAGCTTTACCTTTGGTGCATCGGCATCTCAAGTGAACAGTCCTTCACCCAGAAGTTCGCTACCACCCATTCCAAGTGGCAATGGATCGATTCGTATCAAGAAACCACTTCCTTTGGTTGGCGGTGGTGGAGTATCATTTGAACCAACATCATCATCAGATCATAACAATCATACCGAATCACCACCATCATCATCTTCACCACCTTCGATTCCACCTGCCAAACCATCCAAACCACTACCACAACCATTTGTTAGTAAAGCAGCACCAATATTAAAGAAACCATAGATTAATTTAAACAATAACAAAAACTCAAGTAAATCCACCTTTTTTTTCAACCAAGTATTCTTTCCTTTATCATTTTATTTGAGTTGAGTTTTAAAGTTTTTTCACATAAATGTCTTTATATTTGATATTAATAATAAGAAATGTAGGGAACTTTGCTATTGATCTATTAATTAATTATATTCAAATCTATCTATTGTACATAATTATGTTATTGTTTTTTATTTTTGGAAAAGGAATCTTGACGTTTTCATTTAAAAAAAAGACTTTTTATATTAAGGATATAGAAATGAAGATCAATCAATTGATTATATAAGAAAGCATGGATCTAAACTATTTGAGAACACTATTTAAATAATTAAAACAAAATTGCATAATTGCAAAGATTTAGTTGATTAAAAAATCTAAGAATTAAAAAATCTTTAGAAAAATTCTTTATTTTTTAAAAAAAAAAATTATTTTTTATTTTTATTTTTTTAATTTTAAAGGTTTTTTTTTGCTTAACTAATTATTAGTTAATTTATATATATAAATAATGATTCAATGGAAGAAGTTTCCCTTCTTTGACAAAGAGTTAGTCAAAGAAGAAGGTTCACAAAATCCAAACAGTGTTATACAGGTAATGATTTAATAACTTATTACAGCAATATGAAATTGAATTGAATAGAACGAAAGAAAAAAGATAAAGATTAAAGAAAGATATTGATTGACGATTCATTCATATAGAATAGAATATAATGATTTAATACTAATTATATAATAACACTTCAATTTAATATATAGAAATTGCCTATTTCATGTACAACAAGTGGTCGTGGTATTTTAATTATAGGTGATACAGAAGGATTTATCAATTTCTTTGATCGTGAATTCAGATTATCATCATCGTTTCATGCCTACAATGAAATGGTAAATCAACTCTATCAGTTGAAGGAACGTAACTTTCTCATTTCGATTGGACATGATGAGCCGGGTGCAAACCCAATCCTAAAGATTTGGAATCTTGATAAAATGGATAAGAATGATGTACCTCTTTGTGTTAGAGCAATAAAGATTGAAAAAATGGTAACAGTAAGTAGTAGTAGTAGTAGTAGTTAATAATAATCTATTCTTTAATTATATATATACATACTAATCTATTAACTTATCACACAATTTACAGATTACATCATTAGTATGTTTAGAAGATCTATCACAAATAGCTGTTGGTTTAGCAAATGGAGAGGTCATTGCTATGAAAGGAGATGTATTTAGAGACAAGGTTATTAAACAAAAGACAATGAAACATCCCGGTGAGTCACCTGTGACCGGTATGGGATTCATAACTAAAGGAGTACCATCACCGGTGTTGTTTGTTGTGACGACCACTCATGTCTATAGCTACATTCGTGAGCAAGAGTATTGTATCGACGAGGAGGGTGGTGATATAGGTAACTTTGTGATGTCCGACGATCAGACACCGATCATCGCTAGACCGGACGCTATCTACTTTTACAATACCGACGGTAGAGGTCCGTGCTTTGGATTCGGTGGTACCAAGAACAAGCTGCTATGGTTCCGTTCCTATCTTGTGGTGGTCGGTCACGAAGCGTCGATCAGCAGTTCTGCGGGTGGTGGAAGTGGCGGTACCGCATCCGGTAACTCTGGCATCGGCTACTTGTCACCCTCGAACATGGCGTCGAAACAAACCATCGTCAATATCTACGATCTCAAAAACAAGTACTTGGGATTCACCGACAAGTTTGAAGGTGTCTCGCATATCGCCAGTGAATGGGGTTCCATCTTTATTTTCACTACCGACGGCAAACTCTATCAACTCGAGGAGAAAGACACTCAGACCAAGCTGGAAACACTGTTCAAGAAGAATTTGTATTCGGTGGCAATCGATCTTGCCAAGTCGCAACACTATGACAACGCGTCGATCGCCGACATCTACAGAAAGTACGGTGACCATCTCTACACCAAAGGCGACTTTGACAATGCAATCTCACAGTATTTGTGTACGATCGGCAAGTTGGAGCCATCCTATGTCATTCGTAAGTTCTTGGATGCGCAGCGTATCCACAATTTGACGTCGTACTTGCAGGCGTTGCACGAGAAGAATCTCGCCAACGAAGATCACACCACTCTGCTGCTCAATTGCTACACCAAGCTGAAGGACGTCAAGAAGTTGGATCAATTCATCAAGACCGACTCTGAGATGAACTTTGACGTTGAGACTGCTATCAAGGTGTGTCGTCAAGCCGGATACTACGAGCATGCACTCTACCTCAGTTTGAAACACAACCAACACGATTGGTACTTGAAGATACTGTTGGAGGATATCAAGGACGACCAGAAAGCACTCGATTACATTCAGACACTCTCCTTTGAGGAGGCCGATAAGAATATGAAAAAGTACGGAAAGATGTTGGTGTCGAACATCCCAGAAGCAACCACGCGTGCACTGATGAAGCTGTGCACTGACTACCAGCCAGTCCACTCTGCCGGAATGTTTGGACACCACTCTTCGGCTTTCGGACATCAAGACAACGCCGCCGCCAACAACATGATTCACAAAGTCGAAGAGTTAAAGTTGACGACCGACAAGGCAGCACCCGAGGAATTCATTCACATCTTTGTATCACAACCAGAGTGGCTCACCAAGTTTTTAGAATACACAATACAACAAGGCAATGAAACACCTCTGATATACAATACTCTATTGGAATTATATTTACGTGAAGATAAAAAGGGTTCAGCTAGCAACATCACCACCACCACCAGCAGCAGCAACAGTGAAGAATCGTCCAATAGATTAGAGAAAGCATATGAATTCCTTACAAGTCCAAAAGTAAATATTACACATACATATATTTTAAACAATTGTGGATTGCATTTAACTAACAAATATATATATTCATAGTCTAAATTTGATGAAGATCATGCACTCATTTTGGCACAAGTACATAATTGGAAGAAGGGTATTTTGTATTTGTATGAAAAACTCAAATTGTACAATGAAATCATAGAGTATCATATGGAGAACGAAGACTTTGACGGTCTAATTAAATCATGCAAGAAATACGGTGATCAAGATCCAAATCTTTGGGTACAAGTATTATCTTATTTTGCAACACATCAAAAGAATTGTCAAAATGAAATCACTGAAGTACTTACAAGTATGTGTATAGATCCATATTATTTAAAGGTTATCATTCTTATTAATTTTCTATTTTTTTTATTAAATATTTTTTAGATATTGATAGAGATAATTTAATTCCACCATTATTGGTCATTCAGATTTTGGCACAAAACAAATATACAACTCTACAGGTGATCAAAGATTACATTTCGAGAAGACTTTCTCAAGAGACTCAGCAGATCGATAAAGACTATCAACAGATTAAACAATTTGCAGAAGAGACCGATAAGATGAGAAATGAAATCAATGAATTGAAAACAAAGTAAGTTTGTTAAAAAAAAAAAAGAAAGAGTTTGAGATATCATTATTAATTGATACTAACTATTTAATTAATTAATTAATTAATTAGTGCTAAAATATTCCAACAAACTAAATGTATTGCTTGTCATAGTCCTTTGGATTTACCATCGATTCATTTCCTCTGTCAACACTCGTTCCATCAGAGATGTCTCGGTGACAACGAGAGAGAGTGCCCATTGTGTGCGCCTGCCAACAAGAGACTGCTAGAGATCAAGAAAGCTCAAGCTGATAGTGCCGGTCAACACGATCAATTCTTCAAGTTACTCGAGAGTTCACAAGATGGATTTTCGACTGTCAGTGAATACTTTGGTAGAGGTATTCTTTCGTAAACATATACATTTGCATTATAAAATAATATTATTATAATAATTAACTCTAAATAACTTAAAACTTTAATTTTTGAAATGAAATTTCCTGTGACATTTTTTTTTGTTAACAGTCAAGAATACAGTCACTAATCATTCTCAAAAAATTAATACTTTATTGTCAATACTATAAATAAAAACAAAATCAAAAAAGTGTGTGTTTTCCTTGATTTACTTTGCAATGCGTGGTATTTTCAGTGAAAACTTTTGAAAAGATTGAGAAAAAAAAAGGATTAAAAATTGAATGAAATTTTGCAAGATGTCAAATTTAAAAAATCTATTTAATTAAATCATTTAAACATCAATTCAAATTATTAACAATTTATTATTAAAGTTATAACTTTCTTTACATTACATTATATTATCTTTTTTTTTATTATATTAAATAATTATATTTTTTATATATTACTTTACAATCATCACAAAAATGTATGCCGGATCACATTATTGTTACACTGGAACTGATGAGTATGAGGAGATGGAAATAGGTATGTTTGATTTTGAAATAATTAATAATGTTTTGTAATTACATTAATAATTTACTAATTTTTTACCCAATTTCTAAAAAAAGAGAATGAAATTTTAAATCTTCAAGACGATCAGATAACCAATACCAATACAAATAATAACAACAACAATTCATTACCCCAACCAGCAGCACCACTCTCCACTTCATCTAAACCATCATTTTTAAGTTCATTGTTTGGTAGATCAGCACCTGCACAATCAAATGCAGCGCCTTCAACAAACAGTAACAGAGTAGCACCACCACCAGCAGCACCAAAACCAATCAAAGGAAAAAGAGAAAAGAAATTGGTAAAGAAAGCAAATACCAATATTTTAAATATCAATTTGGGTACTCTTTCAAATGAACCAACCATTGCCACTGGAGATCCGCTACACTGTAAGGGTTGTGATGTCATCTACAGTCATATCAATAACTTTACAGAGGTAAAGAATCCAGATGGCACCACCGCCAAGAATATACCGACTGGTGGTGGTGTCAAAGATGGTGTTTGGACTTGTGAGTTCTGTGGTGAACCAACACCTTTCAATTTGGATTCACAAGAGATTCCAACTTCTAATATCATTGACTATGTCTTGGAGCCAGCACCTGTCACCACCACTACAACGGCCAATGAAAACACACCAATGGTAGAGGCCAATCCTGATTCATCGCTTGTTGTCTTCTGTATCGATGTCTCTGGTAGTATGCAACGTACTTATGACGTTCCACAGGGTGTATATCTCCACGGTTCAAAGACGAAATCCAACTATATTTCCAGACTCCAGTGTGTCCAATATGGAATTGAAGCACAGCTTGAAACTCTAGAAAAAGATTATCCAAATCGTAGAATTGCTATTATCGCTTTCAATGCCAGTGTAGTTGTCATCGGTGACGGAACTGGTAAGCCAATTACCATTCCATCGTCCGATCTCTATGACACTCAAAAATTGATTGATGCCGGTACCAAATGTACTTTGGATCAACCGATCTCCAAAACAAGAGCACTACTCTTGAAGAAAGTATTCGCAATGGATGCCGACGGAAGTACTGCTCTCGGTCCAGGAATTGCAGTTGCCGTCGGTATGACCGCTGCCATCCCAGGATCGACCATCGTCTTGGCAACGGACGGTCTGAGCAACATCGGTGTCGGATCGGTTGAATCCTCCAACGTTTCCGAGGCTGCCAAGTTCTACGATGAAATCGGTCAGATTGCCAAGAAGAACGGTACAACCATCTCGGTTCTCACCATCAAGGGAACCGACACCAAGTTGGAACAAATCGGTCAGCTTGCAGAGTTGACCAATGGAAATGTCGATATTGTCGATCCACTCAAGATCAAGGAAGATTTCAAAGCAGCTTTGGAGTTACCAATCCTCGCCACCCATTGCTCCATTAAGGTGCGTCTACATCGTGGACTCTACATCTCGGATCCACTGTCACCAACCGTCGACCAATCCTCGATCTTCAAGGAGATAGGTAATGTCAACCAAGAGACAATCGTTGCATTCGACTATGGTACCATCAAAGATAGAAAGATCGACGAATCACTCAAGTCATTGCCATTCCAATTACAGATAACCTATACCACCCTCAAGGGTATGAAGTGTCTGCGTGTCATGACAATGACACAAGAGACAACCAAAGAGAAACAACTGGCCGAGGAACACGCCAATATCGAAGAGATCGGTATCAACATGGTTCAAAACAGTTCCAAGGTTGCAGCATCCGGTGATTACAACAAGTCGCGTGCTGTCAACCTTCAGAGTGCCAACATGATGAAGCGTATCATGACCAACCAACAACAACAAATTCAATCACCAGTAATCGACCAACAAAAACAACAATATCTCCAAAAACAACAACAGAATGCACAAGTCTGGTTGCAACAGGCTCAAACCCTCGAAACTACACTCACCACAAATCTCCAGAAAGAATCACTTAACGATCACCTCTCAGAAGAGGAAGTCTATCGTCAACGTAAATCAGAGAGAAACGATGAGACCGCAACTATGTTATTCAACATGAAACAAATGAACTCTCGTAAAGCAAGAAAGTAAAAGATTTTCTTATGTATTTGTAAACTGTGTACTTTGATAAATAAATTTTAACCTTTAAAAAAAAATCCTTTATAATCCAAACTAAATAAGGTGTTTTTAATATCTTAATCTTATATTCTCCTTATACAAAATACTTTTTTTATTTCAAAATGTTATTCTAATTTTATAATCAATCAAAAGTTGTAATCTAAATAAATGTTTATGTAAAATGTTGTCAGTATTGCTCAAGAGGAGGATACTAATAATAAAAATTGTGATAGTTAAATTTATCATTGCGTTTTATCATATTTGGAGTGAATACATCATTCTTTGCTTTCTTGAATATGATTTACAATAATATTACGTTGTAAATTGAACCATGATGAACTTCAAAAAAAAAAAAAAATTAATTAAATCCCTAGTGTTCACCCTGTTTTAATTTTTTTTATTAATCAGTTCAGTTTAATTTATTATTATTATAAAAGATAAGATAAGATAAGATAGGATATGATTCATTTAAGTAAAAGGAAACCAAATTTATTGTTGTTAAACCAACTTATAAGTGGTAGACAACCACAACAACAACAATGTTTGAAGATCAGTTATATGCCATTGTTAAGATATAATACTATTAATAATAATAGTAGTATTAGTAGTATTAGTAATATTAGATCATATTCAACTAAAAATAGTAATAATAATGATGATGTACAACAAAATAGTAAAAATAATAATAATAATGATAAAGAGGAACAAGAGTTTCAAGCTCAAACCTTTCAGGTAATAACACCTCCACCACAGGAAGAAAAGATGGAATGGAAGTTGTTTGGTCAAGGTAGATCCATTAGTAATCTAGTGATGTTCTCCATTGGTTTTATGATGTCTGCTTTCACACTTGGTGGAATCACCTTTTCATTGCTCGAAACTGACAAATCACATGAATCCTATGAGTATTATAATAACTTATTAGATTATTGTAAAGTATCAATATAATCATTAGATAGATTACATCATCATCATTACTAATAATTTTTTATTTTTTTTTAAATCATCATCATTTTTTATAGTTTGGTGGGCACCACCCATTGGTTTGTGGCACAACAACGGTGTACTTGACAAAGCAATCGATGAATACAAACAAGGAACCATATCACCAGAAGGTGTAAAGTTATTATTTAATATTTCAACATTCAAAGGTTAGTAACAAACTAGAATAACATTATTGCTATTAATATTCATATAAATACTTAATATTTTCTGTTTATTTTATAATTATTATTATTAGCTGGTAGACAAATTCTTTGTCAAAAAGGATTAATCGAAACTATTTGTAATCGTATTGATCAATTCTTTGAAGAAGATAATAATAATAATCAAAATAAATCAACTATAATTGTTGTCAATAACAACAACAACAACAACAACAGCAATAATAATAATAATAATAATCATCATAGTCATGCACCATTAATATTGAAATTCCAACCAAGTCCAGTAACTGGATATGAATTATCATTACTTGTTAATCTCTCTGTATTCAATGGAATCGATGTATCACCAAGTACCAAAGCTAAAATATCTGAACTTCGTAAGAAACTACCAGATGGTTTTAAATTCCAACGTCCATTGGGTAAGTAAAGTAAAGATAATAATGACAAAAATATTATTGTTTTGTTTGTAAAGTATTATAATACTAATTACAGCTAATATTATTATTATTATTATTATTTTTAGATAATGATTTCTTTATTGAAAGAAGTCAATTATTAACAAATATACACAGATTATATGAGAATCCAGTTGGATTGAGTGGTTTGTTGTTATATGGTTTGGGTGGTGCATTCTATGCATTCATGATGTTGCGTAAGCGTCCTCAGTCGACTCGTCGTCTTGGAATGAGAAATACAGCGATGGCCAGTATGTTGGTTGCAGGTGTACACACCTACAGAACGATTACCTATGACCGATTCATCGATAAAGCGAAATCATACCCTGGCTATCTCGTGCGTATCGAAACTACATCGCTACTCTACTCGACAGCGATGATGTTGGTCTCTGGATTCCCTCACCTCTATTGGATGTTACCGAGTCTAACAATGTACTTTGGTATCAGTGCCTACCAAGCATTCTCATTGTTCCAATTACTAAAGAGTGATCTACAAAAGGAACTTAATCGAATCGAAAAAGATAACTAAACCATTTCTTCTTTGGTCAAAGGTAGATCATGATACTTGTAAATATATTTAAAGATTAATCAAACGAATGAATTTCCTTTGATTCACTAAATATGTAATAAATAAAATTCATACGTTTTAAATTTAAGACAAAGTTATCATATATGAAGTTCACACTTTAAACTTTAAATAACATAAAAGTACAAGTTAATCGTGATAATTCAAATCATTTTGACTGGTACCAGATTCAATGTAGAAGCACTGATCAATGATTCAGACATGGTATAATTCGCGCCAGAGAAGATGGGGAGTAGTATGATGTGATCATGGTGCTCGATCGACCCTAGTCAAATGGCTCGAAAAGAGCTTTACCAGATCGTCAAGTTTGTCGCCAAGGAAAGAGTATTCTTCCAGGTGAACAATGAGGAGCATAGGTGACTGATAGGTGAGTTTATAAGAATCTGCGCTAATTAGGCATTAATTATAATTGTTATCATACCAGGAAATTAAGAATTTTTATTTTTATACTAAATAAAATAAAAAATTATTTTAACATATGTTGTGAATAATAATTTACTATTTTTTGTTATCGATCTGTCATTAACATTGACATTTAGATTATCTGTATTATTGAAAAGAATCACCTTTAGATATTTCACCAATATCTGGTTTAATGAATAATTATGATTACGTGGTGATAAAAAATAAAGAATCCTTTATGAAACAAATTTTGTCCATCGGATGGCAATAAAACAAAAATGTTTTTCAAAAAATAAGATAAGATATGATTTATATTAATAAAAGAAAAACATACTCATTATTGTTAAACCAAATCATTGGTGGTGCTGCTGTTTTTAATAGACAACCACAACAACCATGTTTGAAGATCGGTTGTGTGCCTTTACTTAAAAGATATAATAATAATAGTAGTAGCTGTATTATTAGTAATATTAGATCTTATTCAACTAAAAATAGTAATAACAATAATAATGAGGATGATGTACAAATCAACATCATCAACAACAATAATAATAACTATAAGGAAGAAGCTCAAACCTTTCAGATAGTAACACCTCCACCACAAGAAGAAAAGATGGAATGGAAGTTGTTTGGTCAAGGTAGGTCCATTGGTAATCTAGTGATGTTCTCCATTGGTTTGATTATGTCTGCTTTCACACTTGGCAAAGCATTGCTTGAGAAAGAAACAAATGATAAATCACATGAATCCTATGAGTATTATACTAACTTATTAGATTATTGTAAAGTATCAATATAATCATAATCACTTTTATTATTATTATTCAAACTCTTTACAATTACAATTAACTAATAATCTAATTTATAGTTGGGTGGGCACCACCCATTGGTTTATGGAACAACAACGGTGTACTTGACAAAGCAATCGAAGAATACAAACAAGGAACCTTATCACAAGAAGGTGTTATGTTTTTATTTAATATTTCAACATTCAAAGGTTAGTAACTATAATATCATTATTTCTATTAATAATTCAATACTTATAATTTTTAGCTGGTAGAGAAATTCTTTGTCAAAAAGGATTAATCGAAACTATTAGTGATCGTGTAGATCAATTCTTGGAAGAAGATAATGATACACCATTATTATTGAGATTACAACCAAGTCCTGTGACTGGATATGAATTATCATTACTTGTTAATCTCTCTGTATCCGATGATAGCGATGTACCACTAAGTACTAAAGCTAAAATATCTGAACTTAGTAAGAGATTACCAGATGATTTCAAACATCCAATAGGTAAGTAAAGCAATATAATATTGTTTGATAAAGTTATAAACTAATAATAGATGCTATTATTATTATTATTATTATTATTAAATGATAAAGTATATATTGAAAGAAGTGATTTAATAGTAAATACACATAGACATGAGACTCCAATGGGATTGAGTAAGGTGTTGTTATATGGCCTGGTTGGTGCTTGTCATACTTTTATTTTGCTAAAGTGTCCTCAGACGACTAGTCGTCTTGCAATGATTAATGGAATGAGAAATACAGCGATGGCCAGTATGTTGGTTGCAGGTTTTCCCACCTTCAGAACGTTTGTATATGACCGATTCGTCAGCAAATCGAAATCATACTCTGACTATCTCGTGCGAATTAAAACTACCTCGCTACTCTACCCGTCAGCGATGCTGTTGGTCTCTGGATTGCCTCATCTCTACTGGATAACACCGGCTGTAGCTACTTTCCTTGGTATCGCTGCCTACCGATTATACTCAGTATTACTAATGATAGAGAGAGAATTACATAAGTTCATTGATAAAAATTGAAGATGATAACTAAACTTTGCTTCTAGTCAGGCACAGCCTGCCTTTTGTATTTATATTACTCTACAATAATAATAATAATAGGATGTCGATTGTGTTGTAATTTATAAATGGTTTTGGTAGTTGATATACTTTCTTAAGGTTGCTTGAGTGAAGTGAAAGCGATGATATCAGTCGCCTGTCATAGCTAAATAATAATAAAAAAGAATGAATTGCACAAAACATTTAATAACCAAATATTCTACTTTAGTTCATTGTCATATCACCTCATATAGTTACAACATATTATCTACCAGACCAGAGTTTAACTTGAATCAAACCAGTATAGTTAGATGTTCCGATTTATATTTAAAGTATGTATATTTAGAACTTAGTTCATAAGTTAATATTTACCAGGTAATTGTTGTTAATCCTTAACTAGAGAAGAGTGAAGTAGTTACTTAACTTAACTTCCTTTTACCTGGTGGTTTTTAATGTTTATCGTTCAACAAAGCAAATCTCATGGTATTACCAAAATAGAATGTAAAAATTGATAAAAAAGCTTAAATAGTCAATAGAATGTGCACACATTTATATAAATAAGTATGTATCAAATATATATATATATATATATTTTCGTGGAGTTTGATGCTTAAAGTGGAATCTCCCAAACAAACCCTTAAAATTTTATTCATTGGAGTTTTCAAAAATAACAATTTATTATATACAGAATATATACATATGTCTTTTATTATTAGCTTGTATGTTTGTTTTGTTTGGTTGATGTGTCTGTGCGCGTGTGTTTGTGTGTGGTGTGCTTGTGATGTGATGTGATGTGTTACAGTTGATTTTGATCAGATGATATAAATTAATAAATAAATCATAACTCAATTCAATTAAACCCACTGTATTTCATTCTTCTTTAAAATCAAATCAATCAACTTACAATCTTATTCATACCGATTTAGAAGTTGATTGATTTAATTACATTCATGTTTGGCTGTGTTGATTCACTTGAAAAATGAATGAATGGATGATACATTGATTCGTTTTTATTGTTATTGATATTATTAATTTAAATTTAGTATTGGATTCTACTTGTTTAATGGTTATTTAGGTGTGTGGTTATTTGGTTGTTTAGTTGTTGCGGAGTGTACTTGGTGAAATTATGATCATTAGAATTTCAACCCTTTGCAAACAAACATGATATCACGTTGATCAATTTGGTAAATATTACTGTATTTTACCAATTAGAATAAAAACAAAAAAACATAGTAGTGTTAGATTTTATTTAGTGTTAAAAAAGTGGTGTGTGTGGTTGTTTAATGATTTCATTTTTTGTTAGAAGCCACATATATGTGGAGTTGTAAGAGAAGTTGGTTACCCCCCAAAAAAAAACAAAAAACTATTCCCTTTTATTTTTACCATAAAAATAAATATTTTATAAACCTGGAAATAACTCTTATTTTTTTTTCAAATCATATATATTAATTAATTCAGTTCAACTATCAATCATTTTATTTAAAATATTGACCTATCAAACAAATTTCAAACAAATGGAATAATATTTATTCATTTTTTATTTTTTAATTTCTAAAAAGTAAGTAGAAAAGTTTTAGTTGTAATAAGATAATAGTATTTTTTTATATTCATCTGTTCATTTTTTTATTTTTATTTTTGGAAAATGAAATTCAAAAAAACATTATCCAGTAATATAATAAGTCATTGGGAAGATAGATACATTGATTATGAATATTTAAAATCGTTTATGAAACTGGAGAATTGGAAGAATTCAACGATTTTATCGAATGATGATAGACCTTATCTTGGTCAGTCAAGTAGTTCATTGTATCAATTGGATGCTTCACAGAGTATATATGGATCGAGAACAACTCTGATCAACAAAGATGAAAGGGAAGATAGTTCTACTCTTACAGAAGTATTTTCACCACTCCAACTATCTACTGATGAAATTCCAACCATAATAATAGATAAACTCAATCAAATACAATCGAATCCAGATAAATCTTCAGACTCTGATTCAACTTGTGTTGAAATGGAAATATTTGGTAGCGATTCAAACTATTGCGAATCAGAGAATCATCATAGTATTCCTCCTTTGGATAGTGATTTCATTGATAGTATTATTCGTCCAAATGTCTTACCAATGGTTACACCATCACCATCACTTATTAAACAATCAAATAAAACAGAATCTTCACCTAATAATTCAATACAACCTAACAATAATAATAATAATAATAATTCATTACAAACCTCATCATCTTCACAAACTTGTAGTTCTGCATCGACATATTCCTCTTCCAACGATATTTTTATAACCCCACCTCTGTTAGATGGTCAAAATTCACACCCCCATCAAAAATCAAAATCTTCACTTTTTCAAGAAATTTCATTGACAATGGAAGATGATGAAAGTATCAATTTCCAGAGTGCGATCACTAGAGAAATTGATAAGATTCAAATTTTCTATGAATCAAGATTAGAAAAATTTAAAAACAAATCCATAGAGTTATTTAATTTAATATCTTTTATTGTAAGTTAAAAAAAGGAGATTAGATTTTTAAATTTTTTATTTAATTGATTGTTTTTTTTTATATTATAGAAATCAAATTGGGAATTTGCAACGAAAAGTAATTTGAAATTCATAAAAAGTGGTTACAAAGATAATCATTATTGTCTTTCATTGCTATCTACTTTTAGAGAAACCAACAAACTTGGATTTGACAAGATTTTATTAAAATATACAAAGGTAATTGAACTATTTTTAATTTTAAGATTATAAACTAAATCTTTTTCTTTATTGTAAACAAATAGTTTAATCCATTAGTTGCAGATAGATGTAAAGAATATATAGAAAAGAAATCTTTTTATTCTGGAGATGAATTGGCTTTGTGTATTTCGGATATCAAAATTAAATATGCAAAGCACTTCACTGGAAAGGATGTGAAGAAAGCAAAGAAGGCAATGAAGAGTCCAACACCTGGAAATAACAGAAAATTAGTTTTCTCTGTCGGTATACTCCTTGGACTTTGTCTTTTATTCTTTGCGTTGATAGTGTATTCCTACAATCTTTACTATCCAAAGAATGATCCACCGGCAAATGCACCTTTGGCTTGGTTATTATTTAGAATCTCATTGCTTCCCATCATGCTTGGTACCTTCTTTTCTCTACAATCATTTATTTGGGAATTGACCGGTATCAATTATGTATTCATATTCAATTTGAAACCAAAGTACTCCAGATCATCATTAAAACATTTCCAGGTAAAATAATATCCTATCAACTTTAAAAAAATTTAAATTCTAAATTATTTATTTCCTTTTAATTCCAGATCGGTTTAGCTTTTATTTTACTTTGGTTATTATGTTTCTTTATGTATATAGAAAGTACAACTGATCATACAATGATAAAGTAAGTTTTTATTAATATTTAATTAATTAATTAAAACATAAATATTAACTTTAAATTTTTTTTATTATAGAACAAAGAGTTTTCCATCATTGGTTTATCCAATTTTGTTTTTATTCATTTCAATATTAGTTGTATTCAATCCACTCCCAATTTTAGCACACAAAACAAGGTTTTGGGTGATTAAAAGAATTTCAATGGTACTACGAGCACCCTTTGTTCCTGTTACCTTTGCAGATTTCTTCATGTCTGTTCAACTGCTCACTTTGGCAGAGTTCTTTTTCAATATTCAATCAATGGTGTGTATTTTCAACTACAGTTCATTGTTACCAGATGAAATTGATTTCTGTAAAGAGTCAACTTTCTGGGCTTTACCATTGTTGAATGCCATTCCATTTTACTTTCGTATAATGCAATGTTTCAGAAGATACTATGAAACCAAATGTTTTTTTCCACACATCACCAGTGCAATAAGATCAATATTCTCAATTATAATCTTAGTTTTAAATTATTTTGCTTTAAGAATTAAACGTAACTATTTATAATTATATTTATTCTTATTTATTATTAACAATTAATTTTTTTAATTTTAGATGATACTACTTGGAATGTAATTAGAGGAATTTGGTTTGCAGTCAATATCATTGGTAGTTTCTATAAATGGGCCGCAGACATGACTGTAGATTGGGGATTCTTTTGTGATTTTCATACCAATAAAGCTTATCCTTTGAGAACAAATTTACATTTCAAAAGGAAATGGGTAAGAAGAAAAAAAAAAAACTACATATTTTGTAATTATTTATTATTAACACTATATTTTAAAGATTTATTATATGGCAATTGTTTATGATTTTATTCTTAGATATGCTTGGTTATTTGTATTCTTGGTTAGAAACAGTACTTCACATAGATTGGATGCACCTATATTTTTATTCTTCTACTCAATGGGAGAAGTGGTTTGGGCAACTCAGTTTATTTTCTTTAGAGTTGAGTTTGAACATGTTCAAACACCTGACAAATACAGTTTGTTTGTGGATCCACCAATTCCATTCAAAGAAGAGTTTAACAAATATGTTTTATTAAAAGAAAATTCTTTAAAATCTAAAGAAAAAGAGATAATAAATAATAATAATGATCAATAGCCATTTACTCCACCAACATATATATTATTTTATCATTACTTTTTTTATTTTTATGTGATTATGGTTGTGAATTTTCATTCGTTTGTTGACTCCATTATGTTTCTATTGGAATATTATTTTGGCGAAGGAATCTTATAAAATTCTTATAATTACCAACATTGGCAATTTTCATTATGTAGTTAGGATCTAACAAACCATGATAATGAAAATACCTTATCATTACCATATCATTGTTAAGATAACAAAAATTAGGTAGTATTGGTTTTTGGCGATATTCCAGTAGATAGCGAGTGAAACCAAGCGAAGTTTTCATTAGTGGTAGTAAAAATCTACTCCATTGTCGATCATCCAATCTTTCAAATATGAAATGAGCATGCTCTAAATCGGTAGTACTAAAATTTTGTAAAATTATGTTATCAGTGTTATTGATTTCTCCATATTTGGTGAAAAAGTATCTGATAGACTTGAATGGAATGTCATGCCTGGTGAAAACCGGTTTCTTTATCGATGACAACATTAATTCATCCGATAGAAAACTACCGATATCCATTAAAAGCTCGACAATATCGAATCTACCATACTTGAGAGCGTTCACTATATGATCGTGACAAACAAATGTAGAACCTCCATTTCTGAGAATCTTAAATATTCTGATATCGAATTGTTTGGAAATACTAAACGTTAAGAATCTTTGTAGAAGATTTGGTTCATTGATGCCAATCCATTTCACTACACTATAATGATTATTGGTGATTGCTTTTTCGAGTGCTTTTACATTTGGTTTGACTGAAGTGTTGTTATATATGAATTCTATTGATTTGATATTTCCTTTGGCAGCCGCAGCTTCAATGCCATCGGTTGTAGGAACTATATCTAATTCCAATATCAAATATTCGAGAATATCGATATGATCGAATTCCGCTGCTTTAGTGATAAGTTCCGTTCTGAAAGTAGTTGGTTGTGTCAAATGAAGATGCTTCAACATATCTAAGTTTCCTCGTTCAACAATAGTTTTCAAAGATGATATTTTACAGCTGATTCTCAAGTCAATGTCGTGCATATGATCTATGATATCGACGAGGTTGTTTTCTGCAGCTGCAGAGAATGCAGATTTGCCAAAAAACTGAAGTTTAGATCCACCGATTCGCTTCATCATTTCCAGATTACCATGTGCTCCGATTCCTGCCAGATTACTCGAATTATACTTTAATCTTCTAGTGAAAATCAAATGATTCAACATTTCCATTTGATTATGTTGAATTGCAGTTTTAATTGCACGATCATTATTTAGATAGTATAGATTTTGACTATACAGACGACCAAACAGTTGAACGTCACCCATCTTTATTACTTCATTGAGAACATCTTTACTGAATTTAAATTTGTTGTTAATCATCCAATCGATGAGATCTCTATCTCCAAATGAAAGAAGTTCCGTTGCAGTTTCAGGTTTACAAGCAAGACCTCTCTCTCTATACAGCCATTCTCCAATTTCCAGTTGACGATGCCTGAATGCAACATCAATTATTTCACTCCATTCGTTGTCATCGGTACAGTATTTGTAGATTTGTTTGAACAGCTCGAAATGACCTTGTTCAGCATATTCACAGAGAGCACTATCCAAGTTTTGATTCTGTCCGAATTTCTCGAGTAGAAAACTGATTAAATGGTAATGATTATTCTTTACTGCCAACGATAACTCTTCACCATTGAAGAACTCACCGGCTTCCAAGAGATACTCGAGCAATTGTTGATTACCTTGTTTTGCAGCAACATTTGGTAGAGTATGAACATAATCTAAAACTTGAATTGGGTGCAATTTTTCTCTAGCTAATCTATTATTGAACTTCTTATTCTTTTTTTCGATTTTCAATGTCTTTAATGTATCTATATATCCATAATAAGCCAAATGATATTCACTTTTAATCAATTCTGACCATTTCAATGCTGGTTCTTCAAAAATACTATGAATCAAACTAACATTATTAAATATAATTTTTCTGATATAACTATTGTTAATAATTAATTTAAATAGATTATTATTCATTATCTCAAAATTATAAGGAGAGAATATCTTTCTGTAGAAGAAAATGAATAGAAGTTTATTAGTTTTTATTCCTTTGTTTTTGTAGAATTTTTTGAGAAAAATCAAAAATAAAAATTTAGTCTTTTTAAGACCGATATTGATGCCATGTTTGGTAGTAACGATCTTATCAACAACTAGAAACAAAGAATTATGTTTTTGATTAGTTAATAAACAACAATGTCTTAAAGAAAGTTCGAATTGGAGGTATACCAAGCTTTTCAGATAATAATATATAATATTGAAAAATAAAAATTTTGGATCTTCATATATTGCGAATCAAGTCATGATTGCTTTGTCAACCCAGTACGCATCTTCTCTTGTCACAATGTTTAAAGATCCATCATTGCAACGTTCCCAGATTCTTGGAAAATTGTTTAAAGCATATGTTCTTCAAATCCTCAAAAAAGGATCTTTCAAAGTCATGATGAATGGGCATGGGGTACTGAATCAACAATGTATATTCCTAGTAACCAAAACAACCCAGCAATCGATTCAATCCTCACATAGATTTATCGAAATCTTGTAACCAGGTTATCCAAGCACTTCCATATGATCGAGATACTTTGGAAAGCCAGCTTGCAATTACTCAATATTTATGGAAGGTCCCATATCCTACTATTGAATTGCTCCATCATCTTTTCAGACCCTAGGAGTTGATTCATATGAATTTTTATAGAAAATATTAATCCAGTGTCATTTTTTTGATATTTGTCAACATTCAATTAAAAGCTCATTCTACCATTTTAATTTAATTTTTTTATTAAAATAAATACAAAAAGAGATAGTGATACTACAAAGTTTAGTTTAGATGTAAACAAACTTATATGAAATAGAATAGAATACAAGATAAAATAACAAGAGTAATGAAAATATTTGAATTCAATTTGAATCCATTGCTTATACCAGTTGTCGATTCTGATGTTGGGTTGGCAGTTGAACCTGTAGATGCTCCTGTTGTTACACCAGATGTTGGATTCGAAGTGACTACGGTCGATGTAAATGTTGTTGTAGTCTGGTCAACTCCTGGTGGTGCATCTGGGTTTTTGAACTTCAAAATTGGGTACCATGGTCCACGACCAGATTGGAACGAATAGGAATGACCCGGGGTACCTGGTCGAATACACAGATAGATATCGGTAACACCATCGGCAAGTGATTTATTTGCAAGTGTAGTCATATCCATTGTCATATAGGTCAAATTGTTAACACCGATCCACATTGGTATATTCGGTCCGGTTGTTGGACAACTCGGTGTCTTGCTATTGTAGACATCGGCCGAGATCAAGTATCCATAAACCATCGTGTGTTGAGAGGTAATATTATTATCTTGACCCCAGTAATACATCAAAGCTTCTTGCCAATAGGAATCGGCAGCATCTTTTGGAAGTGGAATTCTAAAGAATGGTATCGATGTGGTGTTGAGATCCAACCAGAGTGAGTTGGTCACTTTAATAGTTGAGTTGTTTGGTAGTGTGACAGCTGCATAGTTGTCGGTGGAAACCGAGTAGGTTCTTGGAATGTTGTGATCACAATCAACGGCTTTGTTGAAACATTCTTCGGTCATGTATTTCATCGACATCTCTGGCCAACCATTGTAAAAGTCGGCGTGTGCCGAGTAGACGTTTGCCCATGGCCATGTGAGAGTACCGTTGGCATTGTGGATTGGATTTAAAGAGAGAACTACATCCGTCAGATTAGCGTCGAGCATAACATAGCCAATATTGATATTTAAACGGGGTATACGGAAAGGATAGTTTTGTGGGCATTGACCATAGCTATCAGAGTACACAGCGTTTTTGTAGGTAAAATTTGGACGAATGTTGATTCCATCCCAACAATCTGGGAACAAGATTCCACCAATATTGAAACGTACATGAGTCTTTCCGGTTTCATCATCATACGCAGCTGGACACCAATCAATCTTTTTAGTACTATAACCACTTCCTTTACAGAAAAAGTTTAGAATATTTGGTGAAGGAATGGTTGACAATGGATTTCCTAGAAAAGATGAATGTATTTAATTAATTAAAAAGTAGATATAAGATAGAATATTTATTTTATACTTTACCAGCTATCAATTGAAGACCCTTTGGCATTGGATGTACAGGGTGTACAGAGGTATTCCATACTTGGTAATAAGTCTTCTGATCAAAAGGTTTAATGACTTGGCCGTGCTGTTTAAGGGTAGGTGCCCAATAGGAGCTTCCATCGACATAGATATTGCAATTGTTTTCTGGATACTTATAGATTGAATCTATGGTAGTACGACCATTGGCAGCGAAATTACCAAAGAAATCGTGGAACATTGACATTCCAGGTTGATTCGGGAATAGAATTGGATCGTCATTTAAAGTGCGAGTGTAATAACAAATCGCACTAGTTTGACCTGCAACAACCACACTTGGATCTTGGCTATGTACAATTGATACATTTATAATATATAAAATAGAAATAGATAAATATATAAAACTAAAACCTAAATGTGTCATTTATAATTGTTTAAAAAAATAAATAAATAATTTAAATCTGTACAGATTTATAAATGTACTTTCACTATGTTTTTACATAATCGTAAACATTTTAAAGACTAAAGTAGCATGTTTTTTACTGGGCCAGACACTTACAACTCTATTTTAAAATTGAATAATCAGAAATTTTAAAACCCACCGTTTTGTTTGTGAATGTCTTCTTTTTCAGTATCGGACTGCAAAAAAATGGGTTGAATTGTAAAAAAAAAACTAAAAAAAAATTGTATGCCTCATTTGTGCTCTCTCCACAAGTTTTTTTGTATGAACATTTCAATTTTTGAAATGGGTCACATATCGTGATTTGTTTTTATTTAATTTTGGGTTACTATAAGAGATTTTCAAAGATCTTTAAACCATATCAAAAGCATTAAGAAAAATCGGAAAAAGTTAAATTTTTAAGCCAACATTTAAAGATCTGTAAATAGTTCAAACAAATTTAGTTTTAGTGAAAGGATTGATTTTATTAAAAGATTAATCATCGTCTTGCTCATCAAATTCTAAATTTCCAAATTCGTCATTGTCATCAGAATGTAGACTATCACCCTCACCCTCTGACTCTGCTTCGCCAGATTCCTCAGGGTCTCCCTCTTCAGCTTCTTCCTCCATATCGCTCTTTGAGTCTTCTTCTTCTTCTTCTTGCTCCTCCTCGTCACTAGATTCTAATACTATGCGGCTGTTGTTGTTGCTATTATGTCTAATTGATTTCTGAGCAATTCTTGTCCTGTTGACTTTTGGTTCATCAGAGTCATCTTCATTCGACAACAATCCTGGTGAATCTTTCTCATCGCTACTATATCTATGTCTACCATTATCATCGGACGATGGTTCACCTTCACTTTGTTCAATCTCACTAGATACTCTTTCTTCTTCTTCTTCCTGCTCCTCTTCCAATTCTTCCATCTCTTCATCCTCATCTTGACTCTCTTCATCTTCACTGCTACTGATTGATTTTTTTGATTTCTTCTTACTCTTTTTCTTCTTTTTATCCTTATCCTTTGAACTCTTCTTTGATGACGATGATGATTTCTTGTCTTTCTTTGATTTTGATTTCGACACTTTCTTTGATTCTTCCGATTTCTTTGTCTTTTTCTTCTTCTTCTTCTTCTCTTCTTCTGATTCATCGATCTCATCTTCTGTATCGATATCTTCATTGATCACAACACCCTGTAGTGTTTTCTTTTTCAGAGAGGCAGTAGAGAAAGCACCCAAACAATTCATAGCAGTCAGAACCAACTTGACCTCCACCAAGAATGTCTCGACACATTTTTTAACTTGTGGAATGAGTTTAGTGAGTGATGTATCTTTTTGTTTCTTTCCATAAGTACAAATGTGCTATTTAATATTAATCATTTATAATAACATAAATAATTAATTATCTTTTTGTTTAAACAAATAATATAATAATTATCGTACCTGTAAAATTCTACAACTACCTTGGAATTGTGAAATAGCATTTTCAATAGTGTCATACATGTTGTATTTCAATAGAGGTTTCAAAATTGGAACGATAGCTTTTGTGTATGAAGTAACAAAGTTCTTTCCATATCTAAATTAATTGTTAAATTATGTTAGTTATTAAAAACAGTTGATGGTTGGTAAACCAAATATTATATTACCTTAAGGTTTCAACAAGATAATGACTCTTTTTATGCTTTGTGAAATCAACCAAGGCTTTGAATATTCTAGTGAAATATTTCAAGCGATCGATTGTTGCATCCATATCGGCGGGGTTTGAAAAGTTTTGTTTTTCAAACACTACGATCAACAGTGAAAACAAAGTCTTGAAGAACACCAACGCCGAATGAGTATGAAGCACTGGTAAGATTTGATCGTTTTCATCACTCTGATCCATATCCTCGTCTTCGTCGTTCTTCTTCTTCTTCGTTGACTTATCAACATTCAAGAAATTTTGCAATGTCTCTGTCAGTTTATCGATCACCCCCAATTGGTCATCATGGAAATGAATATATGCTTTAATAAGATAACTTATTGAAACAGACTATAGTAAATTTATAGATATTGTTAGTTATAAATAAGAATAGTAATTAAAAAAATTAATACTTTACACTTATTTTATATGACCAATTAGTTCGTAATGCTTTGTAAGCATAATCACTGATTGTCTTTTTGATATCAGGTGATTCTTTCTTTCCGAAAAGTGGATTCTCATAGATCGATGTAAGGAGTTGGAGCAAGCTGAGACACGGCTTGAAGAGGTTGTTATTGATAAACTTGGGCCAGAATGAACTGAAATAGTTGAAGAGTGAAGTCAATTGTGAACTAATAGACTGTCCTTTATGTGAACTAATTTGTTTATCAATTATACTTGTAATTAAATCCTATATTAAAAACAAACAATAAAATGTTAATTTAGAATAAATGAAAAAATGAAAGTTATAAATATTACGTACTTGGAATGATTTACCATAGGAATCAGAGAATAAATCACCATAGGTGAATATTTGTTCGAATGATTTGAATATCAAATGCGAACAAGAGGTCAAGTATGACTGAGTTTGAAGTAGTGGATTTGCTTTGGCTTCAACTTCCGCTAGATTCTCTTGGAGTTCGGCGAGTGCTTTGTTTTTCTCTTCATCTTCATCGTCCTTTGGTTTCGTTTGTTTGATTTGCGATTTCAGTACGGTGATTTCCTCTGTCAATCTGGTGATGCTTTCATGTAGAGCGGGTAGTTGCTGTACAATTCTCTCTAGATAAATACAGAATGCAGGGAATACTCCATTCAACTGAGTGATCATTTCAATCAAGGTAAATGAGAGATGCTGTTTCGGTGCAGATCCAGCCAACAAGTTTGGATTGGCCAACAACATTGGATTGGTTTTCTCGGGGGTTGTCAACACCAGCAGCTTGGCATACAAATCATCCAGGAGATAGTGTAAACCTTTGGGATCGAGATCAATCAGCACCTGTGAAGATGAACTTCCTGCACTAACACCATCACTCTGTTCAGCTTTACAATACATTTGCAAAACAGAGAGTGCTTTCAAATCCAATTGACGGAAATACGGCTTGACCAACTTGGAGAATGGGAAGAATTCATCGATTGACTCCTCACCATGAATTTGCATCTCCTTCTTTTTTTGTTTCGATTTGGTGAGATCGATCGAGAACTTCTTGCGCTGGTCGGAATTAAAGATTCCATAGGGAACGACAAAAGCGTAGCAATGTGAGAGTACTTTGTTGAATTTTGTTTCCAAATCGATGAGATTCTCTATTTTCTTGGCGAGCTTGACGTGGTTTGAACTCTGTGTAGCGAAAGCATTCAGGAGTTCACGCACCCAATTGATTGCGTAGAACAACGAGAGCGCATAGGTATCCTTATCCTTTGTCGATTGGAACGAATCAAACACATCCAGACCAAACATATCGATCGGTGATATCAACAGTGTTTCAATTTGATCGAGTGTTCCTGTCGATGCACGAATGAATGTCTGTAGCAATCGAAAGTGCGAAGACAGACATATCAGTTTCTCACGATGAACACCACCCTCCACCAAATTCGGATAGATAATGACGGCGATCGATTCGTTCTCATCGTTGAACCACAGCTCATCGGAATCTCGCGACATGTGATCCTGTAGGAACGATTCTCTGAGGTCGGTTTCGAGACGGTCTGCCACCCAATTGACAACCTTCATGCTGAACGTCGACTTTTTCGAATTATAGATATTCACAATCTCGTCGTACAGATATGCCTTTGCTACTTGTGATGTTCTACAGTTTGTCAACATTGTCTCTAGCAGCTGAATGACCAATCTAAACAACTCGTCAGGTATTTCCAATAGCTTTTCTTTTTCCTGTGGGTGTTTCTCGAGAATTTTCGCTTCATAGGAAGTTGGCATCGTTGCCAATCGCTGAACCTGTGAACAAATTGCAATGATACCAATCTTTTTATACTTTGTCAGAGTATTTGTGATTTGTTTTCTCGAGAAGATCTCCAAGTCACTGGAAATTAGATCGTTTGGTCGAAGAGTATAGACCAACACAGAGGAACTAGAAGAACCTGGCGCATTTTCAATCTTTGTAATATAACTAAGTTGACCAAACACCTGGAACAACTGTCTGATTTGATTCTCATTCAAAGAATCAATGTGATCGAGTATACCTTTGATATAGGTGGTGTAGGGTAAGAGGTTTTCGACATTCTGATACGCAATTATATTGAGAACTTCCAATGCTTCGTCCACCTCTGAACCGTTGCCACTACCGATATGAGTGGTGAGTGATTCAATGATATCCTGCTGATAGTAACGTTCTGTGAATGTCTTGAACAACGTCACATAGAAAGTGACACCGAACGATCGGATTCTCGGATCGAACGTTCTCAGCAGACAGTCACACAACGAGAGAAACGATTTGAAATAATCCTTGAGAGCGACAGCATGATGCGATATACTGGAAATCAACAGACTCTTTGTAAACAGTGAATTGGCAATCTTCTTCTTTATCAGCGATTCAATATCTTTTGGTGAATTCCAAAATGAATAGATAATAAACAATATCCACATATCTATAATTTGATATTTCTAAAAAAATAAATATAACAGTTAGTTTAACTTATCTTACTATTCGAACTTAAAGAACTTACAGCTTCATTAATTGAATTGATCTCTTTTAGAAAAGCAACACATAGATCTTTCTTGAATCTGAAATTCGTCTTTAATGAATAGACCACCAAAGATTCACCTGCGTTCTGTTGATCCTTTTGTTTCTTCTCATTAAACTGTGTCAAAGTACCACCACTTCCAGATCCATAAATATATCTAGGTGGAAAATTCAAATTACTTCTTAATCTTTTTATTGTCTAGAAAATGATAACAAACAAACTATTAATAAAAATGATATGATATTTCAATATTATTAAGTTTAAACATACATCAGATGATTCTTTTGGTGAATTGGATTGTAATAGCGAATTGATGATGACAGGTAGTTCTTCGAGTGATGCTGAATTAAGACATGTAAAGATCTTGTCTCTTGCTTTTGATTTCAGAGATTGACTCAGTGTAAGACTACCGAGGGTGTCGAGAACAGCGACTGTGTAGGAACTGTCTTCCTCTATGATGGCCAGTAGTGTTTCCACCATGATAGCATGACCAGAGTCATCGATAATCTCCGGTATGAAACTGATTAAATCTTTCTTCAACAACGGATTACACTGAAGAATCTCCAAGTGCTGTACCAACCTATCTGTGATCTCTTTATACTGAATGTTCTCCATCCATCTCAATTGTGAATAGATCTGTTTCGAATAGTTAAATGTCATTCCATCACTTTTTGATTATGTTTTGGTTAATTAGTTATCATCATTCATTCATTATTATCAAAACAACTACTTACTCCATTATACTAATATAGTCCATTGATTTCTCTAATATTTTATCGATTACTTTTGATTGTAGACATGGCACTGATAGGAGTATTTTGATGAAACTATCAGAGAAATGCGTTGATCTGTCACTGAGTGATGATGACACCGGTGAAAGAGATATCCTCAACGCTATTTCATCTGATAATAAATATTTGTCTAGCTCCTCTACGAATTGATTTCTCTTTGCTTCATTTAATGACATTAAATCTTTTTGTAATGATTTCTTAAACTGTGGTGGATCAGGTACTAAATGAACATAAAAAAAACCAATTGTTAGTTTAATCATTAAAGTGAAGCAGTGTTTCTCTAACCATCTTCTTTGTATTAACATACCATAAATATAATTACCAATTTGTACATGTAGAGGATCCAATAACTTTATTAAAAGAGATGTTCTATTTATATCTAATGGTTTGAAATCTTTAAGAGTTTGTTGTTGATGTTGATGTTGATGTTGATGTTGATGTTGATGTTGATGTTGATTTACAGAATATGAATTTGGATGTTTGTTACTAATGTTATCATTTTCATTATTATTATTATTATTATTACTATTATTATTATCATTAGATGTTAAACTATTTGTATTGGTTATCTTTTGTTTCTTGTTTGAAGTTACAGTTGCACTCCGTTGCGATGGTGGTGGTGAAATCGATTCATTTTCTCTTTGCGCTAAAGAATTTACACTATTGTCTTTGTAAGGCGATACATATTGTTTATTAATACCGGCGTTACTACTGCTTCCTCCGCTACTCTGATTTGACATTAAATATATTTCTTTGTGTATGAATCTGTGAAAAATAATAATCTATTAAAATGTATGTAGAAAATCAAATCTAAATTCATTTTCCCGCTTTTTAAATTAATTTCTTAGAAATTGTTTTTTTTTTTCAATCTGTTATTAAATATTTTTGTTTTTATTGATTTCCAAACTTTTCATTTTACTTTTTCTAATTTATAAATAACAAAGTTATAACTTTGATTGATCAAACACACCACATATTTAATGTATGTTCATTATCATCTTCTTTGTTATTTGAAATAGATACTCAGGAAATAATTAGAAGTGTGTTTTGTTCGTGGGGAATAATGATATTGAAACTATATCATGAGGGAACAAATGTGAAAAACAAATAAGTGTTGTTTTGATAAATGATCATTAAAAGTTATAACGAAACACACTTTTAAATTAAAAAAAGAGATTAGTGTGGTATGATCCTTAAAAAATGATATGATATAACAAATTCCCTATATTTGGAATAAGTTTAATTTTATTTTTAAATAATTACAAATTTTATTTAAAAATAAATTTGAAATCGATTTAATTATATAAATAACAATATTTAACAGTTATTATTGATTTGATTCTATTTTGTTGTTTTAAACAAACATTAAATCTATAATATATATTTTCTTTTTCTTTTTTCTAAAAAAAAAAAATGAAGTGCAATATTAAAATTATAATCTTTTTAATTTTTATTTTCTGTCAACATGTCTATTGTAAAATTAGTTTGGTCAGTAATGATACTGGAGTATGGATGCCTCTCAAGTCGATTGAGATAGGCGATCAATTCAGTTACACCGCGACCATCGATAAAGATAAGAATGAAAGCTTCAGAATAATCTATGAGACTTCTAAGGATCAATCCTATACAACTGTACTCTCTATTCACTCCACCGATCAAAAGAATCAGAAATCAATGTTTGTTTGGACTGGCCAAGATAGTCTGCCAGTTGTATACTACTATGGTTTGACACCACTGAACAAATCGATCGATTGCAACACCAAGAATATCGACCTGACAATCAAGAGTGACACAGCAGGTAGTTCTGCTTCTTCTGTCACCTATGTCATTTCGCTATACTCACAAGAATATCTACCTTGCTCAACAAATCCAAACAACAATACAGTTACAAAAACACCTGTAAATCCTGAAGACAGTTCTCATGTAGCCAAAGAAACAACAGCAGCAACAACGACAACAAACACTAATGACAAAAACAATTCAATCTTTTTATTACCATCATTTATTGTTGTTTTCTGTTCAATTTTAATATTAAATATCTTTATTTAATTTTAAAAAATAAACTATCTAGATTTATTACCTTCTAAAGCTGTCTGAACTTCACATCAGATTATTTGTTTGCAATTTTTAATTAATTAATTTCATGAAAAACAAAAAAAAAAAATAGCAAAAGAAAAAAAAAATTAAACAACACACACATTTAAATTAATCAGTAATAATTATTCATATAATGAATCCAACAACTACACCAAAGTTACCAAATACAAAGTTGTTCATTAACAACAAATGGGTAGATCCAATTACCAAAAATCATTTTGACACTATCAACCCAACTACAGAGGAAGTCATCTGTCAAATTTCACAAGCTGACAAACCAGATGTTGATTTAGTAAGTTAGTTTAATAAATATAAAGCAAACAATCAAATAATAAATAGATATTAATGTCAAACTATTGTTTATTATTAAATTTGTAGGCTGTTGCAGCTGCTAGAGATGCATTTGAAAATGGACAATGGTCAAAGATGTCTGCCACCGAGAGAGGTGGTTTGATGTATAAGCTTGCCGATTTGATCGATAAGAACAGAGATTGGTTGGCTCAATTAGAGACAATCGATGTTGGTAAGCCATATACTGTTGCACGTGACGCTGATGTCGCCGAGTCTGCTCAGACCATTCGTTACTTTGCTGCGTGGGCCGACAAGATTCACGGAAAGGTGATTCAGTCGGCCGCCAATCACTTGACATCCTACACCAGACACGAACCAGTTGGTGTGGCCGGTTTCATCATTCCATGGAACTACCCACTGCAAATCCTCTGTTGGAAACTCGGTCCAGCTCTGGCAGCCGGTTGCACTGTCGTCTGCAAGCCATCGGAGATCACTCCTCTAACTGCTCTGGCGTTGTGCGACTTGGTTATTGAAGCGGGATTCCCAGCCGGTGTCTTCAATCTCGTCAATGGACCGGGTCCTACCGTGGGTGAGGCTATCTCGCGTCATCCCGACATCGACAAGATCTCGTTCACCGGATCGACCAGAGCCGGTCGCCAAATCATGGCGGCATCCGGTGCCAGCAACTTGAAAAAGGTCACTCTGGAACTCGGTGGAAAGTCGCCAAACATTGTGTTTGACGACGCCGACTTGGCACGTTGTGTGCAAGGCTCGATCGATGCCATCTATCCAAACATGGGACAATGTTGTTGCGCTGGCTCCAGACTCTACGTACAGGAGGGAATCTACGATGTCTTTGTCGAGAAATTCATTGCACTCGCCAAGAACTTGAAATTGGGTGATCCATTCACTCAGATCGATCAAGGTCCATTGGCAAGTGAGGCACATCTCAAGAATGTCCTCAACTTTATCGAAACCGGTAAGAAAGAAGGTGCCAAGGTTCTTCTCGGTGGTGCCAGAGCACCAATGAAAGGTTACTTTGTTCAACCAACCATCTTTGCCGATCTTCGTGACGACTCTTGCATTGGAACCGATGAGATCTTTGGTCCAGTCGTTTGTATCTTTAAATTCAAGGTAATTATTTTATCAACCTATCATTTCAAATAGCTATCCATTTATTAAATTAATTTAATACTCTTTATTTATAGACTGTTGAAGAAGTTATTCAAAGAGCTAACAACACCCAATATGGTTTGGCTGCGGGTTTATGGACTCAAGACATTAGTAAAGCACATAGAGTTGAAAAGAAACTCAAGGCTGGTGTAAGTAAACAATTTTCTTAAATCTATTTTTAATATTCATTAATTAATGTATAAAATTTATAGACTGTCTGGATTAATGATTATAACTACACTCATTTCTTGATTCCATTCGGAGGATACAAACAAAGTGGATTCGGAAAGGATCTTAGTGAATATGCTATTCAAGAGTATTGCTCTGTTAAAGCAGTCATTCTTAACCATGGTGCTCCATATTAAATTTGTTTGAACAATTAATTGGATTTTTTTGTCTTTCCTGTAATCAAATCTTTCATTAACATACATGTAAATAAACAAATATTATGGAATAATAAAACGTTTTAGATTATTTTTATTTTTAAGTAAAGTTAAATTTTAGATTCAGGGAATATGGAAAAGGATGCAATGTAGGCACATGGTCGCGCGAAATTATCGGCACGAACCAAATTGATGTATCCTTTTTGTTTTTGATCAGATGCAACTACATTACTGGAACAATCGGCACTATTTTTGTCACAAACCCAGAGTACAAAGACAAGGTCCTTCACAGAGAAGTAATTACCATCGGGGAATGTGAATTGTAGTTCTTGAAGTTGACCAACCGGCGTAAATACAGGACGATATTTAGTCACAGGATACGTATATTTAGGAGCCATTGGGTAAGAGCTTACTCCTTGTTTACCACCCATGATAACATAAAATTGTTCTTTGGGATTGAAATCAATAGTGTTTAAATACATTCTCATCTTTCCGGGCTCAGGGTACATAACAGGAACTGGATCGGGTGGTAGATAATAATACTCTGTTACCAATTGGTTTGTTTTGTTGGTAAGGAAGTAGTTCATTTGTGATTTATCAGATGCACCGGTTTTTGGACCAAGTTTAACAGTTAGATTACTTTGGAAATACCATAGATGAGTAGCATTTCTAAATGGACCTTTCAAGTATGGTTCTGGATTTGGATTTGGATTCTCAGAGGATTCTGTCACAATGTCTAGCAGTGATATATTGAAATATCGTTCATGGAGAACCATGCTTGTGTTCAAAAGATAGCCTCTGGAGTATGATGGTGTTGATTCGTGGATAATGATATCGCTGAAATATCTACTAACATTCAGACTGACAGTAATGTTCGATGCATTCTCGTAGGTGAATGAAATATTGAACAATTCAAAGTTTCCAAAGATGTCGTCACTGATAATATTCTGCTGACAAGACTTGATCTCTCCATTGCAATTGTTTATCAATTTGACATCTTTCAAGACGGAAACAGTCCTTCCATCTACACCATGGAATTGAATTGTAATATTTTTCATTTTATTGATTTCCTGTTGGCTTGGAGCATCGAAATTGTACGTTAAATGAACTCCCAAGAAATATTTGACTTCGGGATCTTTCTCCTTGGAATTCTGTTTGACATAGAGATCATATCCCTTTGCCCAAAGTTTTTGATAGGATTCCAATGCCAACACCGTTTGATTTTTGACACATGTAGTATTTACGAAATTTGTGCAAGATACAGTTGCATTGACAGTACAAGTAAGAACCTCAGAACTATTACAAATTCTGTTGTCATTGTAGCTCAAACATCTACCAGTTTCATTTATATAAGAAACACAAATTGTTTGCTCAACCAAGGCTTTCCAAGATGGTGGAATAATATTTCCAACAAAACCAACTTTGTAGTCAATTGGAACTGGTCTAAGATCAACTGATTTTGCCCATTCAGAGAATGTTGAAGGTGCTTTAAAAAAATACATTACTAATATTAATAATACAGAAGATAAAAAAAAGAAATAATAAATTTTGTTTTACCTGTATAATCTGGACCAAAAGAACCAAGTGCACCACCTCTAACAAGCACTCTACTCTTTGTAGTACTCTCTTCAAATTGAGATTGTTCATCTGTTTTGATATTGGAATCATCGGAACCAGTATACTTTTCAGATCCTCCACCATACGGAGTTTTCAAAGAAGCACCAGCACTGATTTCTGCACTCTCTTTAATTTCCTGAGTATTTTGCGTTCGTACGGAGTTGGAATTTACCCGAATCATTACTCCTAAAGAACCGCCAAGCGATGAAGATGTGTAATAGAGTGCACCATATTTTTCAATGAAATTTGCCATTTCCTGAACATTCTTTACTTTTGCAATATCACGAACAAAATTTTTGTGGAATCTGATTGAGTTTCTTGTTACTGTTGATGTAATACATTTAACTTTGACTGAAATGGTATCGCCTGATTCCTTTGTCTCTAGACTCTTTGCTGTCATTGTGCTTTTGGATTTTGAATAAGCAAGATCGGCAGATCCACCCCACTTTCCAAGATCGACACCAGCAGAAAATGAAACAGACATTGAACTCTCATCGAGTTGTTCATTTTGAACGGACGATGAAGATTTGTGTGAAGAGACAATGGAGTCATACGAACAGATTGGTAGAATTTCAGCATAATATTCTGGTGGAATATTATAAATCGATTCTCTATAGAAATCTTGAATGGTGGAGTAAGAAACATTGTCACAATAGCCAATATCAAAGATAACGGATGGAAGTTCTTCACCGGTAATCAAATCGATACCATGAGCAAAATAAGCAAGACCTGGCAACGAGAAATCGACATTGTTGTTTATCAAGTACGAAATTGTATCAGATTGTGGAACCGCTTCATAAAAGTTTTGAACCTGAGATACACAACTCTTTCCAATGACATCGTAGCAATCTTGTAAACATGACTCTGGAACTTCGTTACAAACACCATCTCCACACTTTGGATTAGCTTCTTTGATACTCTCGATACCAATATCATCCAAATCACAATCCTCTAACGGATCGTTGACCCCATCACCACAAATATTCTGTGAATAAAATGGAATGATCTTTGTTCCTGATCTGTCAGTGATCTCCAAAGAAATACTAGATCTTGAAATCAAAGGAGAAGTGAAAATCGAAATAACTAAAGAGTTTGTCATTCCACCTCTAATATTGATAGACTTTGAATGCGAGAAATTTGATTGAAGATAATGAGATTTTATGATATTGATATTATTTAAATAGAAATAAACTCCCAGATTTGATCCTTTCAATTTGAATTGGATTGTATCATCTGCTTGTATTTTAAAATAAGAAGTAATATTTCCATGACTTGATGAAATTGTGAAAAGATTTTCCAACTCTAAATTATTTTTGGAAAAAAATTATTAATGCTATTTCTTTAGGATTGAATTGATATCTAAAGACTTACCCACAGAACTCAAAGGGATTGGATATCCATCAACTATACAACTGGAATTGGATACAACTTTTCCATTTTCACTCTTACATGCACCCGTTGTGTATAACCAGAATGAAGCACCAGAGAATCTACATTTAGTGCAATCTGCACAGTTTAAACATGTTTCTCTACCATTGCAAGATCCATCATTGTCACAGAGACTAGTCATTTGATTTGGTTTTACGAGATCATAGTTAAAAACTGGTATTTCAGAAAATCTAAATGCAGATCCTTTTTCACAAATATTGACTAAAGATCTGTCACCCGTCATTTCACCAGTTACTGATGAAAATGCAGCTGAAAAAAGGACACCTAAAAAAAAAAAAGAAAAAAAAAAAAAAAAAAAAGAAAATTGATTAATAAATAATAGAATTTAATTTAATTTGAAATATATACATTTAACACCTAGACCATCAACATTTGATTTAATAAAAATAATTTTAGTATTATGAAGATAAATATCATATGTGAATGTATATTTTTGAGGTGGAATCACTGGAACGTTGTATCTTAGTGTTGATTGTATAAATCTGGCATCACTATCTTCCATATAAATAGCATAACCTTGGACTTGAGCAATATTTCCAAAGTATTCGCACTCCACACAGACTAATGTTGATTTCGAATAAAAAGAAGCACCTCCATAATCAGCAAGATTATTTACCAACTTTACTTGTTTTTGGTTGATCTTGGAATTGTAACTGCTCAAAGCAGATCCTTGTGATCCAATACAATTGGTGATAATAAAATTTAATAATTCAACCTTGGAATTATAAATCTTGAAACCAAAAGAAATATGTTGGCAATCAATTAATGAATAACCTCCATTAGAAACTCTAAATAAAAAATAATGAGTAAAGAAAACTTTTATTCTTAATAAAATAATCTTACATTTTTAAATCTAAAGAATTGATTATAATGTCTCTGTTTTGGTATCCATCATATATACCGGTTCTAACATATATTGTATGTGACTTGGAGCTATTGGATAAACCTTGAATTACATTTTGAAGAGCTTGACATGGCTGATCTTTTGATCCACAAAATTCGGTAAATGGAGAGGAATAGTCGACCCAGAAATCTTTACCATTTGCAACTAATATATAAAAAGATAAAAAAATAAATAAATAAAATAATTTTAACATTGTTTAGGATTATTGTATTTTCCTCTATTTTAAATCATTTATATAACTTTTAAATAAAGTCGAATTTAGGTCTCATTAAAACGATTATTATTTGAATGAGGATGATGTTGAATTTAAAATTTAATAAAATTACCTTGTGAATTTATTTTTTCAATAGGTCTTGGAAATACTGTCGATCGTGTAAAAACAAAAAAAAAAAAAAGTGGGATATTGATGTAAGAAACTGTTCACAATCACCAGATTTCGTGTTAAAAAATATATGGTGAGGGTGATTTTAATCTGTTCTATTTTTATTTATCATTTAAAGAAAACTTTAAACTATTAATAAATGTGTGATAAATAATCACATTTTGAGAATAAAATTCTAATTGAAAAAACAGTTTAGATGATCTATCTCATACATGGAAGTAGTTTTATCGCTATTTTACAAAAATTACTACCTAATTTTGTGGTTGACACAAAATAAAATATTCACATAAATGTTTTAGAATGTAATTTCCTTATTGATATATATTTGTGTACATTCGTAATGAGGGAAATATTTATTTATAGTTGACAATTTTAAAGATGATCTTCCCTGTTTAAGTTTTTGATTATCTTTATTATTGGGTATATTATTGGTTTAATTTGATTGATCTTAAAAAATAAGGTCATATAAATTTATGATTTATTTTATTGTTTACCTATTATTATAATAAACAGATAAATTATTTATTTCTTTTTTTCTTTTTGAATTGCAAATGAAGTTCTTATATATAATTTTATTATTATTTTTCATAGATAGTTTATATTGTTTAAGTATTGGAAATCATAATGATGAACTAACTTTTAAAGGTAAAATAAATAATAAAAAAAACAAATTAAAAATTAAAAAAAAATTTTTGGCGGTAAACCTAGAAATTTTGACTAAAATTAAATTATATTTTATAGATAGAGACAGATCAGATATAGTTGATTATTTAAAAAACATTAAACCAAAGGATTTTACTGTTGTTCCTCTCCTATCAAATGTAAAATATACAGGCTTTTCAAATGATATTGATATTGTTGGTCTAAATTTATTTTTTTCGTAAGTATTCTTAATATTTAATCTTTGTTTTTATTTGCTTATTTAAAATTAATTATTTATTAGTTCAAATGATAAGGCACCAGTTACTATTGATTGTAAATCAAATGGAAGAGCTTTCAATATTACGGCGGGATCGGAGGTTACTTTCTACAATATTATCTTTACCAATTGTTCAAATTCATTGGGTGCTGCCATCCATGTCTCTGATGACTCGACTGTATTCTTTGAAAAGGTTCTCATTACAAATAGTATTAGTGACTTCGGTGCACTGTATGTTTCTAATTCCAAGGTAATCATTACATCTTCCAACTTTACCTTCAACAAGGCTTATCAAGATGGCTCTGCAATCTATGCAACTAATGGTGCAGTCATTGAGTTGGATAACATTAGATTTACCGGCAACTCTAGAATTGTGAAATATAATGGAAACGATTTCTCACTGACCAACGATATTTCTATATACAAGCGGTCGAGTGTGCTCTCCAAAGACGAGGTTATTCCAGATGCCAATATATTCTCCATATGTGACACCTCTTCATCTTTCATCAATATGAGACAGAGCTCACTATGCTCCATACAATCCAAACTGGAATATAGTGTATTTGGTATTTGTAACGACTCTATATGTGATCCGGTGAGAGAAGACTTTTTCAATTGCCCTGAAGACTGTCCATCTACTTTTTTCTCTGGATTTTTACATCAGGAATTCCAATGTAAAATAAAAAACAAGAATGACTGTGGAGAGAAGCCAATTCACCGAGAACCATTGTCATTTGCTCGTCTTACACCATTCAAGAACCAAGACAGTGAATACAATATCATGAAAGGTCAATTGGAATCGTATTTCAGAGTGCCCAGGGACGGAAATATCCATTTCAAATTCAAAGTTGAAAATATCAATCTCTATGTCTACTTGGATAACAATCCAATCATAGAGTTTGATGGTTCCCAAAACAATTTATTTTATGGTGATAAGGATCTTACTGTATCCAAATATTTGGTATCGGATCACGTTCATAAAATAAAAATCATCTACGAAGTGATTGCTAGAGCTTCATTTGGTCAGAGGAATCTGGAAATCAAATATAGCTTAGATGGTATCAGTTTCAAGCTATTTGAAGATATAAATTTCTATTCCTACATGATATGTGGTGATGGAATATATGATCCAAATGAAGATTGTGACTCCGACTCCAATGGTGGTTACGGAACTCCTTTTTCCTTGAAGAAAGGCACTGGTTACGCCCAAAATGGAACCACTTGTGGCAATGGGATCTGTGATGAAGTCGATCCGAATTCTTGTATATACGATTGCTATAAATATATTACTCCAAGATGTGCTCCTTATACTATGAAGCAAGGCTCCATTCCTCCAATGGAAACCAGTATGGATACTCTTGGTCTGTTGATTCAAAACCAAATGATTTGGCGATTGCCTGGATATCAACATTTCAGCTTTGGCTATGACATTGTCTTTGGAGAGCAACGATCGTATCCAATCTTTTATTTCGGATTCTGTAATGAAAAGGAATCGAATATCGTTGAGGATAAATACCGTCAAACATTCTACGAGGTTCCAAAAGAGCTATCGGTTATTCCACTTCCGAAATGTACATTTGATGTCGTCTCTAAATTCCATTCCACTGTAGAAAAAATGAGAAATGAAATGGCTTTGAAATCTACAGCCAGTACCACTTCTACTCTAAATGGTGGAGCTGGTTCGGTTGAAGCATCAGTTTCAGTTGCATTCTCCAAAGATAGATCCATTCAAAATTCAATGCAAATGGAATCAAAAGTAGAAGGAACATTGATTGAATCAACCATCGATTGTTATATCACAAGTGTAAAACTCAATGAATTTCAATTCAGTTTAAATTTCCTCCGAGATATTGCCACTGCCATTACATTTGATGAATACTTTTCACTGTATTTATACTCATTAATTTTAAATTCTTTAACCATATATTAATATTTAATTAATTTAGAGTAGAAACATATGGTACGCATTACTATGACTCTGCTATACTTGGTGGACAATTAAAGCATACCACTTCAATCAATGAAAAGGATTTTTCTACAGAGAGAGAAAATGAAATTGCAGAACAAACAACAAAATCAGTGAGCGCAAAAGTCTCCTCCCCGAAATTCAATGTTAAAGCATCGTACTCTGGATCTGACAATTCTGTAACCAGTGAGAAATCAATGGAAGAATATAATCAAAAGACATCTAAATCATCCATCATTGCTAAAGGTGGTGCACCTGGATCGTAAGTATCCAAAAATATATTTTATTTAGTGATCAACAATAATATTAATATTTAAATTTTAGCTATGGTACCTCTGCTGAAGGAAAAGATAGTACATTTGGTGGTTGGGCAGATACGATCGATTATTTACCAGTTCCAATTGATCCACAATTGAAAAGAATTGCAGAGATCATTCCAAAGACATGGAAAACTCCACAAGGCAAAAGAGTTTTTGATCTTTGGTATGCTGCAGAACAGAAATACTATGAATTGGAAGGTGGCCTTTTGCAATCGAGACTTTCATTGGCAAAGTCAAATACTTTTGTTTTATGGATGGGCGCTTTTGCCTCGGAGTCTAAACCGTTCAACACTCCAGTGAAATTGGCAATGGAGGTGAATGTAAAAGGATCGATTTCAACTGTAGATTTCCAAGCTTTGCGAAAAGAGTTTGGAACCAATCAATTTGATATTCAGAATATAAACAGGCCATTTGATTTCCAATACATAACACCAACCTTCAAAGTGAATTGGACTCCATCGAGTAATAGTGTCGTCAAATTGGTTTCCTCTATGAAATCAAAGAAAACATTTGTTGAAAAAACTAAGCGCATTGGTTTTGAATCCAATATTACTCATATTGAAAATATGGTTTTCATGAATGTTGGTGAAACTACTAAATTCCCAAATCCATATTTGTGGGATGCCGATAAATACGATAGCTATGAAAAAGATTACAATATATTGAAACCATACTTTTTCGATGACAATGGTGTTTTAATAGAACCAACCATTTCAAAAGATTCCGGCTACCTTTTGATTCCACCTATGCCAATGGCATATAAAAGCATTGCAATCAACATTCACACCGGTGGATACGTCACTGTTCTCTATGTAGACTACAATGTTTCAATTAACCAAAGACAATTAATTTCAATTCCACAAGAACATTTAGCAAAGTAAGTATTAATAAAAAAATACATTCTTTTAAAATATATGAAATTTACTAATATTAAATAATAGGATATTGGTCGCAACATCAATTGATTACACTCCAAACTATGAAAATTTCCATCATTTGGGTGAATCATATAGTTGGTATAATGATGATGATGGACCAACTAAAGATTATTGGTATTGGCACAAAACACAAAATATGAGACCGCTATTTGCCAAATTGGCAGGTAAATATGGAAATGATCAATGCCCAATGGCAATAAACTATGATAATACCTGTAACTTGGAAGATTGTCTCTCTGGGGACAGATTACAATCTATCACGTCCATCTTTATTCCAGTGGGCGAACCTACCTATTTCTTCCTTCCAAATAAAATTGGTAAATATATTAGTATTGTCATTGCCGGCACCCCGACTGTTTGTAATCGAAAAGGATACAATCAGTACTCCCCCTCCAATGGTAGAAATTGGGAATATTATTTCATTGATAAAACAGTTCCACTTTACTCAGAGAGTGTCAACAGAGTACATTCAAAATCAATCTTTACACAAGTTCAAAGAACTGATAATGTACAAGATAAAGCAGATGAAGGTTGGTGGAAGACCTTAATCTTACCAGATGATAACTGGATTCCAAAAATGGTGCCAACAAATTTTCCTAAAAGTAGAAAATAAAGCAAATAAATAATTATAAAAGTTTTGGAAATGCAAATCTTGTTGAACAAAATATTGTTTTTTATTTATTTAGTTTTCTTTAAAGCTGGGAGATCAGATTCTTTTACCATCATACACCAGTTGAGTTGTGGGATAATGGTTGACTTCTGGTCGGCAAGCTTGACAGTGTAGTGACCACCAAAGAGTTGAGCATTGTACATTGTACCGTTGTCATCAATCTTAAGGTCCAAAACTACATATCCGTGCCAGCTGGCTTTGATGTATCAAGTGGCTCTTCATATTCATCCTTTTGGGTGTATTTATCTGCGGATTGTCTCAAGTTGATGAGATGGTTGAATTCGGAATAATATCTTTGTATGCTTGCATCATCCTCAAAACAAAAAAATCCTTTAGTTGAACACTTTTCAACAAAGATTTTTTAATAATTGGCCCAAAGATTAATTTTAAATATGATATTTGCAAAATAGGTTGAAAAAAAATTGTCTTCGAAAATAAAGATTTCAGAAAAAAAACGACTGTGAACTTGACTGACACGAATGGTATTCAAATCACTCATTTATTCTGGGTACCACCACCCATAGGTCGGAAACCAGATCTAATAAGATTCTACAAATTATAATATATTTTTATTACAACTGAACAAATTTGATTCTAATCGTTACTGTAGGTGTTTAACATATCTTTCAAAAGTGCAATTCTTGTTCTTTGTATTTTAATTTTGAAACTTGGAGCTTCATAAGATGCACACTCGGAATTAATCACTATGTTATAAGAATTGATTCGTTAGTTTATCTATCTATAGTTTAATAAAAATTTTAATGATACATACATTTACATAATAAATAATTTTTAAAATCTTGGTTGGCTTCAAAGGAACATGGATACTCAAGGCTTGGTTTACTTGAACCCACACCATCCTTATATACCACCGATAGCTTATATCTCTTGGCACCACCACGAGACATATTTGACTTATCAACTGAAACAACAATAAATACATCTAATAATAAGTAATAATCAAATTGATTAGCTTCGTTTGAATTTCAATCTTTGAAAGAAGTAGTCATTAAAATTTGCAACTTACGATTAAAATCTGATTGAATAATATTTGGATTAAATGGCTTATCACCTTCTTTAAATATAATTACAACAATATCGTTTCCTATGTGACGTTTCTTTTCAACTTGTTGTGTGTCGAGATGGCTGTACGGTAACATCGTTGCAACATGGAACATAATTTCAAAACCTTGATATTTCTCGTAGATACTCTCGGTTCCTGTTGTGTTACTCTTTACATCCAAACCACCTCTATAATTTTGCCAACCTTGTAATTGAATACGTTCTCCAAGGATCGATAGGAATTCATTAAAATCATCACTACCAAATTCTAAATATTAAAAAAAAGCAAAGGAAATTTGTTAATATTATAAATAAATAAATATATTAAATTAATCTTACCATTTGAAAACATTTCCTCTTCAACCGACTGATTGGCAGCACAATATAATACACCGAACTTGAAACTCTTGACTCTTTGTCTCTCTTCAAAGTTCTTTAAATCTTTTTGGATGTCCTGACTCTTGATCATTTTGATACTCTTTGTTGGTAAATCGGGTGCAACACTCTGAACTATTTCCTTGATTGGAATTTTATTTGACGAAAACAAAATACTTCCTTTTGGATTAACTGTTGTAAATATATCACTCTGTTATAAATAAAGCAAAGCAATTAATATTGATTGAAATGAATAAATAATAAACAAATACTTACAGATTTGGTTCTTAATAAAATTTTAAAAGATCCAACATTTTGTTTTAAAAATGAAGATTTCTCTTCCTTTGGTGAACTGTTATTTGATCCACTTCCTTCCTCTTTCTCTTTTTCTTTTTCTTTCTCTTTGCATATTGAAATGATGAATGGTCCGCTCTTGTCGTCGTCGCCAACATAGTTGTAGTGCTCACCGACTGGGAAGTGGTTGGCATACCAACTCTCGCTGGTGATCAGTGTATCCAATATCAAATCGTTGTAAACCAAACCTTTCTTATAAGATTCAATTGTGAATCCTTTGATATTGTCAATCAAACTGTAATCCTTGATTAGCTCCACCTCTTGTTCGTCGGCAGTTTCCGCTTGGTTGGCAACGGGCGACGAGTATTCCTGAGTTCTCGGACGATTGGTTGTCGCAGGACTGTTGGTAGTGCTCGCTGCCGAAATATTTATGGATGCACTGCTGAGGTCGTCGCTGCTGCTGTGTCCTTTGGCAAACGATGACTTGCGCTTGTCGAGCGAGTGGAAAATGAATGATTTAATACGCTGACCCGATCCCAGTGTCAGATGTTTCAGCGAGGAGAGTGTTGCATATTTTTCGGCGGTGGTGGCAGGTGGTAGATCGTTGGTGTTATTGTTATTCAGGTGTTCCAGTAGATTGTTTGTGGAGACATCGGGTGAAGCGGTGACAGTTGGTGTTGGTGGAGTCGGCGATGCTGCACGATCAACTTTCTTTTCCTTCTTGATTTGTTGTTGTTGCTCTTTCTGCTGTTGTTTCTGTTCCTTTTCCTTTTCTTTCTGTTCTTTCTGTTGCTCCTTTTCGTTTTCCTTCTCCTTTTCTTTCTCGCGCTGCTCCTCTCTTTTCAGATTTTCCTCTCTTGTCTTTTTCAGAACTCTCAGATGGTTGTTATCAGGGATCATAGGTGCACCACCAACCACCATAGGTCTTCCGCCACCTGCCAGTCTTGAAACAACAGGTGATTTCTCCAATGTCATTTTTAACTCTGACATTTTATTCTCACCTAAACTTCTATAATAAAAAAAATTATTAGAATGTTGGAAATGGAACGATTAATGATAATAATCTTTTTTTTTCTTACATTTTCTCTCTTTGTGAACTAAATGATGATGATGAAGTATAATTTGATTTTGGAATTAATTGAATCTTTACAATTGGACCTTTCTCTAATGTCTCTGTAATCTTTGGGTTTGATACAATAAATCTAATGAAATCTACAGAGAGCTGTTCATTATCGATCGCCAATGTATATTCTTGTTTATTTAATTCTGGTGCATCTGATAATATTGAACTCTAAAAATATAAAATTTGTTAAAAACAAAATGAAATAGAATAATTATTCAATGTTGTAATAAATTACTTACCTTTATTTTATCCACTGTATGTCTAGAATGAAATTGATATTGTTTTGTTGTTTGATTTGGAAATTCACATTCCACTTGGAATTCCAAAGCCTTTTCACAAAGACCAAATGTTAAAAATGAATCCATTTTTTATTAATTGTAAAATGGATCTAAATTATTATTATTATTACTAATATATATATTACTATATAATTGTTAAAATAAATAAATAAATAAATAATAATTTATAACTGGAAATAATATCTTTTTTTGTTTCAAATTTGTGTAGTTGTGGAAATGTATAAAATTAATTAATATATATTTAAAATTAAATAAATAGTATATAAAAATAAATAAAATAAATAAAATGAATATCTTAAAATAAATAAATAAATAAATAAAATTGTTGTTTTGTTTTTGATTTGTTTTGTTTTGTTATCTATCTATTCTCACTCTTTCTATCTCTGTCTATCTCTCACTCTTGACTATCCTAAATTATATAAATTTAATGAAAGATCAATCAGAAAATTAATATTAATATGTCAGATGATGTTGATAATGATGATAATGGAAAGAAAAATATATAAAAGTGATGAAGAAAGAAGGGAGGAAATTTGATTCCAATTTAATTAAGGAGATTTAGTAGTAGATAAGTGGAAAAGTGAAAATGATCAATGGTAGAACAATTGTTATTTGCTAATGAATGTGAATTATATAAATTAAGAGTGTGAATGATTAATAATATGATTGAATTTGTTTGTTTGTTTGTTTGTTTGTTTGTTTGTTTGTTTGTTTGTTTGTTTGTTTGTTTGTTTGTGGTTATAAAATGGCAGAGCTAAAAACCATCATATGATTGTTTTGTCTTATTTTTGACTTTTACATATACATATAAAAACTAGATAGAATTATTAAAGTTATAATTGGTGCAGTTGTTATTGTTATTTCTGTTTTGTGTTGTGTTGTTATAATTATAATTTGAGTTAGGTTAGTTAGGATAGTAAGTAAGTAAGTTATTTTGTGTTTAATCGGTCGATTAGATATATAATTAAATGTAATATATATCTATTTATATTATATTCTAAAATGTGTACATGTGTTTGTGTTAAAATATAAAATATTATATCTCATACTACTTTGAATGTATAAATATAATTATAAATATAAATGTATATATTTATGTAACAACAAAGTATTTCTATGTTATTTTGTTTTGGTATTAAAATTAGTGTTGTTATGATTGATTTGAAAATAACAACAATGCTGTTGTTGAACTGTAAAACGATGATTTAGAATTGGAAGTGAAGTAGAGTAGCGGAGTTAGAGTGTGTGCGTTTGTTTGTTGTGTTTGATGCTTGTTGACTCTGATTGATATTGAAGACTACTACCAAGAAAATGGTTAATTAGGATTAGAGCATGATTAATATGTATATACACATGTTGTTAGAGTAGTAGTAATAGACCTGTTTGGAAATAGAGTAATTGAAAAGTATGTGTTGTCGGTTGATATTGATATTGATATTGATATTTGACGTTTAGTACACACTTAATTGTCTCATAGAAAACAATGAGCTTTGATGTTGATCATGTCGATCTGGACAATTCTAAATGTTGTAGTTGTTGTTGATGTTTTTTTTTATTGATGTTAATATAGTCAGTGTTATGTGTGGTTGATTTGTTGAATTGTGTGTTCTATGTGTTTGTGTGTAATATCGCACTGTGTGTAAGATGAGAAATGTTGTGTTTGTGGTATTGATTTGATTTGATTTATAGGTTTGTGTTGTTTTTTTATATGATGTATTGCTGTGTGGTATTGTTGTTGTTGGTAGAAATATCACTTTTAAATATATTTATAATTATATTTCTATATTTATGATACTATTAATAATGCTATCCTCTACAAATACTCTGTTGCTTTGGTGCAAGTTGTTGTTGATTATGATGATGCTTTTTGTCAAATTCTGTGTTGCTAGTTTGATTAATACTTTAAATTTGTTTTATACAGTGACGATAATTTAAAAGGAAATGGTGAATAGATGTGATTATGATGAATGACAATGATGTTTATGACTGTTATGATCTGTTTTCGCCAACTCTGAGAATCATTATGATTATCTTTTTGTAACTTTACTCCTAATTCTTCAAATGTTGTTTTTAATATATAAATAAGATTATTATTTAAATATATATATTTATTTATAGAATTGAAGAAAACAAAATAATCTTTTTAAAGAAATGGAAGTGGAGAAAGTGATTATTTTAGATATGGAAAAGTATTGTTATTGTTGTTGTTGCTGTTGCTGCTTCTTTGATGTCACTTTTTAAATTTAGTGTGAAAGTTGGATTTTTGATGGGTTTGTTTGTTAATTTGTCGTTGCCTATTCATTAATTACCCAAACAAACCTCCTTTTAGGTTAGCCCAAATTAATTATTTTTTGTTATTATTATTATTATTGTGGTGTGGGTTTAAATTTAAATTTGAATTGTGTGTTTTGAAAAAAAGCTACGACCATTCATTCACAATGTCGGCACTGATTTTATCCCAATGAAATTTTGAAAAAATTCAAACTTTTTTTTTGATTTGTTTTTTTAAACGTACAGGTGATTCGCTTTGAGTCTGGTATTAAAGTGAAAAAAAAAAAAAAAAAAGTGTAAACACATAAAGTCAATGTTGATTTAAAACCTGTTTAGGTGAAAAGTGTGGAGGTGTTGAGTTTTTTCAATGTTTGCTTTGAAATTATAACACAACACTACTGTAGATAATCAATGATTTAATATACTTGTTGTGTTAATAAATTAATGTTGGTGTGTTGTCGAATAAAATATAAGATTGGGTGATAAAACAATCGGAAAGGAACAAGAAGCTTTCACTTTTCTGTGCTTGAATGCAAACATTGTAAAAAAAAAAAATCAAAATCAAAACAGAAGTGAGTCCTGATTGGTGGGTTTAAAAAAAAATTTCTAGATGTGGGTCGTCACTGATCAGAAAATGATCGACATTGAAAAAATTTTGGTGACGATTCCTGTCATCACATTTGTTACTATTCTTTCTTACTTACTTTATTTGCTTTATAATTCTAACTATCCTAACTATTGATTTGTTTAACTCTGATATTGATTGATTGATTGATCGTGTGATGGTTTATTTTTAATATTGTGTGTATATATGAATTAATATTATATAATAAAAACAAAAAAAAAAAAAAACTAAATTCTTAATTCTTAATTCTTGTTCGACCAAAAAAGGAGAATTAGTGATGTATAACTGTAATTATTACTTTTAGTGGTTATTTTGTTTGTGTTGTTTGATGTACGTACTGTGTGTTGTTGTTTTTTGGTGAATCTGAAAGTTTAAATTGTGAAAACTTGTTACTGTATTCTTAATATAACCTTAAATTTTTCTTAATTTCGTACTATTGTTATTTTTGTGTGCTAACTAAGGTTGTATTTATAATTTTATCTTATCGCCTGGTAGTAATACTAATTTAAAATATACTTTTGAAGTTGGAATTTTAATTTAATATTTTTTGACTATATTGTTTTATTATTATTATCGAACTATCTATTATTAATTAATTAGTATTTAAAAAAAAAAAGTAACTCGTATAACTATTGATTCCTTCTTGGTTGGTTTGTCAATTGCCCAATGCATATAAAACTACTGTTACACACTAAAAAAAATGCTTGCACCTTTAATCTTGTTTTAAGAAAAAATAAATCAAAGAAAAAAAATAAAAGTATTTTTGATTTAAAGTGGGTGTAAAAAAAGAATTGGAAGATATTTTAGTTTTGTGGATCGAGATCGGTGAGCAAAGTCAAAAAAAAAAAAAAAAAAAAAAAAAAAGTGTTTGTGGATGAAAAAAAATTTAAATAAAAACACAAATTTGATCAATTAATCAGATTAAATGCAAGATCCTGTTTTCAAACAAATTGGTGTTTTTCAGATGTAATGAACGAATGATAAACCTGGTTAAGTTTAATTTCCAAACTTGTTGGGGTATTAATTAAAAATAAATGAAAGAATAAATTAATTAATGGAGTTCGTTGGTTAGTCATGAAACGAATGACTTGTTTAGCTTATTGATTTTATTATTAAGTAATCATTACTGAAGGTCTGAGATACTCGATCGAATTATTTAGTTTTCCTATTACAATGATACTGTTGTCACCATTGTTTAATATATCACCAATCGACAATGTATGAATCCAGTCATCTGTCATATACTCTCCTACCATCTTTTTTTTTGTTTGTTTGATCAAGTGTTAATGTTAGTGTTAAGTTGTTAGGTATCTATCTAGTCTTTTTTGTATTACTTACAGATTTATCGTGGTATATCTTTAAAGTATGAAAGTGACCTATAACCAATAAACTATCGAGAGTACTGCTGTCACCACTACCACTATGATGTGAACCATTGATTTGTTCATTTCCATCGCTACCATTACCATTACCATTACCATTTCCATTACTAACATTCCCATTACTACTATTATTATTGTTGTTGTTGTTATTTACTTCATTATTTGCAAAGTTGTATCTATAAATATGTGTTACTGGATATCCAACATTACAATAGTGATTTAACTTAAAATCGTTGCCTACAATGTAAATATGACCATTCTCACAACCCAATGCTATTTGTGATTTTCCTTTGATTGATTTATCGAAATAACCTGAACACATCTAAAAGAGATACAAAGTAATTTATCAGAATATGTTACGATACGAATAGTAGATCTACTGTTAATGATAAAGATAGATACTTACAGTATTGATTGGTGCAGGTGTTTCCAATGTGTAGATACGATGTCCTCTATCAATAAAGTGTATTCTCGAGAAGTTATCGCTAACCACAAGATAACTACATTCTATATTATAAATATCCAGTGATCTATGTGATATTATATCCCTTATACATTGACTTGCTTGTAAGGTTTGTCTATTATTTATCATACTATTATTATTATTACTATTACTATTGGTATCTACAGTTTTCATTTCTTTATCACCATTATTCTCTTTATCATCATCATCTTCATCATCACCATCATTATCATCGTTTGACTCTCTTTGGAATCCTAATCGTTGTAACTCTACTACACTAGGTAACTTTATATTCCATTGAACAGGTTGATGTGGTTTCAAAGATGTTATAACACCACTTCTATCACCAACGACAACACTAAAGTCACCATCTAAGTTTATTAATTAATAAGAATTTGATGTTTATTATTGTTATTAGCAATGACTTTACTTACTAATTGTATGATGTGTAGTCAGAGAACTAACAGATGATCCAACTGATTCATGATAGATGATCTGATGATTGGAGAACACAACTATGTTACCATGACTATCACCACTAACTATATCGATACCTCCAAACTTGGTGGTATCAGCCAAGTGTAATGATTGTATAGATGATCCTTTACTCTCTAATACCTCTTCAATATTACTGTTATTGTTATTGTTATTATTGTTGTTACCACTGCTGCTACCACCACTATTTACAAAACAATTTTGATATACAATAATACGACCATCTACACATCCAAACAACAGATGATTTCTTGTCGATTTGAATATCTCACCAACTAATAATACATTAAATTCGAATCCATCTTCAATTCTTTTCTTAAATATAGAATCTATCTTTATCTTCATTTATAAATGAAATGAAAACAAAAACATGCATATGTGTGAATGATCAGTCAATCAATCAATCAATAAATAAATCACTGACTGATTCTACACTTCACACCACCCAATATAAGCACACTTAATTCTTAAAAAGTAAAACTTTTTTTTTTTTTTTTTAAAAAAAAGACAACTAATTTTGTTATAAATATAGATAAATTTGTACAAATAAATAAGTTTTAATGTTTTTTTTTTTGATTTATCGATTCGGTTTTATTGAAATCAAGAAATATCAATAAATTAAAGTTGTTGTTTTAATAGAAGTAACCCAACAATTTACCACCAGTGTGGAGCTTCTTGGCCTCTTCGTGATCCATGATACCGAGGGAGGTAGTGAGTACGATGTGACCGAATTGACGGGATGGGAGCAAATAGGAAGTCCACTTCTCCAACTCGTCGAGGGTAACGTCGAAACGTGGTGAGATGACGGCACACTTGTTGATACGACCGATCAAGTCAATGACGATCTTACCGGAACGATGGTCATCGATGATTTCGAATTCACCAATGTACTTCTTCTTCATCATGACAGTCAAGAACTTGATGATGACCTTGGATGATGGTCTGACGAGGACTTGACGTCTACCTTGTCTCTCGGCATTGAGGATGGAGTTTAAGCAATCGTTTAAAACACTGATTCTGACCATTTTGTTATAATCTAAAGAATAAGAAGATTGTTGTTAGTATTGATGTTTGTCAAAATAACAAAACATCGTGGATAGATTCTCATTCACAGCAGCCATAATAACTATATCCCTTTGACGTAAAAGGGGATGTAAATGGGTGCAGGAATGATAGCCTACTCGATGTTTTAAAAAGAGATAGGGTATATCGTACCTGTTCCAAGTACAAAGGAGGATTGATATCTTGTAAATCGACAATAAAGTAAAGAGGAAATGCCTGAAAGACGACTGATTTCAAGTGTACAATCCAGCGACCACTCAGAGGCAAGATTCAAAAAAAAAATTGAAAAAAAAAAAAAAACAAAATTAAAAAAAATGAAAATTTCAAAAAAATTTAGAACTTCGAAATTTTCCCTTTGCCTCCTTTTTTATTTTTATTGATTGTTGAACTTCTCGGTTATTAATTAAAATGGTTTTGTATTAATACTAAACTGTTACATTTTGTGGTCAACCTCTTTAATTGAATACCGCACAACAATAAAGTTCAATGTTTGAAGTACCATTAATCATATCTTGGTGAAGAGTTGAAGTTTAAAGTTAAAGCTGTAGGAAGTAATAACATTTTTTTTATAACTAAAGTTGTATACATGTTTTATTAAATAAGATTTGAAAATGTATATATACAAAAAATACAGATCTCAAAGTACTATTTTTATCTTGGCGCTCTTTCTTCTCTTAATTTTGAAACATATTATAATATTTTGTTGCAGTGTGAGATCTTGTAAGAAGAAACAAATGATGGCTATTGATAATTGAATAGTATTTTCATTGTATATTTTATTATGGTGATTATTATATGTATTCCTTTACATTTGTTTTTTCATCAATTAGTTGACTCAAATGATCAAGTTTTACTTTCCCATTTTTTTCTCACTTTAGAAAAGTTTGTGGGTAACTATAAATATAATCTTGTTCTCATTCGCACAAATAAAACAAAACACAAATATTTCTATAAATAAATTTGAATTTTTTTTTAATTCTAAAAAAAAAAAGGTATATATTATAATTTGTTTAGATTCCACCATCTTCCATTGTTTGTCGTGTTAGGATATCTTTTACAGCGTCGAAAACAGCACTAATATTTGATGTATCAGTTGCCGCAGTTACATGAGTATATATGCCTGTTGTGTTTTGGAGGAAGGAGTAAATTATGTTAGATGTTTGTTGTTGAGAATTCTATAATTTGAAATCATATTCTTACTCTTTGATTTATTACAAGCTAACAGTTTCTTTCTAATGAAATTGAGTCCGTCTTCGTAGGTCGATGGACCTTGGTAATCGCTGAAACAGACATTTAGGTTGGTACGTTTGATTTTCTCACTGAAGAGATCGCGTTTGTTGAGGAAAAGAATGATGGGTACTTCGGAGAACCACTTCAAGTTGATGGTGTCGTTGAATACTTTAATTGATTCGGTCATACGATTGGCAGTGGAATCCTCTTCCAACACTTGATCGTACTCGCTGAGTGACACCACAAAGAGAATGGCAGTGACATCCTCAAAGTAGTGAATCCACTTGTCACGGTGGCCACGTTGTCCACCGACATCTATCATTCTAAAATTAATTCCTTTAACACTGAATCTGGTTTCTGTAATCGAAGTTGTAGATACACGTGTCCACAAAATATCTTGATCAGTTGGTATATAGTTTGAATCTGAAATAGTTATATTAGGTAATATTATTCAATTAAATGATTTTAATATTAATATTTCAATAACAAAATCAATCCATAATAATTATAAAAGTTACCAGAAAATTTTCCGATGGAAGCCAAAAAGTATTCGGCTGATGAATGAATTTGGAATTTCGATCCACTGCTTATCAATGCTGTTTTGATGGCTTCATCTTTGCTCAACGCTTCCAAATCCTCCCAAATTTGTTTATCCAAATGTTGATACTTTCTACCTAAATACATATCTGAAATCTATTTTTAATTTGATTTAATTTGGTTTGGTTTAGTTTAGTTTTGGAAATTGATGAAATAATAAAAAAAAAACTTACTTTATCACATATTGCTTCATATTTTGGAGCGATCTGTAAATTTAAAATTGAACAACCATCGATGAGAGAGTTGAAAATCTCAAGGATGTTACGGTTGATGAGTGATCGATGGTTGAGACGATCCTCTTGGGAGTATCCCTTCATGTGCAAGATCTTCATTTGTTTGACGATGGTACTCTTTCCAGAGTCACCGGTTCCAAGCAACAAAAGCTTCAATTCGGTTGCCAATACACGCTTCTCAGACTTTAGTTGCTTCTCGATTGCGCGTGAAACAACCTTTTGCTCTTTGTAACGTTGTGCAATTCCATTTGGTGTTGGTGTTGGTGTTGCCATGTTTCTTCTTTATATTTTCTATATGAAAAATACTACTAATATTTTCTTTCTTCCTTTTGACTGGATTCCCTGTTTAAGAGCAATATTGCTTGGCTTTGATTGTTTAGTAACAACTTGATTAATTACTTTTTGACTTTGTTATTCTTTTCAACCTTCTATATTATTATTATTATTTTAATAATTTGTAATTTTAATTTAATTGATTAGTATATAAATTTATTTTCAATTGAATTTGTAATGCCTAGTTTGATTATTTAACTAATAGGAAATTATTTAATTTGGTAGATATATATATATATATATAATATAAGAGGGAGAGAGGATAGAGAGGAGAAAGAGAGCAAAGTGATGAGATTGGATTGTTATAGTAGAGGTAATGGTGATTTAGTGGTAGGTTTATGATTGACTTCGAGTTCTATCTAAGCAAATGATGAAAAGGTATACTATTCAAATTTGATTGCTTATGCTTACTATTATTATTGTTGTTCTAGTTGTTGTTATTGCTGTCGTTGTTTTAAAAAAAAATATTTATATTTAAAAACAAAAACAAAATGAATGGTTATTGTTCTTAAATTAGTTACCAACTCTATATCCAATCTACCACCATTAAAATAACAAAAAAAAAAAAATCATACAATAATAACTGTGAATGATAATTAAAAATAAGGAGCGGGTGGTGGTAGTGGTGGTGTGATTGATGAGATGAAGTTGTGGGAGTGGTTGAAGTTATATTATATCTGTGTTTCTCTCTCCATGTGTGTGTGTGTGTGTGTTGTTATAGGTGTATCTTTGTTTGTTTCCACTCATATATAAACCATTGGATATAATAAATATATTTTAAAATGAAAACAAAGAAAGAAATCAATTTGATTCAAAGTAATGTGTTTGGTTGTGTTACCTTTATCTTTTTAACTAGTTAATTAATAGTAATAATGTTTAAATAAAATAAGGTTGCTATTCAATCTGAACCAACTATTGTTAACAATTATATTAATTTCGAATTCACGTAAATGTAGGCAAGAAAATCTCTAAAAACATAAAGAACAAAATCAAAATTAAATTTAAACAAGATTGTATTATTTGTTTTGATTGATTGATTGTGAATTAATATTGAGAAACTATGAGGTGGTTTGCTTTCGATAAAAATATAAAAGAAACACAACAATCAACTCTTTCCAAAATAGAAAACGTCAATAACACAATGTTGGTCCAACAACTAATATGATATAGCGGTAAAAATTATCAAGGAATAAAAAGATTTGAAAAAATGTATTAATAGCAGAGTGGATAATTCTATTTGATCGGTGATGAGCATAGTAATATTTGGAATTTGAAAAGAAAGTAAAGTGTAATTAACAAGTTTCCTTTTGTAAGAGGTGGGTTGTGGTGATTATAGTGGTTGGTGTTGAAGTGCTAAACTAAAAGGCTTCCCTGTGGTTGGTTGGTTGATAGGTTGGTGGTAGTCGAGTGGTAAGGTGTTGATTGGCAGTGTTTTAGTGACAAAGCAGCCCTTACTTTTTTTTTTTGTTACTATTACTATTATTATGATTGGATCGATCGAGAGAGTGAATGATTTGTTTTTGTTGATTGGCAAATATGACTTAAAATCTATTATTGATTATTACAAATTTGTGATCAGAGATAAATTAAATTGGAACTGTGGTATAAAACTGTGTTTTGGGCTGTTGTTTTGTTTTGTTTTTTTTTTTTACTTTTTTTGTTTTTAAATTGGTGTGGTGCTTGTTTTTTGTTTATGATATTGTTGTGGTTTGGTGACGAGAAGTCAAGTCCGACATGTCTCACTCTCGAGCCTCAACAAACTATTCTATTACAATATTGTATGTCCCAAATATAAATGTTTTTAGATTGATTATATATTACATATATTTATATTAAGTTTGTGATTGATTTTTTTTCTTTTCTTTTCTTTTTTTAATGTTTATAATAAAGAAATGATTGATAGGTTGCTTCCAGTTGCTTTGATTTTAGTTTGATATCATGATTTGTAATTGAATTGGTGTTATGAAATGAAATCTGAATAGAATATGAATATCAATCTACAAAAGTCTATTTTTAAACTTTAAAAACTTAAAATCATAAAACTTTATTTGATTACCTACATATATAAATAAATAAAATAATCCAACTAAAATAATAATGACTAACTGTGACAAATAGTAAACTGATGAATAACTTTAAAAAAATGGGATTTGAAATTTAATAGTAAGTATTTGTGTGCGGTTGAAAACAGATTTTTTTAAATTTGTTCAGAATTGTTTGTTTATTTTTGTTTTTTCCAATTTTTTTTTTTTGTCAAACGGGTGAGGCTGATTCTTTTTGTAATCAAAATAAATCAAAACATCACAAAAACAAAAATAAATCCATGCAATTTTTGCAAATTAAATTGTTTTAATACCAGAAGAAAAAAAAATAATCAAAAAAAAAAAAAAAAAAAACCTTCCATAGGAATTGTAAAAAAAAGTAGTGTGGCTTTTGGTGTTTTGGTTTTTTTTTTTTTGGTTTTTTTTTGTTTTTTTTTCTGGTTTAGTTCTTTTTTTTTTTTTAAACGATTTTTAATCATTTTGCGGTTCAAATCGATTTTACAGATTTGTAGTCCTGCCCAATTTTTTATAGTTAATGGGTTTTTTTTTTTTCGGATTTATTTTTGTTTGGTTTTTCACTTCTTTTTCTTGCATAGAAATATTTCTGTGCCCAATCATTTCGACCAGAGTTTGTCTATTTTTGGGTAATATTCATTAAAGACAATTCCCACAACATAACATCACCACCACACAACACAATCAAAATAATAAACTCTTGACCATCCCTCAAAGTGATGTGGTTAAATTATATATTTAGATGGGTATCTGTTTTGGTTTAAAATTTTTTTAGATATAATTTTTCTTTTTATTTTGCTTATTTTGATTGTGGCATTGTTGTTGTTTTTGTTGTTTCTTTTTCATGGATGATTCAAAGAATCTTGTAATGTCCAATTGTTACACAATCGAAATAATCTAGTAGGTGCTGGTGGTGGTGGTGGTTGTAAAAATATGGAAGGCTAACACTATAAACAACTAGTGGTTAGCTTTACCTGATTTCACACGATGATACACTTCTCTGGCGTGTTCGTAATCGTGCTCTCCTTTTTCTTTAATGGTGTTGATCTCTTGGTCATGAATCAGCTCCGACTTGGCCAAGTCGTCTGAGATCTCTTTTTTCTTCTCTTCCAACTGGGCATCTAGTTTCTCTCTGGCCTTCAAAACGGTGTCTTTGGAGTGCTGATAGTCCTGTGAGCACTTCTCACTCTTCTCCTTCATCAGAGTCTCATGTTGTCGGATGGCACGATCGAATTTCTTCTGTTCAAAACCAGCATTGTCTTTTCGTGGTTGCATGAGATGTTCAAGATTTTTTGGTGGTGAGTTTGTTTTGTTTGGCGATTTGAAATCAACTTCAAATGATGAATCTCCTGAATCTACATTATTATTATTATTATTCAAGTCCATCTAGAGATATTTATATATTAACAAATCATTAATACATATTTAACTATTTTATTTTTATAAACTAAATAAATAGATAGATAATAATAACATACCTTTTAATGAATATATGAATAAATTCTATAGAATACTACTATTAATATTATTTGTATATATATTATATTATTACTTTACAATTTGTTAATTTTTTTATGAAATATAACAAAAAGATATTAAATTTAAATTATTTAATCTAGAAGTATCAAATATTAGCAAATGGAATGTTTTAAAACAAGATGACATAATAATATTAAATTTATAAAGAAAATTTGTCTCATTGTCAATTCTTATCTTCAATTTCCTGAAAAGGAAATGTGTAATAAACTTTTTTTTTTTTTGTATGTGGTGTGAATGAAATTGAAAATTAATATTAATTTTATAAAAATTTAAATATTTGTTATAAATGAACTGACTATAGTAGTTTGATTATATGTTCTTTTAAATAATAATATAGTATACTTTCTTTCTATCTAATTTTATTAAAAACAATCAATGATTTGATATTTTATTATATTTTTTAATTATTAATAACATGCTTAATTTTTACAAATGTTTTGTGTCAATCTATTAAAAACTATTAAGATGATAAAAAAAAAGTGATATTGTATACTGTATAAATAATTAATGTTTATATATATATATATGTAGAGATTAAAATAGTACAGATATTGCGTGTAAATTGATTGATTGATTGATTGATTGTTGTTTTGTTTGTTATTATTATTATATTATTGGCTTGTTAATGGTTGGTTTGTTGATGTTTGCGATGTTGTTTGTTGTTTAATGAAATGATTGTTGTTTAATTAATATTAAATCGATTTCATTGATTATTTATATTATTTAAAAAATACCAAACTTTCCGCTCAATTCCATGTTGAATGAATTTCTTTGAGCATCGTTCGAGTGATGCAATATGAGTGCATGTACATTGGCGAGGTCAGCAAGTGTTGGTTGGTTTGGACCCTTGGGGACGGGCGAGAATATATTGCCAAAGTGACCGGACAGACGCATAAAGAAGCGGTTAAAGACTTCACGGAATTGCATGACGGTGACCTGGTCGACAGAGATCTGGTTGTGCATCAAGAATGCCGGATCCTGGATGAAGTAGCCACGAGTGAGGAACTTCTCGACGATTGCCAACCCGTTGTGCGACTGGAAGAGCTTCTCAATGAACTGTGCCTGATTAAAGTTTATGAGGAAGTGGAATGCCAGTATGAAGAATGGCATCGGCACTTCCATGACCCATCGCGCAACGATGCCGTAGATGGCGTTGGTAGCATTCTCCGAGCCCTCTGGCAAGTGGAGCAGTAGCAGCAACGGGAGATTTCTGCAGACGCCAAACAGTGCGGACACGGTCTGCTGTGGGGTGAGTGCACCGAATGCACGTGAGAGCAGTTTTCTACCCTTGCCAATGACCCAGAGTGAAACAAACAGGAGATCTTCGGGACAAACCGATGGCCATTTCTGGTCGGGAATTTGTTGTGGGAGGACGGGCGACTCCATCTTGAAGCAGGGGAATGGGTCGAGGTGGAGCGACTTGAACAGCTCCTGAGCGACTTGTTCACGCTTGTTTTGGAACTCGGCGAGTTGGCTGGACTCGGCGGCCTGTGGACTGCTCATGAGAATGTCGATATCTTCGAGGTCCAAGAGATGGTTGTACGACGACTCGATGGCCAACTTGATGGTCTGGTCCGACGACTGGACAGTCTTGTCATACTCATCCTTATCGAGAAGGATCTGTAGAATGGGACGTGGAGCACGAATCGAGTGAGATGGTATACGTCCTAGAGCACCAGAGAGTGGATCAACACTGGTCGAAGGCTTCTTTGGATTCATCAAAGACTTTGGAAGCGAATCGCAAATTGGAGTATGTGAATGAATGGGTGGAGCTGCAGTTGTTTCTTTATAATTGATTGTCATTGTTAGTTAACTGAATTCAGTTACAATACTGAGTAAACATTTTTCTTTTTCAAACTTACTTAATTTTAATCTTTGATAGTAATAATCTTCAATGTATGGATTGGTATAGTGGAGTTGATATGCTTGAAGACGATGGATCGTTTGGATTTCTTCGGCGCTCATGTATTTCTTATCGAGTGGCGATTGCTTTTGTTGTTTACCGTTTGGTGATTTTGTGTAGTGATGGTATTTATGTTGTTGTTGTTGCAGCATCTGTGGTGTGATTGTTTGTTGAGTTGGAGATGGAACACCACCACCAGCGGTGTTAGAGTGCATTTGCCAGTTGGCATCTCTGGCTTGCTCTCTGAGTGTGTGTTGCTGTTGTTGATACTCCTTGTTACCTGGAATCATATCACCCAAAGTAAGTGTTCTTGGTCCATAGTTATTATTCCTATTATTGTTATTTCTATTATTGTTATATGATGAATTATCTCTTTGTTGTTGTTGTTGTTGATAGTTATTTGGATGTTGTTGTTGTTGTTGTTGTTGATTATATTGTTTATTTTCTTCGCTTGATGTTGGTACTGGTACTGCTGTCGCTGCTGTTGGTGGAGATGATTGTGATTCCAATTTTGCCTCGATATCAGATACTGAAACTGCACCTTTCAGGCCATCCAAACTTTGAACGGTTTGAGTCTGTGCTTGTCCAGCTGCCATAAACAATTTCTTTAATGGGTCAACAACAGGTTGTTGCTGCTGTGATATTTGTTGTTGCTGTTGTAAATTCTGTTGATAATGATACTGTTGTTGTTGTTGATGATGATGTACTTCTTGTTGATGCTGCTGTTGTTGCTGCTGATGTTGTGGTTGTATATAATTTACTTGTTGTTGTTGTTGTTGATGATGATGTTGATGTTGTGGTGATGGTATTTGTTGATTTACATTACGAGTTGGTGGTTTATAACTATCGCCCATTGCAATCTTAAACATTGATTCCAATTGATCGTCGTCAACCTTTAGAAAAATCACATATTAATTAATACCGCAATTCCTTTTTTTTTTTTTTTTCAAGTATAAATTAATTTACTACTATATTACTACTTACTTGATTTCTATTGTTTTGTGATGTGTTATCATCGTTATCATAGAGTGAGAGTGAACTGAACATTCCGACGGTACGTGAAGACGTGCTACTAGTGGTACTAGTAGTTGAAGTGGTAGTGCTTGTCGACTTATAATGTGAAGTAGATTGAGAAGTTATTGTTTTCTTTTTATTCATATTGTTATTATTATTATTGTTGTTGTTGTTATTATTATTATAACTTCCATTTCCATTGTTGGTATTTCCGAAATCAAAGAAAGCAGCACCAGCAGTAGTATCGATACTTCCACCGATGTCATCGATATCTTCAAAGTCATCTGCATCGCCTTCACCATCGCCATTACCCTCGCCATACAAATCTTTTCTTACAATACCATCTCTCAATCGATTGGACTCTGCGAAATTCTCGTGTTCACCTGCCAACATAGTGTGTTGATTCTCCCACTCATCATCTAAATTGTTGTTGTTTTTTTTTTGTTTTTTTTTTTTTTTAATTTGCCATAAATATTTTTGTTTTCTTTTGATTATTATTAGTTTACATACTTAGAGGACCGGTATCACCAAATGTCTCATCGTCATTGTATTCATATTCATCGCCACTAGCTACATCATTAGCCAATCCATTATCTTCATCAAAATAGTTTGAAGAAGACATTGTTTGTTTTTCTATCTACTCTACTACTCTACTCTACTCTGTTTTGCTCTATCTCTATCTCTATCTTAATCAACTTCTTTTTCTATCTATGTATTTAACTAACTATATTATTATCTTTATAAATTTGTTATTTATTTATTTTTTTGCTGTATATATATTAATTATATAAATAAAATAGAAAAATATAAAACAGAAAAATGTACAATTAATTAATATATTTATGATGAAATATATTTTATTTTATTTTTAGGTCTTGATCGAATTATATATTAGATTTTTGATCATTAAATAATTATTTTATTATCTTGTTTTTTTTTTTTAATAATGATAAAAACAATATAAAAAAAAAAAAAAAAAAACAGAAACAAAAATTTGAATTTTTTTTTTATCAACCATGAAAAAAAATGTAACGTTATGAAGTTCAACTGGTAAAGCAAAAAAAAAAACAGAACAGAAGCTGCTTTGGTAGTTATAAATTTATTTTTTATTTGTTTGTTTGTTTCATTTTCTTTATGAACCTCAAAAATTATTATATGTTTATTATTTATTTATTTTTTTACTTTTAAAAAATAGTTTTTTTTTTATTTTTTTTAAATAGTTAAAGAAAATAAAAGTAAAAATTAAATGCAATAAAAAGTACTACAAAGATTGATTGAAATTGACAAATAATATTATCTTTTTATTTTGCCTCCATTCCTAAATTCGCCTCAAATTGAACAACATGGTCATGGCATATAGCACAATAAAACCATTGAATTATCTATTGTAGATTAGGCATGTGGTGGTCTGAAAATTCATAAAAACCTGGTAGACAAAATTGTGTTAGAATTGTGTAAACCACAAAATATTTCGAGTGCTCTCAGTGTTGTGTCGATTCTTCAAACATCATGTTAAACAAAAACTGTTTGTTTATTTATAAATCTCTCTCACTAATAAACATAAATAATAAAGAATAATAATAATCGTAATTATTATATGTTTATATATATCTAAGTATTTCTTTTTTTTTGTGTAAATTTAGTTTATTTATTATTATTTCATTTTATAGAAACGATGATTTTTAATAGAAATTATAGATATATATCAATTATTAATATTACAATTACTATTCATTAAAATATTATTATTATTTTATTATTTATCATTTATTTATTAGTTAGTTAGTTAAGTTAGCTAAGTTAGTTTAAATAAACAAAAATCTTATTATTATTATTACTATATTATTATAATATTTTTGTTTAAAAGTGTTTAAAAATTAAATAGAATAGTTTACATTTATTTAGTTTAGTTTAGTTTAAGTTTATTTATTTATTTATTAAAAAAAAAAAAGAAAAAAACAATGGAACCTGTTACACAAATTTTAAGAAAAGTTAAAATAACTTTGGTTGGTGATAACAATGTGGGTCGTCTTAGTTATTTGAAGACTATAGTCGATGGAGCAGATGATTTTAAGCCAAGCACAGAGAATCCATCGGTCTTTGTTCGTTTGCCACACATCTTAGATTCAGACTTTAATCAATTCTATTTAGAACTGGTAAAACAAGAGAGTGCTGTAACAATGATTTAATCATGATAAACAATCATTCAATTACACCTTTAAACATTATTGATACAAACAATATTCTTTTACTGACATTTAAAGTGTGAACTTGGTCTTTGTTTTTCTTTTTTTTTCTTTCTCTACTTATCTTTTTTTTTTTTTTTTTTTTCTTTTCTCTCTTTTATCCAACTTTTTCTTTTCTTTTTTTCTACTTTCTTCTTTTCTTTTCTACTCTTTTATTCTTTCTTTTCTTTATTCTTTATTTTGATTTTTTTATTTATTTGATAATGTCCTTTTCCTTTTAAACATAAAAGGATTGTAAAATCGGGAATGATAGGTGGAATAATAGATCTTTTACATCTTTAAATCGATCGACTGCAGCTTTTATTATTTTTGATTTGTGTGATCGGTTATCGTTTGAGAATGTTCGTAATTGGTATAATGAGATATGCAGATTTGCGTCACCGAATTGTATGATTGTCGTGGTAGGAACCAAGTCCGATCTTTTGGAAGAGCGTAAAGTTACATACCAAGAAGCGACTGCCTTGTCCGACAGCATCGATGCCATTCACTACTATGAAACCAATCGATTCAACCCACACCAGAAGCGTCTTTTCGAAAAGATTCTTGCCAACATTGTCTACTACAGTGACTTTCAAAACTATACTGCACCGTCTGCATCGATCAATATCAACAGGGCGCGACGCCCGCTGGCACGCTCCACCGAGCTACCGGCGATTCCACAACACACCAATCTCCAGATGTCAATGTTTCGATTGGTCTTTAACAATCGTCTGCTTTCCAATCTGATTTTCGAGCAGGTCTCCAAGATTCATTGTGGTCGCGGATCGTTGGTCGGTCACTTCCAGGACAACAAGTTCCTCAGTGCTCACCACTACTACAACGTATTCTCCTACAAACTGGCGAAACAAATTGATTTCTCGGTGCCCACTACACAGCCATCGTTCTTTGAGCTACTCCGAAAGTGTACCGACGCCGAAGTCACCAAACACATGATTCACCAGCTTCCCGCTTCCGAGCTGGCAGAGAACAGCATCAAGATAGCCGATGAATTGGTGATTGCCGGTGATGTCAGTGTGGTAGCGTGGCTGTACAAAGAGTATAAATGTCGCTGCTCGATGCAAGCACTCCGCTACTCGATAGTCAACGGCGATTTCAACATGCTTGCATTCATTCTGGAGACAGTCGGAAGCAAGCGATCAAAACAAAAACAAAAAAAGGATCATGAACTGACAAAGATGAGCAACCTCGATAAGGACAACCTCATAACATTTGCCAAGTCATTCGACAGACCAGACATTGAAAAGTATCTCAACGATTACAAGATAACTTCTTCTACTTTTCTAAATAGACTGAAATCGAAAATCATCAAATAGCTAAACAGAAAGTTTAAATAAAAATCCACACACAAAACCACAAGGCAAGTGACAACATCACTTGGCGGTGATGTTAAAATATAGTAATATATGTTGATATCATTAATTTTAATTTAATGGTTAATTTAGATAATTCATAGATTTTGATGTTTTGTGGGGAAATCTGTGGAAGTTGGTGAAGGTGTGTGAAGTTGGTGTTCTTTAATAAGCATCCACATGTTATGTTTGCAAGTTTTTGATTACATATGAAATTTGATAGAGAGAGTGGTTGAAATTTCAATGTCTTGAAATTTAATATCTATCTGAATTTAACTAAAATAATGTTCTTTGTTCAAAAAATAATATTCATATATGGGTAAAGTTCGGCAATAAAAAAAAATAAGGAGGAGAAAAAAAAGTTTCAAATGCCGAAGCCCAACCAAACAATTATCTGGTTTCTTACATATTTGATCACAGGAATCAAGATTTCTATTTTTAATTAAAAAAAAACAAAAAAAAACTGAAAAAAGAAAAGGTGCTCCACCACCCCTCTTTTTAGAGATTCTAGATGAGTGTTTTTTTTTCACTTTTGATCAAAACTTTTTTGACACTTTTTTTTTTTTGTTTAGATTTGATGGTGGTATTTTGACTGGCTCCATTTTTTTTTTTAGATATTGAATATCTACGGAGCAAAGACACAATGCCTCCACTCATTTTTTACGGATGTCTATCTCTTTCTTTTTTTTTTTTGTTGAACAGTTTTTTTTTTTTTTTTTTACAATCAAAGATTTGATGTTTTTCAAGATTTTTATTTAAATAATTTATTGTGTTTTTTAACAATGAAGTTAATTGATCAACCACACTACCACTTTGGTCCTGTCTCCTAACGCCTAATAATGTTCCGTTTTCTTTAGTTAACCTTTTTGTTTTTCAATCAACAACCAACTAATTTCCTAAAACTTTTAACTTGCATTTTCACATATTTATTTATTTATTTATATCTCTTTATTTTATTTGTATTATAATCAATCAATCTTGTTTTTCTCATAAATATCGGAATATATAGATTAAATATTTAATTTTAAAAATTATTTACGTTTGGAGATACAATTTTTTTTTTTAGTAATAATAATAATAATAATAAAGTTAATAAACAAATCACAGTAGTAAACAAATAAAATAATATGAAATCAATAGTAATTAAATTACTATTGTTATCTATTATATGCAACTGTTTGGAAGCTGCAGTACAATGGCCAACTAATGGTCATTTTTACGATGTTCTAAAGCCAAGCAGTCGTCCCTCACAATTCACCGACGCCTTGACTTGGGCAGCTTCACAAAAACCAGCAGGTATTCCAGCTGGATACGTCGCATATGTCGGAAATATCAACACTGCCGAAGAGTTGGCATTCATTCTTTCTAAAATACCGGCAGCCACATCAAACACATTCTACGTTTCATCGGTGCGTGGCGACACAATGAACGCCTGGAAAATTCTGGCCGGTCCAGAAACAGGACAAATCCACTACGATACAATCAGTTTGAAGTGTTTGTTGTATTGTAACTGGGCATTTGGAGAGCCCGACAATCTCCAAGCCAACAACATCTACTATGATCCTACAGCAAAGGCATTCTTAAACGGTTTATACTCGGATGCCGGCACTCTCTATTTCCTTATTGAATGGGGACCTGCCAACGAACCATTTATACCACCTGTGCCAACTAGCGGTGCAACAGTAACTGTCACCACCAATGGATGTAATACAGCCAAAACCAATATTACATTTACACCATCGGGCGGACAAGCCACTCAACTCACAGTACTCACCACCACAACCAACACTGTTCAATTCAAAATTCCACCCGGTGGAAATATCAGTAGTTTTGCAATTACCGATGGTAGTGCTGCATGTACATTTTCCAACCCAATTTATAAATATTTAAGTAAGTATAGAAAAAAGCATTATATATATAATAGTTAAAGAAAATTTATTTGTTTATTAAACTTTTTTCTTTTCTTTAAACAATTTAATAGCACCAGCAATTGAATTGGTTTATCCTTCATTGATTACTGGTACACAAATTACTATTACTGGTCAAAGTTTTGGAAGTGTTGCAAGTGATATCAATATTAAACTTGGTTTTTCATCGGTTTCATGTACTTCACCAGTACTAATTACACCACATACACAATTGTCATGTAATCTTCCATTCACACCAACCACCAGTACAACCATCTTCCCTCTTTCCATTCAAATTGGTTCATCCAATCCATTTTATTCTCTATCTTTTCCAATCTGTAAGTTATCAAACATTTCTCAAACTGTTTTAAAACAATTATTAATTATTTTCTTTTTATTTCCAAAAAATAGATGATAAATATAATATGAGAGCAATTGCTTTCAATCCAAGTCAAAATAGTTATGATCAAGGTACTTGGTTCATTCAAGGTACACCTGGATATGCCATACAAGGATATACAAACTATGGTGGAATTCCAAGTTCTCCAGACCAAATCTCAATGAGCACTCTTGTTTTCCCATTTGCTTCGGTCGGTTATGACTTCCACGTCTCGATCGTTGGTACTTCCAACTCTTGTAATATGAAGAATTTCGGTGGTCCATTCGATGGAACACCCGTAATCAATGCTCTCAAAAAGTGTGATGCCACCAAGTTGGTCGCCTGTCCAAATGGATTCGCAGGTGGTGTTGGACCAGAGACAACCTCTTACTTCCAATATCGTGATTCCATCTACGGTCAAAACAATGCCAACGACGACGGACAACACGGTAATATCATTATGTTTGGTATCACACCAAAGATGTCGGACAGCGGTAACAAGTATTTCAATACATCCGGTGGTTTCTATAATGTTACTTTTGCCGGTGGTGTTGGTTTCGCTTTCACCAAACGTACTCTTCTCATCAATGGAGTATCGATTCCACAAGCCAATCTGCAACCATTCTTCGATAAGAGTGTCATCCAAGTAAATGTTCCAGCTGGAACAGGTGGACCAAAATCATCAGTGTTTGGTTTCGAGTCGGCTTACAATTTAGCTGGTCCAGGCTTTGGTTACTATGCACCATGGATTAGTTCAACAAGTAATCCATCTACTCTTGGAGATGCGCTAGTGATTAACGGTGTCAATTTCGGTAATAACAAAGCTGTTGTTACTGTCACCATCGATACCAATATCAATTGTCCAGTCACCTCGATTAGCATTCCACACAACCAAATCACCTGTACAATTCCAGCTGGTGTTGGAACCCATTCAATTACTGTCAACGTCGATGGACAAGTTCAAACCAACACATACTCAGTGGTCTATGCAGCACCAGCCATTACCTCTATCACTCAAAACGGTGTTCAACTCTCAGTTTCTGGTACCAATTTTGGATCAACACAAAGTGCGATTTCTGTGAATCTTCCATCTCCAACAACAGTATCTCTAGGTGGTATTTTGGGATCTACTTACACTGTTGTTGTTACTCTTCCAATCATTGTTAAAAATGGTTTAATCACTATCACTGTTGCTGGTCAAACTTCAGTTGGATACCCATGGAATTACGTTCCAATCATCACTGGAATTTCACCAAATGTTGTAAATTCAGTTGGAGGTGATGTGGTTGTTATTACCGGACAATTCTTGAATGCCAATCGCCAAGATAACTCTGCTGTAAATGCAACCATTCAACTGGGAGGAAAAGAATGTGGTTCACCTTACTTCTCTTCGAATTCGACCAATACCATGGTACAATGTAACTCACCAAAAGGAACTGGAAAGAATCTACCAGTCCAAGTCACCATCGACGATAAACCATCAAACATTCTCAACTCTTTCTCTTACCTTCCTCCAGTAGTTACAGCATTCACTCAAGTTGGAACCGTTGCTACCATTGCCGGCCAGAATTTCGGTGAGGATTTCTCAGTTGTTTCAGTAACCTACAATGGTGTCAACACAGTTCCAGCAACCTCTATCAATCTCCTCAGAAATTCAGTTGTTGCATCAATTCCATACGACACCACCAACGGTATCATCACAGTGACAGTCAACGGACAGACATCTGATAGTTTCAATATCGCCATTGCTCCAATGATCACAGGTGTTTCTGATGTTCCAACTGCAGGTGGTAACATTGTACTCACAGGTTACTATTTCAATCCAACCGACTACAAAAGTAATCCACTTTCACTCAGTGTCACATTCGATGGTCAACCATGTACCAATCCCGTGATCACAACACCCAATTTCCAATTGAAATGTAATGCTCCAGCTGGTACCGGTGCTAATCTCACAGTTGAAGTTTCCATTCAAGGTGCCGTCGCCGATTTCCTCGTCAGTTATCTTCCACCACAAATCGTAACTGTTTCCAACTCACCAAATTCATTCACAATCAGTGGAACCCAATTTGGATCGGATAGTTCACTTATCCAAGTTGTCTACACAGCTGATAATGGTTCGGTAATCATTTTATCCGATTCCGTTTACACCAACAACTCTGTACAATCGATTATTTCCAATTCCATCCCAGAGAATGCGATCAACGGTCCAATTTCAGTTATCGTAAATAGACAATCATCGAACCAATTGCCATATACTCTTGTCCCAATTATCAGCTCTGCCAGCAATCCACCAACAATGGGTGGTCAAATCACAATCACAGGTTCACATTTAACTTCCTACAGATCCGATGGTACCAATACAACCTTATCAGTTCAAGTCAATGGTTTTGTTTGTATGTACCCAGAAGTCCAATCGTTCGAATCGATGGTTTGCAATGTTTCCTACGGTACCGGTATAAAGAATTCATTGGTAGTTTCAATCGATAATTCACCATCCAATACAATCCTATTGGCATATATGGCACCCTCCATTTCATCTTTTGAGCAAGAGGATCTCTCCATTAAAGTGAGTGGACAAAACTTTGGTATGAATACAGTAATTACCTCTATTACATTTGACAGTGCATCCGGTCCAATTTCATCGGTCAACCAAAATGTTTTGATGGGACCAATACCAACACAATCAAGAAGTGGTCAATTCAAAGTTACTGTAGATGGTCAAGATTCCAATTTGCTGGATATCAACATTAAGCCAGTGCTTCAATCGATCTCATCTACTGGTACCTCTGGTGGTGAAATCACAATCGTTGGATATTTCTTGAATTTCTACAGACAAAATGTCAGCAGCACCAACCTCACTGTCGACTTCCTCACTTCTCCACCATCTTCATGTACCAATCCACAGTCTATTTTTGTTGATAACACATACACAGCCTTGACTTGTCAAGCTCCAGCTGGATCAGGTTTCAATATTCCAGTGAGAGTAACTATCGATGGAAAGTCAGATACCATTCCTTTCAGTTATGGTGCACCAACTTTGACTTCAGTCAAAGTTAGTAAGAGTAATTTAGTTGTTGTAACTGGTACCAATTTCGGAAATGATGCATCGAGTGTACAAGTTACATTGTCAGGCGAGGTAATTGAACAATTCACATTAACCGACGACACTCACTTGCAATTCATTGCTCCAACTGATGCAGTCAATGGTATGGTTACTGTCAGTGTACAGTCTAGAACCTCAAACGGTATCCAAGCCAACCTCTATCCAATCCTCAGCGGTGTATCTATGTCCGAAACCCAAGGTAGTTTGGTAGTGTTGACCGGTTCCTATTTGAATCAATTCTCCTACGGTGGATATCCAAATCTTGTTGAAATTCTCGTTGATAATCAAAATTGTACAGACCTCGTCTGGTTGAATAGTAGCTCTCAGGTAACTTGTTTGGCTCCACCAGGCACTGGTATTGCCCACAATATTGGTATTACAATCGAAGGTCTCCCAGCCAACTCTTTGCCATTCAAATATTATCCACCTGCAATTCAATCGATCACTCAAGATGGTAACACTCTAACTATCGACGGTGAGAATTTCGGAAACTATCAACCAAAGGTTTCCATTTCCAATAATTATCAAATTCAATCTGTCAATCATACTCAAGTAGTTGTTACTCTACCAACCGATGCTCTTAACAACCAATTTACCATTACTGTAGACGGCCAGATTTCCAACCCATTCCTCCTTGAGATTGCCCCGCTCATCACTTCAACAACATCTACATCTCCATATGGTGGAGCTGTTACAATTACTGGTAGCTACCTCAATGAAAAAGATTCCAATGGAAATGAAAATACTGTAACCATCAGCATTGGTGGACTTCCATGTTCATTGAATAAGACTATTGTTGTTGGCAAGCAATTCCTTTGCACAATTGGAGAGTCATCTCTTTTGAATGCTCAAGTATTGGTTTCCATCGGATCCAAGAATGGTACTGGAATTTACACATCTGTATCACCATCTATCACTTCTTCAAGCCAATTGTTCTACATGATTCCAGGAAATGTTACTATTACCGGTCAGGAATTTATCAACCCTCTCGTTGTCTACATTGGAAATGACACTTGTTCTTCTCCAGATTTAGTTTCACCAACTACTGTTGTTTGTAAATTCAACTCCACACAAGTATTAGCTCTAAATGAACAAGCAAATATAACCATTCAATCTGGATTGCTCAATGGATTCAACTCTGTATTCTCATACTACATTGAGGATTGCGAGAAGAATTGTTCAAACAATGGTCTATGTTATTCTGGATTCTGTCAATGTAATAGCGGATTCTCGGGATCTTTGTGTGATATCAAATACGATGCCCAAGTTCTACCAACTCTTAGCTCATACACCTCAACATTCAAAGCATCGAATATTTCATTCACTGTTGAAATTGCTGGTATCCGTGAGGTCACATCGGCAATGGAATCAGTCAAATTTGTTGGAATGGATACACTCAACTGGACTCTAGGTAATTCTAACCAAAATCCTCAAAAGATGGAGAGCATCTACATTGGAAACAGTAGTGAGAATATCAGTTTGCAGTTGACAACCACTCAATGGTTGCAGAATTCTCTCTCTCACTTTGTCGGACAAGTTTTGCCAAGTCCCTCCAATTCTGTTAAACATTCAATAGTTATCAATAGTTGGCCATTTGCCTCACAAATGAATTCACTTCAATTGGTATACAAAGTTTCCTACATTTCCGATATCTTTGAATGCAAGAATGTGACAGCCAACACTGGAATCTACTATAATCTCCTCACCAACCAAATGAGTTCATTTACATTGGACACTCCATACGCTGTTCTAACCGGAACATTCTCCAATCGTGTCAACAGAGATTCCATTGGAAATCTTATGGCAATTCAATCATCGAACCAAACAACAACAGAGATTCCAGTAGGAAACAATACCATTTTGGTTTCCCTCAATATTCCATCATTTGAAACATCAGTTGCAATCGATCCCATCTTTGTATCATATTCCAAGATTACCACTGACTCTAATATTTGCAACACCGACAATGGTGGTGGTTCAAAATCAAACAAATGGCTCATTCCAGTCATCGTAGTTGGTTCCATGCTTGGTGCTATTGCAATTGGAGCTGGAGGTTACATGGCCCACAGAAAGAGAAAACAAAATATTGAAATGAAAAAGAAAATGGTTCAAATGGATATAAATAGTTAAAAAATCAACTTTTAAATCGAAATAAAATATATTTATAAATTATACTCTATTTCTTTGATTTTTCAAGATTTTATTACAAAAAAATATATTTCTTTGTCAATTTCATTTCATAAATGATTCTTTCTGTTTTGACATAATTTTTTTATTTAATTTTAAATTATATAATTCTTGTTTTTTTTTAATGTAAATCCATTTGTACCATTCTCTTCATTGAGGCATTTTTTTTACGTTTATAGATAAAGTATCCCAATCCTGCAAGTAAGGCGGCACCAACAATAGATAAAACAACAGCAACAGGGATTACCCAGTTTCTGTTCTTCTTGGATGAGTTGCAGTTTCTGTGGACTGCATCGGTCTTGGAATAGGAAACGAAAATTGGATCATAAATAATATGATCTGTAAAATTGGGGATGTTGAGTGCAATCGATACACTGCTTTCTCCTTCAGAGTCTGGGAATGTGGTGTTATCTTGAACAGTTTGGATATCCAAAATGTAGTGAATGTGATCTCTAATCAAACGGTTAGAGAATGAAGCAACTAAAGCACCAAATGGAGTGTCAATAGTTAGTGATTTGAGTGTCTTGGTAAGTGAGTTTTGTAGGCTCTCAACTTCGGCTTGTGATTCTTCACAATCGTCGACAATAAGAGAAGGATAGGTTGCCTTGTAGATTACTACCAAAGAGTTTTGTGGATTGGCAAAAGTGACATTGGAAATTCTGACTTTGTGTGAGAAAGAGTTGAGTGGGAATACAAGATCTTGACCAACGAATGGTGCAATTGTTTCTTGTTTCCAGGTGGTGGTTTCAACTTCAACAATGATTGGGTTTGGAGCGGAGAATGAACCTTGGTTGACAGTTCTAATGTATTGATCATTTTCAGTAGTGTTGATAACATTCCAGGTCATGGCGGTATCATTGAAATTCCAAAGGTGAATTGTTGCACCAGAAGCATCAACTTCTTTGGCACCCGCAAGGATTGCATTGAAGGTAATATTGGAAATGAATTGCGCACTCTTGGCATCAACCTTTGGAACAACACGCTGATCATATTCAACATCACAGTTACTACCTGCAACTCCTTCATTACATTGACAGAATCCATTGATACATTGTCCATCTCCACAACCATCCTCACAAGTATCTTGAAGGTAACTGAATATATCTGCACTAGCTTGGAGTGATCCGGATTGAACTTGGACAGTGAGTAATGTATTGTTTGGTTGAGCAACAGAAGAGTTGTAGTTGCAAGTCAATGAAGTTGAGCTGATAAGAGTTGGGTTTGAACAGGCTACACCTTCAACTTGTACAGTTAATGGTTCGATAAAGTAGGTTCCTCCAACTGTAATTACACCACCTACTTGGTAGAATAATTGAGATGAAGAAAGGACAACTGGAGAGAGAGAGCTGTATTGGTAGGAACCAGACTTTCCGTCAATTGTGACATTGACGTTGGCACTGCTCATTGATTGTTGACCCAAGGTACAGGCAAAAGATGATCCGTCAACTGGAGCATTGGTAAATTGACAGTTAAGACCTCCAATAGTAATAGAGATTGTAGTTTCTTGGTTATCTGAGTTCTTGGTATTCAAATATCTACCACTGATTGTAACAGATCCACCATATGGAGAAACAGAGTTGACATTTGTAAGGATTGGTTGGATTTGTAACAATGATGTGTTGGAAATTTGAGTGTCAACTGTAACTGCAATTTGTCCATTCTTGGAATTAGAGTTGAGGGTTGCAACAATTAAATTATCAATGACACTCTTGACTGTGTAACCGGCGGAAATGGAAACCTTGGAAACTGAAGTTCCAAAGTTGGTACCAGAGATTGAGATATCATCAATGTTTTGGGAGATCGAGGAAATTGCAGGTGGAAGGTAATCTAAAAAGATAGTGTTACTTGAAAGTGATTCGATGGAAACAGTGACATGATGACCAACTCCAGTTCCAGCAGGAGCGGTACAAACAACTTGTTGATTGTTACTAGCTGTCCATTTAATTCCTGTACAATTTACAGAGTCAACAGAGATGATAGTGTTGGTTGGTCTTCCACCAGTAGAGAATTGATTCAAGAAAGTACCGGTAATAATAATCTCTGATCCTTGGGTTGCTGATTGAGTAACAGTTGAAATGATTGGATAGAAAGAGGCATATTGACCATTGGTTGATCTTTCATCGACAGTTACAATAACTAAACCATTGACAGAACTGGATGGAGCTTGGAATGTGATAATATTGGATGATACCAAAGTGAAAGTATCGATGTTTTGGGAGTTCAAAGCAACTTTGACCAAAGTGTTGTCATTTCCAAAGTTGGTACCGTTCAAAGTGACAAAATTCTTGTTACTAACAGTTACATTAATAAGGGTTGGTGCACCATAACTAAAACCAATTGTATCAGACATTCCATCGATAGTAACCTTTACTTCAATATTCTTTCCAGATCCTGCTGGAGCTTGGCATACAAGGTAGGTGTACATGAGATCGTGATCCAAGAAATATGGAGCGGTACATTCCTCATTAATCGATCCCAAAAATTGAACAGCTACACTGGTACCTGTTTTGTTTTGACGTTGGGAATTCAAATAACTACCTTGGATAGTAATGGAACCACCAGCTGTAGATGTTGAAGTAATTGATTCAAGAATTGGTGATAAAACAATGTCAAGTTCATTTGATGTTTGAGAATCAATTGAAACTGAAATCTTTCCACTCTGAGCAAATGTTGGTAATGGTGCAACAACTGAAACATCATTAGCAGAAGTAACTGGTGAGTGTGTCATTCCCAAGTTGATACCTGATACTGATGGATTGGAACCAAGGTTAGCACCGTTTATAGTAACAGAGACACCGTTTTGTGACCATGAAGCAATGGTTGGAGCAACGTAAGCAAATGGAATAATGTTTGATTGAGAATTATCAATGGTAACTGAAAGATCATTGTTTACTCCAGTACCTGCGGGTACCTCACATAGAATTGTGTCGAATTGGTCAACAACTGGATTTGAACATGGTTTTCCACCTACTGATACTGAAACTTCAGTATCCGATCCATCAGCTCTTTCAGCTGTTAAATGGGTTCCAGAAATTCTAATTTGTCCTCCTGCAGTTGGTGAAGTGGTTGAGCTTACAACAGTTGGAATTAAAGTGTATGGTTGGCTATTGGAATTTTGATAATCAACTGTAATGAATAAGTTTCCATTAAGAGTATCATCTGGAATATTATTGATGGTTACAATTTGATTGACACCATTGGACAAGGTGTTGGCAGCAATAGATTGATCACCATTGGCTGTTTGTAAATGAACGGTAATTACAGATAAATCTGGACCAAAGTTGGTACCCGGGATAGTAATGTTGGTTGTGGAAACTTGTACTTCACCAATAGATGGAGCGATGTAGCTAACCTGGAAGTCATCCATAAATCCATCGATTGTAATTTCGGCAGTAACATTTGCACCAGTTCCAGCTGGAGCTTGACAAACAATGGTTCCTGTTTGGTTGATGGTTGGATTGGTACATAGATTATTCTCAACAGTAACTTTTAGAGTAAGTGGACTTCCAGAAAAGTTTGTGGGGTTGAAGAAATTACCAGTGAATACCATTTCACCACCAACAGTTGGAATTAAAGAGGCAGTAAGAATATCTGGATATAATTGGAAGTTGAATGGGTCAGATTGTTGACCGTTGATAAATGCAACTATTTGACCGTTTTGTGAGTCCAAAGGAATTGGGACAATGATAGAATCTCTGGTTAGATGCATTGAAGTTGCAGGAACGGCTGGTTTGTTGTTGAAAGAAATACTGGCTACGTGGAAATCTTCACCGAAATTGTCACCAGCAATAGTAGCAACGGTACCAACTTGCATAAAGGTTGAAATCTTTGGTGGCAAATAGGAGAATTGGGTGAGAACATTGGAAGCAACATTGTCAATGTATACTTGAGCAGTAAGATTCTTTCCGGTACCTTTTGGAGCCGCACAATAAAGTGTGATGACAGTGGAAGCCTGAGAATAGGCACCTGTACACTCACCACTACCGAAAACAACAGTTACATTTGCATTGGAGTTGTCTTGTCTCGTAGATTGAAGGAATGATCCAAGAATAACCATTTGAGTTCCACCTAGGGAGGAAGCTAATGGACCAACAGAGGTAATGGAGGGGATCAAGTTGAATTGGTATCCCGATGATTTCTGACCACCAACAGTTACGTAGAATAAACCATTTCTGGTGTCGAAAGGTAAATTGATTGTCACATTTTGAGAGATACCCGCTGTTGGATTAGCATTGACGTCAATATTGACTGGAGTGTTAACCTTAATGTTTGATGCCATGACACCGAAATTAGTTCCCATAACGGTCAATTGATTTCCAGTTTGGACAATGTTGGAAATGGTTGGTGGAGCATAATCCAAGGTCAAGAGATTTGATTTTTGAGAATCAACATAGACATAAACTTGCAAACCAGTTCCAACACCTGCATCAATTTTACATGAAATTGCAAAGTGTGCGGTAGAAATAGCGACATTGTTGCATGGATTACCTCCAACGGTAACTGTCACAACATTGGCATTGTTTCCTAGATTGACACCATTGATAATAATTGTATCTCCATTGGTCGATGGTTTGTTGGTAACGGAGGAAATGTAGGGGGGATAATATCCAACTTTGAAATTACTTAATTTGAATTTATCAATGTAGAGATTCGAATCCTTGGCAATACCAGTACCAGCTGGAGCAGTAACGGTAAGAGTTGTAAAGTTGTACAAAGCAAACGAGGCGGTCACATTTACATTGTTAATGGCCAGTTGACGATTAGAATATTGGAAACCAGCACCCGATGGCATGTTCAAATTGAAAGATCCTCCAGAGGTGTTCAATAATTTTGGAGAAATATCAGAGATTGTTGGATCGACACCGTAGTTAATCCACATTCCGTAGAGTACTTCAAAACCGGTGGCAGTTTGATATGATGAACTAAAGTCATAGTATACATATTTTGCAGCTGAAACCCCAAGACTTCCACTTGGACAATACAATCCTTTGGAGAGATCACAAACACCATTACCAGCTACTACAACAGAGTCTGAAAGGGGACCCCAATAGCTGAGTAATTTGGAACTTACAATGGCAACACTGAATCTAGATTGGAGTCCAGTACCTGAAAATACTTGAGTATTTTTAAGGAGATCCAATTGCTTTTGAGATCCCGGTTGACCAAAGTATCTTACATATCCATCGATAGTTCTAGTAATTTCTTCGGACAATAAATAATATTGATAGTAAGAAGCTGGGGAAGGATTTAATCTTACAACTCTAACATTATCATTATCATCTGAAAAATTATAGAAAGAATTTTGTTAATATGGGAATATTAATTATAAACCTAAATGGTTTTTACTTACAAATACCAACAATGACGGAAGTGGTTTGTTGATTATTTACTTGGAGAGTAAGTGGAAGGAGTTTTTTGCTTGAAGATGGCACAAATGGCATGGTGCATGAAATAGCGGTGTGAGGTTGCAATATTTTTATATTAGTGCAAATATCATTTGAAGTACTAAGGCTAACTGATAAAGCTAAAACAGAATTACCAAAATTCTCACCAGTAATGGTAAGAAGATTACCGGAAGTTGGTTGATAAACTACTGAACCAAATGGATCTTAATAAAAAAGAAATTGATTAGTATTTGTTTATAAAAAAAGGTAGAGTTATTTATATCTTACTTTTATATTTGTAATTAGTATTGGTATAGGTTTTAATGGTATCTGTAATGACAAAAGTAGAAATTCCAGAACCTGCTGGTACGTTTACCATGGCAGTGCTGGAATTGACTGTAGTAAAAGATAAAGTGATTGGAGCGGTGGCACCTGGAGGGGTAATGGTGAATTGAATCTTGGCCAAATTGGAGAAATAGTTGTTCATGTTAACAATGACTAGAGAACCTGCAGTGCTGGCTGGTTCAATGGCTGGTTCATTGGTTGGAACGTATTCTATAAATACAGAAGTGGTAGTAGTAATTGAAACACTATGGAATTTGTTGGTTGCCAAATAGATGGCTACATTCGATTCGTCTTGTGGTTCTGGCTGTGAGAACTCATAGTTGCAATAACCTGGGCAGATGTCGTGGAAAGAATCGTAACTGAGGAGACCTTTCTCTGGTCCACTGATGTATGACCATAAATAGTTGGATGGTCCTCTACCTACACCGACCGATATATATCCGGTGGTTCCAGTCATGAGTTTTGTTTTAACGAAATTGTATTCCTCAACGGTTTGGAAGGAACCCCAAGTTGGAGTGTAACCAGCCAATACACCGGTGGTAGGAAGTGCGGCAATCTTTGTTAACATATCAGAGTTTGAGGTGGCACTGATAGTAACAACATCGTAATAATGGTTATTGGTAGTCCATTGAGTTGGAACAGCAATTGCCAATGAAAACAATACAAATAATACAAAAAATGATTGTTTTTGTACAACCATTTTTTTTTTCTATACAAAAAAAATATTATACAAATAAATAAAAATATCTGTCTATCTATAAATAAATATAATCTATTTTATTTATTTTATTCTTAGTAAATTTAAAAATTTTATAAAATTATTTTGATATTTATTTTAGTTTTGTATAATTATTTTGTTTTAAAAAAAAGAATACTATTTTTTATTTTAAAAAAAAGTTAGATATTAATCAGAGTGCGTGGGTTAGGAATCGGCAATTGGAGTGGTTTTTTCATTAGGCCATGGTACGGAATGAAAAAAAACTATTCAAATTTGATTAGTTTTTTTTATGCAAAACTTGAAACTAAAATAGAATACCATACACCCCAATACCTATCAAATCTGATCAATTTTTTTTCTACAATTTTTTTTTCATTCCGATTTCTAACAATGTTCGCTTGTTGGGGGATCGACACTCTTTGAATGTCATTCAACAAAAAAAAAAAAAATGCTTATCAGAGGAGATCCTTTCAAGATCAAGAATGGCAATCGCAAAAAATTACTTTTTTTGTATTTATTTTTTTTCAACTGTGAAAAAAAAAACAAATAAAAATATCTTTCTAATTTTTTGTGTATGTCTTCTTCCTGGTGAACATTTTTTAAATAGTTCAACAAAATGAACATACAAAGGAAGTTAATAGTGTAATTGGAATCGGAATTTACTTCAATTTCGATATTGATGATGTATCAACAATGCTATCCATTTATTTGGTTAAAATGAATCACAGATTTTTAAAAACAATCTATTTTTTCATTTTTTTAAAGACAGATTTATTATTCTTTTTTTTTTTTATTATTTAATTTCTTTATTTAAAAAGAATGATTAGCAGATATTTATATTTTTATTTTATATATATTTATTTATTTAAATTATTTAATTGTTTTATCATTTTACACACATTGAAGTGATAGGGGTGTGTGGAAATAAATTTATTATTTTTTGTAGTAAAAACAATCAAATAAAAACCCACTATATATATTAGCTGTTCAATGACATATATCTGAATTTGCAGGGAACGGGGTAGATAAATTGACGAATATTTACCATGATTTTATAATCTATCTTGCTCCAACACCCTTATACTATCAGAAATATTATCTAATATCGTTTCAATGGTCATTCAACTATTTACTAGTGGTTTACAATTCTAATGATTGGGTTTACAAATAACAAATTTGAATGAGATATTTATTTTAAACACCTTCATCTTTTTTATTCATTATTATATCTTTTCTTTTTCTTTTTTTTTTTGGTTTATTTATAGCTATTTTCTTAGATTTATTATTAGTATTATTTTATTGTAATTAAAAACAAAAATGAATAAAACAAAAGATATTGAATTTCAAAATCACAGTATGATTGGAGGTGGTGGTGGAAATGGAATTGAAAAAGGTGATCTTTCAAAGGATACCACAAAGAAATACTTGGATGTTTTCCGTCCACTTGGTCTCTCGGAAAAGTACCAGCTATCGAAACAACTTGCCGATGTTTTTGGTTCAATGTCTTGTAATTCCATTATCAAAGTTCCCCCACAACATGTTCCAATTCAAGATGAATATTTAAAGAAAATTCTTTATCACGCTTTCAAGAATTTGGTTGACAAGTTTCCACAGTTGGTCTACAAAGTCGTTGATTATAACACCAACAATCCATTGTTTGTAAAGATTCCTCCATTCAGCATTGACACGGTCGTTAAAGTTACGAATGGTGTCGATTACAGAGACGAAGAAGCCAGATACAAATTGATTCAAGAACAAATCAACTATGAATTCGATCTGGATTCCGATAGTCCCCAGTGGTATTGGCGTGTTTGCAAGTGTGACAAGTATCCCGATGAATTTATGATATTTTTGGTGTTCAACCACTTGTTGGCCGATGGAGTTGGCTCGCTTAGCTTGTATATAGAAGTATTGTCCACCGGAGCTACCTGTGACTATGAGAAGCTACCAAATATTCCTGCATCGAGATTGATCACACCAAAGGAAGTCTACGAACCAACACAACTAGTGGAGAATGTCAATCCATATAAACTCACTGATGAGCCAGTTGCTCCAACCAGCAGCATACAAGATAAGCTCAAGGCAAACTTGCCAAGCTTCCTTAAAAAGACTGATTCCATCTGGCTTGGTGTCAGACCCGCAAGATTGGAGAAATTCGACACCAGAATCAAACAGGTGTTGGTCGACAAGTCAGACTATAGCTTGGTCTTGAAAAAGAGTAAGGAGATGGGAGTTACACCACACTCCTTTATCTATACTACCTTTATCCTTGCCGTTATGGAGGTGTTTGGCAATGGTGAGAGAATGGGTGTTCGATCGTCGACACCATTCAACGCTCGTAGCTACTGCAAGCCAAAGGTGCCACTAACCGATCTTGGAATGTTCATCAGCTCGGTGGTTCGTGATGTCCACGCTACACCAGCAGAGTTGCGTGCCAACTTCTGGCAGTATTGCAAGGAGTATATGCACAGCATCAAGAATGACTATCCACAAGGCATGAAAAACCTCAACTACCTCGAGGGATTAGGTCAGTTCCCTGATGCCTACACCAAGCACTGGCAAGACAGAATCAAGAATATGCCAATGGGAAGAGCCTGCAGTTTTATCTATGCTGATCTCGGTCGTTTCCCAGACCTACCAAAGAAACACTGGAGAGTTGAAACCATCTCTACCTTCCAATCTGCATTCATCAGTTCATCGGCAATCATCTACAATTGCACTGTGATTGATGGTAACTTCACTGGATCTCTTACCTATCAGAATGGTGATTTCACCGTCGACGAAATCGATAGATTCCGTAAGCATTTGAGAAACATTATCATTGGAATTGGTAAGGGTGAATTGAATGTCGCTAAATTGTAAAGTGCACTATATTTTTCATTAGAACCATTTAGAAAAGATCTAAAAGTGGTCAAAAAAATAAAACTAAAAAAATTAAAATAAAATAAAAAACTTTTTTTTTTTTTTTTTGGAAAAAATCTTAATGTTTCGTTTGGTCTAAGGACTCAGTGGTGCAAAGGGACTTTTAATCATTTTACATTAATTATTTTATTTTGTAATATTACTAAATAATTTTTAATATTTATTTTTTAATTTTTATTTAAATAATAATGGATAAAAATATTATTAGTAGATCATTGGGTTTGATGGAGAAATATCAAATTTCCAAACAAACTACAAATGTTTATGGAACTTTGTGCTTGACTGGACTTTTAAAAATTGTAGATCTAGATAGATTAAAGGGTTCGGTCGATGAATATTTAAGATCCATTGTTTTTCCTTCAATTTCAGAGTTGTGCAAGAAGATTCCACAACTATCATTATCTGTTGTAGATATCAATACAAACACACCCAAATTTCTACAGATTCAAGAGTTGGATTTGAATAAGTTGGTTACATTCGACCAGACATCCTATGACACTTTGACGGAACCGATTCAACAAGAGATTGGCAAAGATTTTGATATCTACGATAGTTCATTGCCATTATGGAGACTAAGAATCTTTACAACTACAAAAGATCAGCCTGGTCATTTCAACGTAATTTGGGTGGTACATCATGTTATTTCCGACGGAATCAGTACAACTATTCTTATGAAACAACTACTAGATGAAATGAATAGAAATAGTAATAATATATCAGATATTGTAAAGCATATCTCTACAGTTGATTTATCAAATGAAAAATTAGTTGTACAACCTCCTTTTGACATGAGAACTGCACATCATCCAACGGTATTGGATCTACTGCCAGTTGTATTTAAACACTTCCTGGTACCATCATTCATCAAGAGATACTGGTCGACTCCACGCTTTTGGGATGGCGAGGAAGCAGCCGTCAAAGAAATGCACAACACTCAGGTTCTTCATTTGGAATTCGACCAACTTCCTGCACTCCTTCAAACATGTCGCGCCAATCAAACTACACCACACGCCGCCATCTATGTCGCAATAGTGCTGGCCACTCTCAAGGTATTTGGCGAGCAACTACAGTTGATATCGGCAACACCATTTAGCGGTAGAAATCACTGTACTCCTCCAGTTCCATCCGATGAAGTTGGCAACTTTGTAGGTGGCTACGAACGCACCAAAGACTATAGCTACTCACACCTAATTCAACCAGCCAACTTTTGGAGTGAATGCAAACAATACAAGCAAGAGATAGCCAACAACATGATCACCGACATCAAGACCACCAACATGCTCAAACACGTCGGTGAGTTCCCAAGTGCTTGGAATGACTTTTGGTACAATCGATTGAATACACATCCAAAAGGAAGAATAACTAGTTTTGAATTAAGTGATCTTGGTAATGTACAATTTAACAACAGCAACAACAATATCTTGTTGAAATCAGCAGTGTTTACACAGAGTACAAACGTATTAGGTTCTGTATTCAATGTGAATACAATCACCACCAATAATATCTTACAATGCACAGTAACATGGCAACTTAATGCTATTTCAGATCAGCACGCATCCGATTTTATTCAAGAACTTAACACTATATTAATCAGAATTATATCAGATAAATAAATAAAAAATATCTTTGACATGTCATCATTTCATTAACATAAATAAGATCGATTTTTGTAAAAAATAACAAAAGATCGATAATGGGTGAATTTTTTTCAAGCGAAGAAAAACCACTTTCTGGTTTGGCTTTTTCATTCTCCTAATACTGAATCGATTTTTTTTTTTTTTTTTTTTTTTGCAATGACTGTTTAAATCTATTATTTATTTGTATAATATTTATTTTGTTTATATATCTATCATCTTTCTTTTTCATATAATCATTTACATATGATTATTATATGTAACTAAAACAAAAAACAAACAACAATGAATGTCAATAGTAATAATAATAATAATACATTCTTATCTAATTTCAGAGATTTTACATATAAAGAATCGGAATATTTCATAGATGTATGTAATGTTACGCTATACGGAATTGTTTTTATTGATATTATTATTACTTTGATTACTAATTAATGATCGATCGATCCTTTTATAATCTAGTGTGAAAGATTCACAGTTAAAGAGATTCAAGCATTCGAAAGATTATTCAAAGCGATCGACACTGATTGTAAAGGATACATTACCAAAGATGACTATAGGAAATATACAAAGACATTGAAAAGCAACATACTTTTACCTTCCTATGAAAGTTTTCTTATATATCAAAATAATACTGTTATAACTTATTGTAAGTAGTACATTACCTGCAAGTAATCTTATAAGTCTGCAACTTACTAACATTCCGTCTCTTTTTCTTTCACTTAGACTACTTTTTAACAACACTAAGTTTACTTGGTCTTAGAATTTTAAATAGTAATGAAGATGATAATAATAACAATAAAGAATGTAATAATAATAATAATAATGTAAATGGTGAAAATAAAACAAAAAAACAACAACAACAACAACAACAATCTGCTCAAGTGTCACAGAAAGAATCAGTGGCAACAGAGACAGCCAAATCAACTACTACAACAACACCAAACACAGCTACAGCAACAGCAACAACAACAACAACAACAACAACAACAACAACAACCACCAGCTCAACTCCACCTGTAACAACTTCGATATCCACAACACTAAACACAACTACTACTACTACAACAGCAACAGCAACAGCAACTACAGCAACAACAGCAGCTCAAAAGAAACCAGTATCTACTGTACCTACCTCAAGTGGTGACAACATACCAACTGCGACAGCAACAACAGCGTCTACTAGCAACGGCAGCAACAATTCTTCCACCAAGATAAAGGCTGCATCATCTCTCAATTTACAGAAAAGCAGCAATACTGTTACCTCTAAATCATCTTCGTCCTCTCTTTCCATTAACAAATCATCACCTACGACAACTCTAAAACCAATACAACAATTGCAATCAACAAACAACAATAATAAAAATAGTAATAATAATAATAATCAAAGCAATGAGGGTGCCAGTGAAAAGAAACAAATTTCAACAACAGACCCATCACCATCTCAAGCAACAACAACAACAACAACAGTAACAACACCTGCAACAACAACAGTGTTGCCAAGTGAAAATCAAACAGTAGTCTCTACTGTGGCTAATGAAAAGAAACCTCAGGTGGAATCAACAACAGCTACTACGACCACTACTTCACTACCAACAGTATCAACAAATACAATGGAACAACCAACGAAACAAGAACAACAAACATCAGACGTAAACAATCACAAAGACGAAAATATTAATACACCGCTACCACCACAAACAAATCAACAACAACAAACAAAGCCAAAAACAACCGAAACAATTGTAATAAACATACCAACTATAGTATCAGCTTCGCCATCACCGACATCACCAACAACACCATCGCCATCACCTACATCACCCAACACATCGACACCTCGATTCAGTAGACTAGGTACACACAGACAGTCACAGAAATAGATTATATAATTAACTACAACGACAACAATTGAAAAAAGATATAGATAATAATCATAATCATATAATAATTATTGTGATTTTGAGCTGCATGATTCAAATCAAAGCTGTAAATTCATTGTGTGGTTAATTTCCGTTCATCTCATTAATTAACACACAAAAACATCACACCACACCACACACACATATTTGATTGATGTACAATAAACAAAAATAAAAAAAATATTTATTATTATTTCAATTAATCTTGAACTCATACAAATTTGTAATCTAATCATTGTTCAAATTTCATTTTACTACGATTTCATATTAATAACCAAACTACAATAATAAATAGATTTATTGTAATATCTTAATATGATAATTCTCAATGATATACCTTATCTGTTTTGTTTTGTTTGTTTTTGTTTTGTTTTTGAGCGACAGACAAACAAATAATAATATTTATCTATAAATAAAAAATGGTTTATAGGATTTTAATCTTAATTTTTTTATGTTTTTGTTTTAAATTAAAATTAACTAATGCAACAAAGGATAATATGATATATCCTGTTTATATCCAGGAATGTTATATTAATGTTCATACAGATGATAATTGTTATCCAAATAAGTAGGTTTTCATTTTCTTTATAACTAACTATCTATAAAAATAAAATTCCAAACTTACAATTTAGTTTATTTTATATTAATAAAGTGGCGATAGATATGATAACAAATGTGATATTTGGTCAAATTGTAAACTTCCACCTGGAAAAACATGTGATTTGATTGTTGATAAACATAACAATATAACTTGTAAAGAATTAAAGTGTTTAAAGGCATTGGATGTAGGAGAACCATGCAATGCTAATACCGATAAATGTCTACCTGGTTTATATGTAAATATTATTACACTTTAAAAATAAAATACCAAAATTAATTAATATTAATATTTAAATAGTGTAAAGATGCAACTTGTAGATATTTTAAATCTAGATTATTAGGATCATCATGTGTTAATGATACTGAATGTGTTGGTGAAACAACTGTTTGTCTTGATGGAATCTGTCAAAATGTCAACAATAGATGTAATGTCAGTATGGATTGCCAATATGGACAATTTTGTTCGAATTATACCGCCGAAGCAATGGGAACATGCAAATCTAGAATCAGTGAAGGTCCCTGTAGTGAACAAGATGAATGTCAATATCCAAAAGTATGTGGTTTTGGTGATAACTTGGATAAAGTTTGTGTAGATAGATATTCAAAAGGAATCAACAAGCATTGTTTAAATCTTTTTGAATGTTCTCCAGAATATTATGTAAGTCTTATTTCAAATTTGTTAATCACTTTGTTTTTAATTATCTAATCAATTCATATATTTTTAGTGTCAAAATGGAACATGTCAAACATTAGTATTATCTACAAAGCAATGTAAAAGTAGTTGTGATTGTGAAGTTAATGAACAGTGTGGATTTGACCTTACTCGCGATAAAACTGTTTGTTGGACTAAAAGTCAAATATTACAAAGAAAAATATGTGTTCAATGTAACAAAGTAAGTTGCTAATTAATAATCAACTTTTAACAAACAAATTTATTAATTTAAAAATTAGGAATTGATGAAATGTGCAGAGAAAAATATGTGTGTTTATGAAGATGATTTGGAAATAACAATGAATGACTGTTTGTATCAATATTGCTTGGATGCTTACAAGAAATATACAGATCAATGTATACCATATTCAGGAGGTCGATCCATCACTGGATATTCCAATAACCTATTTATAGCAACTATTATAGCTTTGATTATTTATCTAATAATATAATTGGAATTATTGGTTAATTAAATAATATTTTAAAATATAAATAAAATTGGAATATAAGATTAATTTAATTAAGGGGAAAAAAAGGATTTAAATTTTAATCGAGGATTTGATATGGATATTATATCATATTTTTTTGTTTTTTGTTTTTTTCAACAGTAACCAAGGTTCTTGCAAACGACAGATGGAGTTTGTTCTCTCTCGAACCATTCAATCATTTGTGGTACGTAGTTGGAGGCGATGGCTTGACATTGAGCAGTCCATGTCTTTTCGATCATCAAACAGTCGTTCTTAATCAACTTGATGATTTCGGTCTCGGTTTTGTTGGAAGCGAGATATTCTTCGGTGTAGGAAGCGACCATTGTGCAAATTGGACAATAGACACCACCGACGATTTGCTCCTCAACAACAACGGTTGGTTCTTGGATGTTGATAATGTTAATGTTAATGTGCTTCTTTGAGGTGGATGGATCGCAGACCTTGATCTCAGTGCAAACGGTTTGTGGTTCGACTCCGGATTCGATGGAGCTGATAATGAGTGGACCGTATTCGTTGATCAAAGTGGTGCAGGCATCAACAATGGTTGGCTCGTCCAAGAACTTGCAGTCATCATCCAAACGAGACATAATCTCAGTTTCGTTGAGTTTACCCTCAAAGTAACCTTCAACACGTGATACAACATAGGAGCACAATGAACATTCGATTTCATCACGGATCAAGAATTCAACGCTGTCTTTTGAGGTGCATGCCTTCATTTGATTGCAAATGGTTGAAGCTGATTCCTTGTTGAGGATCATATTAACAATGAGTGGAGTGTATGAATCTACCATAACTTGACACTGAAATTAATTAATTTTAAATAGTAGTAGGTATCATTTTGATTGAAATTAATTTTAATTAGTTTCTAAAACTATTTTATCATTCGTTTGCTATATAAATTAATAATTACGGTTGCTTTTTCTTTATCACCAAAGATATCACAAACAGCATTGAGACTGGTTTCAATATCGGAAATGGATTTATTGGATTCTACGTATCTTTCGGCGTAACCTACCAAGAAGGTACAGATCTCACAATCCATATTGGCTTGGACCTGATAGAACGAAAGTGTAACTAATAATAACAACAATGTTGGAATATATTTCATTTTCTATATATATGTATATTTATTTGTTTAATTATTTTGGAAAAAATAAAATAAAAAGGAAAAAGAATGCAAAAATCTTTTCATTCAAATTTACAATACTCTTTTAAAAAAAAAATTAGATATTTCTTTTTTTGCTAGATGGAGAAGAAAAGTAAAAAAAAAATTATCACAATCAAAAAATCGGAATTTTTGAGGCTTAGGGTGAAGAGTACCTCTCTTTGCGTATCCAAAAAAAATAAATTAATATTTTTATATAAATTTTAAAATAATTATTTTTTTTGGGGAACTTATTTATTGTTTGATTTTTCTTTAGTTTAAAAAAAAAAAGATATTTAATTTTAAACTAGTTTATTCCGAAGAAATTTCATTTTAAACAACAATGAATTAACTTTTATAGAAAAAGTTGATGTGACAAAATACAATAAATTAAAATAAACAATATAAGTTTGTTATAATTATCTCTCTCTTGTTCCGTATATAGAAAAAAACAATAATTAAATAAACAATATAAGTTTATTATAATTATCTCTCTCTTATTTCCGTATATTCGAAATTGAATTCAAAAACAAAAAAAAATGAAACAAATAATTTTCAAAGACGACTCGTCGTTTTATTCCAATTTTTAATCAATCGTGTGTGTATTTTTTATTTTTTTGCAAATTTAGTTTTATTGTTAACAAAAATGGATGAAACAAATGATGGTAATAGTAAGAAAAGAGAGTATAACGAAGTAGACAATAAAGAGTCGAATGGTGTTACAACCACAAACAATGAAAATGATCATTCTGATAAGAAAGTAAAAATAGAAGATGATGTTAATATTAGTAATGCAACGACCACTACTACTACCGATGCTACAGCTACCACCACAACCACTGTAGTTGACACAAAGATGAGCGAAGAAGACGATTCTGAAGATGGTGGTGATGACGATGAAGATGATGAAGACGATGGAAAAAAGAAAAAGAGAAAAGGTAATCCTGCATTCCCTATTCCACCATTACTCACCAAAGACGAGCTAATTGCATTGCAAGCACCAAACAAGATAACCACCGACAAGACAAAGAAGAAGAAAGTTGCTATTTGCGTTGGTTATTCAGGAACAAACTATAGAGGAATGCAAAAGTATGTAATTATTATTAAAAGAAAGAAAAGGAAGGAATTTTATTATTATTATTATAGTTTTTCTTACATTTTTGTAATTCATTTATAGGAATCCAGGATTTCCAACTATCGAAGATGAACTTGAAAAAGCGATTTTCAAAGTTGGTGGTATCTCACCGGACAATATGTATTGTCATAGAAAGATCGATTGGATTCGTTGTGCAAGAACCGATAAAGGTGTCTCTGCCATCAGAAATATGGTTAGTTGCAAGTTGGAGTACGATCCACCCACTCTCGATGAGATGAAGACTGCGATCAATGCACAGCTGCCCAACGATATCAGAGTGTTTGCAATCAAGCGTGTCAACAATACATTCCACGCCAAGAACTGTGTCGATAGAAGATCGTACATCTACATCACACCGACATTCGCATTCGAACCGATCTTTGCCAACAACAAACCAGCTCAATACAAATTCGATGAACTCGAACGCACTCGTCTGAATTCACTTCTCAAGCTATTCGTTGGTACACGTAAATATCATAACTATACCTCAAAGAAAGAAAGTAATGATCCATCCGCTGTTAGAACTGTCAATTCTTTTGAAGTAAGTTGTAAAGTTAAAGTGTTGTTAAACATTGTAATTTGTTATATATATAGATAGTTAGTTAGTTATTAACAATCTTGCTTATAAAGTGTTCAGAACCATTTATGAATGAAGGTGTAGAGTTGGTAGCTATTAATATTGTTGGACAAAGTTTTATGTTACATCAGATTAGAAAGATGATAGGTGTCACAATGCAGTTTATGAGAAAAGGTTTCTTTGCCGATAGTGAATCCGATGAAGCTGCATTGTCAAAGATGAAGAAGCTGGTGGAAGCAACGTTTGCACACAGACAATTCAATTTACCGATGGCACCCGGTGCCGGTTTGTTGTTGGATCGTTGTCTCTACGATATTTGGACACAAAAGTTTGGTTCGGTACACGGTGACCTGATGTTTAATGAACAGGCCGAAGAGATCGAGGCATTCAAAAAAGATAGAGTCTACAAGGAGATCGCCAAGTTTGAATCGGAACAGCAGTTGTTCAAGACTTGGTTCAAGGATTGCTTGGATCCATATCCACTGCCATACGCCGACCTCATTGACACCTTTGAAAATCCACCTGCTGCACCACCCCGCAAGCAAGTTAGCAAGCCACCAAGAGAAAGAGTTCCACACTATCGTCAAATTAAATATTTAGGTAAAGATGAATCAAAGAAAGATGAATCAGTCAAAGATGAATCAAAGAAAGAAGAATCAAACAACAACAACAACAACGACAGCGACACAACTCAAAAGCAAAGTTAGAAGAATAGTTAAATAAATAAATATAAATACAAATACATATTTATTTGAATCGATTGCGATTGTGCAATTGTTATTTGTTTAAGGATGTACCATTATATGTATGGCATTATTAATTTCAGCGCGAATATTCTTTTTAGATTCTCTTACTAAATCCAAAAAGTGTTGCTCTGCATTCTTATCGGACATGTCTAGTTTCAAACGATCTCTGAGTAAATCGACTGCGTTGTTATCGTTCTTCATCATTGCAATCAAGTTGAGTATCTGTCTAGAGTTCTTTCTCAATGTATTGTAGATTCTGACACAGTGATCTTTGTATTCTTGTTCTCTTGATCCCATTACCTTTACAATGTCTTTTGTCAAAACAAACGGTGCCGTTTCTCTCTCCAAGAATAAAAACTTTGTTACCTTTCCTAAATAATATCCAAAATCAATATCTATAGATAAAACAAACATAATGATCGAAAAGCTTGTTGTTAGTTATAAATTATCATATTTAAATTGCTAAAGAAGTCTTACGGAAGAAATGACCTGTATCTGAAACCATTAGATTATCGTTGTGTCTATCGTAGATTCCAAGTATATATGTGGCGACACAATAGGCGGCACAAGATTTCAAAAAGATATCGATATAGTCTGTGCTGTTTGGATTTCTTTGACGTAGCCACTCCTCAATAGACTTGAATTTCGCTTGTTCTCTAACAAAGTCTGCCAATGTCACTGACTTTGGTACCACCTCTATAATACCCAAACCATTACCTGCAGCAATACATTTAAATATAGTGAAATGATAATCCATACCATTTTCTTTAAGTATCTATGTTAAAAATAATAATAAAAAATAATGAAAATAATTAGTTGATCATTTGATTCTTTTGAAACAATCTTCATCAATCATTTAATTAAATACATACTTTATCCATAACAGAGAATAGCTGTAAACAAAGTTCATCAGGTCTAACATCGTCTTTCTTAAAGATAATCTTTGTATCATCTGCACCTCTAACAACAGAGTTGAAAACCAACCAGAGTGGAGCTGCATTTGAATCTTTTACTTTACATTCTTCAAGTATAAATGTATTGAATTCTTGTCTATAGAATTATAATTAATTATTAGCTATATATATATATATATGAAGATTAAGATAAGGATCTAATAGCTATTATGTAAACTTACAATGGATGAGTTGGTAATGTAAATTGTTTTGGTATTGTTGCTAATCTTGTCTCTAGAATCTTTTGTTGTCTATCTGGATCTTTAATGATGTCGAGATTAATCTGTTTGAGAAGTTGAATGATCAGGTATTGCTGTAGAATCGATTGGCCCAATGATGATTGTTGCGCTTGTGAAAGACCAAGACCATAGAGTAGTGCTTCCATTATCAATTTATAACGGATTGCCAAGTACAATGTCTTTGGATTGTTCTTATCCTGTTGCATCTCATTTGCACACAGCCAAAACAAAGGACCACCTATCTTGAATGGATTACACAATGCTCTCTTTACCAAGAAGCATGATAATTGTGAATAATGTACACTTTCATATTTTAATGACTAAATGTGTAAATAAATAAATCAAGAAATTAGTATTTGTTTATGTTGTTAACAGTTAGATTATAATTACATTAACAATTTGTGGTAAATATAAAGAAAGATCATTGTCATCCCATGAATTGATTGATTCAACACCTTTCTCTCTAATTTTCGAATCGATGAAATCTGAACTTAACAATTCCAAACCGAATTTAGGATCTAAAGATGGCCAACCTTTTAATAATCTATATAGAAAAGAGGTGTAATAGATTGTTAGATGATATGATAATATAATAACAACAAATTTGTTAATAACTTAAACTTACTCATAGATTTCATATCTCTTTTGATATTCTTTAAGTGAAACGAAATATAAAATGGATGGTAGGATATTCGGATAACTATTCTTTAGGTAGAATCTATATTTCCAGAGTATTGACTTATCGTTGTCTTTTATGAACGATCGATGCGATCTCATGACACTCTCAATGATGATAATCTCTGATTGATTCGGTAGTGACGGTGCAATGATATTTCCGGATTGCGAAAAGTCGGGATCCTCAAAGTAAATACACTGACCACTAAGTCCAGAGAGTTGCAACTTCAACATTGGCGATGCCGTAATATTGTTTGGATCGATCTGTATCGAATTCGTCGGTACACTCGGATCGTTTGAAATGAACATCGTTGACTTTGTTGAAACTAAATAAATAGTAGCAATATAATTATATGTTATGTTAAAGGGTATGTATTGTCTATGATCAACTTGATTGATTAACTTACATGGTATAATAGGTAATTCATACTCTGTGAATATCAACTTCTTACCATCGAAACTTAGGAACATCAATGGATATTGAGCGAGCAGTGTTGGCTCGGCAGACGCAACCTTTCCATAGAGATTAGTCATTATAATACATTCTTTCGGTAGATCCACAATCTTTGTATTGAAATACAACTTTTCATTCCACTCACCAGAGATTTGTGATGATGTTCTACCTTTTCCAATGATAGAATCGCCATAATATCTATATAATTATTTATCATTGTCGTGTTAGTTTTAACTTACTAATTGTAAATGATAACAGCAGCAACAACAACATCAATACTTACATAACAAGTTCCACAGATAACGGTACTTTGGTTACATTGTTTTGTGATACTCCAAATTGACGAAGCAGAGTTTGAACGTTCGATACAGAGTTGATAGTGACTACCAACTTGGTATTTTCGACGCCTGGCGGTAGTGATTTCCTTCCTCTTATTACATGAGCACTTATACTATCGAGATCTTCAAATGCATTGACATTTCCAAAGAATTGACCCCATTCCCTCTCGGTCATTACATTCGGGTAGAATAACTTTGATTGTAACTTACTGTCGACCGTTGCAAACTTGATAGTCTTTCTAAATCTCAAACATTTCCTTACATATTGTAGGTCTCCCAGTACTATTGAGTGATTGAAGAGATGTTCCATCGATCCCAATATATTCAAACCGAACCGCTTTGGATTGTTATCGAAAAGATCAGGTCTCATCGATAGAACCGATCCAATAGTTTGATTAACTTTATAATAAATTGATTGATTGGTTGATTAGTATGATTTATCTTTACAATGAAAACATTTATTTGCAACTTACTATCCACTAAGAATTTAATAACTAAACCATTATGATAGATTGCCAACTTTATATCTTGAAGACCAGAGTTATTCTTTTGATAGTAGTTGTCTACGGTCACGGAGAGTAGATTTACTTTAGAGTTACTCTTTGATGATTGAATGGATGATGAACTACTGGCAGCAGTATGTCCGTTTCCATTACTATGACCATTACCATTGCTATGACCATTACTAGTACCATTTCCATTGTTGATATTAACTAGTACGCTGTCTCTCGGTGATTCACTCATTGCCATTGGATATGGTTTAAGTAATTCCGCATGTAGCTTATGATCGTTTGTAAACATCCATTTCGAAGTCTGTTTAAATAGTTTAGCCATCTTGTATCTAAACAACAAGATATCATCTGAAACATGTGATACTCTAATATCAGAGGGTATTTGTTTATAATAATCAAACTATATAGATAGATAATGAAATTATTAATATATTGATGATAATTTGCTAACTTTCAATATTGTATAGATCTATTTACCTCTTTATCATTGATTGACTTTCTATTGGTTGGTATTGATATCGTTTCAATTCCAACTAGATCCAGCGTTATGTTGAGTGAATGCGATGCAATGGTGAGTGCACAGATCCAATTTTGTCTTGATTCTTCATCGTCGGTACCGAATATATAGTTTCCAGTGCCAGTGTTTTTTGTGAGTGCAAAACAAAAGTATTTTCCATCGTTCATCACATTCAGTACGTGATCGGAAAGATCCAGCTCGCTTGCCGGTGAATCGTTGACAGTCGGACAACGCAACAATTTCTTTGAAGTCAAAATAAACCATTGCTTCTTCCAACCAACCGACGATCTATTCTTCTTGTACAGCTCACCTTGATGGATGATTGGTTCCAACAGTGATTGTCGTTTGAATGATGTAAACGATGGGACAAACTCGGCATTATTACCATTCGCACCACCTCTATAGTTTGGTGTCAATGAAGACATTGCTGGTGATTGCACAACAGTCAAATAATTATCATTGATATTATATAGTTGTGATGATGATTGTTGTTGTTGTCCATCACCTAAATCCATATATTGTCCAAGATTCAACATTGATGTAGAGGTGAACGATGACGATCGTTTCTTTTGTGCATTTATATTCGGGATTTGTTCAACCATTTGATCAAGCAGCTTGGTATCTATGTAATTTGTGTAGTTTCCAGACTTTAAATCACTGACTCTATTGAGATAATCCAACTTTTGATCGAAATTCGAAGTATCCCTGTATGCTAACTTTCCAGTGGGTGGCGTAACCGACACCAATGGTGCAGTAGATATATCAGAAGTTGACGGTGTTGTTGTTGATGCTGTCGTTGTATTTGTCGCTCTAAAATCTAAAGTACCACCTAAATTTCCATGAGAAGCAGTAACAACATTATTACCATTCTTTGACGTTGTTGTAGTTGTAGTATTATTGGTACCTAAAGTAGAACTAGAACTCGAAGTATAAGTGGATTTAGCAGGACTATATGAATTGAACGCCACTCTAAATTCCTGTTTGGTTCGATCAACCGTACTAATGCTAGGTTGTAATGGTGGTAGTTGAAATGGTGTTTGTTCGTTTGGATTATTGCTATTACCATTAGGTATATTGAAATCATCTGTTGGAAATGGTTGATATTGTTGTTGTGGTGGTGGTGGTTGATATGTATGTTGTTGTATTTGTGTTGGTTGATATTTTAATTGTTGTTGCTGTTGCTGTTGTTGTTGCTGATTTTGCTTATCTTTATATAGCTGATATGGTAATGCAGGTGCAGTTGAAACACCGACACCACTAACTCTATTAGATTGATAGGCTTTGAATGATTCCATCAAATCCGATTTCGACTTTCTAAACACTGGTTTCGGTCTGGGTGCGTGTGGATCTTTCGAGCTAAGATCATTCGTGAGTGGTACATAATTGGTTATTTGTGAATGCGATGAAATCGGTTGTTTCGTAGGTGTTATAGTTGCTCTTCTATTATTATTATATCCATTACCATTACTATTACTACTATTGTTGTTGTTGTTGTTGTTGTTGTTGTTATTTACATTGGTAGAAAGGTTACTATTACTATTACTATAGGGGTTGTTGTTGAAACTATTTTCATTGTTAAGTGTTGGTTGTTGTTGTTGTTGCGTATTATTTTGATAGGGTGTCGATGATGTTGCAATGTAAAAGTGAATTTCAAAGAGTAGTGAACCTGCTGAACTTTGTTTTTTGAATTGGAAGGAATTCTTTCGGATTTGGTCGAGCGAGAGTAGTTTGGTCCATGCCACTGACTTTATGAGATTGGGTTGGTCGAATTGCGGTGTCAATGAGAGTATCAATTGCGACTCTATCAGCTTTACACCGAGTGAACTCTGTGCATTCTGTACCACTAGAATCTTAAATTGTGCTAACGTAGTATCATTGCCAACTTTGAATTTAAAAATCGATTCACCATTAAATAAATGACACTTTTTAATAATTATAATAATTAATCATTAATTAATCCAACCACATTCATTTTATTTAATTTATATAAACAATCAAAATTATAATTATAATTTGTTCAAACTTACAATACAAGTTGTACTTAAATCTAATGATGATGAACTAACATTCGACAACATCTATATTTTTATTATGTCTGTCTATATTTATTTTTATAATTATATTTATATTATTATTTTATTATTCAATTGAAGTTAAGTGTTTGCTTGATCTTAGTAATTAATTTATATTTTATTATTCTTTACAAAACAAGATTAAGAAAACTTGTAATTATTGCATTTAAAAAATAATTAAAAAATCAAAAAATCACAAAAAAAAAATGAGATATTTACTTTTAATTATTATTCAAATAATTCAAGTTGCAAATATCATTAATATAATTAATTGTAACGTTTATAGATGATTTTCAAAAGGAACAATCGAATCAAAATGAAAAAAAAAAAAAAAAACGAAAGTTTTGATAAAAATAAAAAAAATTTAAATAAGTAATAAAAATTATATTTTTGTTTTTTGATTATTTTTTTCATTAATAATATAAGCAACAAGATTTATTTTATTTTATTTTATTTATTTAAAAAAAGATAGTTTAATTAGATCATAAATATATATATAAAAAGAAAAGATGTTGAGATCAAAAGTTATTCCACAAGTTTTGCAACAAGCAATCACTTCAAATGATGTCAAAGCTGTATTGTATGTTGTCTTAATATGATATGTTATAATATAGTGTAGATTATAATATAATATAATAGCTTATAATAGATTAGATAGGATCGTTTTCAAAAAAACAAAAGAAAGATTCTAATTAATATTGTTTTGTTTTGTTTTGTTTGTGTTTATAACAAAAAACAGGTTGATGAAAGATGATGGTTCATTGATTTCATGTGCAGAGGCACCAAATTGCGACCACAACATCTCAAAGATTGTCTCTGCCATTTCATCGAGTATTTTCACTACATATCAACGTGATGACGATTTACAGTTTCAATTGATCGATTGTGAAGATGGTAGATTCATGGTCACCAGAGTAGCAAAGTTATTATTATGTATATACAGTGATGCTTCAACTGAATTTGGTTTATTGAAATTAAAGGTAACTTAGATATATATAACACTCTCACAATTCAATAACAATAGCAACAACTATCAACAAACAACAAAAAAACAAAAGCGAAAGAAGACAACAGCACAGTACAGTTTAGCACATCAACAAATAGTTTGTTATGATTCATCAGTGTCATACAATATCATCACCATTTGGATAACAGAATAGTTCACTTTTTCACTATATCACTCTATGTTTTCAAAGCATATTCTAACTCATTAATATTTACAAACGAAATGTAGGCAGAGAAATTACGTGAATATTTAGAGGAACCACTTTCACAAGTTGAACATGTGTAATTTATATTTAGAAATCAATTAAACAACAATAACAAAAATAAAATCAACACTATAATAAATAGTAAACATTAATTAGTTAGATTGATTATACAAACATGTTTTTTATTTCGTTTGTGGCATAGAAGAAATGGTATGACCACAGTTTAAGTTCGAATCACAAACAAGATTTTTTATTTTTACTGAGAAAAGTTGAACATGTGTAATTTACATTTTGAAATCAATTAACAATAACAAAAATAAAATCACTTTAATAAATAATCAACTTTAGATTTTATAGCACCAGTGGAATCCAAATTACAAATTTATTTGCTGAGAAAAGTTTCAGAATGATCACATGTTCATAGCACTAAAAAAATTAATAAATAAATTCTTCTCAGATTTTTTAAAAAAAGGTGGTGTTGAGTTAGAAATGTGTTTCTTTAATGCATTCAGTTTTAAAAAACAGTAATAAAGAATGATGAAAAAGAAATATATACCCAAAAACAAAACAAAAAAATATAACCTACAAAGAGATGGATTCAGAGCAGCAGGTGTTTTGTTGTATTGTTTAACGGATAATAATAAAGTTAAATTATTATTAGCACTCAAAAACAGGATACAAGAAGGGAACACTGAGAGCTCACTAGGCTATCTGCCCTTTGGTGGAAAAAGAGAGAAGAATGAATGTGGCTCTGACACAGCATCTAGAGAGTTCAATGAAGAGACTGCTTTAATTTTCAATGAAAGGATTGAGGAGATCAAGAGCAAACTCAAAGAACCAATTCCTTTCAATACAGGCTACTTCTTATACCCATTAGAGATAAACTACAACGCTGAACTTCCACAACTATATGAATCTGCAAGAGAGACTCTAAAAAACAACGAATCAAAAATGTTTAAACATGTAAAAAAAATTGAAAGAATAGAATGGATAGATCTAGATGATATAGATAAGAAGAATTTAGCCAGTCTCTTCAAAAAAATGATAGGAGAAATTAAAAGAGTATTGACTGATAAAATTCAAACAGGGGTTAGAAATCCAATTGATATTATAGGCAACAAACAACAAAACTAGAATCTGTATTTGGAAGAACCTTTTTTTCAGTTTGAACAACATATTAGATATGTATAATAACTAGTCTTTTTCAGTTATCAATTAAACAACAAAAACAATAAATCTATAAAAATTATTATTTTCAAAAGCAAATCTTTTTTTTAACCTTTTTTATTTACTGGAATTAAACATTTTTTTTTAAGCTTTTGAAAGTTAATATTTAGCAAAATTGTCGTAAACATAAAATAACATAACAATCACATGCCAATTAAAAATGATTTTCACTTCATATATATATAGAAATATAATAATATTCTTGTGGAATGATCATGATTTACAGGAGAGAAGCTTAAAGAGATTCCAATATCCAGATAGAATCAATACAAAAGTGAAAGATGATATACTAGAGAGTTACCGTTCACTTTTGCGATTGGATTTGGTTTGTTGGCAGTTCCATACAGTGATCAAACAGCTCAACAATCGGTTGAATATGGCTTCATTTGGAGGTTGTGATATCGGTGTTGAAGTGGAGGGTCATCTATCGAGTAGATTCTGTCCAATCTCTGAGAAGATCATATCAGCCAAGTTCCCAATACAACCAATTTTTCCATCGGCCAACAGCCAGTTCAATCAACGACTATCACAGCAATGGACAATGAATCTACAAAGATTATCTATACCTCTGGGTCTAGCGCCATATATCGTTGGTAGCCAGTTTCCAATGTTGGAGAATATCTCTGTCTCTCTAGGCGAGCGAGAATATGATCTCAATTCAGATGTTTTCATTCATTTCCTCGAAAACAATCGACAGGTGAAACATCTCTCAGTGGTAATCTACGGTACTCTCGATGTACGAGCACTTCTATCGAAAATACCGATTCTGAAGAGCAGCCTCCGTTCGTTCAAATTCAAACCTAAAAGGTCTTTAACAGTTTCAAGATTAATTGCGTATCCGCGGCCGGCAATTCTCTTTGATGTCCTCGAGCAACTCGATCAATTGGAACACCTTGAGATCAAATCATTGGGAAATCCAAATATAGAGTCGCCTTTCGAATCCAAAATGTATTATCAGCGACTGGAACAATATGTAAAGACCGCCAAGAATCTAAAGTCATTCCGTTACAGTGAGGAGCTATCGACACGATCACCCAAGCTGGTCGATGCATTGCTACATTCGAATATCGATTATTTGACGATTGTCGACGGTATTCCATTCCAATATATCACAGCATTCCAACGTCCGATCAAAGAGATGATTGTGTGTATCGACAATGATATCCTTGATGACGTTCCACTCTTGGATAAGATCTATCCACTCTTTGATAATATCGAGAGATTAACCTTGGTTGTCAGAGGCTTTAACGAAGGAATTGCCAAGATAATTGCAACAGTAATCACCAATCGACAATCGAAATATTTATCAATCAGATTGTTGGCAATATCTTCAAATCCATCAACCTTTCATACGATATCTCTTGCCATCATTAATAATACAACACTCAAGTACTTTAACCTTCAAATGGAAACCAATACTTATAGCTTTGCAAAATTAAAATTACTAAGTGGATTGAAAAGATCTATATTACATCATCCATCTATCATTGATAAAAGTAATGCTTTTTCATGGTATTATAATATTAAATAAAGCATTTTAGTGTTTTGTTGATCTTTAATATTAATTAATAATAAAAAAAGTGATTAAACACCAAAAAAAAAAATAGTTAGCAACAAGCCGCCTCCAAATTTACTTTTTTTATTTTTTTCTTTCAACAGAATTAAATAGATTCAATGATTTTCACTTCCTATATATATAAAAATATAATAACATTCTTGTGGAATGAACATGATTTACAAGCGATTAACTTTAAAACATTCCAACATAAAGAAAAAATCAATAAAAAACTAAAATCTGAAATACTAGAGAGTTACCGTTCACTTTTGAGATTGGATTTGGTTTCTTGGCAATTCCATGCATTAGTAAAACAGTTCAACAATCACTTGAATATGTCTATGTTCAGAGGTAAAGATATGGGTGTTGTAGTAGAAGAGCATCTATCGAGTAGATTCTGTCCAATCTCTGATAGGATCATATCAGCCAAGTTGCCATTTCAACCGATCTTTCCATCCGCCATCAGCCAGTTCAATCAGCGACTAACACAACAATGGACATTGAGCCTACAAAGAATATCTATACCTCTGGATCTATCACCATATGTCGTTGGTAGCCAGTTTCCACTGTTGGAGAATGTCACTGTTTATCGATATACTATTAAAAGTGATATCCATTCTGATACTTTCGGTGAATTCCTCCAAAACAATCAGCAGATAAAACATCTCTCAGTGGTATTCTATATTTCAAATGAGATTGAAGAGCACTTATCGAAAGTACCAATACTAAAGAGCAGTCTCCGTTCGTTCAAATTCAAAGACAGCAATTTTATTTCAGTTTCAAGAAAGATTGCAGATCATCCAGCAATTCTCTTTGACGTCTTAGAACAGCTCGATCAATTGGAACACCTTGAGATCAAATCATTGGGAAAGCCAACTGTAAAATCACCTTTCGAAACCGACATCTACTATCAGAGACTAGAACAATATGTAAAGACCGCCAAGAATCTAAAGTCATTCCGTTACAGTGAGGAGCTATCGAGACAATCACCCAAACTAGTTGATACACTAATTCATTCGAATATCGATTATTTGACGATTGTCGATGGTATTCCATTCCAATATATCACAGCATTCCAACGTCCGATCAAAGAGATGATTGTTTATATCGACAATAATATCCTTGATGACGTTCCACTCTTGGATAAGATCTATCCACTCTTTGATAATATCGAGAGATTAACCTTGGTTATAAGAGACTTTAATGAAGGAATATCAAAGATAATTGCAACAGTAATCACCAATCGACAATCGAAATATTTATCAATCAGATTGTTGGCAATATCTTCAAATCCATCAACCTTTCATACGATATCTCATGCCATTGTAAACAATGTTACTCTTAAATACTTTAGCATTCAAGTTGAGGCAAATTCTAAATCCTCTAACATATTACAATTAGAAAGAGAGTTGATCAGTGGATTGAAAGGATCTATATTACATCATCCAAGTATTGTTGATAAAAGTAATGCTTTTTCATGGTATTTTAATATTAAATAAAATGAAAAAGATAATGTAAAAAATAATGTTTTCTTTTTTTTTTTTTTAAGTAACCGGAAGTTTGTTTGGATTGGTTAATTGCTTAGTATTGAGATGGTTTGAGGTTGTTTGGATTGGCTTGGCTAATTCCTTAGCCTGAGATGGTTGGGATGGTTGAGATTGTTTGGATTGGTTAATTGCTTAGTATTGAGATGGTTTGAGATTGTTTGTGTTGGCTTGGCTAATTGCTTAGCTTGAGATGGTTTGAGATGGTTTGGCTTGGCTAATTGCTTAGCTTGAGATGGTTATTTTGGATTTGATTGGTCAGACACAGCACAGGTATTGGTTTTGGTTCCATCGGTTCGGCGTTCTCGGTAAATGGGAAACTTTTCCTTGGTGTTCTTGTAGATTAGTAGGTGAATCTAAGAACTTTGATCATCCAATTGTTAATCTTGTTTCTAACTGAGTGCAAGCGCGGGCATGAAGAGACACCATTCCTCATGTTAGCGTCTAAGCAGGTTCACAACTCCTGCCTGTAAGAGGGGTCGCTGCCAGTTGGCCAAGCTGGATACACGTACACGTTCTTAACATAACAGACCTGGGAAGAAAAAGAGGTAGAAAAGGGGAGAAAAAAGAAAGGAGGGGTTTTGGTGCGACTTTACTAAAAAAAGTTTTTTAAAAACTTTGTAAGAGAGAAAAGAGTACAAAGTATTTCAATAACTACCTTTAGACTCCTAATACAAATAAATACAGATAGAGAGATGCAAGACAGAAATTAGAGGCCATAAAATTTTAGATCATAATTTCGGTAGTGGAAATCACATAAGGCCGATTAGCTCAGTTGGAAGAGCGACAGCCTTCTAAGCTGTAGGTCGCGGGTTCGAGCCCCTCATTGGTCGAAATCTTTTAATTTAAATAATACCGCAAGCGGTTATGTCCACTTTTTCAAAATTCAAATCTCCAATCTCAGTTCCTGCACATATCCAAGGTCAAAGCGCCTATGCTACGTAACAGCATATTCCGGCTGTACTCTCACACCTTCCCCATCAACCACAAGCGCACTGGTCATGTCTGTGAGTTTTGTGGTGACACCTTCACTGAACTATGCAACCCACATGAACATTTCTTCTTCAAATGCAGGATTGTAGTCTCACAGCAGTTCCTTTCCTTTATCAAACGTATATACCACAAGTACTGTAACTATAGACTTCGTAATTGGAAGCACTCGTGCATCAAGTTCGACGGTCCTATTTGTACTACTGTCCACTTCACGCCAATAAAATGTTATTATTATTATTATTATTATTATTGTTAATATTATTATTATTATAATTATTATTATTATTATTATTTGAAAGGAGCGCGCCACGTACTACAGTTCCAATGTAATCTAGTATTCAATACTATCTTGGACCCCATGAAGTTGACACCGACAGTAACTAGCAGGCTTATCATAGGTGAACACCGAGTGGTTTACACACGTACCCGCTTAGAATTCTAAGTGGCTTAAATACTCAGTCTGCCAAACCAAATCAATGGGAACATCATCCCTTTCTCAAAAATGATGGCCATCTCAGCCGGCCTGTGGCTGAACTGCTCCAACAATAAATAAATAAAACACGAACTGTAGGGTAATATCAAGCTCTACACCTTGACTATCAGTAATGGTAGTACAAGGATAATTTAAAAAAAAAAAAAAAAAAAAAAAAAAAAAAAATAACTTCACAATCGCTAATTCTATCTCCCAAGGAATAATACCTGCAATTTGTTGACTGATCATGAGTCAACAAATCTTTTTTTGCAAAAAAAAAAAAAAAAAAAAAAAACAAAAAAACTGTCGATTGCTCTGCAATAACGCGTAAATTTAAATCTGATTGGAATCTAAATCCTTCCAACTACAGTAGCTGCGTGTAGATGAACAACAGTATAAAGTGGTGTATATGGTTTCTTGCAATCTTGACTGAAGCTAGTGATTAATCTATGGCTGTTACCACCTTCTGTTCATTGAGACCGTTTTAAACTTTTTAGAATCTTTGTGGAATAGATAACAAACTCAAGACGATTTGATAATTTTTGATTTTTATTAATTTAATTTATTTTTAAATGTTTTGTTATTAGTTTCTTTAAAATTTTATTATTATTATTTAGTGAGTTGTAAATATTTTATAGAGTTTGCAGTCCAAGTGATTCTTCCATCGATGTTGGTAGCAATGAATTCAGGAACACCAGATGGTGCTTGAATGTAGTAGGTTGTAAGTGGGAACTTTTGACACCAATACGATCCAAATTTACATGAACTATCAACCATCGAGACATACACACAAAGATGAGGCATAGCTGGAGTAAAGTAAATACCAAAATCTGCATAATATCTTCCACATAGTTTTTGTGGTATGTTGTTGGTTGGATTTGACCATAGAACTTCACCTGTTTTATAGTCTTTTGCTTCAATAATTCCAGTTTGGTCATTCCAATTGAAACCGAAGTATGCATTTGCAAAATTCTTTAGAGGATTATTTTCGATTTGTTGGTAGTTTCCCCATACTCCAGGTTTTGACAAGTAACCATCAATAATCTTTGTATCCTTGATGAAAGAGAATCCCCAATCATCAGAACGAGTGGAGCCCATCCAATTCATTTGGAATGCGGTTGCACTTGCAACATTTAGTTTGCCTGCTAAGTAACGAACGTTGGCACCAACCACAACAATACCAGTGGATTCAAGTTGAGCATAGAATGGTCTTGTCGGTGCAACAGCTGGTAAATCTGATCTCCAGAGTACTATTGGTTGTGGTATAACTGCATTGTATGGATTCGAGTCATATACAGCAAGTTGACCGTTACTCTCCAATCTGATATATGATTTTCCATTTGTCAAAACACCTCCTTCATTGATAATTCTATCTTCAGTCTCTGGATAATACTCTTGATTGTTTGCAACAATGAAACTTCCTGGGATCATCTTCAGGTTTGATCTTTCTTGTAGTGATGTGAATCTACCGTACACCATTCTACCTTTGGAATTGAGGACATAGAAACCAATTTGAGTTGTTGTAAAGGCAGGTGCCAATCCAAAGTATCTTCCATCAAGCTTATGCGAATATGTACACCATGAAACTTGTCCACTAAGTGTTTGTGCACAAAGATTACCATCAGTACCAAAAACCAGCTTGCAATTTGTTGTTGGAACATTAGGTATGTTGTTATAATCTGATGTGTATATTGGAGTACCAGTTATCTGGATGTTGTCATATATCTTGAGTTGACATTGGTTTTTGTCCATTATCAAATAGTGGACACCATTGGTGAGAACACTTGGAAGGTACTCCGACTGCCAAGAATAGAGTACATTATTTGATCCTGTATTGTCAAGGACAATTGGTGCATAAACCAATGGATTGACAAAGTTTTTCTTAAACTCAGTTCCTGCAAGATTATTGATATAAGAAGAATGATATTTGAACCAAACAATTTGTCCATTGGCATTTTGGAGAACAACACCATATGGAATTAATTTGAGGTATCTAGCTCTAGAGTGGTGACTAGAGAGACACCATCTGGGACATGATTTATCAGAGATAACATTGTTAATGCAGAGATTACCATCGGGTTGAATAAAAAGTCGGTCCTCTCCATTGCAACTGCTTGAAACGTAAAGAGATGATGACACAGAGAAAAGAGTGGTTCCCATCGATGAAATTGTCAAACCACTTGAAGTCAATGATATTTGTGAGGTAATAGATGATCCAGATTGTATTTGGAGCTTTTCATTCAATTTCAAAACATTTTTAGTTGCAGACTGTGAATCTAGTGTTGGATATTGTCCTTCATCTCCATATGGTGATGTATATTGAATGGAATATGTTTTTGATATTTGAGCATCGTTGTACTTGATGGTAAGTGTTTTGGTACCAATATCAGATTTGAAGTAACATTGGGTTTGAGTACATTTCAAATTTTCACCTATTTTTAAATTGAATATTAGTAAATCAAATTAAATAAATCAATATGTCGATTACTTACTTCCGATGTAGTATTTAATAAGTGATGGATTTGGATATTTATTAAGAATATTATGGTATCCACCTGCAAAACTAATTCTATCAAACATTGCTGTTTATAAATATAAAGATTATTAGAATATAAATATTTTTGGGATTTTTGATTTATCGGGACTTACTTTGATAAGAAAGATCAAATTTAGTAAGTTGTATATTCACTGAGGAATATCCTGGATTAAAAATAAGATTGGTATTGAGAACACATTTCTCTGGGACAACCAATGATTGAACAATTTTCGACCATCCAATATGAGTGAGATCTCCCTGAGTGTAATATCCCACAGGTAAAGTGAGTGATGAACCCAATTTGTTTGGTTTTTCATAAAAGTTAACTGTTGGGAATATTCCAGAGTACATTGGGAGAGTCTTTGTTGCTGGTGATAGAACATCAAAATTGTTGATGATTGGCCATGTATTTTGATTCGGTGTTTGGATATTGATGACACCAGTGATTCCAACTGGTAATTTAAATAAAATTTGACCATTCCTATTGTATTGTTTGAATAAGTAATCCTTTTGAAGGTAGGTAAATTTAATCTCTGCAAAAGCTAATGAATCATAGTATACAGCAGTATTATAATTTGGTGGGACCAAGTTATCTAATTTTAGATTCAATGAGACAATAGATGCTATTAAATAATTTTTGGTTAGTATAGATATTCTATCAATATCCTAAATGGACATGTTATTACTTACAATATGAGATAGATAGTTTGGTTCCAGTGAGAGTAGCTGCACAATCATTACCATTTGTAGTCTTTATAGAAAAAATAAATTAGTATTTTCAAATTTAATAAAATTTTGTTGAATTAAATAGTTACAATTGAGGAAACCTGGAATTTACAAGTACTGGGTGGTGATTGACACATTTCATATGATAAAAGGTCATACTCACCATATGGTAATACCATTGTTAAAGATTGAAATGTTGTTAATGTTGCGAAACAATTGTATCCTGTGTCTTCAATAACACTGATATCTCTTTGGATTATTTGATCTTTGAGAATATCAAAGAAATGTGATGAAACTACAACGAAATATTTGGTTGCACTGTTGATAGTTGTTGTAATTTCATAAGTTGCAGGTGCATCAAGTGATGCAAATGAATAGTATCCATTGGAATCACAAGATGCAACATATTTGGCAACAGAGTTAACAGACAAGGTAACTTTGCAGTTTGTGAATACTTGTTCACTAGAATCTCTAACATTATTAAAATTCTTGTCCAAATAAACATAACCATGTACAAACGTAACTTTTGCCATAATTGTGTTTGATTTTTGATTTCCAATATCAACATAAGCATAAATTTGGTTGGTACCAAGTGCAGGCATTTCATTGCAATTGATTGTACTTTCATCGGTAAAAACTGGACTTAAACATGGCTTCCAATCAATTTGATTATTACTAAAGTAGATATTGGATGTTGCTGGTGCAACTCCTTTTGGAACAAAGTTTTTACCATAGATTGTAAATGAATTTCCAGAGTTTAAATAGTTTCCAATGGTTGGTACTTCATAGGAAATATATTTCAATGGTGAAACAATATTGATTGAGTTGATTGTTGCACTAACTGAATAATCTGCACCAATTCCAGGTGGAACCAAACATTCAATAAAGAATTGATAACGGTGACATCCAATAAGCTTGACACCATTGCTCAATTTGATATTGTCAAGTTCACTCGATGATATTCCAAATGAATCACCATCAAAAATTACATACCATCCTTTTGTTGGAACAATCATTGGTGATGTTGTTGGGATGAAGTAACCTCTTGATAAACTGAATGATGAAGTGGCAATCGAATTTCCAACTTTAACTTTTAATGGAATTTGTTTTGTTGGAATCAACATATCATCTGGAATAGTGATTCTTAATACTTCGGAACTGATTAATTCAAATGGATATTCTTTGTCAAAGAGGAATAGTTTGGTGTTTTCAATTGTTCCATATGATTTTCCATTGATCAAGATAGAATCTCCTGGGAATGTTAACAATGGGTCACTTGGAATAACCGAGAGGATAACCGGTGATTCATATGATACTCTTTGATTATTATCCATTGATTGAACAAATGGACAATTTCTAAGTTGAATTCCAATTGGGATATTCTGACCAGTGTATGAAGGTGTTATACAGGTGATTGAAGACTCTTGAATTTTAATGATGAAACACTCTTGGTGACCAATAAATGCTTGAATATCAGAGAATGATGAACCAAAGAACATTCCTTTAATTTCAACGATATCACCACCTGATACTGAAAGAAGTTTGTTTGTTGTTCCTACATCAACTTCATTGATGATTGGACATTTGTTGGTGACATAAAATGAATGATCATTGATTGAATTATCAACTTTAATAATATTATTGATATCGTTTAGTTTTGGTAATTCACAAAGCATGTTTGTACTGTTGAGAAGTTGTTTCGAAATGCATCGATATCCATTGGAAATTGTAACTTGGGTGGATGAATCGAAATGAGTTCCACTGATCGTAATAATACTATTCGATGTTGGTATGATGTTGTTGATTATTGGAATTCTACAGATATCGATTGATTCAATATTGCTGAGTTCTGTTTGTTTGACAAGTTTGATATCACATAGTTTCGAATTGATTGTGGCAATTAAAATACCATCAAATGTTGTCTTATCCAAAAAGATCGATTGGAAAGTTGATGGATATGCTGAATAATAATATTCGAGCTCGCCAAAAGAATATTTGATTGATTTTGTAGATAATTGTGTGTGTTTTATAATGTTGGTGAATCCAACAATCGACATTGGTCTGCAAATTTCATAATGTGTAATTGAGGTTGGTGAATATTGTGGACATATTTCATTTGTCAAAAAGAATCTAAATCTTTCTTGGAGGTATTTGACTTCGTTGGAACGTGATGATCCGAGCAGTGTCGAGATCATTCTGTTTTCAAGCCACATATCCAATGATTCTGTCAATTGTTCAGTTTCAAGAGTATCCAATTCAAATATTTCATTTGATTTGAAATGATTCGATTGTAAAAGTGAAACTAAAAGTGATGAACTTGCATGTTTGATTTGAGATTGAAGTTTGAATGAACGTGAATTTGATCCTCCATTATTATTGTTATTATTCTTGGTAGCGGGTCTGAATAAATTCTCAATTGCTGGATCTGCAGGAACAATTCTAATTTTGAACTTATCATAAACATCGACTGCTGATGTAAGTTGGAATGTTGTGAGATCTGAGAAAAGTTGAGCATATGTCAAAGGATTGGTGCTTTGAGACATCAATTTCCAGAACAAATAGGTAACTTTGGTAAATTCATTATCATTTACATCACTAATTGAAAAGATTTGGTTAGAATTTGGATTAAATTGAAAGTTCAATTAAATTCATCATTAACTTACGGTAGTGTGTTGATTGTATTCTTGGATTTAATTGGAATTGTAAAAGTAATGCCTAAAAGATCTGGTGTTGGAAGTGGAGGAGTAGCAATGTTGGTTGGAGTTATTATTCTCATATGAATGAATTTCGATGCGACCAATAATACAGCATTTCCCAATTGATCATTGTTGTCTGAAATTGTTGGGTATCTAGTAACACTCATTAATCTTTGAGTCAATAGATAGTAAACCAATACTAAATCATCTGGAATATTCGAAGTTTGTGAATAAATATATGGATATCTATATTGAGATGCTGTGCTGAGTGTTGGATCAATGATGATATTGTATCTTGATGTATCGCCCATTGCGGTTTGGAACTTTTTGGTGAAAGCAATTGTTCTAAATTCAATATTGGTTGTTCCAGTCAAATCATATTCTCTTGTGTTTGCTTGGGGATTGGAACGTCTTGCATCACTATTTCCGTTTAATTGAGTTGGTTGATTGTCAACAAAGACTGCGTTGGCTCTAGTATAGGTGATAATTGAGGCTTCAGCTTTTTGATCAAGACATTGTCTGACCTCATTTGATATCTGAGCTGTTCGATCGTTGGTACATGTATGAAGTGTATTGATTGAAGTGATGGTTGCTCCAGTAACATCTAATGCTTTGTATTCAACTGTTAAATGTGTTGGTTCACAATAAGTCTTCAATGACCTGGATTGGAGTGGTGTTGTCGGTGTCCATAGGTAACTTGATACATATGGTTTAAGTTGGGAGACCTCCTCTTCATTTGTGTTCTGAGCATCTGTTGTATATGGTGATGTTGTTCTTACAATTCTGATTTGTCTCGTGATATCATGAGTTGGGGTGGCCGCGGTGATTGTGAGTGTTTGTAAAGGAATTTCAGGGATAAAGTGATGTCCGTTTCCTTTCTTGACTAAAAGTTGAACTTGACCAACAAAGTTTGGAACATTGATCCTAATTATTTGATCAACTAAATGTGAAATAACTCTACTACGAAGTTTATACTTTTCACTCTCATCTGTACCTGCAATTTTGACTGAATATGATCTAATAAAACTATGCATCTCACGTGAAAGTTTTTCGTCTTCAAAACATGTGCAACCTCCACCTCTATGTGGCTACATCATTAAATTATTAATGTTAGAGAACTTAATATCAGTTTAATTAAAAGAATCAGTCATACCTGGAGTGCATGTCGATTTGATTCTCCAAAACAAATTGTTGGATTTGGTACATCATATGGGAACATGTCGATCATAAATTTCGAGTGATCTTGTTTATATCCTGAAAAAGATAGGTTTGGCCAATCATTTGCTGGTGTGACAGGAGTTCCAAGTGCATCTCTTCTTACCAAGAGTTCAGAGGTTAATTCTATTTAAAGTGTTAATGATTGATCGTAAAAGTGATTTATAATTTTTGGTCAACTTACGAAGAAAACCAACTTGAGCAAGGGTTGCAACTTGGTACAAAGGTATCTGAGCACCTCCCACTAAAATCGGAATGGATATTTATTGTTAGCTCTTTTGCATTGTATTGACTTGGAATGTAGTACTTACTGTGATAAGTGGCGACAAAGAATTTTCTTTTATAGTAAACTGAAGCAATAACTTCATAAATATCAACACCGTCAAATTGTGGTGTTCCCGGTTTTTGGACTAGCTCCCAAGGTAATAATGGATTGATGAATTTATAATTATGTCTACCTCTTGTTGACAAAATATTTTTTTCCAAAGCTGGAATTTCAATATTAGTTTTAGCGAATGATTTGATGACTTTGGAAACTAATGGTTTTTGAAGACCTTTGATTCTATGTTCAATCATCCAATAGCAATGATCCTGTAAATTTTGATATCTTTGAATTGGAAAATCATAATTTAATTTTTCAATTTCAATATCAGTCAAAGTATTCGCTTGTAACCTTTGCATGAAATTAGCATTTCTATTAGTCGCGATATCTGCCCGTCTTTGATCATAGATTGCTTGTATTCTATTGGTACATTGCTAAAGTTGAAGAATTGATTATTTAATATAAATAAAATAAATATACATTCAAATGAATTGCTTACAGTTGTATAGAATTGAGATCTAGTATTAAATGTAGGTACATTGGTGATTCTATAGAGGTCAACACATGGAATATTTCCACGACACATGACTGTGTTCGCTGGTATTCTTTGTCCATTTTGGTGGTTACTCATATATACCTTGTTTTTCACCATTGTATCAATAACATCAGAGAGATCTTCAAAGTTGTAACAAAAGAAATTCTGTCCTGGATCTGCTTTACCAAGCCACTTGTATAGATTAACACCGGTTTGAGTGAAATGTTCATAGAAATCTGTTTTTTTTGTGGGAAAAAGTGGATTTGTATGTGTGACATGAATTCCTTTGGCAACACCATCCTCGATATCATAAATAACAAATCCTTTGGAATGAGCAAATAAATATGCATTATCTATTGGCTCTCTTCCACCTGTTTGTGTTCTTGGACCTGTTTGGTCGTTCCAACTGGACGAGTTCAAAAGATTTCTCATTCATTAATAATTTTGAATCATTTATAGCTTGTTTTGGTAATGAATATACATACACGTAATAGTAGGAGTTGGTTGTACTCAATTGTTTAAAGGTGGCTGCAAGTGGTGAAAGTTTTTGGTTTAGGTCGATATTATAATTTTTATCTGGATTTTTTACATAATCTCCTTCTGGTGTGAGATGATCCCTCATAATCATACTATCCATTGATTCATCGGTGTATAAATAACTGTTGGTTGTATCTTTGTTAAAATTTTTGGCTGTGTGTTGTAATTTATAGGTGAACCACCATGAAACTGGTTTATTATTATATTGATTAATTGGTCCGTCTGCTTGTCCCAAGCATGAAATACCTTTTAAAATAAAAAATAAAAAAAAAGAAATAAAAATGGTTAATATATCATGTTTATTATTATTCAGTATTTGTTGCTTACCATAGTTATTGAAATAAATTCTCTCTAATGAATAAACGGATAGAGTTGGATCGAATACTTGAATCAAATATTTTCCACTTGCGTGACCTGCTGGTTTGGTACATGATTTTTGGAACTGATTATTACCAAGTGCAGTCTCGGGATCACAAGTGAGAGCAATCGTTACACCAGAAAGTTTAACAAGTCTGATTTGAACAGCTGTTGAGTCACCTTTGGTATAGGAAATCGTCAATCGATCATCATTATATTTTGAACCAAATAATGGTGTTGCATTTATGATTCTCGGAACTCTAAATTGAAGAATTTGATTGGTGATTGTTCTGCCTCCAACGGTGTATCGAAGTGCTCTTGCGTCTAAATCAGTGGTCTTTGGTTCTGGGAGTGAACATATCATCGATTGTTTGAGTGGAGCTGTTGGATTGATGAGAAGACATCCACTTTCTTTGATATTCTCAAGATCAGCACTCACTGTGAATGAATGTTCTGAAGGGAAAGTAATTTCATTGTTGGTAAAAGTGACACCAATCACTTCGATTTCAATGAATTCTCTTGGTGGACTGGGTGGGAATGTGTTTGTTGTTGGATTTAATCCAAGAGTACTTGATGTGATTGAGTAGACTGGTTTTACTCTCTTGGCTTTGTCGATTTCATACTCCTCAGTTCCAATTGTGAGAGTAAATGTATTGTAGTCGAATTCTCCTTCGACCACAATAGTGCAAATCGAATCGGCATGACCAACATATATACCATCTACATCATAGTCGGTTATAAGCTCTTCATGAGTAAGAGGATCTACCTCAAACATTGTAACTGTATTTGCAGTATGGCCACTATAAACACCAACGAACGACACCGAGAATAGATCTGGTGAATAATTAACAGTTTGTTTATCGATGAGCATTCTCATTCTCTGGGTTGCAGTGTCATAGTTTAATACTCTTCCAGTTACATATAAATCGTTGGCAATTCCATCTCTTTTGATAGTTAGAACATGGTCAAAAGGTAGTGCTGCATCACCAATTGAAAGAGATTCAATACGATTAAGTTCTACTCCATTTAGCATTCTAAAGTATCCTCCATAAGTACTTTGGATAGCATTAGCCAAGAGACTTTGAACATCAAATACAAGTCCTGAATTGAAATAAATTAGTTTTGTGAAACAATAATACATAAATGATTATATGATAGTTACCAGTGTATTTGAATTTGAGAGTGGAATCAATTGTCTTGATAAAACCTGGTTTGGCACTGTTTGGATCAAATACAATTGAAATCGGGAATTCAGTTGGTAGATTGCTCAATGATAAATCTTGGATACCACTACATTTGATTGGAGTTGGTGCAGAAGTTGTTTCTGGAGCACAATTCAAGTTGTAGGTTCCAATTTTAATCAAATAATCTTGTTTCTCTGGGAAATCTGTGAGATCAAAGATAATGGATTTACTGGCTGCGTCATCCAAGAAGTAAAATGAAAGTGTATTATCATCTTTGGCCTTGATTGTCGGTGCTATTATAGATCATTAATAATCAATTTATCAAAAATATTTATAATTGATTAATGATAGTTACCAAGTAATTTCATTTCAATATCGGGTTTAACTTGATATGAATGTACAACAACAGTTCCATCATTCGAGGTTAGACTCTTCTCAACAAAGAACTTGATTGTTTGATCACCAACCAATGCAGTACTAACAATTTCAATTGAAAGAGTATTGTCTACAATCTGGAAGTCATTGGTATTCAAAGCGATATCATTCAATGTAATCTTGTTTATGATTTCCAAGTTTTTACCTTTGAGTGTACTTATTGAATGTCCGGTTTTAATAATCTTAATTGATTGAGTTGGTGTCAAATCAAATTTAGGATCTGTATGAAATTAAAAGATTAAATTAGATATTGACTCTTTAAGAAAGATAATCTAAAATTTACATACAATTAAATATATAGGTATATTCAGTTGGGTAGTCTCTTCCATACATCTTTGTATTGATTTTATACTCCCAAACAGGTGGATTTGTAGCATCTGGGAAATACAAGAGTGAAAGACATTCGTATTGGTCCAATGTCGATGGTGGGACAGCTGCTTTATATTGACATTTCAGTTTTATATCACTTGTACCAAAGAAAACAGATCCAGATGGGTCAATATGCTCACCTTCAATCACAAACTTTACATCTCCTGTCATAGGACCCGAAATATCAAGTCCCATACTTGAGAAACTCGGAACTAATAAATAAATAAAGAAGAGAGAAACACAGAGTTGTAAATAAAGCGATCATTTAAAAGATTCTTTATCTATAAAACAATTTGATAATTACCAAAAAAGTTATACTTTTGTGAACCAGTAATAGTTTTACCAAGTACATTGATGTAAGCATTGACAATACCTGAAGGGAAGTTGGTTGGGACATCCAAAGAACATTTGATTTGATTATCATCTTTCGAAAGTTCTTTAACAGTACACTTTACAGTTTTAGATTGATCTTCATTAATAAAGTTCACTTCAACCTGATCGGGTTTAAGCCTTGAAATGAGTGAATCAGTCTTGATAATAATGGCATCATATGATAGATGTGAATTTAAAGAGAGTTCCGTTGTTGGGATGATTTTTGCTAAAAAATTATAAAAAAAAATAATTAAAATTAAAATTACAAAAAAAAAATTTAATCAAATTTGATGAACTTACGAAGTGCTGTGATTGTGAATGGAAAATTTCTGTTGTGCGAATCAGCATATTCAAAATTAAAAAAATAACTTCCAAATGGAACTACTTGAGTGGTGGTACATTCGATTTCATCTTTTGAAATGACTGCCGTGATTAAACATTCAAACTTGACAACTGGTACACCTTGGGGAATACGGACTAGAGTTATCTTTGGAGCATAGTTTGGAAAATGGAGAGAATAACCTTTAAACTTGAAGGTTTTTGTTCCTTCTAGAATCACAAGATCATCATAAATGATAGAAGGATCTTTATTCAGTAAAAAATTTGAAATATTAGAAAATCATTTTCAACACATTTTTGAATAAAAAGATATACATACTTGTGAATTGCAATAAAAAGGATTGTGGTGGGTTCACTGTTGATTGATCAAGATGACAAGAGAGTAACTATTGGAAATTGATGATTTACCTCTTTTGAGTGGACGGGTTGACTTCATGAATGACATGATTACTACATCACTACCATCACTACCATCACTACTATCACTACTACCATCATCATCATCAATGTCAAATTCTACTCTCAGATTGGAAATTTTGTAAACCACTACATTAGTACCAACTCTTTCAACAAAAGTACATGGTTTAACATTAGTTCCATCTTCAGCAGTAACCTTGAATTTATCCTTGTCAAAAGCATATCCATCTGGAAGTCTGATCGACACCCTAAAACCATCTTGATAGATTTCATTATCAAATTCGAATTTTACCGGATCAGTTGTCCAAACAACAACGATAAATGATAAAAATAATAATATTATTATTTCTTTCATTTTTTATTTTATAATATAGAATTTGAATTATTTTTTATATATTATATAATGAAGATTTGTAAATGATTAAAAAACTATTGTATTTTGTAAAGTATGAATTAAAATAAAACGAGTGATTGGTTAACTATTGAAAGTAATTATTATTTTAAATGACCAAGCAAATTTAGGCGATTAACCAGTGAAAAATAAGATTATAATAGTATTGAATCCCATTCCCTAAAAGTTATAGCAAAGGTTTTCTTCGGTTAATGAAAAGAATGAGGGACCAGTGAAAAACCAAAATAGTAAACTCTGTGGTGAAGGTTTGATCGCAAATAAAAGATCTCGTTTTTGTCAAAAAAAACAAAAAAAAAAATTGGTCAAAAAAAAAATGGCTCTCAACTTTCGCCGAAGATTGTGCAGAACTAATCCTCAGGTCCCCCATGAGTTTTTTTAATATGTAAAAAATTATTTTTTTGCAAAAAAAAAACCTTGCTGGGTTTTGAAAATTATTTTTTACATATTAAATTAAATTCAAAAAAGCCTTGAGGTTTTTTTTCCCATGTTCTGAAAATGGGGGTGTTTGCCAATTTTATTTTTAATTTAACAAATCCATATTAAAAAACTAAGCTGGGATCCCCAGCCGATGTTCTGCACAATGTCCGATTACGCATCAATTTTAACAAAAAATGTAAAAATTAGTTAATGTGATCTGAGTGGTTTTTTCCATTTATGGTTACAACAGTAGGTTGTTTTGATATGCTTTTTCCCTCATTTGCCAACTTTGTAAAATAATGCAATCAGAAAGATCATAATTCTTGTGTTGTCATTACACGAAACTTAATGTAATCTCTCCTGCCCTTCCTTCTATAAGTCAAAAGCTTTGAAGGCTATAAACTTTTAGCGTGCCACAATTACAAAAATGATTCATATTTTTCGTTTCAAAATAAAAATACGAAATTTGCTTTTGACTTCTATAACGCTCAAAATAAAAAATTTTGGAGTAAAAATAGGTCCAAAACTCGAACCAAAATTTTGTAGAAATCCTTTTTTAGGAATAAGATTAGTCCATCATAATGCAAACTTAAGTAAAAATTACAATTTTGTTTTCTGGGTTAATTAATTCATGTTTGAGGTTACCAATCAAAACTATCTTCCCTCTGTATATCGTTAATAGACGCTATGATTTGGATTAAAAGAGCGACAAGGATCTTTTGCAAAAATCAATTTATCAACAAAATAAAAAAAACCAAGGGTTGGTGTACTTATTTTATTTGGGTTACAGGCTCCAAGAGCTAGTTTACACTTTGCACTTTTATTCCCTAAAAGGTAATAAACATTAGGCCATCAAAAGTAAAATGATTCCGTTGAGAGACAAACCGTGATCGCTAAATATCTAGCTTTTGTATAATAGTTTTTCAAAAAAAAAATAAATAAATTTTTTTATTAGTTTGAAACGAGTGATTGATTGGACGAGTTTCATCTCGGTATCTAATCACATGTAAAATTTTATTAAAATCAATAATAATATTAATATTTAAAAAAATATGAAGAATAAATATTTATATATTTATATATTAATTATATTTATTTGTAATAATATTTCTTTTATTACAGCTAATCCAAGTTGTTTGTCACCTGACAACAATAATGTGCAATGGTGGTATATCAAAAAACTACCATTAACCAATGCTTATTTGTATATGGACGAGCATAATGTCATTTTTCTTAGTGATATCACTTTGGATGAAAGTTCACTTGGAAGAACGCTTGAGAGTATCAAAAACAATGAAGTTTTGATGTTCAATGACAAGCCCTGGCAGTTTGGTGACAAAAATGGAAATCAAGAGACACCTCTAAATGGCCAGTGGCAACCTGATCAGTATGGTACATCCAAAGGATTTGTTGCACTTACCAGTTCTGGAAATGGAATTCACTTAAAACACACTATGCCTGGTTTTCCTGCTATTTTGCCCACTAATAATGAGGTTGCTATGCCTTCAAGCTATCCAGGAAAGTGGTTCCCTCAAGACTACCATTTGGCTGATGAACAATCGATTAATTTGAATATCGGTCATTCATTTTTATGTCATACTCTTATCGGCCTTAGCGATTTAGAGATGACTGCATTTTTTAATACTTTAGTGCCATTGGTTCCAAAGATTTATTTTAACACATTCAGTGAAAGAAATCTAAGATTCTTGAATAATATATTTGACGGATCAATCGTTGATTCCTCAGCCAAACAGTACATCAGCCCAACTATTGAAATCCACAGTGGTTTACAATCAAGTGCTTGGCAATCTTTCTTTGGATACACTACTGTTCCTGTAAGTAAATAGATGATATTGAATTTCACTTGTAACAAAGTTAGTATAAATATAAATGCTAATGATTCTATTGTATTAATTAGAGAGATGCCGTTGCCACTGCTAGTTTTAGTAGTTTGGTCGAGAATAGATTGCCAATTGATTTTTCAAATCAATACAACATACCTTTGGAGAGTAGACATTGGATATCGGATGTCGAGGCACCAGGATTTGCATTTGACAAACTCAGAATATGTCTTGGTGATTACCATCCAACTTTGTCTTCATCGCCTGCCACGTTTGTGTGTGTTGTTACCTCGAGTGCTGCCAATACTTTCCTAATCAATACTGCCTACAAACTTAGATCAAGTATTTGCTCGTCACTTGATTGTGAGACTAAACTGCAGAGTGATTTCAATGGAAAAGGTCAAGTTAGATTCCAAGTCAACACTGTCAGTACCAATATCGGTTCACTCCTTTCTCGTACTCCATTCGATTCAAGTCTTCCTGATACTGAATTGACTGTTGTGCCTGCTTCCGATCCGTCATGTCAGGGTGATTGTGGTATCTTTGAATATCAAACTGATGAATTTGCTTCTGTTGACATTGTCAAGTACTTCACCCCTGAGATTAGATTGTATCTGAAAGATAATAAGAGAGGTATTAGTATTCAATACTATTCCGAAGACTCTGAATACATCGTATACTCTACCAATCTAAAGTATCAAGACAATCTATTTTCACCAGAGACTGTCAGTACTTACGATACAAATGTATTAATGTTTTATCGTACTTTACAAATGTTGGTAGATTTGTATCCAATTGTCAACACTGATAGCACTTCCACACCACCACCACCACAAATTACAGTAAAAATTAATAATCAACACACAGCAATAATCAACGATAACAACAACTATGGAATACAGATCGATAACTTGTGTATTGATGATTTATTCCTTTCATATTCTTATCACTACATAACATCATTAAATAATAACTATAAATTAGATTCTCTAAATATTAATGATCGAATTCAACAAAAAGAATCAGATGAATATGCGGAACAATTAGCAACAAGCAAAGCATTGATTTATTCTTTCGCGCTCAAATTCAAACAGGTAAGAATGAAAAACCGCTCTTTTTATATTTTTTTTTTTGATTGATCGTTAAAATATCTTACTAACTATTTTTTTTATTTATTTTATTTATTTTATTTATTTTTTATTTTAATTTTAAATTTATTTTATTTATTTATTTTTATTTATTTATTTTTTTTTATATATTTATTTTATTATAATATTTAATTATTTTTCAAAAAATAACAGGATATTTTCCCATATCTGAGATCAGATATAAAACAAATCATTCATTGTGATTCACCTGTTTCACTTGAAATCTATCAAAAGAATGGAGTTGTTCAACCAGTTGCTCGTTCTTCAGGACTCATTGCATCATTCCTTTGGGATATCATCGATAACCAAGCTGATCAAGATGAGATATTCTACCAAGATAGCTTTACCAGTGGATTAGATTCCTTATCATTCCCACTGATCAAAGAGATCATCAAAGAGAATGTTCCATCCGATATATTCACAATCATCGATATTCTAAAGTCAAAGATTCAGAGTTCTGTCATCGACACAACAATGATTTTTGACAACCTAGATCGTGTCATGAATTTAAATTATATTTACAAATGTAATTTCTGTTTGGATGTAAGTAGTATTTAATTTATTATTTTATGAATATCATTCTAACAATCAAACTTTTTAATTTTCAGAGTCCAACAAATCCACCAACAGACCCAATTTATGAGATATTAGGAAGATTTCAAGTTTGTGAATCGAATTTCCAAACACTTTCACTCAGTAAACTTTATGAAACTGTTGGAAAATGGGTTCAATTTGATGAAAATCAATTATCATCCAATGTTATTTGGATGGCGATTTATGAATCTCCATTGATCACATATTTACGTAGTTCACAATATTTGAAGTATCAAATTGGTATTCGAGATAGATATTACTGTAATATTCCAATGCACCAAGGTTATCCATTCTCTTCGATCACTCCACTTGGTCTTGATATTATCACGGAATTGATTGGTGTTTTAACTCAAACAGAAAAAGTTATCACCTATGGAGATCGCCTTTCAACCTATTTTATTCCATTGGAGAATGAACCAGAGGAAGGTTTTGGAATTGTCATGTTTGATGGAAAGATCTGTAGCTTTACTCATTCAACAAAAGTTGAGTTTGAAAGTGGAGAACTTCTTCAAAGTTGTCCAGTTGATCCATTCATTTTCTCCGTTGGACCATTGACAGGTGACACCAAAGATGAAACAACACTCATCATCAAAGGTCGAAATCTTCAATATCTCCTAGTAAAGTTTGGTGACATTTACCTCGAAGACTGTGACTATACCAAAGAAGATGATCTCCACCAAAAGCAATGTACAATTCCATCTGGACTTGGAACCAAATTGATTTCAATCACTACACCAAAAGAACCTTCACTTAGACTTCCAAACACATTCCAATTCCAATACAATGCACCAACAATCAGTTCTCCACGACCATCTGAACAATTCAACACAGTAGGTTCAGAGGTTACACTTTATGGAAGCAATCTTTTCTCCAAGACATCAACAGTAAACGACATTAAGTTAAAGATTGGTGGAGTCTCGATCGCATTGATCTCTGGTGGCATCCAAGATTCAAAAGAATATATTACATTTAAAACCAGAGGATCTGGATTGAACAAAAATATTTCAATTGAAGTTGGTGGTCAAATTTATGAACAACTTGATTTTATTGATCATAAAGCACCAAAGATCGATTCAATCTCCAAAGTAATGTGGAAAACCAATGGAGAAGAAGATATAATTATCACTGGTTCTCAATTTGGTGATGAATCTCTGACAATTGATGAAGCACCAATCTCGAGTTTGACCTGCAATAGTCTCATTCGTGACAGTGACAACAAGATTACTTGTAAATCTGTCATTGGTGGTGGAAAGAATCTTAAATTCAGTATTCATGTCGATTCACAACAATCCAACTTTTTACCTTTCGATTATATTGCACCAACTATTCTTCAAGTTATTCAAGAACCATTCGTCAACACATCATATGGAGGTAATTTCTGGGTTGTTGGTCTCAATCTTGCAACAATGACCGAGTTTGTTCCATCAGTTAATATGTCCAATGATCATTATCAACTTTATGAGTGTATTGTAGATGAAGAAAGTGTTTGTTTTCCAAACAAGCTATATTCAAATGAAGATGGTCAAGCAATTGAAGTACCAACACAACAAACACCAGATAAAGATTTCGATCCATACATTGAAATAGATAAAGAATTCAGATCAATGGAATTTGATTGTATTAAGTGTAGACTACCAGCAGGTGTTGGAAATGACAACATTGTCATCCTTGAAGTTCTTCAACAACTATCTGGAAATTCAACAGACTCACTCGTTTTCCCAAGACCATTAATCTCCAAAGTAACCAACAACACATCTGGAACTGATGGTTCAGTAACACTCTCAATTTTTGGAACGAATTTCTCACCAAAAGAACAAAAATTCGTTTATGATGAAGAATCTGAGGATTATTATGAAGTTCCACTTATCGAATATGAACGTGGATTTGACAGAAGTAATATTTCCATTGGTCACTACCATTTGAAGAATATCACATGGGTGAAATCATCATTGGTACATACAGAGATCTATGCTGGTGTTGGTGCCAATCTTACAATTTCTCTCTTCTTGGGAAATCAATCAATGTTAAACATTGAACCAAATCAAATTCTATTTAATTTCTCATATGAAAGTAAGTTTTAAAAGTTTATATAATGCTATTCTTATAAATTTGATAGATATTAACATTAAACACTCTCTTTCTATATTTTATTTTATATTTTAGGACCAAATATCTCAGAGATTGTTGGAAATTTGAATACAAGTGCCAACAATGAAATTACAATCAATGGTTTCAATTTCATTCCCAAGAATCAAACGTTTTTGAAACAATCAGATTTCGACACCAGTTATTTAACAATCGGAGAAAACAATTGCACAACACCAACTTGGACAAACTCAACTTCATTTACATGCACTCTCCATCCAGGAATTGGTGCCAACTTGACATTAACCGTTTTCATTGGAAATCAATCGAATATCGATGGAGTCAAGAATTTCTCTTATTCTGAACCTCACATTAAGAGTGTAGATTCAAGTGATACCAAAGGAGGATCAGTCATTACAATTCATGGTGTCAACTTTGTTCCGAAAGATGTTGATCCAAAAGACTCTAAAGTTTTAATCGATGATGTTGAATGTAAAAATATCAATTGGATTGATCAAGACAGAATCGAATGCACTCCACCACCTGGAATTGGTAAAAATATATCGTTGGAAGTTGGAATCGCCAATCAAAATACAACTGAAAACATATTCAAATATAATGAACCAAGTATTGAAGAGATTCCAAATGTTTTGACACAGGGTGAATTGATCACAATCAAAGGAACCAATTTCGTTCCGAAAGATGTTGATCCAAAAGGTTCCAATGTCACCATCAATGACGAACTTTGTGATGATATCACATTCATCGATGAAACACAAATATCATGCAAATTCCTCAAAGGTATCGGAAAAGACCAACCATTATCAATATCGATCGATTCACAAAGTGTCAAAGCTAAATTCAATTACAAAATTCCAGAGATTACAGAAATACCAAACAGTGATACATCTGGATCAATGATCACAATCAAAGGAGAGAACTTTGTTCCAAAAGATGTTCAAGATGGTGGACCAACCTCGAGTTATGTCGAAGTCAATGGAAAGAAATGCACAGATTACGATTGGATCAATCACAATCAACTTTCATGTAAAATCCCAATTGGTATTGGAAAGAATGTTCCATTTAAACTTTACATTGGAAAACAAACACATTCAAACAATCAACATATCGATTATAATCGTAAGTTTAAAAAATATAAATATTTAAACAATTATTGATATTAATACTAATATTAATATTAAACAATAATAATAGCACCTTCACTACCAAGTGATTCAGATTATTCGGGACCAACCAATGGTGATTTGACTTTGATGATCACTGGATCAAACTTTGTACCTTCTGATTTGGCATCATCAACACCAACCAACGATCAAAATAATTATGTAAAGATTGGTGGTAAATCATGTCAATCACTGACTTGGAAAGATTCGGATTCATTAAAATGTAAGATTCCAATTGGTACTGGTGTCAAGAAATCAATTGAAATCAAAGTCGGAGGTCAATTAAATCAACAAAATACCTATTTCTCTTATGACAGTATGTTAAAATTATTTTACAATCAATAATAATAATAATTATAGTATATTTTTATTAACATCATAACTTGTTTCTATTTCTAACTTTAGAACCAAATATACGTGAAATAACACCAGAGAAAGGAAGAATGGCAAGAAATACAATCGTCACTATCAAAGGAACCAATTTTGGAAATGTCCAAGATAAAGTCAGTATCGATGGTAAAGATTGTAATGTTTTCACATGGAATCATGAACAGATTGTATGTGTTGCTCCTCAATCCAGTTCTGAAGGTGAAAAAACAGTTTCAGTAACAGTTGACTCACAACAATCGAATCAAAACATCAAATACACCTATTATGACAAGCCAAAGATTGAGAGAATCGAACCAAAAGAAGGATCAATCGATGGAGATGAACAATTGACAATCTATGGATCGAATTTGATTGAAGATGGAAGTACTTTGAAGGTATACTTTAAGAAACAAGAATGTCCAGTTGATTCTTCAACAAAAGATCAAATCGTATTCATCAACAAGAAAGGAGCTGGTCAAAACATTGAAATTTATATCAAATTGGTAAATTCAAAACTTTCTGATCAAATTTCAAATACAAACACTGAATTCTCTTTCACTGGTAAGTTTTTATTGAATAATAATCAATTAATTATCATAGAATTATATCTAACTTTTCTTGCTCTTATAGGTCCAACTATCAGCAAAATTTATCCAGAATCTGGAGATAAAAACACGAAACAACCAATTGAAATTACTGGTACAAATCTTGGACTTGTTGGAGATGAACCATCTGTCATGATTGGCTCCAAAGAATGTTCCAATGTCAAAGTGATCTCATCATCAAAGGTGACATGCATCGTTCCAACTTCTTCAACTGCAAAATTAGAACCAGTCAAGTTAACTTTTTATTCTAAAGAAGCCACCTCATCCTATGAGTACACTGAAGAAGAGAGCAGCAGTGAAAGTGAAAGTGAAAGTGAAAGTAGCAGTAGTGACAGTGTATCTGATAGCACTGAAGAGCCTGAGCCTGAAGAAATTATGACCCAAATGTTCTATATTATTGGAGTTCCACCAATCGTTTGGCCAGTACCACCAGGTCCACCTCCAATCATCCCAGTTCCTGTTATGGTTGTAAATGTTCTAAAAGGATCGACTGCATACGAAATCTTTAGAAAAACGATGATATTGAAAACACCAGACAACTTTGAATTCCCATTCTCAGACTTTGACTCTATCAAGATCGATTGGGGAAAGATCACATCCTCTAGTCTCACCAAATCTAAATTTAAAATTAAAATTAGATTCAAGATTAGTTTCAAATTAAAGAGTGGAAAATCATGGTCATGTGAATCTGACAGCTCTGATGAAGATGATAATGATTCAGATGGATGGACTCGACCAACTGTAGAAGGAGGTCCACCTCAAGGTAAATTCCCACAATGGTTATTGCCAGTAGGAAGCGATCCAAATCAAATTCCAACTGAATTACCAAACCCTCCAGCACTCCTCCTCAAATCTAAAATCAAAGGTCGTCTATTTGAAGACAAGAATCAAAACATGAAATTTGATGGTGATGATACTCCAATCAACAAAAATCAAACGTTTATGATTGGAATTGTCAATGATGATGGAGATTACACCAATGGTAAAGTCAATTCTGATGGAACATATGAAGTGGAAACTGACAAACAACTTGGTCTTTACACTTTGGTTGTGACATCAATACCAATATTTAGCAATGCAAACTACTTCCTTCCACAAACTAGATTCCATATTCCATTCACTTTTGAAGGATATGAACAGAATATTCCTGTGTTCACCAAATCACCACTTGGATGTTTGGGAACTGTCGAAACCTATTCAAAGAAGATCACATTACAATATGGTGAATATAATTTGTTGGATTTCGGAGTCTACATGTTTGAAACTTCCACTCCTAAATTCCCAGATTATTGCCAAGTCAATCTATTTGCAAATAACATTGCCATTAAATATAGTAAGTAGTTTATAATAAAAGTAAATATAAATGATCATATACTAACGATGGTTCGATTAATTTTCAACAGAGACAACATCAGATTTAACATTATTCTTGGATACCAATTTAGATGGAAGTCCAGATAGCTCAATATCTTCAGTTGATTACGATGTTGTATCTACTGTTGATGGAAAACAGTTAATTCGTAGCTACTCTTATAAGGATAAGAAATCATTTGATTTACCATCGAGTTCATACATTCGATTCAAAGAAAGTACAGGAATGACACCAATCATCAACAACTATTATGTTAAAGTTGAAGATCCAAATAAGATTTCAACAATTTCAAGCAAACTTGGATTCATAAACATTGTACCATCAAAGACGATCTCATTCATTGGTTCCAATTCACAAATACTTTCACTCACCTTTGGAAAGTTCACCAAACAATTTTTTACCAATATCGAATGGACTGACACCACATTATCATTCACACCAAAGACCAATCAAACTGTAATTTTCAGCAAAGATGATGAAGACACCAATGGCCGAATCGCCTCACCAAATGGAAATCAATATGTTCTCAACAAAATCACTTTTGGAAATGTTGAAATTGTCAATCAATGTATGTTTTTATTTTATATATTTTGTTAAAAAGTACTCATTTATTAACAAAATTTATTCTATTTATTATTTAGATCTATTCTCAAATGTAATTCCAAGTACTGGTGATAAGATTGTGATATCGAATGATTACCCATACAAAACAGCATCCTATTTTATTGATTCCGTTCAAATTAAATGTGATATTCTTGATTCACTCCATTATAAATGTGATATCCCAGCGTCAACTGGAGGAGTAAATACCAAACAAATTACATCCAAATGGAATGATATGAATCTTTATAACATTCATACTCTCACCTATTCCCAATCACAAACCACCACAACATCATCAACAACATCTAGCACTGGAACTTCATCAACTACTGGTGGAGTAACCACTGGTGAGATAACTACAAGCTCATCAGCTACTGGTGGAATAACCACCACTGGTGAGATAACAACAACTTCAACAACATCGACAACTGGTGGTGGTTCATTTTCAAGCTATATCTATGGTTATATTCACGATGACAGAAATTATAACAATCAATATGATCAAGGTGAACCTTTCTTGACAAACTTCAAAATTCAAGTTATTGGAAATAATAACTTTGATTATAGAACCACAAGTAATGAAAGTGGAATCTTTGAATTCAGAGTTGTCGAACCTGGAACTTACAAGATCACAATTGATTCCGATGATATCGATGAAACACCATACTTTATTCCAATACAAACTGTTTATGTCAGAGTTTCAAATCAACTCACAATTGTTTCAAATATTACTGTTTTCTCGAAATGTAAGTTATTTCCTCATTTCAAAATATACCTGTACCCCTTATTAATAATATTATTTATTTATTAAATTAGCAAATTATGAATGTTTCGGAACAATATCCAATGCAGAACGAGAAACACTTTCAATTCAATATGGTTCATTTAATTTATCAAACTTTAAGTATAATTATAATTCAGATTATCAAACCTATTCAGTAAGTAACCATTTTCTATTATAAATTATAAATTATAAATTGCTCAAAAAAAAAAAAACAAAAAAACTAATTTTATTTTAAACTATTAGTTCCCACCAATTTGTAATGTAATCTTGGAAGACTCAATTATTACAGTTAAATATAGTATGTATATTCACAATAATAACTCGAGTTCAATTATTTATTTATTTACTAATATTAATAATAACTTTTAGAATCAATGTTGAATTTATCAGTATTCTATGATGAGAATTTCAATGGATTAAATGATGATAATGCAACATACCCAGTGAATATATCAGTTTTAGTTCAATCGAATTTGAAAGATAAACAATTTGAAAGATCGTTTATCATTGATAAAGCTCCATACTTTATTGTGACAGATATTCCAGGTGACTCTTTTATCAATATGACACAAAGAACAGATTCATGGAATACAACAATCGGATTCAACACCAAAAACTATTCAATTCCAGATGCAACATTATTCTCAACAATCGATGACAGTTTAATATTGTTTACATCGAATCCAAACAACACAATATCATTATTCAATGACAGAAATATCTCAAACAATACTCTTACCATTCCTTTTGGCAAATACAACTCAACATTCTTTGATAATCTTTCATGGAATACTTCAAATTTGACATTGACCACAATGCCAGATCAAATTGTTGTAATAACCTTGAACAATGGTTCATCGATAGTCATTGAAAACAATCAAACAGCCAACTTTATTAATTTCAATATTACAACGATTGAATTGATCTATTTAGATCTTTTCAAAGAACTCCCATTGATCCCATTGGTTGGTGGTTCTATTAAGTTATTCAATGTTTATTGGAATTATTCGATTCAACCAGAGTTATCAATTGAAGGATTCAAGATGAACTGTTTAATTTCATCAATTGACTCATCTTTTGTTGATTGTTCAGTTCCACCATATTTGATTGGTGATCTCAAGAAAGCAATCAAAGTTACTTGGAATGGAATGGATTTGTACCAAAACGGATTTATTACCTATGAAACACCTTTGACAACAACGTCAACAACATCAACCAGCACCACTGGAATTCCAACAACAACTGGTGGTTCTGACACAACAACGACTGGTGGCTCTGGTTCAACTACGACTACATCGACAACTGGTGATTCAACAACAGCCGGAGGTACAACAGCTGGAAGTACAACAGGAGGCACAACTCAAACAACTTTACTCGTTGGATACCTATTTAATGACACCAATTTCGATGGAATCTTTGATTCTTCCGAAAAACCAATGAGAAATATCAAAGTTGAAATTATTGGACCTGTCAATTCAAGTACAACAACTTCATCAACAGGTCAGTTTAGTTTCATCAATTTGATTCCAGGATCATATGAAATCAAAGTCGATTTCAATGAATCATCAAAGTTCTACAATCCAATTGGAAATTATACAATGCAGGTCACCAATCAATTTATGATCCAAAGAAACATTGCACTATTCTGGAAATGTATGTATCTTCTGTTATAATTAATCATTTGATTCAAAATATTAACACTTTCTAATGTTTAAACTCAAGCACCTCTTGGATGTGTTGGATCAGCAACAACATCAGATTGGACATATTTGGTTCAATATGGATCACACAACTTGACAATATTCAAGTTGAATACCACAAATATCAATTCAACAGCATTTGTTCTTCCAGACTATTGTGTTGGAACTGTTGTCAACAATGAAACAATTGAAATCAAATACAGTAAGTAATTACTTAAAAAAAAAAACAAAATTTACATTTAATAATAACATTAATATTAATTATTGATTTTAAAACTCATAGAAACTTCAATCAATTTAACATTGTATTATGATATTAATATCAACGGAACACTTGATGAATCAGATCTCAAAGTCAATAACACTGTCAATTCAACAATCATGATCACATCGATTGTCAATAATCAAACAATCATCAGAAACATGACATCATTGATGATTCCATCGACATTGTTGATTGATCTTCCATCGAATTCAACATTCACAATCATTTCAGATCCACAATCCAAAACATCAGCAATTCTCAACAACCATCAAATCAGTTTATCAAACTTCACAACATTACACACAATTAACCAATCATTTGCATTCTATAATGAATACCAAAACAACACATTGACACTTGGAAATAATGAAACAATCTCAACATTCACAATTCCATATGGTAAATACAATGTATCGTACTTGGCAACACTTGGATTCAATTCAAGCTCCATTAAATTCAGAACCAATGTCAATCAATCAGTATTACTGAACTATGAGACTGAAACATTAAACATCTCAAATAGTACCATTCAAGTGTTTAACACATCAGGTCTTGATTCAATCGAACTTTATGATCCAAGTAAGTAAAGATAATAGATTCTAATATTGTTTATTCGCTATACTAATATTCATAACATTAATTTAAATAGATCTATTCAATATTTCATTCATTCCAAGTCATGGATCATCAATCAATCTAACCAACAGATATTGGAATTTGAATCAAGCAAATATTTCAATTGAAGGAGTCAATATCGATTGTCATAAACTCAATGATACCGACCAATTCGTATCATGTTCAATTCCAAGATACATAGTTGGTAACTGGACAAGATCAGTTTCGATTTCAATGAACAACCACACACTATATCCAAACTACACAATCACCTATCAAAACAATTGTGAGAATTGTACTCTTGAACAAAAGTTACTCTCCCAATGGACTGTTGATAATGTTAACTATTACCAATATGAAGCGAATATCACCAATTATGGAAGTCACGATCTTTCATTCATGGAGATATCAATTGGTAATGATGAAACCATTTCAAATATGTGGGGTACCACCAAACTTCAACAATATCTCTATTCATTGAATATAGAAGGTGTATTTAAGAGCAATACAAGTGACAATCTTGTTTACATCACCAACTCAAGTAAACCACTTGATCTTTTCATTGTTTATTGCACAGAGTTTATTTCAACACCTTCAACAACATCAACAACAACACCAATAACACCAGAACAAAGTTCAAACAATGTCAGAACATCATCTTTTAGAAGCATGTCCAACAACAACAATGACAACAACAACTGTAACTTTGAGATTTCACAAACAATAATGAGTAATTGGACAACAGGTGATCAACATTATACACTTTACTACATGGTAATGAAGAATATCGATAACACCACCAATAAGTACCAACATGTCGAAATCACAATCGACACAAACATTGAATCGATCTATGGAATCAAAGAACTAACAACAAACAACTACTCAATCGATATAGTCTCCGACAACAAACAATTACAAAAAAGAATTTGTCATCATTACAACCAACACTGACATTGATCCAATCATTTCAATCAATCAATGTTCTTAATTATTTTTAAATTAATCAATAAATCAATCAAATTCAATTCTTAACATCAAAGGTGATGGGTTTTTATTATACAGAATGAATCTACACTTCAATTTGTTAAATAAACAACTTTTAGCAATTTTAAAAGTCAAAAAATAATTGTGAGAATTAATAATGTGTTTTTTATTTAATTATTTTTTTATTTTTTTTTTTTTTTTTTTAGGTCCATTGCACTAAGGAGGTGTTTTTTATCACCTCCTCACGAGTTGGTGTCAATGTATTGCCCCATGGGCTCTTAGGACATCAGTTTTATTATATACGTTCCGGTAGCGGGGAAACTTAGTCATTACCGAGCCTCGAACCCGGGTCGAAGTAGTATTTTTTATTTAATTATATCAAAAAAGTTATTCTATATGCGCGCATTAAGGTAATCCTCGATAAGTAAAAAATTTTACTCCCCTTCCGGGAATCGAACCCGGGGTATCAGTGTGAGAGACTAATGTGTTACCACTACACCAAAGAGGATTTGGTTGAAATATATATATCTCCTTTCATTACATTATAAATGAAAAAATAATATAAAAATAATTCTTAATTCTGTCGTGCATCTATCTATATTTATTTGGAGTCTAAAGGTGGTTATTTAAATACTTTGTACTCTCTTATAAAGTTTTTAAAAAAGATATGTGAATACTTTAACAAAAAAAAAAAAAATATAAAAATAACCTGCCTAACCCAACTTATCACAGAATCACCCAACTCAATAATCCCACTCAAACTATATTCATAACATTCATCGTATGAATGTGAACTCTGACAAAAAACCAACCCCAACCAGAAAATGACTGGAAATCCTCAAAAGAAAAGGATTCTCCCTCCCGGATACCTTTACCACACCTAAGATCAAAGACCAAAAAGGGCGAGACACTCTCTTTCCCAGGCCTTACACCGAGAACCACCTCTTCAAAATACTAAACACCTACAAGATAAAAAACAACTTATTTTAGTTTAATTTGATTTGTGATGTTATTTTTTATCTTTTTGCTCTCCTCAAAGAACAAAAATAACTAAAAAAAGTCGGTAAAGATATTTAATTTTATCATGATTTGATTAAAAGAACCGAAAGAAATTACACAAGAAAAAAATTCAAAAAAATTTTGTGGATCGGGTTCACCCACTTTTTCAATTCCAAACCCATTTTTTTGCTGTTTTGAAAATTCTAAAATATTTAAGTTTTTTTATATTTTTTTGATTGAGCTTTTATTAATGACCGTAAGATTTTGAAAAGACACAACAATAGATTTTTTTTACAAAAAGGAATGAATATAAACATATTATTATTCCTTATTTTGGTTGTATTCAATAGTAAGGTTTTACGAAAATAAATCAAAAGATAAATATTAATTGTCATTTGTCTATTACATAGTATATAATACAGATGCAAGATTTACTATTTTAAAATATCAACTCTCACCCCCAACTTTTGTTCAAAAGGGATACTTGAGTTGTAGGTTTCCACTTGGTATTGTAATAAGTAGTGATTCGAGTGTGTTGCACTCTGACTTTGTTCTCGATAACACCACATCTTCAAGCAATGTACTATCGATATCGGCTAAAACTCTATCCTATAGTGATTTAAATCAACAAGTATTCTTGGTAACAGTAATCGCAGACTACGGAGTATTCAATGTGAATTTGAAGATTCAAGATACTTCATATCAATTCGGAAGTTCAGAGTGTCTAACAAAAGATAAATCGTCGTTTAATTTCCTCTATCACACTGATCCTGTGATCGACCGTTCCGATGTTACTGCTTATTTCTACTCAAAAGTATCGAATATCCAACTTGCACCTGACACACTCGTATGCACAACAAACGCACTAGAGTTTACATGTAATTCGGCTTTCATGGACGAACCTAATCAGAACACCATTCAAACCAAGCTTATCCTTAATACTCCATACACTCATTTGACACCAACAGTGGAGTTAAATTATACTATTTACAACGGAAATGTTCTTGCCAGCTTTGAATTACCCAATCCATTTTTAAAGAGTAAGTAAATGAAAAACTTTTTAAAAAAATATTTTTAACTTTTATTTCTTACTGTATTTCTATATTTTATAGAATATAATCCAATGGGGTTCATTAATTTCTTGATGTATCCACCAAAATCCTATAAATATATTCAAAATCCAATCACTTTTGAAAGTTATGATAGTAGCGTGTTTTTAGATGTTACCAGCGATACAAATGGATACATTGGATTCAACTCTACATACTACTCTGGTATCAAACCAATGGCTCTTCGTCAAATGAACAATGCAACAACTTATTATTGGTCTTGCTTTTCAACTACTGGTTCTGCTTTTTCATTCTACAATGCTGAACAATCATCCCCATCTTTTAGTCAAATCAATTCTCTTAGTATTCAAAACTATAGTAGGTTATTTTTAATTAATATAATTTAAAGTAAAAAAAAACCACTAATTACCAATCTATTTTATTTTTAGTGGGAAATATTATTAATGGAGTTACATTAAGTTGTTATACAGATACAGTGAATGGATTATTCATTTATAATTTAAATTTAAATGCAACAATTGTCGATGACTTTAAACTTGATTTTCAAATTGACAATTGTCCCCAAATTACTTTATCTTATCCCAGTTACGATAATATCGCTCAAGAATATTTATATTCTTTCTCTTTCTCATCTATCAAAAATATTACATCATCACAATCAAATGATGTCACTATTTATTATGGATCTACAGATACACTAAGTTTATTTTCGATTATCAATATTAATCAAGCAACAGTTGCTCCTACAGGTAAAATATCAAACATAAAAAACAAAACATAAATATTAATTCTTTTTTTCCCTTTATATATAGGAGCAATTCAATTTAATAATGTTTCAATTTCATTAATCGAAAATGAATTCTATAATATCAAGGTCAACTTTACATCACAATTACCAATATCGAAATTTGAAATATATGATACTCCTGTTGCCTATCCGGCGGGTACATTATTTCCAATATTAAAAATGACCACAGCAAATTTGGTTTCTGGTAATCTTTTCTCAGGTATTCTGGAGACCAATTTCAATGGACTTTATTTCGATAATCTGAACACTAAATCTCTGACTCTAACAGATCGAAGTGGTTTTTCAACTAGAGTGATCAGTTATTATAATAGCGATCTTAAATCAATCGATTCATTAATGCTAACAGATAGATCATTTGATGTTTTAGATATAACTTATTTCAAGTTTGCCAATAATTCAGTCAATTTAACAAATGGTAATGTCGAAACTACATTGTATTTCAACGTTTCCAATCCTTTGAAATATGTCATACCAATATTTTGGAGTTCATCAATCGAGAATGCACAACCATACTTTGGAACTTACAGTGAAGAGTTGGGATTATATTTTATCAATTTTGTAATTGAATCTTGTGAGTTAACTGGTGAATATTCATATGTTTTATCAAATGGAAAGAAAAACTTTAGATCAGCTCAAATCAAATCGAAAATAGGAAATAATGCAACTCTTTTAATTTCTGAATCAAGTAAGTTATTATTTAAACTAAAGCAACATTTAAAAATATAATTTTAATATTTTTTTTAATAGTTGGTGATATTTTAGATCCTTTCTTGGTGGAAGTATCACTCTTCCCATCCAACGATTTAACATTGGGCAGTGGTTCAGTTAAGATTGGATGGAACTTTACAATTCAAGACTCACCAAATGGATTTGGTTTTGGAACAATCAATGTCATTTCAAATTTAAATCGAAATGTTACAATCATTAAATTTGATGAAAACAATCGTGTTTCTGGAAATTCAAGTTATGGAATCTATCAAGTCGATTTCTTGGTCAGTGAAAGCAGTAAATCACAAAACTATACATTTATCAATATGGTTCTTTATGATTCGAAAATGACAAGAACCAAGATACCAAGATATGATCCAAAAACAACAATCATGGGAACTCCGAGTGAAGCCAATCTATTTATAAATGTTAATACTCCAAGTATGTAAAAATAATAGTATTTATTAATTTTGTAATCTTTATCTTTTCTAACCATACAATTCAATATGAAATTAGCTGTGACAAATGAAACACCAGAATTGAAGAATATAATAGTATCCCCACCAAGTATAAATGTAGGATCATTGAATAGAAAGATTGAATTTAATTTCGAAATTTCATATACTTTGATCAATCTTTCAACATCACCAATCATTATTTTAAATAATCCTGAAGAGAATGATATAAATATTGAAACAACTCTTATTGGATACACATCGACCACAAACAAATATTATGGTTCCTATGATTTACCATTTGGATATGGCATTGGATCACTATTTACTTTCTCAATTACCAGAATCGTTAATAATCAATTAAATTACAACTCATATTCAGCTATAGATTTAATGAACAAAGGATTACCATATAGTATCAATAGAACATTCACCAACGATCAACCAATACTCGAATCAACTACACCTGTAAATTCAAATACAAAAAATTTTATCGTATTTGGAAGATCATTAGGTATCGATTCAAATGCAGTTGTTGGATTTATCGATGCAGGAGGTCAAGGATTCCAACCAATTCAAATCACATTTATTTCATCAACTCTGATATCATTCCCAAATATATTCACCAATATCAACTCATTCAATATCTATATAACTGTCAACTCAGTAAAATCAAATACATTACTTATCAATATTATAAACATAAAACCAACAATTCAGATATTCCCAACCTTACCACCAATTCTTTCACCAACACCAACATCCACAAACAAACCAAACTCTTGTCCTGGAACTCCAACATGTTCAGGAAGGGGTGTTTGCAAATCCAATCAATGTGAATGTACTCCACCATATTATGGTCCGTCATGTGCATCTGAGCTTGTTGTAATTCCACCACCTGCCAAACAACCAGAACCATTAACAAACAATAATATTACCGTTGACAACAAGTTTATTATTTCAACAATCCAAATATCGACAATCAAAGAAATCGACTCCACTGGTGCAGAAGTTAATAGATTCGTTCCAAGCACATGGATTATAAATGATCAAAGTAATTCAAGTCATGTGAAATACGATTATTCTTCGATATTGGAAAACAGATTTACAACAATCAATATCACAATCGAATTCTTCAAAGATGCAACCAACTTTACATTTGGAGATCAACTATTTAGACTATCACCATCATCGATCAAATTCACGATATCATTAACATCATACAACTTCCAAGATAAGTTAAATTACCTTCAAATCGAAATGGATATGTCAATGAATTCCAACGAAGATTCATGTGCATTCCAACAAGTGGATCCCAACGACAATGTTCAATGGATAACCTTGAACATCAACGATCGATCACTTTATGCCAGATTCATTCCATATGCACTGATTGACACCCGAATTCAATCGATCTCACACAAAGTGGTCAGTCAAAACGACAATTCAACATCGTCCACCTCGAAAATTGGAATAGTCATTCCAAACTTTGACTATAAAGTTGTCATTGATCCTGACTTTCAATACTTGGTCGATGTCGACAAACAAGATTACAAAGATAAATGTCAGTCCGATAAATCAAATAGTGTCACCAAGAAGATCATCATTGGTGTGGTTGTTGGTGTTGTTGGTTTTGCAATACTATTAACTCTTATCATTTTTATTATCAAAAAACAAGGATCATATTATAATATGAAATTAAAGATTATTAAACTCACTAAATTAAATAAATAAATAAATAAATAAATAAATAAATAAACTAAATAAATATCTGCATTTTATTAAAACTCGAAAATTAACAATAAAGGGTCTCTTAAAATATTATTTAATTGCTTTTAGGAAAGATTATTGTGTAATATTAAAAATCAAAAAAAAGAAATTGAGCAAAGGCGCCAATCAACAATTAACGAATTAATTTTTTTTTTTCACACACACCTTCTAAGAAGTAGAAAAAAAAAAAAAAAAACTTCTAAGAAGCAATACACCTCCTCTGCATAATATATTAATGAATCACACAAACATCTTAGAATGTTTGGAACAAATAATGTTATACTCAAGTACTTTACTCGTAACTATAAATAATGAATGAAATGTATTTATCAAATCAAATCAAAATAAATAAAATAGGATAAAATTAATATTAATACAATAAATAAAAATGTCATCATCATCTTTATTAGAAATTAAATCAAATGATAAAGTCTGGTATATTACAGGTGCCTCAAAAGGACTTGGCCTAATTTTCGTAAAAAAGCTGTTGGCTTATGGATTCAAGGTTGTTGGTACCTCCAGAAATAAACAACAACTGATCGATGCCGTTGGTCCCCTTGCAACACCCGACAATTTCTTGGCAGTCAAGGTCGAGCTAGACAATGAAGAGAGTGTTAAACAATCGTTGACCGATTCTCTATTGAAGTTTGGTAGAATCGATGTCGTTGTGAACAACGCAGGTTACGGTATCTCTGGTGCACTCGAGGAGAACACCGATGCCGAAGTACGAAAGAATTTCGATATCAATGTATTCGGTGTCTATAATGTGTTGAGAAACGTCACACCAATCTTGAGAGCCCAAGGACACGGACATGTTTTCAATGTCTCTTCGATCGTTTCTTTCGTTGGCTTCCAAGGACACAGTACGTACTCGGCAACGAAATTCGCTATCGACGGTCTCACTGAAGCGTATGCGCAAGAGGTTCGACCATTTGGAATCAGAGCGACCACTATCAATCCGGGATTCTTCAAGTCAGAGTTCGCATCGAACGAGCTCTTCCAGCAGACCAACAAGATCGACTCTTACAAAGCTTTGCATGACGTCATGGAGCAGAGTGTCAAACAAGTGGATATCACATCGAGAGGCGATCCTGCTAAACTTCTAGACTTTATCATCAGAGTCTACCAAACACCAGAGTACGAGAGTACTCATATCTTTGTAGGTGGTGGTGTTTACCCATTGGTCAACTCGAAGATTGACAAATATAAACAAGATCTTGCACAGTGGGAACCATTTGCAACTCAAACCGATTTCGATGATTATAAATCAACAACAAACTACTAAATATATTAAATAAATTAATATTTATATAACCCACTATCTCTCTCTACACAATCACAAATTAATTAAAAAATAATATCTTTGACGAATATAACCCACAACTTTGTAAATCCCATCAGATATTTAAAAAAAAAAAAATCGACAAATATCAAAATAAGTAGTCATATATGTGGTCTACATTCCCAAAAAACATTCAAGATCTTTATAAATGATATTTGAAATGTTCAAATAATCTATTATTGAAAATATCAAAAAAAGAATATAAATATTGATTTTGTATTGTTCTTTACTTAACTTTCTTTATTTATTGATTTGTTTAGAATTTTTTTGTTGCAAAAGAGATATCAGAATAGTAATAAATAAAAATGTCATTAGAGATTAAGACAAATGATAAAGTTTGGTATATTACAGGTGCCTCAAAAGGAATTGGTCTAGTTTTTGTAAAGAATCTATTGAATTTTGGATTCAAAGTGGTAGGAACTTCAAGAAACAAACAAAAGTTGATTGATGCTGTTGGTATTACCACAGATAACTTCTTAGCACTTCAGGTAGAGGTAGACAATGAAGCAAGTGTAAAAGAATCATTTGTAGATACACTTTCAAAGTTTGGTAGAATCGACGTAGTTGTGAACAACGCAGGTTACGGTATCTCTGGTGCACTCGAGGAGAACACCGATGCTGAAGTACGAAAGAATTTCGATATCAATGTATTCGGTGTCTATAATGTGTTGAGAAACGTAACACCAATCTTGAGAGCACAAGGTTATGGTCATGTATTCAACATTTCATCGCTGGCATCATTCATTGGTTATCAAGGTCACGGAACATACTGCGCCACGAAATTCGCTGTCGATGGCCTGACCGAAGCATATGCCAAAGAAGTTAGATCATTTGGAATAAGAGTATCCACAATTAATCCTGGTTATTTTAAATCTGAATTCTATGATGTAAGTTTATAAATAATTATATATTTCTATTTCGATAAACCAAAATTATTAAAGATAAACAAAAAAAAAAAAACAAAAAATATAGTCTGATCATTACAATCAAAATTCAAACAGAATCGATGCTTATAAACCTATTCATGATTTGGTTGACTATCACATCAAAGAGATTAGTGGTAAGCAAAGAGGAGATCCAAGTAAACTTTTGGAATTCATAATCAGAGTCTATCAAACACCAGAATACGAAAGCAATCATATATTCGTAGGTGGTGGTGTATACCCTTCTGTCAATGCCCAACTAAATAAATACAAACAAGATCTTGATCAATGGGAACATTTCGCCACAAATACCGATTTTGATAGTTATGAAGAAAAATAAAAACGACACCAATCAAATCTAAAGATCTTTGAAGAGAAAGCTAAACAAAAATCAAGGTTCCCTCCAAAAATAAAAATAGAAAGTTTTTTGCCTCAACAATAAAATCTTTTTTGCCCAAACGTTGTTATTTTTTTTAAACCCATTTTTTTGTATATCACTGCCCAAGCAGATAACCACTAAACCACACATATTAATTAATTAAAACATTAATCTTTTTTGTTTTTTTTTTTTTTATTGTCGATCAACCGATTGTTACATATATCGACTAAAAAAAAAAATGTGGTTTCTAAATTATTGTTTATTTTTAGAATGACAGACAAGTTCAAAAAATTATTATTATTTGGTTTAATTTATCTGTTTATTTTTATCAATTCTGTTGTAGCAATCCAAATTATCTCCATCTCACACTTTAAAAGTTTTGTAGGTGGAGGTACCATTTTTGTTATTGTAAGTAATTAAAATTTTATTTTATTTTATTTTTATTTTTATTAATTCAAATTTATATTTTAGGTTGGTACTGATTTCCCTTCAATCCCTACTTTACAAGTAGTTAATTCTGCTGGTGGTACCAATGATTTTGAACTTATTGATCAAGTAGGTGATACCTATCGTTGGAGGGTGCCTCCAGCACCAAAAGCCGTAGCTCTTCTCAAACGTAGAAGAGACTATGAATCTACTGTAACTCTTGTTATTAAATTCGATGGAAATATATTTCATCAAGAAGTATTTTATTTCCTAGGTAATTTATTATTAATAAATATTTTAATGTCTTTTAGATCAAAGATTATTAACAATAAATTTTATATTTCTATAGCTCCAATGATAACTTCATTCTCACCACATCATTTTTATCCAAATTCAAACAATAAAATATTGACTGTGGAGGGTGATGAGTTTTCGATTAATAACAATGATCCTTTACCACAGGTAATGTTTATTAATGGAAATCTGAACATTCCATTGGTTGTCGATACCGTCACTCAAGGTAGAATAGCATGTAGAATTCCAAACAATATGTACTTGAATGAGAATTCATATACTATTCAAATAGTATTTTATACTGGCCATACAATCAGATCACTTGGAAACTTTAGATATGTTCTACCAACAGTAAGATCAATCGAACCATTATATGGAATTGGTGGAAAGGTACATAAAATTACCATCAATGGTGATAATTTTATTGAACTAAACTCAAATCCAAATATTGTGGTTAGTATTGGTGGACTTCAATGTACCAATCTCCAAGTTACAATGGAAAATGATATCGAAAGAATCATTTGCAACACTCAAGTAGTAAATCCTACACCTGGTCAATATGAAACTAAAGATATCCAAATTGCTTTTGGACAACAACAAGTTTATTGTGATAAAGTATTTACTATTTATGGTATGTTTAAGATTTATTCTCTATATTAATATTTTAAATACTTAAATTTATATTTTAAATAGAACCAAAAATCATATCGGTTAATCCTAAAAGAGGTATTTACACTGGAGGAACAGATGTAACTGTACTAGGTCAATATATTAAGGGTGCTTCGGTATTCATTGGTGCAACCGAGTGTATTATTGATCAAACAACTGTTCAGGATCATTCATTTGTTTGTAAAACAGGTGCCTTTACATTGGGTAAGCAATCAGAAGTCACCACTTCAATTCAACTTTTGATTGGTGGTCGTATTTTTAATGCACCAGATACCGAAAAGTTTAAATACTATTCACCACAGATAGCATCGATAGAACCCAATCAAATTATCAATGTTGGAAGTTGGCCTATTGTCATAAGAGGAGGTGCAATGTATCAAAACAATCTCATCAAGATTAATGATAAAATCCTCATTCCAAATGGATTGTCAGACGATAAGTCAATCTATACTTCAGTCGATCCAACTCAATTGCAACTCGGTGTGAACAAAGTCAATATTATCTCTGATGGTTACAATTCTAATGTCCTAGACCTTACAGTTGTAAAACCATCGATTGTCTCGGTTGCACCAGATGCAGGTTACGCATTCTCAGAGACTTTGGTTGTTTTTACCTTTCAAGATCTACCAAGCTATGTTTTACAGCATTTGCAGATCATGGCAGGTGACAAGATTTGTATTAATTTGCTTCAGACTGACAACAACAAAATTCAATGTACAATTCCACCAGGTACAAGAAATGAAATCAAAGATGTTTCATTCTCTATCAAAGGAAGCCTCTACCAAACAACTGTTAAATTCTACTATTTCGAACCGACAATCAATAGTCAAACACAATCAACCAACATACCAAAAGGAGGTGGAAATTTATTGATCAAAGGAAACTATATGAACTTCATTGGTGGAGTTAAAATAGATAGCAAAATGTTAGACTTCTCAACCTGCACAGTTAATCAACAACAGATCTCCTGCATTATTCCTCCACATACACCTGGTAGCTTCTCTGTTATTTTGATTGGTGTGGATCGCGTTCACGAGTACAATACAAACAAGAAGATTAATTATGTTGGTCCATCTCTTAGCAAAGTAGAACCATCTCAAGGATCCAGTAAAAGAAAGATGACACTAACGATTACAGGAACTTCGTTTGGAACCGAAAAAGACGATGTCTCTGTGATGATTGGAGACGAAGAATGTACACTTTCAAGTATCAGGGATACACGAATCATTTGTAAAGTTAAAGCACTGAAAGTAGGACTGCATGCTATAGCTGTAGAGGTATTGCAAGTAGCAGCTATCGATTTACTCAATTATAAATCTAACGCTCTATCTTGTTTGGGACCACCACTTTCCGATAACTCCAACAGCCCAGTCGATTGGTGGTTCATCTATAAGATTAAGAATTCAAAACTGAATACTTATCTTTATATCGACCCTACCAAAGATAAACTTGAAAGACTTTTTGACCTTCAAGATCATGATACTGACAAATTGAGGTAAATAACATAGTTTATCCTAAAATTAATCAACTTTATTAATTCTTTCTATTAGTGCTCTTCAAGCAACATTTGATCAATATTCAGATTATTATTACATGTTTTTCAATGACCAACCTGGTCAAAGAAAAAAAACTGGTGCTCGAGGAGCCAAACAATCTACTGGAAGTGCAAATGGACATGTCAAAGGTAATTAAAGAGAAATTTTTTTAAAAGATAAAAATTTTAATAGGATTTCTTTTTTCATTCTAGGAATGGTATTCTTTGATGATGAAGATGACAATGGAAAGTTTAATGGTATTCATATTGAAGTAAGATATTATCATTTTTAAAAAAAATAATAATAGCACTTTTTCTAATATAATTATGATGATAGCATTCAAATCCAACATTCCCATCTTATAAAGACAAAGACTTGGATTCATATAATGGTATTAATTCTGGTGTTAAATTCCTAGGAAAACCAGACTATAGTCAACATTTCTTTTGTTATAATTTCGATAATCTCGATCGTGTTATGGAATACTTTTTGAGAAACGATGCATATCTTTTGGATAAATTCAAAGTTTTCGATGATATAAAGTCATGGGATGACATGAAACAAAATCAACTTCCATTTCTCTATGACTATCTCAGTACTTTTATGACTATCCCCGATCGTAATCCACCTCAAAATGATGAAATCATTATACCAACGAAATTAATCAAAGATTGTAGCAAAAAGATCATCAATAAAGTGGATCTGGAAGATATTTGTTGGTGGCATTCACCAGAGGTCACCATTGGTGGAAATTTAAAGGCATACTATTTTATGAAATCTGGAAATGGTGACAAATTGGCTTTTCCAAAGGCGACAGGTGATAGACCAGATACTCTTTCACCTTTTGTTTTGAGAAAAGAGGTTGCCAAACCTACATATGATGGAATCGATCTGTGGATGGTAGTTGCAAACTTTTTCCAAAAAAAAATGTTTGTCGAATGTTTCTATGCTATTAAGACCAAACAAATGCAACCCACCGAGCAAGTATTAAATGTTGGATTCTTGGAGCTACCTGTTTACTTGGCTGAACCCTTGAAAAATAAGAAAGGTGAACTTATTGGTTACACTGACTATATCTCATGTGGTGGAAAGCGTGAACATGCTAAATTTGGATTTCCAATGTATCCTGCTTATGGTAATAACGCTCTTGATGCAAATGGTAATATTTACAATTAAATTAAAGAAAGAAAGACTTTTTTTTAACATTTTTTTATATTATATATATAGAAAATTTCTTTTGTGTTGGTGATAGTAATAGGCACAATGGACAAGGTAATTTATCGAAATAATATCATTTTAAAACATTAAATTAACTAAATCGTAAATATTCTTAGGTGAAAGGGGTGGCGGAATTATATGTTTTCAGCATCCTACTTTGGTTTATCAATTCAATAGAATGGTGAGACAATACAGTACCTACGATGATGATAATGATATTACCAATCCCAACAAATTGCAGACCATCGAACTATTTATTCAGATACAGATTCCAATTTCACTTACCAGACCCAAGGATTGGAAGAATGTTATTGAAGTAGAGATTAAGGATCCCATCAACGACAAACACTACTCGAAATTCCCTAAATATATCGAAAAGATCACCAGTAAGACTATTTCCAAGGCAACAGACGTAACGCTTTCTATGCAATCATTGAGAACATCAAGAGACAAAGTTACAAGTAGTGATGGCGAGGAGTCTTCAATCAAAGGCAATCCAACTATGCCCGAACCAGATATTATGAACTATATTGCAGATGATACAATGTCACTACACTATATTGCATTTGACGATAAGATTGGATCTGTTTGTTCTTTTGAAGATGGTATTGTAGATGCATGTGATAGGTCAAATGCCAGAGCAACATTAATCGAGAGAACTTTGCCAAAGAAACACAAAGAACCTAAATTCCCTCCAAAGTACAACTATGCCTATGATGACACTAGAGATATCAGAACCTACGATCTACTTAAAAACAATGATTTCTTGTTGGTCAAATTCGCTCAACTTTTTATGGCTATGCTACCAAATGCCAACCGAAATTTCTACCAATTCATGGTTGATACCAATAATAACTTCTTTAATCCACAATTCAGACCTCCATTTATTATCAGAACCTCTGATGAACTCTGTCAAGAAGAAGTTGCATATCTTATGACTCTCCAATATATTTACTATCAATCTGATCAACCTGATCCAAATGTATTAATGTATAAGATTGGTGGTGACAACTTAAATTGGGGAAATGGTATAATAATAGCAATTTCAAAGAAACTTTTAAATGTAAGTGAAAAAATTAATAACCATATTATTAATTTAAAACTAACCTTAATAATTTTAAATTAATAGAATATGGACAAAGGATTAACAACAAAATTCCCTGCTTGTATGTCAAGTGTTATTCCAAATTATAATGATATTGAAAAGTATATAGAGTATGTACAATCTAAAATTAATTTATAAGTATTGTTTTTTCTAATTTTTTTATTTTTTTTCAAGTGATAAACAACTAGATGATGATCCTGAAAAAATGTTAAGAAGAACTATTTCAGCTGCATGGGATTGGATGAGTACGACCTATTCAGATGGACAAGGAAAACGATTAAAGAGATTAAACAATGCAGAGGTTATTCCAGTAGAATATCTTTTGAACATGATGATAAAGATAAGACATGACGATATGGTCAACTCATTAATTGATTTGGTTGATTATATAGATACCGATTACCAATTGGGAATTAATTTCCAAGATATTCTATATAATAACTATATTATTCAACGTCCACCACCCAAAGTACCAATTGTCAATAATAATAAGATGGTCAATATTAGAGTACCTCTAAAAACATTACAATCCACTCAACAAATCTATATCAGTCAGAACGAAAGAGAATTGGAATCAGGTGTTCAACAACTCCTCAAATCTCAACACTCTATGAATATTAGTAATATTCTATCTCTATCGGATTATGAAATTGAGAGATTAGAACTAGCTCTTGACAAATGGATAGTTATTAATAACCAGAATCAAGCAATTAAAACTTTAATCAGTGACCCAATCAATCAATATCACGATCAACCTATAGAGTTTATAGATATGTTTAATATGGATCAGACTGGTAATCCTATTAATCTGGGATATCAAGGTGTTGGAAATGGATTGACTAGAATTAATTTGAATTCTCCAATTTCCATTGCATCAATTACCTTTATTTTGGAGAGCTTTATTAAGAGTCAACTGACCAATAAAGTTGTATTTGGAGATTTCGAAGTGTATTATATTCAAAAGAACGAATCATATGGATTGGCAGTTTCTACATTGAATTCCCAACTATGCGATATCAAGATGATGCAATACTCTGATTACTCTTCAAATAATTTCGATTACATATGTAGCTCTGTAGGTCCCATCATCACATCCGTAGATATTTTACAAGGTTCAACTAAAGGCGCCTATCCTATTACTATCAGTGGTAAAAGATTCGACTCTTCAATGACAATTAATATTGGTAATCAACCTTGCGATGATCTCGAATTAATTTCAGAACAACAGATAGTATGTACCGTTCCAAGTGGAGTCGGACAGCACCACCTTGTATTCATATCAACCCCTCAAGCCATTTTCAATATCCAAAGAACGCAATTCTTATTCTCCTATAACCTACCTGTAATAGAGTCTATCGAACCACAAGATATATATAGTTATGACATGATAACAATTAGTGGATACAATTTTGGAAGTGATGCAACAAAGACCAAAGTCATGATTAGCGATACATTAGAATGCTCTCCAATAGTCAATATTTCAGACACTTCCATTTTATGCTTTGCACCTGAAATATACGATTCGAACCATCAATCTATTAGTGTTATCATTCAACATCAACATTCAAACACTGAAGCATTAAACTATGCTGGACCAAACATTGATATGATACTGCCAGAATCGGGTGATCCTTTAGACCCAATCGTTATCACCGGAGAAGGATTCAGTAATCTAACAACAGTGTTCATAGATGATATTCCAGTCGATATTCTAAATCAAACCTTGGACCAGATCATCTTTGAATTGGATTATGAAACTGCTAGCCACAAACTGACAATCCAAAACGGAGATCTTACCATCAACAGAGAATTCACTTACTATCCACCAATCATTACACTGTTCAATGATACTCTAGTCAATACCTCTGGAGGATTAGTACAGCTCTATGGTTTCGGTCTTGGACTTGTTTCAGCGGACCTAAACTTCCAATTAAACAACACCGACATTGATTGTAACCCATTCGATCATTTCATTGAATGCTACATACCACCTGGTTTTGGAAGTTCACTTACTCTAATTGGATCTGTATCCGATCAACTTGTTGATTTTGGAACGCAATCTAAACTCTCGTATCGACCACCAGTCATTACAAGCTACCTGATCACCAACTCCAATGTACTAGAGATCAATGGATACAACTTTGCACCAATAGAATATGGATTCGTTATCAACGAAAGTCAAGATCATTCATTCATTCGAATTGTGTACAATGACTTTAATGAAACCTGCTACAACTTTATCTCTACAACCAAAGCAGAATGTAATTTGAATATCAATTCAATGATACAATCTATTGAAGTTGTAGTCGGTGATCAAATATCAAATACCATTGGATTATTCTAAATTATATATATGAATATACTAAATAAAATAATATTGTGCGAACAATTTATTTAATTATATTTACACCAATGTTGTACTTTATTGATGTTTTACTTTTTGATTAAATACATTCCTAAAATCATTCATTGAAACCACACCATTCATTAAATCTCTTCTCATACAACATATAGATGCTTCTTTACATAAATTTTCAATATCAGCTCCACTATATCCTTCAGTCTAATAATTAATTAAATATTAATATATGTATATATATATATCAACGAATTATAATATATTTTTTAAATTAAACATACCATTTTTGATAATTCTTCAAAATTGATATCACTTTCCAATGGTAAATTCTTTGTCTTTACTTTTATAATTTTTAATCTTGTTTGTTGATCAGGTAATGATATCTATAAAATATATATTAATTTGTTAATATATTTAATGGTTGTTAATAATCTATTTAAATTTATAGTTACTTTTAAAATTTTATCAAATCTACCAGGTCTAAGTAATGCACTATCTATCATGTCGAGACGATTAGTAGCACCAACAACAATGACACCTTTCAGCTGTTCGAAACCATCCATTTCATTGAGGAACGTTGAAAGTACTCTTGATTGTGCGCTATCTCCAGACTCTGATGATTGACGCTTCGAAACAATCGCATCGATTTCATCAAAGAACAAGATGCTCGGTGTCGATTGTCTCGCAGTTTTGAATACCGCTCTGATAGTTGCTTCGCTATCACCCAAGAACGGAGAGAACACATTGGCACCACTCATCGAGATGAACGACAGCTTAGCACTGTTTGCAATTGCCTTGACCAATGTAGTCTTTGAGCAACCCGGTGGACCGTATAACAAAATACCTTTGGGTGGTGACAAACCTAACCGCTTGTAGGTATCACCATGTAACATTGGCCATTCAATAGCCAGCTGTAACTCTTGCTTTACATCTTCTAGACCACCAATATCATCCCAAGTAACTGTTGGAATCTCTACGACTCTATTCTCTCTCAACAAACTTGGTGGATTACTCTTTATCGACTCTACGAAATCCTGGTGATCTATCGTCTTCTCTTGCTTCATTCCACTCTCATACTTTTTAAAAGCAATAAACGCAGCATCTCTACATACAGATTGTAAATTGGCACCGACATATCCTGTACATTCATCCGACAATACAGCTGTTATTACAACTTAGAGTTAGTGATATGATAAACAGCAAAACAATAAGTTATAACTTACATAGATCAACATTGATAGGTAGATGTTTTGTGTATAACTTTAATATTTGTAGACGTTGATGTCTGTCGGGAACGGGTATCTCTAGTTCACGATCGAATCTACCGGGTCTTCTGAGTGCTGGATCGATATGATTGGGACGGTTCGTCGCCGCTATGACAATGAGATTGTTACTGCGCGACTCGATACCATCCATCAGTGTGAGTAGCTGTCCGACGACACGCGATTCGTTGTTGTTTGCCTGTGCTCTCGGTGGACATATCGTATCGATCTCATCGATGAAGAGAATGGCCGGTTTGTCTCTCGATTGCTTGGTGGCATCGCCAAAGATACGTCGCAAAGCAGCTTCGGTATCACCCAGGTAGGTACCACTAATCTTTGTCGCATCGACACATATCAAATCGATCGCATAGTAAGTGGCAATCGATCGAACGATATGCGTCTTTCCAGTGCCGGGCTCACCTTTCAACAGTATTCCTTTGGGTGGATTGATCGATAGATGATCAAACACCGATCTAAACAACATCGGATAGATGATCATCTCCTCTAGAATAGCGAATTGCTTATCTAATCCACCAATCATAATTGAACCTATACTATTGGTTGAATCATGATCTTCTCTTCTCTTTTCCAACAATGATTTGATTCTATCTACTTTTATTTGTTTTTTATCATCTTTATATTCTTGTTGTTGTTGTTGTTGCTGTTGTTGTTGCTTGTCAATATCATTTTCATTGAATATATTAATCTTTGTAGATAATGAAACTAAACCAATCTTTTCATCATTATATACATTTATAACTTTTAATTGAGGTTTATCAAGACTACCAATCATGAATCCATTACCAATTAATTTACCATTTAAAATATCTTTTAACTACAAATATACATGTTAGTCCAATGCAAAGTAACTTGATATTAATAATACATACATATTGATGTTTTGATTTCATTGGTATTGAATCATTATTAACTTCTAATAATAGTATATCTATTTTTAATAAAATATTTTGTTGATTATTGGGTATTGTATAAAGATTGACATTCAAAGGTTTCGGTATGGGAATAGGTAATCTTTCATTGTTTAAAGTATAATTATTATTACTGTTATTATAATTTAATGATTGAATTATCTCTTTATATTGTTTTGATTGTTTTATATTATCAACATCATCATTACTACTACTATCATTTATAATTAAATAAATAAAAGGTATAGATTGTATTATATTATCTTTAAATGATTCTCTATTTATCCATATTTGTGAAACTATTATTAATCTATTATTATTACTATTGTCAGTAGTTGTAAGAGGTATACTTAAAAATACCCATTGACCTAATCGCAATTCTCTTTCTTTTAAAAGATTCGAATGTAAATAACAAATATGATTAGAAGACGTTAGTGATTCTTCATTCTTATATTGATGATTATTAATTGGTAATAAATATAATTGTTGTTCTTGTTTCATTGAAATAGATTAGTTAGAAAAAACTGAAAAAAAAAAATCAAAAAGACGAAAGATCAAGTCGATCGCCATGTCTTTGATTGTTCTTTATTGTGAAAGTTTTTTTTTTAATCAAGATATATTATTATTTACAAATTATTTATATTATTTTTGATTCAATTATGGTTAGCTATATATATTATGCTAATGATCCTATCTGGAGTGGGTTACCACATTGAAAACAAAAGTTGGTTTTACCATTGACTTGACCACATTTATGACAAACTATTAAATATTTTGAAGAGTCTGCTATATTGCTGTTGTTGTTATTGTTGTTGATATTGTTATTATTTATATTATCATCGTTATCACTATTTATACTAAGTTCGTTTATATCATTGTTGTTACTGTTGTTGTTGTTGTTGTTGTTGATTGTATGATACCAACGATGACCTATTTTAACACGTTTTCCTTGGTGTACCTGATTGGCAATGTCGATATCATCTAATCTGCGCTTGAGTGAGATCAACATGCTGTGTTGGTAGATAATCATTATCAGACAAATGATGATAAGACCACCGAGAAATCCAATCACCAACCAGTTGAACAGTGGAACCGCTATGCTCTTGACACCGATGGTAATCGGTATCTGGTTGTCACCGTTGATCATCAGTTGCAGTGGCACCACCGAGTTGTTGGGATTGAGAGAGATCGACATCGGCAGAGAGTCGGCGTGAATATCAATGTCGTAGCTCATGTTCTTTGAGTTAAAGGTAAGTGGGAACTTGACGTAAGGCGAATACATTCGTACATCCGAGATATTTAGACGATCGGCATACAATTGCATCGGTAGACTAACCGTTGAATTATTGAAATCCATCGTTATATTCATAGGTGGTAGAAAAGATGTTGGTGAACCAACGCCACCAACATTATTATTATTTATATTACTCTCATGATCATCACCATGATCGTATACAAGCATTTCCAATTCCTTTAAAATTGAAATCGATAAATCTTTTAATTGATCCCCATTTATTATATTATTGGTATGTGATAATACTATATAATTTATTTATAATAATTAATAACTTAAAAAGTTCAATTTTAAATGTAATTAATAATAATTAATACAAACTTTTATTAAATAATGTAAAAAATATTAAAATATTTAAAAAACTATATACAAATTTCATTATTTTTCTTTATTCTATAACTTTTGAACTATTATTATTATTTATAATGTGTTTAAATAACATTATAAATAATAAATCAAATAAGAATAATAATAATAATATTTTTAAAAAAAATGTTGAAAATAAAAAAAGTAATTCTAAATTTTACTTAAGTGATGATATGATGTTAAATTTACTTTAACAAAGATGGTGGTGTGTGAAGAGGTGTGAATCTTTCAAACCAATAATATTAATTGTGTTTATATATTTGGTCAACCCATGTTTTACTTTATCAATACTTTCAGTCGACTGTTGAAACTTCACAATAAAAAAAAAACACAAAAAAAAACAAGAAAAATTCCTTTTTTTTTTGCAAATAATTATGACATTCAAATGTGTATTTACGTCATCGTGTGTTGTGGAAACCTTTCTAAAGGTGTCCTGAAACAAACCGATATAATAATAATCATTACATTGAATTCAATCATTAATTTCTTACTCCTATCTCTTTTTTTTATTGATTTAATATGCACTTCTGATTTATACATGTTTTTGATTATATCACCTTGTGGTTCCAATCTAATAACAAAATATTGTTTATATGTAATCTACAAATACATATTTTCTTTGTTTGATATAATAATTGTAATAAGAAAAATGAAAAATGTGGTGCCCTGATTAAAAAAAGTTGCTAATGGTTTTTTATTTTTGAACTTATTACTTTAATTGTTTTTGACTGTGGCACGTGTCAATCGTCAATTCCTCAATGAAATCATTCTAGCCGTCAATCCATCCAGACGATAACTTTTTATACTGTTGAATTGGCCGGGATCATCCTCACTCCATTGTCCAATTTTTTAAAAGAGGAGGCGTCTCACTATTATGAACGCATACCCATTGGACTCCTCAAGCTCAATGACACACTCTCGCTCGCCACCACTCTCTACCCACCTGCCAATGATGATTATGTGTATTCTCACTCCGCATCTATAGTTATTTGTTTGTTTACCAAAGCTGTTCACTATTATATCTTCACCACACCCTACTCATACTTGTCTTTCTTAACATAACTTGACAACATCATATTTCTTATGATATGTAAGCCACAGTGTAGTTTCAGCTTATACATTACATCTCTTACACAAGTACAAAGCAACGGCTTGTTGCTATATGTGATTTGATCTTGTAGATGCTTGTTTTAACATAAACTATTTCAAGAGATACAGACATCAAAGAAGACCACTCTGCTCTCTTTAGGTAGCTATAATATGGTAAGAATAGTTATAATGTAACATTATATCTATTATCGATCTATTCTGGAAATGGACTGCATCATACATTCAAGAATGAGCCGTCCTCTCATACCTCCTCATGTCTTTTACCACTACAGCTAAACGATTTGCAGCTTATTTGACCCCTAAGTGGCGATGCACATAAATAAAATAATGTGACTGACAGAATCTTATATAATATGATTAAAAAAAAAAAAAAAAAAGTACGTAAAGAATAAGAATAAGCAATGTCATTTCGATTATTTGTTTTGTTTGATATTATTATTATTATTATTTTAATTGTTTCTACAATGATGATGTTTGAGATTCTGTTTGTTGTTGGGTTGTTGTTAATTCTTCTTGTTCGTCAGCTAGTTGGAATTGTTCTTGTTGGTCAAATTGATTATCATGTAGGTCGCTAAAGTCCAAGACAGAGACAAACTTTCTTGGTTTGGCTGGAAGACCGTGTGTATTGATTGTTGAAACGCTAAAGTAAACGACACCTGGTACTGTAGCGAAAATTGTGTGATCTCTACCCATACCGACACCATCTCCTGGATGGAATCTAGTTCCTCTCTGTCTAACTATAATATTACCTGGTTCGACTAAATGTCCACCAAACTTCTTGACACCCAAATACTTTGGTCTTGAATCTCTACCATTCTTTGTTGTACCTGCTGACTTTTTAGTAGCAAATCTCTTTGTATATATTAATGATTCAACTATTATATTTAATTAATTAGCAATAATGAATATAATTAAAGTTAGTCCTTTGTTTTAACTGATTGACAAGCAGTAATTCTACTACTAATATTATCTAAAATCTAATATTCTTTTCTTTCTTTACCTTCACCAAGTAGACATGTTGATCTAACAGTCTTATTTAAAGTATTACTAAAAAAAGACATTATTTATTTATTATGATAATGAAACTATACAATTTAATTCATATGAATTTGAATAATCGAATGTTTAATCGTTTTTTTTGATCAATTTTTTTTTTTTTTTTGATCATTCAAAAAACAGATTTTTCATTTTTTTTTTTTTTATTATTATAAGCAATAAGCTAGCAACTAAACATTTTTATTATGATTATTTGTATTTTGATCGGTTATATTTAAAACAGTTACTTTTTCAACATTATCATTAGCATTCACATCTTCTTCCTCTTCTTCTTCGTCTTGGAAATTATGATAGTTCTTTGAGTGTATTCTACTTTGTTGGTATTTAACCATTAGACAAAACGAGGTAGCTGCTAATAAGAGTCCAAGTGAAAAACCAAATGTAACCATGAGGGTGAATCTTGTTTTCGATGGATATCTGCATCTTGAATAGTCACCGCCGGTCACCAGAAGATTTAGGTCGGGGTCAAGAAGTGCTCGCATCTCGAAATACGGTAGCCGCGAAGAAACATTGACCGATCCATCGTCTTTATTCTCAGTGAATCGATTCTCAACCGATCGCGGAACATTGTCGACCTCTGCACGATTGGGGAACTGTCCGTACACCATGTTGCCGCCGGCATCTATGAGACTGAGCGCCGTTATCCTGTCGCCTTCGATTAACGAGTAGTAAGACCAATCGACACATTGCTCTCCACCTTCGGGTGGTGTAACGACGCTGTTGATCTCGAGCAGGTTTTGCTCGGTGAGGAAATCCCAGCCCTCTATGGCGACGTCAAACTTTAGCGCGCCCAGCGAAATCGAGTGGCTGTGTCCGGCGTATTCGAACGTGTAATACTGGTTGTCGGTTACACCTTCGATAGCAACGTACTGTGTGAATGTAACATTGATACGGGCACTCTGTCGGAGCGACGGTTTGTCATCCAAGTCCGCTTGGTAGAGCCAGCGCTTTCGCACGATCGTGTCGGAACTGTGGATCTCGACCGCTTCGTCTTCGAGCACCGAGTACCGCCAATTCAACTGCGAGAACTCCACTCGGTTTCCGATTTTCCAATTCTGACTTGTGTATTCCTGTAGGCTGTCTACGATGATCGAGTAGCTCATTCCGGCCATTGTGATATTGGCAATCGGCTGAGTGGTCATCGGTTTGACATCTTGTGTTCGTCTTTTGTTGAAAGTTTTGATCTGACATAGATCGCCACCCCAACCATCGTTACATATACATTGATTACCCATACAATGTCCATTTCCATAACATGCATTATCGCCATCCTCCAGAATACATCTACTTGTTGAATCTGTTTGTTTTAATTTGCAATACAATTAATTAATATCAAAAAATATTATTAATTCGTTTTTTCCGCGCGAAAATTACCTGGTTGTGTTTTATAACTATAAAATTTATCTACAGGAATGTCATAGTTGACATCGGATATTTTAAAGTGATAGGTTGTATCAGAGACTAAACTGTCGAATACACAATTGTTTGATTCTGAATAATAACAAAACGTTAACCAATTCTTGTTATCGAAAGAAATCGAAGCATTATAATATGGTTTGTGTTCGTAGTTTGCATCTGAAACCCATGTAAAGTTAATTGTATCTTTTGATATTATAGTTATTTCAGATGTTGGTTTAAGTGTTGGTACTATTTTAATTAAAAAAAAAAAATACTAATTAATATTTTTATTATTATTATTTTTATTTAATAAGAATAATTTATAATTACCAAACTCGAAACTATCACTACTACTACTACTATCATCATTGACATCTATATTATTTATATCTAGATCTAATTGTTGTTGTTGTAGTTGTTGATGATTTTGTTCAGTGTGTGACGATGGAGATAAGGTGGTGCCTGTTGTCAACACCAAAAAATCACTGAAAAAAAATAGTAATATAAAAGATAATGATATTAAATAATAATAATGTTTACAACAGGAAAAGGATTTATTATTGCCACCCAACATAACATTAATTTTCGAAAGTGTATTGATAAATAAACTAGTACTTTTTATAGATACTAAAAGAAGAGCAAAAAGGAATTGTTGTTGTCGTTATTGTTTATTATTATTTATTTTCTTTTGAATGATTTGAAATCATATTTAGTAGTTATTCTATTAAATTATAAATAACTTTCTACAGATATATCTTATTTTATTAAATTTGCAAAAAGAGAAAAAAACAAAAAAACCATCAAATCAAACATTTAATTTGGAGACAAGCAATAGAATAAAAATAAAAATATGAGCAAGATCTCTCAATTATAACCTAAGATTGCTGCCGAATTTTCGTATAGAAGGTGGTTTTTGAAAATTTTTTGCAAAAATAGATTTTGTTTTTTTTTTGTTTTCAAAATAGTAGGATTACATTACAATCACTGTTTTCTTTATCTTTTACTTTTACTTTTCATTTTGTTTTGTTTTATTATGTACAGTACTTCATATACACTTACATTAGTAGTAATAATAAATAATAATTAAGAAATTTAAAAGAAATAATTGTAAACATTGTTTTTTTTTTGGTATCTTTAGATTTTGTTTTGTTTTATTATGTACAGCTAAGCTCTCACTTTTTTTTATTTATTATTGATGAAAAAGAAAGAGTCAAATAATTTAATATATATTAAATAATGAAATTAATTAAGGTTGTTGTTGTTGTTGTTGTTGTTCTTTTCGTTGTATTTCTTTTTGTATGTCTTTCATTATTGCTTGGGTTCGGTCGGTGATATTACATCTGAATTCGAAAAATATATGTGTGAGAAAAGCATTGACGGTTTGCTCTTCAACATAAAGTCGGTAGCACATGATCGATAGGAATTCCATCTCCATTTTGATAATGTTGGTTGGATTGGTATCGAATTTACTGGCAATTCTATTCATATTAATTTTGGATTCACTATACATTTTTATCGCTACTATACAACTAAAAAATTTAAAATATAAAGATTAGTAACAACAATATTGTTAATGCTGATTCAATGATGATATTTACCTTGTCAGTATTAACCACAAGACTGAACTTTGTCTAATACCAACTTTCTTTACGTATTTATCGGCCAAAAAGAATGCTGTAAACAGGATGTAGGTTGATTCATTTAGGTCTTCAATTAACCATTGTAATATTACTTCAAGGATTTCGGTGACGCCTGCCTCCATCTGAGACTTTGAGAGCAAGGTTTCACGGTATCCAGTCTTTCCAGTTCGGTTGGACTCTATGACCCAGCTACATACTTTCTTGACCAGGAGATCGGCAGATCCAGATAGGTAGTCACTGAGGAATGGGAATCTATTGAGTTGTGATGGGGAATTCCTTCTGCTTGAACATGAGGAAGAGGAGCTTGAGTTCGGACTGGTCGAGTATGTAGATGATGGTGGTGATGTGGAATGTTGTTCTTGTTGTTCTTGTTGTTGTAGTTGTTGATGTTGTTTATTACTATTATTGTTTAATTGATTGGTGGCGATACCACAATCAATGTAGATACACTTGGAATTGACAAAGTGATTGTTATTGTTATTATAATAGTTGGTTGATAACATAATTTAATGATATAGGCGGTATTTGTCACTTTTGGGTAGGTGTAGTAACCAAATGTGGAAGTTTTCGTAGTGATAATTTGCAAGCAATGTATTGTATCTATTATTATAATAATGTTGAATTTTAGTAATAAGTAAATTTATATATATTTGAAATGGTTGTTATTTGAATTAGTATATTTAATGTATTTATATTAAGATTGGAATTAAAAATGATATTTATTTTAATTTAAATTAAAAATAAATGATAAATAATTAATTTTATTTACTTGTAGCAATATCAATCGACAACTGGTCAATCACATTTCATTAAATTGATTCAAAAATGTTGTTGTTGTTGCTGCTGGTATATGGAGTGTGTGTGTTTTATTCAAAAATAAAATGCTGGTCAACAATCTAATACAAATTTGCAGCAATTCAATAAAAATGTGTGAAGATAATAAATTTTTATTTGATAAGGTGCTGTAATTTGTGTTTTGAAGTTGGTGTTGGAATTTGTGGTTTTGGTGCTGGTGCTGGTATTGGTAACAATATTGTATGAGATATTTTTTTAATAGGATATATTATGATAATAATTCAATACAGGTATATAATATGTGAAGTATTTGATATTCTTGTCGTTGATGTCTTTTTGAAGAAAGTTACAAATATCAGGCTTTACATTTACAATGATATTGAATATATGAAGTAGTGTATTGATTTTGTTTTTGTTTTTCACAAAATTTTAACACACATTTATATATTTGTATATTTTTATTTATTTGTATTAAAATTTGTATCTCTGTTGTTTTGCTGTGGATTTTGTTATCTATGACCAAAAAGTCAAATATTTATTACAAAAATAAATAATTTAAATCAACCCACACTTTTAAACACATATTAATATTTATATGTATTTTATTATTTTTACTAAGATTTTAACAGAATGTAAAAAGTGAAAATAAACATAGATAATTGAAAGATTTAAATTTTTATTGTTGGTTGTTGTTGTTGTTGTATGAGAATTGGAATTTTGTTTGAAGTGCTCAGTATCATCGCAAAAGATACATACAGATAATTATAATTATAAAAAAACAGGCATTTATTTCCTCTGTGGGTACGGGTGTGAAATTGGGAGAGAGTGTGTGTGTGTGAAGTTTATAAATAAAAATAAAATTTTTTGAATAAAAAAAGAGGGTGAAGTGGTAAGTTGAGAGGAGTTTAAACTTTAATTGGTGTGTTATTATATTAATTGTCAGTATTAGTGCGTGTGTGTGTGTGTGTGTGTGTGTGTTGTTTCTTTTTTTTTTCAAACAATTTTGAGAGAAACAGTTTGTAGTAGTAGCAGGAACACCAATCTTATAGATTTCGATCTATTTCATTTGCAAAGCAGGATGTTAGTTTTTCTTGTTCTCTCTTTGTTCACTAACCATTAGTTTACTCAATGAGTTTTTTTCAAACACACCCAGTTCACACACACACACACAGTACATGTTGTTAAAACATAAAAAACAAAAAACAAAAATTAACAATTGCAGAAACAGTAAAAAACCACTTTAACTTCTCTTGGTAATATTTGAAATTGTAATGGTTTTTATGGTTACCAATTGTCGTTTGACATTCAAAGTAATGGTTCGAACATTGAGATTATTGTTACTTTGTGTCTTTTCGTTTTTTCAAGTAACACCAACAACAAAGAAGAGCAATAAAAACAAAGATGACAATTAATTAATAAACCATCTAAACAACAACAACTATAATAAAACAATAAAAATCTGAGCAATAACGTATGTCAATGATAGTCGATAGTATGTTTACAAAAAGGATTTTACCAACTTGAGATTTAGTTTGGGTTTGGGGGTATTGTTTTTGAGGTATGGAACAAATACGGTAACTATGATAATGATAAAATAAATAATAATTATTACAAAAAAATAAATAAAAGCAAAATGAAGTAAAGAGTCACTGCACATGTCGTTTTTCTAATTGTGTTTGTCTCTGCCTGGGGTTATTTAATTAATTAGCTGGTATTTTTTTGTTTTAAGAGTACAATGATTGGATGGGGATTTGAAAAATAAATAAATAAATTTAAAACATTAAAACTAAAAAAGGAAATTTAAAAAAATTTTGAATTTTAGAAAATTAAACAGAAATTTAAAAAGAATAGTGATTGGACCAGTTTTTATTAACAAAAAATAAAAAAGAATAAAATTCATTGGAATTATTTCTATAATTTTATTTTTTACTTACAAATAATAAATTGAATTTTTAAAAACAATTTTGATTCTAAAGTAATAATTTTCTTTAGATTTATTAATTAATTTACAAATGTATAATTCTTCAATTTTTATTTTGTGTTTTTTAAAGATAATGAATAAATAAGGTGTTTTTTTTTTGATATTTAAGTATTTTATAAATGGAGTAATGTTTCAAAATAATCTATTTAATTCAGATTGAATCAATTTTTTTATATCAAAACCAAAATATTTATTAATAAAACATCAAAAAAAAATTTTTTGGTATTTTTTGGAAAATCAATTGAATATGAAATCTTTGCGGGTTTCCTAATTAATTCGAATCCAAGATATCCTTAACCATCAATAATCACTTTGAGTTTTAAATAGATTTTAACCCCACTCTTATGAGAGAGGTATTGAATTTCATTTTTAAAAAAATTAAGAATGTCGTTAAAACTAAAACAACTTGAAGTACTATATTAAAATCAATCGGGAATAATTTTAGTTAGTTTGTTTTGAACATTTAGGGAATACAAGACGAGTTTACTTTTTACCGTTGAGGATTTCTAAGGTTTTTTTTATTCGTGTTATTTCATTTTATAGGTTGGGTTTTTTTTTTGCACACCTTTTTTGTATTCTCGCCATTATTTTTGCAAAATGCACACAAAAGCTGTGCAAATTATTTTCATTTTTTGGGGATGCATAAAATGAAATTACACATTTTTATTTTATTTCAGTTTTTTAATTTAAATTACTTATAAGAACCAAGTTTGGAGGTTATAATGTATCAATTTATATGCCTTTGGTCTTTAATTTTTCTTTTTTTTTTTTTTGTCACAAGTTGTTTAGATTCAGATTTAGGAGTACCTGTTTATTTTCATCGGAGTTTGTTTGACAATAACCATATCAATGGCTTTTAAAAAAAAAGATGATTAAATGACTGTACAATTAGCAAAAAAAAAAATGCATTTGTTCAAATGAAAGGAGACAAAGGAAGTTATTATTTTTGTAAATTTACAATTTTATCGAAAACCTTTTAATTTAGGATATTTGATAATGACCCAATAGTGGCCACGGTAGATGATTCTCTTTCTTTTCGCATTTGTTTGGCATATTGGAGTCCACATGCATTACATAGCGATGTTTCTCCGTCAGGACCTCTTCTCCACTCTGGTGTTTCTGTTGTCTCACATTTTGCACAGTGTCCAAATCTTTCTTTTGGTGGTCTACCTCTTTTTTTTTCTCTATGATTTAACTATTTATTTTAATAACGATTAATAATTGTTAATTATTAGTAATTATAAAATTAATTTTTAAATTATAAATTGTTTACCTTTTCAGTATTTGAATAGGGAGCTACTTTTGTTGGTTGATGGTTTTTCTTTTTGTTTTTCAAAGTTGGTACTGTTGGAGATGATGCTGATAGTTGTGATTTTAGATATTCGAATTGTACTGACTGCTGACCTGGTGAAGTAGATGGTGAAGCCGTTGGTGAAGTAGATGTTGATGATGTGTTTGATGACGATCTTGAGAAATACGATTGTAGATTCTGAAGACCCGTTGATTGAACAGATGGCAAGTAGAAATCGTCAGAAGATTCCTCTTCAAAGCTTGTGATGTTTTCAGATTCGTCATCGGATGAACCAAAGTATTTTCTGCAAAAACCATTATCCGATGATTTGTTTAGCGAGTTGGTTGAAAATGATTGTGAAGTTGTTATTTTATGATTAGTAGAAAAATTGTTATGATTGTTATTAATGTATGGATTAAAATTATTTCCAATTGTGCTATTATTATTGATATTATTATTGTAATTATTATTATTATTGAGTGAAAGATTATTTCTACTTAGATTATTATTATTATTATTACGTGGTGAATCGATCTCTTCGATTTGAAGATCATTTTGTTTTTGGTTTGTATTAAAGTAAAATTGAGGTAAACTATGTGATTTTGTTATTTTTTGGTGTTGAGGTGCGGAATTTTTATTTGTAAACAATGATGGAAGAAGTTCATCAATATAATCATTGTGAATGGTCAAATCAAGTATCTTTGATTTATTTCCAGAAGAAGGGAAATGATCTATAGATTTTTAAAAAAACAAATTATTAATATTAATATTTTTCCTATGAAATTTTTTTGTATTCTAATAATTGCTAGTTACATTTAAAGACAGTTGTCATTTAGGTTTTTATTTTCTTTTTTTTTTTTCTTCTGAAAATATTGAATTGTGGATATGGAAATTGAGGATTGGAATTTTAAATTGCAATAAATAAAAAAAAATGTATAGTTATTTTTGTTTACAAAGTTGTAATTTTGAAAAAAACAAACAAAACAAAACAATGATTGATACCAAGGGAGATTGGAAATAGAGTTGTCTTTTTGATGTTTGTGATTTATAGAGGTCTCGAAAAAAGATGATTTAAAATATTTTGTTGTTTGTTTGATAATTAATGTTTAAATTTCAAACTATAAAATTGTTTGTTTTTTTTGTTATTTATTTGTTTAAATGGATTGATGGTTTGAGATCACCGAAAAAGGGGTAGCTGCTGTTTTTCTTCTTAAGAGTGTGGAGTTGATTGAAGCAAGCATAGGAGAGGTGTGTTGTGTGAAGAATCTTGTTTGTGTGTTGTTTAATGTGAAAGACTTGGATTTAATATTAGAGATACAAAAAAAATTAAAATAAAAAAAAAAAAAAGAGGAGGAACAAATTAACTAAATGTGTTTTTGTGAAAAACAATATTGTGAGTATATCTAATGGTATATCTACAGATGAATGGATTTAATAGGGATTGCTGAATCATTTTAATGCTATTACGACTGAAGCAAAAGTGCTATTTGCACGCTCAGTATGGAGAGGTGGAGGGTATTGCACACCTACATTTATTTAAAACGTTTCAATTTTAAAACAAATACTATATGGTGAAGTTTGATTGAATTTAAAGCGAATGAGTGAAAGCAAAGGGTGTTTGATAGTGATGGGTGTTCCAATATAAATATATTTACATGATTGTGTTTGTTATGTTCTTGTTTGTGTGTGAGAGTGTGCCAAGTCTAATATTAATATTGGTGGTTGATATTAGAATAAGAAAGATAGTTATATCAACACAAAACACACTCACATTTTAATTTATTTTTTTTGTTATAATTAAAAATAATATTAATTATTAATCTAAAGTTGAATATATTCTTTATATGTGTGGTGTTCTTATTGGTATTGTTTGCAGTGGTGATCGTAGTAATAGTGGTGGTGGTGGTGTGGTGTGGTGGTCAGTCGACACTAGTGAAATGAAAATAACTTCAATCATCTTATTTGATTGGACAATAATTGGGTATAATTGAGTATAATTGATCAGTCGTGGCATTAACACATTATTATAGTACATTTATTTTTAACAGCAAAAATGATGCATATTTTAATGTTTTTGCTTTTTTTTTTTGTTTAAAGATGGTGTTCATTTAAATCAGATTAATATTTGCTTCTAAACACACAACAAATACGATCAATACCACCACAATCATCAACCACACTCACCACAAACCAGGTTTAGTGGTAAACTTCACACCACTTCCAAAACTAAAAAAAAAAAAAATAATTTGATTGAATAGTTGGTTTCTTTTATATATCTTAAATTTTTATTATAATCGAAATTGATTTTACCATTAATTGTTACTGGTTGGTGGTGGTGGTATTTTGTTTTTTTTTTGATTGATTTCGTTGTTGTTGTTGCTGATAGTGGTGCGGTATTTTATTACTATTGAATCGGGCCACACACACAATAAATAACCTCAATATATACATATATAGGCAAAAAAATATATATCAATATTTGATACCTTTAGCCTACCAATTAGTCATATCTTCTTAATCAATAGCTTTATTTGTATGCAAATGACTCGACATAGTTTAGAGTTGTGTGGATTTACTTCACAACATGTTTTGCTTGCAACTGGTCGCCAATAAATACACAAAGTGATCAGCAACACAACAACAACAACAACAGGTTATAGCTGGATTTGGCTTGATAGTTTAAAAAGATTGAGTTGATATTTGTAATTTGACAATAAAAATTATTGAATTGGATGAAAGAGAAGAGAGAGTGTGTGTGCGTGTTAGTTTGTTTGAATTGAGTGGTAAATCAAATATATATAAGATGTTTATATTTATATAGGTTTAGCCAATCAACTCTGTTCATAATATTTGTTGAAAGTTATAGTAGTGCAACAAATATAAATATAAAAATAAAACACTCTATCACCATCCTACACCACTCTTCACTCTTCTCCTTCATCAAAATTCACTTGCTCCTTTCCACTTTCAACCTAAAAAAAACCTTTTTCTTGAATATATTTTTAACTTGCTACCTTTCCTTTTAAGTATAAATGGTAATACAATAATTTTCTAAATTAAATTACAATTTTAAAGTATATAGTTTGTTGTAGTTTGTTACCACCACTAACCACGACCAAAGTTAGCAAAATAACAATATTGTTAAGATTGACTTTATTTGCAATTTCTTTTAACAATTAACAATCTCAGTATTATTGCAAATTTAAATTTGCTTATCAATAGTTATTTTTGTTGCTGTTGCTTGTTGCTTGTTGCTGATTAGTTAGTTAGAGGAAAGTTTTGAGGAATGGATGTGGTGTTTGAAAAAATATTTAATTAACACAAAAATGAATGGGTGTAACAAAAGTATTTATCTTGTGTTTGTTTGTGTTGTTTAGTGTAGGTATAGGTAGTAGTAAGAGTAGGTGGTAGTTTTTATAGAACTTATAGCTTTAGTTTTGTATCTCTTTTTTCACTCTCTTTGAAATCTTGACTATCAATCTCTCCATCGGGTGCAATCGTCACTCCATTCACATACTTACATACCTACAACATAATATTCTTGATAAGGTGCCAGGGTGAACATGTACCACACACTTGGGTCAGTCAGTTAAAGAGAAGTTTAGAGATAAATTAATTTGATTTAAACATTGCTTGTTGGGTGTGTTTAAAAAAAAATAAATAATAAAATAAAATATAAAAATGATTGTTACTCTTCTTTCTTAGTGGTCAACTTGAAAACAATCATAGATTTGTGATGAATTGCTATGATTGTCATTCTCACCAAAATGATTAACATCATATATTTTAAACAACACTAACATATTTAGATATATAATGATATGATCACATGATCCACCTTTTAAATACATATCATATTACGTCGAGTCGATAATAATTGTTTGTTTAATTGAAGTTAAAAAAAAAAAAAAAAAAAAAAAAACCAAATCACAAAGTCCAAAAAGGGAATATCTATATATATATGATAAAATAATTATTACTAATATAACTAAATTATTTTGATCTAATAAAAATTATCTTTAAGTTTAACATCTATTATCTTTTACTAGAATATTAAAATAATTTAATTTGTAAAAAATGTTAACTTTTTTTTTTTTTTTTTTTTTTTTTTTGAATTGATTAACTCGAAATTTGAAAAAAGGCGCCATGATTGATCAATCAGAATCAACTGGTTGTGTTATTTGATTAGATTTTGAAATAACATAACCTTTTTATTTAGATATATTTTATTTTATTATGATTTAAATTATTAATAGAAATAGATATGGATCCTTTTGAAAATTATGAAGTAGAAGAAGATAATAATAATAATGATGATGAAAATCCATCAGATAATGAAAATGATAATAATAACAATAATATAAATAATGGCAATAGTAGTAGTAGTAGTAGTAATAATAATAGATCAGTAATATCAAAGAAACCAGCAGCAGTTTCGAAAATCAATTTTTTAAGTACAAGAGGTGCAAGTAAATCGTCGATCGATGAAAATGGTGTGGGTACTTCAGCATCTAGCGGTTCAAAAGATGTAAAAAGAGGACCAAGAGATAAGGATTTATCCTATGAGGACGATGATTTTGATAGCTACTACAGTAAAACAAGTGATCTAGCTAACGGAGGTAGTCAACCACTATCGTCGTCGGCTGCATCCGCTATTCCGAACGAAGGTATCTACATCTGGGGTACCAACATCAAAGTCAGTGATGTTCAAGTCAAATTCAGAGTATTCATAGAGTCATTTACAATTCAAAAGCCAACTTCAACCATTTCAAATAATAACAACAACAACAATGATAATAGCGATAATGAAGAGGAGGAGGAAGAGGAAGAAGATGAAATGGATATAGATGGCAGTGGTGTAAGGAATAAGAATAATAAAGGTGAAGTCATTATATTATATTTAGATATGTTAAGAATGTTAAAAGAGAATAAGAGTAGACATTTAAATATCAATATGACCTATGTCTATCAGTTTGATCAATCGCTCTATTACATTTGGGTCAGATACCCAAATGAAATGATACAACTCACGGAGCAGGAGATCAACAACATCTTTACAACCATCTATCCAGAGGTACTAGACGAAGTTACTGGTGTACTCACTGATCCAATCGAACTACATCCATTCAACCTTAAAACAACGAAACCAATGCGTCAATTGAATCCTTCAGGTAACTAACACTAACTAAATTTAATTACTTATTTATCATTAACTAATTTACAATTACAATGATTATAGATATCGATCAAATTATTTCGATTAGAGGATTGATTATTCGAACAAGTCCATTGATTCCAGAGTTAAAGACAGGTTTCTTTCAATGTTCTGTGTGTAACTTTACGGTGGAGACAGAAGCAGTCAAGCAAAAGATTGTAGAACCAACAAGATGTCCGAATCAAAACTGTAAGATTCTATCTAGTATGAAGTTGGTTCACAATCGTTGTTCTTTCTTTGATAAGCAGTTTATCAAGTTACAAGAGACACCCGATGCCATCCCAGAGGGTGAGACACCACACACCGTATCTATGTTTGTATACCGTGATCTTATCGATATCGGTAAGCCAGGTGACCGTGTAGAGATTACCGGTGTATTCAAAGCAAATGCATCAAGAGCAAGCGGTACAACCAAATCACTTAGATCTATCTATAAAACATGTATGTTGTAGAGTTAACACAATCAATATATATTAAACAAATTAATTACTAACTAATCAACTTTAACGATCTATCTATATAGATATTGATGTATTGTATATAAAGAAAACAGATAAAGGTAGAAGACATGATGATATATCGGTATTGAGTCAATTCAATTCAGAGTTGGCGGATATCGATGAGTTTAGAGTGAGTGCAGAGAGAGAAGCAGAGCTACTGAGTTTGTCAAGACGAAAGGATATCTACGATCTGTTGACAAGGTCGTTGGCACCGAGTATCTGGGAGATGGACGATGTAAAGAAGGGTATTCTCTGTCAGTTGTTTGGTGGTAGCAACAAGCAGGGTCTGGGTGGAAGTAAGATTCGTGGCGATATCAATATCTTGATGTGCGGTGATCCCGGTACCAGTAAGTCGCAGATGTTGTCGTTCGTCCACAAGATTGCACCGCGTGGTATCTACACGAGTGGCAAAGGTAGTTCTGCTGTCGGTCTGACTGCCTACATCACGCGTGATCCAGACACGCGTGAAACCGTGTTGGAATCGGGTGCGCTGGTCTTGTCTGACGAGGGTGTCTGCTGTATCGACGAGTTTGACAAGATGTCCGATCACACCAGATCGATCCTTCACGAAGTGATGGAACAACAAACGGTGTCCGTAGCGAAAGCCGGTATTATCTGCTCGCTCAATGCGCGTACCAGTATTCTGGCGTCGGCCAATCCCAAGGAGTCGCGATATAATCCGCGAATGTCCGTCGTGGAGAACATTCAGTTGCCACCGACTTTGTTGTCGCGTTTCGACTTGATCTACTTGGTACTGGATAAAGCCAATGAGAGACACGATCGTATGTTGTCGCGACACATCGTTTCGCTCTATTGGAATGAGAATCCCGCACCGCAATGGACGATTCCCCGAGACATGATGACCGACTACATCAGTTATGCGCGCAAGAATATCAATCCTATCATCCAAGAGGACGCTGGCGAACTGCTGGTTAAAGGTTATCTCGAGATGAGAGCTCAGGGCGGTGGAAGAACGATCTCTGCAACGCCAAGACAACTAGAGTCACTGATACGTACCAGTGAAGCGCATGCCAAGATAAGATTCTCGCCTGTGGTGGAGCCAGTCGATGTAACAGAGGCTATCCGTTTGGTGAGGGCTGCACTTCAGGTGTCTGCAACCGATCCGACCACCGGTACAATCGATATGGATATGATCAACACTGGACGATCGTCGTCGCTGCGTATGGAGATAGAAGCACTCAAGGAAGCTATTCTCGGAATGATGGGTGCTCGTACAACACCCTGGACACAGGAACAACTATTTACACAAGCAAAAGCATTTAGCAAACCCAACGATAACAAACCAGCGTTTTCAAATATTTCACAAGATGAACTACTCGATGCACTCAACCAACTCTGTCAATCCGAGGAAATCAAGGTTACAAAGGGTATCAATCCCACTTATATTTTAATGACTAAATAATTTAGAAATGATTTAAATCAAAGTAGTTTAGATACAATAATATTGCTAATAAACATCATTATCAGCTACTTCAATGAAGCTGAATGAATGGAAAAAAACAAACAAAACTAGAATAACGAAGCAAATTCGCTCCACATTAATTAATATTTTTGTGATTTTATTTTTTTAAATTTAAATTCTAAAGATATATTGTTTTTTTAAGAAAATCTATAGATTGTGAAAGTCAAATTATTATTAATTATAGAATAAATCATTCCTTTCATGAATACCTTACACACCTATTTTTATAAATCTATTTTTTTAAGAAATAAACAATTATCATTTTTCCCCCACCACACAAAAAAATTGGTTGTCAATCATAGTTGTCAATTTTTGGATTTAAATTTTAATAAGTTTCAAGAACTTTGTCAATCAAATAATTATTTTTATAGATTTTTTATTCTTTTAGAACTATGAAATTAAAGTATAAAAAGGAAAAATTTTAAAATGTATTTTCAAAAAATCATTTCTTGAAGTCTTTTCAAAAACAAACGTATGTACAATTCAATTAAAATCAATATAATTATTTACTTACTAAAACTTGTGTCTTGAACCATAGAATGTTAAATAGAATTAGTAATTCTAAAAGAAATACTTTGGAGTATTCAGTTCCAGATGATATCATTGATGTAGATAATGAAATAGTAGAAAGTACAATACCGCTGGTTGATCAATTAAGTAAGAAAGAACAGATAGGTACATCTTCAATCAAATCAATATCTTCAAATATTGTAAGCCCAAGTATTCCAACTTTTGAACCGCCAAGCCACCATGTTCCAACTTCAGTTTTGCAAGATGCACTACATCGATCTGCAACCAATCAAGTTAGCTCCAAAAATCTTCCTAGGATTTTAGAAGAACTTAAAAGTGTTAATGATTATGCTAACCTTTTATTGTCAAAGTCAAAAGAAAGAGAAGTTAGAAGAACCACTCAAAGTCCAAAGACGACAATTCTACATAACAAGAAAAAAGTGACCAACAACAACAAAGACATCAACGACAAAAATAATAATAATAACAATAATTTAAATATTAGTAATAATCAATCGAATTTAAACAACAATAATATTAACGATATTCATAATAATAATAATAATACTCCTATTATTCTCAAACTTCTCTATAAACAAGGTAATATGTCAGTCTATCAGTCCAGAGTATATGATCCTAAAAGACAAAGAACTTTTCTTGTTACTAGATATATTTCAACTGTATTAACACCAGAAAATCAAAATATAATATCCAACATAATAGTCAATTAAACAACCAAGTACCAACAATTCTATCAACCATCATATTAATAACTATTAATTCAAAATGTTTATTAAATAAAAAAATTTATTACTCTAAAACATCCAATTTAAATTCATTAGTTTTCTGTGCTTCTTGTATAAGTTGTTTACTTTGAGTTGGTTTGTTGATTGAGGATGCTAGACTGGATGCAGCAATATAGAGTGATGTAATTATGTCATCGGTGTTGATTTGAAGTGGTTCCAAGTTGGCTTGCTCCAAATAGGGTAAGAATAGTTTATAATGTTTGTTTAGATACTCAAACTGCGCTACGTTAACCAACCTTCCTACTGTTTTTTCTACATGTCTAATGATTTGTGAATATTCAATATCTAGCTTTTCAAAATCTGTCATACATTCTTTGAAATTAAACAATAACACGTTTGCCATTGATCTTGACAAATAGAAAAGCATCTTGTGTTCCTTTGATATCGAATCATTCTCTTTAATCATATCACTAAATATCTTTACCAAAATCTGTCCATGAACAGATACCAATCTGCATCGTATCTGGTAGTTTAACATTGAATCTGAATTCAACTCCAACCATCCTTTTACATAGATTGATTCTAACCTATCCAATGCCGATCGATAATCGCCTTCTATGTAATCGATAGTTGAAAGATGTAATGTCGCTACTGATTTGATATGATGGTTAATCTTATCATTGTCCATTATCTTATTTAGTACTGATTTAGCTTGATTAAATCTACCAAGAGAGATGAGTGATGTTGACAACAGTACTTGAGCTACGTAGAAAGTTGGTTGTTTTGTTACTAGCGCTTGTAGTTTATCAATACCTCGACTGGATTTGAGAAACATCACTTCTGAATAACCTCTAATAGCTTGGAAATATAATTTGTCAGCTTCACTATCGAATCGATCCAATTTCTCTTCGGTATCAAATAGGACTTCGAGTTGATCTTCTGTTGTTGCATCTATTGTCTCTGGGAATGCACCGAATCTTAAAGCATATCCAATCGATTTGCCAGACTTGATTAAGCTTTCAACTCTTTTGTAGGAACTCTCATATGTGTCTGGGTTTAGAAAATTCTTCACCAAGAGGTAATCTATGGATTCTGAAGTCGTCGAAGGATAACTAACCATTTTCCATGGATATAGATAGAATGGTGAGTTGCCGTTTGAAGGTATATAGTTGGTGGCCCTGTCTAATATTGAATTAATCATACCAGCTATACCGTATGGAATTTGGAATTCTAGATTACCACGAATCAGTAAATCTACCATTATCGAAGTAGTCTGGAGAATAGATTTCAGATGATTGAGAAATATGGAACCATCATTGCTGGGTGATGTTGTTGCCATATGCTTCTCAAGCAAAGATATCCAAAGGGCAAGGGATTCAGCTATCTCTTGGTTTGATGACGATCTCTTGATGAATAAAATTCGATCTCTGTCTGTCTCTGAACATGTCTTTTCTTTGAATTCATTCCACTCCTTCCAATTAAAATCCAAACTCAAAACATAATCGGAAGCAGCCAGTCCCAAAAAATCGACCATTTCTCTGGTCACTCCAATAGTAGAACTTAATCTTTGCACATCTGCCATACTCTCATTTATAAACTTATCACATTCACTTCTTTCCAGTTTCAAACGAGTCATACAAGCTATAGTGTTTGAATACAATTCAAATCGTTCATTTTTAATATTCTCCTATTAATAGACCGTTAATGTTAATAATGTTTATTAGATAAATAATATGTTTAAAAATCTTATATGAGTAGAGTATGGTTTACTTACATTTAAATGTTTGATTGCGATTTTCGCATGTTTAAGAGAATCTTTAAATCTTGCTACTGCACGCTGAGAGTATAAATAGGCAAGAGAAGCATTGATTTTGTACGGTTCATAATCTGGATACTTTCTAACTAGAAGTTCGAGTGAGCCTATCGCTCCTTGGACGTCTGGTCTATGTTTGGTATATATAAGGTGTTTGACATTAAGAGCAGAGATTAAAAGTTCCCTACTAATAACTCTCCATTCTGAATTCTCTATTTCATCGAATGATGCTAATCCACCGTCAATATGTTCCAGTGACTTTTCATATTCCTCTCTTCTATACTCTAGCAGTCCCAACTGTATTGAATCGAATGGTATGAACTCTTTTGATTTCTCCAACCTTTTTAATATAGAATAGCATTGTACATTATCTCCGACACTGAGAAATTCTAAATAGGCCGGACGTACAATATAACCAGGTAGATCGGTATTCAATTTAGTAACAGCTCTAAAGAAATCAGCCATTGTGTGATCGATACTAGATTGTTCAATTAGCTCCCTTACTGTGGCCACCAAGGTTTCGTAAGCTCTTTGAAAATCATCGGTCGATTTGAAAGTAGCGGTTGTATCTAGAAGCGAATTGACAGCAGCGCAAATGGTATTCCAAGTTTCACTCTTGTTATTCAATTTCGAACAGATTCGAATTCTAACTAAAAGTGCTTTGAAGTCATTTGGGTACTCCGCAATAACCTCATCTATCTTCTTCAAGGAATCTTCATCATGATCAATAAAACTAAGTGTTTGAACATATGTTAGTTTCTTTGTATATTCTTGATCTTTTCTATTGATATTATTATTAACTGAATCTCTATTAAATAATTTATTAAAAAAACTGATTGATCTTTTAAAGTTTAAACTAGTTTGATCAATTTTAGATCTACTACTATTAATATTTATTAAATATGAATTGCTAACAATAGATCTTTTTAAGCATAACGGATATGACTTTAAAGAAATATTGCCTATCGTATTACTGAAAAACCTATTCATTATTATTGTTAAATTGTGTTTATTATTTATATAAGTGAGATTTTTCTATAATCAAAATGGTAATTTTGATAAAACTCATTTCCAAAAAATCTTTAATCGAGATATTTATAAATCAAGAAATTTAAAAAAAATATATAGAAATTATTAAGATAATTTATTTCCTAGGCAATAAGATACCCAAAAATTATCGATTGGAACATTTGGATTTGGTTTGTCATTGGTAGTGATGAAATCACTTTGATTCATTCCATTGTAATAGATATATTTTACGACACTTTTAAAACTTCTGCTGGCTGCATATAATACTGCATCCTTTGAGAATTCAAGAGTTGTTTTTCGATGAAGGAATCTTATTAAATACATGTGACCACGCTCGACTGAAATATCCAGTACTTTGGTAGAATCTAGCAATCCATTATGATGTAAATACTTTATCTTTTCAAAATCATTGATTTTTGCTAGATCTTCACAAAAATTGGGTGGCATTGGTATTCTTTTATATTCCAATAGGTATCGGATGAAACCCAATGACATATTCCATAGTTTCGGTAAGAGCTCCTTCCATTGGTCATCATCCAATCGCTCCAATAGAAAGTGTGCATGATCCAAATGGGTAGTTGATAGATCTTTTATACTGATATTCTTTGTGCAACTATTGATATCGCAATACTTGTTGAAAAAGTATTTAACAGATTTGAATGGTAATGCATAATGGTTGGTATACATCGATTTGCCAAAAGCCAACATACTTTTACTATCCAACGAAACCGAATCGAAAAATAGATCGACAAGGTCAAATCTACCGTATCGGAGTGCCTCAAAGACATAATTCAGGTGACTGAATGTTGCTCCCAAATCAAAGAGAATTTCTACTATTCTGATATCGGTTCGTTTTGTAATAGCAAACGATAGGTATTGTTGAATAAGTTTGGGTTCGTTGATGGCAATCCATTCTACTACTTCGTATTGATTGTTGGTGATTGCATCTTCGAGTGAAGATATATTTGGTTTGATTGCCGTATGATTATATAGGAATTCTATTGCTTCCATTTGTCCTTTGGCAGCAGCAAACTTGAAAGAATCATCGGTTGGAATCAGACCTAATTCCAGCACCAAGTATTCTAAAATATCAATATGACAGTGCTCTGCTGCCTTGTCGACGAGATCCCTTCTGAAAGTGGTTGGTTGTGTCTGATAAAGATGTTTCAACATCTCTAGATTTCCTCTTTCCACTATGGTTTTCAAAGATGATCTTCTACATTTGATTCTCGCGTCAATATAGTGCATGGCGTCTAAGATGTGGATGTGATTGTTCTCCGCAGCGACAGAGAATGCTATCTTGCCAAAAAACTGTAGTCTACAGCCACCTATTTTCCTCATCATTTTCAAGTTTCCGAGCGCAGCAATTCCCGCTAGATTGGCTCGAGTATACCTTAGTTTTTTCTGGAAAATTAGGTGATCCAAAATCTCCATTTGATTGTGCTGAATTGCCGTTTGAATTGCATGGTTATCGTTTAAGAAATAGTATATTTTTTTATGCAGAGTATCAAGTAATTTAAGATCACCTATCTTTATCGCTTCGATAAGCACGCTTCTACTGAATCTAACTCCGGTTCTCAACAACCAATCGATGATATCGCGATCACCAAGTGAGAACAGTTCAGTTGCAGTGTCAGGACAGCAAGTAACACCTCGCTTTTCATTTAACCATTTAGCAATGTCGAAGTTTTTGTGTTTGAATGCAACATCTCCGATTTTCGACCAATCGTTATAGTCGTCACCGTACTCATAGATCTGTTGGAATAGCTCTAAATGACCGTGTTCAGCACAAGCACAGAGAGCACTATCCAAGTTTTGTGATTGTCCGAACTTCTCGAGGAAATAGCCAACCAAGTGGAAATGACGGTTAACCACCACCAACGACAACTCTTCGCCGCTGAAGAGTTCACCGACTTCAAGGAGATACTCGAGCAGTTGTAGATTGCCTTGTTTAGCAGCGACACTCGGTAGAGGATAAACAAAATCCAAAACTTGAATCGGATGTATAATATCACTAGACACTAAACTATTATTGATCTTTTTATTATTATTCTTTTTTTGACTTTTTAAATTCTTTAGTTGATCTATATATCCATAATAAGCCAAATGATATTCACTTATAATCAGTTCTGACCATTTCAATACTGATTCTTCAAAAACATTATGAATCAAACTAACATTATTAAATAATAATTTTCTAATATAAATATTATTAATTATTAAATTAAATAGATTATTATTCATTTTTTGTAAATTATTAATTATAATATTATTGATTATTTATAATCATTTAATCAGTTCCAAATAGCTTTCTGTTAATTTTAGCAATAGGATTCAAACAAAAATATCTTGATCATATGATCCGAACTTCTGCAAAAAATAAAAGTGTTTTTTTGTAAACTTTTAAAACTATTCGTATTACCAACAAACTTTATTTTTATTTTATTTTTTTACCAAACTTCATAACCAATTGAATCCCAGAAGTCACAGAATTCCTTTTTCAAACCAGATTCTACAGAGATTGGTGTCTGTAAAACCAAAGTGATATCGTTTGATTGTGTGTATGCTGGCCATTGGATTGTTGGGGTGTTACCAATATTTGGATTACTGTTCTTGGCGAAATTGGTCCAGTAATCAACCATTTGATCGGAGAGAATTTGTTCTTCTGCAGTGAAGTTGAATTGACCAGTGCTTCTGACAGAGTCGAAAACGTATGGTAATTCCATTCCGTGGCAGACATGAGTCTTGCACATTGGGAAACCATTTGGGGTGTAGGCATCGAACGATGAAACATGTTGGAATTGATATTGATAGACATCGCTAATACCAGCAGCGGTCAAAGAGACTGCTACCTTTCTAGTTGGACATTGGAATACAAAGTCTGTACCGATCAACGACATCAAATCTAAATAGTTACCAGTAGAGGAGTTGCTATAATATAGTTATACCTACTAATTAGTAAAAGTTGATAATTTGTAAGTTTGTTTTATATTTACAATGATGATTTGTAGTGTGAATGAACCTGTGGAGCATAACGACCAAAGATATCGAGCAAAGCTCCGTTGTATTCGAGTGCAGAGATTTGAGTGGCGACGGAAGCAATGAAGATTAAACCTTCATCGAAAACAGTACCCAACATCACTGGAACTTTGTTGAATTGACCCTTCTCGATGAGTGCCAATGGTTGATCTGGAATCAAAGCACCATCGATCACTGGAGTCCATGGCAAGAATGAGAACAATGGATGCAAAATGTTTACTTTATTCATGGTGTTATTCGAGGCAATGAAGATCTCTTCACCAGTTTTACCCAACATACAATTGAGATCATCGATCTTGCAACCCAAATCCTTTGAGAAAGCCTCTGCCAAACTGATCATCTGGTCGTAGGTCTTCACTGGAAGACTCAATGGATCGGACTCAATGATGATACCCTTCATCAATCCTGCAGATGCCGGTGAAATCAAATGAATACCTGCACTGGTACCACCTGCAGATTCACCAAAAACTGTAACTTGTGATGGATCTCTAAATGATATAGAATACAATTATTATTATTATATTCAAAATTGTAAAGTTAATATTATACTACTTACCCACCAAATGCTTTAATATTATCATGTACCCAGTTGAGTGCCAGTAATTGATCTTCAAAACCATAGTTTCCTTTGAGTTCTGGTGAAATCATGAATCCGAAAACACCAAGACGGTAGTTGGTTACAACAAGGATTACACTTGATCTGTTAACAAAGTTACCACCTTCATACAATGGAGCGATTCCACCCTAATCATTTAAAAAGAAATATGTTTGTTAGTAATATTTTTCTTTTAAAATGATTTATAAAGTTGAAACAATGTTTTAGTAATCATACCATTGTGAAACGACCACCAGGATAGAAAATCATGACAGGTAATGGACCGGCAGATGGATCAGCTTGAATTGGAGCATAGACATCCAAGTACAAGCAATCCTCTGATGTTACATTTGGACATACACCAGCAGGCATCTGACAATCTTGCAAACAATCGGGTCTATTGAATGAAGCATCGTATGCACTTTGGCCCCATGGAGTTGGTGGTTGTGGTGAAGCGAATCTTAAATTTCCAACTGGTGGTTGAGCAAAAGGAATCTGTTAAAAATAACATATCAACCAAAATGAATAAAGAAGAAAGAAACAAAAAATAAAAGTAATAAAGTTAGATTTCTCGAGAAATAAGAATAGTTATGTTTATCAAACTTTATTTTTTTCAAAAGACATAAAAACAATATACATACACCCAAGAATGAATTATGAGTATCATGACCAACACCATTGATGAGACCATCGTCAATCTCAACTGTAACGGTAGAAGCTACAATCGGTGTTGCTATATATATTAATACAGATAATAATAAAACAATTTTATAAAACATTGTTATAGATAACTAAGTATTTAATTATAATACAAATTGAATTGGAATAATCAACTTTAAGGTTTCATTTTATAATCCTAAAGTTCTCATCAATTTTTAAAAAAATACAGATATTTTGAATAAATCTCGGCACAATTTTAATAATGTTTTCAGGTTTTACCTCATTATCAGTATTAAAATTAAGATAGTTTTTTTTTTGTGAAAATTGATGCAAAAGATTAATCGAATTCTTTTTCGCAATGGGGGTTTTACCTTATTATCAGTATTAAAATTAAGATAGTTTTTTTTGCAATAGTTTTTTGTTTTTTTGGAAAAAAATCATCAAACTTTAAAGTTTTTTTTTATCATAACCCACCAAAACTAAATTAAATTCAACAATTTTTAAGATGATATGAAACTCACAGCAAAACATTGCAGGTATTTTTATCTATCCTTTGAATAAATAAGTTTTTAAAATAAAAAATTCAATATTGTTATCTTTTTGAAATCCTTTAACCTTGCAAAAAAAAATTGTTTTTCTAAAAGATAGATTATTGGCCCTTTCTTTAAGTATTATGCAATAAAATATATCTAAGAAAAAAATTGTGTAATTGTGTTTTCAAATATTAATCATTTATATTCTCAAAGTATCAATATTATTAGATTTAACCAAGTTTAAAATTTGATTATTAATTAATGGGAAATCTAACTTTAATTTTATCCAAAAGGGCAAGCCTTCAAAGGAATTATTAGATCTTTTTTTTTTTTTTTTTCTTTTTTTTTTTTTTTTTTTTTAACCATAATTAGATAAAAAAACATCTTGACATTTTAAGATTTGATAAGTATTGTCCTTTTTATTTTCTTTTTAAGAATTAAGAAACCCTGGCTCTTTAATTTAAGACTTTAAAAGAAAATAAGGAAATCTACTCTTTTTTTATTTGTTATAATTTCATTTCCCACCAATATTTGTTTAATATTCAAATTTATAGAAAAAAAGAAAAAAAAAAAAAATGAAATATTCATTAATTGTTTTCATTTTATTTGCTTGTTTAATTGTTAGTTCGTTTTCAGATGACTCACCATGTTTGACCGATCCAACGACAGATCCATGCAAAAACTACACATATGATGCCACTGCCGATCTCAACACTCTGTGCGCAGCCAACAATAATGGCTCAATGGTAATTTGTTCCATCGGCCTTGCTTGTACCGGTGCCAAGTCGAATGTCGGAGTGTGTGCTCCATTCTCACTTTTGGCTGACGGTTGCACTGGAGAATTCAAAACCGCTGACGCTTGCAAGAACTATAATGCGTTGTGTGCTGCCAATTCCGTTGTTGAGCAATGCAAGACTCAAGCAGCTACACCAAATCTGCCAACAACAGCCAAAGTCAACACGGAAATCGTATCGATCTGTACAGAGATGCCAACGATGAAAGATTGTGCCACCTGTCCGTACAATACCACAACTACTGGAACTCCAATGAATTGTGATTCATTCAAGGTCTACAGTGCCCTTTGCATTGACATGCCAAAGATGAGTCAATGCGCTGACTATAACAACTACTGTAAGGAAGGAGAACCCATTCCAAAATCTTTAATCGGTTCCAACTATTGTGATACACCTGGATCTGCTTCATCTCTCAAAGTATCTTTTGGACTCCTCTTGTTATCAAGTTTCATCTTGACATTGTAATAAAGATTATTATATTCCTCAAAATTTAATAAATATAAAAGATACTGTTCAATAAAGAATATAACAAAATAACCTCTCGTTAGCTGTAATATTTAATAATTAAAATGAATAATATAGTCGGTAGATCTACAATTTTTTTTGATCGATCATCGCAGGTTAATTTTTTTTGCAAAGTAATCGATCACAAAATATTATATTTTTAAACAATATCTTTAAAATAATGAATAAGATAATATTTTTAAAACTATTTAATTTTAGATTAATTAGAGATTTAATATTTGAATATGTTAGAGTAATATCAAAGCAGATTGTAAAGAGTGATATGCTAAACACATTGAAATGGCATCAAGTCATAACGATACCTCATCAAATGGTTGCATATGGATACTTTGATCAATTAAAGGAGTTTTACGATGGTAAATTGAATCACAAGTTTTGGGCTGACGATGAACATAGATCGTATGTCAGTATGCGTGCCGCTGAAATGTCGATACAGGTCAATAGAATCGATATTCTCAAGTTCTACATCGATCAAGTTAAGATACCAACCAATACGAGTACATTGATGATCTATGTTGCCAAGTATGGACGTTTAGAGATGATGGAGTACTTACACAGGCGAGTACGTGATTCCGGATGGGATTACCGAACCGCTCTAAAAATGTCGCCAAACAGCAAGAATTTCGAAGTTTTTATATGTTTCTTAAAGAAATACTTGGCAAGTCAACAACATTTAGGATCTGACGACAGCCAGCCATTTTATAGTTTAGATAATACCTTGAATATCACATTTGAATGTGCATTGGAAGCTGGTCAGTTGGAAATCATGGATTATTTGTACAATAATTATAACATCGATATTCATTCAGAGAAAATAGTAGAGATCCCACTTAAAGTTGGTGATATCAGGTTAATAGAGTGGCTGATAGATAGGAATGTAGATATTTGGGGATTGTACAGAGATTGTTGTATTCTAGATCGAGCTCTTCTCTATGGTAATCTCGAACTTGGTAAATGGATCCATGAGAAGCATACTGGCAGCAATATCGATACTGTCATTGCATCAGCGAATGCAATGGATAATGCAGTCCTTAGTAAAAGACAAGATATAGTTGAATGGCTACACTATAATAGAAGTGAAGGTTGTACGCCTAGTGCTATGGATTATGCTTCATCGATTGGATCAATCACTGTGCTGCAATGGTTCCATTGTAATAGAACTGAAGGATGTACATTCTTGGCGTTAGACAATGCAACACAAATGGGCAATATCGATGCAGTTCGATGGCTTCACGAGAATCGTACTGAAGGTTGTTCAATTAATTCCTATATCAATAGTATTAGAATGAATTATCTAGAGATCTTTAAATTCCTTCTAGAGAATCGCTCGGATTTCCCAAAAGAGAAAATAGCGTCACTTATAAAATATACATTAAGATATTCAACTGAGTTTCTATCTTACTTTTACGAAAACTATCACTACACTGTAAACGAAATAGATAGTCACATCAGAAAGGCAATCAGTAGCTCAAATAAATATCAATTAAAATGGTTACTCAAACGACATATCGATTTATTCAAACAAAATAATAATAATAATAATGTAGATAATCTCAATCGACTTGATATTAATCACCTAATTTCAGGTACCAACGACTCACAAATGCTATTGATATTGAATGAATTCAGAATAGAAAATTTAGGAATAGTCTATTTCAAAGAAAGAAATTCATTTTGGTTTCAACTAATAATTATGGTTTCATCAATAATAATATTAATTAGTTTATTTATTCAATACTTTATTTAATTCTGTAATTATGTACATAAATAACTGTAAAATATATTCTTCATGTTTAGACTTTAAAAAACGGCGCAGCATGATTTAAGGCGGGAAGCTCTTAAAAAGTGATAAATGCTCAAATAAAAAAAATAAAAACTCATAATTAAAAAATTAAAAATAAAAATTAATGACAAAATGCATATGCTTAATGAGAATTGACGATTTTGAGAATTAACAGATTTCTCTTGAGTATTAATTGTTCGATGAGATTTGATTTAAATATGTTTAAACCGTACAATAATTTATTTATATCAAATAATAATGACAGTAGAATCATTAAAAAGAAAGAAAAGTAGTAATAGTAATACAAAAGTGAAGAGAACAGCATTAGACAACAAGATGTTGGCTTTTGCTGTTGAAGATCTTTTAACCTATGGAGTTACTGATGATATTTGTAAAAAATATAATATATCAAAGTCATCTGGATACAGATATGCTAGACAGTTCATAGAAACTGGTGACATTAGAGAGTTGTACAGTAAGAAGAGAGGGCCTGTCAAAGGAAAGAGAACCAAGATAACTCCAATGCTTCAGCAATTCATAATGGACAGAGTAGACTCTGAGCAATGCATCACTGGAGAGCAGCTAAAGAGAGAGATACAGGACCGCTTTCAGGTTTCAGTTGGGAAATCTACAATCAACAAATTCATACATGATCGAGGTTACACTTTCAAAGTAGCAGCACAAGAAGATATATCAAGAAACACACCCATTATCATTAATGATAGATACACCTATGCAAATCTACTTCTGAAGCAAGGAAAGAGACCAGATCCAGATCATATCATCTACTACGATGTTACCTACTTTGAAACCAATTTGGTAGCTAGGAAAGGTAGAGCACCAAAAGGTAAACCTGTTGTTAATCGCAAAGGTCACAGAGGTTTCTACGTTAAGATGCCAACAGGAATGAAACAGACAGGAATGAAAAGAAAAACAACTGAGGCAGAAGCAGAAGCAGAAGAAGAAGAAGAGGAATATCAAGATACTGAGGATATAGAACAAGAGAAGGAAGAAGATGAAGATGATGGTGAGCAAGAAAGTGGAGAAATAGAGGAAAAGTTTGACTATGTTAATGGAATCCCATTTACAAAGAAACCAACAACTAGAGGTGGCAAAGCTGAAACGATTGCAGTGGTTTGTGCTGTAACTGGAAGGAAAATATTAATGGCAAGATCTCAGTTTGGCCATTTCACTAAGGATGCATTCAGATACTTCTTTCGCACTTTGTTACAGAAAATTAGATAAAGAGTACCCCAATCAATCATTTACATTCATTGGAGACAAATGAAGGTATCTACAAAGATGCTCTGTCATTACTCTCAACTGATAAATACAAGAGACATAGATCTATACCGAATCCCAGATTTTCCCCTTTCTTGAATGCTATTGAATATCTATTCAATCAGTTGAAAGCTAAATGTTAGAGGTGGTCAATATCGTACAATCGGTGATCTGTTGACAGCCATTGGCAATTCATTCAAAAAGATCCAACCAGAGAATCTAGAGAACTATCACAAAACAGTGGAACACTATCTTTATTTATCGTTGGATAAATTGCCAATCCACAGTTGGAGAGTCACCCTGGATAACAAAGTTAAAGTTCCTTTGGATCCACCTGAACGACAATGGGATTATGCACATCAGACTATTTTCATGGCAGAGAAAGAGCGATTAGACACACCACTTGCAAAAGATGATGATAAGAATCAGCCAAAAGAATCAAAGAACTTCATGTTGGAAAATGGTCAAAAGGTATTCATTTATAAACAAAATGAAGAACCAACAAGCTACTCTGTTACAACCAAAAATAAGACCACTGCTAAGAAACCAACCAAGACAACTAAGAGACTACCAAAAAAACTAAAGAAATCAACCAAAACAACAAAGAAATCAACTTAATATTCTAAATAAAATAATTGTCAATTAGTCAATTCTCATAAACCATGAGCATTTTTCCCTTTTTAAGCTTCCCGCCTTAAATCAGTGGTTGTACTGCTCCTTTTTTTATTATTTTGGATAGTCGAACATTTACATTTTATAATTATTTTAAAAATTCTATCTAATTCAACATATTAAGACCAGTTTTGATTACTTTATTACTCATTTCATTTTAATAATGTCAGATAAACAAAAACTGAGGGAAATAGACAAAAAATTAGTAACCAAAGATTGGGGTGCTAAATTTACAACAGATTATAATGGTAAACCAGATTCTCAATCGGTCTGTGTCATTTGTAAAGAAACAATTTCGTGTACACATAAAGGAAATATTAGAAGGCATTTACAATCTGATGGGTGCGAGAAAGCAGGAGAGAGAGGTACTGGTGACACAGACTATGATAAAGATAAGGTTGATGACGCACTCGTCGATGTTATCGTCAACTGCAACCTCCCAATTAGCCTTGCCGATAACATTTGGTTTGATAGGTTTCTAAGTTTCTTTCATTATACATCCCCTTCGGCAAAGGTCCTGAAACAAAAGATAATGGATAGGAGTCAATCAATGGAAAAACAAATCAAGAGTTTTATTAATACTGTGGATCATGTATCTGTAACAATGGACTCGTGGACCAATACTGCACAAGATAACTTCACATCATTTAATGCTCACACTCTTGACAAAGATTTCAACTTTATATCACTTCTATTGTCTCCTAATGTACAACACACGAAATCGAATGTTGAAAACACAGCAATTTCAGTACTAGGTGCTAATGGATGGAATATTAAAAACAAGATAGTTTCAATTACAACTAATAATGCAGATAACATCTGCACTTCAATGAAAAGCTATCTAAAGGATTCCACTATCCAACATACAAGGTAACTATTTACATGAGGTTAATCTATTGTATTATAATCTATAATTCTAAGAAAATTTAATAAACTAGATGCATGTCTCATACACTTCAACTGGTAGTAACAGATTCAATTAGTCTGGACGACAGAAAGACTTCAGAGTCGTTGAAACTTACTACTGAAAACACAATACAAACAGATGCTATAGAAGACAGTTCAAGTTTAGACCAAGGTATTGATGCAGCTCAGTCTCAAGTTGAATATTCATCTCAATCCGATCCCAAGCAGAAGAAGGGCAAGAAGTACCGGCACTAGTAATGTGAAGAATACAACATTGAAGACAAATACTGGTGCCAATAAGAGAAAGCTAGAGATGACAGAACACGATAATGTTGAAAGCACATTTACCTCTTCAACAAATACTATGGCAGAGTTCACATACGCGGTGTCAGATGAACCTTCCATTAATAATGTCCTACGCAAAGTCCGAACAATTTGCAGTAAGATTAAATATAGTCCTACACATGCAAACAAATTGAGGGATATGGTCAGAGCTGATGCACCACTCACCGCACAGGAAACAAAGTCGAAAAAGTATAAGGTACTAATCGGCTGTCCTACCCGCTGGACCTCTGTATATCAAATGGTTGTACGATACATCGAGCTAAAGGTCTATATCGATCAGATTTTATTGGATCAGTCAGAGTTCCACATGAGTGATAAAGAAATCGATATGCTTGATGACTACAGTGTTCTTCTTTACAAGTTTGAGTCATCAACAATGGAGTTAGCCACCCGTAACACATGCTCAATTGAACGGTTAAGCGGCATCATCATCAACATGAAAGATTACTTTCATTGTGAAGATGTTAAAAATAGAAAGTTTACCACTGAAGGTCGTCGATTGAAAGAAGTTTTAGAAGTGTCTTTCAATAAGAGAATGGATCAGTATATCAATAATGATGAAGTTAAGGTGGCGTCATTCTTTAACCCATGCCATAAAGATTCATTCAACAAACTGGATAATGATGTTCAGCAAAAAGTCATTAAGCGTATTGAGCAGGAGATCAGTGAAATCAGTTCACAACATACTCCGTCGCCAATGAAAAAACAAAAGAATGGTCCAGTTACATATCGTAGATTGTCATCCACAATTGCAAATACAGATCGCAAGATCAACGAAATCACCAAGTTTTTACAAGAGGTAAAAGAGAAAAGTGCAGATAATACCCCGGGTATTACCACTAATCTTTGGTGGAAAGAAAACCAGAGTAGATTCCCGAGACTAGCCAAACTTGCAAGACGATATCTGTGTGTCTCAGCAACCACTTTACCGTCAGAGAGCATCCTCTCAAGTGCTGGTAATATCTTTGACGATAAAAGGACTACAATGACGCATGAACTCTTCACAAGTCTTTTTTTCCAATACTGTAATAAAGACATCAATTTAAATTTCTAATTTTCAGGGTTTGATTTTCCAAATAATAAATATTTTATTATCGTATTAGAACTATATTATTAGATTAAAATAAATATTATATGATATTATTTTTTTATTTAATTATTTAAATAATCTGTTGGTTTTTTAATGTGAATCAGGAGTTGCACCATCCATTGGAGATCCTTTCTTGAATGAGTTGGAAAGACGTTGAGTGAAGGATTTTCTGTAGCTTCCAGGTGGGATGCTTGTAGAATTGTTTAGCGGATTGTTGGTTTGCAGACTGCCAACGGTCATCAAGTGACCGGATGCTGCAAGAGAATTTCCACCGCCTGGACTATTGCTCGAGTTGGAGTCTATATCCTCGTGACTGTTTCCAAGTCCGTTGGAACCACTGAGTGTAGGTGTGCTAGAGTTGCTTGCTGGGAAGTAGCTTCCCTCGGGTGGAATGACGTGGAAGGGCTCCATGACGTTCAGTAGCAACAGATAGCCCGATTCCATTTCATCTTGGAAGTCGACAGCTGCCGGCAGACTCTGGTCGATCAACGAACGATTCAGCTGGAGTGCATCGGCACAGACGCCGAGGAAAGCACTGAGTGAGCGACGTAGACGCGCGGTGAATTCCGGTGGGTAGCCAGATCCCTCCGCCAAGAAGATACGACAGATCTCTTGTGGTCCGGCATTCACCTGGAGACGAACTGAACCTTGAATGACTTGTTGCAACATCTTGAGGTTGGGAGGCGCCGCTTTGGTCTCGCTCAAAAGTGTTTCCGTACGAGCTTCGATCGATTCAATCGAGTTTTCAATTGGTGAGAGATTGATGATCTGCTTGGAGACGACCTGGATTCTCTTTTTGGTGTATGGGAAATAGTTTTGAACGGTGAGGATCGTCTTTTGTTTGTATTGGTCGGCGACACTATTGCCGTGACCTGCACCGGATGCTGTGAACGGTGTCTCAAACATGAAGCGATTCAAGTTGATACAATGATCGAATGGTGTACGACGTTGAGTGAGTTCCTCCTCTGAGAAATAGGGAACTACCGATGTTAGTTGCAGATAGCATTGGTTGACGTCCAGCTTTGTGAGATCGACTGCGGTGGAACCCTCGATGATCTGTATCGATTTCTCATCGACACTGAACTTCTTGGAGAACAGTGTTCGCAAACGATCTTTGATCTCGACGAGTCTGGTGATCTTTGGTTCCTTGTAGATGAACTCGATGCCGTTCAACTCCTCGAAGCGGTTGCCATAGAGACCGACACGGTAGTAGCTACCCAACATACGTGACTTTGTTCTTGTACACTCGACAATCTTCTTAAAGATAACCTGGAGATCACCATGACAATTGGCCAACTCCTCGTAGTTTAGATTGTGTTCGTGTACCGGCAGTAACAGCTTGTAGACGAGATTCGCCATCTCAAAGAGATCGGCTTCCTTCAACAATCCGATGGCATCGTTAATCAAGCTTTGGAAGTAATCGATTGTGAATCGTTGATTACTTTCGTCGTCTTCACGCTCGATGTAGGAATTGGATTCCTCCAGTGAGTTACGATTGAATGTTGTGAATGCCTGGCTGCCAGAGATCGTTGGGACGGGCGAACCAATTAGAGCAAGATACTCTGCGACAAGAGCAGCCATGTGAAGATAGCATTGCGCTGCCTCAGAGTAATTCTCTTGTGAGCGATTAAAGTTGGCCAATCCCTGTAGCCATATCAAACGAGTGTCGGCATTGCTCTTGTTGTTCTCTGCAATACGATGATAGAGATCGGCAACCATCTCTGGATCGTCTTTGTGGTTGTTTATCTTGATGTTATCGATGACAAACGTGTGCATTCTCTTTGTTAGATCCTCGACTTGCTTGGCGAATGACTTGGTTCCGAGTTTCTCTGCCTGTGTGACGGCATAGGTGTTGATAGTATCCAACGACTTGCGAAGATAGTAATCATCGCGAATCTCTCTCGAGACAATCTTTGAGAGACCAATGATGAACTGTGTCTTGGTTCGAACAAAGTTCTTTCTGGTCTGTTCGTAGTTCTTTCTCATAAGAATATAAGTGAATGCCGCAGCTTCTTCACGTGTAGTCTTGTTGGGTGAATTGCAATGACGGATCACACCGTTGCACAAATCCGAACAAAAGTTGTTGTTTATCTCAAAGAGCGACTTGGGGAACTTGAAGACAAACTGACGCAGCGTAAAGTAGAGCTTGGGAATCAGTGTAATCGGTTGATTGCGAACCAAGAACGAGTGAAGCAGTTTGAATACCTTCTCGAGCACATCGTAGTACGGTGCAGTCTTGAGTTCACGCTCGAATTCATACATGAAATCATCGCTTATATCCAAGATGATAGCGCCAATCTCATAGGCGAGATTCGACTCTAGACGATCGTCGTAGTCGGCAATGTTGATCTTGTTGGTCGTTCCCAGCGTACCCTTTGCGAATCCACGTTTGTCTTTGGTCAACGTGTTGTTGTTGGGACTGTTGTAAGAGTCGAGAATCGACTTTCGTGCATCGACACGCTTCTCACGCAGCGAGCGGCTATACTGTTTCTTGGAGCTGTAGGGCGACGTTCTGTTGCCAGTGTAAAAGTCTTCGAGTATCGATTTCGCAGTGGAGGTACGAATCGATGTCGACTCGAGAGCGCGGTCCAACAGCTTGTCCTTTCCGACAAACTCAAAGATATCGACACAACAACAGAGTATCTCAAACATTGCGACGTACTTGTCCTTCGATTCCTCTTTCCACCACAATCTCAACAGGTTGGGATGCACACTCTTCAGGAGATACAAGAACGATATCAAGATGTTACGCTTCACAATGAACGAATCATCTTTGAACACCGACCAATTACTGACGACACTCGATAGATATGGTACGAAAACACCAACGATTCTCTGTTTGGTAAGTGGTTCTTGCCATCTTGAATCCATTTCAATTCTAATTAAAGTATCTCTCAATGAATTGGCTGCATCCATTCTCACCAAAACCTCTTTATGTGCCAATCCATTTGCAATGTTTGCCATCAATATTTCTGAAATAAAATGTTTTGAACTGGATTGACGATATATAATGTTAATGATCAATTATCAATATTGAATAATGTAGTAGTAGTTACTTACGATGTTAAAATAGTATTTAATTTTAGAGATGGATCGATTCTGTAGGGAAGTGGAATGTTTAATTGTACAAAGTATTCATTTTGACAGATGATACGGAGGAATTCGAATTTGAGTTCGTTCATTTCAGCTTCTGATTCGCCGTTGGTCGACGATTCAAAGTCGGCCACGATTCTGTTGATGATTGAGAATACGTAACCACGGTCGGCAATAGAGAGAAGCGATGATATCAGTGTGCTCAGTGACTTGATCAGTTCCTTTGAGAGCTTGAATGTGTGTTTGACACGTGTAGATGCCTCCCATCTCAGGATGGCAATCAGCTTTCGTAGCTGACCACGTGCACCAACGAAACGACCCTTTCTAGTCTTGTTCTCTTCGCGACGACTTCTCTCGATTAAGCTGAGTGCCATCGATTTGTAGATGATCGAAAAGAAGAACTTGGAGAATCGCAATATGTTATCAGAGTTGTGCTCTTGGAAACGAACCAACTCCAACCACGTACGAATCAATACTTCGTAGACGGGAATATCAGAGTGTTTGTTGTTGTTGAATACATACTTCGAGTAGCGTTGCGATGTGAGTGGCGCGACGTCGTTGACTATCGCCAGTAGTTCACCCATGAGAATGAACGACACCATCGACAACTCATTGGAGAGCGGACCAGTCATGATTCTAAACAGTTGATTCATCAAGATCGGGAAGAACTGGGAGAGTGATTCTATCTTGGCTTGGGAGAGTCCACGAATTGCTCGTTTCAATTGGTCGGTGGAAGCAGCTGGATTGGCGACAACATTGAAGAACTGATTCAAATGCTCGTCGTTGGAGATGATCGAAGAGAAAAGCTTTGTTCTCACTTGGAATATTGGCTTCTTATTATCGATGTAGCGCAGAGCTGCTTCGGTTTCGTCTTTGTTGTATTTCGGTGGCAGTTCCAATGCGACTGGCAGACTGTATACGTCGTCACTCAGAATTCGTCCGTGTTGGAACAGTGGGAGCACAGCATGTCCAATCGGTTGATCGTAGTTTGATTCCTTGTCCGACGATTTCTGACAGGTGATATGATAGAATGTGAAGAGAAGATGTTGCGTTGGTAGGACGGTCATTGGCAAACGCATCTTAATCTCATCGTAGAATATCGGTGTCTTTGAGTGGTAGGTTACCGACGAGTAGTATTTGGTGGTGAAGAGATCGGTGTTGCTGCGTCCATAGATCAACTTCATACCCTCGTAGTTGACGTTGTCGTCGTTCTCCATCAACTGGACTTTGACTGTGATGTTACGCGCCGTTACACTACCGCTGCGATTCGAGAGATTGACAGACTCTGGATAGACATAGAGATTGTGGACAAACTCTGTGTTGGGTTCAAAGCGTGGATACGGTGCAAACTCTTGAATCTCACGTACAATCTTCTCAGAGGAAACAACCGATGTTGAACTGAGTGAAACTGGTGGTGGCGAGAGAGTAGCTGCTGCTGACTGGGGATCGAGTGGTCGTGGCGACAGACTGTCGGCGGGTGTGGAAGCAACTGAGGTTGCCGGGGTGGAAGTGAGCGAGGGTGGAATGGGTGGCGGTGTAAATTGCAATGGGAGTAGCGATTGATTGAATATTACAGTGTTTGGAATGGGATCGGTGGTTGTCGTTCGGTAGTAGTTGCTCAGCTCCTTGACATCGATAGTACAATATCCTGGAATCACCTTTAACTTCTTGGTGCTGGCACTCTTTGAGTACTCGGACATCGTGGAATCTAACATCTGTGCATCGGTAGTATCCGGTCTATACTTGTACAACGGTCGGAAATGTGTATTATCACCGACACCCAACTCTCCGTCCATACCAAACAAAGGCACACAACCCCAACAAAATGCTTGTCTATAATTTCCAAGTCTTGAACAATAAGATTTGATTTGATCTTTTAATTTATCTTTTTCCTTATCCTTTAACTAAATTTATATTGAATTAAAACAACAATTAGAAAGTAGTTGATTATTATTTTAGTTGGCTAACTTACATTTAATTTAATATAAGGTTCGGCTTGGTCATCTATATCACCCATTAAAATCTTCTCAACTTTAAGTACCAGATATATGTCTTGTGATGACTTGCCAACATTAAAAAGAGCTCGCTTTGCTCTGTTGATTTCATCTTTAACAACGTTGTTGGTAGCCTGAGAGTTCTTGTTGTTGGCGTTGTTGCTGGAACCAGTCAAACTTGAGTTGCCGACGCCACCAAGAAGTTTCTCGGTTTTCTCGTTGTTGAAATCAAAGTGAAATACTTCTGAAATACGTGCTTTCTTTGCAATATCGTAGAGATACAATGAGCAGTAGAAAGGTTCACTCTCCTCCTCTTTGTCCCACAACTTGAAAGTAAGCTCTTTGCACTCCACCAAGATGGAACGCGACTTTTCACGCGCATACGGCGACGGTTCCGCTGCGAAAACGGGTGGATCCGAAAGTGTAAAGTATGAAAATAAACTCTTTTGATTCTGCAGATCCGCTTTGTTCTGAACACGCAGCTGTCTTTCCAGATAACCCATGTGCAGTTCATCAACCTCATCGGTCTTTACTATAATATTCGTTGACATTGATGTACTATTTCTATTGCTATTTGAAGTGGTATTGCTGTCGTCATTCACTTCTTTGTTTCCTGCTGAAGTTGTTGCTGCTGCTGTTGATGTTGTTGTTTCATCGGGTGGCGGCTTCGATTCAATCTTTCGCTCCATCAGCTGATGCACAACGGCGTGTGGCGATTCATTGTTCTGATAGGATGTTGTCTTTAGTGTTTTGTAGTTGGTTGACAAGTAAAAGTCGAGACAATCGTCAACCACCTGATTGACACCGGACTTGTAGTCGGTGGGAGGCGATCTAATTCTGTTGTCCTTGACAACGTATTCCAGTGTGTCAACATTCATTTCCTCGGGAATCACTACCAATTCTCTGACAGTCTCACGATTGATCTCCTTCGATTCGTAGTAGTATCGCTCGAAATCGAATGGATACTCCTCGTCCTCGAGCTCAGGCTCGTCCTCAAGAAGAATCTCTGGAATCTGACGAGTGTTTCGCTTGTTATATTCTTCCGGGGTCAATTCACCACCCGCTGTTTTTTCAGAGTTGGCACCAGTGTTGCTGTTGCTGCTGCCACTGCTACCGACTCCACTGCCTGAACTGACACTGCTACTCAGACTATTGCCATTACCACTACCGCCATTCTGTAAACCAATCAATGAATTCGATGATGAAAATGATTTTCTAGATTTTATGAAACTACTCAATTTCTTTGAACCCTCCATCATTGAATCCGCTCTTTGTCTAATACTTCCAATTGCACTAAAGTTGTTGCTATTGTTGTTGATACTACTGTTGTTACTGTTACACTCAATTGAACTACTTCCAACTTTTGATACTTTAATCGCAACCAGTTGATCTAGATCTGCTCCTGTCTTTAAACTCTCTGTACCACTAGTATTGTTACTAACTACTTTGATCATTTTTGGAAAATATTGGAAAATATTGGAAAATAATTAAATTAGTTTAGTTTTTTTATTTTTCCAGAAAGAAAAAATATATAAAGAAATGTAGATATTTAAGTTTATTGTTATTGTTTTTGTTTTTGTATTGTTTTATAGGATAAAGATTAAGATGTTTATAAAGATAGGATTATAAATAATTAAATCAAAAACAAAACAAATATGTAAATATAAATTTTATATTTTAGTGAAATCCGCTAAACTTTTTATTTTTTTGATTCAAAAAAGGTGATTTTTATTTATTAGTGTAGTTATGATTTGTGATTATTAGTGTTGCTGCTGTTGTTGTATGGTTGTGTTATTGTATTGTTGGTGTTGCTAATTAAATCTATAAATATAAACACCATCAACTTTAATGATTAACTATACTATATAACTGTCATAGAAGGCACACCAATCACTCCAATCAATATGGAAAAACAAAATGAAAAAAAAAAACAAATCTGTTCTCACTTGTGTTTGTTTTGGGTTGAATTTGATAGAGAGAGAGAGAGTAAGAGTATGTGTGTTGTGCTTGGTTGGAATTGTGTGTAGTGTGTTGTTATTGGAGTAAACATGTGTGTGTGAGTGAACATTGTTTAATAGATGTGGTTAACAACAAGTTTTTATCGATATGTGATGTGGATATTAGATGAAGGTTAGGTAGGTAGGTTCAATCATTTCTTTTCGAATTTAGTTTGTTTGATTTGATGGGAAAATGAATTAATATGTCCATATTATTATTATTACTGTTGATTATATTGAAATAAGCAAAAAAGACGACGTACTATCAATTCAATTCGATCCAATCCTATGAATTACCAATGAATTTAGTTTAATCAACAACAACAACAAACGAACATCTCTAAAAATAGATGGATCTAAATTAAAAATATTCATATCTTGATGGTCACCTCAATTACTATTTAAATATTTATACATATATGTTTAATTAAATTAGACCCACCACCATTACTACCTGGTAATAATAATAACAACAATAATAAAAGACAACTATATTATTCCTCTTTTTCAAATATCCAATCATTCATTGTCGTTGTTTGTTTTTGTGTGGTTATTTATTAGTTGATTATTTAATACCTTACTGGTGGTATTTATATATGTTCATATGAAACCATTAATGGTTTTTAGTATTTAGAATGAAAACAAAATGAGTGAATGAAAGGGTGGTGGATGTGGAGAAGCAACCAAATGGTATTTATTGCCAATATATATATTATTTCGAATCAATTGATTTGATTTTAATTGTTTGGCAATGATTGTCAAAGCAATCACAACTGATAAATAATAATAATTATTATTATTAATGTAAATGTTGTTTTAATTAAACCAAAAAAAATAAATATAAAATATAAAAGATACTCGCTCTCCCCAATAATTATTCGATTTCACAAAAATTGTTTGTTTGTTGGTATGGCAATATTTTTATTTATAAATGATTGATGAGATGATGCTGATTGATGATGTTGATGATGATGATGCTGTTAAATGATAATATTAAGATAAAGATATGATGTCAATAACGAGGAGTTCTTCTTCTTCAATACTGTTTTATATTGATTTGGTAATATTTATCAATCTAATGATGATAAAGTTGACACACGAGAATATTAATTATAAATGCTATGTTTCAATTTGATGATTGCCAATAAATACAAATTTTATTGCTACTACTATTGTTTCCAATGACAAATTGTAAAACTATGCCTGTAATTCTATGCAATGATAATAAAATCAATCAACTTTATTACTATTAGATTGATTTGAGTGCGGAGATTTGATGTGTGATTCATAATAGTACTATTTTCAATTGTTCATTACCTTGACCTCCTTCTTAAATAACGTTTTTATCTCTAATAATAATTTATTATTCTATTCTAGAGGTGTGTTTTCAATATATATAATACAATTTTTAAACAAATATTATCAAAAATAAATTATTTAAAAATAAATAAATAAATAATTATATATCTATATTTTTCATCTGTTTTGAAAAAATAATAAATAAGATATAATTTGGTTTGTTTGTTGGTTGGATGTTTTTTTTTTATCATGAAAAACCAAACCCAAAATCATACCATTTGTTTTTTCTTTTAATTTATCGACATCTTTTGAAAAGTTTAGTTTTTGGTTTTTTTTTGTTTTTTCATATCGCCATTTTTTTTTTAAATCACACAATCGATTTTGTTTCAGATGAACCTAAAAACAATCATAAGGAATCAGATAAAGAAAGCTTTATAACTGTTATATGTTTAAATGATGTTGTGTTTTGTGATTTTTTTAGCAACATTTTAATATTAATAGATAATTTAAATAAAACTTTATTATTATTATTTTTTTTACAATGTTTGAGATAGATATGAAAATGACAAAAGCTAACATTCTCTAACTACCAACCAAACTGAACTTTGAAGATATAGTTAACAAAAACTTCAATCTATTTTTAAATACACAGACAATTGTGCATTCATCATATGAAATTTCTTTGATTGATTTTTTTTTTTTTTTTGATTAAAAATTTTTTTTTTAAAAAAAATGATCAACTTTTTTTTTTTTTAAATTTCACTCTGAGCAAAAGAAGCATCATCACTTTAATCGATTATTGTTTGTTCATTAATTTATTTTATCTATTTATTTATTTTTTTTTATAAATTCAACTATATTGTATTTAAATTATTATATTATTATTAATATAATTAGATTTAGATAGGTTATCATTCTCATCAGTAATAATAGAATATAGTAGATAAATAAAAATAAATAACAACAAAAAATGAATAGATTATTCAGTGGTTCCGCTAACGGAAAGAAGAACTTAGCTTCTTCAATTTCTATGCAATTCAGATCTTTCCATTCTACCAATCCAAATTTTGTATGTATTAAACAACATTACTACATTACTACATTACTATATCTTTTCCCAATCCCTATATAAATATATTCCTTTTTACATAAACAATAAAAAAGACAGTGTTGTGTTAAGAGTGTTTTTTGGAAATTAACTAACTAATTTTGGTTGATATCAATCAATCGTATGACACTATTATTTTTTTCTAGATGTTTGAAAAAATTTTGATTGCAAATAGAGGTGAGATTGCATGTCGTGTTATGCAAACATGTCGTAAGATGGGTATCAAGACAGTTGCAATTCACAGTGATGCCGATAGATATGCCCGTCACGTTCGTGAGGCCGACGAAGCAGTCTGTGTTGGACCAGCACCAACCAGCCAGTCCTATTTGAATATCGACGCCATCGTCGAAGCCATCAAGAAGACTGGAGCACAAGCCGTGCATCCAGGTTACGGTTTCCTCTCGGAGAACAGTCATTTCGTCAAGGAACTCGAGAATATCGGTGTCACCTTTATCGGACCGGGTAGCTATGCTATGCACGCTCTCGGAGACAAGATCGAATCAAAGAAGATCGCAAAGAATGCAGGTGTCAGTGTTATTCCTGGATTCATCGGTGAGGTCGACACGCTCGAGGAGGTGATCAAGACTGCCAACTCGATTGGCTATCCGGTGATGGTGAAGGCATCGGCCGGTGGTGGTGGAAAGGGTATGCGTATCGCTTGGAACGACAAGGACGTCGAGATTGGATTCCGTCTCTCAAAGCAGGAAGCCAAGTCGTCGTTTGGTGACGATCGTATGTTGATCGAGAAGTACATCGATCGTGGCAGACACATTGAGATTCAGGTGCTTTCCGACGGTGAGACCGCCCTCTACTTCCCGGAGCGTGAGTGTTCCATCCAGCGTCGTAACCAAAAGGTTATTGAAGAGGCGCCATCGCCATTCCTCGACGACGCCACTCGTACTGCTATGGGTCGTCAAGCTGCCGCTCTCTGCAAGGCCGTCGGCTACAAGTCGGCCGGTACCGTCGAGTTCCTCGTCGACTCGCAAAAGAATTTCTACTTCCTCGAGATGAACACTCGTTTGCAAGTGGAGCATCCAATCACAGAGGAGATCACCGGTCAGGATTTGGTCGAACACATGATCCGTATTGCCTACGGTGAGAAGCTAAAGTTGCAACAGGAGGACGTCAAGATCAAGGGATGGGCTATGGAGTCGCGTGTCTACGCCGAAGATCCCTACCGTAACTTCTTGCCATCGATCGGTAGAATCAAAGAAATACATCCGTCCCGAAGGTCAGGGTGTGCGTATCGACGGTGGTATTTTCGAGGGTGGTGAAATCTCCACCTACTACGACCCGTTGATCTCCAAGTTGATCACCTACGGTGACACTCGTAAGTCTGCCATCATTCGTATGAAGAAGGCACTCGACGAATACTACATCAAGGGTGTCAACCACAACGTTCCATTCTTGCGTGACGTCATGGAGAACGAGAAGTTCCTCAGCGGTGACATCAGCACCAAATTCATCCCCGAGGAATACCCCGACGGTTTCAAGGGATACAACTTTTCACCAAAGCAAATCGAGCAACTCACCATCTGTGGTGTCATCCTCCGTTACATGGATCAATATAAATTACTTACCAACAGTTCAAATCAAGCCAAACAAAATCCATTAGTTCCAGTAAGTAATCACAGTAGTGTTAATGTTAAATATAAGCAATAACAATGACTAATAATAATTGAAATTACAATCAATTGATAGGATGAATTCTTTGCTGTTACAGTTGGAAATGTTAAGCATTTAGTTAGATTCGAAGCAGGAAAGGATAAATATTCAATTCAATTCATCGATGAAAAGTCAGAGACCGTTACAAAGAGTTTCGAGGTTGGTGTCGAAGAGGAATCACTCGAGATCATCAAGGTCACCATCGGTGGTAACGTCCACAGATTCCAAATCCACGACCGTACCACTCATGCCTATCTTTTACAATTCCACGGTACCAAGATCCCAGTTATCGTTAGAACTCCAGACGAAGAGGAACTCGTCCGTTACATGCCAGAGAAGAAGACCGTCGATTCGTCGAACGCCCTTCTCTCACCGATGCCAGGTGCTATCCTCTCTGTCGCCGTCAAGGTCGGTGACAAGGTTGTCCTCGGTCAAGAACTCTGCATTATTGAGGCCATGAAGATGCAAAATGTATTACGTGCACCAAGAGACTGTGAAATTAAATCAATTAAAGTTACACCAGGTACCAACGTTGCCGTCGATGAAATATTAATTGAATTCAAATAAACACACACACACACACACTTAAATTAACAAATAAAACTAAATTAAATTAAACTAAATTAAACTGAGTTGCAGCACTCAAAAGGAAACTCAAAAAAAATTATAATTGCGACAATCCAACTTCCAGCCACGGTAACAGAGTTACCACCTCACAGAAACTGAAAATTAAAATGAACGCTGGCAACTCAATTACAATGGTTGTCAAATTTTTATATTATTAAGAGATATTATTATCTCATAAACTAAACTAATTGATGTTTATAAACATATTTCTAATATAATTTTATCTAATAACATAAATCCTTTGGTTGTTGAACATAATCTATTATTATCTAGTGATAACATTCCGTTTGAAATAAGATATTTAAGTTTGGTGGCGGAGAGTACATCCTCTATGTCTTTGCCGTTGGTTATCGATTTGAATGTTTCTCTATTTACACCTTCAACGGTTCGCAGTCCCATTAGAAGTAATTCATTGACTCTCTCTTCGATTGTCAGTTGTTTCGATTCTACGGTGTCAAGACCATCGCCGGTATCCGTCACCTGAGTGATCCAACTCCTCGGATGCAATACACATTTCAAACTGTGTCTAGTGCCATCCAGTTTGGTTATTCTCGAGCATGCACCAGGACCAATACCAATATAATCACCACCTCTCCAATAGTTTAGATTGTGTCTACTTCTTTGATTCTCTCTTGAAAAGTTACTGATTTCATATTGATTGATACCTGCTCTCTCCAATTGCTGCTTTGCAATCTCATAGAGTTCAAAGTTTAAATCATGATCCGCAGGTATAATCTGATTATTTTTCTTATTATTTAATCTTTTATTAAAAGCTATATATATATATACATATAAATAATTGAATTGTTTATAAATTAGTTGGTTGCTTTACTCTTTTTTGAATGATTTAACATTATATAAATAATACTACTTACTTTGTTCCTTCCTCAAAACATAAGCTATATAATGAGATATGACCTCTTTCACATAGATCTATTGCTTCGTTTATCTCTTGTTTCCATTGTTCTTTAGTTTGATTTTGATGTCTTGCATATATTAAATCAAAGTTTACTCGTTTAAATAGTTGATTGCATTTTGAAATTGCTTGTTTTGCATCATTAGCTGTATGAGTTCTACCTAAGAATTTTAAATCTTTATCATTGAATGCCTGATTAATATTATTAGTTTAAATATAGCTATATTTACATATAAAGTCGTTAGATATAGCTTACTTGTACACCTAGTGATACTCTATTGATAAGTGAATGATTTTTAAAATCAGAAAGTTTATCAATGTCAATCTTGTCTGGATTGACTTCAAGTGTAATCTCCAATGAATGATCATGATTGTCGTTCTGATGTTGTTGTAGTAGCTGTTGTCTGTCTACATTGAAAAGTTTCAATGATTCATTTACAATAGATGTAATGGTATCTACAGGTGCCAAAGAAGGTGTTCCACCACCAAAATAGATAGATGTCAATTTCGGTAAATCACTACCATTTTCTCCATAATATTTCTTGACGATCTGATTCAACTCTGTTAGGAACGATTGTTTCATAGCTGAATGGTCAACATGTGGACCATCCATATATTTATTGAAGCTACAATACGGACATATCTTACTACAGTATGGCCAATGAATATATATTGATGTTGTTCTTGGTTTTGTTATTGTTGCTATTGTTGAATTGCCAATAGTTGTATAGCTTCTATTAAATAATATTCTAGATTTTGTTAAAAATTTATACATTGTTCATTAATTCAATAAATGGTATTAAGTGTTGTCGGTCGTCTTTTCATTTTCTTTTGTTTTTTTTTTATATTTTTATTTTTTCAGACATGCTTCAAATAGTTGATCAGATGATTGACTACTCATTTCATTTATTTTTGAATATTTAATATAGTTTTATTTGTCAACAAAAGAAGAAGAAGAAGAAGTAGAAGAAGAATGGCAGGAAAGAGAAGTAAAGTATTCTTTGATATGATTCAAGGTGATAAGAGTTTGGGTAGAATCGTATTTGAATTGTTTAACGATATCACACCAAAGACATCAGAGAATTTCAGAGCTTTGACTACCGGTGAAAAAGGTATCGGTAAAATGGGTAAACAACTTCACTATAAAGGTTCAAGAATTCATAGAGTTTGTAAGAGCTTTGTATGTTAATCTTACCCACATCATCCATCATTCAAATCAATCATATCAAGTCGATCTAACAATTCATCTTTTCTCTGTATTATTATATATATATATATATATCAAAGGTCATTCAAGGTGGTGATTTCACACATGGTATTGGTGTAGGTGGTGAATCTATATATGGTACAAAATTCGATGGTAATGTAGTCATTAATAAAGTATAAAATGAAAAATTATAACATTATCATTATTATTAACATCATCATATTTCTTCAATTTCATATCAAGATGAAAATTTCAATGTAAAGCATGATGTCGGTGTATTGTCAATGGCAAACGCTGGAAAAAATAGTATGTATATAGGTGAATCGTTATCAATCATTGATTAGAATATAGAGTTAATCGTTTTATTTGTTATGATAGCAAATGGATCACAATTTTTCATAACTACAGTAAATACACCGTTTTTAGATAAGAAGCATGTTGTGTTTGGAAAAGTAATCTCTGGAATGGATGTAGTATATGAAATTGAGAAGACTCCCACCAAGCAAAACGATCAACCAGTTACACCTGTTATTATTAAAGACTGTGGTCAGCTTGAATAAATAAACAATATATATAAATAGTCATTATATAAAATAATAATAGCAATATTAATAGTAGTAAACCAAATAATTAGTGTAACATAACATATCAACAGCGACAACAATAATCGATTCGTCCATCAATTCAATTCAATCAAAAATCAAATATCTATCTTTTTAAAGATAGATAAAAACAAAACAAAACACAACAGAATCTATTTATATTTATTTTGTTTTATTCCAATTTCCCAATTGGATGAAAACAATTGTAAGAAGAACATTGTTTTGTTTGTTATTTGCAGTTCCCTACGTATCAATGATATTGCCTCAAATTAATCTAAATTTGGTAGCACCTCTCTTTGTATCATTTTAAATTTCAAATGAAAGGTAATATTACTGTTTAAAAATTTAACCATATTCCAAGTTATTGTACTTCTATCTACATATTAATTCAGTTGTTGTGTATCAACCACGACAACAAAATAATACAATGAAATATGATAAACTGTTTATCTACTTATAAAGTTTACAGGGAATCAATAAAAAAAATACATATATATATATTTAAAAAAGTTATTTTAATATTATTTTTAACCCTTACGAACTGACAACACACTTACACACACACATAGATTATCAAAAACACCAACTTTATAATAACAACAACACAAAGTATTAATTATAGTCAGATAAAAATTTGTCTTCTCATTACTTCTTTCCCCCCTTTCACCTCCTTTGATCAGTATACTAAATTAATAATGTTGTTTTTTTTTTTTTTGGTTTACTTTCTTTGCCTGATTGATATATGTATATATACAACGTTGTGTGTTGTGTTAGTGTTAAAACCTCCAATAACCACATTGGTCATGTGTGTTAAGGTTATTATATACCATACCATATATTCATATTAGAAAAACAAAACAACAGTTCCCTAACTTATCAAATTAACATGTGCGAGATCAGCAGATGAGATTTCTGTTGATAAAGGTATGATTATCACTATAATCAATCTGATGCTTTTGGTGTTATGTTGTTGTTGTTGTTGTTTGGTTAATATACAACCAACAAAATAATTAAAAATAAATATACATTCAAGTAAGTAGCATGTATTAAGTTTTTAATAATAATAATGATAACAATAAAGATGTTGTGTTTGAAGTAATAGCAGTAGCTACTCTTTATCTTGTTATATTGTCTGTTGTGATTGTTACTTACTACCTTAAAAGTTAATAAAGGTGGTGGTGAATTGATTTGGCTGTGTAAAGTAGTAGGTGTTTGTGGTGATAGAGTTGACTCCAAATTATCATTCACCTCTCTTTATCAATCAATCAATTGAGAAAGAATATAAATCAACAACAACAACAAATTGACTCCAAATTTTAATAAAAACAACAATTACTACTATATAAATAGTAGATTATCAACAACATTCAATCAAGTAGTAGAAATAATAATATTTAATAACTTTGAAATACAAATTATTTATTTATTTATTTATTTATTTAAAAAAAAAAGATTTAAAGATTTAAAAGAAATAGTAATAATAATAATCTATAAATAAAAACAAAATGACAAAATTAACATTATACGATAAATTTTCTATAATTGCAATATTTTTAATGTCATGTGTAATCATTCTTGTTATTCCATCATTTAAAAGTAATAAATATATATAATTTAATATTTAAAATTTAATTTATTAATGTTTTTTTTGTAATTCTAAAATTTAGTATCATGGTATAATTTTACTCAGTTTACTGGTGAAGCCACCGATATAGAATATAGATTTTATTATAATCATATGACTATCGACCATACCAATGTATCTGTCTATCAGGAAACCGATCCAAGAGATGTTGGTCTTAATAGTGTTAATAAGATAATCTCTGTATCATACATTTTCAATATTCTAATCTGTGCTTTCTGTTGTCTTACCTTGGTAGTGGTGATTCTACACAGAGTATTCTTTGTTAGACACATTGTTTTTTCGTTTATCAGTAGATACAGTCTGATTTTGGTTTTCTTTTTCTCGGTCTTATCAACATTTATCCCAAGATTGATGTCAATGGCAATTAATTCAGTAAGTTTTTTAAATTACAATTTTTAAAATTAATTTCAATGTTCTTATTATTAATATATTTAAATTTTATAGGATTGTGATAATATTACACAAGTCAATACAACTATTGGAGGTAGATTCTGTATGGACATGAACGGAACTGGTAGTAAATATTTCTCAAATGGTGTCAAAGCTGGTGGATTGAGTTGGGGATTTGATATTGGATGGTCGTTCAGTCCTATTCTTGCACCATTTATTATTTTAGGTCAAATAGTATTGTATTTAAGTGAACCATTGTATGGTTGTAAATAAGAAAATTTTAAAGTGCAATTCGATATTAAATAAAAGTTTTTTGTAAAATTAATTATTATTTTGTATATCTTTTATTTTTGTATATCGAAAAGAGTTATAATTATTATGTGTTTTGTTAATTAAAAAAATCGATAATCAACTAAAGATGGAAACATCAATCGATAATCAAAATGTGATTGTTTCTAATATCCTTCTAAGGCTTTTAGCGAATCCAGTCCATTCATACAAGATCATTCGTCATTGATTCAGTATAATATTTATCTCTTGTTACAAATTACCTGCTGAGTAAAAGGATATATCTTGATTTCTATTATTTATTGTAACATCTCTTGTTATAAGTTTTTAATTTTGATTCAATTTAAGTTAAAAAATGAAATTTTGCCAATTTCCAACAACAAAGGGCTTGTAGCTCAGATGGTAGAGCGCTCGCTTAGCATGCGAGAGGTAAAGGGATCGATACCCTTCTAGTCCATATAAATTTTTTACATGAAGGGCAGGATGCGCGCATATTTACAGTTAAAAAAAAAAAATCCAATAACAAAAATAAAGATAGCTAGATCAAATAGATTAGCGTTCGATTTAAAAAAAAAAAAAAAACCTCATCTTTAAAGTTGATACTAAATAGTTATCATATCGATTTGTTAAATTTAATTTCGATGTTTGAAATGTTGTTTAACTTTGATTGAAATTTATGATTGTGATAATTAATTAACAATAAAATGATTGAATCTATATTATCAATATTATCTTTATAATAGTTTATCATATTATTATTGTTATTATGTTGATTAAAGATAGTTTTATTGTTATTATCGATAAATTCAATGATTGTTTGTGATGATTGAATACTTTTAATCATTGATTCTATTGAATATTGAACTGTAATATCATCATCATTGCCAATATATTCTAAACTACTATCATTATCATTATTTGCTTGTTGTTGTTGTTGTTGTTGATTATAATGATGTTGATAAAGATCGACAATGTTGATAATCGATTCAATTGATCAAGATGTTGATTGATTTCATCTCTTAATTTATCGATAACATTAATGATTGGTTTCTTTAGTTTATGTTCTTCGACAATTAAATATTGATGAAGTTGTTGAAAGTGATTGCTGATTGTGTCTATGTTTTGTGAGAGTGATTCAATTTCATGAGATGAACTTTTAATCTTTATCCATAAACTATCGATATGTGTTTGAAGATAATTATCTTTATTGCTATTATTATTACTGATGTTATCTTTATTAATATTACTACTATCTTTATTTATTTTATTTAAAAGTGATTTGATTCATCTGCATGATCACAGTGGTGGTGGTGCATGTGACTTTGTATGATCATTGGCACATCGATAACAAAATAATTGATTGCACATTAAACATATATATTCAAACACCTTTTTATGTTCTGAACATTCTAAATCAATGAAAATACTATTATTATTATTATTATTATTATTATTATTATTATTATTATTATTATTATTATTATTATTATTCTTCTTGTTATCCATTTAAATATTTATAAATATTGAGCTTCCGAGACAAATAAAAAAAAGTGAAAAAAAGTGAGGTGTATGAACCCCACAGCTGGGAAATAGGTTTAAATTTAATTAATTGTAGTAAAAAAAGTATAAAAAGAATTTAAATTATTTATTTAATAACAAACTACTAATGTAGAAGAATGATGTATCGATCGGGGTCTAGACTTTTAACAAATTTGATATTACATAAAATGATCTGTTGGGTGCAAAGTTGGACTTGATTCGACCTAAAGATTCCTAAGGGGATGTGGTATTATTTTTAATATCCTCATCGGCTTTTTGTTTTGCAAGCTCAGCTTGTTTTCTGGCCTCTTCCATTTGTTTCATTGCCTCTGCCAGTTGAGCACTTGCTTGATCATTTGTGGAATTCGATTGATTTGCTTGATTGTTTGCTTGAGCCATCGCTGCATTCGCTTGATCGATTGCTGCTTGGTTGCCACCTGGATTCACTGGTGGATCTATTTTTATATCTCCTCCGATGTTTGGAGTTTGATTAATCATTTTCTCAAGATCTTCTCTCGATGGTCTTGGTTGGTTTGTTGGTCCATTCATCATTTTCTTCTAATTTTATCTATTATATATATTGAAAGTTTGTTTTATAAAATAAAGAAAAATTTTATCTTTAAATACACAAACAGAAGACATTGAGGAATTCAAAAAAAAATAAATAATAAATTATTTTAAATAATATTTTATATTCGATGAATTTAGTTAACCACGTTGTAGGTGTTGTTACAAGTTCTTTAAAAAAAAATTAATGAACCTAGGAAATCAAATTATTCAGTGGAGATTTAGTTCTGAATAAATAGTTGAACAACAATACCTCAACACTTCTATTTTTTAGAAAGTATTATTAAAATATTTGTAAAAACAACAAAATCGAAACAACTGGTTCTCAATAAAATCACCTTTTTTCCTCTTTTAGAAGTTGAAATGGGCATTTATAAAAAATCAGAATTAATGGCAAAACAGGGTATGTAATTTAGAGAATAACTAACTACAAAAAAACAAAAAATCTAAAAAAAAGGAACCACGTGGTTCATTGGGTTTTTTTGGACTAGTTTGATCTTGTGATTAAAAAAAAAAATTGTACAAATCAGTGTCATTAGATTGTTGAATATTATTGACTTTATGACCAATCAATAGAATATATTCATTATTATGAACTTTATCATTCATGAACTTTTCATTTTAATCTATAATAGAAAAATAGATATATAAAAAAATAGAAAATTCCGTGGTATTGTGAAAGTTAAACAATAATGTCTCTATGTGAAGTTTTTGATGTTAATTGAGTTTTGCAATGATCTTTATAAATATTTTCATTCCGAGATCAACGTGTCTCTAAATATCAAAATAAAATTATCATTTTTAAAAACTAAAGCTAAAAATTAAAATAAGATTATTGTTGTTTTTTTTTTTTTGTACAAATGGGTTGAGTATATATCGGATCATAATATGTTTTATTCAAAAGCAAACACCAGCATTTGCGTTTATGTCTACGTCGTTGGTCTCTGTTAATAGTTGAATCCAAGAATTGGTTTTCAGAGAGAAGCAATGATTACCATACTTTGTACTGCCAATAAAGTAGATGGACGGATCGTTTTCGTTCGAGACGTAAATCAGTGGTCTTCTGGTGTCTGGATACTTTGGTATGGAAGGTGAGCGTAATGATGTAGTGCTTTTCGTTGGGATTGTTATCTTTAGGAAGTTACCATTGCTAACCAACAGATAGATACTATCGATACCATCGAAACAACAGCCAATGGTCTTTCCAAACAACGGTAGTTCATTTATGTACATCTCCAACTTGTTGGTGGCACAATCGTATTGCAGTATCGATTTGAATTCACCAAATACTCCGTGACCCGATATAGTGAATCCACCGAGAAAATAAACCTTGCCATCCAAGTAGCAACTGAAAGCACCATGTCGCTGCTGATCCAAATCCAACAGTTTCTTGAATTCCTTTGTATCCAAATCGTACGAATCCAACGACAATATATTTCCTTTATCCGAACGACCACCCAATAAATATATAGTTTTATCACCATCATAACAAGTTGAAACACATTTACTTCCCTGTTTTTGTAATAAACAAATTTAAAAGATTAGTTGTTATTTAGAGTTTAAATAATAATAATATAGTTACAAACTTACTTGAATAATATCATTTCTCTTCAAAGGTTCACATGCAATATATTGCATTGTTTTCGGTGAGAAAATTGTCCAATCAAAAGTTAAATTTCTTTTTTTTTATTTTCTAATTAATGTAAACAATCTATGATTTATTTAAAAGGTAGTAGTTGTAGATTATTTGAAAGATGTAGTTTAGAAAGTAGATCTATTTTATATTCATCATATTCAACTGGTGGAGAAAGATAGCTCAACAAAGAGAGAGGTGAGATGTTACAGATGCAATGGTATTGGTCATATCAGTAAGAACTGTACATCAGCGGGGGAGACGGTGAAAAGTTCGAAATGAATCGAGAATAAGGAGAGTTGCGTGGGGTTGTCGGAGGTGAAGGAAGTGGTGGAAGGTGAAAAAGAAAAGATAGAAGAAGAAATTTTAATGTTAGAAATAAATAATAATCATTTAATAATAGAATTAGAAATAAATAAAATAAAAAGAAAAATAATAATTGATACAGGCGCAACAAAATCATTCATAAACAATAAAAATATAAATAAAATAGATAAAATAAAAAATATAAAAAATAAAATAATAAAAATTCCATTAGAAGACAAAAATAAAATAATAAATAAAGCCGTATCAGCAGAAATAATAATAAATAAAAAAACTTATAATGTAGAATTAAACATAATAGATATAGAAGAAGATATCGAGATCATTTTCGGATCAGATATACTTCAAGAGTTAGAGATGAAGATAGAAATAAGAAATAAGAAGTGGTATTTAGAGTTCAATGGAGTAGAGATAGTAGTAGTAAATCAGAAAGTAGATAAAGAAATAGTAATAGATAGTAAAGTAAATAATAATAATGAGAAAGAGATATTAGAGGAAGTAAGAGAGTTAATAGTTAAAGAAGATTTAGAGGGATTGGAGAAGAGGATGGTGGAAATCTTTAGAGAAACCGCCAAACTTCAAAATCATGGAAAGAGATAATGACATCATTCATAAGATTGTGTTGAAGAAAGATTCTGTGGTGAAGAAACAACATCAGTTCAGACGATCTTACAAGGAAGAGATGGATATACAGATGAAAGTAGACGAGTTAGAAGAGTTAGGAATAGTAGAGAAAGTACCAGAAGAGTTTTTAGATCAAGTAGTAGAATCACCAATATTTGCAGTATATAAGAATAATGTGTTTGATAGATTAGTAAATCATTTTAAGAAGTTAAATGATGCGACAGTAGAATTAGAGTACAAGATTCCAGTTGTAGATGAAGTAATCAATAGTTTGAGAGGATGTAAATATTTTAGCATCGGAGACGTTGTAAAAGGTTACTTTCATGTGAAGATGGATTTGGAGTCAAGGAAATATACAGCATTCAGGACCCGTAAAGGCATTTACTGGTATTTACGTATGGCTATGGGTTTGAATGGAGCACCAGCAAGATTCGCAGAGTTTATCGAAGAGAATTTTAGTGACATAGTAAAAAATTATTTCGATGATCTCATTAGTGGCGATGTGACGTTAGAAGAGAATGTAGTTAGAGTAATCAGAATGTTTTGGATTAGATGTAGAGAGAGACAAATATATTTAAGTAGAAAGAAGTTAAAGTTATTTAGATTAGAGATAGAAATATTAGGTAGAACAATAAGAGAGAATATCATTAATAGTAGTAGTAAGAAGACAGAGATACTGGATAGAATGGAGTATCCAACAACACCAAAACAAGTACAGCGAACTTTGGGATTTTTTAATTATTATCGAAAGTTTGTTGATAAGTTTGTTGAAAAGACCAAACACTTAGAGTTTTCAAGACAGATTTCGAAATAAATGACGAAGCAAAGAGAGAATTCGATTTATTGCGAAAAGAGTTGAAAAATACAGTAGATCTAATGTTGCCGGATCCAACAAAGGAGTACTTTGTTTATACAGATGCAAGCGATATCGGTATAAGCGTGGTGATCTGTCAGAAAGATGAAAAAGGAGTGTTGAAACCAGTGTTGTTCAGTGGAAGAAGGCTGAAACCAGGAGAGCAGATCAAGTCGATTGGTGCACGTGAACTGTTGGCAATCAAATACTTTTTGAAGAAGCATTCAGATATTTTGTTAGGACCAAAGTTAAATATATACACAGATCATTTCAATCTCTTGTATTTGAAAGATCAAGCAATCTTGACAAAGGATCAGCTCAAGGCATTGGAGTTGTTGTCACAATTCAACTATGATATCAATCACATTGAAGGAAAGAACAACGTGGGAGCAGATGTGCTGTCTAGACTTCAGTGTTACCAGATACCATTGGATTTCAGTTACTTGGACGAGATTAAGAACAGTTATAAGTCAAGTAAGGATGTGGAATTGGTAAAGTTACGTCATAAGGAATCATGGAGAAAGTAATGGATTAATTTTTATCTTGGATAAGAATTTCAATGAAAGATTACTTTTGGTAGATGAAAAGCATATTAAAGAAGTAATAACGGAAGCTCATGGAAGTACTTACTGTGGTCATGGAGATACTTTAAGAACGTGGGTTAGGTTGAAGTCGAATTACTATGCTAGAAATCTATATGACAATGTGAAGGATTACTGTGAGCATTGTGTGGAATGTAAACAGAATCGAGTGGAATTGAAAAGGAAGGTTAACATACATCCTTTGGAGATAGCAGAAGGAGTTGGTGTGGATATTTCGATGGATTTCATGGAATTACCAAAGAGCGTTAATGGTTATGATTATGTTTTGGTAGTGGTGGATCGATTTTCGAAATATACAACTATCATTCCAACTACGAAGGAAATCACAGCATTGGGTACAGCAAAGTTAATTCATCAACAAGTGTTCTCATTGTTTGGATTACCGTTATCAATTGTAAGCGATCGTGATACTCGCTTTACAAGTGAAGTGTGGTTAGAACTCTTTAAGAAAGTAGGATCAAAACTAAGAATGACCGTACCGAGACATCCGCAATCAGATGGCCAGAGTGAACGCACGAACAGGAGAATCAGATCTATGCTAGGAAGCTATCGTTGGAGTTCAAAGACAAGTGGGATGAAGAGATTAAGAATATTCAATTCGCGATCAATTCAACTTATAATTCAACAATCAAACTATCACCTTTCGAAGTAGTGCTGGGATACATTCCTGTATCGCCAATTAACATGTTTAGAAACAATAATACATCGAATAGAGAATGGATCAGAGAGATGGTCAAAGACAGTTTGTTGGATAAACAATTAGATATGTTGGAAGCAGATGGAACCATCAAGAACAAACCGACTTATCAGATTGGAGATTGGATGTTTGTCAAAGATGAATTTATCAATTTAGAAGTTGATTGGAACACAAACACAGGATCAATTAATAATAAGAATCGTGGACCGTTCAAGATCACAAAGATATTTAATAATGGTATCAACGTAGAACTAGAATTGGATTACACAACAAAGAGACACAAAAGTTTTCAATATTAATCAATTAGTACAATTCAAGTTAAACAAAGATAATGAATCATTAGTTAAAGGTATACAACCAGATATCATTGACAATGAAGAAGAGTTTGAAATAGAACAAATCATTGGAGATCGAATGTTCAGAAAGAAGAAGCAGTATCAAATCAAATGGCTTGGCTATCCTTTAGACAAAGCTACATGGCAATACTCAAAGAACATGGATCATGCTAAAGATCTTATTAAAGAATATGAAAACAACAAGAAACAACAAATCCAATCAAAGAAGAAGAAGTAAATCTTTAAGTAGAGCAGAGTGTTAAATAGAACACTTTAAAATATATAAAATAATCAAAATTAAATCAATTAAAATATGTATTTATCAAATAAACAAACAAATAAAGAACTTTGTTATATTTTATCATCATTAGCATTACTTATAGTATTTAATTAGTTATTCTTAAAGTTATTATATATATAGAAACGTTTTTACTGTTAATCACCCCCTTTTTAAAATTTCTACACTACCGCTCGAAAGAATCAAGTTGCTCATGTTCGCTGATGACACTGGTGCTTTCACCAGGAACTTGGATGAACTGCATAGAGTCATCCACTGGTTTAACCTGTTCAAGCTATCCACCACTGCGGATGTTAACTCTAGTAAATCGGTTATCATTCCGCTCGGTAACACTTCCACTGCCAACCTTCCGTTCCCTGTGTCCACAGTGCCTGAAAGATACTTAGGTGTCAATTTCAACCCGGATGGTCACTGCTCCAAACTGGCAAGTATAATCAATCTCATTAAAGCTAACCTAGCTCTGTATAAGTATAAAGTTTATACTCTTAGAGCTAAATCAACTATCATTAAATCTTATGTGCTTCGCATGCTCTTCTACCACTTCTATCTTGAATCGCCCACACCTGATCAAATCAAGCTTGTCAACAGACTTATCGCTTGGTTCTTCACCATTGCACCTGATGCCAAAGCAAAGTTCACCGCTTTGATGTCTTTGGACAGGTCTTGCTTTCACTGGAATGATGGTCTGAATTTGTGGGATCTATCTCTTCGTTCTGCTGCTTATAAGATATGGGTCTTTAATAGATTCCTGTTGTTAAGTAGAAGCAACTCATTTGGTTACTTCAAAACTTGGTCATGCTTGATTGTGCCAAAAAATTTACTAATCCAACTTCTTCACCATCCTTCAAACTGTTCCATTCGTCTTGGATGGATTTTAGAAACAATCACTTCTCCAGAGTCATACCGGGCAATCCCATCCTTGCTGATGATGGTAGTCTCCTTACACTGAAGGTCAACTAACCATCCAGATTGGTCACTCTTTGGTTCTCCAATCTCAGTTTCTGCATATATCCAAGGTCAAAGCGCCTATGCTACGTAACAGCATATTCCGGCTGTACTCTCACACCTTCCCCATCAACCACAAGCGCACTGGTCATGTCTGTGAGTTCTGTGGTGACACCTTCACTGAACTCTGCAACCCACATGAGCATTTCTTCTTCAAATGCAGGAATGTAGTTTCTCAGCAGTTCCTTTCCTTTATCAAACACATATACCACAAGTACTGTAACTATAGACTTCGCAATTGGAAGCACTCGTGCATCAAGTTCGACGGTCCTATTCGTACTACTGTCCACTTCACCCACCTTACTGCTGCTATCGTACATTCGTTATGGCAGGCGTTGTCCTGTGAAATGTTTGGTGATGGTACCCATTACAAGCTGGAAAATACCGTCAAAAGAGCAGTCACCCATTACACCAAATTAATCGATGCCAATTACCACAAGCTTAACTTCACAATCGCTAATTCTATCTCCCAAGGAATCACTGTCGATTGCTCTAGGTATTCGATTAGGATCTATTCTATCCTAATAACAAATCGATTTGTTTTGTAGTAGAGAATCTACTAGAGATAGCCAACACTGCCACCAAGCGATACCAAGAGTAGCTGTAGTTTATGATTGAATATATATGCAGGTGGTGGTTGGAGGTGGAGGCAGTAACAACTCCTTTGGCTGATATTCTGTTATCCATGAAAATCTTAATTTATATTAAAAGCAGAGTCTTGAATTGTATTGAATATCGACATTATCTTCTATTTCTTTCTACTCAAACAAAACAAAAATCATGATTAGCATTAAACCACAAACAAAATTTGTTTTTTTATTTCAATTTTTTTCAAATCAAAAATCGTTCATAAATCAAATAAAATAAAAAAACCATATTAACCCCTCTATTTCTAATTTTTACATTTTTTTTAAAAATAATGCGCAGGCGAAAGTGGTTGGGAGCCAGTTTCGTTTTGAATTGGGCATGTTCACAATACAGTATTGATATCAGGTTTTTTTATTAATCAATAGTTATACTATTATTATTTATATCAATATATATATTTCTAATTTATAATAAATAATTAACAATCTATCATACAAATTTCTAACAATGCAGAATAGAAACATAGGCATTAGTGGTCAGGTTTTAAACTTTCTTGAAATCCACCAAGATGAACAACAAGACTCACCACTAGTAGTTCTCGCCACCAACCTTCCACTAAACACCCAAATCTCTGCGTTTGAAAGACATGTTGCAAATTCCTCTGGTATTCAGGCCAGAGATACCAAGGCCGTTGCACAAGGTTTCGAGTTTGTTGTAGACTCTAATGCCGACTATCAATGTTTGACTGAAGATCCTATCACCTATGCTAATATGATCGTATGTTTATCATCATCATCACCACATCATCATCATAACTAATGTTTATCTTTGATTGTTTTCTTTTTCTTTATCTTATTTTTTTTTTTAGATACAATTCTCAAAGGTTAGAGAATTAAAGACTGGATCCTCAAAGCTTGTTTTGAATGGTCTCATACTGAATTCAGATATCCAAACGATTAAAGAATGTTTTTCCACTACTTACAATGTAAATGTTATCAACATCACTAGACCGAATGAAAATACCGCCGAGGTAACATTAAGCCATGAGCACTGTTGTCATGTACTCCGATCCAACTCAACTTTCCGTGTAATGGGAAAGAAAGTTTCCATCTCAGTGGCCAACTCGTTCAACTATATCATTTCGAAGTCTACCGATAGTCAACCGTTGAATCCAGACGCTCTCATCCGATATCTCGCTAGCACCATGGATGTCAAAGTGTCGTCGGTCAAGACCAACAATGACAGGAGTGTAGCTTGGCTGAATGTCGTCAGTGACACCGAGGAGTTCAACGCCATTCTCCTTGAGGACGGCTATAGAATGATGTTCAATAACGTCTATCATACTATATTCCCAACTTCGAGCCAAACCATTCTATTCAGCTCATCACATGCTCTTACACAAGAAACTCTTGTTGAATTCCTCAGCCAGTTTAATTTCCAAACAAACAACCATCTCATCTTCCATGGTGGTATGTCTGGTGCCATTACTCCAGCATCCGAGGAAATCAGAAACCAACTACTTCAATTAAGATCACTTGAAAGACCAAATAATAACAACAACAACAGCAACAATAACAACAATAACAATAATAATAATAACAACAATAATAATAATAATTCACAACACCAATCATCACCAAATCAATCAAATGTAAATAATCAAGAATATAACGGTTATCCAAATTTACCAAATATGGAACCATATAATGTAACACCCACCAAACAACCAATTTTAAATAATCAAACATCATCAACAACAACACGTGTTCAACAAGATCAACATATGAATGACATTAAATTCGAGGAGTTAAAGTCAGGTTATGTAACATTCAGATTTACCGACCATTGCGCGACTATTGATGACTTGCTCATTGTTTTGAAAAAAGCAAGAATAGTTCCTTTGTCTCATCCTGTAGTCTTAGGTCCAGTTGCAATCGTCGAACTGGAACATAGATTGATTGATCCTCTCATTTTCAAATACAATGAATCCGGTCGTGATTTCTTGATTGACATCAAAGGTAAAGAGGTAAGTTAAATTCATTGATATAATGTCTATTGAAAATATAATTTGCTAATTAAACCATTATAGATAAGAATAAATCATTTCACAGGTGATTTACCGGAATGGGCTGTTTACCTTCTGCCATTGAAGCCTGTATCCGATGCCTCAGAGTTGAGCGCCATCAGCTATTTGAAACACACCAAGTGTGTCCAACATGGTAACTTTTATAAAGTGTCTATGCCGACCTCTGACGAGAAAGATGTACTTTTGGATATTAAATTGCTCATTACCGACTCCAATAAGTATTGGGTGTATGACAACCATCAATCACGTCAGATTCGCTCCAACAGTAAAGAAATCTCCAAAGTTCAATACGAATTCTTGAAGAAAATCAAATGTGACTTGCAAGATCTACTCTTGAAAGATCAAATTGATTTCCAAATGGAAGACGATTCACATACATGCTATATGGTCTTTACCTCGCCAAACCCGATGGATTCAGGACTGAGAAAACTGAGCCAGTTCTTGGATGACAAATACAAAGCCGAGAAAGAAAAGGTCACATGTCTAGAATCAAAGCTCGTTTTGGACGTAGTCAAGGATATGTTCATGGGAAAACAATCTACCTATGACGTTTTGAAACTTGGTAATAGTGTTGGTGAGGAGCAATTGAGCATCCATATGTATGGTCCAATCGCTGAAATCAACTCGATCTCCAAGGTATTGTCCAACTCATCCTGTCAATCATTCGAGTTGAATTCAGCCAGTCAAACCGTATTAAACAAGGAGAGGCAATCTCTCAAAAACAACGAGAAGCAACTACAAGCATTCAAAGTTAAATACTCATTTGTTGGAAATTTGGTTGTTGCCTTTGGTAATTCAGATTCAATCGAGAAGATGTTCAAGTTTGTCGAGAAAATTTTGAATCGTCAAGATTCCAAACAGTTATACATCAACAATATTGAAATGAATTTCTACAAAAAACTCATCAAAACCAACCAAGACAAGCCAGACTATCAATGTTTCAGAGATTGCGATATCAATTTCCAACAAACATTTGATAAGAGAATTTGTTTGTCGATTAGTGGTGAAGAGTCAAAAGTCAGACAGGTAACCGGTAAACTCGATGAAATTAAATCGCAGATCAATCTGATTCTTACCATCACCAAGAGATTTTCAAGGGAATCTTCAAACTACTTTGACGAGTACCTATCGAAGTACTTTGATGATAGCACCAACATCACATATCTATCTCAACAAAGCGATTATTCTGAATTCCGTCAATTCACAATCAATCTCTACTGTCATCCAAAGCTCGAGTATGACATAAAGTTGATCAATGATTTCCAAAATATGAAGGAAGGTGAAACATATGAAATCATAGCAACTAATTCTCAATACAATCACGTTAAAATGAATCTTAAACAAGATGCCAAGATGATTCAATATCTCCCATATGGATCTATCGCAGTCTATGGATTATTGCAAACATCGATAGAGTCACTGGTTGCCAAGATCCATACTCTCCTTGAATCCATGGAAACGTCAAAGACCATCCCAATCTACCAGAGTTGCAAGCACCAATATGAACATCTCTTGTTTGACAAAGTGAAGCGAAATTCACTACAGACAGAGTTTGACGTACAAATCGATTACTCACAGACCAACGTCATGATTAGAGGAAATACCAAGAATGTCGAGCACTTTGTCGATCAGCTCAAAAACAGAGTGCAGGATATCTCCTGCGAGAAATTCGAAGTCTTACCATTCCTTACGAAATATTTGCCAAAGACTTACCACCAAGATTTTTTTAAAAGCCTCCAGGAGCAGTATGATGTTTATGTTGTTCTAAACTTTCCTGTCTACTCTGTTTTTGGTTCTAAATCATTAAATTGGGAAGAGATCGGCCGAAAAATTTCAGTTGTTATGATCTTTCATCAGTGACATCATATACAATAAATATAGTAGCTGCATCTTTAAAGTATGAAGTTGTTATAGATCTAAATCTATGGTAGCAGGAAGTATCCCAAATTTGTAGTTTATATTCGAGTGATTCATGCTCGAACGTTCTAATTACATAATTATGACTGATTGTTGGATAAATGAGTGGATTGAATTTATCATCTGTGAATCTAGACAACAATACAGACTATTCAATTGAATTAGTTATTATAATATTCAATTAGAAACTTTTCTATATTTAGTTTTATATTTACCTTTCCAACTCTTTAATCACCAATAAGTAACAATTTAAAATGATAATGGCGTTTTCCATTAGCGATGTTACTTGATAATTATCAAGTAATTGCAAAAGGTTGAAGTTGATTTAATTGAAAAAATTATGGATTGTTTTAATAAATATCATCATTATGCCAATAAATTCTAAACTACTATCATTATCATGATTTGCTTCTTGTTGTTGTTGTTGTTGTTGTTGTTGATTATATTGATGTTGATAAAGATCTACAATGTTGATAAATCGATTCAATTGATCAAGATATCTATGAATTAAGAGATGAAATCAATCAACATCTTGATCATTAATGATAACTCATCGATAACATTAATGATTGGTTTCTTTAGTTTATGTTCTTCGACAATTAAATATTGATGAAGTTGTTGAAGTGATTGCTTGTTGGAATCGTAGTTCCAAGATACCAATCAACCGACTACTGCTAACCGATGAATGAACACAATGTATATAAGCGCAAACAAAATACCATCATCTTTAAACACATAAACTATTTATTTATTATAACATCATTTCTATACTACTACACTATGTCGTTACTACCACAGTTTAACGATGTCTCTAACATTGCTGATTGTGTCTATGTTTTGTGATTCAATTTCATGAGATGAACTTTTAATCTTTAAAGATAAATTATTTAAAAGTGATTTGATTTCATCTGCATGATCACAGTGGTGTGGTGCATGTGACTTTGTATGATCATTGGCACATCTATAACAAAATAATTGATTGCACTTTAAACATATATATTCAAACACCTTTTTATGTTCTGAACTTTCTAAATCAATGAAAATGCCATTATTATTATTATTATTCTTGTTATCCATTTAAATATTTATATCTCCTCCGATGTTTGGAATTTGACCCTTTATCTCAAGATCTTCTCTCGATGGTCTTGGTTGGTTTCCTGGTACATTCATCCTTTTCTTCTTATTTATCTATTAAAAATATTGAAAGTTTGTTATATAAAATAACGTAAAATTTTATCTTTAAATACCCAAGCAGAAGACATTTGAGGAATTCAAAAAAAATAAATATTAAATTATTGCAAATAATATTATATATTCGATGAATTTAGTTAACCACGTTGTTAGTTTTGTTACAAGTTCTTCAAAATAAATTAAAGAACCTAGGAAATCAATTTAAAATTCAGTAGAGATTTAGTTCTGAATAAATAGTTGAACTCAATAATACCTCAACACTTCTATTTCTAGAAAGTATTATTATAATATTTTGTAACTTTTTAAAAACAACAAAATCGAAACAACTGAGGCTCAATGATATCACCTTTATTCCTCTTTTAGAAGTTGAAATGGGCATTTATAAATGATCATATATTGTTATGTGCTATTTCATTTTTCAGGTTGGTTTTTGTGTTTGCACAGCTTTTTTGAATATACTATTTTTTCAAAAAGCACAAAAAAAACAAAAAATCTAAAAAAATTACTGAACCACGTGGTTCATTGGGTTTTTTTTTACTTTTGGCAATTGTATGAATATTTTAAAAAGTAATAAATTAACAAATTTTATTTAATTGTATTAAATACTTAGTTCACCTTCTACCTCAGCCTCTTCTTCTTCCTCCTCTTCCTCTAGTTGCATTATTGTTTAATACCTCTTCTTCTTCTTGATGATCTATATGTTGATGAGGAGGTTGTTGAAGAGGTTGTTGAGGAGGTTGTTGAAGAGGTTGTTGAAGAGGTTGCTGTGGTACAGCTTGACCGGTTAATTGTGGGAGAAACTGAGCCATCATCGCCATGATTGCTTGTTGTGGATTTGCAGGACTCACCTCATTGGTTTTTGTTTTGAGAACACCAAATCCGTTTATAAAACAGTCATGTTCTACTCTTCTAGGATCTGAGTAAATGTCATGATTGTAGAATATTATTGATTTTTCGTTGACTATTCAATTGAATATCTTCATTATTATTCACTTTATCATTCATGAAACTTTTCATTTTAACTTATCTATAATAGAAAAATAGATATTTTCTATTGTTTAATGTCTCTATGCGAAGTTTTAAATGTTAATTGAGTTTTGCAATTATCTTATATAAATATTTTCATTCCAGGATCAATGTGTCTCTAAAATAACAAAATAAAAATATCATTTTTTAAAACTAAAGCTAAATCAAATTAAGATTATTGTTTTTTTTTTTTTTGTAGGTTGGTATATATCGGATCATAATAAGTTTTATTCAAAAGCAAACACCAGCATTTGCGTTTATGTCTACGTCGTTAGTCTCTGTTAATAGTTGAATCCAAGAATTGGTTTTCAGAGAGAAGCAATGATTACCATACTTTGTACTGCCAATAAAGTAGATGGACGGATCGTTTTCGTTCGAGACGTAAATCAGTGGTCTTCTGGTGTCTGGATACTTTGGTATGGAAGGTGAGCGTAATGATGTAGTGCTTTTCGTTGGGATTGTTATCTTTAGGAAGTTACCATTGCTAACCAACAGATAGATACTATCGATACCATCGAAACAACAGCCAATGGTCTTTCCAAACAACGGTAGTTCATTTATGTACATCTCCAACTTGTTGGTGGCACAATCGTATTGCAGTATCGATTTGAATTCACCAAACTGTCCGTGACCCGATATAGTGAATCCACCGAGAAAATAAACCTTGCCATCCAAGTAGCAACTGAAAGCACCGTGTCGCTGCTGATCCAAATCCAACAGCTTCTTGAATTCCTTTGTATCCAAATCGTACGAATCCAACGACAATATATTTCCTTTATCCGAACGACCACCCAATAAATATATAGTTTTATCACCATCATAACAAGTTGAAACACATTTACTTCCCTGTTTTTGTAATAAACAAATTTAAAAGATTAGTTGTTATTTAGTGTTTAAATAATATAGTTACAAACTTACTTGAATAATATCATTTCTCTTCAAAGGTTCACATGCAATATATTGCATTGTTTTCGGTGAGAAAATTGTGTAGGTAGCAATGCTTTTGTCTCCGCCGAATATGTAGATGTTGTTTCTGGCGTAGACAACAGAGTTGATAGCTTGATCTCGTTTGGCTGCTTCGGTGACACACTTTACCCACTTTTTGCTCTCCAGGTTCATTGTGAATGCACCATTGCCACCCAGTGTAAATAGTTCGGTTTTCGCTACTCTCGCTGTATCTTTCAGCCTGTACAGTGTTGTCAGCTTCTTTTTGATTTCATTGACCTCCCTGCTATCGAATGATACCTCGTAGTTGATCGGTTTCGGTGCACTCTCGATCTTGAATGACTGCTTGTACTCCTTGAACTGCGAATTCAGCGATGCTTCTCTCTCCATCTCGTCCAACTTGAACAACGTCTTTTTGTTCTTCTTTAAAAATGATTCCAAACTATCGCTCTCTTGAATTTTACTTTGAACCGTATTGATATTCGTCAGATAATCGTTATTATAATAGCTATCCATTTGATCTTCTTCATCTTCATCTTCATCTCCTTCATCTTTCTCGTTATTATTATTAGTATTATTATTATTGTTATCTTGTTGTTCTATTTGTTCTTGTTCTAATGTTTCTTCATGTTTACGTTTGTTTCCTAGTAACACTGGTGTTGTTGTGTTTGAATCTGGTGTGGTGTCTGTAGCTGCAGCTGCACCGTCCAACTCTGACGACTCTGTTGACTTTGACTTGTTGCTGTTTCTCTTGTTGATATTCAATATGAGGTTGTTGATTGTTTTCAACTCTTTTATTGCCGAGAGTATCTGATCTTCGGATTTCTCACGTTCTACTTTCAGTGGTTGTTTGTTGTTCTCCTCTTCGACACGCAGCAGTTCGTGCAAGTCACGGTAATGCCACTCGATGATCTTATTGTTTTTCTCGAGGTGATCCAACATCTTGCTATTCTCTTTGATTACATCCCAGAGGTGTACCATTCTCTTGCCGTACTGTCCTTCTTCATTCTTGAGTACTTCGTCAAACGATTGCTTCTCGTGTTCACGATGCATAAAGTCGTTACAACACACCTCACAAATGAGATCACCACATTTCTTACAATAGAAATCCAGACTCATACCATGAATTATACAATTTTCATTATTCATTATAATTTATTCTATATATGTATATGTTTATATTATCTATTCTAATTAAGTTATATGCAAAAATATTTAAAATTTCAAATTTTTTTTATCCGGATAAAACTATTCTTTTTCCCTCCTTTTTTCCTAAATTAGTCTATTGAGATATTTATATAGTTACATACTAAATTAAATATATATTATTTTTTTAAAAATCTCTGACTTGTCTAAAACTATTTTAAACAAAAAACAAAGTTTATTTATAATTAAAGTTTATTTTTAATATTCCAAAGATCTTGATTAGTAATCAAACTTACATTTTCATTAAATAAATAATTTAAATAAAAAAAGAAATTATTGATTAAAAAATAAAAATGACAAAAGATTATTATTGATCAAGCAAATATCTGAAAAAAAAACGTTTTGGATTTACAATGTTTCATTAAATGTCACACGATTTTTTTTTTGTTAGAATGATCATAAATAATAAATAAATGAATAATACTCATGATTCAATTATCATTTCAGTTCTTGGAAATAAGGTACTCTTAAAACATATCATTTCCTTTCAAAAAGAACAAAGAGATATTCATATCTCGTTAGGTGAAATCAAAGGAGCTCTTCATCTCTATAAACACTTCAATGACACACAAACAATCATTGATTACGGATATCATAGCTTACTCAGTGATCGTATCAAGTCAGGTCATCATCTTCGATTCAATGCATCATCAGCAGAATCACTATGTAGAAAGGTTACTGATATCGATATCTTCACAACCGTCTACAATGACAAGAGAATATATTTCACCAATCCCAAACTTTTGTTGACAGCGATTCAGTTTGGAAATTTAACAGCGTTGATTACTCTTTTGAAACAAGTATATCCCGTTGACCTTGCCAATCACTACACCATCGATGATCTCATTGATAAAGCAGTGACCTCTTATCAATATGACATTGCCAAGTTTCTCATTGATGAATTCTGTAGCAGCAACAACAACAACAACAATGAAGAATCTTCAGAGAGTATTCCAACTTTAAAAGAAAGATTTCAAGATAGAGCCAAACAAATCTTTGAAAATCCAAACATTCAAGGTTTACCTTTTACCAATTTGATTTTCTTGTCTGCAAGCACTCTTGATGGTATCGAGTTGATTCTTCAGCAATTTAAAATCTATTTCCCTAGTGTACAAGAACTCCAATTCGATGTTGACCAATACTTCTCTAATGCTGTAAATGACAACAGCTATCCTATGACCAAGTGGATTCAACAACTATATTGTCTTTGTAAAGTTTACGGATTGATTGAAAGTGTCGATCAGTTCCATCGTCAATGTGATGAATTACTTCAACGTTCGATATCCAAAAGTAATGAAATCATCGAGAATTATAAGACCGTTACAGCTACTTTGGTTGACAACATTGTCAAGCCAGACCTTCAAACAATGAATAACTTTGTTCAGTTGACAATGTTAATCAAATTATGTAACGATGGTAACTTTCCAATCGTGGAAACACATGACATCAAGCACATTCTCCAACGTTCAACCAGTCATGCTTATATCATTCCATTCCTGCTTGATATTGTTCTAGAATCCAAAACTTTTAACATTATACTTCAAGACTTACTTGATAGTTCACCGTCATTTGATGGTGTCATTATTGGTTGCCTTTACAATCTTCCTTCCGGTCTTTGGTCACAAACTGTTTATCTCCTTCAATTTTCTCATTGGATTAGACAAATCAAGATTGCAATAATCAAAGGCGATCTTCTCAAACTCAAAACATTACTTTCGGATTCAAATTTCAACATTGGAGCAGACCAATCCAGCATGAGTGTTCTCATTAAATTAGCCATAGACAATGAGAAGATAAACATCTTTGAATATCTCATTGTTGAAAAAGGTGCTGTCGACAAAAATATTTGGAAAACGATTGGTGTTATTGGTAACAGTTCATTTTTACAACTTTTATGCAAATCACCACCAAACAATGATTTTAACTCTTTGAAGAAGATGTTTAAGTTGGTACATAAAGAAGCTATCTCAAGCGATTTGATAGATCCAATCCGATATATCTTTGACCAGTACGAAGAGTATGAAAAGATGTATTGGTATGACGCAATCAATTCAGGTAGCATTGAAATGATTGGTCTTTACTTGAATCGATTCAGGCACAATGAAGAGCTTATACTCTCCCACATTAAAACAGCTATCGAACATGGCCAAATAGAGATCTATCAATTATTGGTTGACAATCTTAAAGGTACTTTGATAAATGATAGGTTGACACCAAATATCGAACCTGAATCTCAAGAGGATGAGCTATATCCAATGTATCTCTACCGATTGAAACACGAATCAATCAATTAAGACAAATCATAACCGGTCACCACAAAAAATAAAATAAATAAACAAAAACACAATAAATATTTAGATATTTTCCACAAACCCACAAAAACATTAACTATATTTTTAATTAATGGTTTTTTCAAATTTGAGTGAGTTCAAGTTAGTTAGTGGCACGTTTACTAACTTACCCCTTCAGTGAGTTCGTTACTTTTCAGTGAGCAAAAAAAATGAAAATAATTGCAAATATTTTCATTTTATTGAGATTTTAGAAAAAAATTGAGTTAATTAATAAAATTATTTATTAAATATGGATAATTTATTACTATTATCTAAATTAAATAGTATAAAAGATAAATCAGGTGAGGATTTGAAGCAAAACACACTTTATAGTGATTTTAAACAGTTTTTTACAAAAAAGAGCGAAAAAAACAAAAATATTTGTTTCTTTTGTAAAAAGAGTGCACAGCAGATACAGCCCAGCATTGCAGAGAGCACTTGAATACAAAAAGCTGCAAATTGGCACAACAATCACTATTACCAAATAAACTCACAACAAACTCAGACTATTTATGTTGTAGATATATAGTAATGTCAAATATTCCATTTTCAACTTTGGAGAACACAGAGTTCAAAGAGTTTCTTCAGTCGTTAAACTATTCACCTCCCTCAAGGTATAAGTTTAAGGAAACGTATCTTCCTGGCCTCATGAAAGATCTTACGAATGTGATGAAGTATCAATTAGATCGTGCAGATTGGGTGGCAATAACAACAGATGGTTGGACTAACAATCAGAATGACAAGTTCACCACAGTCACAGCGCACTTCTTGGATAAAGATTTTCAATATGTGTCTTTTGTATTGGACTTTATTGCATCGGAACTTTCGGATACATCAGAGAATCTCTCAAACCAACTAGTGAAATGCCTTGAGTCATGGAATATTAAAGACAAGGTAATAGCTGCGGTCACTGATAATGCTAGGAATGTCACTAAAGCTATAAACATTTCCAACATTAAGTCCTATAGATGCTTATCTCATACTTTACAACTTATTGTTAGTGACTGTATAGATATTGGCAAACCACCTACGGAAGATGAAATTCAACTGTCGGTTTCTGCCAATGCGGAAAGTGATCACGCAGTGGAGCAAGACACCACACAACCACAATCAACAGTCAATAGCTCAAATGGATTGTCGGTTTTGTCTCATGAAACTTCGACTACCACCAGTACAAATAAAAAAAAAAAACTATCCACAACTACAAATCTGTCAAGAAAGAAACAAAAGTCATCTCAACCACCAACAAAAGATCTCATGGAAATGGCCACCACCGACCAGGATATCAGTATTCAAGCTCAACTATCAATTAAAACAATAAATCCTGAGTCATCCCTTAGTGTCAGGAATGTTTTAAGAAAAGTAAGAATTGTTGTTTATAAGATTAAATTTAGTAAGCCACATAGCACGAATTTAAAGAACATTCTGAGTGCAGTCCCATCTAATAGCAATAGCAATAACAATAGCAATAACAATAACAATAACAATAACAATAACAATAACAATAACAATAACAATAACAATAGCAATAGTGATAGCAATAGCAATTCGCGTCCGAAGCAAAGTCTAGGTTTTCGTTTAAAATACTACTCTCCAACCAGATGGTGTTCTCTTTACAATATGGTTCAAAAATTCATGAAGTATTATAAAGCTATTGAATTGTTAGCTGAACCCGCTTTTGCTTTTTCAAAAGATGAACTGGATGTAAGTATACACACTCACGGTGTAATCATTTTGAAAATATTAATAAATTAATAAACCTTTTTTAATAGGTACTAGACGATTATATACTATTACTAGAGCCATTTGAATCAGCCACCATGTACCTGGCACCAACAAATAGGATCACTATCGACAGTGTACTTCCAATGCTTGACACCATTCCACTTGCGTTACAGAGTAAGATAGCAATGCTAAAGACATCTCAAGGTAAAACATTAATGGAGCAATTGCAATCTTCTCTCAAAAAAAGAAAGGATGAGTTGCTTGCTTCAGTACCTGATTTAGTCTTGCCGTTATTATTCTCTCCATTATACAAGTCCCATTTAAAGATCATATGGGACAATACCGTAACAGTTGCCCCAGAGGTTCAAAATCCAGAGACCAAACGCCGTGCTGGCCGACCAACAAAAACACCATCTATATCTACTGTACCGATCAAAGCTACCGATGATAACAAGATTGAACTAACATTAACCGATAAACAATTGAACATATTTATCAATGATATCAAGTCTAAAGTAACAGTCAATGAAACATTACCAAATACAACACCTACTACAACAACATCACCCGCTAAAGTCACACCTCAAATAGATTTATCACCAGTGTCATTTAATCCATTTTATAGATATAGTAAAGATCCACAACCAATAGAGCTTAATGTAGATATACTCAAGAAGCAATTAATGGATTTCCACAATTATCAGTATGTAACTGAAGAAGAAGAGAGACTAGGCAAATATTCTAATCCTGCAATTTTCTGGTCGCAAAATAATCACCTATTTCCCTATGTTGCTCAACTTGCTCGCAAATATATGTGTGTTCCTGCTTCTTCTGTGCCTTCTGAATCTGTATTCTCTAAAGCTAATTATATATTTTCCGAAAGAAGACAATCAATGCTAAGTAGTACATTAAGAGATTGTGTCTTATTGTATTGCAACAAATCTTTATTTACAAATGCCAACAACAATAATAACAACAAATAAATTATTTACAAATGATATTAACAAATAAACTAGTCATTGCTTCAAATATAATTTTTTAATATGAACTAACTGAAAAAGTAACCAAAACTAACTAACGTGCAGTTTGGCTGAGAATTCGTGGGAACGAAAAATTAACTCACCAGTGAGTATTTTAACTTATTTTTCAAAAAACCAGCAGATCACCCATCTCGATTTATTTTTATTTAAAAAATGAATAAAAATAATAATAATAATAGTGTAACAATAGATTTAGAATGTTCAGAACATAAAAAGGTGTTTGAATATATATGTTTAAAGTGCAATCAATTATTTTGTTATAGATGTGCCAATGATCATACAAAGTCACATGAAAAACACCACTGTGATCATGCAGATGATATCAAATCACTTTTAAATAAAATAAATAAAGATAGTAGTAAAAATAATAAAGATAACATCAGTAATAATAATAGCAATAAAGACAATTATATTCAAACACATATCGATAGTTTATGGATAAAGATTAAAAGTTCATCTCATGAAATTGAATCACTCTCACAAAACATAGACACAATCAGCAATCACTTTCAACAACTTCATCAATATCTAATTGTCGAAGAACATAAACTAAAGAAACCAATCATTAATGTTATCGATGAATTAAGAGATGAAATCAATCAACATCTTGATCAATTGAAATCGATTATCAACATTGTCGATCTTTATCAACATCATTATAATCAACAACAACAACAACAACAAGCAAATAATGATAATAGTAGTTTAGAATATATTGGCAATGATGATGATATTACAGTTCAATATTCAATAGAATCAATGATTAAAAGTATTCAATCATCACAAACAATCATTGAATTTATCGATAATAACAATAAAACTATCTTTAATCAACATAATAACAATAATAATATGATAAACTATTATAAGGATAATATTGATAATATAGATTCAATCATTTTATTGTTAATTAATAATCACAATCATAAATTTCAATCAAAGTTAAACAACATTTCAAACAATAATACATCGAAAATAATTATAACAAATCGATATTATAACTATTTATTATCAACAAACTTTAAAGAAGATGAAATCAATTTATTCAATCAATTAATACAACAATCAATAAATGTATCATTTAAAACTCAAGAATCAACTTCAACCTATATTTTTAAAAAAGATAAAATCAAAGATCCAAAACTATGTATCCCTCGGTCGTTAGATGGACAACTCTATTATTTTTTTAAATTTGTAATTGTTGGTGATTCAAATGTTGGAAAGGTAAATACAAAACTAAATATAGAATATTTTATAATGATAATCGTAGCTAATTCAATTGAATAGTCTGTAATGTTGTCTAGATTGACAAATGATAAATTCGATCGATCCATTCAACAAACAATCGGTGTAAATTTCGAAAGTTTAGCAATCGAGCATGAATCACTCAAATATAAACTACAAATATGGGATACTTCTGGCCTCCTTAAATTTAGAACTATTACATCCTCATACTTTAAAGATACAGCTACTATTTTTATTATATATGATGTCACTAACGAAACATCTTTTAAAAGTAAGAGTATTAAAAGTTTATTGAAATCTATCGAAATTTACTAATTAAAAATAACAACTTCAAAACTATAGATGTAAGAGAATGGATAACATTTGTAAACAAATATAATGAAGATGCTTTCAAAATTATTGTTGGCAATAAAAGTGATCATCCAAAAAGATTGATTCAATATCAACAAGGCAGACAATTGGCTGACGAATTAGGATTAGATTTTTTTGAAACATCAGCAAAGACTGGTCAAGGTCTTAATGATGCATTCATCAGTATCGTTGATAGATTGAAACACTCTATTCTTGATCAGAATGGTGACTACGTTTATGTCAACGGTCTAAAGAAAACTAACAACAATAACAATAAAGGTGGATTTCTATCTTTTCTTAAAAGATAAGAGTAATCATACCAAATCACTACGAGTGTTAGAAGATATAACTATAAATAGATTCATTGTAAGAGATTAATAAACCGATTGACAGCACCTGCACATCAGAGTAATTACACTATCTGCACAAACAAAATGAAGAGGAAAAAGAAAAGGATTTTAGTAGAAAATTACAATTCTTGATTTCCAGCCTATTAATAATATTTTGTTTGATGCCAAATAAAAATAGCATAAATGCGTTTTCCCACACCATCTTCCATATTGTGTTTTTTTGAAAAAAAATTCTTAGACCCACTTTTTTTTTTTCGAGCTCTTAGATCTTTCGCTCGTTATTTAAAGATTTTTTTTTTCCCCAAACCAATTTAAGATTTGATGGTTCTCAAGAATGATTTCATTTACACTTTTTAAAAATATCATACAAATACTTAAAAATGATGAAATATCTCTTAATTTTATTTATTGCTTTTGTAACTTTAGCTAATTCTCAACGTATGTTTAAAAATAAATTATCTTATTTTTTATTTTTTAAATATTAATGATTTAATATTAAAAAACTATATAAATAGTTATCCTTTCAACAGGACAATGGACAAAACATAACACTGGATTATGCACTACTCCTTTGATTATGAACCTCACAAAGAATGTAGGAGGATACCAGACAGTCTCTGTCCAGGGATACCCTTATTTGACTAATATCACTGTAAATAACGACGGAACTTTCCAAGGTTTGGGTTGTCTCTACTCTGGCAAACGTGTCACTGACTACGCATCAGTTAAAGGAGTTATCTATAATGCTAATGCCTTCGTTGCCATATATGCACCTTCATTTGGTTTCCCAGGTGTCACCTACTACTATTCTCTTAATTTCTGTGATAATTCGAATATTCAACAAAATGTTGAAGGGGATATTTCATCTGAACCACAACTTTAAGGAAAGATGTTCAAAAACGACTATAAAAATATTTACAATAAAATTAAAAATATACAACAAATATTAGAAACTCCAGTTTATTTATAAAATTATTAATAAAAAATTAAACATAATTTATTTTATTTTTTTAAATTGTTTACTTTTAAATATAATTTTAGAATGGTCCTATTTTATTTGGGATTGATTACAATATTTGTAAAAGGTCAATGTAATTTTAAATTAATAAACAAAACTTTGAACAAATTAAATATTAAATTGTCAACATTTTTCTTTTCATTGTGTGCTAAGCATTTTAAATTAAACACCTTCTGAAAATATTTATTTTTAACAAATTCAAACAACTACAAATTGTATTTATTTATATATTTTTATAATATTTAATTTAATTTTTAGAATTGTATCCGATCGAAAAGCTGTTCTGGTATATATGCATTTACTATTCCTACCTGCTCGAATTTTTGTTTTCCCTTGATTACATTTTTAAAAGGGTACCAGCTTTCAACAAACACATTGTTTTTCAATATTATAGTGGATGCTACCAAACAGAGAGGAACGAGTTTACTAAACCTCAAAGAAACGATCAGTGCTCATATCTTCATTAACATGTTCTATGTTTTTTTTAGTTCCTTTAACCAATCAACTCCGAGTTTGCCTTCAAAGATCAGCTTTTCGATCCGATTCAATTTCAAGAATAATTAAATTAATTTAAATAAATAAAAAATTGTAAAAAAAACAAAAAAACGAGCGTTTATTTTTATTTATAATTTTATAACAAACTTATTATACATAAATATATATATATTTAAGTAATATTTGAGAAATGTCACTTTCTGAACTAAGAAAGAAGTTTACAAAAGGTGATACTTCCACCACAACAACAACAGCAACAAAGACGTCAGCAAAACAGGGTGGTAGTAGTAGTAGCAATTCGATTTTAACAACTAAAAAAGAAACACCAAAGAAATCAATAAATACATCGACACCATCATCATCATCATCAGCAATCGAAAAGAAAAAGAAATCAGTAACATCAACAACATCGACTACAACAAAGAATAACAAAGTTAATAAAACAAATGAAGCATCAAAAGAATTAGATTTAGATCAGCTATTTGAAAAGAAGAAACAAGTCGATAAAATAAAAAAGATTAAAGTACAGGAGGAACAAATCAAACAACAACAACAACAACAAAAGCAAGTAGAGTCAAAATCAAAGAAATCAAGACCTGTAGATGATGATGACTTCTTTGATAGTAGAGGTACAAATATTAAAGGTAAATATCTATCTATTCTTTATTATTGAATCAAATTCAACGAGTTATTTGCTAACTAAATATATTTATTGTTCAATTATCAAACAAAACAGAAAGAAAATATTTCGAAGGTATGCCTGTTTATACAGAAGAAGAATTGGGATTGGATCGTGACTATGAAGAAGGTGATACTGAACTATGTCCGTTCGATTGTCAATGTTGTAAATAAATAAAATATAAAAACAAATACAATCATATTATATTTAATAAAAACGAGATCAATGTTTGATAGTTTGTTGTTTTGTGTATATATATTTATCATCTATTTATTATTGTTTTGTTTTACTTTAAAGTTCATCCTTGGCTTTGGATGATTTAGTCGATGGTTTGGTTTCGGTGGTGGTGGTGGTAGTTGTCTTTTTGGTGGATACGACTTGTGGCAACTTTGAGATCTTGGTCATCGATTTCTTTCCGATCAATACATTACCGATGTACTCATCGAGTGACTCCTCCGAGAAGTTACCCAAGTAGTGTGAATAGCCACCCTTGACAATGTTGACAACAAACATGTTTGGTAGACCGGCCAAATCAAACTTCTCGATAAAGTGTGGTTGTTGACTGCCGTCCAACTGTACAAACTTCATACGACCAACGTATTTCTTGGCCATCTTTTGGAGTGACTCCATCTTGAGAGCGTTCGACTCTTTCTCGTCTTCGTTGGACATGTCAAACAACGAGACGGAGCATACACCAACCGAGCAAACCTTGTCAAAGGTTTCTTGATCCTCTACGAATACAACGTGATCCAATGGTTTCTCTGGTTGTTGTTCCTCCTTCTTCTTCTTATCCTTCTTCTTATCTTTCTTCTCTGGTTCCGCTTGTGGTTGAGCAACCTTTGGTTTCTTTGTCTTGTCTTCGAATGGCTCCAAGAAGCTATAGAGTGATTCATGGTTCAATTTACCATCGTACTTTACAAACTCTTCATCCGCACTATCTCCCTTGAAAACAACTAAAGCTGGTAATTTATCAATTCCATACTTTTGTACTATATATAAAAGTGAAATAAGAACCAAGTTAATTAAAATGTAAAAAGATAATATTAATAATATTGTTAAACTTACATAATTCTTTTGGTGCATCTTTAAACTCTGACAATGGTAATGAATGTTGGAAATCTAGTGATAATGCCTTGTAGAGATTCGATGTCTTTGCCTTGTCGGTGAACAACACTACTTTGGCAGTCTTGGAAGCGCTGACAAATTTGTTAAAGTCTTCTTGTGACTTTAGTTTGCTGGCAAAGTTTGGAAGTTTCGAGGTCATATAGTTGATGATGGCGCTGGCAGAACGCTCCTGTTGGTAGTCCTCCGGTGTTTTCATACCCTTGGCAGCGAGCTTGTGTGAGAAGAACTTCAATGTTGGGAATCCCTTGATCTCAAAGGCACCACACAACTCTTTCTCGACGTCGCAATTGATGGCACCCAACTTGGCGATACCAGCGAGATTCTTGGCGGCCTTCTCGTACTCTGGCTTCAAACTCTTGCAGTGACCACACCACGGTGCGTAAAACTCTACCATCCAGATGTGTTCGTCTTTGGCAACGAGTGACTCAAAGTTCTTCTTGTTCAAATTGACGACAGACGATCCTTTGCCATAGAACTCTGGTTCCGCTGAGATGACCGCAACAGCAGATAATAAAAACAATTAATAATAACACTGTTTTATCTATATTCATATTTTTATATCTTTAATTTAAAATAGAAAAAAAGTAAAAAAAAAAGTGAAATGGAATGGAGTTTGTTTTTTTTTTTTTAATTGGCACTGTAGAGGTGCTTTGTCATCACATTTGTAACGTCACCAAGCAACAAGTCCTTTAAATAATGTTGTTATTAGTTTAAACTAATAATAACTAGTTTTTTAACTTTTGTTTAAATATTATTTTATGAGTTATAACTGAATATGTTTATGTAGATATTATTTATGTTTTTTTAGATGAAAGATTATACACCATATACTTTTTCAGATAATGAATCATATCATAAACAATTATTATTTACATATTATTATAATCATCGAATGATTCAATTTATAATTCAACCATTACTGACACTTTGATAAAAACAAATACACAGCTCAATTAATTTATTAATCTAATCGATTAGGAAAACTAAAACGTTTGGTGACAGTACTAGTATGGGTCGATGACAAAGACGAAGTTGGGAGAGAATGTGCATCTAGAAAAAGATGTCTCTGTACAGTATGTTAGTGATGAATGAAATCGTTTGAAATTATATCAATAAAACAAATCATATGAATTATTATTATTTGTTTTTCATAAAAACTATCTCTAACATTCAAGCTTGATAGAAATGGTCTGTTTTGGACTTAGAGTGGCTTCTATCTGCAAAATAAAAAATAAAAAAAATAAAAATAAAAAAAAAGTTTTTAAAAAAATATTTTTCTGTGAATCAAAATGTGTGAAATAAATTAAAATGAAAAAGTTAACTTAATTTATAACATAAATATAAATCTAAATATGGATTATTTGTGACTTTATTTTCAATATAAATAGTTTATTGATCATTTTGTATAAAAATCATAAACAAATATATTAAATAACATATATATAAATATAAATATTTATTTTTAAAACAAAACATATACAGAATGACAGTAAATAATTTAGAAGTAATTTGCATCGATAAGATATTGTTAAATTCAATAGCAGATGACTTTGATAGATATGATAGTATTATGAAAGATAGAATATTAAAACGATTGTTGAATCCATGTCAACCAAAGTTCTCATATAAACACTCGACACCACCAGTTCCTTCACCTAAATGGCTCTCAAAGTTGGTCGACCACAACACTACTGCGCTCGATCTCAGTCTTGTTCCAGGTCTGGTCTGGCTATCATACACACAAAACTCTGATAAATTCCCATTCCAATTCCTCGAGAATTGCACCTCGCTCACCAGTCTCACCATCAATTCACAATCAAACTTTACAATCGCACAGCTACTGCCATTCCTGCGTGTAGTAGGTTCGCGTCTGAAACACCTCGATCTAAGTCGTTGTATCCGTATGAACGACAGTGCCATTCACTACATTAGCTACTACTGTCGTAATCTACAATCACTACAGCTCCAAGAGTGCATAGGAATTGGCGGTTCGGTGTTCCAACGCTCGATGTCCACGATGATGGCGCTGATGCCACTGGAGCGTGGTTCCGACGGCTCGCCAGCTCCACCACCCTCTTCCTTCCCAATGATGAGAATGGCGTCGTTGATGTCACTCGATCTCTCCGGGTGCAAATCGATCAGCTCCAAGAACCTCTTGAACATCTCCTACGTCTTTCCATGTCTGCAAGAGTTTGCATTCGCCAAGAACTTCCTCTCGGACGAAGACGGATCGCTGCTCGTCCAAACACTACCAGCATCGACACGCTCACTCGATCTCTCTTTCAATCCAATCGGTGCCAAGACACTGGCATCTCTAACACCGTCCGGTAAGAACATGACCACATTCTACTTGAAATCACTCTCCGTACAGTATTGCCGTTGCATTTCAACCAACGACATCCAACAGCTATTTAGTGGACTGTCAAACAGTCTTGAGAGTTTATCAATCACTGGTTGTTCACAAATCGATAGAAATTCATTGAAATCATCAAGTAGCAGCAGCAACAGCAACAGTTACAATCCCTATCAGAAAACAACAACAACTACCGCCGCCGCCGCCTCAAAGAGAATCAGTTGTAGTATCACTTATAATGATAGAATTTTGAATAATAATATTGTTTCACCACAATCAATGTATTCATAACAACATAATCTAACAACATACTACTATTTATTTATTTATTTATTAAAAAATCAAGATATGATATTGATTAATATCAAATGTATATAATCAAACAGCAAAGTTTAATAAACAAGATTAATAAATCTTTTAATAGGAGATTTATTAAAAACATAATCATCATTTTTAAAATTAAAATTTTATTTTAAACGAATAATTATTAATAATGATGACTTGTAGAGTGTGTGGTTCATCTGATGAACTGACCAGGCTTTGTTTTTAATAGTCAACCCCCTAATAACAAATATATAAATATATATTAAAAATTAATTTTTAAACAATCATAAAATATATAAATAGATAACAAATATTAATAAATAATCATTAGTCACCACTGATATTTATTCATTTAAAATTATTCTAAAGAATAAAGAACAATGTTAAATAGAAGTAAACATTTTATAAAAAAGTAAATATCATATCAATCACCTGATGATTCTATATTGATCATCATCATATCTTTTTAGAACATATTAATCAACTAAAATTAATCAATCATTAAAATAGTTTTTATTATAGGTACAATAATAATAATATAATTTCAAATATTAAAAATAGTAGTAATAATAATAGTAATAGTAATAGTAATATTAGAAATATAATAAATAAAACATGTTCATACAATAATAATAATAATAATAATAGTAATAGTAGTAATAATAATAGTGATTTTAAATTTAAATATAAAGATAGTGAAAATCACAGTTTTGATTCAAAAGAAAAAAGAATATTTGATAAAAATCAGTTGAGATCTGCTTTATTGTTTGGGAGTTCATTTGGTTTCTATAATGAAGAGAAAGAATATGGATGGTTGAAATCATTGATATTACCAAATCATATCTTGTGTGACGATAATAATGGTGGTGGAAGACAACAGGTAACTACAGGTGTAGTTGTTACCAATCCAACAGCAGGTCTCGAACCTCTAAATAATACACCGATTGTAATATTGAATCCAATCGATGCAATGGCAACTCTCACCGATGAACCAATCTCTGTTGTCTCGACGGTGTTGCGGCTGTTCCATCTCGGCGCAATTATGTTGCCGGCACTCGTTACCTCACCACTGGTGCTGGTGCCATTTGTAAATAATGCATGGTGGTCGCTACTCCTCAAGACGATGGAGTGGAGCGGTACCTGCTGGATAAAGTTTGGTCAGTGGATATCGACGCGACCCGACCTCTTCCCAAAGTTGCTCTGTGAGAAATTCGAGCAGTTGCACAACAAGTGTCCGTCGCATAGCTATCACTATACAAAGCAGTCGGTGGAGAGCAACTTTGAGCGGCCGATCGAAGAGCTCTTTCTCTACTTTGACGAGGTGCCAATGGCATCGGGTGCAGTCGCACAAGTACACAAGGGTGTGAACAACGATGGCAAAGTGGTTGTAGTCAAAGTTCTGCATCCCAACGCCCACTATTACATAAAGACAGATTTCACCATTATCTATACCGCACTCTGGTTGTTCAGCAAGATGCCCGGAATGAAATGGTTGTCACTGCCAGAATCCGTACTGGAATTCGGTAAATCCATGATGAAACAAGTCGATCTCACATTGGAAGCACAACATCTTTCAACCTTTATAAATAACTTTAAAAACAACAATGAAGTTGTATTTCCCAAGCCATGTTATCCATTGGTATGTCGTAGATTAAAATCTATTTTTGTTTGAACTTCGAGTTTTAAAAACTTACCAAAAAATTCACACAACTAACTTTTAGGTATCAAAGAGTGTACTGGTTGAAACATTTGAACCTGGCGAACCAATTATGGATTATATTAGTACGAATAGTCCTTTCAATCCAACGCTAGCTCGTATTGGATTGGATGCATATCTACAGATGATGTTGGTCGACAATTTCATTCATGCCGATTTGCATCCTGGCAATGTATTGGTTCGTGATCCGACACTCCATAGAAGATCACAGTTTCATCATGAGCAGCAATCGAATCAATTGCTGATTACCAAACAACATCACGCAAACCCACACATGATTGTATTGAAAACACTCGATCTACAGAGAAAAGCAACACCACTGCCAAAGTTGGTGTTGTTGGATGTCGGATTGGTCACCGAACTCGATACGACCGACAAATCACATTTCAAAGAACTGTTTACCGAAGTTGTAAAAGGCAACGGTAAAGCTGGAGCAGAGTTAATCATTAAATACGCAAAAGAAGCACAATGTTCAGAACAAGAAATATGTAAGTATTATAAAGACGACTTGTTGATTGTTATATTGTATTTTAATGTTTTTTTTTATTTCTTCATTTCAATTGTTATATATAGTTGAATTCAAAGAAAAGATGGGAGAAATATTTAATAAAGTACAGAATAGTAAGTTAAGTGAAATTCATGTTGGACACCTGATGAGTCAGATACTTAGTTTGGTGAGAGAATATCATGTAAAATTGGAAAGCAACTTTGCAACGTTGGTAATGGGAACTATAGTTTTGGAGGGACTTGGCAAACAACTGGATCCAAACATAAGTCTTTTGAAAGCTGCGATTCCATTCCTATTCCACCGTCAAACCTCTTATATACTACCTGAATTCTATCGTTATCTAATTAGACCAAAGAAACCATATGAAACAAATTCTCAACAGGAACAAGAATAAAAGAAAATAAAAAAAAAAAGAAAGGATGTTATAACCATATGGTACTAATAATAATAATAATATTAAATATATATTCTATTCTTTTACTTCTCTTTTTAAGTGTATAAAATACTTATAAGTTCTTTTTTGTTTATATTTATATTATTAATCTCTTTTTTTTCTTTTGAAGAATTAATTTTATTAAAAGTTTTAATATTATCCATACCGTTTGTTTCCATTTAAAAGTTTGATCAATGACGATGTGTAATGATAATGATAAATAAGAAGATTGTAATTTGGTTTGGTTTGGCTGTCTACTTGGGTATTTGTTTTTGGTTGTTTTTCATAACGTTGGTGATGTATTGTATTATTATTATTATTATTATTTTAATAATTACTTAAAATATTATGTGGAATCTGAAGTAGTCTACAAGCTGCTGTTTTGTAACAAACCTTTAATGAACTTCTTGTTTCACTGTGTATCTTGGTAGTTGTGCTCTTTTCTCCTCCTAAAAGTAATAATAGATAAAAACAGGGTAAGATGTATTCTTTGTTATTTTTTTTTTTTTAAAAGATGATAGATAAAGAGGGAATGTTATTATTGATAATGATAATTATAGTTGTTTTTTGTTTACTTCTCTTTTATGATTGAATTTAAAAGTAGTAAATTAACTATATATATAAATATTTATAGATAAAGAGTTTTAAAAAAAGAAAAGAATGTTATAACATCAATATCATCATCGTTATCATTATTATTAACAAGATGATGAATATTGATTGAGTATAAAGAATAGTATAACGTACCATTGAAATAAGATCATCTGTATATACCAAGTGTGTTCCTGGTACTTGATTGTGAGTGGCAATCACTGCTGGTGCTGCTTTTACTATGGTTGTTGGTTTTGAAGATATAGTTGTAGTAGTAGTAGTACCAGTTGTTGCATTAAATCCATTGCTGTTGTTTGTTTGAGATGATGGTGGTGAAGATAAAGGTGGTGGAGGTGGCGGAATATCATTGTTATTTGTGGTACCGTTGGATGAGGTTGTTGTTGGTGGTGGAGGTGGTGGCGAAGATGAGGGTGGTGGTGGAGGTGGTGGTGAAGATGATGGTGGAGGTGGTGGTGGTGGTGATGAAGTTGGTGGAGGTGGTGGAGGTGGTGCTCCATTGGGTGGTGGTGGTGGTGGTAATATACCGGGTTGCATATGTCCTGGCATACCAGGTCCAGGTGGTAATTTAAACATCGGAGGGAACTTCATAATTGGATTGATTGGGAATTGTATTGGTTGGTTTGGTAACATACCTCCTGGTGGTGGTGGAGGCATTGAATAATTATATGGATTCGGCATCCATGGATTTGGCCTGTTAATTAGTTTTTTAAAAACAATCGATTGTTAGTATTAAAGATCTAAATATCTATCTCTATATCTATCAAATACATACATATTGGGTAAATGTGGCATTCCATATGGTGTACTTCCTGGAGGAGGAGGTGCACCTCTAAATTGTGGATTAAAATTCTGTGGTGGTTGTTGTTGATGTGGATGTTGGTGATGGTGATGTGGTTGTTGTTGGTGTTGTTGTTGATGATTCATCTTTGTCTTCTTCTCTGGTCTACCTTCTTCATCTTCATCGGGTATACCTTCCATACCATAGATTTCATATTCAACACTATCTCTACCTGGTTTTGAATTTGGTACTCTAAATAAAACAAAATAGATCTATTAATATATGAAATAAAATTCTCGAGAATATATATATATATATATATATATATAGATTAGATAGTTACTTTGTTAAAACTTCTTTATGTACTGTTTGAACGTGAACAACCATTCCACTGGCAGATGCTAACTTTCTATTGCAATGAGGACACTTAAAGTGACGCGCTTTCTGATGTTGAATCAGAATCTTTTCATCTTCAAATGTTCTTTCACAGTACCAACAATAGGGTTTCTCATTTCCCTTCTTTTTCTTTCCCATATTTCTTATCTATCTATCTATTCTAATCTTATTAATTAAAATAATAAAAAAAAATAAATGAAAAGGGAATGATCAATTTATTAAAAAAAATATAAAAAAAAAAATACGTTGAAAAACATAAAAAAATAAACGGTAAAATTTTAAAATATTTAATTTATTTATATGTTCTATTCTAACAATGATAATATTATCTATCTATAATCTATGAAATTTACAAGTGAGTTAAAATCAATTAAATTAATATTATCATTACTAATTGTGTATGTTTTGATTTTGTTGTTATTATCTGCGTTGTTGTTGTTGATGTTATCTATGTTGTTGTTATTATTGTTGTTGTTGTTCGATGATGTTGCAACTTGATAGATCCAAATGCTATAGTTATCCCATGTGACTTTTATATTTGACAATCCTTTCAATTTGTTGACAGTGTTGAAAATGATGATATAGTGAACACCCAGTGTGTTGGCGTAGGATATCGATTCCTCGATCACCTGATTGAGATCACCAATCTCTTCCCAAGTCTGGTCGGAGATCATCTCAAAAAGGATATCGTGTTCCACAGACAAAAAGATATGAGGAACTGGTTTCTCAAGATCTGTGACTGGATCGATCTGAACGAGATATCTATTGATATGGTTATCATGATAACTATTATAGATACCACTTTCCAATGCTGCAGCGACTTGAATCTGTAAGTTATATTCTAATTTCAACTTATCACCTAAAATGATTACTTATTTATTAATAAAATTCTATTATTGATAAAGTTAATAATTTACTTACTGTCTGAATTGGAAAATGGTTTCAAACTTGAAATTAATGATTTTATGAAATGTGGAATGTGGGAATACCAGTTGTTTGGATAAATGAATGAATTGTTAAATATCGACAGTTCATTAAGTAGATAGTCTTTGAATATTGGTGAGACAAATCGGAATTCAGACTTCTCTCTATTAAGTACTCTTAGGATACCAACGTTAGCCAGTTCTTTCATGAAACATTGTTGTGCTAGTGGATCTTGATCTTGATCATTATCTTTGTTGTCATTAATATCACCATTTTCATTGATATGATTATTTAATTTGATTGTATAGAATGGAGGTGTTGAAAGAATATCAATGATTGAATCTATCATCTCCTGAGATCGATTGATCATTCTTATTAATCTCGAGTAAATAGGTAATGTCCTTAGATGATTGATTATCGATCTTCTAATTGTTATCCACCGTTTCATATCTAATTTACATTTAAGATCTGTCCTCTCTAGTTCTTCACCAATCAAACCAAGTAGCCCTGGATATCCGCCCATCGATCCAACCATGATATTCAACACTTCATTGTCAATCTGTATACCATTGTGTTCTGACCACTCTAACAGTAAATCTCGAATATCTTGACTTTTAAAACCATGAAGGAATACTGTATCATGAGAATTGAAAAAGTGATAGTCATGGATACTAGTTGACTCTGATCTTTGAAACTCTTGATAAGTTGATACCAACCCATCAATTAAATTCAACATATTGCAATTTCCAAAAGCAAAACAACTATAGAGACAATACTCTGGTGAGTTCATCATTTCATTCACCAATTTGAGAAATTCATAATTTTGAGAGGTATCAATCTCTAAAAAACTATCGAATTCATCAAATAGTAAAATAACAAAGCTGTCATTGAATGTTACTGAATACCTTGTAAATATCTATTTTTGAAAATAAATAAGTTAAATATTTTAAAAAACAATTGTTTTTTGGAATAATTACATCTTTAATATCACTTTGAGAGGAAGGTGAACTAAATGGAATATTTGATTTTGTGTTTCTTAATGAGTTTATAAACCAATCATAAAAATTTGTGGAATTTGAATCTTTAAATTCATTAAAGTTTATCCTATTTTTTTTTGTTAAATTTTAGTTATTAAATTTTTTGATTTTAATAACTTACATTATAGGAACAAAATCTGTTGTATTTGTTAATCTGTTACTAAAAGCATCCATTAAACTTGTTTTACCAGATTTAATTGATCCCATAACACTAAAACATCCTTTCTTTGACAAACAATTTTCCAATTGACCCAACTGTAGATTTTCAAAAGGAATATGATAATAATATTCTTGATTATAACTTGTTATCTCTCCATAAGTTATGGATTTATAAACTAAAAATTAATTAGATTAAAATTGATCAACTTTAAATATCTTTAAAAATACCTTCTTTGTATTCCTCGATTCCATTTTCATCTTGTGTTTCACTCTTTTGAAATAGTTGATCTGAAATTGTCATATTCGAGGAGAGTAAGCTCATCTCTTGACTTATTTGTTTAAATTTTCTTTCATCTTCAGAAAAATTCAAACTTTCCAAGTTTATATTCTCCTCTTTGATCTCTTGTAGTGAATGAATATGCTCCTCTTGATGTTTTGATAATTTCAAAAGAATATCATCTAAATGTTCTTTATGATTATCATTTATAAAATTAACTAAATCCAAATTTGAATATAAGGAACAACTTGCTATTAAATTATCTTTTTGTTCATTTGTCAATTGTTGATTACATCTTATTGTATTAATTGCAGCTAAATATTAGAAAAAAAACCAAAAAAATTATTAATTTTTAAATTTATGTCTAATAATCAATAATCTTACCATCCATATTTATTATTTCATTTTATACTTATAAATTGAATAAATATTGAATAAATAATAAATAAAGTTCACAGTAGCTATTTTTATATCTATTTTTTTAAACAAAGTTTCCAAAAAAATGAAAATGACCAAATTTAGAAATTTAGATTTTTTTTTTTTGATTATTTTGTCATAGTAAAAAAAAATTTTGGACCAATCAATTTGGATTATTATCTATACATATTCTTAAGAATATTTAAAAACTATAATATTACTATCTTTGTTTGTGAAATTATCTTCAATGGACAAAAAATAATTTTTTGATTTTTAATTTTCCAAAATTTTTTTCATAGAACTTAAAACAGCTTTAATAATAATTTTTGATGTTTCTTTCTCATTTAATTTAAACAAATGAATAGTTCAGATGAAAATGATTGTTTAATAAAAAACGATTCTACAACTACTAATAGTAGTAATAGTAATAATAGACAGAGAACAAAAGATGTAACATTGGATGAATCAAACTCTGTTGAATTCAGTGAGATGATGTTATCTCAAGAGACGTTGGATGGTCTAAAACAATGTGGATTCATCAAGCCTTCACCGATTCAAGTTCAGGCGATACCACTTGCTCTGACCGGTAGAGATATCATTGCTCAAGCAAAGAGTGGCACTGGCAAGACTGTAGTATTCAGTGTGGTGGCACTCGAAACCGTTCTGAAACTACGAACTACACCCATTCCCAAAGATAGACAAGAACTGCTGGATATGGACGACGAGAGTTATGCTGCCGCTATATCTGGTGTTCCTCGACATCCCGTGGTGATGATACTCTCACCGACACGTGAGATAGCCGTGCAATCGTGTGACGTTGTCAATCAGCTGGCGCGATCAATGAAGTATATCAAAGCGGCATCGTTCATCGGTGGACTCAGGGAAGTGGATGACCGTCATCGACTCTCAGGTTGTCAGATTGTGGTTGGCACACCCGGACGTATCAGATCGTTGATTGAATCACTGACACTTCGTACCGACGACATCAAGCTGTTGATTCTCGACGAAGCCGACAAACTGCTGGATATGGGTTTCAGTAAAGATATCAATTGGTTGCATCGTGCGCTGCCTGTCAGTCAAAGACAGACACTGGCGCTGTCCGCAACCTATCCGGTGTCGGTACTGAACGTTGTCAAGGCGTATATGCGCGCCGACGTCATGGAAGTTCGCGTTGGTTCAGACACGCCGTCACTCACAGGAATCACACAATACTACCAATTCGTAGAGAATCCAGCTATTAGTTATCAGGCATTCAAAGAGAAGATCGCTTCATTGCTGCTGCTACTAGAGCAACTTGGATTCTATCAGGCGATTGTGTTTGTAAGTGAGCGGCAACGCGCGGAAGAGGTGTGCAAGTTGCTGGTGCGACGTGGTTGGCCAACGCGTTATATTGCCGGTGCTATGGAGCAACGCGAGCGTCTGCTGGTGATGGAAGAGCTAAAGGATTTCAAGTTGCGAATACTGGTGTCGACTGACCTGATTGCGAGAGGTATCGACATTGAGCGTGTCAATCTTGTGGTGAACATCGATATGCCGAGAGACTACGAAACTTACTTTCATAGGATCGGTAGAACCGGTAGATTCGGTACCTATGGTGTATCGGTTAGTTTTATATCAAAGGATTCCGAACAAGATAGAAACTTCTTACATGAGCTACGTGTGCGATACAATGTTGAATTGCTGGAGAGAAAAGATAACGATGAGATACCAGAACACTTTTACACATATCAGTTGTCGAATAGCAAGGAATCAGAGTCATTAGAATCACTAAAACTTAAACAACAACAATTTAAACAGAAACAAGAGGAGAAAGAACAAGTCAAACTTTTAAAACAACTAAAGATCAACGATGATTATATTCAAAATCAACAAAATATAGATGAAAATGAAGAAGATTATAATGAAGATGAAGAGTATGACGAAGAGTATGAAGATGAAGAGTATGAAGATGAAGAGTATGAAGATGAAGAGAATGAAGAGTATGAGGATGAAGAGTACGAAGATGAAGAGTATGAAGAGTACGAAGAGTATGAAGATCAGGAGTATGAAGAAGAGAATGAAGAGTATGAAGAAGTAGAAAACAATTATAATTTTAATAAGGAAGTTGAAGAAGGAGAAGAAGAAGAATATCAAGATTTTAATAATAATAATAATATATTTAAAGATCAGTCACAACATCAAAGAGCTACAAGTTACAATCATAATTTAAGTTATAATCAACCAAACAATTTAAACAACAAATGGGAAGATTATCTTCATTATATAAATAGTTATTCAAATCAAAACAATTACAACTATAGTTATTTAATATCCAACCACAATAATATAAACTCATATAATAATCATAATTGTAACTGTAGGTATTGCCCTATAAAACAAAGTAAACATCATCCAATTCAACAACAACAGCAACAACAATATCAACAACACTATTATAATTATCCTTACTACTATAATTATTAAAATATATTATTTTTGCAATCATATATACTCGAAATAAATAAACAATGAAACAATATATATATTTATTTATTCACAAACATAAAAGCAATGTAAATTGTTACATTTTCACCTATAGGTATATATATAGTTAAAAACCAATATAGCTGTTGATTTTGTATTCAACGGTAAACATTAATTAATGACATGTGTGGTGTGGTGTGGAGTGTTGTTCACAAATATTTTATTTTAACACCAATATATTTACTGATTATATACAAAAAAAAATTATATTTTGATAGTTATTTTAAATGTATATATATGTGGGTGTTGATTAAATTTATATATAATAGGTGTTTTTGTTTTTACTGATGAAGACAAACTATGTTTGGAATTCGTCTATCTCATATGAATGAAGTGTTTAGATTTATGGAATGAATGATTGATTGATTGATTGTTTATTAGTGTTTGTGAATCTGAAGTTAACAATTTCTGTAATTTGTAGTCGGGATCTTTAATTCATTTCATTGGTCAGAATTTATTTTCAATTTCCTAATTTAGAATCATATTGAATAATTCTCTATAATATTATCTCTATGATAGGTATAATTCCCATAAAGAGATAGACCTATCCAAATTAAATTTTTTCTACACAATTTAAGTGAATTATGATAAAGTTATAAGGTTAATTGATTCATTTTATTGTTTATCTAAAGTTAATTCAAAAATGAGTATTTATTGTAAATATTAAAAAAATACTATCAAAATAATAATTACTCATTATTTTTTTTATCCACTAAATTTTTAGATACATTATCAAGAAGCAATTCATTTAATATTGGATTTAAACGATTGAAAAGACCAAATCATTGTAATTGCCAAATAGGAATGGGTTTATATGAACAGATAGAAGATATTGGAAATCTACTCAATATTTGTTCAAACAATTTATTTATTATTATAGATTTTGAACTAGATTCAAGTTCAAATAATATGAATTAATATAATTTTATTTATTATTTAAAAATATATATAATGAACTCGAGTTCATCTAAATAAATAAGTTTCTATATACATTTTAATCCTTATGATTTTTTTTTTAATTTAAAAATCTATTTTTGAAAACAAATAGAAAATTAGAATAATGATATTATATGATATAATTTTCATCACTTACATAAAAGATTTTTAGCGTAATATAGGTCCAGTTTCTTGATTGGAAGAAAATCCAACTTCTTTTAATATTTTCTTTGTGGATGTTGTATTTTGTAAAGTAGCTGGTGGACTGTATTTAATTGTTTCTGGTGTTGACTTTTTAGAAATATTTTCTTTCGGAAAAAATAGTTCCTCATTCTTTGGATTTTTTAAGAGTTTGGAGTAAACATAATATTCCATTTTTAATAGTTTTATATATTTTTATCTATAATATAGAAGATAGAGAATTTATTTTATATTTTAGTATAAAAACAAAATAATCAATTTGAACTATTTATAGTTTTTCTTAAGATGAGATTGGATCAGAGAACGTTTTGATCATCTTCCAAGAATGTAAAAAAGATCATTAAAAAAACAAATCAACTTTGATTTCAAAGGATTTTCTCAAGAATGATTAACCCCTATTTTCTTTTTTCCCTTGTTTCTTTTGCAAAAAAAAAATTCGTTGGAAATTCATTCTTTTTTTTAAATTCCATACAATAGATGCGTTTAAGTCTTTACTCTTTTGACTTGGTTAAAAAATCTATAAATATTTTAATGATTAATTTTTTTGTCTTTAAAAATTTATTTATTTTTTACAAATATTTTTTATTTATTTTAAAGTAAAAGTATAAAAGTAATCATTTATAAATCAATATTGAAAATCAAATTAAAATTTATAGAATTTAGATTAGGATTTTGGATGGTGAGAGTACGAGCCAATATAACTCAGCCCTTTTGAAGAAATGGAAGATTTAAAATTAAGAATCAATCTAAATAAACACACCCTTAAATATCAAAACAAATCCTGCTTGGACTCTGTCCGCTGATTAATTATCATTTTTTTTGTTCGAATTTATAGTTAAAAATTATATTTTTTATTTACAGAAAAATTATTCGTATGATAAAATATCATATATGTGAAAAGATTATTTTTAATAATTTAGTTGATTTATCTTAATATTGATCCAGATTCTTGTTTGTTGGGAATTCCAATAGAATTTGTTTGTTGATTTGATGCATTGGTTAAAGTTTGGATTGCTGGTGGATTGTATTCCTTTGTTTTAGTTGAAGTCTTTTTCATTGGACTATCCTTTGGCCAAAACAATTCGTCATTCTTGGGGTTCTTTAAGAGTTTAGAATAGACTAAAAATTCCATTTTTTATTGATAATAAGTATTTGGTTTTTAAATTGTTTTTAAAAAAAATAATAAATAAATAAATATAATTATTATATTTGAATTAAAGATAATATTTTAATTAGTAATTGAATGATTTAATTTTAGATTTAAAAGTAAACTATATATAGTTGTTTAAACCAATACAAAGGAAGATTTTGAGCAACTTCCAAGAATTTTTAAAACTTATAGAGAATTTATAAATATTGATCTACGTGTATCATTCTTTTGATTTTCCCAATAACACTTAAATTAAGTGGGGTTACAAATTCTATGTCCTTTCTTTTTTGAAAAAAAACCGTATTCTTTTGATTCCCCGCGCCCACTTTTTTATTTTCTATATATTTTTGCAAAGACAACCAACACATAAGAATGATAAGTTTTTCACGTGCAAAAGCTATTCATATGATATCACTCTATTTTTAAATGATTTTGATGAGTCAGAGTCTATATATTAAAATAGAATGCAACAAACAATTAATCAATAAATTACTCCTTCTCCTCGTGTGTAAATTTGTTCTTTTTTCTTTCTTTTGGTTAATGCATACTATTATTTACTGATTATTGATGCGAGAATTTATATGTGTCTATTTTATTTACATGTTACTTTTATATGTTTTTGATTTTGATCTAATATATGTATGTGGTTATTATTATTAATAGTCGCTTGATCTAACGATTTCTATTTGATCTCGAGGTATGGAAGTTGCGACAGTTCTACCGTTAATTTCTATTGTATTGTGTGACTGTGGTTGATCGTTAACTCTTCTAGTTGTGTAAAGGTCATCGACGTTTGTTTCTAAATCGTGAACACTAGGTGCCTTTGATCGAAGTGAATTCATTCTAGCTTGAATCTCCTTTGAGAGTTCATTGTCATTCTCACTGTTATCTATACTATTACCAAAGTTCTCTCTTAATCTATTGAGTCTTTCCTGTACCTCTTCATTAGAAGTCACTCTTCTCGAGTAGTATCTAGATAAAAAAGTTAAACCACCACCTATACATACACATTTATTTAAAAAACAATGATGTACAATCAGTTAATATAATCTTTATTATACATCTCATTCATTCTATCTTACCATTATTTAATGACAGAGTTGCACTTTTGTTTAACAATTTAAAAGAAGATAACATTTTAATTAAAATTAGACAAAAAAAAAAAGAATGTTTGATTTATTTATTCATTTAAATAATTTAATTAATACAATAATTTTTTTTATTTTTTTGTTTTTTTTTTTTTTTCAAATCATCAATATATCTACAAATTGAATCAATCTAACAAATATTTAATTAGATAAAAGTAAATAACATATTTATCTTATAAATATTTAATTAAAAAAAAAAAAAAATTTGTTTTTCTAATATTTAATTTTATTTTTATTTTTAAAAAAAATACAAATTTGAGATCTTTTTTTTATTACACGGCAAACTTTTTATTTGATATTGAATCTATTAAACACATCTTTTTAATCAAAGTTTCACATACACACACACACACAAACACAACTTAATTTTTAGATGTAGAATTATCAATAGTGATTGGTTCAAATTATTAAAATGAGTTAACACAAAAATAGTACCCATTTTTTTAATTTGGTAGATATTGCTTTAAGTTTGGTGTCACTAGTAAATCAACAATGGTGAGCTATTAAGGAAATAATTTAGTTTGGCTTTATTTAAACTCAAATTGGTGTCGAAACTCTCGCTACAATTAAAAATTATTGGCTTTTAATTATTTTCAAGTTACTATTCTCCATCAATCTATGTGCAATCAGCAATCAATCTTACAATGATGATCAGAGGTGATCACTACTTCATACCCACCTTTATCAAATACAAGGTCCAATCGAATTAATTCTATTTAATTAATTTATCTTTTAAACATTAATAACAATTGTTGTTTTTTCAGTGTCTGTTATATCAATTCAAATTTGAGTAAACAATATAGCTATAGATCTTTATTAAATTTAACTTTTTAAAATTTATTTATTTATTTATTAAATTATGATTAATTTATTTTCTTTTTATTTATTTATTTATTTTTTAATTATTGGATGTTGTTGTTTTGATAGTGTTCAGAGTGTTAGTATCGAATTCCAAGGCTATCAAGTGGTGTCAAATGTTAGCACATACTCTGATACCGGATGTCAGGGCTTGACTGCCATTTTTACAACACACGAGAATGTGGCGATCATTCCAGCGGATTTCAGTTGTGATCAATCACCGATAACAGTCACCATTATCGACAGACAATTCACCCAACCACTGATAAGTACATATTCCTATTGGTCCGTTTCATTTGACAACATACCATACAATACAACCCATCTGATATTAATAATGGCCGGTATCAATATTTTCAATCTAACTGTTTATTGTCGTATGTATAACATTTATTTACTATAATCAAATTATTCTTAATTTTAAAAAATAATAATATCTTTTTTTTTTCTTTCTTTCATCTATTGAAGCTGCTCCAATTCCGACATCAGCATCTATGGTTTTAAATGGTATGAAACCATTGAATCAAAAGGATGGAAATGAAATATTCTTTTATATTTCAAGTCTTTTCATTTATCCAATCAAAACTCAGTGTGATATACTTAGTAATGACTGCTACAGCAATTGTACACTGGAGCAATATCATAACGGAAATTTCCTTCTAGCATCTGCAACTGTAAATTACCCTTGTACGAACTTTAACGATCAAATAAGAATACAAATAACCGATTATCATGGTCATATTTTTACTCTAACTGAGAGTGATACACCTTTTAAACGTAAGTTTGTTTTTTATTACTTCTGATTTTTTTAATATTAATCATATGTTACCAAATTATTATCTAAAATCAATTTATATAGAATCTTTAATCATTCAAAATGATTATCTACAATACTATCCATCTAGTTTTGTATTGAATAAATACAATAAATACAACTATTTGTCTGTATTGGCTGATTTCAATGTGACTGATTGCAAATACTTTATCATGGATAACTCTCACGTGAATGTAAATCTATCGAGATTGTTGGTACAAGTCTCTGGTAACAGTACATCAGGAACCTACTACGGTGGACACCGACTGATCAATGATACCGACTACACAGACTTTTCGGTATTTTCGCTTAATCCTGATTTTCAATACAACGGTTCAAAGCTTAAAAATCTTACAATTGGAGGTATGTTCAAGATTCAAAAAACAAGTAAAATAACAGTCATATTTCAAATATTAATTAAAATTTAAACGTAAAAAGATATACCTGCTATTGAACAGTTTTCACCTTCTATTACAAGAAAATTTATCTATCTAAGTTATGATACTCCTACTATCAACTTGATAGAATTTAACTACACTCAGAATTACGACAAGGTGGCCAGCGTCGAGAACTGCTGGATTGATATGCCATTTCCATTTGGTATAAATGGAGGACCATCCACCTATTTATCATCTTTCATAATGTTAAACTCGATTTATAAAGAAGTTTACCAAGGTGCTATTACAATCGGTGGAGTCGTAATCTATAAATACCTTTCTTATCAACCAATTAGTATTCATGGTAAGTATTTAATTATTATTGAAATAAGTTTAAATGAATTAAATTCTAATTTCATAGTTTTTTTAATTATTATTTGTTAAATAGATTCTTCACCTCCAACCATTTTGAGTATGAAAGTTTTACGTACAACAGATAGATCACAGTATCTAAGAATAAGAATTCAAGATGACTATAGTGGTTTCTATAAAATAGTGTTGGGAAGAAATACACTTGGTGATGAAGTATTCTTTAACACTTCAAATTTGGTACTTGGATCACTATTGGATGGTTACTATGAAAAGGAGATTGACATCATTTCTTTTTACAATTTTTCTGTATATGACATGGCTGGAAATGTGGAAACAAAATATAGTTATCCTGGATATTATTATAATAATAATGGTTATTTTGAAATACCAAATCTATCATTTTCATGTAACTATTTACAAATTCTAATATAATTACAATTAACATTTTATTAATTATTCAATTATATTCATATATAGCAACAATGGATTTCTCTTCATTTACCTATTTTGAATTTGATGATCAAGTGGAAACTACCAATACTTCACCTCAGAGATTATTAAGATTCAATCTTACATTTATTGATACCGATTTCCATCCTCAGTTGGTTGTTAGCTGGGAAGGTCAAAAGAGAGTAGGATATGGAAGTTGGAACCCCGATATTCAACTCTATGAAATAGTATTCACACTTGCCAAGAATATGATTAATTCATCATTAGACTATAGATTACACTATAAAAGTGGATATATTGAAGGTATTGCTATTCAATCATTCTTTGATCCAACTTGGAAAACTAAACTATTAGTTAATTCTATAAGTAAGTTTTAAATTTTTTTTATTTTAAAATTGAAATATCCTATTAATGTTAATATTTGTAGATGGTGATTATATCCCACCAATTATAACAAGTATAATATCAACTCTAAGTGGTCAGAGTTGTAGTTTCACGTGGAATATAACTATAGAAGATCAAACTGGATTCGATAATGGTACGATCATTGTTAAAGAGACAACCGGACTCCAAACTTTCAGTTTTGATTTCAATAGAAATACACGAACCAGCTCTGTTATATATGACAATGGAAATCTTTATATTTCAAAATACTCTCTATGTAAAGAAGGAATCAATAACTTTACAATTACAACTATCCGACTGACCGATACCGAAGGAAACACAGGAACCTATGATTCTTTCTACTCCGATAAATACATTGTACCTCTATTAAGTACAAGCTATAATCGATTAATTGGAAACATGACAATCAGATATTTATATTCTTCAAATGCTAATAGTAAGTAAAAGTTAACTTTTATTTTATTTTTATTTTAATATTGTAATTAACTATCCATTTATTTTAGCTACAAACTATATATTTAATCCAACTATTACCAATTTATATTTAAATAGATATTCAATAGATCAATTCTCAAATGATAGAACAGTTAGTATTGAAATCTCATTGGAATCACAATTTCTATTGAATACACCACCTACATTCTATTTACAATCACTCAACCATCCATTGTTGTCATGTGAATCTTATCAAACCCAACAGAATACCTTCAAATGCGATTTAACTATTCCTTTTGGATATGGATTTGAAGTTGCCTATATATCTGTCTATGGTATTACCGATATATTTAAATTCTACAAAGGATTCAATACTATTGATTTGCAGCAGATGAATCTACCTTATAAAGTATTATTATCAAAGAGTAGATGTATGTATTAATTAATTTTAAACAATCTATTATATAGACTAATATTTTTTAAATAATTATTACTTTCATGAATAGTCCCTTCAATTGTAAACTATTCACCATTTACCTCTACAATTGGAGGAAATGTAACATTGACCGGTGTCAACCTCAATCCAATTGAAACAAACCAATCGTTTGTATATGTTCTTTTACCGAGTGGAGTTAATATAACACTTCCTGTTCTATCGAAAGCATCTGACTACATAGTTATATCGATGATTCCAATTTCATCTTCAGTTTCATTGATATATTATGTTGAAGATTTCTATTCAAATAAGATAACTTTAACTCCTTATGACATTCTTAATCCAAGTCAATCGCCAAAACCAACTCCAGGATGTTTAGTCGATAAAGATTGTTCTCTTCATGGCTCTTGTTTAAATGGTACATGTCAATGTGAAAAAGGTTATTACGGAGGTGATTGTTCGAATGGTATGTTTTAAAAGCACATTATTTAATTATCTTGAAAATTATATATTAATCAATATATTTTTAGTTATTGCACCTATTGCTCCGAGTTTCAATGAAACAAGACCATCTGTTATCATTGATTATCAAGGTCATCTTAGCTCAATTCAAATTGAATATCTAAGAGAGATGAGTGCTATCAATGAGGTTATCTCCACCTATAATCTTACCAATGTAAATTGGAGTGTCACCAATGTTTCCAATGAGTTACGTGAAGCCTACCAATATTCCTATAATGTTTCCGAGAGCACCTCTATCTTTGTAGTGTTAGAATGGTTCGTCAATGGCGTCAACTACAGTTTTATCGATGATCTCTATTATATTCCACCACATTCACTCAAATACACAATCACTTTTTCACCGTATCAATTCAAATCGATATTCAATAGTTTGCAACTTGTGATGTCATCGTCGATTCGTGGATCCTCGGATCTCAGTCAGTGTAACTCCAATAGAGGTGGTTCCGGTAGTGGTGAAGACCACTCTGAAAAAGAACTGGATTCTATCAACCTGAGCATCAACGATCAATCGTTGTTTGGAACGTTTATCAGAGTCGGTGATATTGATAAACGAAAACTATCGATCTCCAATACAATAATTAGTAAACAACACGCCAATGATTCGATAGGTTTGGAAATTGGTATAAATATACCCTATTTCTCACAATATGCTGTGTTGGATCCAAATTTCTCATTACTACTAAATACCAATCCAAATACCGATCAATGTAATGGTAATAGTGCTAGCTTTGCTCTCACAAAGATCCAATTGATCGCTGTTATCGTATCGGCATCGCTATTCGCTGCAGTTATTGTCATCATCGTTGTAATAGTAATCATCAAGAAACGTAAACTATATGAATACAATCAAAGACTTCAATATCAAATAGAAAAAGCAGATAAATATATTGAACAATAAAATTCTTAATTATTTTTATAAACTTTTAACAAACTATTCATTTTTGTTATCACACTTAAAGAAAACAAAATAAGTTGGTATGATTTAAAAGATAATCCATTATCATCAAACCATTCAAGTATCGATATAGAATAGGTAGAATGAAGAGTATTCATAGATATGGAAGGAACAAACACCCTTCCTTTTGAACTGGTATCAGCTAAGGGTGGATACCAACTGAGCACATTAGATCGACCTCTATTTGCCTATCAAAGGTGTTCTAATGATTCTAATTGTATAAATTGTAATTCTAGTGAGAAAGTAGTTTATTCATTAAAATTTCCAACTTGTACAAGATTATAATTAATCCAAACAATGAAACTAAAACAAACATTCTATAAAATTATTCCATTACAAAAAAACAAAAAAGAAGTGTGTGTTAAAAAATGAAAAGAATGAAAAGAAGAAATTGAATCATTGTCCATTTTTGAAAAGAATCGAATCAAAACAAAAAATTTGTGGTTTGTCAAACAAAAATTATATTAAACTATAAATATGGATTCTGAATAATCATTTTCAAAAACAACATAAATCAAAATAATCAATTTATTATTAATATTATTCTAAAACAAGTTAAATAAAATGACACAACCAACTTTATATTATTTAGACGCTAGAGCTCGTGCTGAAACCATTCGTTTCATTCTAAAGTTGAAGGGTGTGGCTTTCAATGATGTCAGAGTAAAAGAGATTCCAGCCGACTTGAAAGCTAAAACCAATTTTGGACAGGTTCCATTCTATGAGGATGAGAATATCAGTTTGTCGCAGTCACTCTCTATTGAATCATACCTCGCTGAGATCCATGGCTTGGCTGGAAATACACCAGTAGAACGTGCGTTGATCAGCCAGTATGTTCATGCCACACAAGATGTCTACAATCCCTACTACAGAGCCAACGGGGAGGAGGCCAATCAAAAATTCAAGACAGAGATTGCACCAAAGTTCTTGACTCGCTTCGAACAACACTTGAAGGCAGCTGGCGGTGAACACTTTGTCGGAAACAGACTGACACACGCTGACATCTCTGTGTTTGCACTCCTCGATTATTTCCACCAACAAACACACAACAATCTCCTCGAAGTTCTGGCACCATTCACCCTCTTACAAAAGTTTTACGATAAGATTGCTTCAATCCCATCGATTGCAGAACATATCCAAACTAGACCAAAAACCAGATTATAAAAATTAAATAAACTTAAGATGATATCATCAATTTTGTATAATTAATGAACAACCATAGTAAAAAATAATATTGGGGTCTTTGATTTGCAATGATATAAAAATATCTCCGATAAAAATATAAAAATTAAATATAACTTAAGATGATATCATCAATTTTTAACAATTAAAAAACCAGAGTGAATAAAAAAATACACCAGGATAAAAAAATTAATAAATATCTTGTGTTTTTTTAAAAATAGGAGGGGTATAAAATTTTGGAAAGATCTTGATTTTTTTTTTTTAAAAACTGATATATGTGAAAAAACCATTTAGTTCGAAAAATAGTAAATATCTATTTTTGTTATATCAAACTGGTTCAATTGAAAAGCCGATGAGAAACAATTGTTTTTCAATGAAAATAACCAAATTTAGTAGATACCATCTTGCTTCTTTTCTGATTCCAGAATCCTAGTAAAAACTAAATCCTAACTTCTAAAACACAGATCTATGTAAACCCTGGTTATCTTAGTCAACAATTGACTTTAAGATAATTTTAATATTTTATTAATACAACTATTTAAACATTTTTTTTTGAAATTAGTTATTCACCAATCAATTCTAAACATTCAAATATTAAATATACACAAATTTTTTTTTTAAATGAAATTAATTGCATTCATCTTTTTAGTTGCTTGTGCTACCGCAAGTAGTTTACCATATCAATGTCAAAACTCCAATGGATACACTACCAATTTCGAAGTATCTTCCTTCAACTGTTTAGATCCAAATTCGAACTCTCCACCATTATCATTCTTTGAAGGTATAAATTTTTAAATATTTAAATATAGAATTTAAATTAATTTTAATATTATAAAATACACTAGCTGGAAATACTACTATAGATTTTGTTGGACAACGTAGTTTCCTCTCCTATTTTATTGTATTTGAAGGTCAAGAACCAAGTTCTGGTTCGGTTTGGGAGTTTGGTCAGACTGGTGAGGGATATATCTTGGATAATGGAGTTTGTTTCAAAACATCATTAAACTATCCAATTCCCTCTGCACTTCCATTGGGTGATGTAGTAGGTACCACCAAGATTGGACAATTCCAAGTTCAAATCTTCAATCCTTCCAAAGTTTCAAACAATACCGATCAAGCCTATCTCTATGATCCAAAGACCTGCTCCCTTGTTTCATCCACCTTAAGTAATTCCGATCTAACCAACCCAGGATATATGGTTTTGAATTTCTACGACTTTGATAACAGTTTCACCGAGTCATGGTTTGATTTACCATCTGAGTGCTCCTCAGAATCTGTAGTCTCTCTTCCCAATTTCAAAGCTCCCAAACACCTCAATATGTTAAAAAAATTCTTTTAAACCAATAGAATTTTAATTTTATAAATTGAAACTAATAAATTAATATAGTAGAACCTATCACTCCCCAATTATTTTTGTAGTTTTTTTATTCATATTTTTTTGTTTTAAAAAAAACTATTATAAACACTTTAAAAATTAAAAAAACATAGTGTATGGTACTATTAAATAGTTGATTGAAGATTTTTGAAAACCAAGACTACAAATGAACAATAAAATTACAACATATAGATGGTTGTATTGATGCTACAGCTTGAATACCTTTTAAAAGACACCTCACTCGTTGATCAAATCCTATATCAATTAAGATGAATGATAATGAATATTATTGGGTTCTTTGGTTTGCTATCTCCGATAAAATTTTAAAAATTAAACAAAACTTAAGATGATATCATCATTTTTAACAATAAAAACAACCAGAGTGATTAAAAAATAAACCAGGATAAAAAATTATCCAATCTTTTTGTTTGCAAAATAAAAATATTTTGTGTAAAAATTATTTAAAGATCTTGATTTTTTTCATTTACAAAAACCGATGATGTGTAAAAAACCGCTGAGTTCAAAAAAAAAGTAAATATCTTTTTGATTGTCAAACAGGCTAAAAATTGAAAAAGAAGTCATAGAATGCAGTGAGATTCATTGAATATAACCAATTATAGTCTATATCACTTTGTTTCTTTTTTTTTTGACACCCGAATCCTGGTAGAACTAAACCCCAGATCCTAAAAGTCACACAACACAAACCCTGGTTAGATTATTAGTCAACTATTGACTTATTAAAATACAATAACTCTTAAAATAACTATTTAAACAAAGTTTAGAGATCAGTTATTCATCAATCTATTCTAAACATTCAAATATTAAATATATATAAATAATTTGTTATATCACTAGCAAAAATGAAATTCTTAATTGCATTAATCTTTTTAGTTACCTGTGCTTCAGCAAGACGTATGCCATATCATTGTTCAAACACCAATGGATACACCTCCAATTTCGAAGCAACTGCTTTCAACACTTTAGATCCAAATTCAAACTATCCACCAATGTCATTCTTTGAAGGTATGAATTAATCACAGTGTTAAAATATATAAATTTAGAAAAAAAAAGTTAATTTTAATAATATTGTCTATAACAATTTTTAGCTGGAAATACTACAACCGATTTTGTTGGACAAAGAACTTTCACCACCTATGTTCTTGTAGTGGAAGGTCAAGAACCAAGTTTTGGTTCTATCTGGGAGTTTGGTCAAACTAATGAAGGATATATCTTGGATAATGGTGTTTGTGTCAAAGTGTCATTGGACTATCCAGTTCCCTCTGCACTCCCATTGGGTGACTTAATTGGTACCACCAAGATTGGACAATTCCCAGTTCAAATATTCAATGCTGCATTAGTTTCATACAATACCAACCAAACCTACCTCTACGATCCATTGAGTTGTTCTCTTGTATCATCGACAATAAGAAATTCCGATCTAACCAACCCAGGATTTACAGTTATGAACTTCTACAACTTTGAAAACAGTTTCACCGAGTCATGGTTTGATTTACCATCAGAATGCTCTTCACAATCTGTAATCTCCCTTCCAAATTTCGTAGCTCCAAAACATACCAATATTTTAAAAAAATTCTTTTAAACCATTAGAATTTTAATTTTATAAATTGAAACTAATAAATTAATATAGTATAATTTATCACTCCCCCCAATTATTATTGTAGTATCTTAATTTTGTTTTTTAACTCTATTTAAATAGATAAAAATATTTATTTTTTTTTGTCTTGATAATAAAATAACTTTATATCGATTTATTATGGCGAATGGATATGTTGAATATTTTATTGGGACCTTTGAATAATTTAAAATTAACAACATATTTCCGATACGATTTTATTTGAATTGTTTGCAGAAAAGATTAAGCTGCGAAAATGTGGGTGGACTTTTTAATTTTTTTTGATGTTCAAGAAGCACAGAATTATTTATATTTGTAATAAATAAATAAAAAAAAAGATACTCTACTCTCAATGAATAAGATTGTAAAATTACATTGTGTGGCACAGCAATACTCTTGGGGAAACTATGGTCTCAATAGTACTGTGGCACAGTTGCTCTCTGCAGATAGCTGTGTGAAGATCGATGAGAGTGCACCATATGCAGAGTTGTGGATGGGTGCACATCCATCTGCACCGTCGGTCGTAGAGACTGATGATCACAAACGACTTACACTACAACAATACCTCGAGGCAAACGGCATCGAATCGCTACTGGGTAAACAAGTGGTAGATAGATTCGGAGCGGTATTTCCATTCCTCTTCAAGGTACTCTCTATAAGAACTGCACTTTCAATTCAATCACATCCAGACTCTGACTTGGCAAAGAAGTTATTTGAGAAGTTTCCTGATATCTACAAGTAAGTTTTAAATTACTTTACTTTTTTTTTTATTTTATTTTTTTTTTTGAACATGTTTGTTTACATTTTGCTAATCAAATATAATATAACTTTACAAAAGAGATCCATATCATAAACCAGAGATTGCAATTGCTTTAACACCTTTTAAAGCATTATGTGGATTCAGACCATTGAATGATATCATTCAGTTCATCAATGATGTACCAGAACTAAAGGCATCTATACATGCATCTATTGAATCTGATAAACGTATGTAATCACCTCAAACATTGATAATAGTTCGTGTGGTTGTTAACTAACAATAACTAAATAAATATTTATTTAGTTGATCATTCAAATTGTTCATTATATTTAAATAATGTTGTTGTTGCATTACTTAAAACCAATGCAACTGTCATTAAAGAGAATCTTGCCACTCTTGTAAATAGAATCAGTGCACAGTCTACAAAGAATGATTTAGATCAATTGGTTTTGGTGCTACACGAACAGTATCCAGGTGATGTAGGTGTATTCTTTGCTTATCTTTTGAATTATATCCAGATGGCACCGGGTCAAGCTTTGTTCTTGCCAGCTGGTGAGCCACATGCTTATGTTGCCGGAGACTGTGTAGAGTGCATGGCACCCTCTGACAATGTAGTGAGAGCAGGTCTGACCCCGAAGCTCAAGGATGTCGATACACTCGCCCACATGCTAACCTATAACACCGGTGAACCACCACTTGTCAAACCAATCTGTGAGTCTGACAATCACGCTCTTTTCCGTCCACCCGTCGACGAATTCGAAGTAGAGAGCTACCATATCTCTGAAGGCGCCGAACAATCGATTAAATCAAGAAGAGGACCTGCTATTGTATTAGTATTAGATGGTAACATCCAGATCAGCTCCTCTTTGCAACCTCAAAACAACTTTGATAAACTAATCAAAGGAACTGTATTATTTGTACCAATTGACACACCATTCACCGTTAAAACAATAGATAGTAAATCATCTACACTCTACATTGCAAGAGTTAGTGAAAGATTATTTAAATAACCAATAACTAATAAATATATTGATTTTTAATTGATATTATAATAACTTTATTATTAAACTAAATAAAAAAAAATGATCTTTTTTTTAATGTTTTTATGTTTAATAACTTCTTCCGTATAAAGTCCATTTCTTGGCGGATCTTTCACAGGCAAAACAACGAGTTTCGTTGGTGATGGCTGGGACATCACGGAGCTCTTCGACTTTGAGTGGAATACAGAGTGACTTGGCAGCACCGGTCAAACAGAAACCTTTTTCGGCTTCTTCCTTTTGCTTCAAGGATTCCTCGTTGGAACGCTTCTTGATGGCCTCCTCACAGTCTGGGACATCACACCATGGTACCAAACAAATGTGACGCTTGTCCAACGATGGGATGAAATCAGACCATTGGGTGACGATACTGATCGATTCATTACGTTGCTTGGTGGCACGCTCCAACATTGAGACTTGGATGTTATCCAAAGTCGACTTGGCGGTGGTGATGAGATCGGCGTTGGCAACAGACTCCTTGACACCGTTGTCACGACGACAGAACATGACTACATCCTTCTCTAAATCCTTTGGACCGACTTCAACACGAATTGGGACACCCTTGAGTTCCCAGTGAATATATTTCTGACGTGGGTTGTAGTTGGTACGGTTGTCGAGGTGAGCACGAATACCGGCTTCCTTGAGACGTTGTACGACTTCGTCGGCCTTCTTATCGAGAATGGCAGAGTCAAAGTCCTTAAAGTACAATGGGACGACTACGACTTGAATTGGAGCGATTCTTGGTGGGAGAACCAAACCCTTGTCATCACCGTGAACCATGATCATGACACCGATGGTTCTGGTGGTGAGACCCCACGAGTTTTGCCAAGCCAATGCCTTGGCGTTGTTTTCGTCTTCAAACTCAATACCAAACATCTTTGAGAAGTTCTGACCCAAACAATGAGAGGTGGCAGCCTGAATGGCACGACCATTGGTTGGAATGAAACCCTCGATGGTGCTGGTGTACAAACCACCGGCAAACTTCTCCTTCTCTGACTTGAGACCCTCGACGACTGGAACGGCCAACAACTCTTCGTAGACACGCTTGTAGAGACGCAAGATTTGGAGTACTTCTTTGTCAGCCTCTTCCTTGGTGGCGAAAGCGGTGTGACCCTCTTGCCAGAGGAACTCACGCGATCTCAAGAATGGAACTGGACGCTTGAACTCCCAACGCACAACATTGACCCATTGGTTCAACTTCAATGGGAGATCACGATGTGAACGAATCCAGTTCTTGTAAGCTGGATACATGATAGTCTCAGAGGTTGGACGAATAGCGATTGGCTCGGACAAGTTGGACTTTCCAGACTTGGTGACCCAAGCGACTTCTGGAGCGAAACCTTCGATGTGATCCTCCTCAGTGTTGAGTGCCTTCTCAGAGACCAACAATGGGAAGTAGGCGTTTTGGACACCGAGCTTCTTGATCTCACCGTCAAAGAACGATTGAATCTGTTCCCAAATGCTGTATGACCATGGACGCAAGATGTAGCAACCAGAGATATCGTAGTAGTCGATCATCTCTGAACGTGTGATGACATTGGTGTACCACTCTGAGAAATCTTCCTCCTTACCGACACCGGCTGTATTCAATTTATCTCTGGCTTCCTTTGTCTTTGCTTGATCCTTGACCTCCTTCTCCTTCTTCTCCTTTGGCACCTTTGGTGCCTTCTCTCTCTTTTCCTTTGGAACTTGTTGTTGTGTTGTTGTTGTTGTTGGTTGTTGTGATTCAGACATTCTTACACGATATTAATAAAAAATTATTATTATAAATAAATAAATAAAAATAAATATTACTAATTGTCGATAATTTAAAAAAATGATTTAGCTAAATTTTTTGGCTTTTATGTTTAAAAAAAAAAAATTTGTAATCAAAAGGTTTTTTTATATTTTTTTTTATTGAAAAAAATTGTGTTATTTCAAAGAGTTGATTGAACTTTGACTTTTAATAATTAACAAGTGAATTGCAATGGTTGATTGATTTTAAATATTGATGTTCTTTCTATTTTTGTGTGTGAAAAACAATATTTATTATTATTTTAGATAATTTACATATATTTTTGAAACATGTTTCAAATTAACACACATTTAAATGCTGTGAGATTGATTGGTCTTACAGTCGACTTGTTTATTTTTGATAAATTTTTAAGATATTTTTTTAATTAATTTTATCCGATTTTTTATTTTAAATAAAATAGTATAAGGTTAGATGGACTGGTAAGATGATTGAAAATGATCTATTGTCATTACCATATATGTAGATAAGTAAACAACCCAATATTCTGATACAATAAACATAAACAATACAATAAATAAATAACAGAGATCATAGATATGAAATCAAGGTTAAATGTTTAACAAATAAGTATTAAGATATACAATTTTTTTGTTTATTTTATTTTGTTATTTTTTTTTTAAAATGATAATTCTATTCTTGTCGGTAATGTCTGATTGAACTGTAGCAATAACAACATTACAAATTTGAAACAAAAGCAACAACATTTGTTGGTTAAGTTAGTTAGTGAGTGGTGGAGACAGTGGTGAGAGAGAAAGGTAGTGGAGTACACATATAATAGAATATTGTGATTTTAAAAGTGACATTGAATTTGGTTGGTTTGTTTGTTTGTTTGTTTTTGAGTGTTGGTTAAGATGATCATGGTTCTGCTGTTGTTGTGGTTGTGGTGGTTGTTGATGCTGCTGCTGGTGTAGTGGTTGTGGAGGGAGAGGTAGAGGTGGTCGATGATGCTGCTGCTGCTGCTGCTGCTGAAGTCTTGGTATTTGTTGATTTCGATGATTTTGAGGTCTTTTGTTTTTTGAGAGCGGCTTTCTTTGCTAGTTTCTCCTTCTTGCTGAGCGGTCTCTCTCCGGTCTCTAAAAAGTCGGCAATAACCTTGGTCAACTGTGATTTCTTGTAGGAAGAGTATGTGATGTCGTTCATTTTACAAAATTCTTGGAGTGGCTCCAAGTTAAAAAAGTCATGTAGCTGATCTTTGGTGACACCCTTTACGATCTTGCTGACTGGTGGCGATATATATTTACCGTCTTTATCTCTGTATCCACCGAATGAATTTAGCTTTCCAGAGGCGCCGCTGCCATTGGAGCTTGATTGCTCGTCTTCGTCGTCGTCCTCCTCGTCTGTCTCATCTTCTTCCTTTGCTTTTCTCTTATTGCTAGTGGCTGCTGGTTTTGCCTTTGCCTTGCTATTTGTAGTGCTGGTGGTAGTAGTAGTGGTGGAACCATTGGATGTTGCTTCATCTTCGTATTTAGTAACTGGTTTTCTTGCTCTCTTTCCACTTACTTCAGTGGACTCTGTAGTTGCTGCTGCTGCTGGTGCTGTTGTCTTTCCATTTGATTTTGATGCTGCTGCTGCTGGTGGCTTTGACTTTGCTTTGGCGGGTGGCTTGGATTTTGCGGTGGCGGGTGCTGGTGCCTCCTCTTCAGACTCTTCAACCTCCGATTCGACAGCAGCGGCGGGCTTGGCAGCTGCCGGCTTCTTGTTTGGTGCCTTCTTTGGTGCCGCTGGCTTCTTGGCGCCGGCAGACTTCTTGGCTGGCTTCTCTTTGGCGGCTGGCTTCTTGGATGGCGCAGGAGCAGCTTCCTCTTCCTCCTGGGCGTCTTCGTCATTGACCAAGTCAGACTCGAGATCAAACATTGACTTCATCACCTCCTCTGCATTCTTTGAGTCGTCGTTCTCGATATAATTCATCTTCAAGTCTTTGCAGTACGACTTGAGCACTTCGGAGCCACCCTCGCACATCTTTATCAGCAGCTTGTTGACACCCTGAAGGAAGCACTCCTCCTCGATCTTTCCAATCATCTCTTGGCGTGGCAAGTCTTGCTCGGAGGTCTCTTGGAGTGAGAGCAACTTGAACACTTGCGTCAGATCTTCTTGACTGAGTTTCTCGAGCGAGTTGTAGAGACCGTTGATCTCGAGCTTCTTCAAGACGTCGGCTTTGGGACATCCGAATCCAGATGCAAAGATCTCTGTGAACTTCTCCATGTCCTCCATGAATGAGTAGGTCTGAGTGCAGATCACTGACTTGACCATTGAAGTCAGCTCTGGTTGCTCAGCAGACAAGATGATCGCTTCATCCTTTGGATTGAAATGTTTCAAAGTTTGTTGCAATGAGCCAACACTTAGCTTACTGAATGACTTTAATATATTTGCTAGTTGAGTTGACATTTAACACAATATTATTATTATTACTATTATTATTATTCTTTAGTTTAGATTGTTGAGTGTGTTATCCTTTCTTTTCTATCTTTTGCAAACAAAAAAAAATGATAAAGATTCTCTGCTAACAATTTTGTGTACTGGTAATCTTATCTTGCTTGTACTGTACTGTTATCTTGTCAAACTGTAAAAATTAAAGAATGATGAAAGCTGAAATAACAGTGTTTATTTTTATTTGTTTCCGTTGGTGTTTGGTTGTTTTTTTTTTTTTTTTTAATTTGTTCAAATTAATTAATTAAAAAAAAAAAATCCAAAAAACTAACTGTTAAAAATTAATGTTTAAATAAATTTGAAAATAGTTTGTTGTTGGAGGAATAAAAAAATTTGAATAATTGAACTGTGAGCGTTGATCTTCATACCCACAGTTTTTCAATTTTTGATTACAAAATAAAAATTAAAAAAAAAACAATTTTTCAAATTCAAAAAAAGATTTAACAGATTGGCGCCAAACATTTCAGATTTTGCACTTACCAAAAGATTAACGGTTGGATAATTTAATGATTTTGAATTTTATAGTTTAATTTTATTTAAATATTTCCTTTTTTAAAAGTTGTAATAAAATAAATATTATTTCGAGGAATTGAATTTTTTTTTTTTGATAATAATCAATTTATTTAATAATGAATGTAATGTTTGATATTTGGTTTGTTTTTTTGTTTGTTTGTTGTTTTTATTTAAAATAATAATGTAATGATTGATAATAATAATACAATCGTAATTGATAAATCTAAAATGTTTTGAAAATAATATTAAAAAAAAAAAAAAAAAGTATTGGTTTTTGTTAACAAATTAGTTAGATTATTGATTTGATAGATGTTTGTTTGTTTGTAAAGGTTTAAATAAAAGTTTACTTACATTGTGAGGAAATGACTGGTTTGAGGATGTTGCCCGAAGAATAGGAATCGGTATGACCAGAGTAACGAATTGCGATGATTGTACCGGTGGGATCATCACTCGATATCAAGAGACACTCTGTGATGTTGATACCACAGGGTGCAAGACGTACAACCGACACTGGACGGAATGCCCATTGATCTCCCTTTACACCTGGAATACCACCAAACAACTTGGTCATCGTTGCATTAACAGGGTTGTAGTTGCTATCGGTTTGAATGTGTACCACTTGATATCCTGAGGATGGAACACGATTCCACGATCCGTGTTGAGTGACAAACATACCCTTATCATAGGGTGGTTGGAATGTAGTTGAATTCCAAAATAGCAAATCCAATGGTGCAGTATGAGCAGGCATACAAAACTTTGGACGAACTACATTTGATTGATTGAAACACCAATCATCACTGTTTAGATATTTTTCAAAACAAACAAACAAGTAGATTATTAGCAACAACATATAATATTAATAATCATCAATTACTTATTCTACATACTCTGATTTAAGTACACCAAAGTTTGCACCAACACCCTTTGATACATTGGGTGGAAGATATCCTTCACTCCAACATCTTGGATATCCATAGAACTTGAAAAATATGTATGTATTAGAAATAAATATTGAAGTTGATTGATTGATTGATATAAAACAATACTTACAGAACCTCTAGATTCTAAAAGATTGATCTCTTCACATGGATTGTTGATGTGTGCATCGGCTACCAAGTCAGGTCTGCTCAGTTCATCCATTCCATTTTCGACACCCCACAATCTACCGGTTGGATCGAATCGCAAACCGACTTCATTTCTGCAACCGTCGGCCTGAACTACACAGTTGGTAAAGTTAATCGGTAGAGTCAAACCGGTGGCGTCACAATAGTAGACTCTGGCACGCGATGAATTCGGATCCACATTCGATCCACTGCCGATGCTAATGTAGAACTTTAGTTCATCGATCATTGCGAGTGTTCTGGTGACATGACCATCCGATGGCATGTTATTCAAAACCACCTCGGGTGTACCTAGATCCGTTCTGTTTCCCGGTGTGTATCGCCAACGATAGGCAGTCGATGGACTGGTAGCATAGAGATATTTACCAGTTACTGTTACTGCATGATTCAATCCTGGTGCAGTTGCTATATTTAATCAAGTTATATTAGTTATTTTTCAAAAAATAATAATAATATTATTAATAGTTTAAAATTACCTAAAGTTGCACTCTCATTACTATCGATAACACCATTTTGATTGAGATCATACATGACAGTGATAATGCCATTGGTTGAAACTAAAACATCACCATTGCTAGCAACATAGAGTTGTCTTGGTTTCGACAATCCCGTCTTGTATTCCCAGACACAATAACCATCTTGAATGAAATATTTACTGTTTGCAACTTGATATGCACATTGTGGTTGTGCACTTGAATATCCAATAATTACCACAATAGCTAAATAGATAGATAGATAGATAATAATATTTATTTAGAACAATCTAACTCATTATAATAATAACTTTTTTTTGTTTTATTAGTTTTTTCTAACATACATAATAAAATAAATGATTTAAGATGATTCATTTTACTATCTATCTATCTATATCTATTTCTTTCTTTATAGAGATAATGCAAACTAACTAATTTAAAGAATCAAAACGAAATAATATTAACTATGATTTGATCATTTTGGTTTTAAACAATCTTTTCAGATAAAACAAGACCACTAATATTGCTTTAAATAATTGGCACTTTTTTGGGGTGAATTTGATGTGTGGGGGTTATAAAAATAATCTAGATCTCTTAATGGTTTTTTTTGAGCTATTTTCATTGGAATTGTATTCCTTTGCTAATTCCATTGAAATATCTTTACCGATAGTTGGTGTTGTCATTTAAATTTGTGTGAAAAAGAAAAGAAAATAAATTAAAAAAAAGAAAAAAAGAAAATGTTTAATGAACATTAAATTAATACAAAAGAATTGAAAAAGAAATAGTTAAAACAATCAATATGTTGGTCTAGTATTTGATGTAACTGATAGAAAAAAGAATAATAATAAAAGTAATAGTTATTTGAGTTATTGGTAAATTTTCAGTTAAAATTGTATAAGAATGAATAAATTTTAATACTTAATTCCAGTGGTTGTATTTGTTGCTGATTTTCCAGTGGAAGGTGTTGGTGTAGTGCTGTTGTTGTTGTTGTTGTTGGTTCTTGGTTGATAGCGAATTGCAATGATTGTACAGGATGCGTCACTCGATACCAAGAGACACTCTGTGTTGCTGTTACCACAGGTGCGAGACGTGCAACCGACACTGGACGGAATGCACATTTATCACCTTGAGGAGTAGGTACGCCACCAAAGAATTTGGTAATCGTTGCATTCACAGGATTGTAGTTGCTATCGGTTTGAATGTGTACCACTTGATATCCAGTGGTCGGGACACGATCCCACGATCCGTGTTGAGTGACAAACATACCCTTATCATAGGGTGGTTGGAAAGTCGTTGAAATAAATCGATACCATGATTTAATCCAGGTGCGGTTGCTATATATTAATACATCATTAATAAGATTCTGAATTTTGATTTAGCTATTGTTATAGTATTATTATAATTATTACCTAATTTTGAACGTTTTCATCGGGATCAATTACTCCATTCGTATTGGTATCATATAGAGCAGTTATGGTACCGTTTGTAGATACTAAAACATCACCATTGCTAGCAATATATAGATGTCTTGGAAAGTTCAAATCAGATTTGTATACCCATACACAAAAATCCTCTTGTATGAAATATTCTGTTTGTGACAAACCAAATAAAAATGAAGAAACTAAAAAATTAAACAATAATCTATTATTATTATTATCATTTAAGCTTTAGATCAATATGCCTACCTATTAATATTATTTTAATTGTATTCATTGTCTAAAAAAGAATTTGTTAACAAACTTTAGATTGTATACATTGATTGAAAGGAAATAAACAGCTAATGTTTAAAAAGCTATTTTTATTATCATTAGGCCTAATACCAATAACATGATATTATAATGGTGGTGGTGGTTAAATAATCAATCATATGATTATTATAGTGAATTCATAGTATTATAACACACACAAGTGTTATAACGTGTTACCAACAGTCAAATTTGTATGCCAAAGTTTGCTAAAAGATGAACATCGTATTGTATTAATAATAATAATAATAATAATAGTGAGTGGTGATCCTATATTGGATCGAATATAGATAGAATATATATTATTTTACAATATATATACTAAAATAGTCTTTAATAAATTAATTAAAAGTCATTATTCTTTTGTTCTCTGTTTTGTTTGTTTGTTAACTTGATATATATTATATCATTACTATTTATACTATTATTTGATAATTATTATTATTATTTTATATTATTTTTGTTATAATACTATAGATGATTATGATTTACTGGTTGTTCCTTTTTCTCTTCTTTTATTGTTGGTGGTGGTGGTTGTTGTTGTTGTTGTTGTTGATCGGACTTACCACCACTACTGTCAATGGAAACTAAATAATTTCTTATAAACTCATAAGATGTAAATGTAATTGCACAGGCAGGTGTCACTCTTATCAAATTGACACCCATACCCTTATATAATCCTCGGAAACCTTCTTCATTGATGATCTGTTTGAAATTCGCCAGTAGACCGCCTTTTAGTTTGAATGGTGAATGTGGTGAATTATCTTGTAAACGTGATCTAAGTACTTCGTGTGGATACGCCACTATACTAGCAACAATCTTACTTGCAGACGATGCCAAAACAATATCAAACATTTGTAATTCTTTTTGTTTCTTTTCTGTACAGATAGATATATATATTTTAAAGAGAAGAATAAGTAAAGTAAGTAAACAAAACAAACATAATATTATTTACTTATTATTATTATTATTACCTTTCATTATCATTTTTAACTTCTCGTAAAGTGGTAATTGTACACCGACATGTATTAGACCTAACAAGCTTGGACCTAAACCTTTATATAAACCAGCAACACCCTCCTCCTTTATAATCGATACAAAACTTTGAGCTATACCAGTATATCTCCTTTCTCTTCCACTCATTTCTTGTGTCTAAAATAAAATAACATAGGTGATAATATGTCATTTTCAATTGTTAGTTTGAATTTTAAGTTGTTGAGATGAAATTAGATGATGATGATGATTATGATGATTATGATAGATAGACAATAGTATAAATCATATGTGTGATAGTTACAATTAATCTAGTTTTTATTACCCATATTGGGTTGGTTATGGTTGATGTCGTAGCACCGGCACCCATTGCAGCGATCATGTGTAGTCCGGACGATGTCGATGGATCGGTGTGTAGGAGTTGTCCAAGTTTCGATTTGAAGTAGGAGTACGATGAGAAGTAGATTGCCCAAGAAGGTACCAGACCAACGAGTGTCGGTTTCAGTCCTACGAACAAACCACGCACACCTTTTTTATCGACCATCTCTGTAAAGGTACGCCACACCGTTATACCATCGCCTTTTCTTCGTACCTGTATAGTTGTTTTCAGTACATCGAGAGGTGTCGTCACCAACGATGCCGCTGCACCAGCACCACATCCAGCTGCCATCTCAATCAACTTTGGATGATATACATGTCTACTACTACTAGTTGTTGCTGTATTTGTTGCTATAGGTGGTGGTGGTGATGGTGTATTTTGTTTATTCATTTATTTACAATATAAATAATATAATAATAAATCTAATAAATTTGTTAAATTAAATATTAATGTAACACAACAAATTGCATTGTCAATTTTTTTTGAAAACGACAAAAAAATATGATATTTTTTTTTTCACAATCGTCATTATGATCTACCTACCCCAGTTACTTTTAGATTTTTGAGTTCTGTTTACTGCTCACTTCGGAATCATAGAAAATACACCCTTTAAAATTACTTTATCAAAATTTCATTATATATTTGATAAATTTATTTTATTCATTATTTACCTCAAAAAAAATCAATCACTGTGCTTTTTACAAATAACATTTTATTAATTTTCTTTCAACAAACTAAAAATTGTGTGTTGATTTTTTGCATTTCTGTCATTGATTAAACTGTACCACTTAAGGAATATGATACTAAGCCACACACATCCTGGTTCTGCAAAACAAGATTTTCTACTGCCAAAACGCGCACAATGACGGTCACCTAAAAAATATCAATGTTAGTTTGTAATATATTTATTAAAGTATTTGGCACGGCTTTTGTGCATTTTGCAAAAATAATGCGAGAATACAAAAAAAGCTGTGCAAAAAAAAACCCAACCTATAAAATGAAAAAACACTGTTTAAATAAATGATCTAAGATCACTACTAATAATAGCGAGAAGGTACTAGATCAACAAGAAAGAAAATGAGAGCATATTAAAAATAATGAAGTTTGTTATTTTCATTTTATGCCTCCCAAAAAATGAAAAAATTTTACATAGCTTATGTGCATTTTGCAAAAATAATGCAGGAGCTCTATCCTATAAAAACATATAAAACAATCACAAATTATATTCAATAATCAACACAACTTCCTAAATCAGAATAATTTAATAAATGATAATCAAAAATTTGTAACTTAGTCTTGTTAAAATGAATTAACTTCAACACTTAAATTTTGTTTTTGTTTTTAAAATTTTGTTAAAAGTGTTTACTTATAATTGGTAGTAATTTTTAGTTTGTGTTGTTGACTTTCATATCAAAAATTAAAACTGTTAAATTTTTTTAAGGAGGAAGCTAAATTTTATTCATAGGATCGATAAATTCTTCACACAGTGGTTATTAAGGGTTTGTTTAAGCACTTCATTTTTTAAAGAATAGAGTTAACACTTTAAATACATCCAATGGCAATTTAAATTTTTATTATTTTTTCAACTAACAAAAAATAACCAATCCTCTACCACTTTCAACTTAATGATAAAATATTAGTTTTTCTATAATCAGGAGCTCCTTTAAAGAATAACCTTTCTTTATACTATTATAAAAAATATTTTATTACTTCAGAAATATTGCACAAATTAATTTTATCTTTTATTTTTTTTATTTTTTTTTAATATTTCTTACTTTCTATAGAACAAATAAATGTATATCTGTGAGATACTATTGATCCCTCTGTCCTGCTTCTCAGATTTTTGCTGTAAAAAAAGTATTTAAATTCGTTGAGTCTTCGCTTGGTCGACCCTAAAAGATACCTCTATGGATTCTACAAAATTTATGTAAAATTACAAGTTGTATTATATTTTTATTTATGTTTTGTTTTGTTTATTTTGGTTGCATTGATCTTAATACAGCTGGTTGATCAGCACCTCCAAACCATGAGGAAGCGGTTCCAGTTGGTTGTTGATCCCAGGTGTCGGGGAAGAGATCGTCGTGGAAAAATTGATTGTTTTGACGTTGTACTTCGAAACGGATTGGGATGACCTGACCGTTTGGACAGAGCTTGACGACACGTGCAATCTCACACTTCATGACATCGCAAACACTCTTTGGCAACAGTGCCATACCGGATGATGGTTGTGTGTGTTTCATCTCGCTCAACATGACACACGGTTTCTCGTTGGCTGCCAACACCTCGAACACCTTAATACCACTGTCACCCTTGCCACCCAAAAATACCAAATTGGTATCGACATCATAGAATGGCATTGGTGATGCTGGATTAATATCCAAAGTCAGCGATTGTACTTTCTTACTCATATTCTTAATATCCCAAATTGCAATTTCTCTATCCATTGTTTTGTTAACTAAATAAAATTTAGTTTGGAAATATTAGTTCTTAAATAATTATTTCTTCTTGAATACTTTTATAGACTTACATCCAATGGTAAAGATTAGATCTTGTTTTCCAGCCCAAACTGCACGTCCACCTTTGGTACCTTGATGATCGGCAACCTCAGAAACAACAGAGTTTCCACGAACATCGAAAATACGCAGATTTTTATCTTTACAGGAGGTTGCCATTAAACTTCCGGTGTAATCCCATGTCTGTGAGGTGACCATTCCTTTGTGGACGGATGGCAATGTCAACATTGACATTTGATTCTCGATGTCCCAAAGACGGATCTCATCTACGCTTGTTGTGTAACATACACCGCTAGCAAGTGGGTGGAATCCACAGGAAATCAAACGTTTGGCATTGCCTACGAGTTGTGCAGTCGGGGTTGAGGTGGAAGCTTCAAGTCCACCCTCTGGAATGGTCCAGAGACGAGCAACCGTATCTTGACAGGCTGTCAGTAGTTGGTTTTGTCCACCGAACGGTGAGAATGCAATCTCATTGACTTGGTCATCGTGTTGAATCAGTGGAGTGTCCTCAGAGATCGTTCCCTTTTGTTGAAGCGAGACCACTGCAACCGTTCCAGAGACCTTACATGGAAATGCCAAGAAATTGGCATTGGCTTGCAAAACATTGGAATCCTGTGAACAACTTCCAGCTACACAACCGTGAATTGTTTCTGTTGCCTGTGCTGCTGTTCCATATGTATGCTTTTTATTTTTATTGTTATGTTAATAACAACAACATTTTATATTTTTCAAACAAACAAATAACAAATGTTATTGAAACTCACCTTATATTTACTAACATAGACTTTTGATGCCATTTTTTTGTTATTATCTACTATTTATTTAGTTTGATGTTGACGAATGCCTAACTGATATGGATCAAAATTGTTGTAACTCCTCAACACACATTTTTTGTTTTTTTTTTAAAATATCAAAGATTTTTTTTAAATTAAATTTGATTTTAAATTTTTGCACAAATTTAATTAACAGAAAAGTTTTTGATTAAAAGAAAAGTGCACTTCTCATTTGCAAAGATTGTAAATAAATTAGATCTATTTATACATAGTCCTTTATTTAATATTATTATTCTATTAAAATTAATTATTTTTTTTTTAAAAAATGATCAAAATATTATGATCTAACTATTCGATCTGTGATACCACAAAATTTGAAGAATTTAATTTGAAAGCAAATTAATTTAAATTTTTTTGTTTTTTATAAATTGATTGCGATGTTTTGTTTTAATTAAAAAAGTTATTATTTTAAAGTTGTCAAAATATTTTTAAAAGAAAGAAATAAATAAATAAATAAATTGTATATATATAAAATTAGTAGAAAAACAAAAAAGTAAGAGATAAGGGTAGATAAAAGTTTGGTTGAAATTTCTAGAATCTTAAGCTAAACAACATCAAACTTTTGAATTTATAAAGAGAGAGAGAGAAAACAAAACAAAATGATAAATAACAACTCTGCAGATAGAATATCAAGTTTGAAACAACATTGTTTCAACTTTTTGTTGAGACACCGTGAGAATATACCAAAGAATGTAAATACAATCTATGAGATACCAGAGATCAGAGAGCAATTCGTTACACTTGCAAAACGTAAGAATCTGGTGGACGATCAATTCTTCTCAGTGTTTGGCGATGTCTTTATATTGACCGGTGCAAATTCGAATACAACCACTCCATTCCTATTGAATCCACAGTTTCATACTGCATCTGCAACTCAACAACAACAGCAACAACAACATAATATAACCTATCAAAATACTAGTAATAATAATAACAATGATGGTGATGTTGAAATGACACCACCATCAAATGATTATCCAATAATATCATCAAATAGCAACAACATCAATCAATCAAATGTAAATATAAATAACTCAATCTATGAGATTGATTTAACTGGTCTAGGAAGAATTACAGATATCTCAATACAATTCATAACAAAGTATAATAATCTACAACATTTGAATCTCTCGTTTTGCACGGGAATCAGTAATGACTTTATAAAGATATTGGCTGCGAATGAGATGATTCAGCTGCAATCGCTGAATCTCTACTATACCAATACGAACGACCAATCGATTCAGTCGATTGTCAATGCCTATCCGAATTTGAAGAGTCTTTCGATTGCCGGCTGTCAATCCGTTACGGAGGCCGGAATCAAATCGCTTGCCAAGTGCAGTAGTCTCACCTACCTCGATATCTCTCACATTCGCAAGCTGTCTTCGTCCATAACCAAACAACTGGCATTCCCACAGTTGATCTATCTCAATGCTTCTTGGCTTGGTCCAGACTCGAAAGAGGTGTCGTTCAGCAAGTGTGTAAAGGCGTGTCCACGACTGCAGTCTCTGGCCATCGGTAGTTCCGGCATTGGCGAATCGGAACTCTACAAGATCCTAACGGAGGCAAAGCGTTTGGTGTCTCTCGACATCTCGTACTGTCCGGCATCCATTACTTCGGTCGACTCCAAGTGTCTGAAACACATGGCCAATCTCCAGTCACTCTCACTCTCTGGCTGCTCGTTTAAAGAACCGATTCTCAAGAAGATCATCGAGTGTACGCCCAACCTAAAGGAACTGGATCTCTCCAACCAAGAGGGAATACTCCCATGGTCATTACTGGCGTGCATCGTCAACGATCCTCAAATTCTCCAACATCTACACACTCTCAACCTAAGTCAATCCAAATTCGACAAATTCGACATTGATACACTACTACAATATCCATCACTCAATATTTTCTTACCATCCATATAATAGAATTAACTTTATTCCCACTCTAAACAATTATAAATAAAAAAAAAAAGATAACATATCTTAACTTTACACACATTAATAATTATAAAAATTGATTGATTGATTGGCTTGTTTGTTTGTTGTTGTTGCGTAATATAATAAAAGTTAATAGTTTATTAAATTTGGTTAATCTTTTGTGTGTGTGTGTTAGGTTGATATAGATTCTCTTGGTTCTGCGGTTAATGATAGTTTGAAACAATCAGATTCCGATACGTTTTTGTGTGTCTGCAGGTAGGTGGCAATCTCTGGAACCGGTGCCAAATTGTATGGCTGTTGTTGGTATTGTTGGATCTCTTTGATGACCTCTGCCACCATTCGGCATTTGAAAAAGTTGACGAATCCATTCTCCAGCTTGTCTGGGTTACCCTCTTCGATGAATGTCAGATCGGAGAGATGCACACCCAGATATGGAATACACGGTGGGTTGGAATTGTGAAGTTGTTCACGATACGCTGAGAACGAGAGGTTCGGCGATGTCAGAACGACAAACTCTTCGAATTGCTTCTGCTGTTGCTTCGATATCTCACTCCACGTCTTTTGCAAACGATTGACCGATGCCGAGTGCAACGCCGATACTATCACGAATACACAGTTGAAATTGTTGAGACGGCGCAGTTCCTCTGTCAACTTGATGAATCGCTTCAGGTTCTGTGCTCGCTTCTTCAGGTTGTTCTCACGCACGATACTTGTCACCACCCAATTCGACACCTCATTGAAACGGTGAATCATCTTTAGCAAATTGGGAGATCTAGTTTCCTTGTCGTTCTTCTGCCAAGAGAGTGACAACAACTCCTTCGATGCAATCTGTCTGTACATATCGAATTCGATAATAGTCAATTGTCTGGCCATCTCCACAGGATCGATATCATCAATCGATAAAATCGGTGTCTTTGGTGGAATAACAGGAGGTGGTGGTACACCAAATGTTGCTGTTTTAGTTGATGATGCACCTGATAACTAAGTTGTTGATGAAAGAAAATATTATATTAATATTATAATTACTATTTGTTTGATAAGATAACTATTTAGTTATATATAACTTACTTTCTTTTCTAAAGTTCTTCTTAATAAATTATTTAATTTTTCATCTTTACATTTGGAAATGAATACATTGTACTCTTGTAGTAGTTCATTGTCAAAGTCGTGGAAGAAAACATCTACCCAACGCTTCAAAAAGTTACAAATTCTCAGACGAATCTTCTTCTTTCCGAGATTCTCTTGTTCGACTATGAATTGACTCTCGGAATCCGCTCCGGCACCGTCCTCTGTTGCCGAGTTGTCGTTGTAGGTCTTTGTCAGTCGCTCCAGTACGTATTTCGAGGTGGTAAACGAACGGTATGTCAAGAGGAACGTATCGACATAGTCAGAGACCGATCCAATGATATTCTTATTGTACAGACGTTCGATCAGCTTGTCGGTGTTGCCACCCTTTATCGTTTCAAACTTGCCGTTGACCTCGCTAAAGATGATACCTTCCTCCTCGACACGACTCGCTTCCGCTTTCGATTTGCTTGCTAGCATCTCGTCGAAACGTGCATTCAGTGCTTTCTTCTCGACAATCAACTGGTCGACCATCTTTTGCATCTCCTCCGCACGAATCACCAGTGCTTTGTTCTCCTCGACTACGTTGAGCACGTTCTTCAGTGTGAAGATATCAGAGAGCATTCTCCGTTCTTCACGACGACACACCTCTGCTTGCGCCTTGGGTGAGAGTGCCAGGAATGCAGAGTTGACAAAAGTCGGTGATTTCTCTTGTTGTAGCAGCGCGTCGTAAGCAACGAAAGACCTGTACTTCTCGGGATAGGTGAAATTGATGCGCTCCTTCAAAATCTTGCGGTCCTTATAGAGGAATTCAATCTGTTTGATGTTCTTCATCAGCTCCTCCTGCGAGAGCTCCTGTGTGAGTGCGGCACCGTCGTCGATACCACCGTCCTCCTCGTAGGTTTCCGCTGTGTAGCCGCCAGACGACTGCATTGCCGACTGTCCATTGTTGTAGTATCCATCGTTGTCCACCTCGATTTCAATGTCTGCCATCGCCTTGTTCTTTTTGTCTTTGTCTTTTTCTTTCTTGATCATGAATCCACCGCCACTGCCACTCATTGAAGGTGCGGAGGTCGGTGAGTTTGGACCGCCGTAGGCATTGGGTGAAGTTGACATTGGAATCTGTCGACTGGATTTGCTGACCAACGATGTCTTGCTAAAGAATTTCTCGATACGTTGTTTCGTACTGGAACGTGGTTTCTTTCCTGGTATGGTCATACCCTGTGAGATACTGCCTGGTGGCGAAGAATCATTGCCATTGCCACTTGGGAAACCAATTTGAGAAACTTGATTCGATTGGTTCGATGTCGATCTATTCAGAGATGGCTTATCACTACCAACAGAGTCACTACTATTATTCATATTATCTCTATCCTTTTCTCTATCCTCTGCTACTGTTATTGTTGTCAGATGTGGTGATGATGATGATGATGTTGAAGTTGAAAGTGGTTGAGAAATTGTTTGTTGTTGATGTAAAGGTGTTGTTATTACAGAATTATGATGATTGTGATTGTGATTATTATGGTTGTGATTGTGATTATGATTGTGATTATTATGGTTGTGATTGTTGTGATTATGATTGATGTGATTGTTATGATTATTTTCTTCATTTCTTGGCTGGATAATTGGAGCAGCTAAACTATGGTTGGCAATTCCGTTGTGACTGGCGTTACGTGGTGGTAGTGGTGGCCTGTTGTTTGGTGGATTCGATAAACTTAAATCCGGTATTTTGTTTTCGGGTGGCGGTGAAAGAGGTTCTCTACGTGGTGAGGTAGGTGGAGATCTAGCTGTTGACTGTCCCGATCCTGATGATAGCGCCGATGCTATTTGCTCTGATGTTGGTGGTTTGTTGTTGAATCTCGGTTTCGATGGACTACTCGATGAAATGGTGTGATGACCGTTTTGGTTATTGTGATAATGATTTCCTGATGATGAAAGTTGTGAGTTGTGATTGTTATTGTGATTGTTATGTAAATTTATTTCGGAAACGGACGGACCAACCCTTTTTGGTTGGACCGGTGAAATTGGTTGGTTTGGTTTGCTATATGGTGAGGTTGGTGATGTTGACAATGGCGATGAAACACTACTACTGCTGCTGTTGTTGCTGTTCGACTTTTCCATAAACTTCATTAAAGCAAATAATATTTTTACAACGATGATATCTTTTCCCTCCAAAACCAACTCTGGAACTCGAGATACATCTTCTGGAAATCCTAAAGTTTCACATCCTTTACAAAAACTTAATAGATTTTCCTAATATATATAAAAAAGAGAGTAAGTTGAAAAACGGTTAATTTCTATAAATGTTTGAGAAAACTATTTAAATAATATTGTTTGATCATCTTACTCTATGAGCAAATTGTGACTGTACAGTAGTATTTATCTTTTTAACATAATTTGGTTTAATTGTATTTAATAACCTTTGTTGTTTTTAATAATAAAATTGGTTTGGTTAGTATTATCTTAAAAGTATTAATAAAATATTATAACTAACTTACTTGCATAAAATGACTCCAGATTTCAAGGACTCACAAATGGGTGGATTTATTTTAGTATTTGTCAACTTGTATATCCAGTCTATAACTTGTTTTTCTGTTTGTAGTGAATATTCAATCTTATTAATATTAAAGTAATAGTAGGTAGGTTGGTGGTTGTTTGGTGTAGGTGCGATGAATGATGTCGGTGAGCCAGATAGAGTGTGCATTGATATGGTTCTGTGATATCGTTTTAATTGAATTTGATGTTCATCGCTTAAGTTTGAAAATTCACCATCACTACTATTGGTATCACTGTTGTTGTTCGAGTCGTTGTTATTCGAGTTGTTGTTATCTGTTGTATTCAAATCCAACATCATTTTGTTGATTATTTTGTTTTTAAAAGTGTAGTGGGAGTATGATAATGGTGGGGGTGGAGGTGGGATTGGAATAGAGTCAGATGTTGGGATATCAAGTAAGCCTGACACTTCATCGCATTCCATTGTTTCACATCCCATCTTTTGATATCCTATTTTAATACTAAACATAACTATTATTATCCTATTATCTTATCTATCCAACTTTAATGTAAATGTATCCAATCTATAGAAAAAAAAAACAAACAAAACAAAAGGTAAACTAACCATCATAGTTTAATTTAAAAAAAAAAACAACAAGAAACAAGTGTCATGATATATTTTTGTTATTGAATGTGTGATGAGAGGTGGAAGGTGATAATTATTGAGATTCATGAATATTGGTATTACCTATATGGGGTATGTCCGACATTGTTTTTTTTTTTTTTGATAAGATTCCACTTGATTGTGTTTGATGCTTTTCTTTCTTCAATTCAATGCCAATTAATTTTTGAGACCTTTCTAGCTAACCTGTCTCTATCCTGCGATAATAAAATAATAATAACGACTATCGATGATTTTACAACAGTGTTGATTTTGATATATTTCAATTGTAAAATTGCTATTGTCACTGCTATCTTGTTGTTGTCTGAAACTATTACTCTATCCTTCCTGTAAAAAACACTTTTATAAATGCTATTTGTTTGTTTTCTTGTTGTTGCTACTGTTACTGTTGTTTGTTTTATTGATGTTGTTGTTTTTGGCTGTTGATATTTATTGACTTACTATTGCTATTGTAAGCAATGTTGTGTGTTGTTGTACTTTTTTGGTTTTAGAAAGTGGGAACTGTTAATTTGGGTAAATTAATGGGCTGTTTGAATATTAATATTGTAATTTATCACAAAATAAGGATTTCACTTTCTTTTTGAGACTTGTTTTGTGTTTTTTTTGTTTTTTTTTTTTTGTGGTTGTGGCTCTTTGATTGGTATCTAAATCATTTATTGTTTGAATACCACAAAAATAAAAATAAAAACTATTATTATTATAATGATCGATTAAATTGATTTATAAATAAATAAATATAAAGCTACAATTTTTAAAAAAAAAAAAACAACCTGTTTAAAATATATGTATATCTCTGTGTGTCTATATTATTTGTTTTTTGTTTATTATTATCATAAATAAATAAATAAATACTATATAAATAATTATTAGAATTCGTTAGAAAAATAAATAAACAAAAAAAAGGGATAAAAAATAACAATAATAAATAAAATAAATAAGATTATAAATTAAAAAAAAAACAAACAAACTATTAATATAATAAACTATAGATTATAAAAAAAGACTAATAATAAATTTGTTCCTCTTGGATTGATTAGCTAATACAACAAAGAACACAGATAGTTGAAAATAAGAAACAAAAAAAAAAAAGCAAGCAAACAAACACAATCAAACCTCATTTCAGTATGTTGAGTGTAAGCCAGGCTCCAACAGAGTGAAACCATACAATGTTGCTTTAAAGATGGTTGTGTGTTTGATGTTTGGCAAAATTTTTCAATAAACTGGACCACTATCAACCACAGCCGACCCATTGACAAAAGGTTGAATGACCTTTTTTTTTTTTTTTTTGCAAATTCTGAAAACCAAAATATCAAAAACAAATTAGGATGAGATGGTGTTTATTTTTTTTATTTTTTTTCCAAAAAAAATCAGATCTCAAAAAAATAATAATTTTTTAAAATTAAACTTAATAATTATCCCAAAAAATTTCCATCAAGGCTACGATTTAATCTGATCGTGAAGCATTTGTTTGTTTTGATGTAATGATCTTTTTTTTTTTTATAATAAACCCCACAAATAATAAATTGTAGTGTTTAAAGATCGATGGACAATATCAATTATACAAAAAAAAATTAGGTCAATCGACTCGACTTTGTATTGTTCCAAGTCGGAAACTCCTCCATTAATGTTTGTTCAAAGAGTCGTCTTTTACTTATTATTTGAATGGTTAAAAAAAATAAAAGACAATCTTTTTTTTTTGTGCCTTTTCCCCAAAAAGTAAATAAACTTAAACCAAATTCGATTTCGTTTATTTACAATAAAAATTTCAATATCTTGATCTAAACTCCTCATATAAAATAATATTTGAATCATTGTGATCTTTAAGAAAAATACAATTTTTTTGATTAAATTGGAATTTTATTTTTTGAATCAAAGATATAGAGTTTTGATTGTAAGAATTTCTGCAAAATCCAACATATAACATATTACAAAACAAAAAAATTAATTAAGTTTCTAAAGTTTATTTTGTTTTGATATTTACTTAGAAATATATATATTTTTATGAAAAGAAATATCTAGTTTTTGATAATGAAAGTAATTAAGTATTTAAGAAATTTCCGAGGTAATCTTCAATAAATAACCTATTTTCTTGGGAGGACTTCTATTCCCTCAAAGAGTAAAACATTTGGTCTTTTTTAATTTTTTTTTTTTAAAATTTTTTTTAAAAGACTTTTTCAGAAAACTCTACTTTGGGATTGGTTCGGAGCTATTATTATTGTTATTGAGATAATAATAGAATGAAAAATAATAAAGTTGATGATCATCAAGATGATGGTTTAAAGAAGAGATCAACAAGCTCAAGTAAATCTAAAGAATCTGAAGATGATCATAAGAATCAGCAACCACAAAAGATAAATGACAAAAAGAGTGTAAAGAAACAAACACAAGATGAATCGTCATCATCGTCATCATCATCTTCTGATAACCAACAACAACAACAACAAGTAGAAAGAGATGATATTGTTAAAAGAACAAAACATGCAACATGTATAAGAATCACAGGTTTGTTGATCATTACACTCTTGACATTGGCTATGTGGTCGACTTTCAACTATGTCGATCCGGAGAAAGTCGATCGATCAATCTACTTGAAGGAGATGCCATTGCCGTTGTTAGAGCACTATCAGAGTGGATCTTATATACCGGTTTACGACAGTGCATCGAAGCGTCAATTCAAGTTGTTCGTTGTACAAGCCAACAGAGACCAAAGACAACCACGTGAATCCGTCCTACTCCTCCACGGACAGGCATCGACTTCATTCAGCTACCGTCAATCAGTAGATTCACTCTACAAAGCCAATCTCAATCCAATTCTAATAGATCTTCCATGTTATGGATTCTCTGATTCCTTACCAGATTGTTCACAATCATATATTGCAGGTAATTATATTACTAGTAAACTAATTGGGTTATAACAAACATTCATTCATTCATTAGATTAACAACTGTTATTGTTATTATTATTACGATGTTATTATATAGATCGTATTCCAGATATTCTTAATGCATTATCAGTTAATAAAGTACATTTGGTTACATTTGATATGTCAACGGCAATCGGTGCAGAGTTTTTAGATAGATATCCAAAGAGAGTGGCATCTGTTACATTGGGAGATCCAGTTATCGATGTCAGTCATCAACCATTCTATGTCAACGTCGCAAAATATTCTTTGATCAACAGAGCACTCATCTCACTTGCAACAAGTCCATACATTTCATGGATTAGATGGAAATACTTACAATTTGCATGTATGTAATAGCTTTTTATAAATAGCTATTCTTTATAGATATTTCAAATAGCTAATCTTATCTGTTTAAACAACAACAACAACTTTATCAATTAATTTAATTTAGATAAATCACCATTGGATCAAATCACTACCGATTGTTACTTCTATATGATTAGATATAGAAACAATATCAATAATTATATTAGAACCATTGTTGAGTCTGATCTTACATTTAGAAGAACCAACGATCTCATTCACTCAAGACTTCATTATGATAGTGTTATCCCAAGACAAGTACGTATAGTTAAGAAATAATTATAGTTAGTTACTTTTACTAACTAAAGAAACTTGATATTTATTTATAGGCTATTTTAACAAATGGATTATTACAAACATATCATAGTGTATATTTCCAGAATAAATTCACATTCCCATTCTTACATATGAGTTCAGGTGAATTCCTATTGGGAGAAGAGTCACCTTTAATCTTTGAGACTCATGTAGCTTCGATGGTTGACAAGATCGACCCAGAGTTAAGAAAGTTGAAGCAAATCGAACGAGAAGAGGAAAGTCATGGTGGTCACGGACATAGTCACGGTGGTAACGATCACGGACACAGTCATGGTGGTCACGGACACAGCCACGGTGGCGCACATGGACATAGTCACGGTGGTAACGAGCACGGTCATAGCCACGGTGGTGCTCACGGACACAGTCACGGTGGTGATGAGTATGGAATGGGTGGTTATGGATTCTAAAGTAAGAAATAAAGAAAGAAAGAATTCAAAACGAATAGCTACTAGAATTCATAATATATAATAAATAAAAAAGAAGAAGAAGAAGAAGAAGAACACTTTGTAATTTAAAAAAAAAAAACTAACATAGTATAGTTTAGACATATTGTTTTTATTCATGTTTTTACTGTACTATTAGTTGAGTGGCTGGTATTTGAGTATGGTTGTTCTCCTCTAAAATCTTTGGCACTATCCATATAACCATATAAAAGTCCGAAAAACAATCCGACAAAAATTCCCCAAAGCGTTAAAATAACTAATACATATTGACCTATAAACCAAATGTTATTATATGTATTTAATCATCAAATATTGAAATAGATTATAACAATTGTTGTTATGTTGTGTAATATGATGATTTCAAGTTTAAAGTAAAGTAAAATAAAATAAAATAAAGAGAAAAAGAAGAAGTAGATTAAAAAAAGAGAGATTTCGAAAAAGAAAGAGAAAGAGAAAGAGAAAGAGAAAGAGAAAGAGAAAGAGAAAGAGAAAGAGAAAGAGAAAGAGAAAAAGTAGAGGTTTTAGAATTTGATATTTAGATTGATTGTTAGTTTGTAAAGTTAACTATAATATATGTGTTGTGAATGCTAAATATATGTAAAGCATGTTTTTCTTTGTTTTTTTTTTTTTTTTTTTCGTTGTTGATTATAGTTGATTTATATCATTACGATACAATACCACAAACTAAAGGTTTATCACCACAAATCAGAAGTTGACCATTTTTATCCCTCTTTACAGGGCTATAATCCGATGGTTTAATATTCTTGATTTTGCCTAAAGATTTCTTGATATTTTTTAATTTCATTTTAAAAATCTCTCTATTTATATATATAATATCTATTAATGTACAACTATTAGTAACTAGATTATCTTTACTATTAACTAAGCTTAAATTCTTAAAATATAAAATGTTATAAATTATTGTTAAATAAAAGATAATTGTCGTCTATTTATATCTGACCAAGAATGAATTAATTAATTTTTTTTTTTTATTTTTTGTTTTCATTTTTTTAAAAATTAAAAAACACAAAAAGGTGTGAAAGTTATAATAATGTTTATTATTAATTTAATTTATTTATTTACTTACTTACTTCCTAATCAGCAATTGATATTATAATGCGATGAGATTAAAGTAACTTAATAGTATTCATGTTTCTATAGATATTAGACTTAGAAGAAGTAATGATGGTTTGCAAAGTAATATAGAGTTTTGAAGAAACAGAGGAGTGTCGACATTCCTTATTCAACTCAAATTCTCTCTATCAATTCAAAGTAATTCAATTCAATCTGTTGAAATATTGTTCACATTAAAAATTTCTAAGAATCAAACAAGATATTGTTTTAATTATAAATATAAACAATATATCAAAAATCATACAAATAATTTTATTATTATCTGATCATGTGTAGTTAGCGTAATGTTTTTGCTTGTTCTATATATCTAAATTAAATAAAAAAACATAATAATAGCAATAATAATGTTGTCTAATTTTACAAATCAAATCAAATAAATTAATTTTGTACCATTTTTTTAAGTAAAGTTTAAAGTTAAAATATATTTATGATAATTTTCATTGACAATAGTGTACTTGTTTATAATAATCAATCACGAAGATGAAGGACCTCTTCTCCAATAGATTATAATAATCAAAAAACAAAAAGAATTATAATTTATAAATAAAAAGATGAAAAGATAATTAATTAATTAAGTTGTAGCTAACCACATCACACATAAAAACACACAACGATTAGGTTTGTTAATTTTTATTATAACTTAAAAACCTTTCTTAAAAGCACCTGTCAATATATTTATCAGCGTGAGATGCTGAAGATGCATGATGACAACGGAAACTGATGATCGAGGAACTTCTTTTTGCAGAAGATTTGATAACTCATCAAGTTAACGAATCATATCAAAAATATGTAGGATAGATATACAATGTTATTGTTATTTGGTGCGTATGTGTGAATGTCTGCTATTGTTATTAAATGATTGATTGCAACATGATTGCAGATTTTGTTGTTTGTTTGTTTTTGTTTTTTTTTTTAAGAATCTTCGCATGATGTCATATCTAATTAAACAACAAATTTTTTAAACCAAAAGACAAATCATTTCAATCAATTTATTTAAAGAGTGTGAGTTTTGTTTTTGTTTAAGATTTATTTAAAAAAAACAAATGGTTGCATGTATGATAGAGAGAACAAACAGGAAACTACAACAACACAAAAATGCTTAAAAAATCATCAAAACTTATGCAGTTCAATTTAAAATGATGATGATGATTGTTGGACTGATTGAATACACACACACAAATGTTGTTGAAATTATTAAAAGGGGGAGGTTTAAAAAAAAAACACACACTTAATCACAAATAGACACACACCACACACAAACACATAACACAGGTATCAATAAATCTATAACTAAAAATAGTGTGTGAAATTAAATGTGTGTGTTGTTATAATTAACATCAGTGACACTAACAAACACACATAAACAATTAAATTATTGATATTTGATGGTATCACTGATGCTTTGTGTTTATTGTTTGGACTATCAATCAGTTTATTTAAATGTTCCCCATTTTTTTTTAATACCTTGTTATTTTCGACACTATATTATCAAGACTGTTGTTAATTTACCCATTACCACACTTTTGGCAGGTGCTTCTTTTACTCACAAATAAATAACCACGAACATATAAATCCAAATAACAGTATTTATTCAAAAGCAATACCCTCTTGTTATTCTGACACTTTTCACTCATTCTCATTCATTGATTAAACATATACAACTTCTTCTATCTCTCTCTCTCTCTCTCTGTCTATATCTCAATCTTACTGCTGTCATATTATTCACAACAGTATCCAATAAATTCCAACAACTCCTTCAACATTTCACACACATTTATTTTTCAACCTCAGAATTTACAATAGCAATTTCATCATTCAATTCAAGCACACCAAGCAACTCTGTAGTGGTATATCATCATATTTGTTTTGGTGCTTATCACTCACTGATAGTATTGTTTTTGTTGTTGCTAGACATATTTTGAATACTCTGATAGAGATAAATAGATTGGTAACCAGTCACCAGTTAATAATAAAATAAAACATATCGTTTGTTTTATTTTTAATTTTTTGACAGTAATAAAAGCTTTTATTTTTAAACATACCACCCCTTCAACTACATACTTAATCATCACCCAACTATTAATACAATTCAACTCAATTCAATTCAACCAACTCTAACTCAACTCCAAAATTCAATATTTAAAATTATTTGCACACATCCAAAGGAAAATTAAATTAACAAATAATTATAATTTTCCATCTAACAACTGCATATTATCACCATCGATTATATATTATCACATTTCAATTCACACAATTTAATACCTACACCAGACACACACCAAGTTGCAGGTGCTCAACAGTAATAATCAAATAAAAAAACAATTTAAACAAGAACAGTGAATAACAGAAAAGGTGGTTGGTTTTGAATCTTATGCACCGTACATTTTTATGATGGACGCTTATGCTTTCTCATATTCCAACACTATTGTTGTGATGAAGCACTTTGGTCATAGAAGAGCTCACAGTTATGATATTGACAGACCTTTTAAACAAATGAAAATTGAAAACATTATTCAATCCAATCAAATAAATCATATAAATATTATTAATTACAATCACACTCATCCTAACACCATCATCAACAATAACAATAACAATAACAACAACAACATTCTCAACAACAACAATAACACAAACAACAACTTAGATAATAATAATAATAATAATAAAATAGTAACCACTACACAAACATCAGTTTTAACAAATATTAATAATTTTAATTTACTTAATGTTAATAATCAAAATAATTTAAAAGACAACACTTTCCAAATTTATTATAACCATTATTCATCAAGTGGTAATACATTATTCAAAAACAATATTAATAATAATAATAATAGTAGTTTAAATAATAATAATATTATTTATAATAATAATAATTATATTTCCAATATGGGAACTAGAGAAAATCAACCTGATGAGGCAGAGGTTTTCACTCCACCTCCATCACCAAGAGGAAATAACTTAAACCTCAATAACAATATCAATAATAATCTAATCAATAATATTGAAAAGAGACAGCAAATGCAGCAACAACAACAACAGCTACAACATCAGCAAGTTTCAAGTGATTCTGAAAAGTTACAGAGTCAGTTTAATAGTTTGACTACACAAAGTACAGCTAATATTTTGGTTGCGGAGGATGATAAGATGTATCAATTGGTTGCAAAGCGTTTGCTCTCGAAATTGGGACATTCTGTGACCATCGCCAAGAATGGACTGAAGGCTGTCGAGGAGGCCACATCCGGAAAACCATACGATTTCATCCTAATGGACGTCGAGATGCCAGAGATGGATGGTCTGGAAGCAACAGGAAAAATAAGACAGTTTGAACAAGCAAAGTTTGGAATGATGGCCAATTCAACTCAACGTAGAATCCCTATAATAGCCTATACAACCAGTGAGAGAAGTCGGTGTATGTCGGCGGATGTCGACGAACATCTGCTGAAACCGGCGAGTGTTGAAGCACTGAAATCAATGATCACTCTCTACCTAAAGAACAAAGGAAGTGATCCATCAAAAAGATCAACGATTCCTATTCAATAATCAAAATTATTTAATTTATATTAAGAAAAACAAAAAAAAACAAACGATCAACCAATCAATGGATTATATAATGACTAGTAATCTATGTATAGCCTTCATGAACTTGTAATATCAACAACCAACAAACAATCTATTATTTATTCAATTTACAAGAATGAACCAATATTCATTCTATAAAATCAACTCAAAATATTTTCATAATAGTAATACTATTTAAAATAAATTTAAAAAACCATTTTCATTTAATTTTTGTTTATTTTAATTATTGTCTAATAAAAACTAGGTTAGATAGTGATAGTAATGACAGTAAGATCTATCAATATCAAACCAAAGGTGAATTAAAAATACAAAACTTAAGTGATTGATATACTTCTAAATAAATGTTTTTTAAAAAAAATTGGGATAAATAATAAATTCTTTATGGTAATCAAATCTACATTGTATAAAGTATTTTAACAAAAATCAAAGAAACTGTAGATCTCGCTGACCATCCTACTCCAACCAATCCATCCTCAATAAAACTCACTGTTCAATCAGCATCTCCTCATATCATGATCCTCAAAGCGATCGACCTCCAACCTTAGTTTCTACTCATTCTTGACCTTAGTCTGGAGGAAAATGAATAGAAATAGCATGTATTTGATCGTTGCTGTATAGGTATACACCAATCTCTTGGTTACTATATCCTTTATGGGTGGGCGGTGACAGTAAGGAAGAAGGAAGGATATTCATTGGATGTGTCTATACTAAGTTAGTAGTACTACTAACGGAGGTGCATTATTACTTGATCACAAACTTTGGACAAACATCCGTCTTGAATATGAGTACTGGAGCACTCTGTTTGGCTGTGAGGTTGAGTCTGACTACTTGATAGTCGCAACATGAATGGCCCAAAAACTCTTTGAACTCTCTCTCTGTTCCGTATCCTCTGCTCAATTCAAACGCGCTTCTTAATGAATGTTCCTTCAAATGAGTGATGAACAATGTTGACGCGTTGTCTCTGATGGTGGGTGATAGCTTCTTGAGGTCTTGAATGAGAATGAAGATGCTAATGAAATAGTGTCTGCTACTCGTGGCCAGCTTGTCAAATAGTTTGTTGTGTTGGAACTCTACACTTCCAATGCAATCATCCAACACAATAGCTATCTTTTTTTGTGTTCCTTTCTTCTTGTATTCTTCTTGTTGTTGAATGATCATGTAGATGATTTCTTCTGTTGGTTGTTTGAATACATATCTTTGATCGAGAAAAGAGTATTGATCTTGTAGATCTGCTGTTGGACAAAGAAGATAGATGCGATTGAACTCTTGATGATTGTGCGGAACCAACAACTTCAATAGATTTGTCTGGCCGGATTCTGTCATGCCTGCAATGATTGATAGAGATGGAAGGTGTAGTTGTAGTCCCTCTTTCAATGATGTCAACGACGATGCGTCCTCTTCTTGTACAGCTTCATCCTGTTCGATAACATCGTCAAAGGTAGTCAGCCAAGTCAGTGGTCGGTGTTGCAATGCCATTCTTTGTTGTATGTCTCCATATTCTAATTCTTCTGCTTCTTCCACGCGATAGACTTGCTGATGTATTGCCTGATGCTTCGTATCTCATCTCTGATGAATTGAATGTCCAGGTGTATGGATGGCAGATGCAAAGCTTCACAGAAGTGCCTTATTATCTTCTCTTGGTCCAGTTGCAGCTTGGTGTTGTGCTCGAATATGACCAACGCGTGTAGATGAATCCTCCTCTGCTTTGATCCAATCTCGGTGCCACAGTCTCCTTCATAAGAGTGTACATGATCCATTGCTATAGTCTTGTCAACACCTCCAACAAACTTGATATTTCGACCAATGTTGTTGTAGAACTGTTCATAAGCGTTCTTGAGTAAAGGTATGTGTCTTTGGTCAGTGCTGTTGGTATTAATTGTGACTAGGAATCGACTAAGTGTTGGCCTAACATCATTGACGCGTATGGATGATGGTAGCTTCACTTGTAGATCTCGTTTCTTTTCCATGATCTCTTTGTAAAGAGAGAGTGAGAAAAGATGTCCAAGCAGCAATTGACCAATCCTAATACATTGATGTTTGAAGAGAGAGATGTGAATGGTGCCATTGACGCTTTTAGTGGAAGATCATATTGAGAATGGAAGTGGTGGTATTTATATTGCCAAGTGAAAGGTGACAAACTGTAAATCAACGGCAAAGAAGTTGTACCTACAAATAGAGTGGATAAAGTTATTGATAAGTATTACAATGATCCATTGTTGACTGGGAATAGAGATACCTTATAGGAGATTGTCATCGTTGTATGTTGGTATAAGCAAGAGAGATGTAATGACGCCTATTCGCAGGTTCCACTCCATTGTGTGCCCTTCCGTCAATTCCTTTAAGTTTCAGACTTGCGACCATACTCCCCCCAGAGTCCAAACACTCATGATTTCTCACAAGGTTCTGAGCGAGTTAACAAAATTATATAAAATAACAAAATTCAAAAACAACAAACAACAAACAACAAACAACATAAATATTATATAACAGAAAAGAACAACAACAGTAGTATACAAAACGAACAGAACCTATCTACTCCTTACCAGTTCACTATCCCTCTCCCTCTATCTCTAAGAGGTGTAACATCTGTAGAACTGATAGATATGTCTCTGCCGCTGTCCTGCTTAAATTCTAGTGATACAAACAAATGAGCTACTTCATAGTGATAGAGGAGCTGGGATGGCATGGTATGACATCTAGTGGTTTGAGATACACATTCAAGGTCCCAATGAAGTATAACAACGCGTCATATGTCTCGCTGGATAGCTTTATAGGTTTGTACAAGCAGTCAATCTAAATGACTCTTGTCGATCTACCACAACTGACGATCTAATTGATATCAGATCGGGCTGTTTCTCAATCATCAGGCGAATCATTTTGTCTATTCAGATCAAATTCTTGATATTATCCAGAAAGGAGGAGCCTGCACCTGTTACCCTATATTATTATAATATAGGACCGCTGATCCGTGCAAAAAATCGGAATAACGGCAGCTTTTTTTTGGGTGGGCACCTCCATATAAATGCCTACCTTTTTTTAAGCTGTTCGAAATTCCGTCTATTCTCTCGATAAGACGGAAACTTACCTTTGTGCATCCTGAAAATAGCATAAAACGGCTCTTCCCTCTTTGGTTTGGATCACAACAAAGAAAGATGTCACAGCTGACAAATATTTGTTGGTGATGGTATAAACAATTTTTTTTTTGTTGATATTTTTTTTTGTTGATTTTTTTTTTGTTTGGTTGGTGTGGTTTTTATTGATGTTGATTGTTCGATTGAAGTTGATTTTAACTTTATTTTTAAAATTGATTGGGTATTGAAAAGTTGCAATATTATTATTGTTGGTGATAAGAGAGTTTGATCCAAGCTTTCACTTCATGATCTTCACCAGCACCGATTTTTTTTTTTTGAATCATCAGATTTTTACCAAAACTATTAATTTTAATTTAATTTCAATATTTTGAACCAGGTAAAATTAATTCCCTTTGAAATAAAAGGTATAAATAATACAAACTAATATTTACTAATAATTCATTTTCTTGTTCCAAACCTTCTCATTCATCTCTTTTCTATCTATCTTAATATCATGTCTTTCAAAATTATTGTTGATGGTGTGCCAAACATACAAGATCTCATCAACTGTAAAGGTCCTTGGAGCACCGATCCCGCATCACCAGTTAAGGGTCACTGTGTGACATACACCTATGTTAACGAGTATTTTTTCAATTGTTTGGAGATTAAGGGACAAACTCTTCGTAAGGAAAACGTCAGGAAAGATGGTAATCGATGGTAAGTACAGATTTGTTAAGTTGAAGATAAATGAACTAGATCTAACACCTATAAAAGTGCTCTATTAATTTATCATTTGCCAGGAGCAAGTGCAAATTGGGTGCAAAATTCTGTTCTTACTTGCCAAAGATTAACTCAGAGAAGTGGCAACACCACTTACGCATATATTGTGCAGCAACAAGTCCTGCCCACCCTACCACCCCCTGTTGCTGATGCTCTACAAACAGTGCTTACCCAAGAGCTTGCCACCCAAGGTCAGGAGCCCACCCTACCACCCCCTGCTGTTGAAGCTCTACAAACAGTGCATACCCAAGAGCTTGCCACCCAAAGTCAGGAGCCCACCCTACCACCCCCTGTTGTTGAAGCTCTACAAACAGTACATACCCAAGAGCTTGCCACCCAAGGTCAGGAGCCCACCCTACCACCTCCTGTTGTTGAAGCTCTACAAACAGTGCATACCCAAGAGCTTGCCACCCAAGGTCAGGAGCCCACCCTACCACCCCCTGTTGTTGAAGCTCCACAAACAGTACATACCCAAGAGCTTGCCACCCAAGGTCAGGCGACCCCTATCAGCCACCTCATCCAACTGTTGATGAATTTGAACATCGAGACCCTTGTTGTTTCCAACACAAGAGAGGCCAGAATTGCTCTCCTTTTTAACGAACTCAAGGATGCAGCCAATGCTCAATAGGCAATTGCTTAAATTAGCATTGAAGACGGAAGGTCCCAATCTCTTCTCGTCGTCCCTCACTGGCCATCCTACTCCAACAAATTCATCCTCAATAAAACTCACTATTCAATCAGCATCTCCTCATATCATGATCCTCAAAGCGATCGACCTCCAACCTTAGTTTCTACTCATTCTTGACCTTAGTCTGGAGGAAAATGAATAGAAATAGCATGTATTTGATCGTTGCTGTATAGGTATACACCAATCTCTTGGTTACTATATCCTTTATGGGTGGGCGGTGACAGTCCAGTTAATGTTTTGTTTTTTTAAGATTTCAATCATGATGAATTTTGCCCAACAAAAAAAAAAAAAAAACAATCAAATCATTTCAAATAAAAAAAATTTTAAATAATTTTTTAATATATTTTTAGAAACTAAAATTTAACATATATTAAGTGTAAAACTATTAATTCATTGTCTTTCTACATTAGTAAAATTCCCACAACCATAATTATTATTATTATTTAATTGAAAAACAACCAACCATTAGAGTTCTCTACAGTATACAACACACCTTCATAGTAGTACTATTAGATCTGTATTCAAAAAAGAAATTCAAAATCAACACACATCGAATCAAATCAAATCAAAAATAAAAATAGTAATTTAATAATAGTATTAGTACCAGAACCAAAACATAATAATAATATAACAATACAATACAAGACAAAACAAAACAAACCAAAACAAACCAAACCAAACCAAACCAAACAAAACAAATAAAATTATATCTCTCTCTATATATATATATTATTCGAATATTGTTATTACGTAATTCAGTCATAGTGCAAATAGATAATTGGATTTTACTATTACATTGTTTTTATATGTATAGTGATTACATTAGTATAGAAATAGAATAATAATAAATTTAGCTATAAGATCGTAGAGGATCAAACATTAAGATCAAAAGAAAAAGGACAGGAAAGGAAGTATCATGATGTTTAATGGAAATTTGATATCTTCTCCACAAAAGAAGAGTCCTGCGAAAACAACATTTTCACCGAGTCCATCACCGCCACCACTGCAGGTTTCCAACTTGACCAACGATGTCGAAGAAAAGAAGAAAACTAAACTGTCACAGTCTGCAGCACTAGAATTAACCGTGCGAAAGTGGGTGTCCGACGTTCTAAAACAGAATTACAACGATCTATCGGTGTCGTTCTCCACGCTCTTCAAGAGTGGTGTGTTACTCTGCCGATTGGTAAACACCATAAAGCCGGGTGCCATCAAGAAAATCAACGAATCGACGGTTTCATTCAAACAGCTAGAGAATATCGAGAACTTCCTAAAGGCATGCACAGCAATCGGAATGTTGGACGTTCACCTCTTCAACTCTATCGATCTCTTTGAAGATAAAGATATATCGTTGGTAATAACAACACTAGCTGTACTCGGTAAATTCGCTGCCAAAGTAGAAGGATATACCGGTCCACATTTAGCTGGTGAGAAAAAGGTAATTAGAAATAAAAAAACATGAAAATATATATATATTAATATTATTTCTCTAATATGATATGGTTAGACTGTAAAAATAACAACAACACCATCTCCACCATTATTTTTAAATGGAAGGGAAATGAGTGGTGGTGGTGGTTCAACTGGTTCGAATTTAAGTGGAAATAGAAGTAGTAGTAGTAGTCAATATAATAATAATAATAATAATAGTTTAGATGTAAATAAGTCGAATAATGCAAATGCAAAGAAAACAAAATGGAGAAAATCAGTTAAACCACCATCTGTAACTCCACTGAATCTTGATATTAGCACCAAAGAGGCATTCAAATACTCACCAGAGTTGGAACAATCTGCGAGAGAATGGATTGAACAATTGACTGATGAGAAATTTCCATATCCATCATTTAGAACATCTTTAAAAGATGGTGTACTATTATGCAAGTATGTTATTAATCTTTTGTTTTTTACACATATATATTTAGAGTTTAAATTCTAATCTCTTCTCTCTTTCTTTTTTTTTTTGTTGACAACTAAATAAAGAGTTATAAATAAGATAAAAAAGGGTACGATTCATTATATAAATACAGGAAAATCAAGTTTCAAACAGATGGAGAATATAGCAAACTATTTAACTGGATGTTCTACACTTGGATTGAAACCAACGGACTTGTTTGATATTCCGGATTTGTACGAGGAAAAGAATATCAATCTGGTGATATCGAATATTCATGTGCTGGCGAATCACGTACACAAAACGATAGGCAATTCAATACCAACGATCAAAGCACCGGAATCCAGTGCCTCCAATCACAACAAGCTGTATGCATCGTTGGTTCATTCGAGGTTTGGCGCGTGCACTTCGAATTCCTCGGGTGAGGCGGCACCCGAAGATCTACCAGAGTTGGTAGGGTGGATGAACGGACACCTCAAAAACAGAGGACTCGAATGCAAGGATATCTCATGGGATTTGAAGAGCGGTGTACTACTACTAGCGTTACTCGAGGAAATCAGCTCACTTCGCGTTGGAATCTACAGTAAAGATCCGATATTACCATGGCATTTCATGCAGAACATATTCCTTCTTTTGAACTTTATGCGAGAAAACTCTACTTTTAATGTTGGTACTATTTCAGCTCATGGTAAGTACTACTTATAAGCATATTACAAAGTAGTAACTAATCAATCGATCGATCGATTGATCGATAATTATTAGATATATTCAATGGTAATGTTGTATCACTATGTAATTTAATAAGATTGATAAGGGAGAACTTTGATAGAGATCACTTTTTCAAGAGTGTACCATTGGACACCAGAAGACAAAAGGTTATCGAGGAGATTGTATCTACTGAGCAGGCATATGTAAAGTCATTGTCTGTTGTTTTCCATACTCTCATTGTACAATTACAGATTCTTAGTGATGCAGACTCATCGGATCAACATCCACCAATTTCATCGGATGACATTTTCTCTGTGTTTGGCAACTGGGATAAGATACTTCGTGCACACATCATACTACAACGAGAATTTGAAGATCGGCTATCGAAATGGAGTGACGATTCTACATTTGGTGATATATTTTTACAAAAAGTAAGTTACTTACTTTTTCATTTAAAGTGCTATATCTATTTATTTCTATATACTAACTAATGATGATAACTTTTAATTAATATGTTTAGTGTGGATTTTTAAAAGATACATATACAGATTATATAAATAACTATGATAACTCGTATCAGAGAATCAAGAGGTTTAGAAAAGCAAATAAATCATTCGATGAGTCGGTAAACAACTTCGAGGTCATACAGGATTCTACAAATGGATTGGATTTAGCAAGCTATTTGATTATGCCAATTCAACGTATACCTAGATATCTACTGTTACTCAAAGAGGTATTGAAATATACACCCAATACACATCCAGACTATGAGATGTTACTAAAGGCAAAGGAGACCATTCGTCAGGTAGCCGATCATGTCAATGAAAGTAAGATGATGTTTGACAACACCAGAAAGATACAATCAATCCAAGAATCTATATCTGATATTACATTTGTAAGTTATTGTTATTAAACAATCAACCAATCAACCAATAACATGGTATAGAATCAAACTTATTAATTTCAACATGTTACTATTTTTTTTTAATAACAGAATCTCAATGAGGTATCAGATAGAAGATATATAAGAGAAGGATTCTTAGAGATTGATGAGTCTTTCAACAAGAATGCATATTTCTTTTTATTCAACGATATCTTGTTATATGTAAAATATAAACCATCTGAAGATACTGGTAAAGAATTTAAGGTATGTAAAAAAAAAATATAAGTAATAAGAATTATTATAATAATCATAGTCATCAATCATTTGATTACAAAAGACTCTAACTTTTGTTATTTTATTCTTTATTTTCTTAGTATAAAGAGGTATTTTCTATGTCAGATGTGATTGATATCAATGATATTTTATCGGATGACGAAGATTCTGATGACGATGATGATGATAGAGAGGAACAAGAGAAACAACATACATTTAGAGGTGGTAGACAACAACAACAGAAACAAAAGAAACCATCATTCGAAATTGAAACACAAGACTTTGCGCTGATTTTGATTGCCGAGTCAGAGTTGGAGAAGCGAGCATGGATGGAGGATATCAGATCTTGTATTCAAAGCAATTTGATCAATGACGAAGATCAGCTGAGTGATCTATCACTCGATGCCTCTGACGATGAATACGATCCAATCGATCATGAAGATTATGAAACTGATGCAGAAGACGAAAGAATAATTAATAGTATAGAGGAGATTGTTGATTCCGAAACTAACAGTAATAATAATAATAATAATAATAATAATAATAATAATAATAATAATAATAATAATAATAATAATAATAATAATAATAATAATAATAATATTAATAATGACAATAACAATAATAACAATGATAAACAACAAAATATACAAGAAGTTGAGCAAGCTGTATCTTCATCATCAGACTCAGATTTGGAACTTGGTAAATTCAAGTCATCAACACCTGGCGAAGTTCATTACATAATAAAACATTGATCATCTACTCGGCTGTATTTATATATATATATAATTATTTTTTACCTAGCTTTTTACCTTTTATTTAATATTGGGACATAGCAACTAAGCTTTGCAAATATTCAAAGCTATTAGAATTTTTTTAGTTTTATTATTTTTTTCATTTGACCTGATACAATTTTAATTTTTAATACTCTTTTTGACAAACCAAATATAGTAAAGGATCTAATAATAATAATAATAAAATATAAATAAAAACATAGAATGATGAATTATTATTCATTCTTCTTTAATAGTTAATAGCTAAATCATTAAAAAATATATATATTATAACATGACATTAATAAGTTTTGCAATAGAGTTAGACCAGTATGAAAAAAGATATGAAATAAGCCATTATTTTTTGGCTTCTTTTTATATTTTACATTTATTGGCTTGTTTAATTATTTTAATTAAACGTTTTCACTATTTTGGTCATCTTCTAAAAATGTTCTATTCTTTTATGATAGTCATAGATGTTTTTAGAGCACTCACATTCATTTTTATACCCATTGTTAAATATGGATCATTACATCCCAATGTAATCTTTATATTTTTCTTTGGAATTTTCAAAATTGTTCCAACCTACTTACAAATTACCTGCTATTCAATGACATTACTACTATGGTAAAAATATTTATTTGTTAACACTAAAATATAAACTAATTTTTTTAATTCATCATAACAGTGTTATTCTTTTAGATCAACAAAACCAGGCATCTACCAAATATATCTATGAAAAGATATTAATTGGGGCAAATATTACTCTGTTTTTAGTGGCACTCGTTCTCTTTATTTTAGATTTTGTCCAGGAAGAAATTATATTGGAAGAAAATATAACAAAGAATTCCAAAATCGATTTTTTGATTGAATTTATTGCTTTCATGATATACATGATTGCATTTGGTTTTGTTTGTGTGTGGTTGTAAGTAAAAAAAATAACTAAAAATTTTGATTCTGAAAACTATTATTAACTATATCACCATGATATTAATATATTCAGAACTATTCAATATTTCAATAAGACACAATTCCACACACTATTCTCTGAAGATGGCTTGCAAGAATACAAAACACTAAAAAGATTACTCCAAGTGTTGTTTGTTTTCAGTGGATTGGTATTTCTATCAAAATCTATAGTAGCTGGTTTTGAAGCATTTGGTTCCCATGATTTTGATGAATTTTACTTTCACCTTCTCTACTTTTTCTTTTTAGAAATAGTACCGTTTTTCTTCCTTATTGTTGTATTGAACAAGAATGCTACTACCAGATTGATGAACCCCAAACAAGAAGAAAATGAACCTCTAGTGAACTAATCAATATTATATAATAGTTATATGTTATTTTAAGAACTTATCTCATTGTATATAATACCTAAAAATAAAATAATTAAATTTTTAAGTTTAGTAAAAACGGTGTGTGTTATCTTGAAAGAGAATACCAATTGTTATGTAATGGGGGTGATTTTATTTAATCAATCAAAACCCCCAATAAAATCATCCAATGAAAATTAAACATATAAATTGTTTTAAACATTAACAAATATACATATGTTCATATAAATTTTTAATACTATTATATATAGAACTATTAATATTGAAAATAATGTTTGAACTATTAAATAGGGATATTGAATCTCATATTTCACTATATTTTTCTTTTCAAATTATTTTAGGCTTTTTCTATTTATTATTATTTTCATATCAATCATTCTTATTATTTACACGTCTATGCATATACGAGACTATCAGGAAATTGTTCTTTATATTAGGAATGATAATGTCTTCCTTAAGAACTATTTTTAGTATAGCTATTGCATCAGCAGTATATAAAGACTACATTTCTATCAGTGATAATAACAAATATTATCTATTGGCACTAACATCACTTCCAACATATTTTTTATTTTCATGTTATACAATATCTATATGCAATTGGTAAATATTTATATCCTTTAAACTTTTTTTTTTTTAAACAATCTTTACTAATTTTTTTGGTTTTTAATTAAAAGTATCTTTATTATTGATGATAAAGGTAAATTTCTAAATTTAAGAAAACTAATGTGCTGTGCAATAATCACCAATATTTTGATGTACAGTTTGTTGGCAATTGCATTGTTCTTTGAATTCCATTCAGATACACCAAACTATAATATCAACGATGAATACTTTGTTCCATCCAATTATGTTTCTATTCTAAATATGTTGCCTTGTATCTTTTTTGCTTTGTATACCTTAATAATAATTATATTATTGTAAGTTGCTATGAAAATGATTTTGTTTTTTTTCTTAGTAATATATTTGTTAATAAAATTCATTTAAATAGAATATTTCAAAGAAACTCGAGTAACCCAAAGGAAATTAGTGAAGTCATGAAATATTTTTTGGATTATGATGGTCAGCTCACCTACAATCTTCATAAAAGACGAACTGAAAAGAGCTTTTTGGAAAGATATGAAAAGGTAAAACTTCAGATTCTCATATTGTTTGCTTTTACCATTGTTGTATTTGCTATAAAGACGGTTTTGCTTATATTGGCATTATGCAATGTTAGGAATTTGGAAAGCTGGTGCTATGATCCATTATATTATTTCTTCTTGGAGATAATACCATTCACTTGGCTGACAAGAATCATGTCCAGATCGACCACTGGACATCTATTTAAAGAAAAAATAGCTCTAAAATCCCCTGTTTTTGGTGAAGAATCTACTTTGCTTGTCAGCCAACCTGTCACAGAGCCAAATAATACTTCCAAAACCAACTATAACAATGGCTACAACTATAATGAAAAAATACCATCGCATCTAATGCCTAATCACTGTAAATAAAATGTGTGTGTGTGTGCTGTATGATACCAGATAAGATCGTATAGTACTATTCTTTCTATAAAATATTTATTCAAATGAAGCTCTTAATATCATTTTTGGATCGTTGTGGTGACTTTGAGCTTCTTTTTCATTTGAAAGTGAATGATTATCTAGTGATGTGGAGATTGCTGGTTGTTGTTTGTTGTTGCTATTGACTAACTCGACGCTGTCGCTATCCAACAGTTGTTGTTGTAAAAGTTTTTTTGATTCGATATGTCTCTCCATGATTTGGAAAGCAATAAATAAGAGAAGTCCGAAAATGGTCATCAAAAGAATGGTAAGATACATTGCAACCGGTCCTGAAGTCTCGAGGATACGACCGGCAACCAAAGCACCGATACCCATGCCGAGTCCAAGGTAAACACTGTAGAGCAATGACTGGCTTGTTGCTTCTAAACCCTTGGGTGCCAGATCCGAACAAATCCTGGAACCTGCACTCCAAATCGATGCGAAAATAATACCGTGAAGCAACTCCACCGGCAAAATCGACCACGCATTCATCTCGCCTTTGATAATAACAATATATGCCAATACACGAAGAATCAATGCTACATGTGAAACAATAATCATTTTCATTGTTCCCAACTTGTCTAGAATTTGTTTACCAAAGAAAAAGAAAACCAATTCCTAAGTGATTCATAAAATTAGATATTAATAAAATGTACAATTTCCAGTTATCAAATACTACTTCTATATTACTTACAAATACAATATTTAAAACTGAACCAACTCCAACCAATGTTGTTGTTCCATTGAGATGCTCGGTAATAATGATTCCCAAGAAATTATTGTTCATAGCCATACCAGTTCCAACGATGAGTGCATTCAGCAGGAAACACAACAATCGGTAGTTTGACAAAAGAACGACCAACGATTGTCCGAATGTCATTTGTTTAGCTTGATCATCCTTTGAATTCTTTTCATTGAGATCCTCTATATCTATTTCTTCGGTATCGTCGTCGTCTGATGTGATTGGTGTAACCTCCATTCTTCCAGTAAGGTCGACCGATGTTTTACTATCGTCTTCAGGCAGAGGAGTAGTCTCCTCGTTTCCGCCGGACAAGCTACATGCAGTTTCATCCTCCAACTTTGTAAAACTATTGGCATCCAATGGTTGATCGTAGTACATATACTCCACCATCAGACCATAGGCAAATATCATAATTGGATAGTTTATCCAGTAAACTGGCTTACCTAACAGATTCGCCAGGAATCCAACCAATGTTGCACTAATAGCAAATCCAATACTTCCAAACATTCTTTGTTTTCCATATCTATAAATATCCAATTAATAATTTATGTCTTGCTTTGTTTATTCTGTATACTAGCAGTTTAAAAAAAAAAGAATACATACAAAAATGAACTTTTACCTAAAATTTTGTAGGTGGTAGAATCGAGAATGGGTGTGAGTGGTGCCCAAACTACAGAGTTTACGATGACGATGATGATCACCAGTGGATGGTTGTCGATGAGATAGAGAAGGAGAATGAGAAATGCACTGATGATTGAACAAAAAACCACTGCTCTTCTGTGGCATTTGAAACGATCGCAGATACCACTCCATATAGGACCAGCCAAGAACGATAGCGATGGCGGAAAGAAGAGTGTCATTCCCACTAGTGAATCAGAGAATCCGATCGACTTGAGGAACAACGGTACAAAAGGACGGTATCCACCGAAACAATAGAACAGCATGAAATAGAAGATCTTTGGGACAATCGGTGATGGGAATTCAAATGGATCCACTACTAAACTGCCGCTGTTACTGCTACTGTCATCGTTGCTACCACTGGAGTGTCTCTTTCTAAATCTATGGAATGCATCCTCTACAAACATCTTTATTCTTCTTCTTACTCGTTATGTCAACACTCAGCAATGAAAATAAATATCTACAAATATTTTTAAAAAGGTACTCAAAAAAAAAAAAAAAACTGAGATTTTTGGTGGTGATTATTTGATTATCTTTGCTAGTGCTAGTCGTTAATTGGTAAACAAAACTAAGTCGAACATTTATTAACAATTAAAAATATAAAAATTACATATAATACTAATTAATTAATATGATAATGATATTGATTTTAATAATATAATATTTAATATTATAAAAATAAAAAGAAGAGATTGATGATAAGAAGAGAACACTGGGTTAACTAAAGTTACACAAATGCATTGCAATCGTTGAATGACTCATTAAAAAGATCAACTTTTGCCTTTTTAGAAAAAAATAACCTCTTGCAAAAAAAAAAAAACAAGACAACTTGCACGGTGGAAGGGTCTCTTAAATTGTGTAATTTCATTTTATGCCTCCCCCAAAAAATGAAAATTTTGGCACGGCTTTTGTTTGCATTTTGCAAAAATAATACGAGAATGAAAAAAAAAGTTGTGTGCAAAAAAAAACCAAACATATAAAATGAAATATATAATTAGGGTTGTTTTATTCTGATATTACCCTGCAAACGCAAACCAAAACATCTTAAAAAATGATCATCTACTTCAACTCGTTTAATTCTTAACAATTTACCAATTTAAGATCAGACTATCAGACTACTTATGGAAAGATCTTTTTGTTTTATATTTTAATATATTTTTCTCTTTTTTTTTATTTTTTATTTTTTATATTTATTTTATGTTTTAATTTTATATTTTTATACCAAAAAAGAAATATTTAAATTTCTTTGGTTTTATATAATATATATGTTGTTGTTCTTCTTCTTCTTCTTCATCTTTAACTATTAATCGAAATAACCTTTAACTATCCATTGTTGGTCTAATATCTTTCTATCTTGATTTCCTAAAAACTGCCAGAGTATGTGTGTTTCGTTTTGAACTTGTAGTTGTGCATATCCATATGTTGAGAATCTAGATGCAGACCAATCAGGTGTTGGATATATAAAGTCTTTATCCAAACCTTCTTGGTTTCCTGGTGTTCCAATAACCATATGAACAGTACCGCCTGGGTAATCGTAATTGCCAATATTCAATTGTTGATAGACAGGGTATGTACCTAAACATCATCATCATCATTTTTAAACATTTTAATTAATCAACTAACAATAATCTAATTTCAATAACCATTTACTTACGTTCATAGGCATGTGTATGTCCAGCCAAGAAAATATCGACATTATACTTTTGGAATAAACTACCGACGGTTGCCTCTATCAATGCTCTCAAGGTTTGTTTTCGACACCAATCCCATTGGGTAGAACAATAGTATGGTCTGTGAGAGTATGCAATGATCCAACCATTGGGATTATATCTTCTATATTGCTCGAGATCGGCTTTAATCCATTGATACTGCTTGGTGAATGGTGAAAGATCAGACTCGGAACTAATAGATATGAAATGTACGCCATTGTAATTGAAAGAGTACCACGGTTCATCGGATGTCGCCGGCATTCCGAATGTCTGTTGGTACGCTGTCAATGAGTAGAATACATCGTGATTACCCGGTGTGGTCATATAGGGTACCTTTGAGGTGATCGGTTCCAACTCCTTGAGGAAATCGTTCCATACGGTCTGATTGCCTTGCTCCACCTTATCGTAATCACAATACGATATGTCACCGACGTGAAGCACCATATTGTAACGATCCATATTCTCTTTCAGATGTGCAACCGTCTCATTGTATCCATCACCATTCCCCATATCACCGTAGACTGCAATGTGGAAGGGTGTCACTTTTTTCATTGGCTCGGTGGCAGTGGTATTGATATCGAATGCCTGTGTTGTAAATTTGAAAATCTGTGAATATGCAACCTGACTGGTACCTCCAACCACATAGAAATAAGTGGTCAATGGCGAAAGATTAGATAGCAATACTGTATGAGACAACCCATACCAGGTATCACTTGTAAAGTTTTGTGGCTGAGCGGAGGATGTTGTAACATTAACTCCACTCTTGTGTTGTAACTTTGTCCAACTCAAAAGAGTGGAATGTGTCTCGGAAAAGTGAACCAAACTGTCTCCATTTTCTTTTTCTGTGAACCAAGAAATCACCATTTCCGATGGATTGGAAGTGAATGCTAATTTTACAGTCTGTGGACGTATCGATTCATCTGATAAAACAATATTTATTACAAGATATATAAAAACTATAATAATAATTATTTTGGGATAATTCATAGTTATTTCCAACTATTTAAAATATTATTATATTATTTTATTTTATTCTATATTAATTTAAATAAATAATTGTCTAAAAAAAAAATAATAAAAAGATGATAAATGGAATAAATAAAATATGTACAAAAAAAAAAGGATTTAATAAATAAATAATATTAAGATTGATATTAAATAGTTTTCTTTACATCAGAGTTAAATCTCGTATATCAGATTCATCAATATTTATAAAGGTTGAGTTGAGTGTGTGCGCAGTGTTAAACATCCAAGCTTTTGGGTGTTAAATTAGGATTGGATTTTTTACCAATGGTCATCAAAGATGAACCAAACAAGCCGAACATGTAATTTTAGTTTGTGGTATTGATCTCTGATTTTGATTGTTCTCAAAAGACTTTATTTCTTTTCTATAAAAAAACAAATAAAAGTCTATTTTCTGTGATCCCAATAACAATTAATATGGACAAATTCATACTTTTACAAGTCTATATTTATATCCCTTGAAGAATGAATCAATAAGTAAAAAACCAATTAAAGAATTTGAATATAAATAGTGTGATAATTTCGTTTTATGTGTGTGTGTATGTGTGTGTGATGTGGATGTGTTTGGTGTGAATGTGGATGTGTTTGATTATAATCAAAATCAGACGAAAATTATTTATATTTCCAATTGATTTTATTATAATACCAATCAATCATGTGGATATATTCACATGAAACATATAGAAATATTATTAAAATCAAACTGGGAAAATCAATCATAAATATATCTATAAACATATGTTTAAATACATAATATTGTAGTTTTGTTTTGAGAATAAATAATTATAATATAATTATACAATTAAATAAAATGAGAGAGATAATCACGATATTATGAGATGTTTTTGTTTTTTTTTTAGCTTTTTTTGTTTTATTACTAATATGACATTAAAATTAGGAACAGATTATATATAGATTAAATGTCTGATTAATAAAATTAGTCCATTTAGTTTTGAGCAGCGGACCAATCGGCAGATTCGACTGGCTCAGCGTATTCAATGACTGGAGCTGGAGCAATGGCGAAAGCTGGGGCAACCTTCTCCTTTTCTCTCTCGACTTCTTCGTCAGTATCACGGAAGATGAAGAGATCGACCTTGGTTTCCCATGGCTTGTCACGTGAGAGGGTTCCACGCAAGAACAAGACCTCACGAGCCAAAAGCCAGAACATCAAGGCGATGGAGTTCTTACCACGGTTGTTACATGGGATGGCAATGTCGATACCGTCCAACTTGCTGTCGGTGTTACAGAGAGCGATGGTTGGGATGTTGACGTATGAGGCTTCCATCAATGGTTGACGGTCAGAGACTGGGTCACAGACGATCAACAAACGTGGCTCGGTGAACTTGGATTGGATTTGATTGGTGAAGGTACCTGGGGTGAAACGACCAGAGAAGGCGGTGGCACCGACAAAGTTGGCGAACTTCAAAACAGCACGTTGACCGTAGGCTTGAGCAGAGATAATTGAGATATCAGCTGGGTTTTCGATGGCGACGATGACACGAGCAGCCAATTGGATCTTTTCCCAGGTCTTAGCAAGATTGAGGATGTGAGTACCGTTGTCCTTTCTCTTCCAAACGTAGGTTTCCATGTTCTTGTCACAGTTGGTGGTACCCATGTGAGTTTGACAGGCCAACATCTTAAGGATGTCGTCTTGGTGTGGGTTTAAAACGTCTGGGAATTGACTCATCTTATTATGTCTTTTTGGAGTAACGTCGACTTTTCTAAATCATAGTAGTAGTAGGTAGTAAAGAGTATGTTAATACATTTCTTTTGATCTAAAACTAAAAGGAGAGTAGATAGTAAGATAGATTATGTGCTAGATAGATGATAAAGGATTGCTACATAGATAGATAGATTGATATATAGATTTGATAGATAGATATATCTTAAACTTAAACATACAGGGTAGAGATTCCAATTGGATTGAGAGGAAATAGGACAATGATTTCAAAATTCACATAGTGTGGGCAGAGAGGGGTAGCCGATGCCTGCGAAACTCACACAGTTTCCCAATTTTTTAAAATTTAATTTCATATTTTTATTTCGAAAATCAATCGAACTACAAAAAACTCTCATAAAAAAAAACCGTCACTCGAAAATGGTTATTCAGTGACTTTCATTTTAAAAATAACTTAATACGTTTTATTTATAACCGTTTCTTAATAATCTATTACAAATTATACAAAAACAAAAAAAAGGAATGATGATTCAACGTCACTGCTAAATACTATATACCCCTCTTATTTTACATTGAAAAACATCCACTTTACTTTAAATTGATTCGAATCAGCATGTCATTGCAACCAATAAGGTTTTTTTTTTAAAAGTTTGCAAACAAACAGACAAAACAGAGTTACTTTTTATATTAGTTTGAGTTGTTTGTTGTTTTATATATTTATATTTTGTGTTGAGTGGTTTATTTTTTAAATAATAAAATAATTACAAGAAAAGATTATTGGTGTGATAAGTATGTTGTTTGTTTGTTTGTTTTTTAATTAATTTAAAGGTTTGATTTGAAGATTGGTTCTCTCTTTTCTGTGAATGCACCAACTGCTTCTAATACATCGGCAGACTTTAGTAGTGAAGAGTTGTGAAGTGCAACACGAAGAAGACCTTCTTCGACGGTGTGTGTCTGTGAGTGATTCAAGATGAGTTTTGTCGATTGTACGACGAGCGGTGAGTTTGCTGCGATCTGTGAAGCGAGGTGTCGTGCTTCTGAGAGCAGTGCCGCCTTGTCTTTGTAGACACGGTTGACCAAGCCGTGTTTCTCTGCGGTGGCGGCATTGATCGACTTACCGGTGAATGCCATCTCACGCGCGAAGCCCGGTCCGACAATCTTCTCGATACGCTGGAGTGTACCGAGATCCGCTACGATCGCCAGTTTCGTCTCTTTGATGGCAAAGGTTGCGTCTTCCGAGCAGAGACGGATGTCACACGCACTGACCATGTCAACACCGCCACCAATACAATGACTGTGGATGGCAGCGATCACCGGTTTCGAACACTTCTGAATCTTATCGAATGCAGCTTGCCAACGTCTAATCATCTTGAACAATGCCAAATTCTGGTCTGCTTGCGAGAGAGAATCGTCCGATGTCATCATAGTGGAAGCAGCCATCAGGTCAAGACCAGCAGTGAATACCTTGCCATCCGACCATATTATAACTGATTTAATTGCTTTATCGCTTTGTATCTTATCAAAAATTGCAACAAACTCTGTTTTTATATTGTTTTACTTTTGTTAACAATATGCATCATCATATCTTTAAGAAAATAAACTAATTAACTAACCATTAAAGAATTGATCTGTCATCATATTCAATTTGTTTTTACTGATAAGAACAAGCTCTGCAACACCATCTATAGATACATCAAGTTTGACACACTTAAAGTCATTAATATTTACACTGATAAACGATGGTGAATTGTCTGTGAAATAAAGTGATTCCATATTTTATACTTAATAATACTTTCTAAAATAATAATTAATTAATAATGTATAAAAAACAAAAAATAAATCAATATATTTGAATGAAATGGGAGAATATAGTGGTAATAATAAGTGACACCATTCAAATGAAGTGAATAAATATTGCATTTTTACCAAATCAGGAAATAATTGATGACATTAATTTTTTACTGTTTATGAAATTTCACACTGATTTAATATTGATATCTATTTTTCAGAGTTGATTTCTCTTAGTTTAGGTGGACGCAAATATTGTTCTTTGGTTGGGTAGTAATTGTATTTAAATGTATTACTGAGAAGATAGAGTGCATATCCAGAGACAAGACTAACCTTCCAGTATGGCATGAATTGATTCAATGTAACAAAAGGTATCATAAAACTAGAGTAATAGAGACCGGATATAATAACTTTGAATGGTTTGAAATCTACTTTTCTAACCAGTGTTTTGTGTAACTCTGAATATCCATAACCTACTAATGTCAAAGGTGCTAATGTCATTGCTGTATATATTGATCTCTTTAAATGCTATATTTATATATAGATAGATTGGATTGAAGATTATAATAGTTTGATTAGTTATATATATATATATATATATTGTTGGTTGGTTGATTGATGAGCTTACTCTTCCTCTAACGAAATTATAGAAAACTGTTGAAAATAGTACGAATTGTGGTAGTGGATATTGTTTGAGTGTTTTCATGATTGGATTGAGAGGATAGTCTGGAGAGAGAACGAGTTGCCTGAGTGTTGCCTTCTCTTTTGGATCGTCGATCGCTAGACGGTCAATGAGTTCGACATTCTTGGTTTTGTCGACTACAGAGTCGAGCAGTCTATACACTCCATCGTAGAATGGTTCGTAGTTTCTAACCTTATTGACAACGTAGTACAACAATAGTGTTGTTGCATTGTTACTAATGAGATACTGACAATTCTCTGGTTGCTCTGTCAATCTCGTAACTGTTTGTGCTAGTTGCAGTCTCACTGGATATGGAACATCTACATTATTCGCCTCCTTCACCAATTTCTTTATAAACAATCCATTCTTATCTTGATCTTTTTCATAAATGTAAATATTACTATTATTTAGCTTTGTTGTTAATCAATGAATAATTATTACTTACAATTATTTGATAAAAGATAAAGTAATATTGAACATTGTGTTAAAATACCAAAGTTGTTTTCACTATATTTCTCACGTTTCTCCAATGGTGATAGATTGTTGTTGCTGTTGGAGGTCTCTTCTTCTTCAGAGAATTTCTTGGTAATCTTGTCATCAAGAAGATCTTTGTGTTTAATGGTGATATATTCAATGATTTCAATCAGTCGTAGCATGTTGTCATCGGTTTGAAGCAAGGCGGTGAGTTCATCGCTGTTAAGTAGCTTTTCGATGGTCTTTGAAATGGCAATGTTCCACTCTTTACTCTGATACAATGGTAGACGTCCAAGTACAGCGCTAGTATGAAACACTTCGATCATCTTACTAACGAAAGGCACAGTAGTCTCTATTGTTTCAAAGTAATTATTATATTTCTCTGATATCTCAGGGTTTTCTATCTGTCCTAAAACTAATCATAATATAATAACAGATTTATTTGTTAAAATGATGATATTCATGAAATATACTTTAGCAATAGTAATAAACTTACATGCATAAAAGAAACAACCAATTACCCAGACGGCAGCATAAATATACCTTCTCTCGAATCTAAATTGATGTTTATTAAACATCTCGACAGCTTGTCTCTTTATCTTTTCATTGTGAGGTATACCGCCTTCAGTGGAAGTTGGTAGATTAGGTAATTTACCAGTCTTTTTAAGTAGTTTCTTGAGTGTTTGATTAAAGTTATATTTATTTCTTAGATTGCTATCATTTTCTGTACAATAGAATCTTGTGTATGGTTGTTGTTGTTGCTGCTGATATTGTTGCTGCTGCTGATATATTAATATATTGGTATATTCATTATTATTATATTTAATATTTAAAAGATTATTAAACTTATGTTGTTGTCGTTGTTGTTGATTTAAGTTTTGAGTAGTAAAACCACTAAAACTACCTAATTTAGTGATGTTGTGTAATCTCCTATTTACAAAATTTGACAACATTGCTGTTATTATTATTATTATTTGTTTTTGAAATTTTACAACAACATCAATGATGAAATTTACTTTAAAGAATTTTTAACAAACGACGAATGAAACGACTGTTGAAATCATTTGAATCAAATTTGGTTACATTGCTAATTATAATTATTAAAACAACAACAACAAATTAGCAGCAAATGTATATTTTAAATTGCTAGCAGTAGAAATTAATTAGATATGAAAGATATAAATATAGAAAAGATTTTAGATAATATTATAAATAGTATTTATTTTATTGTATTAAAATCAGATGATAACAACAGTATTAATAATATTAATAATAGTAGTAGTAGTGTAACAAGTACTGCAAATGTAAAAAAAGAAGAGATATTACAGTTATATAAAAGTAGTTTAAGTAACTTTTTAGATAAATATGGTTATCATTTAAATAAGTTACAATTATCACAATTAAAGGAAATTGAGATATTAGGAGAGAATCATAATAGTAGTACTAGTAGGAATAGTAATAAAAATAGTAGAGTAAATGATTTGTTGGAATATATGAATCAATATGAAAAGAAAGAGAAATTGAAAGAGGTTACATTGATAAATGGTCGTTATCTTCATATGAAACAACATCTTTTGGAAAAGACAGATTATTTCTCGATTGAGAAATGTAGGAAGAGACACCCCTATTTATACTATTGCTATGTCGGCAGATACCAGACGTCAGTAGATCAACCGATGCTCTATCACGATCAACCCTATGATAAATCAGCGAAAATCAGTGAGAGACTCATGATAAATGCACAGGTAGAGCATGATCAATTTCAGAGTATTGACAATGAAATAGAGGAAATAGATTATTTAACATCAAAGATAAATCAATCATTAAAATTACAACAAGAGCAACAACAACAACAACAACGACAACGACAACAAGAACAACAGAGTATTTCATCACCAGAGTCATTGTGGTTCAAACATGATAACAAATCAACTTTGGAGCATCTTAAGGATATGCTGACGAGGAAGAATGAACTTATGAAACAAAAGAATATGATAAATACATTACTACACAAGAAAAAGAGAGAAAGAGAAAGAGATATGGAAGAGGAAGAAGAAGAAGAAGAGGAAGAAGTTGATGTAAAGATGGAAGTAGAAGAAGTGGAAGAAGAAGAGGAGGAAGATATGAATGATGAAGAGATACAAGAGATATTTGATAGTTTTATAGATAAGGTTAAAGATATGTTCATACATGGTCATGATCAAAAGTTTGATTACCATAAAATAGATAGTAGCATAATAGATGATATAGATAGTGATAATGAAGATTATTTCAATGATATTGACAGCAACAAACAATCAATAACTAGTAATAATAATAATAATATTAGTAATATTAATTCAAAAGTATATAATCTTGGTGAAGAAGATGATTATGATTATGAAGAGGAATATAGACAATCATTATTATTGGAGAAATAAATATAAAAATAAATAAAAATAATATATGATACATGTATAAAGTTAATATATAATTATAAGTAACTACTTTGATAGTTTTAATGTTATGTTTAGATGATCTAATGCTATTGCTATTATTACCAAGAGTGAAGTGTATCCTACGATGATTTTCATTGAGGTTTCTTCGCTTGCATAGATGGTTTTGATGCTAAAGTTGATGAGACCGGTCATGATGTTTGCCAGTAGGAATATGAAGAGTTGATTTCTATTGATTGCTTGGGTGATTGCCGATGGGTGTAGATGTGATGCCGATATCAGTGAAACCAAGAGGTTAACCGAGAGATTGAAGATATTCAACGCCAAGATAGCCATTACATAGGTGAGATTGGTCATTCTTCTTGAGATTGGTTGGATTGTCTGCTCGGCGTAGTAGAGCACACCAAACATAAACAATCCGACAGCCATCAGCTTGGCAGCGTACAATCTCCACTCCTTCAGCGTTGCACGCTGCTTGAAAAGCGATGCACCCAGTTTCGAGCCGATCAAGTAGAGCGAGATGTAACCGGCGAGACTGCAGATTCCCTCTTTGTTGGCGGAGATCAAGTTGTCTCTTGGGTGATTGAGAATGTACTCGGACAGACCGAATTGACTGAGCAGCACTTGGTAGAGTGCAATAATAACGACACCAACAATGAGATTTACATTCGGTGACATCTTTAGGAATGATAGGACGATCGAGACGAATCCCAGAGTGAAGAAGAAGTTCCAGTGAATACCGTATTCCGTAACATGTTCCTGGTAGTTTGTTGACTTTGTCAAAAGCATTCTAACGAAACCTAACAACATCAATGGTGCATTAGATACGAATGCATGATATGCCAATGCTTTTCTAGATAACTTTTGTTCAGAGGTTGTTGTTGTTGTTGTTGATGCTCTACTTTTGTTGTTGTTGTTGTCATCTGTTTTCTTATGATGTACACTTGACGACGACGATGATGATGATGATCTAGCATGTCTAGATACCATTGCACCTGATAATACTACTGATCCAACACCAATATCCATCTGTTTCATTATTAGTATTGATAGCTAACAAGATGTATGAATATACAAACTTAACTTACCAATGAAATACCAAATGTTTCAGTCTTACTGAATCTTCTTGGAAATACCTTAAAGTCTACTGCTAGAATACAGATGATAGTTGCAATCATTACGAATGCACGGTACTCCTCGATGAATCTCTTTCTTGGTGCATTCATTAGATTTAACATATCCTTATTCTCTGATAAATAGAATTGTTTTGATGATGGTCTAATAATGATATGATAGATAGTTAGTTACTTGTTAGTTAGCAATCACTATTGATTGATAAGCAGTAAAAGGTAACTACTTACTTTGCAAATATAGGTATGATCAAGCAAGTCAATAGCATTAATAGGATGAGTGGAATGGTCATTTCAGTGTAGGTAACCGATGCAATGCATGGCAGAACAATGATTGAAAACTCCAAGAAAACACGAACAGCCAATGGTATCTTTACATTGTTATCAAAGAATGTTGTAAATAATACTTTTTGAAGTAATAATGATACCTATATTTATAAAGTAAATAGAATAGTTTTAAATATTAACAATCTTTAAACAAAAAAGATCATAGTAATCATCTATCTAATAAAAATTTACAGGTATTATATTCAAAACTGTGCATGTCTCAAATAAAGTAGATCCAGTTGGATTCTTTACAAACTCTTCGTGTTCAAGTTTATATTGCTCTTCCATGTTTATATAAATTAAATGCGTTTTGTTTTGTTCACCAAAAAAAAAAAAATATAATTTTTTGGTCATCAGTGATTGATATTCTGGCATGTCTGTTCATCAAATGTGTGTGGTTATGTTTTGATTTAATTTAAAACTTTTAAGTCTTATTTATATATTATAAGTAGCATAGATATATAAATCTAATCAAGATATTATTTATTTTATATTCATGAAAATGTTTACTAAAATATAAAAAAAGATTGATTATTTGGCAAGTTTCAATAGCAGTGTTTGTTCGAAGATCTATAAAAATGATCTAAATAAGATTGGCATATTACTCTTGATCCAAAGATTCTTCTACAACTACAACACATAACAAATTGAAAAAAAAAACAAATTTTTTTTTTGGCTACCTAATTTTATCATTATTTGTATAACAAATTGTTTTTGTTCAGTATGATATCATTCATTTCTGAAAGATAAATTTTAAGAGTGAATATTAACAAAAGTTATTGTATCTTCTCTCTCTTTTAAAGAGTTGATTAAACAACAACAGGGAATAGCATTTTAATTAAAACTTTGAATTCAACATTGGAACATTTTGGAATTGTTTTGGAACACCAAATGATTGTATGATATCCTTTGAGTTTACTGTCATGTCTTCGCATAGACGTACCAGAGTGTTCTTGATCTGCTTGCATCGCTTTTTGCTGATGATCGAGTGTTCAATGTAGAATCCACGGCTACGATCGATCAAGTAGAGTGCATAGGTGGTGAGAATCAACTTGAGTATACCGGCAATCTCTGGTTTAGCATTGGCCAACATACGTTGGTAGAAGATCTCAATGATACGACGTTCGACATGTGCTTTCGCCAAGATGATCAAATGGTCAAGACATTTGTTCCATGCACTGAAACCACCGTGTAGCTTTGCCATCTTTCTGAGACGCATCGCTGCCATACGACAGAGACGTGACTCACGGTATCCCAGTACGTAGATCAAGAACTCCGGCGACAAGATATCGCCACTGCTGAAATAGGTTGCCATCTCTTCGGTGATGTTATTCATGAGGAATCCAAATGCACCTTTCTTTTGCATGTCGGTAATCAGGTCTTTGGCAACCTGTTGGCAGAGTACGGTGTTGTCACCCTCGAGTGTCAACATGACATCAGCATCGATACGCAACAAAGCAATAATATTACTGGCGAGGTAACCTTGACCACCGGAACACTCTCTTGCGTTTTGGAGTGCATTAACCGATTCCCATGTCGAGAATGCCTTGAATCCACAAATCAATGTTTCTACTTCACGTTGATCCACAGCCGATACCTTTGCCCAACGCTCTTCAATATACATCTGAACAACACCCATAATCACAGAACCTGCCAAAGATGGCATCAATCTAGATTGATGAGTTGAATAGTGAATCAATAATTCTTCTGGTTGTTGTGGTAATCCAAATTGTCTTCTCTTAAAAACGAATGTTTAAGGTTAGAAAAATAGAATATATGGAGAAATAATATTGATGATATATTTACCTGGAATGCATAATTAATTGCAATGGATAATGCAGCTTGTGATGCACCTACACATCCACCACTAACAGCTAAACGAGTGTAGAAGAGAGCTGATAACATGGCTGTGAAACGCTTTCCTTGGTTCTTGTGAATGCTGGTGTAGACACCGTTGACGTCGATCGATCCATGAGCATCCAAAAGTGCATCATAAGGAACTTCGAATTGATCGAACCAAAGATATCCATTGTCAGTTCCATTCAAACCCATCTTTTCGCCGCAATCCGACCAGTTTACACCTCTGAATAAACTCTTATTGGTATCACGAATTCTCACTGCGAATCCGTGGAGTCCATGATCCTGAGCTTGTTGTCCGGCATGAGATGGCATCAATAATCTAGCAAAAACCACTGCGAATTGTGCCTCACCTGAATTTCCTAAAAATACCTTACGTGCCGATGCGGTTGGAGTTTGGATTACAAAAGATCGACGGGCGTGGTTGTAAGTTGCAATGGTCTCGAGTGAACGGATATTCGATCCATGTCCGAGTTCTGTCATGGCAAAACAACCTGGTGCTTCGAATTTACGGACGGAATCATTGTAGAACTCCTGGTGTTTGGCAGTACCGAGATGAGCAATCGATCCACCGTAAAGCCAGACGTGCACACCCATCTTTACACTGGCAGAGAAGTCACAAAGCATTCCGATTACGACAGCCGGTGCCATTAGACGTCCAATCTCTGACTTGATATCTTTGTAGGCAATTCCCGATTGCTCGAGGAAAGCTTTGCATTTCATGGATGCGTTTCTACGGCGAGAATTCAAATCACCACCGTCCGACAAAATCGAGAATGTCGGTTGATTAAACATATTTCTGAGATGATCTAAAAATGGTTCGTAAGGTCCATCCATAAAGGATTTCAATGCTGCAACTGGAAAATCGATTTTAGTTCCATTGAGACAAAGTGGTTTGAGTACTTTTGGTGGTTTTACAGTTGATTGTGGTTGTTGTTTTTGTGGTTGTTGCTGTTGCTGTTGCTGTTGTTTTATAGCAGCTGACAATTGTTGTGGAACTTTATTCAAAGATGATACATTTAAACTACTATTGGTATTATTTGATTCCATTTATTTGTCAATTTATTTATTTATTTTTCAGAGCTACCTTTCTATTATTTTTTATTTTATTTTTTTCAAAAACCTAATATTGTTGAAGTGAAGTGATGATGTATTTAATATATTTGTTCTTTTTGTATGTATGTGTGAAAAGATAACAAGGGTGTAATGAAAAAAAAAAGACTTCACCTGACCTATTTTACAAAAAATTGCAATGGATGGTTGGTGGTATTGGCTTGATTTGATTTTTCACAAGTCGAGGAATCTTAAAAAAAAAAAATCAGAAATTAAAAGATTTTTTGGTTTTTTCGATTTTCTACAAACCTTGCATGCTTTTTTACATTTTTTTCATAAGATGATTACCATCACCCCAGAATAAAGATCTTTTGGTTGACAAATCATAGGATTTATTAGCAAAAAAAATACGATGAATTTTCTTTTTTTTTTTTTTTTTTTCTCTATTTTTGTAAAAAAACTGATTGATTTTTGTAGTGTTGCAAATCTAACAGTTACAATAATAGTTGATATTTTTTTTAGAAATGAATCTGGGGTTGACAACTCTCGAGTAACCAACATTGAACCCAAGTTAATGTAATTGTCAATCTATTTGATTAGAATGATGAAGAAGCTAAATAATAAAATATCTTTTTAGATTTGAACCGACTTGATTATTAATTAAGTCCAAGTTCATTTCAATTTAATTGGTTCTTTTGTTATGATGTCCAAACCAAAGTTGTAAGATTCTATTCACAATTTTTGTTCTTCTTTGAAGACCCAATTCATTCATATGAATGAGACAGGGTCACTATGTTTGTTGTATCTCATTCACATCAATAAACCAGGTGATCGTGTAGAGAATACCCTTTTCTTAGTTCTTATACCTAAATCTATGTACGTGTAAGTAGCTACAATAGCATACTATAAATATATATATCAGTAAGAGATTACTAAACATTTTATATATATTATTTAAGTAAAGGAAGAAATTATCATATGATATGCAGTTTAATAAATTCAGAGTTAGTAACTTTAGAGTCAGAACTTCTTTGTATGACAAAGAATACGATTCTTTTGTAACTCGACAAGTAGCGCTATTAATGGTATGTTTGTTCAAAGAAATTGTGCTGAGTCAATTAATAAGTGTAAATATAAACATAGTTTGTCAATTCGGTATGTTTGTCTTCATCCCTAACACATGTATTTATTTTGTCATCTTTCAAACTAAAGGAAAATTATTAAAGGATTTGATTGACAAAACAACAGAAAAATTGATAAAAGTCACTCAATTTTTTTCATTAAATTTTTAGTTTTATTCCAAACTGGCTTGGCAAATAACTCTATAATTAAAACTATAAAAGTGGAGATTAAAATTTAATTTTTTTAAATTATTAAATTCAAATTCCTCTAACAGCTTTCTAAATAATTATGAATATGTAAGTGGATTTTTAATTTTATAGTTAATTATTTAGTAGATTCACACAATTATTATCTTTTTCAAAATATTTATTTCTATAAATCTTCTAAAGAATGTCATCAAATCAGTATTTAACTAAAAGATCATTTCCAAACGGTTTTAAAAAATCAGATATTGCAGCTCAACAAAGAGAACGTAGTTTTTTGAGATCAACTCCTTTGTTTGAGAGCAAAGGAAATAGTATTACTAAATCTATTAGTGTCGATACTCATCAACAGCAATTGGTTAGAGATGACATTACAATTCCAAAGGTGGATCTCCAACCAAGTTATGAAGATACGAACAGCCATTTAGAAAATGGTGAAATAGAGGAACCTTTTAATAACACAATCTCTTCAATTCCGGTGCTTTCGACTTATCCACCTGAGTTTTCAAATACAATTAGCTTTCCAAAGCTAATGACTTTAACTTCTCAGTTGCCAAAGTCTATGGATCAACCCCATCTCGCCAAACAGAATCAAATGTATGTTACCCCCAATCGACCGTCAGTTTCAAATGATAAACAAGTAAGAAAGACTGTTCAAAACCCAAAAACAGCAATGTTAAATCAAAAACACAATAACTACAATAGTAACAGTAACAATAACAAAATCAACAATAGCAATAGAAATAACAATAACTACAATAATTACAACAATATTAACAACAACAACAATGCGATTAATTCGACTCCTCTTGGTAGTATTTCTGTGTATCACAATAGATTTTATTGTCCCAAGAGTAAACGATCGTTTATTATCACTAGAAATGTTCAGACAGTTATAACTGAAGAGCAACCAAACGTAGATATGTCTCTTCCTTCTCCATGGGTACTCAACTATAATAATACCATAACAAATGCAATACATCACACCAACTCAATTAGATATCAACAACAACAACATCATCAGCAACAACCATTTTATCAATAAAAAAAAATAAATAACCTATGTAATATATTTAATAAATAATTATTTTTAAACTTTAGAATAGAATTAAATGAAAATTCATAAAAATATCAATCTTTTGCAGAGGTGATGAGTTTTGTTTGATAAAAATATACTCTGTTTTTTTTTATTATTATTAACACATAAAAAGAGAGTATTAAATAATTAATGAATATTATAACTCTCATTAGATCAAAATCAATGGTATGAAGTCACCTATCAATTCAGTTTTTAGTAATATTTATCTATTAAGACATATAACATCATTTATCAGAGAACAACGTGATAATGACTGTCCTTTAAATGATTACAAATATTATTATTTACATCGTTATCATCAGTTTACTGATTCACGTATCATCAACAATGGCTGGTATCATCTGTTAACTGATAGAATCAAAACGGGTCGATCGCTTCGATTCGATACAGATGATGCATTGTTACTTTGTCAGCAAGTCAGAGATATCGATGTATTCACAACGGTCTACAATCACAAGAAGATCTACTTCACCAATCCCGAATGCTTACTATCTGCCATCGGTTCCGGTAATATCGCTGCCACCCGGATTTTGCTGAAACAACGATATCCAGTTGACCATTCCACTCGATACACACGAGAATTCCTTATCGATAAAGCGGTGTCGAGTTACCAATTTGATATGGTGACGTTCCTCATCAATGAATTATACACTACAACGACAGAGAAACAGCTTTGTCCGTCCATCGAAAAGCTGTTCGATAAGAAAGCACGGATGTCATGGAATAGTAAAACTACCGACCTCTCAGAAATGGAGAGAATCTTTAGAGCAACGAGAAACCAACCATTATCCAATCTTGAAACCATTCTACAGTCGTTCAAAATGTATTATACACCGAAACAGAATCTTAATTCAGCATTCTTCAATCTTAAAAACCACTTTTCAGTGATAATTAACAACTATCACGAACCAATTCAGTCGTACCTAGACCAGCTCTATTGTTTTTGTAAAGTCTATGGACTACTTAAAGATGTTGAACATTTCAAAAGACAAGCAGACTTCCTACTTCAACTATCGATATCCAATTGTGTCAATACAATCGCTAGCTTTAAGGAAAGAGTAGATCTTACAATGGATAAATATCAACCAAGCCAACACAACCCAAATCGTCAACAAATGAATTACTTTATTCAGTTGATAAAGTTGGTACAACTGATCAACGGTGGTCAATTCCCTATGCTTGAACAAGAGAACATAGAAAATATAATTATCAGATCAACCGGACATGCATATATCATTTCATTCTTGATTCATCATGTTTTCGAATATGTACCGAGACAACTTCTAATTGAAAAGCTTGGTAATGTTTCGGATTCAATCGATTCCACCATTGTAGCATACAATTACTTTACAAGAGAGAAGTCAACAAAGACATTGGCAGAGATGATAGACGATCGTTGGTACCGATCGGCAAAGTGTGCAGCTTGGGCGGGTGATGTTGAGAAACTAAAGAATCTATTGGCTGGACGCACTCTTCCGAAAGTCAAAGCTGCCATCACAGATGAACTCATCAAACTATCGATAATCAACGAAAAGATCAATGTTTTGGAATACCTCGTTGTTCAATACGGTGCGAATCTCAACAAAGAGAATATAGAATCAATTGGTTTGGTTGGAAGTTTCTCAAGTATGCAACTGTTGCTCGGCGAATCATTGAGAGCTGGTGACTATGACCAAGAGAATGTTGTGTCGGTACACAAGATGGCAATATTGAGTGGTCAAACTAAATTCATTGAATCGCTATACAATGAATATCCAGAGTATGATAGAGTGTATTGGGATGAATCTGTATTCTCTGGAAATGTAGAATTGGTACGTCTTAACTTGGATCAATGTAACCGTCATCAACAACCAATCGATCAAAAGTTTTTGCTTGATCTCATAAAGATGGCTATCGAACTGGGTCAAATAGAGGTATATCAATTCTTTGTTGATAGAATACAAGATCGATCCATTTTGGATGAATTACCACCAAATCATCAATTGTTATCACCGTATGACAAACTCTATCCAATGTATCTCTATCAAAAACAACAATAATAATAGATTATCATGTAAAATAGGATTTGGAGAGTACATCGATTTTATTTTGTCAAAATGATGTCATATTGAAACAAAAATGTAAAAAATAAATTACACTGTTTCAGTTCTATTTTATAAAAGATAATAAAAATATATTTTCTTGATTAAAATATTAAATACATAGTAAACAAATTAAAATAGATTTAAATGAAGAATAAAATAGAATAAAATAAAATTATTTTAAGAACAATTTATTAAGCAATTATCAATAGTTTCCGGTTGTTTGTTCTCTAGTTGACCAGGTACGATAGAGGAAGAGATCGGAGTCTTGGATGAGGCCAGAGTCGCTTGGAATATATCGGATGGTAGTGAATCTGGGCGTGTGACGGGAGGGACGATATCAGGAAACAAAGTAGAGGTTGATGGGATTGAATCATTATCATTATTGCTTTCGAGATCGTTCATTGTAAGATCATTTGTTGTGGTTGTTGTTGTTGTTGATGTTGGATCTGTAGATGCCGTTGATCCAATGGTTGTTGTGGTTGTGGTGGTGTTGGGTGTTTCTGTTAATTGTTCATTTGGATCTGCCATCTCTCATGTGATTTGTAATTAATAATAATAAAGAGTTATTTCTAATAATGTTTTATATAATCTAATTTCTAAGTTTTATTTTAATCCTTTTCTTATTTATTTAATTTCTTTAATTTTATATCTTGAATATTGAATCAATTGAATATTGAATGATTAAAGTGAATGAATCTTTAACGTCGCGTTAAACTCAATATATTCATTATTGAGAAGCTTGACGGCTGAATGTTGAATACTTAATTTAGAAACAACAGAAACAACAGAAACAACAGATTCTAATTTAATTATTATTTTGATCTGTTGTTTTGAACTATTACTTATTTAGTTGATTTAATTAATTTAATTAATTATAATTGACTGATACTATATGTTGGCTGGTGACTATTATTGATGATGTTGATTGATAGGTATTGATATTGCCTTGGTGGCTACTTTATTGTCCTTAGACGGACAACACCGGTGGTGTCGACTTAAGAATTTTTGAAAGCGGAAAACAAATCAAAGGATATTGGATAGTTTTCACTCGTGATTGGAATTTCTTTTAGCCATTCCAAACCGAAATCATTGGCAAGCCATGGCATCCTTAGAGAATGACACCAAGAAAATAGCAATTTTTGAACTAGATGATACCATACATTTTTATAATGATGGTAGCGCTTAAAAATGACAATTTTTCTAATATTAAATAAAAATTAGTATTCTTATTATTTTTTGATAAATTTGATATAAATAGACTCGTCTAGTGATTGTCTATCATTATTTCTTTGTTTTGTTCTTTGAGTTACTTTGATTGAAATTACATATTTTAAAAAAATAGAATAAAATAGAAATTAATTTTTTTTTTTGATAAATTTGATATCAATAGACTCGTAAAATGATTAGTTTCTCTTAGTTGCAACATTTAGGTATTTGCAGAGATTGAAGTTACTAGAAGTTGTGGTGATATTTCTTCGAATCTTGGTTGTGACAACCAAAAACAGATTTTTTTTTATTTTTTTATTTTTGTGCCAACAACAAAAACGCAGAATCTTGTTTCGCTTTGCATGATCGCATCACTAATTCAGAATCAAACACATTCAAATGATAGAAACACCAATCAATTAAGTTCAGTTCAGATCATTCGCTGATTGAATCTCAATCATTTTCTGTTGTGTATTTTGTTGTTGAGAAACATCTTTCTTAATAAAAATTTATAAATTTAGGAAAAGTAAGCCCTAACAATGTTCATATCTAGATTGGCTTATCTTGCAGGATCAATGAACGTAATATCCAGTCAAGCGGATAATATTACTATTTTGATAGGAAGAATGAATAGGTTTAAATAGCCTGGATGATCATTACTTCATTACTTTCACAATCATTTAATATTGTTATACAAACAATTATAACAAGTTTAGTTTTAAAGACATGTCAACTACAACATTATTATCACAAGCAGGAAAACAAAAAATATTAACATTTGCAAATGTTTGTAAGTAAAAATTACTTGATTTTAACAAAGATATATTTAGTTTAATCTCATTATTTCTAACTACTTTAATAGTCCGTTCTAAATTCGCTGATTCATTCGGAAACTTCCTTGAGAAATCGACTGCTGCTTCAACTTCTCTAGTTGTTGACATGTATAATTGTATGGATTTATTGAAATTTGATGCATCATAAAGGTCGGTCGGTCGTTCGTCTGTCAACTAATACTATCAATCTTTATTTTAGCTAATGTACCGATTGACGATAAGAATTGGGTAGTTTTAATGACAAACATCATTTCCGGTTCTTTAGCTGCTATTCCAGGTTAGGTCCAGCTCTTTGTGCAGGTTCTCTTTTGGTTTTCAATATCATTCTCAACAACTCTGCAATTGAAGACAAACAAAACAAAGAGATCTACGATATCCTCAATAGAGCAACCAGAGGTCTTGTTGCTGGATGGAATCAGGCAAACATCAAAGGTGCTACCAACTTGATAGAGCAGCTCCTGGAATTCCAATTGCTCCTCGCTAAAAACAAGCCAGTCGATGCCGATTATGTCAAGCTGAAATCGCTGACTCAAGCGGTTCTCGACTATCTCAATTCTCATTCCGACAGTATGTTACTCGCCGGCGTACGAAGTTGTTAGTTTGCCAGATTACGCCGCTTACATATCCGTACATTTGAAGTTCCTCGAGGATGTAAACAATCGTAGTGAATACTACAGACTCACTGCTACAGAACAACAATTGTATCTCAGTCAACTCGATCAACTCAACAAGAAATACATGCAAAAACTGCAAGCCGTCTATTATATGGGTCAGAAAGAGATCGAACAGATGTATCCCGACAAGAAGTATGAATCCGGTGACTACAACGCCAGATTCAACCATCTCCAACAGTATCGTAACTTTATGATCATTCACGTTTTCGATATGATCAATCAGTCGTTCTTTGTCAAAAAACATGGGCCATCCCTACGACTTTATCAATCCGAGAGCGCTCTACTCCAAGGTCTTTTGCCAGACCACCGATGTAATCAACACCATGATTAATGGTCCGCGAACACAAACCATAGGTGGCGTAAACAAAGCGGCGATGGACAGCTACAGAATGTCATCGACCGAACTCCAATACTATCTCTACACTGAGAAAGCGCACTTCTATGTCTCTGATATCAAACGTATCTTGATCTATGCAGACACTGAAAATATCTATGCCATTCAGAACGATTATATCGATTCATTCAACAACTACAGCAAGCGATACGGTGAGAACAAAGGAGAGTTTGTCATTGTCGGTGCAATCGATTCGCCTCAGTTGATGGTCAATCAAATTCCAAATGCTGGCGGTTCACTCAAATACATTGGATTGCCAGGTTCCAACCAGAAATTCGGTGCAAGCAACCACTTTAAGCTGCCAGTTGAATTGGTTGGATATGCCAAACACAAGATCGGTAGAATCAACGGAATAGCTCGTGCCACCTCTGAAAATAGAAAAACCGATTTCTATGGTTTAATATTTACAATGTTCCCGAGCAATGTCAATTTCTTTACCAATCTCAGTACAACAACGTTGACTATTATCAATGGTTCTAAAGTTGATTATGCAACTCGTAAGTTAATTATAAAATATTTTTAGTATTATAACAAACAATAACAAACTAATATCTATTAAAACAACAATAGCAATTGGTAACTATGAAATTATGCTTGATCACCAAAATATTGGAATGGATTCTATCAAGGCTCGTAATTCAGTTCTCTACAATGTTGAGTGCAGAGCCAAAGCCACCAAATTTATTATTAACATCTTTTGTGAACTTTTCACTGCTGGTTTGGTAGCATCCATTAGAACACAAGAACAAGAGGACAAAGATGCTTTAACTTTCAAATCTACTGCCAATGGTTATTTCATCAACTTTTCACCTATGACAATCAATCTTTCAAGAAAGTTGGTGCTAACTCTAAACAGAGAAACTATCATCAAACAAGTCATCTTCATTCCACTTGCTTAAAAAGCAAGACCAGAACTTCTATGCATATTGTAGAAGATGGCATAGTTACAGATGATAATACCAGTACTTCTTTACATATTGTCACAAAAAATAAATAAACTTTAAAGAAGATGTATGCTTTCTCACTCTTTATTAATTAACAAAAAATACAACAGTTTATTTATCTATTTGGCATCAGCCAGATGAGTAATACCACGATCTTATAGTATCAAAATCGTGTTGATGAAACTGAAACGACCAGATACTAAAATTTAAATTAATTAGATGCCTAAACCTTTTAAATATTGTAATAAAAACTGATTGATCTCACAATGAATTATTTTATTGAAGACTCGAAATTGTAAAAAAAAAATGTTTGTGGGTAGAAAATCAAAAAAAACACTTGTGAACATCACAAGACCAATTAATTTAAATTTATTTTATTTTTTATTTTTATTTTATTTTTGATTGATTAAAAAAAAACAAAAATTACTTCTTTTATTTTTTTTATAAAAAACTTTTTTAATAATTTAATTTAAATAATATAATATACAACTTTAATAAAATGGTAAGTATATATTTAGATATACTCTAAGTTTATAAACTTTGAATCTAAACTAATGGTATTTACTCATATAAATAGGCAAACAGAGTCGAATTAGGAGATTTCACATTACCAGAATTGAAAACCAATGATTCACAGTTTCAATCACACAGATACTCTCATCCAGTTGAGAGCATACAATTAAATGTATTTATTATACAAACAATATACCTCAACATATTAACCAAATAAAGCAAAGTAATCACAAACCAAGCAATACATAGTAGTTAAACAAAAGAAAATAGATAGAGATAAGATAATGTTCGATAAATTATCATTGCTATTGCTATTCAACAACAAAAATAGCGATACGTTGACAAATAGTGTCTATATAGATAATAGACAATATAGATCGATTGATCATATGATAGATAGTTATGTTAAGATGGAATTAAATTGTTATAAAAGAAATGATTATATTTATTTGTTTGTTTTTATTGGTTGGTTGAAAGAAAACAAGATTTATGTTATTAATTTTTCATTCTTTTCAATATTATATAGCAAGAGAGTGTAGATAATAGATTAAAGAATTTTGCAGTTTCAAATGTATTTGGACAACAATTGACAATGCACTACGAAATCGAAAAGCAAATTTATTCACAATTCCGTAGATTACCAACATTACCAAGCTCGATGGTCGGTTTAGAGACTGTTCTTGGTTTGGATGAAGATTTTGATTTTGCAGACTTCTTGAATGGTACTGTTACACTATGATTAATCATCTCATTTTTATACAACACCAACAACTAACATAACTATAATTATCATTATTATTATATAACAGATCCAATGATGTCAGAGAAGCCATTACCAACTTTACACGATGCTATGGAAATCAGATTGGGAATGACCAAGCCAAGTATTCTTAAATTTTAATTAATTCAACAACAATAACAACCAACAACACAGCACAAAACAACACTACACAACACGATCTAAAAACAGTATACATGATGTATAATATATAAAGTATATATTAATATTTAAATGTTAGATTATTAAATAAAACAATAAAATAGTATTCAATTTGTACAAAAAAAAAAAATAAAAAAAAATAGAAAACAGTTATAGATCTTATTGATTGTTGATCTTTGTTTTTTTTGATATAATATAATAAGAGTAAAGTTTATTATTATTGTCCAAAGTTAAAACTAAATGTATAACCACCTTGTTGTTGTTGATGATGACCATGATGACCACCTTGGTGACCTTGAAAACCGAAACCGAATGGGAAACCTTGTTGTTGTTGATGGAATCCTGGTTGTCCACCACCTTGTAGATCATCTCCACGATCGTAACGTTCACGTTTCTCTGGATCCGATAATACCTCGTAGGCCTCTGTAATATCGATGTACTTCTTCTTGGCGTCCTCGTCGTTTTGATCGACCTTGTCCGGGTGATGTAACACCGAGAGTCGCTTGAATTGCTTCTTGATCTCACGCTCGGTCGCTGCTTTGTCGACACCGAGAATCTTGTAGTAATCCTTTCTGCTCGCTTGCTTCTGTTTCATTTGGGCACGTCTGATTCCGTCGTGGATCGCTCCGTCGTTGGGACGCAGCTGACTGGCCTTCTGGAAGTCAGAGAGCGCCTTGTCGTAGTCGTCCAAATACATGTAGGCTTCACCACGATTGTAGAATGCGTCGGCCGACTCTTCGATCGATATCAGCTTGGTACAGGTGTTGACGGCGTCCTGTCCTTTTCTGGTCTTGAGCAGTGCTTTGCACTTGAGCAGGTAGAGTGGCGCCGAGTAGATGGGCGAGCTCGACTCTATCTTGAGAGCGGCTTCGATCTCCTTGAGCGTCTCATCGAATCGGTTCTGTCCAAAGTATTCTTTTGCGTTGTTCGATGCCTTGTCAAAGTTTGTGTAGTCCTTGAGTTGCTGCTTCACCATCTGATTGTCCGCGTCAAACTTGAGTGCGTCATTCAGATACTTGATGGCGGCATCCTTCTCGCCGATAGCAAAGAACGCCTTGCCACGCCAGTAGAAAGCGTTGACATTGGAACCTTCGGATTTCAATACGGAGGTGGTATCTTCGATGGTTCGCTTAAAGTCGCCGGTATGATACGATGCCTCGGCACGCAACAGCTTGATCTCTTTGATCTCGCTGGTTGTCGAGAGGATGCTGTTGAGAATGGGCAGTGCGTCTTGGTAGCGCTTCGACTCCATGAGTGCACGTGCTTCCACCAGCTGCTTGTTGACACGATCGATCAACTCGAGTTGCTTCTTGGCTTCGCTGTTGGTTGGCTTGGCTTTGAGAACGGCGTTGTAGTCTTCACGAGCCTGCTCGAAACGACCCATCGAAGTGAGAATCTTGGCACGCTTTATCTTGGCGTGAATATTGTCTGGATTGTATTGGAGTGCTCTATTTACATCGGACAACGCCAGAGTGTTCTTGCTTCGTGTCTGGTAGATTCCGGCACGCTTAAACAACACATTGATCAACGTTGGCACGTCAGCCTCTGCGGCATCACCGATCTTATCGATGGCACTCGAGTATCTATCGATCGAAGAATCAAATCTACTTTGTTTAAACAAATCATCTCCTTCTTTTATAAGATTTTCAATATCTGATTAAATAAATGATAAAAAGCGTTGATTTGTTAGTTTTCTTAATGTGTCTTGTGAATTTGATTCAAACAACAACAACAACAACAACAACAACAAATTGAATTGCTCTCTTTATCTTTTTTCTGTTTTTTCATTACCTTTTGATATTGAATTTACACCTGCAATGATGCATGTGAAAGTGAATAATATAAATAGTAAAATCGATGATTGATTCATTGTATATATATTTACTATGAATATTGTGAATGTTTTTGAATGATTTTTTGATTGATTGATTGATTGATTGATTTGATTTATAATGTATTCATTCAATCAATAAATCAATATTCTGTTTGTTTTATCGATTTCGATTTGTTCTGTTTCTAAATTACTTTCTCTTTTTTAAATAAATATACAAAACTTAAAAACTAATAAACATAAATATAAATAGATATTTCTATTAAACCCCTAACAATATTAATTTACACATTAAATTTTTCATTTTTCATTATTTTTTGAAGTGAGTCATCTTGCATTGCTTCGTCACCAACCAAAAACACTACTGTAACGTTAAAAATTAATTTAAATTTGAATTTAAATATTTTCAAAAAAACAAAAAAACCGAACGAATGTCATTTTGGAAATCAAGAAAGAAAAGAAACTAAATTAAATTATTAAGATTTAATTAAAAATAAATAAATATATTAATTAATAATGAAACCTAAATCATTTTCAAAATTTAATAACAATAATAATAAAAATAATAATAATCATAGTTTACAATTACCAAGATCACTTACCAATGAGATAAATGCTAATAACAGTAGTGAAAACGATTCATATGAAGATCAAAATCATTATAGTATAAAGAAAGGAAAGAGTAGAAAACAAGAGAGACAAAAAAAGAAAGATGAAAAGAAAAAGAGAAGACAACATTATCATCAGGTCAGAGAGGAACGTTTGATGAATCCCGAGAAACTAAAGAGAATAAAACAAGAGAAGGAAGATCGTATCAAACAGGAGAGAGCTGACAAACAACGCGAGAAGGAGCTGAGAGAGGAGAAGCGTAACAGAAGAGAGGAGAAGAGAAATCAACAAAATCAAGCGAGCATTGCAAAACTATCGGATGCAGAGAAGAAGCGTATCTTTTTGAAATCGATCGGTGGTAAAGAGAGTGACTTGCTCACCGGTGAAGACAGAGAGATTAGCTACTTGGAATCAAAACTTGGTTTGAAGAAGAAGAAGAAAGAGTTACCTTCGTCATTCAAAGAGGATGGTTTGGATGTCTTATTCAAACCTGTTAATAAGAAGAGACAATCTGATGATGATGATGACGACGATAATGAGAATGAAGAAGAAGATGACGATGCCGTTGAGGAAGAAGATCAATACGGTGTTTCAAACTCTGATAAACTCATGGATGAATTGGAAGATGCATTGGATGGTATCGGTGCTGATCCAGGTTCAGATGAAGATGATGAATTCGATACAGATCCAGAGGATCAAGTTGAAATGTTAGATGATATAGAGTTAGATGAAGATGAGGAAGAGGAAGAAGAAGATGAAGAAGAAGAAGATGAAGATGTAGATATGTTGGATGGGGATGAAGATGACCAAGAGTTTGATCTTGATGATGAAGATGAAGAGGATGTTGATGAAGAAGAAGAAGAAGAAGAGGAAGAAGAAGATATACAATTAACAAAAAAGACAAAAGAGAAGAAGGTTGAAACAAAGGAAGATATCTATGGTAGAATTGTAAATGCAAAGACAGGAGAGATCATTAAAGATAATAAGGGTGTTGGTAGTGAAGGTTTAGGAAAGTATGTACCACCACATCTTAGAAATTTGACACAAGATACCAACAACAACAACAAGTCATCGACATCAGCAACAACATCGACAACACCGACAATCCAACTTAGTCAAGATGATTTGAACCTAAAGAGAAAGTTAAATGGTCTGTTCAATAGATTGGCAACCAACAACTTTCATTCAATCTATCATGATATTGTACAGTTATTCAATGAGAAACCAAGAAATAGTATGTATTACTTTAAAAAAAAGATAGTTGTTTACTTACTTATAATCAAACTATCATTAATTATCATTTAGTTTTAAAGCATTTAATTACAGAGTTATTATTAAATAATTGTATATCGAGTGAACAGGTTATACATTCAATTATTCATGCCAATACTGCATTGATTGCAGCTATTCATTGTGGAATCGGTACTGATATCGGTGGTTATTTCATTGAGGAGCTATATAAGAAATATCAAGATGCTTATTCTTCTTCAAAGTCAATTAATGTTACTTCAAATTTATTATTAATTATTATTCATCTTTATAATTTCCAAGTATGTATTAGTGTCAATTCATACGTTCATCTATGAAATCAAATAAATATTAACTATAACATTTATTATTAGGTATTGGGTAGTGTCATCATTGTTGATTTAGCAAAGGTTTTTATAGAATCGTTCAGTGAAGATGATATTCAATTATTATTATTATTAATACAAAGTAAGTAAATACTATATTGTTATTTATTAATAATATCTTTGTTTATTGACAAAAAGAATATATTTATTCTATTTTTTTCTATTAATTAGATGGTGGATATCAATTAAGAGGTGAAGATCCAACTGCTTTGAAAGATATCATTTTGTTGGTTCAAAAGAGACAAGCTGACGTCAAGAAGGAACAAACCAATGAAAGTGTTGTTACAAAGCTGAGTTTTATGATGGAGACAATCACCAATCTAAAGAACAACAAAGTAAAGAATACAAAGTTGATAGAGACCGTTGCAACCCTGAAGAAAGCAATCAGATCACTTCTAAAGTCAACAGAGACATCGATGTCATCCAACACTTTGCGAATTTCATTGAAGGATCTCTCTTCGATTGACTCTGCCGGTAGATGGTGGTTAGTCGGTTCATCGTGGGCCGGTCGTGTAGATAAAGACGGAGTCATTAACTTTGGAAACGGTGGAAATAGCGGTGGTAGCGGTCAACCAATGAGTCAATCGGCGGTGATTGCTCAAGCCAACGCTGGTTTCACCGACGAGTTGATGCAGTCTGCCATTGCCAACAGAATGAGTACACCGCTCCAAAAGACATTGTTCTGCACTATCATGTCGGCCGACGACTTTATCGATGCCTTTGAGAGAATCATGCAGTTGCAACTCAAGGACAAACAGGACCGTGAAGTAATCAACATCATCTTGCACTGCTGCTTGAAAGAGAAGAAGTTCAATCCATACTATTTCCACTTGATTCAAAGACTTACTTCACACGACGAAAACATTAGATTCACTCTGCAGTATGCTCTCTGGGACCGTCTGAAGGACATTGCCAGCAGCCAAGTATCATCGCTCATGGTGCTTGCCAACTTGATGTCAAAGTTGATTGAAACTCATATATTCTCGTTGACATTGTTGCGTGTGATCAGCTTGGAGCGTTTGGATCCCAAATCGATTGTATTCTACCGTTTGTTGTTCACCTACCTCCTGACACTTTCATCGGAGCGTGAAACCGTCGAGATCTTTGAACGACTCTCTCTGATTCAAGACGAGAACCGTAGATCCAAAAAGAAAGATGATCAAGTACAAAACATAGAGACTCTCAAGAAAGGTATTGCCGTATTCTTTTTGCATGGACTCATATCACCAAACACTGAAAACACAGAACAAGTTCAACTTTTAAAACAAAGAGTTAAAATGGTTAAGCCACTCTTGAAATCAGATATCAACTTAAATTTCCTATAATCATAATAAATCAATCAATTAATTGTTTTATTTATTTACATTTCAAGTGATATCAAACGAAATCTATCATTTTAGATTCTGAAAAAAAAGTCAATTAAATAAATAGTTTTTATTTCTGTAACTTATTAATAACAACACCATTGCTGAGTCGATAGACAACCTGGATTGTCTTTAAGCGAACGTAATGCAGATTAGAAGCCGGGGCCTAGGCTGAATAAATAATATTATTAATAAAAATTTTATTTAATTTATTATTTTTCAAATTTATTTATTTTGAAGAGTCTCCTTTAAAAATAGTTTGTATAATTGTGGCTACATGAAATAGAATATAACTTTTATTTAATTGATTATTTTTGTTTAAATTTATTATGGTGTAATTGTTGTAGATGCACACCATTGTCGATCTTGATTATCAATATCTCGAAAGAATGGTTCACATTGATTGGATTCAATTGAGTATTTGAAATTACAATCATTGGATGAACCAAATGAATAGATACAGCTTGATTCCGGTGATTCTCGATGATACATTACGCATGAATACTGTGCATTTGTGAGAGGAATAGCATTGAGATTGAAAGTTTGTTTGGTTTCAACGTTATATTTGATGAATTGTTTGTTGGATGAATCTAATATAAAGAAATTTCCATTGTTATCATGACATGCTGAGTATGGTATAATGTCAATTTGATGATCTATTATCGTTTTATTTGTCAAATCGAATTGAAATAGCTTATTTTGATCATATGATATTGAATATAATGAACCTTTGAAAATCATCGATGATATTTGACGATCATATCCTTCAAGTAAATGATGATATGATTCGAACTTCATTGTATGGATGTTGAATCTATCAATTCTATTTTTTCTGTGGGCTCCATTCACTAAGTAGATATGATCTTGGCCATCATAACAAACTGATATATAATAATCACCTTTGATTCCTTCGATTTCACCAATATGTTCTATTGACTTGGATTTGGTAGAAATTTTAATCCATTTTAAAGTACTGGTGTATCCCCCGAATATATAGATATATTCACCAACTGAAACAATCGAGGAGTAAGTACAAGAAAATTTGTAATCAAACTGTAGTTCTTCAATTGAATAGTTGTTTGATGTGTTGATCAGTGTTGCTCCTTTTGATTTGTGAGTTGTGAAAATATATGATTGTTTATTATCATTGCTGTTTGATACAATTTTATCAAGTTTGATTGAATTTTCAATAATTGAATTCAATTGATTGAAATCATGTTGTTTGATTGATAATTTATAAGATGATATTGAATCGTCATTATTGTCAGTGACTGTTGTTGATTTAAATTGATTGTTGTATTTATGAATGATATCTAATAATAGTAATTTTGAATCATCGCCATGTTGTTTGATAAGTTCATCAATATTTAAATAGTTATTATTTTTATCATAATTAAACAACGTTTGATTGTTATCATTGATGAATGATTGTAATGATGAACTGGATGTTATTGATTTCATTATTGTTGCTGTTGAGTACAATGATGTTGTATCTTCAATAATTGACTGATTATAATCACCACTATTATCACTATTATTATTGTTATTATTATTTAATTTATTAAATATCTTTATAATATTTATTAAATATTTCAAATGATTAATATTATAATCGATTGAATTTGTGAGTGTATGTTTATCATTGATAATATCTCTTTGTAGTTTATGCTGTTCTCTAATGAGATATTGATGCAACTGTTCAAAGTGTTCTTTGATTTCATTCTCTGTTGTTGATAATGATTGAAATCTTGATGTAGATGAACAAAGTGATTCCCATATCGATTTAAGTTTAATATTGATTTGCGATAGGAAGTTATTACTATTGTCACTATTGATATCATTATTGGTTTTGGTGTCAATAATATTATCTACATTAAAATTACTCAATGAATCTTTGATCTGATCAATATGTTCCCATTCTGAATGATCAGGATGAGCTTGGTAATGAATACTGATACATATTGAACACATCAAACTATTACATTGGTAACAAATGAATTTCGGTGATTTTTGATGCTTTAAACATTTAATTGTCATTATTAACTTCTAAATCTTTCTAATGAGATAATTAAAGATTTTAAAAGAAAGAGAAAAATGAAAAAAAAAAATAAGTAAAAAACAAATCAATTAAAGGAAATTAAAATTTTAAGTTAACTGATCTATTCTGATTGTGTAATGGGGGTCACAAAATTAGATGAAAAAAAATAGAGTCCCGACTTTGGAAATAAATTGTTCTGTTTATTGTTATTAAGTTAATGATTGCGGAACATGTTCACCACTTTAGAGTGTTGTTGTTGTTGTTGTAGGGTTATATCGATATTAATCAGATGAATAGGATCGCCCTTTATTGATTTTGTATTAGTTAATTTAGTGTGATTGCGAATATAAGAGGTGTGGATAAGTGAGAAATTAAATTTAGAAATGTTTGCAATAGTTTTGTATAAACATATTTTCTAACTGTTTATCTTTTTTATTAAAAAAAATACAATTTAAAGATATTACCTCGTTATTTCATGTGAAAAAAAAAAGATAAATAATTGGATTACTTATTCAAACAACAAAATTTAAATTATTAATACTTTCTATCCTTTATTATGATATAATATCATTCGGTGAAGGAATGTATCGGAATCGAAATCTGGTTGTGACCAGAGTTGTGTTAGATTGATTTCCACTTTGTTGGTGCCTGGTATGACTTTGGACGCTTCCAGTACTTTCTTATGGTTTCTCAGTTGTGCAAGAATCTCATCGTCACCCGATTCTGTTTTCCATTTGACTAGCAATGCTTCGGCAGTGTTGATTGCTTTGATCGCTTTGAATGGTTCACCTCCATTGATGTAGATGTTGGCGAGTTTCGCACACTCTCTCGCAAGCTCGGTGGAATGCGAGTGACCAAGACGAACAAACATATTATGAACTGCTTTCTCTGCGTATTTCACAGCATCCTTGTAATTGTCCTCCTGAATGTACAGCCGAGCGAACGAGTCATAGACCTCACCTATTTTCTTGCTATTCTCGTGGAAGATAGTTGATCGCATTTCCAAACACTTTGCCAACAGACCCTCGGTTTCTTTGGTATCGCCAGTGGTCATCTGTTGAAGTGCAGTGCTCAGCATGATATTCGTCAAGATTGCATTCGATGTAAGTAATCCTGTTTCAGTTGGGGTCAACTGAGCATTGCATTTACTACATTCAAATACTCTATTGTTGTAGTTATCAAAAGTCAACCCTTCATCGTCTTCGTCATCATCTTCTTCAGCCTCGATTTCACTTGTCAATTTCGCAACATTAACTGTTTCCAAAAGAGTACCAGCACAAAAATATGATTTTCCATTCGTAGTTGGACATCTCAATGGATTTGGACCTGCTTTCCTAAGAAAAGAATGATTAAAAACAATTTAAACATCAATATTAGTTGTTTTGATTACTAAATATTAAAGTTGATTAAATAACAAACATACTCATTACAAGATTTACATCTACAAATAAAAAAGTATTCGGATTTCAAAGCTTTCAATCTTTCTCTTAGGTCTAGATGATATATATGTGGACCATAGGAAATTGATACTTCTTCATTCTTTTCTATATCTTTTAATGATCTAAAAATAAATAGGTTAGTAAACTCTGTTCAAATTAATATGTTTTCTCTTATGTTATTAATAACATATCATATTACTTACTTGATTAAAATTGAATTTCCTTTATATTGTACTAATGTGTTGTTATCACATGAATGATTCAAGAGTGATGCCGTTGGGAATATTACATAGGCAACCTTGACAGTGACGTATCGCTGAATTCCGTGCTGACAGAACTCATCTTGACCAAGAATCACTGGAATAGAGAAGATATAGGTTGAAAGCTGACAGAGATGACGTACCAGTATAAGAAGATTGTAATCGGATTTACTGATTCCCAGTGATTTGTGATGGATATTCAAGAAACGCTCTAGAATACAAGCTTCAAAGATAATCGATGCAAGTTTACTATTTGGATGTTCATTGTAGTGCGGATCGAACGAATAGATCAAATCGTAGTTTGGACTATAGATATTGGATTTCGCTTGCAACGGTTCACCATTCATTTCATCGGTATCATCCTGAATATTATCCAGCAGATCGGAAGCATCATTCGATATGATACGTGTTGATTTCGATGGTGAATGTAATTGACTACTATCTATATTGCTATTACTACTATTGTTGTTGCTACTATTTGAAAACATAACCTCTGGTTCAGGAGGATCGAATACACCTGTTGGTTGTGGTATATATTGTGTATCGATATTATTCTCTACTACGGTAACATTTGATTCTTTCGATTTCGACGATGCTCTTTCCTTTGATTTCTTTGCCAATATTCTTATTACCATCAAACTCTCTGTGGAACAAAGCAACAAGAATCCTTTTCCACACTCTTTCTCGTGAAAGTTATTATAATCCTCTTTCAAACATTCATCACCACAATATTGTGCAAGATTACATTTCTTACAACTGTTGTTGTTGTTGTTGTTGTTGTTTTAAATAAAAACCGGTTAGTTATCTTTAAAGTGTTTGATTAGCTACTGTTACTTACTAAATAGGTGCTAATATCTCTTTTAAACAATTGTGACAATAGGAGGAATGTGAGTAACGATCGAGACAGAATACGTATGCTTTCTCTTGGAAGAGGATTGTGTTTGATGCGATGAGATCGGTGGTTTCACCGAGACGACCAACACTGTCCGATCCATACTTGAAAGCTATACGCTGGTCGACTATCGATGCATGTCGCGGTTCCGTTGGCATCTCCTTGTCGATGAGATCACCCAGATTCATCTTGTTGATCTTCTCGAGGTAGTTCTCAATCGATTGGATATCAGAGGGATCCGACATCTTTGAGACGAGTTTGTGTGCCTCTTGGAAGTCGGCTCTCGCCTTGTGGTGACGCTTCATACTGAAATAGCATATTCCACGACGATACAGCAGCTTGTGTACGAGGTAATCAGAGTTTCTACACTCCAATCCTCGGGTTGCTTCGATAGCACCCTCTTCAAACTTCTCTAGATGCACCAAACAAAGACACCGATTCGAGTAGATCGAGCTTAGAACCTGCTGATCTTTAGTGGATTCCGTGTTGTAGAGTCGCAGTGCTTCGGTGTAGAGTAGCAGTGCATCCAAGTACTGTTTCTTTTGGAACAAGTCATTACCACGACTTTTATAGGCTTTACTAAGTTGTTGAACTTCTCCATGAGTTGTTTGTTGTTGTTGTTGTGCTGCTTGTTGTAGAGTGAGTAATGAATCATTACCGGCACGAGTAGATTGGATTAGAGTTGCTGTTGTCGAGTTTATGAATGAATCGATTGTAGATTGTTTAGCTTCGACTATTGTCTCCCACACGGGAATCGACATATCGATCTTATCGGTTATGCTGCTCAGCTTGTCGTATCGCATTGCCATACTCTTTAGTTGTGAATCCTTCACCAGTTTCATAGCGTTGATAGAACGTGACAACGAAGCAGCTATATTATTACGATGTGTAGTCTTTGTCGCTGTGGTGGTGGTACCAGCCGATTGAGGATGTACATGTCCATGTGTGTGAGCATGCATATTTACATTATGTCTATTTAATTGATGTTGCTGCTGCTGTTGTTGTTGTTCTAGATTATTGTCATTTTGATGTTGTTGACCAGCAGCATGAAATAACTGTTGTTGAAAGAGTTGCTGTTGTTGTTGATGTAATTGCTGTTGCTGTTGATGTAGTTGTTGTTGATGCAGATGATACTGATTCAATGACGTTGTTGTTGTCCTCTTTTTTGGTTTAGTCATTTATATATAATATTAATATACAAAAGAAAACAGTTTGGCTGTCAAATTTTCAAAGATTCGTTGATAATATATTCCTTCCAAAAAAAAATAAAAATAAATAAAAAAATAAAAAAAAATTGAAGATAATGTTTTCTAAATATAATTTTTATTGTAAAAGATATAAAATATCCAAAGATTGGTTTTTTATTCTATACTAGCATAGAACATCTTACAAAATCGTATTTCCAAGGTATCAATCAATCGACTACTTCCAACATAGCACTAGTGTAATCGCGAGGCTCCGTAGTCAAACCGGCAGGGGTCGTAGGCTTAGTAGGGGTCCTTTTGAAGTAGGTTGTGAAAGGGATAGACCCTTCTGTGTCCACCATGTTAGAAGCTTCATTAAGTTGTGGTATTAAAGACATAGTAGTTTTATATTAATGATGTTATAATTATTAAGTTAAGTGTTGATGTGAGGAGTATAAAAATATATCTTGTTTATTTAGTTTTGTTGCGCTTAAATAGCTTTGTATTGAATAGTCGGTTGGCAGTAGTCGGTTGATTGATACCTTGGAAATACGACTCCAACACACTTCTACCATTGTTATTTCGACTATTAGGTTCAATGAACATGATTTTTTTTTGATGAAAATGATACATCAAATTCAAAAAATTAAAACAAAAGAACATATTATATAATTTTATTATAATTTTTATTAAATTTGTGTTTATTAATAAAAGATTTTTCGTATTTTTTTTTTTTTGTGATCTTCACAGTTTTAATTAAATTAAAATTTTAATTATTAGATAAATTGAAATTAAAAATGGTAACATATTTAAATCTATTACTTTTTTGTTAATAATTCTATCATTAATTAATTTTATGTTTTTTTAAAATAATTTGTTTAAAATATCAAATAATTGTTAATTAAAAAAAGAGTTCAAATTTAAAAGCATTTGATGCACAGATTGCAGGTCACACAGAAGAGACACCAGGTAGCGAGAACATTCCTAGATTCTTACAATCCGATAATGGTTTTGTATTTAAACCAGTAACAGGTAAGAGAGGCAAACGTGAAGTAGAATTCTACGAACTCTCTGAGACCTACGATATCTCATTCAGACAATACTTAGCTGCTTTCGATAAAGTTATTAAATATGGTAGTCATGGTATGTTTATAAACAATCAATATTATATATCTAACTAACAAGTTGTTTGTTTGTTTGTTTGTTGTATAGAATATATGGGTATTGAAGATTTAACATATCCTTATGAAAAGGATCATGTCAATGTTGCAGATATCAAGATGGGCACTAGAACATACGATGCCTCTGCCACAGAAGAGAAGATCCGGCTGGAGATTGCCAAGGCATCGAAAACAACGACAGCATCACTCGGTATTCGATTCTGTGGTGCCAAGCTGGTGAGACCGGACAACGGTGAGCATCTCAAGTTCGATAAGGACTGGGGAAAAGCACTGACCAAAGACAACATCTTGCACGACGGTCTTGTAAAGTTGTTTTCATGCGGAGGTGACCATCTCTTCAAGGACATCGTTGAAGCCTACCTAGTAAAGTTGAGAGCATTGCTCGTCTGGTTCCAAAACAACCGAAGCATGGCATTCTACTCATCGTCACTGCTCTTTGTCTTTGGTCGAGTGAACGCCTCCCACAAAGCACATCACAACGTCACCATGATATCGGAACACCACGGAATCTCATTGAAAATGATTGACTTTGCACATGTCGATCCACTCGACAACAAAGCCAAAGACCAAAGCTACATCATTGGATTGGAGAACCTAATTAGTTTAATGGAGCAACTATTGAAATTATAAAATCTCAAATACTACCCCCATTCTTGTAATAAATCAAAAGATTAACAATGAACAATTGTTGACCAACATCAATTTAAATATTGATTATTTTAAAAAAAGTTGATTCTATTATAATAATTGTTAAATACTATCAAAGTAATATTTTTTAACCTTTTTAATTATAAAATAGATAGTTACTACTTTTACATTTCATTTTTTTATTTTTTTTTTCATTGTTTTTACTCTACCATAAACAGATAAATAATAAAAATAAATTATTACTTTATAATTTTCAACAATAATTAAAATATCTTTCAAATTTGTTGAGCAACCTATATTACAAATAATCTAATAATTCAACGATCAAAGCTCTCCAAACCACAGGTAATCCAATGTCTAGATAAAATATCTATATTGTAGGTAAAGAAACAACACAGCTCCTTTCCACTATGTGAATTATATACTGCAAGTACTACCATTCTGAGACTCTATTGCAAGTATTTGGTTCAAAATAAATAATTTAATTTCTCTTGTCTGTGAAGTTTGAATTCGCACTATTTAAAACAAAAACTAAATTTTTTATTTTTCTTGATCTGGGAATTCCTTTTTTGGACAAAGCTTTTATCCTTTATATTTATTTTCATTATTTTATTTTTATCAAAGAATTTTAGACTTTATTTATTAAGAAAATAAATAATATCTTGTATAAAAATAAATTAAAATAGATATTTATTAATATTTAGTAATAAATTAAAAAAGAAATGGTTCTAATTTCAGAAAAAAGAAATAATAGGAATATTAAAAATGTGCATAAAAATATATTGGGTAGTGCAATAGACTATTTGTTATCACCTAAATCATTTAGAATTTTATTTACTTTTATCTATATAATTGCAATTAAATCTTTTATACAATTCACTATCACAAGAAGATATTTTGTACCTACTGAAGAACAACCTCAATATAAAGTAATTCAATGGCTATTAGTTAGATCTTTAGCTATTTTATATTTCATATCTTTTCTATCTATAAAATCACAGTTACTTGGATTGTTTGGAAAGAATGGTGTACTACCAATAGTAGAGAATGTAAAAAAGAAAAGAGAAAAGAAAAAGGCATTCATTGATTCACCATCAATATTCCTTTTAGTTCAACCCTATAAGATTACAGACTCTTTTTTAACAAATTGTTGTAATTATGGTTTATTATGCTCAACTCTATTGTTTTTAGATATATGTCCAACATTGAATTTATTTTTATTATTCACTGTTTATTTATCTTTTAAAGTATGTATAGAAATTATGAAAATATATATGATTTCTTTCTTTGTATTAATCTCATTGATTATAGAATTGTGGAGGTGAATTCTTTCAGTTACAATTTGATAATTTAATGTTGGATACTACTTTTTGGACAATTTTACTTCCACCATTTAGGTTTATACCATTTGTAAGTTTGAATGGAAGCGGATTCTATCATTATTCAATATGGTGGATGTTTCATTGGATGTCTATAAGGTTGTTCTTTGCAAGTGGAATATGTAAAATATCATCTGGTGACTCATCATGGAGTGAAGGAGTTGCTTTGAATTACCACTTCTGGACACAGCCAATGCCTATTTGGACTAGTTATATTTTCAATGAGCTTCCTCAAACTATCAAGAAACTTGGATGTTGGTACCATTTCATTGTTGAGATATTCTCTCCAATCCTATTAATGATACCATGTTTTATTAATTTTAGTAAGTTTATAAAGAAATTAATTATTTTTTGTTATTCTTTTCTTTTTATACTAACAATCTTTATTAAGATGTATTAAATTTAATATTACTACAAGTATTTATATTGGCAAGTGGAAACTATGGTGTTTTTAATTTAAATTCAATCATTATATCAGCTACTTTTTGGGATGATTCTATCTTACCTTTTTCTTTTAGAAATCTAATTTCAAAGTGGATAGTATCAAACAATGATGCCATTGGAAGTTTAATATATGAAGGATTCTTTGTTATTTTGGCATTAGCTATTGTAATATCAACTTTATGTTTATCATACATACCTTTATCAAATGTAATTATAAAAAGTACTGAAATCATGAAAATAGTAATATATTTTAACTTATCTACCAATTTTAAATTAAAACAACAATATAGCTAACTAGAGGAATGTTAGATATTAATATTAGCTTATATCAACGATATATGTATGTCGCTAGATTTGGATTGTTAAATTACTATGGTTTGTTCGCATCGATGACTACCACAAGAAGAGAAGTCATCTTCAAAGGATCTCACGATGGAAAAGAGTGGTTACAATATGAATTCAATTGGAAACCCGGTGATTTAAATAGACGACCTGACTTGATTATTGGGCATCTACCACGATTGGAATGGCGATTGTGGTTCGCTCAATTCGAGACATTTGGAATGAGTAAGAGTCAGTGGTTCGAAAATTTCTGTCAACGACTACTGGAGAACCAGCCAGAGGTAGTCAATATGCTCAGGAAGAATCCTTTCCACTCAAAGAAACCAAAGTACTTGCGTTGTGAGATTGCAGCCTATGAATTCTCTGATAACAATCCTTTCCACCGAATCAGTCACAAAAAACAGAAAGAAAAAGACGAACAACAACAGCTACCACCTCTTGAAACAGATTCACAAGGTAACATTCTAAAGTCAAGATTCGAAGACGACGGTACTTGGTGGCGTAAAGAAAAGTCTTATCTCTACTATCCCACTATGACGCTATGTGAAAATAAACTTGCATTCATAATGCAACAATAAACAATAAACAAGATAAAACTACAAGTAACAAAACAACAACCATTAAAAATTAATATTACAACTTTAATATAGTTTATTTGATTTCTTTTGGTGAAGTTAAGCTAAGTGGAGGTGGAGTGGATTGGATGGTGTTGTCTTTTGTTCAAAAAAAAAGCTGAATAACAATAATAATAATAATAATGGTCTTATGATTTAATTGATGATCTTTCGATTTGTTTCTGTGCATCTCTAAGTTTGAAAACTAAATCCTGTAATTGATCTAATGTACATGCAAATTCGACTTCACCCTTTTCACCCTCTTCCTTTTCGGTTGTCAGATTGATGAGGTAGACCGGTGTGTTTACTTTTTCTATTGAGTTTGATTTCATAAAGTAATCCAGACGCCAATTAACATCGATGATATGTGGATAATGGAAGTTGGTAATTGATAGCACCTTTCTAATTGCTATTCTATTTTGATTGAAATACTGAATGATTACTTGTATTCTATTTGATGATAGTTTATGATCTTCCAAAGTATGACTATATTAATTAATTAATCAATAAATATTAATAAACATCTTCATATTATATATATAAACTATTTATTCTCTTACGTTATTACACTGTTATCTATATTTGATTTCATTGTCTCTAAAATGAATATGATGAATGCTGAATAGGTTTGTTTTAGTGCAATAACATCTACATTCTTTAATGAACTATTCTCTATTGATTAGATAGATAGATAGATTTGAATGTTAATAATATATTCTAGTTATTGTTGAATGAATCGAGATGATTTGACTACACAATTTATACATACCAAATAGTGCACTTTCAGTTTCATGCTTTAAAACAACATCAAAACAACAATCAATGAGAGCTCTGAATGCTTCATTTGGTACAATTTTCTCATCAGCGAGTACTTCTAATCCTTTTAAACAATCTTCACTTAAATTCATTCTTCTTTTATCTATATATATTCTTATAATTATTTAAGTATGTTACAACTCAATCATTTAACACACCCACAACCAAATTATTTGCAATGAAAAAAATAATCATTTTTCATATGAATTTTCTGCAACTTTTTGTATTTTTTTTTTTTAAATGATCACTATTTTTTAATATCATAATTATTTATTTATTAATTAAGTAGTACTTTTATCAACCAACCATCATTTCACTATTGATACTATTGAATATCAATTAAGTGTGTTTGTACTTTGAAAGAATGTAGTATACCTAAAAAATAAAAAAAGGTAATGTATAATACAATCAATAACATAAATTGTAATGTAGTAAGTTTGTTAACTCTATTGTTGTTGTTAAAATATTGTTTAATTTTTCTCATTTTTATCATATTTTTTCTTTAATATATGTATATATTAAACAATTGCAAAAATGAATAAAAGTTTGGTTGAGGCAAACAACAATCAGAAAATTGTTATTGAAATATCAATCTTGTTTATTTTATATTATAAATAGTAATAATTGACAATTTTTTTACATCAATCAGAACTCCATTTATATCAATAAATAAAATAACGGTTTTTTTTTTTTGCAATTCATCAGATTTTGAAATTATATTTGACCCAACAAAAATATAAAAAAAAATCAATAAAAATCAACAGTCATCGGTGTTCATTTCATACCCTAATGTTTCATGTTTTTTTTTCTGGCTAAAAAACAATTCTAAAAAAAGATTTGGCATCGGCTTCAACACAATTGTGCTTTTATAAACAAAAAAAAAAACTAAAATCAGATTCCAAAAAAAATAAAAATAAAAAAAACAAACAAAAAGGGTATGAAATCAACACCAATGCACTGTTGATTTCGTTGAAATGTCTTTTCGAATCTGCGATTTGCAATGGGGCATTTCATTGTTGATCAACAACCACACAACAAATGTTTGGAAACCACCCCCTATTTAGTATATCCGATAAAATAACCCACCACTATAAATCAATAAAGAAGAGGCCTAATTATGTGGATCTGGATTTTGTTTTTTATTTTTTCGTGTTCTTATCAATTAAGAATTGGGTTGATAAAATTTCAATCAAAAACGATTCCTTGATTCGAAAAGGTACCTTTTGCAGCTGTTGCCATGTTTTTTTTTTTTGAAATATATCAAAATAGTTTGTTCCTCAATGCGAAATGTTACAGAATATTATTATTAACAAAAAAAAATCAATTTTATCTTAGCCGTCGCCGGTGATAACCACAAAGCAATCTTCATCTACGATACGGTAGGCCTGAGAACCGTATTTGTAATGATTTGGGAAGACCATCCAACATTCCGTTTGGGCTGTGTGTGTTGTGTGTTGAGCCAAACCATAGTGAATCGAGCAATTGCAAAGATCATGAAATGGTACAACATGCAAGCAACTAACAAACAAATATTTAAGCAGTAAATTGGCAAATATTATATTATTATTGGGTGATCCATATCCTCCGTTTGATGTTGATGGTGATTGATTTTATATTGTTTGGAAAACAAATAATCCCTGCCAGCCACATTGGATCTACTGATATTGATATTGACATGATAAACATTATCAACACAACCAAACTCATTGTTTTAATTAAGATAATTTTTAATTTTTTTTGTTAATTTTTTTTGAATGACACTTTAAAAACTTGGAAATTGCCCAATGTAAGATATTTAAATCCCAATACTTCCCCAAATACTTTTGTTTTCATTCTATTAATCATTTCATAATTATTATCATTTCTATCTATATAGATTATCTGTAAATTTAAATTATTTATTTATTTTATTTATCACAAATATCTGTAATAGTATCTGTATAAAAAATAACAAAACAAATTTTTAAAAATGAAGTTTGATAATTTTATTTTTAAATTTGTTTTGATTTATTCGGTCTGCGTTGGCTTGGCTCATGCCCAATCTGTTTTCGGTCCCTATCCAGGCAACGGACATTACTACCAATTAATTTCATATGCAGGATCAACATATGATGCTGCTGTTGCAAATATTAATTCTCAAGCAGCCTACCAAACTTTACAACCGTATGTAATAATGAATTGAATTGAATTGATAAAAAATATTAACAAATAATTAATGTAAAAAATAATGTTTCTTATAAAATAATTATAGATATTTGGCTACAATTAATAATGAAGAAGAATTCAACTATATTACCAGTCAGATAACCATTGTTCCAATTGCCTCCAAAAGAATTTATGTTTCTGGTATTTTCGATAGTGGTTTCTTAAAATACAATGGTAACGCAATGGAGAAAGGATCATCAATCTATTCCTATCCAACCGCACGTTGTTTTACCTTCTGTAAATTCGCCAACGAATATCCAAGTGCTGGAAGTGCACAGGTGTATTTGTCTTTGAACAAAACAGGAACCGTATGGGCTCTGGCCACAGAAGACTTTGTCGCCAACAGCTACTATTTGGTTGAATACGGTGGTTTGAAAGAACCATTGATGGCACCACCACCATCTGCCGGTGGTCCAGTCACCATTTCCAATTTCGTTACCAGTGAAGCCGGTGTAGCTTGGAGTATTAACAACGTACAGGTTTTCAAAGATGGTGTTTCCCTCCCAATTATCACCTACGGTACAAATCTCTTGGTTGTCCAATGGCCAGCCGGTGTCAACAGATATGACTTGGTAATAACCGATAACAGAACTGTTGGTGCACATCCCCAATTCAACCTTAAAAGCACTCACTATGATAGTAAGTATATACTTATTAATTTGATAACAAAAAAAATTACTTTATTACTAATTCTTTTTTTATTTTTATTTTTTCTATAGTGCCATACATTACTACTTTGTATGCCAAGACTTTCACTGCCAACTCTGTCATCACTCTCAATGGTGGTAATTTTGGTACCGATCCTTCAGTTATCACTATTAATTATGGTTCAACCGCTGCAGTTTGTGGTTCAGTTGCTATTCTTGAAGCACACAATTCCATCACATGTAAATTAGGAACCGCGACAAACAAAAATACTGTTACTCTCCTTCCAATGACCGTTGCAGTTGGTTCAAATAACTTTGTGTACACCACCAATAGAATTCCTTTCTGTAAGTTGTTTGGACTTAACTTCAAAAGAGGCATGATTGAATCAATACTAATATTTAAATATTTCTACCACCGATATAGATGACTATAATACTGGTAGAGTTATTCAAATTTTCCAAGAGGCTAAAGTTATGTACGGTGCAAGCTCAGGCTCGACTGACGCCTCCTTCAATTATCTTGGATATCAAAGAAGAGTTTTCAATTCAAATTACATTGATAACAACTATTGTTCATTGGGATATGTCCTAAATGAGCCACAATCAGAAACTATTCTCAACAACATCAAATTGGATAACGAAATTTTCATTGCTGGATATGCACCTGGTAGCACTTTTAAAGTTACCGCCAACGGTGGTCCCAATGATGGATCTACATTGATTAGCTCAATTGGAACTGGAGTTTGTACTAATACTACTATGTATTGTCCAAACCCAAATTACCTTACTGGTGGTATGTATTTCGCTACATATGCCAGAGTTATCTATTATGGACAGCTCACTGGTCAAGGACAATCCTATAAGGCTGGTATGTTCTTCCAGTGTGGTAACTATCCAGCTGCCGCTGCTGCAATCACCTACTCTGTGGACACTGCAGGTGGACTCATAAACTTCGCAACTCTTAATGGATGTGGTTTCAAATACTCCACAAGATCGTTCGATCTCCAAGCCGTCAACTATCCAGGAATCGCCAATATCTATCAAATTGGAAACACTACTCTCGGTCTCAATATTCCAGCTGGAACCGGTGCTAACCTCCCTCTCACTGTTTACATTGAAAACACTCAACTTAAAAACGCCTTAATCTCATACAAGGCACCAACTATCTCTTCTATCACCCCGGCTCTTACCAGCTTTGGTGGAACTATTATTATCACTGGTACCCAATACGGTCCAAATGTAAATGGTATCTCTGGTAAATGGGTCTCTGGATCAACCACTTTGACTTGTCAATCATTCACAATGGTTACCGCCCACACCCAATTGAAATGTACATTGGGAGGAGCAACTGGTTCAGGTGTCTTTACCTTGACTGTCAACGGACAAATTGTCACCTTTGGATACGCTTTCTCGCCACCTATCATTCAAAGTGCCTCTCAATCTGGAACCACATTGTCGCTCAATGGTATTGGTTTCGGTTTGACAACAGCAGGTGTTACTTCTTCACTATCAATGACCAGCACATCTCTCACCACCGTTTCCGATCCACAAACATACAGTGGTACCGTGCCATCCAATACCAAGAATCAACCAATCACTTTTACAGTTGCCAGTATCATGTCTGCACCATACTACTTAACTTTCCAACCATCGTTGTCATCTGTTTCCAAACTCTCTCCAAACGCTGTCAGCACTATCAATATTGGTGGTAACTTCCTCCAACTCACTCGTCTCAACAATACCGTCTGTGAATCTTCGATTCTCATCGATGGTGTCACTCCATGTACCTCCCCACTATCTACCACCTCTGGAAATGGTTTGAGTTGTAATGCACCAGCCATGACCGGTACTCACAGCCTCACTGTAACCATCGACGGTAAGACATCTACTCCAATCCAAATCGTTGCTAACTCGCCATCTGTCTCATCGTATGTCCAAACGGGATACAATATCGTTATCACTGGTACCAACTTTGGATTGGGTACCGCTAGTGCCACTGTATCGATTGGTACTTACACCATCACAACTGGTGTCACTGTTACCTCTACAACCACCATCACCACCACTCTTCCATCGAACATTCGTAACGACGTACTCAAAGTAACCATCGACGGTTTGCCATCAAACACTATCGATTTCAAGGCTACTCCAACCATCACCTCTACCTCACTCGTTAACACAGTCGGTGGTAACTTGGTTATCACTGGTACCTACTTTAACAGTTTGAATGGAGGTAATAACCCAGTCACCATTGCTGTCTTGGCCAACGGTCAAACTTGCGCTAATCCAAGCGTTACCATTGACAATACTGAAATTACTTGTACACTCTCAGCCGGTACTGGATATAATCTTCCAGTTAAAGTCACAGTCGATGGTGTCTCTGCCAACAGTGTATTTGCTTTCAAAGCACCATTAATTAACTCTGCCAGCTTAAACAATGGACAAATCATTATTACTGGTACTGATTTCGGTACTACCAATAATAATGTCCAAGTCTCATTCTCTGGTGCCTCCATCCCATTGGCCTCTATTTCATCCGATGCCACCACAGCCTCATTCAACATTCCAACCAACGCTTTGAATTCACCAATCGTTTTAACTGTTGCCGGACAAGCTTCCAACCCATACCCATTCACTTTGACACCATCTTTGAACTCTGTCTCACAACCAAAAGCTCTTGGTGGACAAGTTCAAATCAGTGGTTCATACCTCTCCACAAAGAACTACGATGGATCAACCAATGATTTAGCCGTTACTATTGATGGTACAACCACATGCACCAACCCCACAGGAACCTCGAGCTCACTTACTTGCACTGTTCCAGCTGGTTATGGTACTGGTCATTCCATGGTTGTCACCATTGGATCTTTAACCTCCAACAGTCTCCCATTCGCTTATCAAGCACCAACCGTCACCTTGTTCAACCAATACAACACTCACACTGTCATCAACGGTACAAACTTTGGTTTGGATACCTCTCAGGTATCAGTTGCCTTCGGTCAATCTCAACCAGCTGCTCCAATCAACTTGTATTCCAGTCCAGAGTCAATGGAAATTGTTATTCCAGAGTTCACCAAGAACGGTAAATTACAAGTTACTGCAGGTGGACAAACCTCGAGTCTCTTTGACTATAAGCTCTCACCAGTCTTGGAATCCGTTACTTCTGTTGGTTCCAGTGGTGGTTTAATCACAATCAAAGGTCACTTCCTCAATGTTGAAACCGACGATGGAACTCCAACCACCATCAGCGTTACTCTTCTCCCAGATATCGAATGCACCGGTGTAGCCAAATTGGATGACACAACCCTCAACAGAATCACTTGTACCTTACCAGGTGGATCTGCCGAGAATCTTCAACTCCAAGTCACAATCGATGGTCTTTCCTCCATAATTGCTTTCAGCTATGGTGCTCCACTTATTCACTCGATCACCGTTTCACCAAGCAATCAAGTCAACATCACAGGTGAGAACTTATTCAACCTTCAAAACTCACCAATCGTTAACTGGGGTAGCACTCTTCAATTCAGCACTGTCACTACCTCTGGTAACTCTGTTATTTTCACCGTTCCAGATGGTACCCTCGGAGATTATGTCGGTGTAACCTTGAAGAATAGAGCTTCCAATACTTACTTTGTTTCACTCTACCCAATTATCACTTCAATTACTGCATCAAAGACCAGCGGTTCTGATGTCGTCGTTACCGGTACCTATCTCAATAGCTACAATGCCGATGGTAGCTCCACCAATGTTACCGTTACCATCGATGGACAACCATGTGACGTCGTCGCCGATCAATCTACCAACGAGAAGACTATCACTGCTCCATACGGTGTAGGATCCAACCACGTTGTTGTATTCTATGTCAATGGACAATCCTCAACCATCAGCACTTTCAACTACATTGCTCCAACCATTACTGCAATCTCTCAAAATGTATCACAAATCACAATTACCGGTGACAACTTTGGTAATAATACCGGTGCCATCGAGTTACCATCGGGTGTAACTCTTGACAGTGTTACCCATGATACTGTTATTGCTCTCCTTCCAGCATCATACAAATCAGGTACATTCAACGTTATTGTTGGTGGACAAACTGGTTCCTCTGCATTCGTCGTCACTCCATACATCACTGAATTCACCAGTGTCAATGCCCTCGGTGGTGATATCACTGTCTCTGGTCTATACTTTAACATTGACACCCAAAATGGCGATGCCACTGAAATCAGTGTAATCGTTGGAACACAAAACTGTGCCTATGTAAAGAACATTGCTGACACTAACATTGTCTGTACTCTTGGATCCCATGCTTTCAACCACAAAGATATTCAAGTAACAATCGATAATCAATACAATATCATGTCAGGTTACAGCTCTTTGCCACCCACTGTTCTCTCGGCAACCGGTCTCACCTTTGGTACTGCTGGAACTGTCACAATCTCTGGTATTGCCTTTGTTGAACCAATCAACAGCGTAAGAATTGGAGGTACCGAATGTACAACCGTTGATGTTGTCGATTCTAGCCACATCACCTGTGAGTTCTCAGCAGATGTTGTAGGTTCCTCCGTTATTGGTCTTGAAGTAGTCGTTTCCAACGCTGGAATTGAAGGATCTGCCAACGTTTTCCTCTACAGCCAATTGGATTGCTCAAATCAATGTGTCAACGGAACATGTACCAACGGTTATTGTGCTTGTGTAGTTGGTTATTCCGGTCAATTCTGTGATATTGCAGTTGCCGATATTGTCCATCCCGCCTCCCCATGGAATCCAATTCAAATCTACCAACAATTCTTACAAAATCAATACTTCATTTCTGGACTTTCCTACGTCCGTGAAGTCAACACTCAAACCGGTAGCGTAATCAACTCAATCAATCTCATGGATAACTCATTCACTTCAATTGGAAACGATCAATTCCAAACCTCTGAAGGTAGTGTCACTGTCACCGTAACAATTACAGTATTCATAGCCGATACTACTTCCTATAACTTTGCTGGTGAACTAATGGCAATTCCAAACGGTGCAATTAAACACTCCGTACAAGTCACCGGTTGGCAATTTGCTGACCAATCCAATTCACTCCAGGTTGTCTACAGAGCAAGTGCCCCAGAATCAGTCGCATACAACTGCACAACCTCTCCATCTACAATCACTTCTTCCGACCCAGCTACAACCAAGATGTCACAATCATTCTTGCTTGACACTGAAGCTGGAATCATGTATATTTCAGTCTCAAATCGTGCATACATTGACGGTGGTGTTGGTTACGTATCTGCTGTTTCATTGCCCAGCTCAGGATTCCCAGCATCTCCAAACACCAACATCCTATACTATGCTATTCAAGTCCCAGCTTTCGCCTCAGGTGTAACAGTCGATCCAACCTTTGTCGCCTACAATAAACCAAATCTTGTTTTCCCCAACTGTCCAACACCAACAACAACTGGTAACACACCAACAACTAACACCCCAACAACTAACAATCCAACTACTTCAACCACCGGTAACAACCCAACAACCTCAACAACTGGTAGCAATCCAACTACCTCAACAACCGGTACCAACCCAACTACTTCGACAACCGGTACCAACCCAACCACTTCGACAACTGGTACCAACCCCACTACTGGTGACTCAACTACCGGTACCAACCCAACTACCGGTAACACCCCAACCACTGGAGAAGACCCAACTACATCAACAACAGGACTCTCATCAGCATTCAAACTAACACCATCAACATTCAGTGTTATTCTTTCATTGTTGGTAATCTTATCAATATTCTTTTAAAACAAAAATTCAAATTAATTTTTAAATAAACAAACTAAATTATTAAAATAATTCTTTTAAAAATTAAATTTCTAAAAAAAAATATTAATCATTTGATCACATCTAATTATCATATAATAATAATATATTAAAAGTAGTCATCAATAAAAAGTTCCTAAGAAGACTATTTTGTCATAAATCTTAGGTTTTTATTTTTATTGAACATTCAATTCTTATTATTATATTCACGAATTCACAATCCAAATACAATTACCCTACTTTTAATATATTACCTTTGTACAAAGAAGAACAATTGTTCTAAAAAATAGAGTAATAATGTGCACACTTCTATTCAAATAATATGAAATTATGCAAAAAGTGTTTTTGGGGTGGGCTTTGATTTCTTTTACAATAAAACAAGTGTTATCAAAAAGTAAACTTTTTTTTTTTGAATAGTTTGACATTTATAGCTAATATGATTGAAAAAGACTATGTAATGTCGTGATCCTATCGATTCTCAAACATCACCAAAAATTGCTAATACTATTGTCACATGAAAAGGTATGCGGGGTTACATAACAATTAATTGAACTAAACACACTAAAATACCCAATAATAGTATGAACCCTTGGAATCCAAATTCAACCACCATCTTAAAGCCAAACTCTAGAGTTTCACCTCTGCACTAAGGTGTTTTGTTTTTTTTTTTTTTTAGCTTCACTCTTTTTTTTTCCCGACACTGATTAATATCATGCTCTAGGTTCCGAATTAATACAAAATAACTGTAAAAGTTGAAAAGTTATTTGATTTATTAATGATTTTTGTATAATAGTTCTTCTATCATCATGACAATATGACTTTCGATTTCTTTATCTATTCATGTGATGCATATTCAATAAATCAAAAACATTAAATGCTTTAGAAAGGTGAAAGTTACTGTTTTGTTCAACTCTGAATCATGTTTTTGGGTAAGTAAGTTTATATGAAGATCACTTTGTAAACTTAAGTATTCGAATAAAGCCGATCGGGTATGTTAATGTTGTTGAAAAAATTGATTAATTTGGATTTTGATGTTGATATTATTTTAATTAAAATTAAAAGTCAGTAAAAATTAAATGATTTCTTTATTATAAAGGAAAAAAAAGTATGATTGTTTTTTTTTTGTGATTTTTTGCCTTACATCTTTGACTGAGGTGTGGTGGCTCATCAGTTAAAAAAAAAAAAAATCAAAAAAAAGAAAAATACCCCAAAAAAAAACACCCCTTTAAACAATTTAAGACAAAGCACCAGTTATTACCTTTGATTAATGGAAATGGGATATACTATACTCACACATTAATCCAAAGTTTTTTTTTTTTTTTTTTAATTGAAAATGATCATTTTTAAACAAACGATGTAATTTAGCACACTCAAAGGTTTCAAGAGTTTTTTTGAGTGATCTGATGGTTTAGGTGGGGTGTCATCATCCACTGCGGTACTATATTTTCTAAACTTTTAAGAAGGAGAAGAAACTTACTAAGGTAATTAAAATTTGTTTTTTAATTTTTTTTTAATACCAATTGATTGAAACACAATTATAAATAGTCCAAACTTGATCAGTCCAATTCAGTCAATCAATCAATTATTTATATATCTTTTTATCATTTTCCTATTAAAGAATGAGAGTAGTATTATTATTAGTAACTTTAGTTTTATCTGTTTTAGCTGTTTCGAATGCTACCAATTTGGCAGCTGTTGAAGATTTCGGTATGCACTTTACTTTTGTTTGTCTCAAACACAACCCTTTCTAACATGTTTATCTCTATCAATTAGGTGGTGTTGTTATTGGAGATGTTAGTAAGGGTGCCATTCGTGCTTATGGTTTAACCCAAGGTCTCAGTGGTTTCACTGTTTCAGGTTTGTCTCTCTTTGGTTCCGTCGACGATAACTCTGCCAGTGTCCAAGCCGACTTCAACTCTTTTGCTTTCACTGGTCTCCAACAATGTGCTTACGCTTTGAGCTACAACAAGATCGCCGCCAATGCCGGTACCGGTACTGGATCGGTCGATGCCGACGTCTTATATGCCACCTACTTCCCATCTTTGATCGTTGAGTACGAAGAGACCGACGGTGGAAATGGTTACCAATACGGTAAGGATAAACTTTTGGGTTGGTCACGTCTCAACCAATGGGGTTCAATCATTCCAGGTGTCAACAACTGGGATATCAAGTCAAGCTCAAAGAACTACGACGCCACTGTCAACGGAAAGAACTACACTTTCCCAATCTTCCAAGTCAACACCACCTCACCAAACAACATGGTCACCTTCAGATTCGTCATTCCAGGTGCCAACGTTGAAATCAACGACCTCGAATTGAGTGCCGAACAAACCAAGATCGACATTCAAATCAACAACTACTATGACTCCACTGTCAACAAGAGAACCACCGGTTGTGATTCCACCGACGTCCCATTCTCATGTGATGCTACCGGTCCATCTGACAATGCCAACTCACGTCTCGCTTTGATCTCCTTCTTTGCTACTCTCTCTGCTCAAGCCAGCGTTGGAGCTTCCGGTTCAAACGGTGTCAGCACCAACGGTGGTGCCATCACCGCTGCCTTTGACTGGGTCACCTCTGTCACCATCAACGGAACCAAATCTGCCTCTGTCCACACCGAAGTCGATGTTCTCACCTCTGGTTTGAACAACCAATACGGTAACTTTGACTTGAAGATCGGTCTCAACGGTTTCGCCAACATCAATGCCAACGTTTTGGTTCAATCATTCGACGCTGTTCGTCCATCCAACGTTGTCTGGGATCCAGTTTTGGGAGGTCAAGCCAACTCTGCCTCTGTTGTCATCCCATCGATTGCAGTCATCCTCGTCGCAATCATTGCTTTATTATTCTAAATTATATAACCCACTCAAAAAACCCTACCGATTTACAAGACCGATTACTTTGTAAATCAAATAACAACATTTGTAACCTATTCCAAAATATCTATAATCTTAAATTCATTAAATAAATAAATTTATTGAATATATGTATTTCTAAAATAATAGTTTGGAAGGTGGTCTACCATCCCAAAAACAAAAAACAACAATAATTAATAATATATCTTTTATTTTGTTAATATAGTATTTTTCGAATCGAAAAAAAAAAAAATTATTATTCTCTGTATTTGTATAATTATTCTATTCTATTTTTTTTCTATCTTGTTGTTGAAAGATGTTGGTTTTAAAAAATTAGGTTCACAAATATTTTTTGGACATCCATTCGGCTTGGTAGGGAAACTTATCAATGTAAAATCTCTATCACATCGTAGATAATCATCGGAGAAACATGTTTCAGGTTTTTCACACCCTTCAAACTTGTAACATCTATCTGCATTTCTAGAATATGTAGGCACTGTGTCTTTTAAACAATTGACGGGTGGAATTTCTGGACATTTAGTGGGAGCTCCATTTATATTAACAAAAGCATAGTGGATTTCCAATTCTTTATATAATGTAGTTCCATATACTATTGCTTTGTAAGGAAATTCGGTAAAAATCTGCTTCTCTACCCAATCCATATCAATCAAATTGATAGTCCAGAAATCACCAATATCCAATTTCATAAATTCAAAAGAGTTACTGTCATTATTAACAGTATGTGCTACATATTGACTAGACTGATTCTTTAATATATCAACAAAATAGAATTTTCCGTTTGTCAGTGCTCTAGTTGGAACATCTAATAACAAATAAGAATGATCAATATGAAAGTTGGTATGACCATCCTCAGTAGGGGTGAAAGAACCAGAGAGCATTATATTCTTAGGATCTGTATTTAAAACAAGGCTCTGACTATCTCTATTGGAGAAAATTAAGTTATTCACCTCAATATTGATATTATTCTTAGAGTTGACTTCTCTAAGAAAGTATCTTGTACAGTTGGAGGTATCATTAGAACCACCTTCTAGACTCGGTTTAAAGGTGAAATAAACTGAATCTTTGGCTAAACAAAAATTAAAAATGCCAAAAAACACAAATATTTTAATAAAATAGCTATACTTCATTCTTGAAAACTATTCTAGAATTAAAAGAAATAATGAAAATACAAATTTATATTTAATTTTTTTAAATTTTTTAAATACTTAAAATCATAAAAGATTTGAATTATTTATTTCTATAAATGATCAAAACTTGTAATATACATTTATTTTTTATAGATCTTACTTCTGACAACTTTTTATTAAGAGAACATCCAAAAATGGGGTTTAATCACATAGAATTGTGTTAGTCAGTTAATAAAATTATGACAGGACAACAATTTGTTTTTATTACTATTTTTATTTTATTTTTTATATTGTGTAACTGTAGGTAGTATTAAAATAGATTCTAACGATTAATATCTTTTGAAAGGTAGAAGACTTTCATCATTAATAATCGATTAAGCAGTTTCATTAGTAGCTGTGTTTTAATAGATTTTTGTGTGTCTCTCAAGTATAAGTATGCAAATAAACTTGTAGTTTTAAGAAAATTATTAAATGTCGTTTTGTTTTATTTATTTTAAAAAAAATGATTATAATTATATTATAAAGTTGAATCAATACTTCTTTTTCTATTATTCTTAAAAAAGACATCATGTGCGTTGGAGTCTGGTGAAAGTGATGGTGATTGTTCATTTGGATAGAATTTATAGTTGAACGATGAAATTCGTGGAAGAGTATTGGAGGAATCAGAAAGGTTAGTTATGTTTAGAATACTACTGGCACTGCTATTGGTAGATGACTCTAATAGATTTGGACTTGTTGTTGACTTGTTGTTGTTATTATTATTATTGTTGTTACTGCTTCGATAGGATATAAAATTGATAGGACTGCTGCTACTTCTGTGACTACGTGTTACAATTGGTAGACTTGGCATCTCAATTGTTGATTTATTGATATTGCTGATGCTGGTGAGACTGCCACTGCTGATACTACTGCTACTGCTGCTTAGTGTCGGCGAGCATTCATCTTTTTCCTCCATGATTGGGTTTATCAAGTTGGAAATCGATGCTTTGTTGTGGTAGGCATTGCTTGAAGGCGGTGAGCTATTGAGCTTCTGAGGTGGACTGTAGCTGCTGGATGGCGGAGACAGCTGAGCCGGTGGACTGCTTGTGGTTGGTGTGGTGTTCAATGGACTGCTACTGCCACTCAGCTTGAAGTTGTCATCTTTTGGAATGGGACCGAAACTCATTACATCGATGAGATCGTCCGATGCCGATGACCGTCTTGGTGTCTTATCGTATCGTGAGGAATTCATTGAGAATGGGCTGCGTGGAACCGGATGGAAAGCACCACCACTTCCAGTAGAAGAGTTCAATTGGAATTGCTGATGATTGTTGCTATGATGTTGATGGTTGTGATGTTGTTGATGTTGTTTTTGGAGAGGTGATTGTGGGAATGGTATTATATGTGGATGATCCAAGTGGAACGAAGATGATAGCGAAGATGATGATGATCCGGAACTGAGTGATTTACTTCTTGGTCTTTGATGTGGAGATGACAATCCAAGGTTGGAAAGATCACAGATATAGTTGTTGTAGTTTGGTGAGGTTGACTTGGAGCCATTGCTACTGCGCAGATTAAGTTGTGAAGAAAGGATCGGTGTGTTTGATTTACTGAAAAACATTGGTGAGGGTGAGCCAGAGAACTGAGCGCTATCGCCTGACAACAAAGGAGAAGGATAACTTGAAATATGTGATTGTTGTTGTTGTTGTTGTTGATGATTGTTTGGCAAGATTGGTGATGAAGGATTAGAGAAATGATCTAAATTCTCTTCCCATGGATCAGTATGATCCTTTAATTTCCAGAATCCATAACAGTCATGATGGTCTGCACCACTCTCAAATAATCTCCTACAATGTGAAAGTGCATCTTGTAATTGTTTTCTCCAACCAGGTGTTCCTTTTAGAAATTAAAAAATAACAAATTAAAATTAATAAAATTACTAACTAAATATATATGAATTTTATAAATATTTACTCTTTTTCTTTGTACAAATTACATCCCAATGTGCAGCAACATAACCATAAACATCTTTTTTCAAATTAAAATATTCTTTTTCTGGATAGAGTTTTTTGAGTGAGTAGAAAACAACTCTTAGAATGGAAACCCAAGAGACCGATCTCGAAACTAGACAAGGAGGTAGCTCACGAGTACAAATGAGACATACATGTGGCTTTGGACAGACTGGTGTTATATAAGATGGTGAAATTTCATACTTGACACCATGAATAAATCTATACTCTGTGAATCCTTGATCCTCCAAGGAAATTGGTTGATTCAAATCCATATCAAAAATAAAAGGATTTTTTTAAAACTAAGATAGAGATAAATAGATGTGATTGATTGGATTAACAATAAAGGTAGGTATTACAAAGTAATATTAATATTAATAAAAAAAGGAAAGAGATAGAGAAAGAAAAACTATTAAAAGTCTGTGATTGATTATTCGAATTTGTGATTGATATATTATTATATATTATTATTTATAGTTGATAATTATTTTAAAATATATATAAATATATATAATTATATTTAAAGAAATGATTCTTTTAAAAGTAGTAATTCTGACCGAAAATGGAAATGTTTTATATATTAAATGAGAGGAAGAGGTGGTGGTGTATAGAAAAAATTTAAAGAAAAAGGTGGAACTAAAATACTGGTAAAACTAAAGTATTGAATGTTATTGGAAGGAGTTAATGTAGTATTATAGAATTGTAGTGATAAAATAAGTTTAATCGTGTGGGCTGTTGTTGGTGGTTATTTTCCTTCTTTTTACAATGACGTATCAATAAGTGATATTTTTTAGTAAATTAAAAAAGAGCGAGAGAGTGAGAGAGGAAATTAATATATAAAAGATGGTAGTAGGTTGTAATTTTAATTGATATAAAAAAAAACAAACAATTTTTAAGTTGGCGGTGGAAAATGTTATAAAGAGTTTTTTTTTTTTGTTAATAGATGGAAAATAGAAAAAAAAAACAGTGTTAGATTTAGAGATAGAGAAAAAAAGGAGTTGTAATCTGAATTAATTAAAAAATATAATATTTTTTTTGTTGTTGGAATTGCTATGATTATTTAAAAGTATAAGAAATCAAGTTATTTTTAAAATTAAACCAATATTTAGTAATTTATAATATAGAAATAATGGATTCCAACTTGTATTTTCATTATATAATAGATAGATAAAATTTAAAATAAACTACTAAATTTTGGAAATTAAAGAAAAAGTGGATTTATATGTTTGTTTTATTTAACAAACAAAATGTGAATGAAATGAATAAATGATTTGAATGGATTGTTGTTATATTAATTTGTTAGTGAAAAAGACGAACTAGTGGATTAATGGAGTTGTATAAAATTAATAAATAACTACTTTTAAAAACTGTTGTTGTTGTTGTTGTTGATTTCTAAAGTAATTACACGATTTAATTTAATTTGTTGTTGTTGTTGTTTTAAAAGAGAAACAAAGTAGCACATACCAATTCCCGAATTTTTTCAGAGTGACTTTTGGTATGATGTTGCGGTCAACATCCAAAACTTTGATCTGTTGTAGCTCTGCAGATGATGGTAAGTGTGTTTGGTCGGTGTTTGGTGTGTTGAGCGTGGGAATTAAGTAATGGTATAGTTTGAATAAATTAGTTTAGTAAATAGGCAGATAGATAGATAGATGGGTAGATAGTTAGCTTGCCAAAACAGTATAAAACTAAAGTTATAAATTGTGAATTATTATAGACGACGGCGACGACCATGTCAACTCACACACCACAGTAGACAAACAACAAACAAACACAAAACACACTGAAAAGGGATCGTTGCTCTCAAATTAAAATTAAAACTTTTAATATTTATTCTCAATAATATTAATTTCAAATTGCTATAAGAGGTGTGGTTGTGTGATGAAATATAATAAATTAAAAGATGATGGATGATGGTTTGATTTTGGTTTGGCTTGGTCTGATTTTGGTTGGTTTGATTTATTACTTTGTTTGGAAACTGTTTTGTTTATATTGAACAAATTTATTATTTATTTTTATATATATATGTACAAAAATTCTATTTTAACTCAATGGATTGGATTGAAATTGAAGGATATGGATTTGGAATAATATTATTTTGTTCTATTTTAATTATATTTAACAAAAACAGCTTTAACAACAATAGGAAGAAGAGGAAGAGGAGTAGAACAAGTAGGAAAGGAGAATAGTTGTATTAAAATTAATTTTTTGATACCAAAATCGTGATTTTTAAATTTAAAAATAACTTTACAAATTCTAAACAATCATCTCAACTACTGCAAATATGGTATTTCTATTAGCTAATATAATGATGTTTGCTTGTTTAATCTGTCTATTGTAACAACAACAACAACAACAACAACAACAACAACAATATTAAGACAAAGACCGGTCTGGCATTAATTAAAGAGCTAGCCAGCTAGCTGCAGCTATGTTTAAGATTTGTGATAGTTGTTGACATCTGTCTCGACTGATACATTTTAAAACAAAACAATTGGGATTTCCTTATCACTCAATGGTTTTTATCACACATACACACAAACACACATAATTTAAAAAATAAAATCTATCTTTGTGGGTTGTTGATTTCGTCCACAACAACTATATAATTTATAAAATAAAAAGGCGTAACAATAAATATTAAAACAACAACAACAACAACAACAATGAGTGTCTCTCTACAAAAATTATTAACATTTATTGATGATATAGTAATAATTATTAATTATGTTTTATAAAAAAGGAAAGTTCCTTCGATTCCTGGTTAGAGTTGCAAATAATATATAGACAGATACTCACGCTCACACAAACACACAGATAACTTTGACACTGACTAACACCCCCACAACCATTGTTTCATTTGTCGGCTACTCTACACATTCTACTACTACTACTACTATTTCTACAACTCTATCTTGATTATAATGCTAATTCTACTTCATATCAATTTTAAAAATAAATAAATAAACCTGTTGTTGTCAGTTAATTTATTTATGTGATTATCAATTAATATTAAACTAACCATATGTGGTAACTATTGCACTAAACGACACTACACTATTGTGATTTTAAATGATTATAACCACAGTGTTACCACTTTTGATCTATTTAATATTTGGACAAAAACCACATATTTAATACAACACACACACATAGACACACACATTTAACTAAATGTCTGTTCACAAATGAATGAACTTATAAAAATATATGTCTTTTTTTTTGTTTTATCAGTGTTTGTTGTGTTGTGTTTTTTTAAATAAAATAAATAAAATATTAAAACTAATCAGCAATAATTATTAATAAAATTGGTATGTTGATTTAATCTAACATCATCAGTATCGTCAAAGGGTATTTTGGGGTTGGTGGTGTTGCAAGGTTGTTGTCTAATATCACTTGTGGTGATGACAATCGTTGTCAATATCATCACAATCATTACTAATATGTCTACATTGACAGTGAATGAATTCAATACAATGATTAAGTCGTCAGAAGAGAAGCATTGAAAAATAAGAAATAATTCCTTTTTTATCTAATAATATATGTGTGATATTCTTTTTTGTTTTTCAAGAAAATTATATACCCCATTATTACCATTATTATCTTTTCTTTTATCTCTATTTGTTTGTGTACGAAGTGAATGTGTTTATTTAATATAAATGCTATACATATAGTAGTAGTGTTTACTGTACTAAACCTTTAAAAACAAGTCGTTTATGTGCATAATTATAATTGTTTTAACTAACTGACATACTACTGATCTATGAAAGTATCAACTACACAAAAGTAGTAATTAAACATGAACTAAATTATACTAACTTAACACCAAACTAACTATAAAAGCTAAAGTGACTTGTTGGTGTAGTCGTGTAATACTTGCTATAGTTACTGTCGCTTGATGTTGAAGAACTACTTTTATTATTACTATTATTGTCAATGTTACTGTAACTGCTACTAGTGAATAGCTATAGTTATTCTTTTAGTATTCAGAACTTAACTAATTATATAAATATTATAATGGGTAATGAATAATTTCTTAAATACTATATATTTATATGACCTGTAAGCTTTGTCCTATCATCTGATTACTCTTCTTTAATAAATATTATAATATATATATGTGCAAGCAACAATTAAACTGCAATCTATCATCGACCAAAGGTCATTAAACAATCTAAAAGACAATCTGTATAGTGAATTGAAATGAAAGTGTTCACATAAACAATCTAAATATATCTAACTCTTTCTTTTATACTCTAAAGTTGTTTTGGTTTATAAAAATAAATTTATACTCTACACTAGTGATAATAAGCAATTTCTTTAAATATTTATATAAATGTTTATATCTACAATATATTAATTTATTTGTTGCCGTTGGTAATATATATAATTTGTTAAACTATTGACAATACAATGTTTAATTGTTGTTGTTGTTGCTATGACTGACACTAATACATATTAGTTCGATCGTATATTATAAGTTTATACTATACATACTATAAATCAAATAGTTCGAGCTTATCTATTTGATATTTTAATCTTTGTTGATGTTATAGTTGTCATTATCGGTTGAGTTGTTTTTGTTGTTGATGTTGTCGTTGTTTTGTGGGTGTTGATTGATTGATTGATTCTAGCTATTACTTTATTGATTGTTATTATGTCTTCTTTGTTGGAATTGATTACCTTGGAATCCACCTCTATCAGAGTTGAAACCACCTCTGTCAGAATTGAAACCACCACGACCTCTTCCACCACCTGTTTTATAAAAAGGATTTGAATTGTTATAGTTAACATAATTTGTTCTTGAACTGACTGTTGATTGTTGTTGTTGTTGTTGATAATGTTGATAATGTTGGTGATGATGATGATTCTTACCTCTTGGAGGACCACCTCTAGCACGACCGACAGATCTTCCTATACCAAGACTCTTTCCACGCAGTACAGTTCTACCATCTATACGCTTGAACATCGGTGCATTCTTAAGCATGTCTGGCAGAATGAAAAATCTGATTTTACTTCCTCTTATGTAGATTTGTTCGATTTGAGTTTGTTTTCCGTTCTTGGCTGTCATGGTAATATTCTCCATACGACAGTTCATGTTGTCCTCGCTCTCGATCAATGTACCACGATACAGATCACCGTTCCTCAGTTCCAAAGTGATAACATGTGAATCTGCTTCGTGCAATATCTTTACTGGGATACCAATACTCATTTTTAAATCGGATACTCTTTTACAGCCTGATTTCTCAAAGATTACTTATAAATATATATACAAAGATAAAAGATACAACTCAGTGTGCAAAAAAAAAGATACCTCAACTTCACAATAATTTTGCAAAAAAAAAAAATTCGTTTCTCTTTTGTTGAAATTTTTACACACAAAATAGGCAAACTATCTTTTTTAGTTATTATAATCAAAGTTTGAAGTATATTTGTCTAATCAAATAATTATTTGAAGTAATATGATTTCCATTTCAAACAAATAAAGAATTAATAATAAATTTGTTATAAAATTAAAAAAATAAAATTTTGTTTTTCATTTTCTATTGTTTTTTTAACAAAAGAAATTTCTTGGTTTATTGCTCAGAAATATTCTATATATTAGGAACATTAAAATAATTATATTTATAAACCATATAAATTAATACATGTATGATATATTATATAGATCATTTTCGATCGAATCTAGTATCGATTCGGCTCATTGTGAATTGATCAACGATTGAATAGAGTTTCAGACTAGATCCGAGAAGATAGACCGCTTGGTTAATCTTATTTTGAAATCACTGTTGATATTGAAACTTTGGGTCGATTTAATTTCGAAATAATAACCAGATTTCAAAGATTGATTGTTTTACAATGCTATTTATTCACTTTCAGACCTTTATTATCTTTTGGAGTTGGTCACTGACATTGAATTATTAATAGATTAAAGATAGTTGAAGAAGTTAATTGAATTACAACATCTTCGTTGTATTGAAACTTACTTTTGTTGTTAACTGTTGATGTGAATCCAATTTAATACTAATGGGTGATTGTGGTGTGCTTTATGTAGGCAGAGTTTGAAACAATACAGTTTGAAAGGTTGCAACGAGATTTGCGAAAATCTCATTATTATATTCAAGATGACCAATCAGGAGATTGAATTTTCAAAGTCATGACCACGCAGGCTCTATATTTGTAATGTAAAAGGTAAAAGGATTGGTTTAAATCGTCGTTTCATTCTTTATTTTATTGATTGACAACTTCTTTATTATTTATCGTTTTTCTACAGTTTAGAAAGCTATGAGATTAAGGCTAGATTTTTCAAGATTGAAATTTGGTACAAACAGTTTGAAAAACTAACCTGTGGGTGATCAATTTTCAAAAAAAAAATATGATAACGAGGTGTTAGGACAGGGTTTTTGATGGTTTTGTTTGTCCATTTTTTTTTAATTCGATCCACTACCTAAGAAAAAAGATCGACCGAGTGTGGTGATTGTGGTTTTTTTTTTTTGCAAAGAAAAAAATATCAAAAAATAAAAAACAACTTTAATTGATTTAAAGATTGTAGTGTAATATGGATTGAGCCCAACCCACTCAGTCTCTTTTAGTTAAATGTTTGATGTTGTTGGGTGTGTTAAGTTTGAAGAACTGAAAATAAAATGGTTTTGATTCATTTAATTAATATCAAATGTGTTGACATGTGAGTGAATTTATATGGTTCAGATATTTCTGTTGTTTTGTTCAAGATATGAAAATGGTAGAATTTATTATTACTTTAGCCAACATTGTTAATTAAAATCTATCAAGTTGACCAAATTTTGAATATTTTTTGTTTTCTTTTTTTTAAAGTCTTGATCCTTCAACTTTTTGGGCTTTCGATTGTCCAGAACCAACAACTTTAATACTTTACACGACATTAACAATCATAATTAATTCAAATCTTATCCATAAATATTTTTGACATATTTGCATAATTTTATTTTTTTCTATTTTTTTTTGTACATGTATAAACCGTAGCTCAAATTTTTTTTTCTTTTCAATCTTTCGACACTTGTATTATAAAACATTTTTTGTATATATCATTATTATTATTTCACATTACCGAAAAGGAATAGGACCACTACTTCCTTATTCTATCTAATATAAGAGTCATTTTTTTTTTTAAAGATTTAAATTTATATATATTTATTTTTATATATTTATTTAAAAAATTGTATAAATAGAATTAAAAAAAAAAAAAAATGAATAAATTTATTTATTTAATATATATTATATTGTTATCAATATTTTGTTTTACTGGATCTGTAAAGTCCGTAAACAATAATGTAAAAATAGCGGTGGTTGCTTCCGGAGTGGTCGATGACTTTGGTTTCAACTATATGATCAACGAAGGTATGATCAATATGGGAAGAATATTGAATATTTCAAAGATTCAATTGGTCCAAAATATTACTGCCCTTCAATTGCCTGCTCTAATCGACGATCTGGTGGCACAAGGATGTGATGGTATCATTACAAGTTCCTTCGATATGACTGACGCAACAGTAAATGCCTCCATTAAATATCCACATGTTCAATTCCTAACACGTGGAAGTCTTAAAAACACAAACAACCTTTCCTTTATCACCTACAACATCGGTATTTGCCAATATATCATTGGCTATTTCGCTGGTTTGGTTACAAAGACCAACAAGATCGGTTATATTGCACCAGGTCTACCGTTAATTCCAAATTATAATGCCAATGCTCTGTTTGTTGGTGCCAGAATGTCCAACCCCAATACCACAGTCCACACCTACAATGTCAATGATTGGATTACTCCGGACAGATCGACCGGTGCAGCCAATGTTCTCTATGACATGGGTATCGATATCATCAGTGACAACGAAAACGATCAATCCGTCCTAAAGGTATCGGTCAAACGTGGTGTATACGGACTTGGAACCAACGGTTTCCCACAAGGTCAGATCTTTGGTCAATCGGTAGGTCTGTCATTCGTTACCAATTGGACCAGTACCTTTGTTAAATTTGGTAAAATTGTAACAGGTGCTACAAATGTAACGTTCAAAGACTATGGTGATTTCAATACAACTTTCTTACAATTGTCCGATTTTCCATTTTCTGTAAGTAGTTAATTTAATATATTTATTCAATAATTTTCTAACTATATTTTTTTAATTATTAAATAGGTAAGTGAAACAATTAGACAAAAAGTTAGAGATGAAATTACAAGATTAATGAAGATACCAAGAGCATCTCACCCATACTATTGTAATGATTTTAATTTACAAACATATCCAAATGATACCAAGCCAGGAACCAATTGTATTACTAGTGGTTTTTGGTTTACTGTTAATAAGCCATACGAAGGAATGTATGATTATGGATACTATAATGTTCCTTTGACTGAAGTAAGTTGAAAACAAAAAAAAAAAACAATATTATAATAATTGAATTAATTAAATATTTTCCAATTTAGATATTCCTTGAAGATTCTGTATTTTATGGTGTATTGATTACATCTTGTATTTTTATATTTTTAAGTGTTATTTTAATTGGTTTGGTTTGGTATTTCAAAGACTCTCATTCCATTAGATCTGCAAGTCCTTTGTTTTGCTGGGTGTTGATTCTCGGAGGAATCATCACCTATATCGGTTGTATAGTCTATGTTATTCCAGTGAAAGATTCATCTTGTGCCGCAAGATATTGGCTGTTGGTCGTTGGATACGCACTGCTAATCGGTTCGTTGGTCGTAAAGAACTTCCGTATCTACTTGATTTTCGAATCGACCAATAAATCTTTGAAGGTAATTCGTATTACCAACACACATCTCATGCCATGGGTCGGTGGTCTAGTAGCGGTTTTCTCGATTCTTATGGTACTCTTTACTGTCTCATCGGTTGGAAACATCAGTGCCATAACATCATTCGACGAGCCAAACCTCTTGAAATATCAATACACTGTGGTTTGCAAGAATTCCGAAGCCGGAAACATTGTGCTCTACACAGTGTTGGCGGTATTCGGTGTCATGTTGATCTGTGGTATTTTCGTAAGCTGGAAAATCAGAACGGTCGACATCGATGAGTTCAACGAGAGCAAACCGATTGCCAATACACTGTATGCAGTGCTTCTCTCTGCATTCATCGTGGCGGTGCTTCTCGTCTCGCCACAAACCAAAAACTCGGAATCAACCATTATCTGTGCAGCGGCCATCTTTATCACAACGGCATCGCTACTCATTCTTTTCGTTCCGAAATTCTGGAGAATCCACATATATGGTGCAGCATCATCGGAGATGTTCACTCGTAACAACATGAGTGCCATCGCATCATCGAGAAACTCCAACAAGAACTCCTCCAAGCAGTACAGTGGAACCAGCAGCAGAGGTGGTGGATTCAGTGGTTCTCTTGACGAAGAGGAAATGGCATCGAAATCCGTTGCCAATCCACAGCAACACTCACCAAACACCTCCAATTCCAATCTAAATAATAATAATAATAATCAGATTGCTGGTAATCCAGAGGAACAACACAGTTCAATACATGCTCAGTTTGACTCTGATGAAGATGTATCTCCTTCTGATGATAAATAAATATAATTTTTTTTTTATTTTTTATTATTAAAATATAATTTTTGATCTGATTGCAAATTTGATCAACAACAATTCAGATCTAATCTAGCTAGAAAAAAAAAATCATTAATTGAAGCAAATCACCTCTATCTGTCTGTTACATGATAATTTCTATAAAAATCTCTTAAAGCTTGAAGCAAGAATTAATATCCACACAGATATTTAAATAAACAAAAGATGGATGATCATCCATATAAAAAAAAAAGATATTTTTTTTTTTGTCTCTCTGTTTGGAGCAAGCACACCAAGTCTTTTATTAAAATAAAAAGAATGATAAAAACCATTTTTTGTTGAGCGGTTTTAACATGAAAAAGATATTTTATGTTTATTTTTATGCAGTTTTTTGTTTTTTTTTGCAAAAGCAAGATAAAATGGTGGTTTCTTCTTTATTATTAGGTGCTGCAAAAACCATTCAAAAACAACTAAAATCATGCTGACTGCAAATCTGAAAATCATTTAAATTTTTTTATTTAAATTTTTATAAGCATATAAATCAATCAACACACAAAAGACAAAAGTGAATATTATAACAATTAATAATAAATATATCTAATATTATAAATTAAAACAATAGTAGAAAAGTAGTAGTTTAAAATCTTTTATTATTATTTCAAGCTTTTTAATAATTAATTAAAACCAAATTTATAAATAGATAAAATAAGAAACAAAGATATATAGATATATTTATAGATTATTTTATTTTTCAATAGAGAGCTATTTGTATTGATAACTTATAGTAAGTTGGGTTGGAGAATGAAAATTAAGCAAAAAAATAACTTTATTAATTAATTAATAATATTATTTTTATATTTATTTTTATTTTTTTGAAACAGAACAACAAACACCACACCACACCTAGGTTGCGACACGACAAACACACACACACACACACTGGTGTTGAACTGAAGAATGGGTGATTCAGTGATTCTAAGTATATTGAGTCTTGTCGATAAGAGACTCAATCGATTTAAAGGTTCATCAACGGGTTGCACCACCAGACATCAGATTGAAACAACGATTGAAAACTATAGAAAGACTCGTGAAATACTGAATAATGCTAAGAAGCTACTGATGAAAGATCCTAGCTTGGTGGCAACCGACGAACTAAACAATAACATTCAACAAATCGATATTAGATTGACACTTGCAACCATCGAGGAGAACACACTCACCAAGCGTCTCAATGAATTCGACTACACAGAGAGCGACTATATTTCGCCGCCTTCTACACCCACAATTCCTGCACTCTCCAGTCTTTCATCCGCTAAAATACCAACTATAATAACATCCGCTTCAACATCAACATCAACAACAAATGAAACATCTACATCAACATCAAAAACAATCTCAGCATCAACAGCAACAACAAGTAAAACAATACCTTTAAGTTCTGCATCTACTTCTATACCTATTTCACCAAGAAAAGTACAAGTACAACAACAACAACAACAATCTACAGTATTGGAAGTACCAACAACATCTAAAGAAGTACTGGTAAATACACAACCAAATACTATTCCAGTTTCACCAAGAAAACCAACAACAACATCATCATCATCGACAACGACATCAACAACAGCTACACCATCGGTATCAACTAGAAAACCTTCAAATCCTCCAATTATATTACCAACGGACACTACCTACAACTCTGAGAATCCAGAGTATATACCAGTGTCAAAGAGAGGTGAACAAATAACAAAGATGCTACAACAACAACACTATCAAAACGAAACAATTGTAATACCAAGAAAACAGAGTAAATCATCAAAGAGATATAGTAGAAAGGTATCAACAAGTTCAACAACAAATCCTGTCAATAATAATAATAATAATAATAACAATAATAATAGTAATTATATTAGTAGTTCAATAAATAATAATAACAATAAAGATAGGACAAATAGCATTGACAAGTCATCTTCGTCATCTTCATCATCTCTAACAGAATCGGTCAATAGTAATACTACACAAGATGAAAGCATTACAATTCAAGATAAAGTAGTAGTTAATCAAGTTAAGCAACAAGAGTTAGAGGATCAACAACAACAACAACCAGCATATGTTGATCAATCATCACAACACGCAGAACAAATAATATTATTAAAAGAAGAAGATTTAGATGTTATAAAAGAAGAGGAAGAAGAAGAACAAGTTACTAATGTAGATGAAATTGAAGTAGAAGTAGAAGCAGAGGTAGAGATAAATAGCATTAATAATAGCAGTAGTGATAATATTAATATTAATATTAATAACAACAATAACAACAATATTAATAATAATAATAGTAATAATAATAATAATAATATTTTATCAAGTTCAATTGCAGATTCTTTTATGTTAAAACAACAACAACTTGCCCGTACAGGATCGGATCTGACGATTTCACAAATCATTCAACCATTTGTATCATCTGATCAAATCATTCCATCGTCATTACCTTCTAATATACTGATCTATGAGAATGCCAACCAAAAGATATCACAGAAACTTAAGATGGCAAAACAGATTCCTGTAAGAAAGACATCTGAAGCCAGAATCGGACATGCAAGAACAAATTCACTGCTAAACATACAGAGAAACAATAGTAATATATTTTCACAATCACTACCAAATGCTTCATATATTGAAACTGGTAGTCATATAAATAATAATAATCATACATATAATAATAACAGCAATAACAGTAATTTTATAAATGGAAGTTCAAGTAGTAATCTATCATTGTCAAATGGATCAATTGGTAATAGTAATAATAATATTAATAATAATACAAGTGGTGGAGGTCAAGGTGAGAGATTGGCAATTCTACAATCTCTTTTGAAAACAGAGGAACTTACAAACAATGCAGATCGTAAGGTTATGGATGAGATTAACAAGGTAACCAGACAAAAGTCAGAGGAACTCTATCAGTTGGTTTGGGAGGTGCGTAATCTCGATAAAGCAATTGCTACGGTCCTTAGTAATCAGGTGCCGATTGCCGATATCAATGTTGCATCGTCAAAGTACAACGACGATGGTCACCACAATGGAAATGGTACGGGACACCGAGGTGTCGGTGGCAACAGTTCCAATACCGTGACGGAACTGTCGATCCAGTTGAAACATTCATTGGAGCGACTGCTGATTCTGGTGAGAAATGAACCTGCCATTCTCACAGAGACGTTGTGGCGTGCCGGTTACCTACGCGAAGACTCTGAGAAGCAGTCGCACCACAACCTCTCACAGGCAATTGTGTTCTCGTTGTTTGGAAACTGCTTTACCGCTACCGATGAACGGCTACTGCTTCTACTGATCCGAAAGATTGCAGAGTTGGAATTCTCAAAGTTCTCGGACAAACGAAAGTTTGGCACACAGGAGCCCTTCTCCTTTACACTGCTATCGACTTACTTGAAATGTACATTTGGCAAGCCATACGTCATCTCAGTACTCAAAGATCTGATAGTCTCGATCATCCAAGATCACAATATGAATTTAGAGAACGATCCTCAGAAGAAAGCGATGCTGGCAGAGATTGGTCTGGACGAAGAACCTCAGGTTGACCAGAATCTGTTGCTACAGCAATTCAGTGGTGAGTTTCTTCAGCGTGTAATTGCACTCTCCACTGGATTGCCATATGGATTGCGTTGGATTTCCAAAGTCATTATCGAGATGTATCGCGAGCATCTCAGATCTACGAGACCAGCCGACTTTGAAGAGACCGACTTTACACGTATCAAAGATTCAGCGGTCGAGCGTGAATTGATGATTCATCTCATTTTCGAGAACTTTTTCATCCCAGCTCTACTTAGACCCGACCACTATGGTGTATTGCCAGGTTTGAACATCAGCCAAAAAACACGTCACAATCTGATCCAAATCGCCAAGATGGTATTGACTTTCCTCTCTACACCACAATCAATTCCACCGTGGCTAAACGAAAGTATGAACCTCGAAGCTAGAATCAATGAGTATTTTAATGATTTATCAATGGTACAGGAACCTGAAACTTATTATAACAGTAAGTATTAAATTTTTGATTTGGATGTAATTGAAAATTGTTAACAATGATTTCTAAAATCTAATTATTATAAATTATTAGGACCGGTTTATGAAATGGAATTGGGTCAGAATTTATTGGTTTCATCGACTGACTTGTTCCAGATATTAGAGTTGATCTATCACAATAAGCCTGAGTCAAAGGATGTATCAGAGACTGCCAGCTTGCAATTGGAGATGGTTGAGATGATCAAGGATGTTCAACCTGCACATCACCTCCAGGATGGCATGAAGTTCTTGGTGATCAATGTAATTCCACGAAAGAAGGAGGGTAATGAATATCGTTATTCTCAGCAAATAGGACAATCTGTCCGACTTGCCAAAGAGAATCTGATCCGTGCTCTGTGTGTTCTGAATTTCCTCTGTGGTTATACCTCTACCTCGATATGCGAGTTGCTCCTACTCCAATGTGGACGTTCGCGTTCTCTCGAGCTCAATATCCTTGAGGCTCAGATCGAAGAGACAATTCGTAGTTTGTGGGCGTTGCCAGAGCACTACAAGCGAAACGACTATCAGTTGCTCATTGACTCGATGCTCGAAGACTACAACAAACGTGAGAAGAAGCGCAACATGGAACGCCAGATAAAGATGTTGTATCTCGATCAACTCCAACGACACACCTCACAGATCATCTCACAGAAGAATATCAATCTGGAGTTCCTTACCAACCAGAAATTCCGTCACTTTAGAGAGCGTACCTACGCCAGAATGCAAACAGAGTTTGTCAGTGAATTCATGTCACGTTTCTCTATTGACACTGGCTACTGCTCGTGCTCACCCAACATCGATGACAACAACTCGAGTATCTGCGGAACTTGCAGTTTGAAATCAACTATGATTGGAACATTCTTGAAGCGATCGAAAGATGCAATGGAAAAGAGTGATTGGTGGAAAGGTTCCGATGAAGAGGAATTGGAAATTGCTCTACATACCATTGAAAGAAATTTAATGACTCAAATTTATAATTAGTAAGTATTTATGTTTGAAAATGTTTATTCATTTGATTACTAATCAATATGAAAACAAAAAATAGTACTTTCAGTGTATCCAAAGAAGATGTTAAATTTACCAAACAACTAAAGTCGAAATCAGCTATCATCGATCATAGATCACTTTATATTCCAGATAAATATGCCAATCAGGCACCATGGGAACTTGCACAACAAGAAATTAGAAAAATCAACCTTTATAAATCACCTTATGATAAACTGAAATGTATCATTGATACATGGAATATTATTTTTAGTAAGTATAAGCTATCATCAAGCTAACCATTAATTTTGATTAAATATTAATATTTCTTTTTAATATCATATCAGATTATACAAAACCATTAGGAGAGTCTGGACCAGATGATTTCTTACCGATTATGGGTTTCGTAATTGTAAAGGCAAGACCAGAGAATCTACTCTCTAATATTCAATATATTTCTCTGTACACATTGAACATCGATCCAACAGCAGAGGTATGGTTTATGAATCTAAAGTCATCGATCGAAGTTGTAAAAGAGATTATGAACGATGCACTCAACTACCACGGATGGACCAAAGGTATTCTTCAACCAACTACCGATAGAATGGACGCAATGAAGAAGGAGCTCAAGAAGAAACAAAAGAGTAAACGATATCGTGCTTCAATTATTCGTTTGGAAACTTCTACCTCTTCACTCTAACATTCATATAATATTAAATAACTGAAAAAAAATAAATACAATTTAATAATGTGTAACACTGTAATTTAAAATATATGACCAAAAAGAGGATTATTAATCAGGATTTAAAATGGGGTGTAATTGTTAATTTGAACAAAGAGAATATATAAATATTTATTGTATTATTTTTTTATTAAAGTTGATTGTCATAATATTGTTTAAGTTTACCAGTTCTTCTTTTGTGATCTCTATTCTTCTTTTTCTTTTTGATAATATATATAATGGTTCCAACTACAAAAGCGATAAATATTGATCCAGTGACTGCTACTACTGCAGCAATCATCCACGATTTACTCTTGTGTTCTGGATTATTGCATTCACCTGATGGATTAAGTAGCATTGTGAAATCAGGATCTATCTTGCAACTCTTGCAATGTGGAATCTTAATGGCTACGGTTGTAAACTCTGGGGATTCAGATGGTTTCAATTCATTTGATATTTGAATGACTCTACCATCAAATATACCAAGTGGTAAGAATCTGCCATAGAATGTTGTACCACCAAGGTTGACGCCAATATAATTAATACTATTCAAGTTATTTGGATCTTTTCCTGAAGAGATAGCTCCACTACATTTCTCTGTGGCCTCACTGTTGTCGTACTTTGTCAATACATTGATTACTAGATTGTTTAAGAGACTAGAGTATTGCCAATCATCGATTTCAATGGATAGCTTTAAATTGTATGGAGAGTAGTAGTTTGACTGATTGGCAAATACAACAGTTCTTCCAACAGTAGAGTATTCTATGCTTGCTATAATATTTGTGGTAGAGTTGGTAATTGTATAGGTATATGTAGTCACACTGGTAATGGTATTCTCTGAAACCTTACTGTCCCATTTGTCTGTTGGAATCTCTTGAATTAAATTACCCAATGGGTCAATTTCTTGAATACTATGAATATTAAAAGAAAATGACACGCCATTGTTCAATATGGCTGGGGAAGGCGATGTATCATTTGGAACAAAATTTATATTTGTTTCAATCTTGTAATCACAGTAGTTACCATAATATTCATTTGTGCATTGACATCTACCAAATAAACATTGACCATTCCCATTACATAAAGAATCCTCTCCACAATCATTTAAAAACTCGACTAATTAAAAAACAAAAGATTTAGTAAGAATTTTAAATGGAATTACTGTTATTAATGCTTACCAACATTTAACTTTGTATAAACAGTATAAGAATTTGAGTATACCATTAGATCTAAAACAGTTGGTTGGTTTTCCAATGAGAGTTTTATATTACAAATTAACATATCGTCGGTAACCAGTATTTCTTCACATTGAGTATTATTCACCCAAGCCTGAGTTTTGAAATTATACTTTCCAAAGTTTGCTTTGATTGTGATATCACCACCTTCATATGTTATGTTTGACACTGATTTAATGACTAAATCTGTAATAGTTTAATGTATTAATTAATGATGTAGATTCTTAATTGATAGACAGATAGATACCTCGATATGAATAGAATCCTAAACTTTGAACTGTATCCGAAACATTCATTGAAACTGTGTTTTGTGGGTTATATCCATAAATGGTGCAATTTAACCAATTACTCGAAACAGTTATTCTTTCACACGGACGATTATCACCAGAAAGAATGAATGGACTATATTCGTTAAAATGACCACGAGTACATATTCTGGTATCTTTAGTTTCAAAATTATAGAATGCAAGCGAAATGTCAGTCCGTGCTGTTTTATGTAAAATAATTAAACGTCAATATTTAAATAAAATTAAAATGAATAATAAAGTTAATAATCATGATTATTAAACTTACGTTGTTGGCCCCATATAACATCTGAACTAACATTGTATTTTCTTGAGAAAACAATTTTTTGTTTTCCTGATAGAGAACTCACAAAATATCTAAACAATGTATTGGAGTAAATTAAAGAAAGATCTGATGACATACCTCCATCACCATAACCAAGATTTTTTCCTGAAATATAAAAGTTATAGATACTATCTAAAAAAAAAATAGTTGTAGAACATTCTAAAATTAATATTTTTAAACTTCAACTTACCAGTATAAAATACTTGGCTATCTAACGAAACATCTTTTTTTTGATAATAGAAAATATTAATAATCTAATGTTGTATTGTTTGTTTATTATGTACATACTGCATTTAAAGTTATCAGGAGGAGGTTGAGTATTCGTTGGTAAAAAGGTTTCCATTCTATCCCAATAGCAGTAAAAACAGTCAGGGACATAGTTTGATGTTAGTGTAGCAACTCTTATATTCAAATCAGTAAGGCAATAAGTGTCGTAAAGTTGAGCAGTAACCAAAGAGGTATTGGAATCGGTAACATAAAAAGTATAAGGAATGTTTTTGATATAATGAGGTAATACTCCAGTTACTCCTGTTTCGCTTAATATTCTAAAAATAAAATTAATTAATTCTACGTTAAAAATAATTTGTAAATTTAATAAAATACAATTCAAATCCCGGTGCGAACCAAGATTCTGGAGGGAAACTTTCAAAAGGTGTATTCTCAATTAATCTACAAGTTTATATTGTTAGTAATTCAAAAAAAAAAAAAACAATTTAATTTTTAAAAAACATACAATCTCTGAGTATAGTTCATATTGGTGAGGTTAAGATTAATACTATCTTTGATTTCTCTTTTTAAAAAATTAGTTATATATTAATAAATTATATAAAGAAAATACATACAACACTAAATTTTCTGTACCAGAGAAATCTAAAGGATTTGAAAAATTGCATTGACTTATCTCTCTGGATAAATGTAAATTATAAATTAGATTATTTTTCTTAAAAGAATTTTATAAGATAAAGATAACTTACGCGATTCTTAGACTATTTGCACTGATTAAACACAAATCAGATGTAACTAGGCTCCTAGAAAATATAATTTGTAAATAAGAGAAGATTTAATATTGGACCAACAATTTTAAAATAAACTTACAAATTAGTAATTGTTGAATGATTTAATGTCAAAGAGTGATTTATAGTGATTGTCCTAGAGAAAATTAATTAATTTAAATTTAATGTTATTTTACAAATTAATTTTACTTACAATTGAGTTAATTTTGGAAAGCCACCATCATTAATCATAATTGGTTGAGGAAAACCTGATGAGGTAGTTCCCATGATCTTCCTAATGAATAGTAATAATAATAATATTAGATCGAAAACAACAATAATGAAATAAATTGATATTTACAAGTTTGTTACATTAAAACCCTGATTTTCACCACCAAAAATTACAAGATTTCCTGAAGTATTTCCAAATGACAACTCCAGGGTTTGGAAATTAAAAATGGTTTGGGCTACACTTCGTAACAAAGTAACATTTTTTCTATAAAAGTTTAAAAATAAATATTATAAAGATTGACAAAGTAAAATTATATTTAATATCTTACAACTGTAAATTTTGATAAAGGTATCTAGGAAAAGGTTCATAAACATCAATTTTTTGATTTATCAACTGTAAATTTGTAATATTAATGTTTTCGGGTTGATCTAATAATCTAAGAATGTTGTATGAAATATCCTTAACATCTTGGTTGGGCGATAGCACAAGAGTTTTTAAATAACCAAATGAAAGTGCATCAATGAAAGGCGGACTGCCAGTATCATTAAATGGCATATCAGAATAATATCTTGAGGAAATCGAAATAATTTGTAATAAGAATTGATATTCTTGAAAGAAAGAATTAAATGATATGATATCTTACATTGTAGTAATATGTGAAACATTTTTTGATGGATCATCAACACACTCAATATAATTTGATTGATACTGATCAATATTGTATGAACTACAGGTATATCCTTTCATATACAAGCTCATACCATATTGTTGAATCAACCAATTTAAAGAGTTTGCTAAAGTTTATTAAGAATAAAAATAAAGTTAATAATTTTATTAATAAAATTCAAAGAAAGACAAATACATACCCTCTGTTTTATCGATATCATACTCTGCAAATACTACAATGTTAGAATTTGATGAGATATTATTAAGTACCACCGTAAATAGTAATAATAATAAATATTTTTTATTCATTATAATTATAATAATTTTTTTATTTATGTTAATAATATATAATACTTTTTTGTATGTTATTTGAAATAAAAGTCTATCGTATGAAAGTTTAAGACTTGTTTGGTGCTTTCAAAACCCATTTCAATGGTGACAATGAATATTAACGTCGGTTGAACAGTGATGTTTTTTGTTGTTAAATTTCAGATCTAGAGAGAAAAGCACCGCAGAGTTGAGCGGTATTATGCAAGTAAGATTATAAATTTCGCTGATTTGTAGTTACCCATCATACCCAAACAAAACATAACTATCGATGTGAAACAGCCAACTTTAGGAGTATTCAAGTAAAATTACATCACACGCCAGCTGCGAGTTCAATCCAACACTATCAAACTGTTTGATTAAATAAATGTTTCGCATTCGAGATCTTTAGTTCATTGGAGATAGTAACCCATTAAATTTATATCAAACTTTTAATCGCAACAAATGGGAGAAAAAAAAAAAAGAAAAAGCTTTTGTCGATCTGAGAATTAAAAAATTCAAAGTAAATAATTTTTGATCAAAAATATAAAATAAATTAAATAGAAAAGAGAGGTTTTGTTTTTAAGTTTACATAATTTTTATTAAAAATGTAGTTGTAAAATTTGTAGGACAAATGTTTTCACAAGAGTACTCTTGTTTTAACTTTAGAATATTGCTAGGGATAAGATATAATGTAATATAAATTCAATAATAATATTGTATGATTTGATATGTTATGTTATGTTATATTATGTTATGGTTATTTTTTTCTTTTTCTTTTCTTTTTTTTAAGCAGGTACTACGTTTGAATCTCCACCAGCTGTTGTTCCTGATGCTTGTGATGATTTATCTTCTTCTTTGTTGGATTTGATGATAGCGGGTGGAGCATCTTTAGATTGACTTGATGTCTCTTCCTTCTTTGGACCGTGTAATGCTTCCTCCTCTTCGTCTTGACGTCTTTGTAGTTTTCTCGAGGAAACGAAACTGAGAGTGGTGAACAAGATTTGAATCGCTGAAACACCGGTACTTGCTGCCAAACGAATAAGAACTGTCATCTTAATACTGGTATCGAATGCAATGATAATACCGGTGACACCAGCCAAAATAATAAATGAGATAACTCCAATAACAATCATAAGTTTCCACCATGACATCTATATATATTAGGTTAAGTTAGTTAGTTTGGTTATTTATTATTTCATTTTTACATTTATAGAAATTTAACAACATACCATTGAATATAAGAAACAACATAAGAAGACTCTTCTTTGTTCCGAGCAAGTCGATCCTACCATCATAAGGTATGCTCTACTCAGGATTTCAAAACCAGTACCAATTAAATAGATCGCATGTAGACCTATGATGGCATTCCACCACACTTGACCAAGGATAGGTTTCTTCGTAACGACCATACCCTCTGATTTGTTATATATAATTACACCCAAACTACCAGCCAACATCAAAATAATTGATACTGTCCATAATGTTACTCTATATTATAATAGTTAAAATCAATACAACTTTTATTTTTAAAGATTTTTTAAAACATCTTACCTTAATTTTCCTACATATCCCATTTTTTTTTAATCTATATTATATTCTATAATTATTATTAAAGTTGGAAAAAAAATCTTCTATATATAAATAATAACGATGAAATAAATATTGTTAGGAATGATGGTTTGATTGAAATAGTTTTATTGTTATAATATTATTCTGTGAATGATAAAGATAAAAAAAGAATTCTTATTCTCCTTTAAAAAAATAAATAGGAGATTAATATAAACAAATTTTTATTTATTTGTTGATTGATTAAAATATGAAGATATTTTTGAGAAAGAGAAATGAAAAAGATAATGATTAAAATAATATATAAAGATAAAAATAAATATATTATTATATTAAAATAGATAAAAATAATACTTAATGATAAAAAATAATCATAATTAATAATCATAAATCAACGTCTATCAAATTGTTATCACTCACAACCAAATCAAAATTAAAAAAATTATATTTGATCATAATATTGATTACCACTAAAATATACAAAATAATAGATCAAATGTATTCATAAAAAAAATAACACACAATTGACAATTATTTGTTTGTTTGTTTGTTTTTTTTAATGAAAAGAATAATAAAATGGAGATGTGGAAAATACAATCTTTAAAAAAAAAAAACAAATAAAAAAACAAACAAAACAAAAAATATGATTGAAAAGGCTGATTAATTATTGATGATTAATGAATAACTAAAGAAATATTTATAACAAATATATTATTTTATTTATCTACAACTATTCATCTTGATTAAATAATTTATATTTACCTTTTAATTTGTTTTAATATAAATAAATAATACTATCGATGATTATTAAATTTATATTTTAATTTTTAAAACTGGATTGTGAATAAATATGAAATACTATACAACAAAAAAAAAACAAAATAAAAAGAGATATCTTAATATTTTAAAGATAAATAAACTAATTATCAAATTATATAATTATTTGTTTTATTATATTTATATATTATTATTATTATATGTTTAATTTAATATTTTAAGGATAGTTAAAAAATATATATTTTGTTAAATTTATTTGATGCTAGTTGTGTTGTAGTGATTTATTTCTGTTTGATGGTGGTACGGATTTTGTGATGTTGTTGATTTATTATTGAAATATAAATAGAAGATGGACATATAGAATTAAAATAATTTGTGTCACCAAATCAATATTTATTGTAGTGGGGTTGATTCATTTTTTCATTTATTTTTATTGTCAAGTCAGTGAAAGTAGGGTGATTTCATGCTTAATATGTTGTTTAAAATTGTGTGAAACATTCTATATATATGTGTGTGTTTGTATCATTATATTATATATGGGTTTAAAAATTATAATGTCAGTTCACATATAATCCTCTTTTTGTTTTTTTTAAGGAGAAAATACATTATTTTAAAATATAAAACCCCCACCACCTTTTTTTTTTAATACACACATTTATTCTAACACTGTTTTCTCAATGTAATATATTATTGTTTTTATTATATGATATAGTACTTATAAACAACACCATTGTTTAGTTGTTTTTAAATTAATATTTTTATAAAAGAAGGTTGTGAATCAGATTGTTTGAAAAGAGATTGTTTTAAAAAACTAACAAAACAAAACAACAACAAACACACAAACAAATTAAATAAATTAAAATGATATTAATACCACATATATACATATGTATGTGATAGGGTTTCGCTGTGTTCAAAGAAAATCAGTAATCAACACAAATGTTTACACAACTACTATAGTGACAACTAACCTTTAATGAAAACAGTACACCTTTAACAACATCATACTTTAAACTTTTAAAATAACAATAGTCAGTATCGACTTTAATTAATAGAACACACTTCGTTATCATATTTGATCATCTGCTAATAAAAGTAAAACAAAAGATTCACAATATTGATAATGACTATGATCACTTTTTAACTTGTTTTTATCTAGATTCGATTTGATTTTATTATTTTATAAATAGGTATGATACGATTATTCGGTTCTATAATTGCCTCAATAAGTGATGTAAGATAAAACAATAAACATGAAAAAGAATATTGATTAATTAATTATAATTGTACTCTTTTTATTTTCCTGAACTAAAAATTAAGATTTTAATTTGTGAAAAAAAAAGATGTTGGTTTTCGTTACCAACCAAATTAGTTGAATTGAATTGTTTGTTGATTATAATAAATTATTATAATTTGTGAAGAAGTGTTTGTTTTTAGTTAATCAGTTTGGTTGATGGCGATTGATGATTGATGATTGATGGTTGAAGTTAAAATCAAATTGAATGAAGTATCGCTGTTGATTTATGGATGGTTAGTATGTATGTACAATTACCCCACCTTGGAATGCTCTATCTATCTTATCATTATCGTTAATCGTCTTCCATACGTTATTGTGAATCGAATAGACTTGGTTGGTCGAAGTCTTTCCACCTAGGAACAGGATCTCTCTACCCTTGTCAAATATGCACATAGTAAACTTGGTGGTTACGGAACTGTTGAAATTGAATTTCGGCGAACACAACAGACGTTTGGTGAAACTTTTGATCGAGAAACTATAGAAGAATCCACCAGAGTCCAAAATGTAGATTAGCTCCGAACCGTCGAAACACATCGCAGCAAGATACAGTCTCGGTGTCTTCTTGAAACGCACATCGGAACAATACTCGGTAGAGGTCTTTAGAATTGGGTCGATTCCCCACAATGCCATGTCGTCGCTCTGCGAATGGCTGCTGAACGCGCCAACCAAGTAGATCGTATGATTATGGTAGAATGCGTACTGACCGTATCTCGAGTTGTTGAATTGCATGATTCTGGTGATTTCCTTGGTGTCTGGATTGTACTGGTCGACACGAATCACCTGGAAACTACCATAGAGACCGCCAATCAGATAGATATACTTGTAGCCGTCGTAGCAAGTGGAAATGGATTCTCCACCCTGGTTGTAAAGCAACGGCAGGTTGGTTGCAACCTCGTAGGGATTCTGATTGTTAATGGTATAGCGTGAGAACGTCGAAGTACGATTGGAACCACCGAAAACATAAACTTGGTTGGCAATGGACACCAGAGAATGCAGACTAAACTCACGTTCCTCAAAGTTCTCAAACGCCGCATTATAAGTCCAACGAAGAGTATGGCAGTCCAGTGTATAAACTCCATCCTTTCCGATTGTAAACAACAGTTCTTTCTTTGGTTTCGTTGAGTAGACAGGTGGTGATCTTTCATGTGTACTTTTACTAACGATCATACTGTTATTACTGCTGCTGCTGCTACTAATACTATGGCTGTTGTTAATGCTTCCACTACTAATACTGCTACTGCTGTGGCTGTGGGATTGGTCGTAACCATGTGAATGATTATGGTAATGACTACTATAACCAAGTGGAGCAGTATCATCCTTTGATGATTTGAATGATTTAGATTGTTTGGAAGTAATATTATTGCTACTGTTTCTTCCACCGCTGGAATCATATTCTCGCTTTGTCGGACTATCTCTATCTCTCTTACTACTAGTGATAGCATGTTGATCACGATAGGCGTCACCGTCATTATTATAGCTACGACTATCAGTGAAACCAGCATCTTTTCCTCCATCTCTGTGGTTACTATCTTTCTTACCAGTGATAAGAGCATCAAGAGCAGCATCCATTGGATTATAATCACCGTTACTATCTCCATGATGATGACCTTCCATAGAACTATTTAACTTTGGACTATTTCCAGAGGAGGTTCTATTTGATTGGTTTGGTGATGTACTTGTAGTTGTAGATATTAATTCTGGTGTTGGTGGTTTTGTAGTTGTTGCAGGTAGCTGTTGCTGCTGTTGTTGTTTTCCTTTTTTCTTTGCACTACTTTTCTTTTCACTCTTTACTGGAATCTTTGGATATTCCTTTTTAACATTACCAATAATACTATTACTCTTTTTTATATCAACATTATTACTATCTGCATTGTCACTACTACCACTGTTGTTATTATTTTGTTGTGTAGTTGCCTCTAGATGTGCATCCTCTATTGTCTTCTCAAGAATACCACTAAGATTATCGTTGCTATCCGAACCGGAAGGATTGAAAATGAAATCCAAAGATTCACTTCTTGCTTCCAACTGGTTGTTATTGCTCTTATATTTACTTGGAACTGGAATGTTTGCTGTCTTATTATTGTTGACTGCTGAATTTGATGATGTTGTAGTTGTAGTGGTAGTAGTAGTTGTTGTTGTAGGATTGGGTAGTGTAATGTTACTATCATCGATAGTAGTGTTGTTGTTGTTGATATTATTATTATTATTATTTTTCATATCGATATTAATATTATAAGGATTGGAACTCTTTTTAAAGAGTGAACCGATGTTATTGATTTGTGTGAGTATGTTGGTGAATGGTGATGTGTCGGAGCTTGTGTAGGTCAAAGGATGTTGTATCTCTACTGCTGATATCGTCTTTTGCAATGCTTGCATATACCGTAGATGATGTGGTTTCGGACAATTGAAATCCGGTACTCCCATATTTAGTCGCTCAATATTAGCCTGTATGAAACCAAATATATTCTCTGAACTCTTCAACGTCGCCATATAATCTTCAAACTGTTCATTGATATTATCAAAGTCATTAACATTATTATTATTATTATTACTAATAGTATCATTTTGACTACTACTACTACTACTACTTGTAACTATTTCCATATTATTATTATTATTATTATTACTATCATTCTTTGATAGACCACCACCACCATTTTGTAGTTGCTGTTGATTCTTCTCTTGACCTCTTGATATCATTACGATGATTGAATTGATATCTTTGAACTCTGTAAGCATTGAGAGTAATGTTTGACTTATGGATTGACGTTCGGTTTGAAGTTCGCGTTTTATCTGATCCTTTAGGAGTTCTACGGCGAGTAAAAGTTGGTCGATGTACTCAGTGATCGAACGTTCGACTTGGCCGAATGACTCTAGTGTTTGTTCATACTCTTTCATTCTCTCATAGAGATGATTCAGTCTTGATGTAAACTGAGTGTTTAGGACAGGTGTGCGGCTACCGATGTCTTCCTTATCACCGTCTTTCTTTGCTGCAAACAAAGTATCGAAATCTTCAAATGTATGACCTCGATGCGTATGCACCATACACTTGGAACATATCAACTCTTTACAACCCAAACAAATAAACTCCAAATCTCTTTTATGATCTTTACACAAATTTGACTCCATCTTTATCTCTCTCTCTCTCCTCTTTATCTTTATATACTATTATAATATAATAATGGTGTTATCGTTAATAATATCTATGTGTCTCTCTCTTTATATTATATACTATCTATCTATCTATATCTATATCTCTCTACCTGTTGTTTTTCAACTCGAACTGAACACTAAATAAAATAAATTAAAATAAATAAAAAAAAAGATAAATTTATTTTATATGTATATTTAAATGGGTAAGTGGGGTGAAGGTGAAGTTGTTCTAAAAAAAATCATTGCTGATTTAAATTGAATAAATTTGATTTTTTTTATTAATTTTTTTGAACATTACGAAAAATGAATTCGTATTGTAATAATTATTTTTATTTATATATAATATAACTTTATAAAATAATTCAATCAAATACTTTGAAGTATTTATTATTAGATTAAGAAAATTAGTTGTCAAATTGATTCATCCAATTTTTATTGAATTAGTTTCGAAAATATTTATAATTTTTTTAATGAATCAATCTATTTGATCCATTTCACTCTCCAATGAATCAATGCATCTTTGTATGAATATCTTTGTTGGTTTATCAGCAGGGAATAGCTCATTACAATTCTATTTATAGAACATACATAAAAATGTTAATACTAATAATAATAATAGTGATCTTTGAAAAAATGTGATACATTACTTGGAAACATGATAAAGCATCTTCATAGTTTTGTTTTCTAAAGTGTTCTACACCATTGTTGAAAGATGCCAAGATCGATAGCTTCAATGCTCTGATATCGTCTCGCTCGCCATCGATCACCTCGTAGATGTCGACAGCCTCTGATTTTCCTTTCACCTTGACACTGTCGACCAAACGAATGGTGAATTCATCGATCGATGCACCGATCGCCTCGATTGTGAATTGCGTCACTAGAATACGTGATCCATACTCTTTGCAGAGTGGTTCGGTTCTCGACGCCAAATTGACTGCATCGCCAAGAGCGGTCGGTTCCATTCTGGTCTCGGTTCCAACGATTCCAATGATTGTCTTACCGGTGTTAATACCGATTCCGGTCTCAACGCTCTTGAATCGGAATCCAGATTCCGACATAAAGTCGAGTGACCGCATCATCCCGATCGCTGCTTTCACAGCGGCAATAGCCTGCTCCTGAATGTCACTGTGTGGGAATATCGCCATAATAGCATCGCCAATGAATTTGTCGATGAATCCACCCTTGTCGGTGATCGCTGGAATAGCAAATGCCAAGTAGGTATTTAGGAAATCGATGACGTCGTCTACCACCATCTTCTCGGTGGTCGAAGTAAAGTCACGGATATCACTAAAGAAGATAGTGATCGTTTTCGATATGGCATCGCCGAGATAGACATGCTCCATTCCGGCTGGTGCAATCAACTGTTGGAATTCAATAGGTACGAACCGACTGATTACATTCTGGAGATCTTGCACACGTTTCGTTGACTTTGTAGTAGTTGTTGTCGTTGTCAAACCCATGCCGATTTCACTGTTGGTTGAGCGGCCAATGAGATTACTGGATGCCGCTGACGAAGTGGAAGAGGAAGGAGTGCTGTTGCTAGCACTCATCATGGAGACACGCGATGTCGACAACTGTGGAATGACAATCATGTCTTCTTTCTTCTCAGTCAGTGGAGTCAGTAGTTTCTGAGGAGAATAGACCATCTGCTTGCGTTGTTTATCCATCTCAATCAACACATTGGTTAGTTGAATGCTGATATCTTGTTTCATGATACAATCGTCCATTCCCGACATTCTGTAGATATTCATTTGGTCGAGTGTGATAGCAGTGTTGGAAATACCGATAATCTTTAAACTACCCTTTCGCTTGTGGGAAATGACAAGATCGGATGTCTGGAAAAGCTGTGGGAATGACATTCGTCTTCCTTTGACAGCGCTGGAACTCGATGATTTGGAGGGCGACGATGCACTTCCGGTGCTACCGATGCTCAGTGGCGATGACTTGTTCTCGTCACAAGTGGTCGAAACAGGGTCAGGACTTGCTGTGGATTGAATCTGTAGTTCATGCTTTCGAATGGCATCGCTCACCTCCATACCATTGAGCACTGGCAAGTCGATATTGACAAGTATGAGATCATAGTAGTTCTTCTTGGCCATCGACAGCAACGTAGCACCGTCCTGTACAAATGTAAAGTGATATCTAAATGTCTCAAGACAGTTTTGTATGATATTCTGAGTGGAAAAGTCAGACTCACCGATGAGAGTTCGCATCAGAGGACGACCACGACCAGACTCCAACACCTTGATAGGGAAGACAGAGTTGAATTTCTTGCGATGAACACTCATGGCAACATTGAAGACTTGAGAGATACCACGAACAAGATTGGTGGGTGTCAGTGGCTTCACTATGCACGTGATGTTTCGCGTCTTGCTGTTCCGAAGCAACAGGTCGGTCGGTGTCAACAAGAGAATCAGCTTGACATTGTCAAACAAAGGATTGTCACGTAGCATCTGAATGGTTTCCAAACCATCGCAACCAGGCATGTGATAGTCGATAAGCACCACCCGATATGGGTTGAGTTGTGTAGCCAACTTCAACTCCCTGATTCCCTCTACCGTTGAGCCTGCAGACTTTGAAATACAACCCAGTCTCTTTAGTATCATTTCTGTGGACATTCTAACATTGGCATCGTCGTCAATGATTAGGATTGGCAGCTGATTAAAAATAGCTAGTTGGTCACCGGTCAACGCAAAAGGATTCTCAGAGACCGGTGTTGGAGAGCGATCGACTTGGAACACCAAGTTGATAACAAAAACACAACCACCATCGCCGTTCTTTTGTGCCACAAAAGAACCACCCAAACCCTTAATAATCTTATTGCAAATGTACAATCCAAGACCTGTTCCTTGAGAGTTTGGCATTTCATCTTCTTGATCGTCATCATCGTCGTCGTCATCTTCATCAATCACATTGTCCTCCACCTCCATTCTCTGACCAGTATTTTGTTTCTGATAAGCATCTTTATCTTCTTCACTACTACTATTATTATTGTTATTATTATTATTTTTTTTATGTTTTGATTTACTTTTACGAGATCTACTTCTACTTCTACTTCTATATCTATCATGACTAATTTTGTATCCACCTTTAAAGCTACTACTTCCACTCTGATAGTCATCGTCACTGTCTTCGTAGTCACCAAACTTTGGAAATGGTTGAAACTGATTGATAATCTTGAGTTGGTCATCCGTCAAACCAGTACCACTGTCAAACACAGATATTTCAATATAAACATCGTCTTGATCCAGCAATGCAGCGTCACTCTGTACAGGTGGATCTATCTTACTAACAATAACTCCAATATCTCCTTTCTCTGTATACTTTACCGAATTCTTTAATAACTGTAATAGAATCTGTATCAAAGCAGATGGATCCTATTAAAAAAAAATAAATAATAACAACATTTTAGTTAACAAAACTACAACTTTTACTACTAATTCTACTTATACTACTTACTCCAATTAAATTTAAAGGAACATCTTCATTAACTCTAAATACCAATTCAATATTTGTATTGTTGATATCTTTCGATATCTTTTCAAATACCTCTTCTATCAATGAGAATATATTGAATGTGACATCCTCAACTGAAATATCACCTGATTCAATCTATTATTGTGGATAAACATTAGTTGGTTGGTTGGTTGGTTGGTTAAAGTGCATCTGTATTATATTATTTAAGTTAACTTACAGCTAATATCAATTTTATATCATCAACTAAATTGATGTTTTGATTGATCAACTCTTGTATGGTATTGATCGATCGAATTTGATACTTGTTGAGATCGGTCGACTGGAGATGACAAGTCTCCTTGGAGATGTCCATAATGGAGTGAGTCATCTTCTCGACAAACTGTTGCATAAAGTCAAACTTTTCCAAGAGTTGTTGTGTTCCGGTTGCGTAGATCCTGTTCATGTAGTCGGATTGCTGATTCAGTTCTATTGATAGACGACGATGGAGTATCTCACCCTCTGCCTTCCAGCGCGTGTACTTCTCGCCCGACGCCTGCACTATATCGATGGCCAAACCACAAAAGAAACTGAGAAAACTCAGAACATTGAGAATGTAAAAGATACCACCACCATAGGGATCGCCGACAAAGTCACGATCCTTCTCACTGGCGCCACTCGCCATCGAGTACTCGAGGAGGTAGAGTGCTTCTGCCACCTGTGGCATGAGAGACGCCAGCGACAGTAGAGTGTAGGTCTTTCGAATCTGTAGATGATACAACATCGTCATACCACTGAGAAACAATATCAAAATGAGACGAACGATCGACTCGTTGATACTGAATATCTGATTCGGTGAATTATACATAATCGACTCCACCGTTGTCCAAGCCAAATCTATTATACTACCTTGTTTGGCACCACCACTTACTTTCAAGTCAGTAGAAGTTGTCATGACGGTAATCAACAAAATCGCAATGAACAACATAATTACAACCACCAATACCAAAGCAAATTGACATATATTCCAATATAACATGTTAAGTTTACTACCATTATTACCATTACCATTTCCATTATTATTATTACTATTATGTTCATTTCCATTTCCATTTCTTTTACTATTTGAACTATTTGAACGTTGATGTTTATGATGATGATGTTGATGTTGATGATGCTGTTGTTGATGTTGTTGCTGTTGTTGATGATGCTGCTGCTGTTGTTGATGTTGATGCTGTTGTTGATGATGTTGCTGTTGTTCTACATTCTCATTGTTGTAATGATGATGATTATTGTTATGATTGTTGTTATTGATGTTTGCATCCAATTCTTCATCATCAAAGAACAAACGTTGAAAGATAGCAGGTCGTGTCGATCTAGGATTATTGCTTGGTGCACGTGGAAATAAGATGAAAAGGTAGAAGAATACACTAAAGAGAAAGTTGAATGGTGTTATGTAGTAGGGCTGTAAGTAAGAGTCACGATAGTAAAGTGCATTCCAAAAGCCACCGAATGCCATATACACTGTAAAAAAATCACGTCTAATACTGAAATGAAATATCGAAGATACCAATCCAACGAATGAAATGATCCACTCCAAACGAATCACATTACACCATCCGCAACCCGTCTGATTCGATATCGGCAGCCAAAGTAGCGGTCCAACCGACAAACAAACAAAAAAGTAAAACAATAAAAAATAATACATAACTTAATCTATCATTTTTTCAATAGCATTAGATTTAGATTTGATTTGATAACATAATGATGATAAAGTATTCAATAACTTACAGTTTATGTACGGATTGTGAGATGTTTCCAACATTGAAAAAAGGTATGGAAGTTGACTGTTCGATTTCGTCGTCCAGTCCGTCGATATTATCGTAGTGATGATTCGATTGATCGGAGTCCAATGCATGATGTAGCAGATATTTACGTGCAGATACAGCACGTGGTGAATTTAAATTATTAAATACATTACTATTATTATTATTATCTATACTATTATTGCTATTATTATTTATATTTAAATTATTATTATTTACATTTGATTTATTTATATTTAAATTATTTTTTCTATAACGCATACTATTTATATTTATATTTATATTACTATTATTTGTTATATTATTATTATAATTATTATTACTGTTTGTAGAAGTAGCTCCAACAAGATTTTCACCACTTTCACCAGCTCCACTTTCAGCACCACCACCACTCCTCTTATTAAATTGATTTTCCATTTCTTTCTTACATAAATAAAAATTGATTTATAATAATATTATTATTATAATTATCAAACTATTATTATTTTTAGATAGATATAGATATATATATTTATATTGATAATTGTTTTGTTTCTTTTATTAATCTTTTAATTTCAGTAAAAATATATCGATTTTTTTGATGTTCAAAATTCTTTTTATAAAAATAAAAAATAAAATTAAAAATAAAAACCAAAAAATAAAAAATCTTGTTCAAGATTTATTAAATTGTTTGAAAATATATTTATAACTTTGGTTATTCACTACATCAGACAGACCTGGGAAAAAAAAAAAACAAACAAACAAATAAATAAATAAATAAATATTAAAAATATATATCTTTTTAACTTTTTTCTTTTTTTAATGATAAATATATGTATTTTATAATAATTATTATTATTGCTATTTCTACTTCTTTTTTTTTATTTTTTTTATAATATTATTTATTATTTTTGTTTTCGAACAACAAATTAATTTAATAGATTAAAAAAAAAAATAACAATAATCATAATGATAATAGGAATATAGATATTATTATTATTATTTAATTTTTAATTATTGTTTTTTTTTTAAAAAAATGAGAGGTGAGCGGGTGATGATAATGATAAGGGGGAATAAAATTTGATCACGAACGATAACTTTACAAGCAAACAAACAATCCAATCTAACAACATCACCTTCACATGTCAACATATTAAATTGAAAATGTTATTATAACATTACTTTTTGTTTTTGTTTTTTTTTTTTTTTTTTTTCCAAAATTATTGACATAAAGATAGAAAGAGAGATAGAATGAATGTTTGTAATCTAAAATAAACTACTTTTTTTTATTTATTTTAAATTTTGATATTGAACTTCATTCACACTATCAACAAACAAAACATTACTTGTATTTTTTGACAAAAATTATGTAAATTAATTAATTTATTATTTATTTGTACTAAATAAAAAAAAAGTATTTAATAATAATTATAAAAATGAGGATATGTTTGTATTGTCAACAAAAGAGAAGGAGAAGAGATCAGACAAACCATGGTCTATGGTCATCAGAATGATAATTTCCATTTAAAGTGATTTTTATTTTTTTTTTTTTTTTGACTTTTTAAGCCTGTTTTGACTTTTTAAAAACAATTCTTTTTATTTATTTATTTGTTGATGCAATTTGATTGTTGTATCATTAATATCAAAAAAAGATGAGTTCAAAAGTTACTAGTAGAGGTAACAGAAATAGTGGAGGTGTTGTAGATCACCACCGAAATGATGATGATGATCGTGTTGCAACCACCAATACCACCAAGAAAACACATACCACTAGTAGTGGCAACAGCAACAGCAGCTTCTACAAAAAAGTAGTGTCGATATTGAATGACAGTAGATATTTCTATTGGTTCGCCATATTTTTTTAGTGTGTGATGTGGCGATCAACTATTTGGTGGTGACAAAGGTAGAGTACACAGAGATCGATTGGTCGACCTACATGCAGCAGATCACTCTTTTCATGAATGGCGAGCGTGACTATACGAAACTCGAGGGTGACACTGGTCCCGTCGTATATCCCGCCGGATTCATCTATGTGTTTGCCGTGCTGCGTCAGCTGACCGACCTTGGCGCCAACATTGGTCGCGCGCAAATTATATTCGCCGCGCTGGCAGTCGCCACCAGTGCGCTGGTATTCGCTATCTATGGACGTGATCGCAAGCACGTGCCCGGTTACGTACTGGCGTTCCTCATCCTCTCGAAGCGTATCCACTCGATTTTCGGACTGCGACTGTTCAACGACGGTCTCACCATGTTTGTATTCTACATTTCTCTCTACCTTTTCACGCGTCATCGTTGGTCGCTCGGCTGCGTATTCTTTAGCGCGGCAGTCAGCATCAAGATGAATGTACTGTTGTACGCGCCAGCACTTCTACTACTGCTCCTCCAAACCTACGGAATCGTCTGGACAATTCCGCGTCTTGGCATCTGTGGATTGCTGCAACTGGCGATTGGCGCGCCATTCCTCGCCAGTCACCCAGTCAGCTACTTGACACGCGCCTTTGAATTCTCACGGCAATTCATGTACAAATGGACTGTCAATTGGCGATTCGTGCCGGTGGACATCTTCCTTTCGAAACCCTGGGCAATCGGATTGCTCGGATGCCACTTGTTCATCCTCAGCATTTTCATCTTCAAGTGGTTGTCCAAGAGCAAGCGATCATCGAATCTCAAACTTGAATTTTTACCTCAGTCTGGTGCACCAAAGCGTATTCTCGAACCTCGTTACATTCTGACGGTGATGTTCACCACCAATCTAGTTGGCATAACATTTGCACGTTCACTTCACTATCAGTTCTACGTGTGGTATTTCCACAGTTTGCCTTACCTGCTTTGGCAACAGACCATTCTACCGGTGCCAATACGAGCACTCCTCTTGGTTGCCATCGAATATTCGTGGAACGTATATCCATCAACCAATTTCAGCTCTGGGCTACTCTTCATTTGTAATCTCCTAATTTTGGTATCACTACTTTTTTCAGAATCGCCATCACCACTTCAATCACCACTTCAATCTCAAAAGAACAACAAAAAAACAAAATAAAATTGAAAAATGAGTGTTTGCAAAAAATACTCAAAAAATTATAATTTTTAGATCGATTTTTTTTTCAAAAATTCAAGCTTCTTGAATAAGTTCTGGTGTTTCTAAAGCATTCTTTTGAAAATATTCATGAAGAAATTAAGAATTCTGGTGTCATAATGACACACTACAAAAAAAACAAACAACAAAAACCAAAAAAGTGTCTTTTTAAATAAACAACAATTTTTTTCATTATTCTTTTTCCTTCTTTTTGCCAATTCATTTTTTACATCTCTCATACATCATTTCGAAATATCTTGAGTAAATTAAAGTTGACTGTGAGAATATAAGAAACAAAGAGAATCTTAAAAAGAATAATTAAAATATTACAAAGAATATTAAATTAATCCAACAATTACATAATAATAATCAAAATACACTAGTACTCCTAATTATAATAATTATACTTTACTCTTTTTTTTTTATTTTAACATATTAAATAATAATGTATACTTCTTTATATTGGTTTTTAAATAATATACTATAAAATAATTAATATCATATAATATAATATTTATATAGTAGTAATAATAATAATAATAATAATAATAATATCAAAAAATTGAACGAAAGATAATTTAGATATATAGATAGATTTTTTTTCAAACAAATTTATAAATAATTCGTTTGTTTGTTTATTTATATTTATTTTATTTAAAAGAATATATATTAGTTTGTAAAAATAGAATAGAATAGAATAAAAATAATAAAAGTTTATATTTAATTTATATTTAGTAGTTCATTACATTATGGATGTTAATAAAACAAATAACATTAATGATGATGATGATGATAATGAATATTATAAATGTCCAGTACATCATAGATGTTTAGGTAAGTTATGTTTTTTATTATTAATTGAAGTAATATTAATATGATGAATTACTTTTATTGTTGTTGTTATTTAGAATTTCTATGTAGAAGTTGTAATGTTATGTTATGTGCAAATTGTAGTATCTCTGCATGTCATCGTGGTCATGTGATAGAGGATTTCGATACAGTCGTTCAGACATTACACAGCAATGGACAGTTACAACAGAGATTGGATGAACTATGGTTAAAGACAAAAGAGAACGATCTGATGATTGAAAGGTTCAAAAAGACAGAGGATGAAGTCACTGAATACTATAGTCAGCTACACGAATTCCTAATGGTAGAAGAACACAAAATAAAGAAACCTCTGCGGAACGAGAGAGAGAAAGCAGAACAAAATATACAATCGATATTACAAGAGATGAAAGAGATCAACAATGTAATTGCAACGGTTTCAAATTATACAAACAATAAGAATAGAGTTGGGAATGACAATGAAAACGAACAACAACAAAACCATCATCATCATCATCATCAACAACAACAACTTAGTCCATCTACAATCTGTACAAAAAGAAAATATAATGAAATATGTCAAGAAAAAGAAAAAGAAAAAGAGAATAGTAATAAGATATTAATGTGTGAGCAAGAAGGTGAAGAAAGAGAGGAAGAAGAAGAAGAAGCTGTGATAGATGAACACTTGAATCTGGATATATGTATAGAAAAAGTTATGAAATCTATCAGAGATATGGGTAGTGTTTCAGAGTTGATCGAGAAGAACAGTGCGATGTTTCAGGTGAATCAATGTGAGAAACCAATAGAGTTGCTTCATTTGGTGCAAAAGTATATGACCCTGATGAAGTGTAATGGCGATCCTAATCCTCCACCCTCGTGTGTTTTGAGACTGTTGGACATTGAGAAAGCACAGGCCTTTCTTGGACGTATCTACGAGTTGCTCGATGGCGAGCCGACTCACGACCGCGCAAACTACCTCTTTACGACCGGTGCCGACGGCAGCTTCATATTCGATATCTCCAGCAGCAAGTGGACAAAGATAAGTGATGATCCCGAGCACGAGCATCGTAGACTGCCGCTCTACTCGGTGGTTTCCGACGGACGCTGCATCTATGTGTTTGGCGGTCACAATTGTTCGGCCACCTACAGCAGACTTTGCATCGAGTCGACGTCGTGGGACAAGAGTGGCGCCATCACCACTGGCGAAGGTGGCTATGGAATCTCTGCTTGCTATGATGGCGCGCGCTACATCTACTTGACGGGCGGCTGCTACAACAAGATCAACCTCAAGAGAATCGACCGTTTCGACACACAGACACTGACGTTCAGCCGCGTTGGAAACATGGCACAACCACGTGTCGGATCGTACAGCTTCTATCACGCTGGCTGCATCTACATCGTTGGCGGTGTCCGCGAACGAATGGACTGGCCAACGGTGTTGGTTTTCGACACCGTTCAGGGAAAGCTATCGACGTTGATCGAAGACATCGGCATCGTTCAATTGATTATCAGCGCTTGCTTCGACGGCAACGATCTCATCTACATTCTCGACAAACAAAAGAATTTCTTTACGATATCGATCAGCACGAAAACCAAGACTGTACTGTCGTCGCCCAACATCACCGGTTGCACGACAGGCACTCTCTCCACTATCTATCTAAACACATGTAATATCAACAGTGAAACATACAGTTTACTCTACGGCGAGGTCTATCTTATCGGTGGCAAACAATATGGCAACCATATCTATTGTGTAGGAAGTAACACCTGGCACTTTGTCAACGACCACGACCAACAAAACAGAGTTTCAAACGGTTCGATCAAATTCTTAAAAAACAAACCAAAAGCTTAAATTAAATTAAGTTTTAATATTTTGGGAAAAATAATAATAATAATAATAAATTATTTAATTTTATTTTATTAATAATATTTATTTATTTATTTATTTATTTACAATTTATTCATTATTAGTAATAATTATTTATATTTTTTTAATTTATTTTTGATACATCGACTGTATTAATTATTATTATTATCATCATCATAGTTTTGAAGTTGATTAATTTGATAAGTGTTAAATGTATAGGAATTCTCTGTAGTATTATAACATTGATTAGTTTGGTGAAGGGAGGAGGTTGTAGATGAAGATTCTAAAGGTGTTAGTGAATCAAAAGTGTTGATATTAAAATTTTGAATTGGATTGTTGAATGTGTATTCTAATAACTCTTTAAGAATTGAATAATCCTCTGGTGATTCACCATTTTGATTAGTAGTAATACAATTATTTACAATATTTGAAGTTGTTGTTTTCTGTTGTTGTGTATCTGATTGTACATGTGTAATTAAAAGAGATGTTGCTGAATCACTGTATGATTCTTGTGATTCTAGTGAATATGTTTCATTATTATTAGTATTAATTTCATCGATATCTGCTGTGGATGGTGTTGTATCATATGATACCTGAGTAATTGGTTGATGATTTACAAAGTTTAACTGGTGGTTTGTTTGATTGGAGAATGAAGATGATGATGATAGTTGTACAGGTATTAAAAGTTGAGATGGAATAGAATTTGTAACCATTTCCATGCTTGGCTCCAGATGTACAATGTTGGATTTTACAGGCTCCATGACACTGAGATACTTGATTACATTTTTAAATGACTTTGAAGGTGACTTATGGGCGATGATCGATGACTGAGTTGGAATTGAAGTGTTGCTGGAGGAGGAGAAGGATGATGATGAAGATCCTTTAACTTGTTTCTTTGGCGAAGAAGAAGAACCTTTTTTAATTTTAATTTGTTGGGCTTGAGAGATAGACGATTGTGGTAGAGGAGCTGTTAAACTAAACATTGGAGATTGGCCAGGAAATAGAGTATCCAATGATGGCTCAGGTCTAACCTTCTCATGTTTCTGTGTCTTATATCTGAATGAGGTCATCAACTCTGTTTGCTTAACAGAACCTTCGTTCATCTTGACAAAACTATGTTTATATTTTACACCGACTGATGAATTTGACAAAGACATATACTCTTCATCATGATTTTTAATAAGAATTCTATTATTATCCATTGAAATTTAAGAAAATAACAAATAAACAAATAATTAAAACTATATAATTAAGAATGAACTAAAGATAATTATTTATTTTTATTTGAAATGGATCATTAGAATTAAATTTAGAAAACAATAAACAATTTACAATTTATAAATAAACAAGTAACATAAAAATACAAATTTTAATAATATTATTAATGTACAAATAAATAATTATAAAATACAATTTAATACAATAAATGAAACTATTACAATATTAAGTTGTTTCTTAAAATGGAAATGATAACCAAACTTTTGTTCACCCTAAAACTTAAATAGAAAAATTCCAAGGTTACCACTTTGCATCAAAAAAGATGACATGATTGATTGTTCTTAAAATAAACAATAACGGTATTGAAGTCAGTTAATTTATACAACAATCCTATAGAATCATTGATGATTGATTAATACTAAAGTATAAATATTTATATAAATATTTATTATTATTGTTTTTTTAAAATTTTATCAATATTTTTTTTTTATTAGATAAGTTTTAATTTGATATGATATGACATTATAAGGGGAGTTGTGTTGTTTGAAGGTTGTATTGTATAAAAATATAATAATATTATAGGATTGTAGTGGTGGGTGGTATTTATAAAATGGCACTGCGGTGTTATATAGGATTGTATTGTATGTATTTTATTTATTTTATGAGTATTTGTTTTTTTTTTTTAATAATCTACTTTTTCAGATTATTGAGCCTCAACTTCAACTTGACCGTTGGTGTCTGGTGTAGCAGCTGGAGTAGTTTCGCTAGAGTCAGCGGTGGTGGTTTCTGATTTTGATTCAGTGGCGGCGGCGGTGGTGGTGGTGGTTGATTCTTCAGTGGCGGCGGTGGTTGTGGTGGTGGTGGTGGTTGGTTTGGCTTCGGCAGCTTCTTGTTGTGCCTTTTGACGTTGCTCCATGACTTGAGCAGAGAGAGTTTTGTAGTGTTCCTTCTTGCTACGCAGTTGGACGATGGACTCATCGATGTCGGCGTACTTTGATGGTGGAGCCATCGATATCAACTCGAAATCAGAGAATACGGACATTGGGTGTCTGATGACCTCTGGTAATGGCTTTGGAGCGGCATCCTTCTTCTTCTTGTCGTCCTTGGCACCTCCACGTGACTTTTGGGTCTTTGGAGCGAGGGCAACCATTCCGTCGAGGTCGGCAGTGTTAACGGCTTGAGTGGCTGTAACCTTTTCGGCGACGGTCTTTGGTTTCAAACTCTCTAAATAGGTGACGAGGTTGTCACATTTGTACATCTCTTGTTCGTATGGAACCTTACGGAGTTCCTCTTGACGTTGCTCCTCCTCTCGCTTCTGACGCTCTTCAGTTCTCTTACGCTCGTTCTCTAAATACTCTGCTCTCTTCTTTTCTTGTTGCTCCTTACGCAACTTCTTTGCTTCCTCCTTGTAGGTGGTTCTGGCGATCTTCTCGGCGTCGATCTTTGGTTGGACGGCGTCGATCTGTACTTGGAGTTCCTTGACCTTAGCGTCCATCGAGTTGATCTCGTCCTTGAGGATCTTGATCTTGTCGCTGTTTGGTGAGGCGGTGTCCTTGATCTCCTTGATCTTTGCTTCGAGATCGTCGATCTCTTTGGTGAGTGGGTCGATCTTTGACTTGTGGTTGGTGATGGCAGTGTCAAACTGGGCGATGGTCTCACGAGTGGCAAAGAATTCGGTGATCGAACGACGCTGGGCGTTGAATCCACTTTGCTTCTTGATTAAATTACGTTGAACGTTTGGATTACGTTCGGCTTCGATCTCCTTTTCGATTTCTTGGGCTGCCTTCTCGATGCTGAGAATGGCGTCCTCCAAGGTGGTTCTAGCGTTGATACGGAATGGCAAGTCCTTCGATTGGGCATCGACTCCGTCTCTACGTACTTTTTGTTCTTCGATCATCTTTTTCAATGTGTTGATCATCTCTGTACGCTGTTTCAACATCTCTGACTTTTTGTCTTGGAGTTCTTTCTTCTCCGACGACTTGCTTCCGCTGGCGTCGTAGAGAGTCTTGACAGCCTGACGCTTATCTTTCAACGATTTAATGATTTCCTCCTTCTTCTTTATCAATGTGGTTCTCTGTTCGAACATCTCATTGATTCTGTTTTCAAATGCAACCAATTTTGGATCGACTGGATAATCTTTCTTCTCACCACCATTGCTCTGCTTGTTACCACCGGCAGCAACACCACCAGTTGAAGTGGTGGTAGTAGTCTTATTGTTCTCTCTGTTATTTTCCTTCTTTGGTGCTCTATCTTTCTTTGGTGCACCACCAGCAGCAGCAGAAGTGTTATTATTCTTGGCAACAGTTGACATATCTATCTTATCTTATCTTAATAAATAAAAAATAAATAAATATATATATCTAATGAAAATATAATATAATTGAAAGGAATGATGATGAATTGGTGAAGTATATAAATATGGTGATAATGAAGGATTGAAATGAAACTAATTTTTCAAAAACAAGAAAAGTTTTGACAAAAAAAAAAAGAAAAAAACAAAAACAAAATTATTTTTATTAAAAAAAAAACTAAACTAAAATAAATCTGACTAAAGAAAGAAGCAAATATATTTAATTAATTGTTTAAATTATTTTAAATTTTTGATGATAAATTTATAAACTTTAGAAATATAATATTTATTTATATTTATTAAATCTATAGTTTCTTATTTATTTATTATTGGGATGATTTATGATTAGACCGCTGCTGTGTTGCTCACTTGCTTAACTTGCAATTTTTATGATAGAAAAATACCATTTTTTTTTTTTAATGATGAAAAGGGCTAGTTATCAGGTGAAATGGGGGTAATTGAATTGTATGGTGAAAAATTAATTGTTGACTGGTCACTTTTCATGTTTGACTTTTTTTCAACTCTGAACAACACACTTTAAAAAATTGCAATTCGTGCTCACAAAAAAAAATCACCTGAACTTCTGAAAAAAAAATGCATTGCAAATAATAATGCATCAAAAAAAAGGAAAATGATAATTTTTTAATAAATATCTAATTAAAAAGTTAAATATACAATTATATCTTTTTTCATTGTATTTGTGTTTGTTTTTACATTTCATATGAAAAAATAAAATAAAAAACAGTTACGACAAACAACAATGAAATTCACTGTTTTTGTAAAATTAGGTTGGTGTTTGTTTTCATTCATTAAAATGGTTTTTTAGATTTTTATTTTAAATTGTGTGTGCTTTGCTTGGTGGTAGTCTTAATGGATGGCGGTTCCCCAAAAACAACACCACCCTACCCCTAGAAAATACAAAATTCAACACTTTTTTTAAGCTAAAACCTTGTGATTACACTTTGGTGTGATCAGTCAATCACATAAAACTCTAAATCAAAACACTTAAAATATGAAACAAATTTAGTAATTTGTTTTCCAAAAATCTATTCAGATCATGATGATACTTTTGCGCTCATCAACCAACAACAAGAGAGGCGTGCCAACCAAAGTTTATTTAAATCGCTTAAACTTTCATGTCACACATCAATATCTCTGAAACTTCTTCATTCAATTTACATTCCCCACACACCAATTTAATTAATTAAACCAATACCAATACTCAGAATCATCATCATTGATTAACACGTTCACATTTATTTAAAACTGTTAAATTTCAAAAAAGAACCAACCAACCAACCAAACCAACTAGTTTAGTTTTAAGTTTTTAGTTATCTATTTAATATTATCTATTTTATTTTATCTTATTTATATTTTAAATATATTTATATTATCATCATTATTATTTATATGGATGGTATCAATAAATCAACATTGTTTGTAGGTGAAGTCGATGAAAATAAAAATAAAAGAAATAGTGGGGGAAAATTGTTGAAATGTTTACAGCATCAGAGAGAATTGGAATTTCTTTGTCAAGACTGCAATCAGTTGTTGTGTGCTAATTGTGTGATTAGCAGTGATCATAGAGGTCATGTAGTAGATGACTATCAATCACTTTATAATACATATTATAGTGGTAGTAATAACAATAACAATAACAATAATACAAATATTAATAATAATAATAACAATAATAATAACAATAGTAATAGTAATAAGGATGATCCAATTTGTAATTACAATAAGCGAATCAATAAACTATGGAATGATCTCAGAGAGTATAGCGAGAAGGTGGAATTCTGTCAGCTCCACGAAACAATGATTACCGACTACTATCACAGTATCCATGAGTTTCTCAGACTCGAGGAATACAAGCTGACCAAGCCATACACGAGTGAGCGAGAAAGAGTAGAGAAACTAATGGAAATCAATCTCAAAGAGATAAAGTCAATTCATCAAATTTTATATTATCATAACCAAAATCAGAATCAGAATCAGAATCAAAACAACGAGAATACAAGTGAAGCAGCTGCTGCTTCTAAGGAAGATAATATAGAGGTGTTTGACTTTAACATAAGTACGATCATTGAGTCGATCAGGTTATGCAAGAATGTAAATGAATTCCTCGATATATACAAGGATACAGATCTGTTAAGAGACAACTACCAACACTCTTTGCTCTGCCAAATGCAATACCTGACATCCAACATCAACATTAAAGACGATCAACAACTTTCAATTGCAACACCACCTCTTCCAATTCATAAAATAGTATTTAACGATAAGATTCTTAAGGAAATCAAAATATTGTTCCACCAGTTATATCAGTTAATTAATGATATACCACCTACTATAACAACAACATTTGTATCTACAAACAACAATAATATTAATAACATTAACAATAACAATAATAATAATAATCAAGTTAACAATAATAATAATAGAGATAAATGTAAGATTTTAACATTTGGTGGAAATGGGTGTTATGGCTATGATATTATCACAGGGAAATGGAGTAAATATGACATAGACAAAGAGAAGAGAACTTATGCCCAATGTAGTGTTGTGGCAACAAAAGATTATGCATATATATTTGGTGGAAAGAAGAGATTAAATACATATTCTCGTTTTAATTTAAATTCTTTAAAGTGGGATTTTACCTGGACTATAACAACAAATATCAATCCAATCAATAATAATAATAATAATAATAATAATAATAATAATAATAATAATAATAATAATAATAATAATAATAATAATGTTAGTGAAGGTGGATTTGGTATTTCAGTTTGTTATGACGGTGGCAAATATATATATTTAATAGGGGGACAGTTCAATGGCGATAATTTGACTCGTGTCGACAGGTTCAATCTGGAGACACTGGAGTTTAGAAGATTGGGTAGCTTGTTGCAACCGAGATACTACTCCTACAGTTTCGTAAAGGATGGATCTATTTATGTAGTTGGTGGATACAATGATTTCAAGAGTTGCCAATCGATTATGCAATTCAAATTGGACGATGGTGATTGCTCCTATCTGCTGGACGATCTTCCATTCCAAGGCTGGATAATATCAGAGTGCTTCGATGGCGAAGATCTTATCTATGTTTATGATTCGGAGGGATCGTTCTATTCGGTGTCACTCTCTACTCATGCCATGATTGCATTAGCTCAGCCAAAAGTCTCCAAGAAGTTCCACTACCGCCACTCAATGACCTATCATCATCATAAAGATGCAAACAACAATTCCATCTACCTCTTTGGAGGAAGTAGACATGGAAATCATCAATACAATATCCAAGCGAATGAATGGATAAAGTTACACGATAAAGATGACGTCGATAGAAGATACCACGGTTCATGTGAAGTTTATACATCTCGCTAAAAAATAAATACATCAACTTTTCGATTGTTATTGTTATTGTTTATGTTTATGTTTATTTTACATTCTATTTATTACAATTGGTTATTTATGAATTATATAGATATGTCTATCCGTACCAATTCAAACGGTCTGGAAGTTTTGAATCTGGAATCATTGATTGTACACATCTTCCTGTAGGACATTCATTTTCATTCGTTTTTTTGTCAATAACAAAGAAATATCCACTTGGACACTTTAAAGATACTATTTCAGGACAATTTGTTGGCGATACAGGGATAGAAGTCGGTGATGATTCTGTGTTTTCGTTCTTTCCCAAACTTGATTGGAAAGCGGGGGAGGTACCTTCATCTAAATCATTACATGCTACTATTGGAGTGTTGTTTAATAAAACTGATACTATTGAAATAAAACAAATAGTTCTTATTATTTTAAAATGTTTTGAAATTGTTTTCATTTAAAATATTAAACTAATAATAAATTAGATAAATCAATAGAATATATAATAGCATTTCAAATATATATTATTATTGGTGAATATTCAATAAATATTTATATATATTAAATTTATTTTTAAAAAAATAAGTGGTTCTAAAGGTATGTTTTTTCATCTTCTGATCATAATCGGTCATCTTATTCTTTTATTGAATTTATCATCCAATAATATTTATTTGAAATTTCTTTCCTACATTTATCATATATAAATATACCTATCTATTATAAATTAAATTTGTAAAGTAGAATTGTCAAAATGATTTGATTTATTGTGGTAGCTGGTTTTTTAACTGACAACTTTCAACTTTCTATTTCATGATATTCAGAATCACTATTTGGTGTCAATCTTGTCAGTTACATCGGAATAACCTAGTATTTATATATTACATAGTATGAATACACTAATATATAATATTTAAAAATATATAAATCTAAAAGAAAATAATGAGTGATTGAACAAATAAAATACATACAAAGAGTATTTATGTGTTGATCAGGTAAGATATGTGTGAAATTATTAAATAATTTGACAAAAGTGGGTGGTAATATAGATATTTTTTTACTCGGATAATTATTACTATATTTTGAACTGTAAATTTATTTATTTATTCCAATTTAATTTTTATTCTCCTTTAAAAAAAAAAACAACTAAAGAAGATCGATGTTCGCTCTTATTTTGCACATAAAGGTTGGGAAGAAGATTTCGAATTCACAGACATCTTTATCAATAATATCAACAATAACTAAACTCTATCAAAAGTTTTATTAATCAAAAGCTACAACTATTTAAGCAAATTAAAAAAGAAATTCAACAATTTTTATCAGAAAAGTCATACAACTTTAAAATGATCTATAACTCCTCGATTAAAACATATGTATTAATATCAACAAAACTTTAATAAATAAATATCTACGGATATGTGTTTGGTAAAAAAGATATTTTTGATTTATTCTCTTGAAAAACAGAAAAAAATTATATATCTATTCATTTTTTATATAAATTTTTATTATTTTAAAAACTGTATATGGTAAAGAACAACTAAACGTTAGAAGTGTGAACAACACCCTTTACGACATTCTTTTCAATCATCGAATTGGAATAACTCTTTCTCCCTCATAAATTTTTGAATTTAAATTCACCAATTTTTTAAAGTTTACCCAAAAAATTAAATCTAAAAATCTTTAAGGTGTTTATTAGATTCAACTGATGTTCAACAATCATTCCTTTTTTAGAAGATAGATTATCGATGAAAAAAATATCATTCACTTCTCTACGTTGCAAAAATTTTTTTTTCCAGAAGGCTTTAAATTAACTATCTTAAAAAAGTAGTAGGAAAAAGCCAAAAGTTTGAGATCCTCTATTTAAAATAAAACTTATAAAGATAATCAAAAGTTTAGTTTAATTTTAATTAATTTTTAAAAAACAAATATTTTTATGAACAAAATTTTTTTTTTTGATAGTATTTTAATAGACAAATAGAATAAGTTTATTTTTTTGTGTGATTAAACTGAGAAATCTGTTTATTTTATTATTTATTTGAAGGTGATTAATATTAAGATTATTAAGATTTTAGTTGATTATTGAATGATTGATTCTGAGGAACAACCGTTACCCTCTAGGATTAAAGGACAATTCATGCATGCGGGACAGGAATAGCAATAAACTTGGATAGCTGGAATTGCTCCTGGAGGTATTTTAAAAGATAAATTATCAAATACTTGATTGTAATAACTGTTTTGGGAGGTGATGGTTGTAAAAATCAAGTTGAGAGTATATCCTACTTCTGTTTTGTATTGAACTCCATTATAATTAATATTGATAATAGTAATGTTTGCGTTGAAAATGTAAGGAGTTGTTGAGGTACTCTCAATAAGATCTTGTGTGGTAGAAAAAAAGAGATTGGCACTGAAAGTATCGTTATAGGTAAAGCATTTGGTGGCTTCAACGGTAGCGATTTCTTCATGAGGAACTACTTCAAAAGCAGAAATCACTTGCAAGCATAGTAGTATTGTTATTAGAATTGTATATCTATTCATCTTTATAAATATTTTAATTATATATATTTTTATAATATTTTACAAACTGAGCTTACAACGTTGACCGTTTTATACCTTTTTTTTCAATCACCAAATTTCAACGACTCTTCTCCCTCATCAACCTTGGAATGTTCATATAAACCACGTTTACCCAAAAAAATAAATCTAAAAATTCATTGTACAATTCATTTTTTCAAAACAACTGATTCATTCCGTTTATGGAAGTTAGATTTATTGGGTATCGATTTATGGCTTTTCTTAAATTGGATTAAAAAAAAAAAACTACAATTCCCTTATTACAATGAGATTTTTTAAAAGAGTATTAACCCTTTTCTTTTCACACATATTCTTTAAACTATTTAACGACTATCTAGATTATTATAACATAACTTAATTAACTTTTTGATCTAAAGATATGGATCACTGTCACATGAATATGAATATTCATATATAAGCATAAATGATTCTCCTTTTTATGTATGAATATTCCAAGTTGTGATTTCAACAAAACGTACTAGTCTGTTTGTTATCAATTGAATTCAAAGTTTTAAATTATTTGAAGTGGTAGTTGTCTTATGAGAATACTTTTCTCTTGATTTCTGTAAAATTTGGATGATCATTTTTTTTTTCATTTTTTTGAAAAATATATTAAAAGATAATAAAAGGTTAAAATAATTAAAGGTTTTAAAGATATAAAAATGACAGATAATAACAATAATAATAGTATTGATCATACAAAGAATATATTGTTAGATAAACATATTCAATATGTTATAAATTTAGATAATAAGAAAGAGGAAGACTTTGAATATTGGTTGAGTGAACACCTCAGAATGAATGGAATGTATTGGGGTCTCACTACACTATATATGTTGAATGCAATCGACATGATGAATAGAGATGAAATTATAAATTGGGTGTTATCTTGTCAGAAACCTAACGGTAATTATTATTATAATTATAATACTCACACAACAGAATTTAATAGTCTATCATCTCGACCTCATTATCATGATAATATTATTGTATAATAATAATATAATAGGTGGTTTCTCTGGTAATGTTACACATGATGAACATCTTCTCTCGACATTGAGTGCTGTACAAATATTATTAGAGTTGGATGCTATCGATAGAATCAATGTAGAATCTGTTGTAAATTGTAAGTATTATTCTATTATCATCGTCATTGATTGTTTAATAACTGTTATTTGGTTGTGTTTTTACCTTTGTTATCTATTTAGATGTTGTTGGATTGCAACAAGAGGATGGTTCGTTCTTTGGTGATAAATGGGGTGAAGTAGATACTAGATTCTCATACTGTGCAGTGTCGTGTCTCTCCCTGCTTGGTCAACTGCATCGTGTTAACTTGGAGACAGCTGCAAAGTTTATAGATAGTTGCAAGAATTTCGATGCCGGCTACGGTTCTATACCAGGTGCAGAGTCACATGCTGGTCAGAGTAAGTGTTTAAACAACATATTAATGATTTATTCATTCTTTCATTGTTTTTAATAAATCTTTATTTATTATTATTATTATTATTATTAAAGCATTTACATGTGTTGGTGCACTTGCAATTATCAATAGATTGGATTTGGTAGATGCCGATCAGTTGGGTTGGTGGTTGTGCGAAAGACAATTGCCAAACGGTGGATTGAACGGTCGTCCTGAGAAGTCGTCGGATGTATGTTACTCTTGGTGGGTTCTCTCTGCACTGTCTATTATCGATCGTCTACACTGGATCGACAATGAGAAACTTAAATCATACATTTTGAAATGTCAAGTAAGTAACTACTACTACTACTACTACTACTAGAGTTGTTTCTCTCTCTCAAAAACAACAATAATCATAATCTTTTTTTTTTTTAAAAAAATAATCATATCATAATCGTAATAATCATTGCTAATTCATTATTTAATTATAATAATAATAATAATAGGATAATGAAACAGGTGGAATTGCAGATAAACCAGGTAATGTACCAGATGTATTCCACACTTTTTTTGGAGTATGTGGATTGTCACTGATGGGATATTTTAACTTGGAGATGATCGATCCTGCATATGCGTTGGGAACAAAGACTCTTTTGAAATATGGTATTGCACTGCCCTGGAACAAGTCTTTGAAAAAATAAATAATTTATATTTTCATCTTTTAAAAAACATAATTATGACAAAACTTTTTTTTTTTAATTTTTCCGCCGCATATAATTTTTTTGGAAAAATCAAAGAAAAATAACCATAAACATTGGGATCTAATAATTCAATATTATTTTTAAAGGGTAATTCCATATATTTTTAACAAGATCTCTTCACAGCAATCATCAAAACAATTTAAAGGTCAAATTAACAAAAAGAGATCTGTCCACTTTATTTTTTTTTAAAATTCCCCCGCTACCGGAACCTATAAAAAACTGATGTCCTAAGAACCCACGGGCAATACATTGACACCAACTCGTGAGGTGATAAAAACACCTCCTTAGTGCAAAGGACCTAAAAAAAACAAAAAAAATTTAAAAAAAAAAAAAAAAAAACTTAAAAACAACCTACAAAACCAACTTTTTCCTATCTATGCTGGTGACCATTAGGTTGTAATTCAGCAGGTGTTCATTCCTCTCAAGGTGATTATTTTTATTCAATAGATAATGATTGTTGATTGGGAGTGCATAAAAATTTTTTAATTTTTGGTCAAAGATATGTACTTCGAAGTTCAAAATAGTTAGTAATTTAACAAGATCTGATATAACCAATATATTATTTTTCAAAAAAAAAAAAGTTTGTGGATATTAAAATAATTAATAGATCAAAAAACAAGCTGACTCACCAAAAAAAAAAAATAAACAGACACCCCCTTTTCCAAATTTCAAAGAGATTTATTTTATTGTTGACAGAATTCTAACGACTCAGATTATTCATTCTTCTTTTTTTCAATATTTCTCAAGCTTAAGAATATTATTACTTTTTAAAAATAGATTATTATAAAATCATAAACTTTTATTATTATTTTTTTTATAGTTTTTTATTTATTTATCTATAGTCTTTTTTTACACTTTTACTTTATCATATTTTATATTTAATTAATTTAAATGATAGATAATAATGATGATTTGTTTAAACAACAACATATTATTAATAATGATAAAGAAAATATTTTAATTAAAAATATTAAAAAGAAAGATAATGATGATTATTATATTGATAATGATATTATTTTTGAAAAAGTAAAAGTAAAAGAAGAAGGAGAAGACGATAATGATGATTTATATTCATCTTCAGGATCAGAGATATCGTTAGATGACGAATCGATCTCAGAGCAGTATGAAGATGAGATATCTACGGATCACTCAGAGTCGACTGCAGAGACTATTGTTTTGACGAAATCGACGATTGTAAATGGACTGAATGGAATTGGTATCGATACCAATGGTATTAACGGCAATAACAATGGCATCAACAACAACAGCACTCCTGAAGATCTTGAAAAGGTGTTAAATCTAATTGACTCGGCCAAGGAGATCGTTGCACAGAAGCGTATCATGTTGAAGATGCTGCTGACAGAGAATTTCTTTAACAATGGTGGTAGCATCGATTCCAACAAGCTGTTTGCATTCATCAAGAATATCATGTCGGTTGAGATGGAAGGACTGTCGCCTGGCATCATTAAATCTCAGCAATTCAAAGATATCTTTATTGACCACTACCGGAGTATCTTTAAGCAAGCATTGTCAATGACTAATCTCGATACGCTGTTGCTTGATAATGGCAGTTCAGTTGGGTCGGCCCTGACTCTTGCCGGTGCCGGCGTCTCGCCACTGACGCCAACGATTGGCGGCAACCGATACCGCAATGAGTTTAAAGAGGTGTCGAAGCTTGGACACGGTGGATTCGGTACGGTTGTACTCTCACGAAACCTACTGGATAATGCACTGTACGCAGTGAAGCGCATCAATTTCACACTGAATCTCGACTCGCCAATGGTGAGCAACAAGATCGAGAAGGTGATGCGCGAGGTCAAGGCATTGGCGCGACTTGACCACAAGAATATTCTGCGATACTATCACGCATGGATCGAGTTAAACAATCAGCATATCGACATATCACCAACGCAGCTCAGCTCAGTCGAAGGCAGTTTCGAAACGAAAGACAACCTATCAAGTAGCATCGCCGAGGAGTTTTCAATAACAAACAACGACTTTGATGAGGAAGACGACGACGACGACAACTTTTCAAACACAACACTCTCAGCATCTACATCGGCATCAACAACAGCGAAATTCGAAGATTACGACGAAAGTATATCATTTAATAATAACTATCATAACTCTATCATTCCATACAATTCAAAACAACAGAACAACAATAATAATCTTCATCGTAATTTAAATAGAAGTTTTAATAATATAGCGAATAATCATCACAATCATCATAATCAATATCAACAACATAATCATCATCATAATCATAATCATAATCATAATCATAATCAATCACACAGCAGAGTCAAATACACTCTTTATGTACAAACACAATATTGCGAAGGTAGAACACTACGCGATTGGTTGGATAATACAAATTCGAATCGATCGACACAAACTATCCTTTCGATATTCAAACAGATTCTCTCTGGATTAAATTATATTCATTCAATGGGAATGGTACATAGAGACATTAAACCACAGAATATATTTCTAACAGGAGATCTCATAGTAAAGATTGGTGACTTTGGACTTGTAAAAGATATTCCTTTATCAACACTTGGCAAAGATAACAACAATAATAGTAATAATAATAATAATAATAGCAGTAATGGTGGTGCTGGTGCTACAACCGATACATCTAATGTCGACAACAATCTATACAAAACAACCAATAATATAAATAGCAATGCAACTTTACAGAGCTCACTCACTGGCTTGCTTACAGGAGATAACAATCATGATAGAATCAATGATGCAAACAACTACTCTCATATCATGTTACACAACTCACTACGCAGTATCGTCAGTAACAACACACACGGCGTTGGCACCCTTACCTATGCCAGTCCCGAACAGCTTGCAGGTAGTGACTACTCAAACAAAGTCGATATCTACAGTCTTGGTATCATCTTCTTTGAACTGATCTATCCATTCAACACGCAATCCGAAAGAATCGAGGTTATCAAGAATCTAAAGTAAGATGATTTACTATTATTATCTTTGTCAAACAATCAAGTATACTTATATTATTATATCAAATCAACATTAAATCAAATCTAGACAAGGAGTTCTACCTGAGGAGGTTAGAAAAAAGTATCCAAAAGAATATGAATTCATCATGAGAATGGTATCGGTGAATCCAGACAACAGACCATCAACGCAAGAGATCATTACAAACTATCTACCATATTTATTAAAAGATAACAATTTACAAAATCAACAACAACAACATTATTATCAAACCAATAGTAATAACACCATCAGTAATAGTAAAAACCACAATCATAATAATATAAGTTCATCAAAGAATAATGTAATTTCTCAATCCATGGATGAAATAGATGGGTCAAATCAACTGGCTCAAGACTACACAAAGATGAACGAAATAGAATTGATATCCACTCTACAAATGAAAGATCAAACTATTAGTGAATTACTCAAACAAATTGAACACCTAAAATCACTAAAACTATCAACTTAGAGCAAAGTAATAGTTTTGTTTTTAACATAATGTAATATAAAGAATAATATGCATAGCAATCTAATAATAGCTATACAAATAATTTAATAATAATTTAATTCATTTCATTCATATTGAAATGAATCAAATTAAATTTTTATTGTTTTATTACAATGATTATTATTATTAAAAAAAAAAAAGAAATACTTCTTTGACTTTTTAGATTTTATTATTTAAAAAACATTCATGATTTTCAATTAACTTTAAAGATAATTGTTTCATCAAAAATAAAATAAAATCTTTTTTACAAATGAGGGAAAGGTTTGAAAAATCATCTTCATAAGATCATTTGATTAACAATGTTATTCTATTATAATATTTTATAAAGATACAACAAAATAGAATAAAAAGATGAACAGATATACAATTATAACATTGGTATTATGTTTGCAAGTAATTTCCGCTATGCAAGATTTCCAAGATTATGAATTAGATGGAGAACAATGTGTTAACTATCATCACAATTTCTCAGTCCTCTTCATTCCGATTCCACATATCGAATATCTTATCAGTGAAGATAAAGCAACAACTCCTTTCATTTACACTGGAAACGTTTCTATTGTGAATATAATTTTAAATGCTGTTAGTTACAAAACCGAGATTGGATATCAATCTTCAGAATTTGATTTTGAAGAGATAACCTCTCAAAACTCATATGGTGATCAATCATTTGACAATCTCTCATTTAAAGTGCCAGTTGGTGCCACACCTGTAGCCAGAATCTATTGTTATACCTGCCCCACCTGCATGTTTTGTCCATTCATTATTAAAGGCCGTGGCTGTTCTTCAGAATCAATCATTCAATATGAAGAAAGAGAATGATCAACCAAAGAATTGATATTATCAAAAATCAATAAATTATATATATTTATTCCTTTTTCACAATGGTGGTCTTTGATATTTTATTTTTTTTCAAATTGTAATTAATAAGGTTGTTCCTCTTACTCAAACATTGAAATAATAAATAGAATTTATTTAATATAAAAGCTACATTTTTTTAAGTTAACTAACTCCAAATTGAAAGCAATTTATCGTAAAATGAACAACAACCAATGTATTGATTTTCCGAGCTGGACGACCAGTCCACTCCGTAAGCTATCGATTGATGTTGTCCGTTGTAGGTTTCAATGTCTGCCGAGGTCAGTTCGTTGTTGAATGTCAGTTTGTTGAATGCACCACCCATGCAGGCGGTGACAAGTTGATCTTGTTTGTCTGACGATGGATGCCATTTCACTCGCCACACTCCACCACCAAGTGCTGTGGTGGAAACCGGTGATCTCATTGAACGTAAATCCCATACTCTGAGGTTTTCGTCGTATGATCCAACCGCTACTATATTCTCACGGTGTGGATGGCAGTGTATCGATGTCACTCCCATATCGCAACGCTTTGTAATGGTCGGTGTGGAAAGACCGACACGACTATCCCAGTGTTTCCAGAGGCAATCGTCGCCACCCGAGAACATCAATTGCTCCTGGTGATAGTAGAACGCTGCTATCCACGCTTCATAGCCATGTGCATCCCAGCGTTCAATTGTCTCTGGCTTGTCATTGTCGACGTCGAACAACGCCAGTGAACCATTGCTGAAACTCGTTATAATTCGAGTTCCACTCTTATTCCAATCGAGTGACAATGCCAATATTTCATCGGATTCCGAAGGTGAGATTGGAGTTGCGTTCATCACTGGCACCAAACTTTTCTGATTGGTACCATCGATGTCACCAACTCTATAGATTGCTAGATCACCACGCGATAGTACTACACCCAATTTTGGTTGGTCTGTTTTTGTCCATTTCATGTCCAAAATACCAGAGTTGAATTCTATTTCCTGTAATTGGGTGCAAGTCATCGGTGATGATGATGGTGATGGCTTACCGATTTCCACATCGAATAAATATAGTTTGCCTGATCTTCTATCTTTGTATTGCTGATTGTGTTCCTGATCGATCTGGTAGGTGCCAACTGCCATCAAGTTTGGCAAAGAGGGATGACATTCGACTGAATCAGCTGATAACTCCAATGTAACCGATGTCATTGTTTGTTTTTTTTTTTTTTTTTTTTTTTCTATGGGTGCTCCATTAATTGGTGCGATAATCGAATTATTTTCCTTTTTTCTCATTAAAAAATTAATTTTCAAAAAAAAAAAAAAATCAAACAGTTTTTAATTCACAAAAAAACCTTGATCGATCAAGGTGTGTGATTGTTGTTTTTGACCAATCCTCATCGCAGATTACTATAATAATAAAAAAAATAATTAAAAACAAAATTTAAATCAATCTTTAACCTTTTTTGATTGTTTTTGTCAAACCATCTCTCGACTGAAATTAAATCAATCATATTATTTATCGTTTTTTGCACTAGATAAAGACAAAATATATTTATATAAAAATTAATTAATAAGCTAAAGTGAGTGATCCAAAAAAAAAAAAAAAAAAGTTATTCTATTTATATATTGTTAGTTTAAATAATTTTATTCATTTGATAGTAAGTATCAGTTATTTCTAAATTTTTCGAAAATATCATAACCAATTGGTTGACAATAAGTGTTTATTTTTGTTATTATAATGAAAGATTAAAGTAAATCATAACTCAATGAAAATACTTTTGTTCCTATTAAATTGGAAACTGACTGTCTCCTTTAAATTGTAAATGCTATTGTTAAAATATTTAACTTCATCTCTTTAAATGTAGATTCTGTGTTGATCAACTCATTTTTAAATAGAACTACTATTATAATTATCATTACTTTATATCTCAACACATCTCTTCTTTCTCTTTATTTCTCCTTTTAAAATATAATAAAAAAAATAACAATAAATCCAGATAATGCAAAAAAAATCCATTCCTCATCAGCAAAAAAACTAGTTTTAAATAGTTAAAAAAAAATCATTGTGATGGTGAACAATCAAACATGTACCCCCAAAATTAATTATGATTGTGATTAATGTGTGTGGTTAGTGGGTAAGTGGTAAACTTGTTGTAACTGGTTACCATCAACAATAACATATACACCCACAAAACAAACAAACTCACCTCCGATTCATTCGAGCTTCCCTTCATGACCACTCAGTTTTTAATACCACCTTTAATATTAATGATACACCCACACATATACCCCTGTTACACTTTGTTTTTTTTTTTTTGTCATGATGTTGATGAACAATAAATAAATAAATATTTCTTTTCACTTCCACTTTCTCATTTAAAATTTATTGCGATTCAAAAATATTTATTATTATTATTATTATTTTATGGTCAGTCAGTGGTGTGATTAATAGGTATTTGACAGTTGTACCAATAATTATCTACTTATAAGGCAAAATAGAAACAGATAACAATAACAATAATCTTTTAATTTGAATTGTATTGGATGTAGTAGTAGTAGTGTATCAAGGTCTGTGTAATAGCAAACTATCCCATTCCATCCCATCTACTTTCCATTTCCTCTGCATCTTCCCTTTTATTTTTAATCTCCACACCCTTCATCAAATTTTGCAAAAAAAACCAACAGGCAACAACCACTTTATTTTGGTTTTAAAAACTTTTTTTTTTTTTTTTTTCTTAAAAATCAAACAAATTTTGATTTTTTTATTTATAACTAACTTTGAAAGTTAACATAACTAACTGGTTGCAATCATATTATTTACTCAATCACTAAATTTTCATCATCAATTTTATCACTTTTAAACTAAAACTAAAAACAACAAACATCTAATATTTATAATATTAAAACCTATTTATTTTATTTATTTATTTTATTTATTTTATTTATTAGCTAATATATCTGAACGACATCATCTATTAGATTAGTTGTATTTATTTTTATTTTTTTTATTATTAGGTCACAAAGCAAAAAAAAAAACAAAAAAAAAACAACACACCACTTGTAAAAAGTTAGTCAGTCAATCAATCAAGTATCAACTACAACACTCAACTTGTATATTTCAATAGTTAATAGATAATAGATCAAAACAGAAGAAGAAAAACAGTAGTAGTAGTAGAAACAACAACAGTATAGAACACTAGAGTATGGCATCAATCTTTCAATTTTCAAAAGATGGCAACAAAGAGGAGATTGTTAAGCTACTGAAAGAGAATTCAAGAGAGCTTCTATTTTTGAAGGATGCATACGAGCAAACTCCTCTACATATAGCAAGCTTCGAAGGTCACACAGAGATCGTAGCCATCTTCATAAAGAAAGGTTCGAAATTGGATGTTCAAGATAAGAGTGGATGGACACCATTACATTGTGCTGCAAGGTAAGTGTTACATGTTATTCATATGAAACAAACACCGTCAATCGATCTATTCAAATTCTTACCAATCTATTTGTTTGTTTGCTTATTATTCTTATTTTATCTCAAAAAAAAAAAAAAAAAAGTGCTGGAAATTTCAAAGTATGTGAAGCTTTGATATCGAAAGATCCAGCGTTGGCATCGGTTCATGCGAATGATGGTACTACACCATTCCATTATATAGTTAGAAAGTGGGATCCTGTTATCACACCAAAGCTACTGGCGATGATCGTCAAGCACAATCCTGCCATTGTAAATATTGCCGCCGAGAATCTTGAGACACCACTCCACAACGCCTGTCTCAAGAACTGTATCAACTGTATTCAATTCCTATTGCAACATAATGCCGATATCAATAGACGTTCAAAGTAAGTAGAGACTGAATGTTGTTCATTACATAATTACTTGTCTTTCCAGTTTAATATTAATCGCTACTACTTTTTTATTTCCGACGATTCGATTTACTTTTTTTTTTTTTGTCACTTTAGGTCAGGAGATACATGTTTAACATTTGCAATTAGAGCAGGAAATAAGAATGTTGTAAAATTATTATTGGAGCATGGTGTTGATAATAGTAGCTATGATAGTGCATATCAGATTGCAAGCGAACAGCGAATGGACGATGTCAAAACGATGATCCAACAGTGTCAGCAATTCCTCAAGATCAGAAGTAACCATTCAAAGATATATAAGAAAGGTTCTCTCAATAGATTACAGGGCAAACTAAAAGGTTGGAAGAAGAACTGGGCTGTACTAGATGGTGATAGAATTAGAATATATCAATCTGAAGATGTATGTATTATCGATCTATTATGATCTATTGTGATCTATCTGCTGACTAACTAATTATTAATAATTATTGTCTATTATCTATCTATTATCTATTACAGGATTGTGATCAACATCAATTGGAGATAACATTGAAAGAGATTGAAAAGATAGCAACAACAGAAGAATATCCAAGTTTTGCACATTCATTTGCAATTACCATTAAAGATAATCCAAACAAAGTTATTTTGGCGGCAGACGACAAGGTATCGATGGCCAAGTGGATATTAGCAATTGATGGATTGAAATATAAATTCTTTGATTCTTGTCTCAATCAATTCTTAAAGGTAAATATCAAGTTATTATCTATATCTTTTCTATCTTTATCAAGTTTGTGATACACACACATATATATATATATATCATACACACATTATTGGAAGATAATCAGAAGGTGTTATTGTCAAAGCTCTAAATAATAGTACCGATACGATCTTCCTAAATTAAAAGATTAGCATTTAAAATCAGTTTGCGTCAATTATTTAAGCATGTAATTTGATGAAAGGAGGTGCTTACAAACCAATTGTTATCATACATAAATTAATTATATATTCATCATTCAATATCATACATTACATCTATATTTATATTTAAAGACTGTGTGTGTAACATTAAAACTAATATAATTTATTTATTTAATGAATCATTCAATTGTAGAAAACATTATTACATATTGCATATAAAGAAAGTTATAAAGGTGGAATTATAAAGTCATCGTTTGAGGAGGAGTGGACATATAGCAGTGATGGTATTCTTTTGTGTACAGAGGCTGGTTGGAATACAGAGGGCGGTGCTAGTTCTATGACCTATTTGTGGGACGGCCAGTGGCTGATGCCTGCGCAAAACACACATAATCTGGGCTGGGGCAAGTTCAACGGATTCATTTTCGAGTGGCAACTGGGCGAGCTTGGCGAAGAAGGCACCAAGCTGAGCGAGTACTACTGGGAGGAGATCGAGCGTGAATATCTTACGACCGATTCCACCATGGATTGGAAATGGACACGACACTTTTTAACACTGAAACAGGGCGCTGGTGAGTGGATCGTCGAAGGTGAAGTACCAGAGCCCGTTGTATTCTTCCTCTCACTACTGCGTTACAGTCGACTCGGTTCATCATCGAAAAAGGAATCCGATCAAGCTGTAGTAACAAGTAGTGATCCTGTGAAACAAGAATAAATATCAATCATCAAATAATATTAATAATAATAATTATAGCAATATAACATAAATCATTTTCACACATAAACAAACAAACAAACAAACAAACATACAACAACAAAACAACACTCAACTCAAAACTCAACTCAAAACTCAAACCAATATTGATGTACAACATCAATCTATAATATTAATCAGTGTATCTTTTTCATATATATATATCTCGAATATCTTAAATTACAATGATAAAATGTTGGTTTTATTTATTATAAACAAAAAAATAATATTATAATAATATTTTATTTTTCTCATTTTTGATGAAAATGCAAAGATATATTTATTAGACTTTTGTTTTTATTAATAATAAAGTACTAATGAATACTATTTTTTTTATTTTATGTGATTATAACAAACATGGTAATATAGACTGAATCTACTAAAATGATTTAATCTTTAAAAATAAAGATAAGGAGTAACTATAAATTGAAATGAGAATCATCATAAATTTATTTCATTATATATATTAATTGTAAACTTATTTACTACTCTATTAACAATCAATGGATACAAGAAATCAAGATATCAATGGTAAATATTATTAAAGTTGTTGTATTTCTTTTTAATAATTTTATTAACAATATGATATTATTTTAGAACAAACTTCTGTTCCCACCAATGTTCAAGAAAACCAAGAATCCAATCTAAACCAAGAGAGAATGGAATCAAGCCAAAGAGGTCAAAACGAATCTTTGGAATCAAACAATCAAGATGATTTAGTAAGAATGTTTAATGGTATTGTATTAAATTATCAAAAGTTGTTTTTTCATTATTTATTAATTGTTATGTTTATTATTTTTATTATGTTAACAGATAAACTTAAAACAGTTGATAGAAAACTTGATGATTTAAATGGATCGATCCTATCATTATCTTCAAAACTCGAGGGATCTGAACAAAGATCGAAAGTGGAGAAGGAAACCATTTCAATTGAAGAGTTAACCAGTGAGAAATGGAACTATGTTCAAAACTCTCTTCGTTTGGAGACAAAGGTGTCAAAAGGTTACCAGTTTCCAAAGGATATTCCTCAGATCGATTCAGTCTACCAATGGAAAGACAATTCTGTCTATGAACAAATCAACGACATCATCTCGTACCTCAATTCGAACTTGACCATCGGTGACGGCTATGCTTTCTACAACATCACCGGTGATTCCAACTTCCTCTTTACCTCACACCAAGAGCTACCATTCAGTTTCCGTGGTGGATCCAACATTGTCATCGCCAAGAAGAATCTCTCCAAAGATGTTTTGGATTCTCAAATTCTCTTTATCATCCGTATCAAGAAGAATGAATTGGAAATCGATGAATCTCGTCACCAAGCCGAGTGCGAGCTGATCTTGGCATCGCTCAAGTCACACCTTCCTGTGGTGTCGATTGTTACTGACCTCGGCGACAACTGGAGATTCCGCTGGATGATTGACAACCATGTAGTGAACTACTACAACATCAAATCGATGTCTCAGGCACAGGAACTAATCAACATGAGAGTTAGAACAACTGGTAGCTTCAGCACTATGGTTCATCCCACCATGGCCAGAGAGCAAAAGTTTATCAACCCATTCAAGTTCCGTTTGGCTTCTTCCACTGACTTCCTCGATTCTTTGGACGGCAGCTCCAATGAGGAACATCAATTCGTCTCACAACACTTGCAATCGTTGCTTGTAAGCATCCAACAGAAACCTCAGCAACTCAAAGAAAAAGCTGGAAGTGTTGTTGAGAAAATTCAAGGACAAGAAATCAGCCCTCAACAACAACATCAGCAGCAGCAACAACAAAGATTTTCACCAAAACAAGAATTGAAGGAATCATCACCCACAACATTAGCCAAACAACAACAAGAATCAACAACAACTCCAACATCAGCACCACCAGTTCAATAATCAGATTATTTTTGTAATCTTTTTTTTTACACTCTTTGATCTGATCATATAGTGTGAACAACAAAAAATTTCCCAAAAGAGGAAATTTCACTTATTTTTAGTAATAGTTTTTTATTATTTTTGTCGTAGATCTATTAAAATGCAAATAAAAAAATTTTTTGCAAAAATAAAAATCAAAAAAACAAAAGTGTCATTAATACAACGTGGTAACCACTTAATCAGCAACCTCAAAATAACACATAGAAATTTTGACTACGTTGCACCTGACCACCTTGAATTTTTTGACAATCACAAAAATTTCTGTTTTATATTTTCTGATCTAATTAATTAAAAATGACAAATCCTTAAATAATATAATATTATTATATATATTGTTAGCATTATAATTTATATAATAATTATAATTTTCATTATTATTATTATTTATTTATTTATAAAAACAAAAAAATGTATTTTTTAAAAAGAAATACAAATAATTTATATTTTACACTTTTTTATATATTTTTTATAATTTCACATCATTCTTCATTTGGAGAATATTTTAACAACATCAATAATAATATAAATAATGTAGATTATAGTGTAGATAGTAGTAGTAATAATGTAAATAGTAATAGCAATAACAACAATAATATATATACAATTTTTGTAGATTCAAAATCAAATAGTACGAATCTTCATTGTGGAAGGTCGAATGAACAAGCTTGTTCGAATTTATATTTTGCATTCGAGAGATTCTATGCGGATCATCCAAATCCAGAGAATCTATTTTTAGATATCCGATTGGAAGCCGGAAAGTATACTGCTATCGGCAATCTGTGGCTGCAGCTCTACGGGTTGAATGTATCGATTGGAGGTGCTTCCGACCAAGCAACGTCCGACAATGTTATCTTTGACCTTGCGAACCAAGGTCATTTTCTGAGTGTTCGTGAGTCTGCCGAGCACAAACTGCAGTCGACATACGTTCGTCTCTACAATCTGACGATCGTCAATGCCAAGCAAGCACGTGGCAGCGTGCTCTACATCGACACCAAGTCGAAATCCACCACCACCGAAATCTACATCGATAACTGTTCGTTCAATTCGAATCAGGCAATGTCAGAGGGTGGTGTTATCTACGCCATCAATACATCGGTGCTATCCATCACATCCAGTAGCTTCAACGGTAACTTGGCAAAGAAAACGGGATCAGCGTTGTACGTTGAGAATATCGATACTTTTGTTGTTGAACGTACTGAATTCAACCAGAATAGCATGCCCGCCATCTACTGTAAAAACTCCATCATCGACATGAAAGATTTAGTTGTTCCCGATAAAGAGAATTGGATTCAATTTGCAGAATAAACTAAATTTATTTATTTATTATTTATTTTAACTACCACTGGATTAAATTTCTTTTGATATATCTTGAAGTGTTTATTTAATTTTTAATGAAATCTAATTTAAAAAAACCGCGCATCTTAAAACTTTAATTTTAAATTTTTATCAACGGCTAAAATTTTAAAAAAACAGTAATAACACTATAACAAAAAAAAAGTTAACACTCACTTCATTCAAACATTCACACTACCGACCGACAATAATAATAATACTATTATTATATCTATTATTATTATTATCACAACTATATTTATAAATATAACAAAACAAAATTAAAGTGAGATAGAGAGAGAAACAAGATAGTTAGAAATGGCAAAGAAATATCATAAATATTCGAGAAATGAAGCAAAAGAGAGATTTGGATTTACTGATGCAGAGGTTAGCGCAATTCCACACACACTGGCTCAACATCCTATTTTTGGAAATTCCGGTGTTATGTATTTATACAATGTATCATCATTGAATAAATATGCATGTGAAATATGATTGCAAGAAAAAGGATTTGGAAGGTTTCATTGGTAATAAAGTTGCGATGGCTGCCAGACTTAAATCAATTAAAGATAAAAAGAAAGCAGTCATTGATGCTGGTAAAAAGGCGATAAAGGATAAGGAGAAGGCAGAGAAGAAGTTGATAAAGGATGCAGAGAAAGAAGCTAAAAAGAAAGCAAAGGAAGCAGAGAAAGCAGAGAAAGCAGCAGGAAAAAGAACAGCACCAAAAGCAAAAACAACAACACCAACAAAGAAGAAAACTCCAAAGAATTCTGGATCAGATGAAGAATCAGAAGAGTCATCAGATGAGGAAGAGGAGGATGAGGAAGAAGAGTTTAAATCAAATAAAAAACAAAAAGTTGAACAACAACCAACAACTACAACAACAACAATAACAACATCTCAACCAACCATCCCAATTCAACCAGCAGTTGTTAGTCAATCAAATGACCAACCAACCATATCAGCTCAACCAACTTCAACAGAGCCTGTTGTCAAAGCAGAATAATATAATAAAGCACCCCAACAACCACACATTATTTAAACACACTTACTAAAAAATCTTTAATGTTACTAATATTTTACATTATTATTGTAGCACACCAATTTTAGATTAAATCTTCTACCGTTTAAAGATAACATACTAGCTTGTAAATATATTATATTATTAATTTATTTTACTACCAATAAATATTTTTTTATTTTACTCTGTTTCTGTCCTAACCATTATATTTTAATTTGATTCTGTTGGGTTTTGATACTCCAAATAGTATGTGCTTTTGTCTGTTCATTGAAAAAAAAAAAAAAGATTATAATTTATTACACTTTATTTATATAGGTTGTTTAGTTTATTATTATTATTAATATTGATATGTTTAGTCATTATTATATTTGAATATTGATTCTGTTGAGACGTTTAATGTTTTCTTCGATTCCGTTTTTGATTGCAGGAAGTAGTTTCTCGACTGCGAATATTGGATTCTCAGACAAGTTGATCTTTTGGATAGTTGAGTTGGTGTTGAGTTTCTTGAGGAAATCCAAAGTGTATTTGGCATTGAGTGTGATATTTCTGAGTGTTATCACTTCGATCACCTTGTTACTGTTGATCACTGTGATCAGTGGTGTCAGTCCTTTCTTTCCGAATGGATTCATATCTAGGTATATACGTTTTAACGATTCATTCAACTCCAAACCAACACACAACTTACTGAACTCCTTGTTACCCATCTCACAATTGGTAATGAACAACTCCTCCAATGTTTTATTCGATGGTAAACATTGTGATAGCGCTTGACATACTGATTTCTGTTTTAACAAATTAACAAATTAATATGTTATTAACAAACAATATAATTGATAAATATTATTATTAATATACTTACAGAGATCTTATTCATTGATAAATCCAAAGAGGTAATTGTTGTATTAGTTTCCAATAATTTACAAATTCTATATAATGATTTCTAGTAGTAAACAATAATAAAGTTAGTAAACGCGTTGTTTGTTATTGATTGTAGGTCAACGAGATGTTTGTTGATAGTTATTACATACAGAAGATAAATTACAATATCTTAGAGAGATCTTTGATAAACGTGAGGTTGTTTCAAGTGATTGACATAAAGTATGAATACCACTGTATTCAATCTTATTGCCAGAGAGTGAGAGATCTGTAATTTGATTGTTTGCAACAACACCTTTGATCACTGACTTTGTACCTGACGATCCCAAATCATTCAATGAAACATCGAGTTGTTGAAGTTGACATCCATTGCTTGTAAGTATCTTTTGAATCTCTGATCCTGAACTTGAATTTAACATTGTACTTGCAATTGACAAACTATTATTATTATTATTATTGTTGTTGTTGTTTAAATAAATAACAAAGTTAATTAAAATAACAATTATATTACTAGTGATAACAATACATACTTATTAATAGCAGTATTACTTGTTGCAAACCATTTCAAGAACTTATTGATCTGTTGATATTTAATTGGATTTCCACTGATATTTAACTCTTTCAATGTTGTATTATATTGTAATCCTTCGAATATCTGTTTGAATCCATTCTCTGTAATCTGTTTTTCGTTATTTGTTAGTATTTATATTTATTAGATTAATAATGATGCAAATGAATAATAGTTACTTTGTTCTTTGAGATATTGAGCGAAGTTAATAGTTTTCGTTTGGAGAGTAATTTCTTGATGGTTGTGCAACCCTCGTCGAGTAGGCTGGTCTCTTCGATGGAGAGTGTGTGTAGTTGTGATTTCTTGAGTGACTTGACTATGGCGTTGACACCGACTTCGAATATACGATTCTTTCCGATCTGGAGTGACTCGATGTTGTCTAGCTTCTCAAAGATTGAAATGAATGGACCCAATCCTTTGTTGGTGATACCGATGTTCTTCAAGTTGATATTGACAATGGTACCGGCTGCCTGTAACAATATCTTGAATGGCTCTGCAACATCCGATCCCAACAATGGATTGTTTGACAAATCGATAGTATGTAAATCTAGATTCTCAACCAATGTTTCACCTTCTTCAATTCTAATAGATAATAATATAATTGATTCGTTAGCTAACAATATTCTTATTTTAAGGTAAAGATAGACGACTGATACTTACGGTGTATTGAATGCATCTCTTAGTGCATCAGCAATGAATGAAAGATCGGCTGCTCTTAGGTTCAAAGATGATAAATCTATGGTTGTATATATCAATAGATTTCTGAATGAACCTTCTTTATCGAGAATTTCATCTACTTGATCAACAAACTTCATTAATGGTTTTGTATTATAGGTTGTACATCTGTTTTGTTTGATATTATTATATTAGTAATGATCATTATTATATTTGTTATTATTAATATAACACATACAATTGTAAATATATAGTTTTAAATAATTCAGCTCTACTTCTAAGTGGATCAGACTTTGCTCTTGGTTTTGGTGGAAGGAACAATGAGAATTGACCAGCTAAATGTAGATCTACAGTTGGTGGTGCGCATAATCCTTTAAGAGAATCATCGAATTGAATGAAATACTTGTAACCTGTAAGTAACTCTATTATATTGTTTGATTGTTCATTCGATGAAGTATCGAAATTCATTGTCTCTGATGTCTAATTTATTCGAAATAGATTAATAAATGAAATAATAGTGATCATAAACAAAAACATGATAATATACTTACATTTTGAGTTACACAAGAGAATGGAATTTGAATCTTAATACCTCTTGGTGTAGATAGACATTTGATAACATCTTTATAGTTGAAAAAGTCGTAGCCGGTCTTGTCTTTACGTGCGATTAGTAGACCGTTCTCGGCGACACAGATGATACGAGCGGTACGTGCACTCGATGACTCACGAGAGGTGTCGAATACTTGGAATGATGTGACACCGAATGTAGGAATCTTATTGGCGAGATCTAGATAACGCAACTTTGCCTCGACGATGGTGTTGCACTTGATCTGGCTGTGTAGCTTGAAGAGACGACGCTGGATATACTCGTCGGTGTGAGTGTGGAAGTGAGCGAGTGGAATGAAACCGAGCAGTGTTTCGTGGTCGAGGAAACCGGCTACATGTTGATCTTTGTCGTGTGCACCAAAGGTAATGTAGAATTGCAGAGCGGAAAGACGCAGCGCCATCGCTTCGGAACACGGATAGATTCCGTTCACCACCGAGTGTTGGATCTGTAGGTAGTAGAGATGCACTGCTTTGGGATCGGTCAGTTTCTTTGGCTGTTTGAAATACTTGATTTTGAAGATCAGCTTCGAGAGATTACGAATGCCTGCGTCGGTAATCAACTTGGTTGGATCCAACCAACGATCGTAACCATCGGTTGTCTGCTCGCACAACGAGAAGTATTCAGTCTGAGCGAGTCCGAGCTTGCCAGCGAAAAGATTAATGATATCTTGAACAAAGAAATCCTCGGTGATACAGATAACCTTGTGGGATTGATCGACGAGAGACACGTGAATCAACAGTTTCTCCAAGTCTGGATTTGGTTTTCTCATTGGACTGGCACGGAAGATGTTAAACTCCTCGCCGACACGTTGGATATTGAGTGATTGCGATCTGCGAGGTGCAGGCTCTCTTTCAGAGGTTGGCACGGGAATGACAGAAGGAGGAGATGGCGCAGCAGTGTTGGTTATAGAGATGGTTGGTGTGTTGGAGATATGTGATGGTGTGAAATTGCTTGGTGTGTTGATTTGTGATCTTCCGAGATCCCAACGTTCGGCAATCGACTCTGTTCTGGCTCGTCCACCTCCACCTTTTGGTCTCAAAGTACTGCTTGTTATCGAAATATCCAGACTCTGCACCTCTTGCATCAAGTTTCTAGTTGACTCTGAAATCGCTCTACTAATTGGCTGTGATCCTGGTTTGTTATTGTCGGATCCCGACGAGCTTGTCCCCAATTCACCCAATTGATTTAAAACGTCGTCTCTCAACTTTTTAATTGATTCTTGTTTTCCTAATATCCGATAGTGTCGCTGCTGTTGTTGTAGTTGTAGTTGTAATTGTTGTAGTTGTTGCCATTGTAGATGCTGATGTTGTTGATGCTATCGATTGGTTGGAGGCCGATTGTCTAATTGGTTGGTTGTTTGCTTCTGTTTGGTTGGCAGCTGACACACGTCGCTGTGCCTCTGCTTGACTGGCAGCGGAAGCACGACGTTCTGCCTCTTCGTACTGCTGTTGCAATTGATACTCTTCCTCGTTGGATTCCTGCATGATCGAAGAACGAATCGATCTTCTCTGCGCGGGTAATCTCGAGTTTGACAGGTCGAGAACAGACGACAATCTAATACCAGATTTTCTGAGTTGTTCATCCATTTGTTGTACCATCAGTTGTGATGCTGCACGCGAACGATTAACCACCGGTTCCTTCTCCTCCTCCGACTCCGACTCCTCATCTTGCTGATAAAGATGGTCATCACGTTTCAACTCCTCTTGCTCTGACTCGGAATCGGAAGAAGAAGATGAATACGATGATTCGACGTCACCCGTTCCAGTTCCAGTTTCTTCAGCATCGTCGTGGTTCAACATCAATCTTGGCAATGGATTGATCTTTCTCTGGAATGGTTTATCTGTACGTTGAAGTGGTGAATTTTCATGGACTTGACGCATAGCATCCAATGAAATTTCTTTTTGTAGTGAGGGTGGGGGTGTGGTGATGTTGTTTGTAGTTGTTGTTGTGGTTGTTGTTGCTGTTGCTACTGTATTAGAAGGAGTTGAAGGAGTTGAAGTTGTTGATGTATTATTTGCTCTGCCAATTGGAGGAGTAGTTGGTGGTGTAGCAGCAAGAGTTGCAGCTTCAATATCAGAATTGAAACCAGATGCCAAATCCGAGAGCATCTTTTGCAACTCATCAAAATCTACCACACTAGTCGAGTTGTTCATCATTTTTTTCGAATCTTTCCTATTTTAACTACCTAATATGTACTAAAAAATATATATTTGTATATAATAACGATATAATATAATATAATCTAAATATAATATTATTCCAATGGAAAATAAAAAAGAAGTGATGATTTTTTTATTTTATTTTTTTTGGTGAACTGATTTGTGGTGGAGTGGTCTGATGTATGTATGATCGGTTCCAAAATAATATAAATTAATTTGGTCGATATATAAATATCTGAGAACCGTAGGAACTGAGATATCTATCTACTCTGCTGGTTGAATATTAGTGGTGAGTGGTGAAATTAAACTATGAAAGGAAATCAGAAGAAAATGACGGTGCCAAAGTGCGATCACAACAAATCTATTTTACAAATTTTTTTTCCTCTTGCAAAGTTTTTTTTAAAAAAAAAACTTAAATATTACAACTTTGTTGAATACACAATGTTTATTATTAATATTAAATAAAAATGCCGGCAAAATAAATAACTCTTCAACAATGTTGCCTCCCTCTCTTTGAAAAAAAATAAAAATAAATAAAAGTTAAAAAAAAAAAAAAAAAATTTAAGCTATATGCTCAAAATCAAAACAAAAAAAAAGGTAGTGGAATTAGTTTTAAGTTTTTGTGGGGTTTGCAAAGACAACAAATATCATTAAAAAAAATTTTATCTGGATTTTTTCGAATTTTTTCAAAACTTTAACAAATCAAATAATTTTATGTATTTCTATTTTTTGAACCCAGATCCACATCTTCTTTTAAAAGCAAATCAGATTCAATTTCACTAAAGTAATGAAACCATTCATTAACTTTTTAAGAACAAAAAAAAAAAAGCTATCGGTGGTTGAAGGAAACTTGCTAAGATAGTTTAAATGAGAAAAAAAAAATATCTAAAAAGTTTGACTAAACCTTTTTCACAATTGACTTTTTTTTTATTATTATTTCTTTCAAATCTCTTTCAGAGGAAGAGGAATAGAACAACCATGTTACAAAACATGAAAATAATAAAATAAAATAATCAATCAGCAAGACACGATTGGTCTTTTATTAAAAAATTACAAAAAATAAACATTTATTATTTGTGTGCTATAACTTGATATAATTATTATTATTTAAAAATAGAACATTTGAAATTTCAAAATAAATTAGAGCATTCAAAGGTTCAACTTCTTTGTTTTTAGATTCTAATAAAGTATTTTATGTATTTTTAAAACATAAATTTTCATACTTTTTGTTTAATATAATAAAGAGCAGACATTGATTTTAGTTTGATTATGATCATGAATAAACACGTTTTTTTTATTGATCAAAAAAAAATTATTATATTTTTAGAAAAAATTACCCCCAAAAAAAAAAAGGTGATTAAATATTTTTTGGTATTTTTGTTTTTTTGCTCTTTGATTGTTTTTTATAAAGAAAAATTTTATTTTTTTTCATTATCCTTATTAGGTGAACCAGACAAATCATTTTTTTTTTTATATAAGGTTCCCATTCACAAACCATCTTACCTTTTATCCTTACACCAACTTACACATTACATTACACAATTGCATATATAGTTATTATATTGTAAATTATAGTTTTTATAGTTGTTATAACTAACTTTACACAAAAATAATAAATATTATAATAATATTTAATAAAAATAAAATAAAATAAAAATAAAAATAAAAAGTTAAATAACAATCAATTATTATTGTGGTAAAGAAAAAGTAAAAAGTAAAAAGGATGAAGAGAAATAGTATTGAATTACAAACGAATCCATCGTTGGTTATTCTGATGGCAGAGTTTGAAAAAGAGGGACTTCGTATGAGTAAGCGTATCTCAAAGTCGAATCAGGGATCGACTGCAGGGACACCATTGTCTTTAACACCGCCATTACATTCGACACAACAACAACAACAACATCTTCATATACCAGGTGGTACCACTCTACATTCGCCACTCTCAATGTCATCATCATTGATAGCACCACAGACATCACCGTGGATTCTTGGATATGCACTGGACGACATGTCTCGTTTCGCCGATGAAATAGCAGTGCTGCCACATTCGCTCGTTCCACTGCATCCGTTCATCGATTCACAATCACTCCAACTGATAATTCACTACTTCCAACCACTCATCATAAAGAATATACAGAATCACAATCAACATACACATCACAGAAGTAATAGTACGAACGGCAGTACAGGCAGTGCAAACAACAGTCCAAATATCAATTTCAACATGGAGAAACTCACTATTATGCTTACAAGGTCAATCAGTAGTTTCTCAAACAAACATCAGCTACTGAGTAGACTTCAATTGAATCGTGAACAACTGGTATGGATTATCTATTTGATGACCGAGCATTTCTACCATCGTTTCGATAGCGGCAATCCGAATGGTGGTACTCATTTGTCGGAACTCTCTATTTCTGCATCTTCTACTTTTAATTCACTGTCGGCATCTCCACTCAATTTAGAATCACCATTACCACCATTACAATTGCAACAACATTCACAATCTCAACAACAATCTCAACAACATACACGTAAAACACATTATGAAATAATTAATAGTTTACTGCCTATTCAATCACCATTCATAAGCGACGACGATTACTCTGCCATTCTCAAACCAACCGAGAATTACAATGATATTTCACATAGTTTCTCTGATATTTCGAAAGCACTTGGTCATCTACTTGATTGGCTAGCCGAATTGTTTGGATTATCCAATGGAAACAGCAACAGCAACAACAGTAACACAACAACAACAACAATTTCAACATCTGCATCAACATCATCTTCTACTTTATCAGTAAACAATAATGGTGCTGGTGGATCGTCAACGAAGCACAGAAGAACAAACAGTACAATGACACCATCTAGTTCAGTGGATGCTCAACTGGCGGCATACAACAGCTCAATGACAGAGATTCTCTCGAAACTCTTGTTGCGCGTATATAATTTAGTGAAAGTAGGTGCTGTCGTACCTGTACATCTGAGTGACGGTGTTAAATTCCATGGATTCCTTCCAATTCCTCATCATCTAATCAATTCAATCGTTCACAAATCAAATGTTTCCGACCCGTATTCAAGTAGTATGAATTGGTTCGATATTGCATGTAGACAGCAACAACAACAAGTACAAGTTCAACAACAGGATTTAGTTGCAGTATTAAAACGTAGATTATTTAGAGATTCACCAATACACTTGGGTGATGTTGAGATCATTACTGCTTCAGACTTTGCTCAGAGAGAACAACCAACAGCTACAGGACAACGTGCAATCGATATAAGCGAGGATTACTTTGATCAGGATTTAGATTGCAATTACGATTTGATTCCAAATGAGGATTTAATGTTGTTCTATGGTTACACTTTGGATGACTATGATTATATTTGTTTGGAATTCCCGGTGTACAAGACCGCAGAACAGTTGGAGCGTGACTTCCCCGACAAGGATGAACTGGCGCGTGAGCAGCTGTTGGCCGCTGCCAAACTAAAGATTCTTGGTGAGTTGGGAATTGGAATGTCGGCATTCAAGACGCCTGGAATCTACTGCGAGATGATCACACGTGACAAACCACTCGGTATCAATCTTCTAGATGTCAGTCGTGTCGCCAAACTCCGTGAGTTCGAAGCGTATTTCTACGAGCCTGGCCAGTGTGAAACAATGATTACCTATCGTAATGAACTGGAGGTTCTTGTCTACCAGAGTCAGATACTCCATCGCATTCTAGACAGCATTACCTCGCGTCTCAAAGCAATGTTTCTGAGTGTAAGTTCCGAGTCGAACATCCAGTTGCCAACGGAGCTGGAGCGTTACTACAAGAATCATCAGTCGATTGTCGAGCGATCACTCCAACAGCTGGCACATCAAAAGAGTAATCTATGCAAGCCTGCCAATCGTATTACCAATGGATTCATTCGTCCATCGGATGCAGTCTATCGAAAGTTTGAGAAATGGCTGGCTAGCGACGGTGTTCAATGTCCGAAACTTCAAATCGCCAACTTCCAGGATAGTACAGGTCGTGGTATTGTCACCACCAAAAAAGTCGAAGAAAATGAAGTCATCATTAAAGTACCACGTAAATTCCTTATCAACGTTCAAGTTGCACGCGAACATCCTATACTCGGTCGAATATTCGAGGAATTCTCTGGTCTCAACGACGATACCATCCTATTCCTATTCGTCATCTACGAAAAAGAGAATCCAAATTCTTTCTGGAGACCATTCTTTGATACATTACCATCTTATTTCCCAACATCCATTCATTATACGTATGTTGAAATATCTAAAAATTTAATCAACCTCAAATTCATTCAATTCATTTATTAATAACTATCCTTCAAATGATAAATAGTTCAACGGAATTGTTAGAGTTGGAAGGTACAAATTTATTTGCAGAAACACTACAGGTTAAAGAGCATCTTCAATCGATTAGAGATATGTTGTTCCCAGAGTTGTCAGAGCAATATCCAACGATATTCCCAGAGTCGTTGTTCAGTTGGGAGAACTTTTTGTGGGCGCGTTCCCTGTTTGACAGTCGTGCCATTCAGTTGAAGATCGACGATAAGATTACCAATTGTTTGGTACCGATGGCCGATATGATCAATCATCATCACAACGCCCAGATATCACAGCGATTCTTTGACCAGACCGACCAGTGTTTCAAGATGGTGTCGTGTTGTTCCGTCCCGCCAAACGCCCAGATATTCCTACACTACGGTGCACTTCAGAATCGTGAGTTGGCACTCTACTATGGATTCGTAATCCAAGATAATCCGTATGATAGTATGTTGATTGGATTCGATCTGCCAGACGAAGATACACCGGAGATCACCAAGAGCAAGCAAGATCTACTCGCTGCCAATCTGCTGTCGATCGATACACACTACCTCAGAAAGAGCAATATTCCACCCAAGGTTTTGGCAGCTCTGAGAGTGGCGTTGATGACACCGGAAGAGTGTAATCCATACGTCGACATCTGGAATCCTATCACTCGTAGAAACGAGGAGTCGATGCTGCACACTCTCTACTCGACGGTATTGATGTTTTTGAAACAATTCTCGTCGTCGTGGGAAGAAGACAAACAGCTATGCGAACAAGTCACCTCCAGACAGAAATCACTACTCTCAAAGATTACCAATAGTAAAGAAAGAGTGGATCGTAGCGGTAGTAGTGGCGGTAGCAGTGGCGCCAGCGGTAACCATCAAGAAAATGATGATGATGATGATCAACATGAAGATGACGATGATGCTAATGAACAGCAAGAGGATGATGATGAGCAACAATCATCGGAACAAATGAAGATTGTACTCCAATACAGAATTGAACAGAAGCAGATATTGACTGGTACTCTTCAGAAGATCATTGAACGTATGACAGAAATGGGTATCGAGATTCCAAAATCACCAAGTGAATATTCTGACGATGAACAAGATTATAACGAGGATGATCAAGATGATGAAGATGAAGATGATGATGATGAGCAATACTTTAGTGATAGTGAGGAGTAACACTAAAATAAAAAAAATATATGTCTTGTAAATATTATATTTGGTAAAACACATACAACTTATTGTTTCAAGCTCCCTCACAATTCAAATCAAATACAAACAACCTCGCTCGATCCACACCAATCACAATCAAATTCAAAGTTGAATTGAATGTTTCAAGTGATTTTTGTTTGAATCTATATGATTGGTTATTGAAGTGCTTAATTATTATAATCTTACATATCAAAATCAGATAACATTTATATAAAACAATTTGAAATTTTGGGATTTTAGGTTGTATGTAGATCATGATGATGATGATGATTGATTGATTGATGGTTGATATTACAATTGTGTAATGTGGTGTAACCAATAGGATTGTAAAAGAGAATAATTGTATCTACCATCTTCCACAAATAGTCGGTTTGTAGAGTAAGCAGTCAAATCAAAATCTAAAAAAAACTATCTGTCTACACTTTTTGTTTATGATTGTAAATCACAAATCTTAAAAGTAGTTTAGTTGAAGTGAAGTAATGTGGTTTAATATTTATTTGATCATAAATAAACTATCTGTCTTTCTATCTGTTTCAATTTCAAATATTTCATTTATTGAATATATGGTTAGATTTACATAAATCACATAAACAAAAAGTGTAGTGGATAGTAGTATTGAAATAGAATAGAATAGAATGCTTGAATGACCGATGAATAATAGTAATATTTATTTAACACACACTAAAACTCTATCCATTTTCTACACCAAGTGTTTGTGGTAATCAATAAATAAAATAACCATTCGTAAAGGAAGTGGACATTATAAAATAATAGTTTTGTTGGTATTATCTGATAGTAAGATATAAAAAAATAATATAATACATGTGGTAATTATTTAAATTAATTAAATAAATTTGAAAATAAAAATGTGTGTGTTATGTGTGTTAGAGAGAGAGAAGTTGGGGTGTTTTTTTGTGTTAATGTGATTTTATTGATCAAAAGGTTAAACAATCATTGGTTTAATGATTGAAGACTGATTTTTTTAATGATGATGTTATGTTGTTTAATTATAAAGGGTAATTTTTTTATTTTTAAATAAAGTGTTTATTGTTTTAAAAAATTTTTTTAAAAACTATCAAAAAAGAAAAAAATGGATTTATTTAATTGTGAATCTTATAATTGGCGTCGCTAGAAATAGATAAGTTGTGTGAGGGGTTTTTGTTGTTGGTTGGAAATAATGTGGTAGTGGGTGATTGTGCTGAGAGTGAGTGATTATGGAAGGGCGATGATGGTACCTCTGCCTCCGCAGTGCATTTGTTTGTTGTTGTTGGTTGTTGGTTAATAAATAAACACAACAAGAAAGCACAACAACAACAGAACAACAACAACAACAACACACAAACAACTACATTTTTAATATCAGTACAAACTAAACTACTACTTATACAATAATAGTTGTTATAACAAACGCTTTTATACTACTCAACTCTTACTATATATATATTCTTTTTCTTTAAATTGAATAAGAGAAAAAGATAGAAAGTAATAACCAAACAATCAAGTGCAACAAGAAGAATAACAAGAAAGTTATAAACATTAGAGATTAAAATAGTTTCAAAATATTTAGTTGTTGTTGTTGTTGTTGTGTTGTTTAAATCTCTTAATATCGATATCATTATTTTGAACATAGACCATTAAATCTTTCTATCTATCAGTCAATCAATCATTCAATCAAATTCAAATCAACTCAATTTCACAATAAGCAATTTATATTTATTAAAAAAAAAAAAAGAGTCTTGTGATTTGGGAATTCTTGGATTTTTCAATTACACAATCAAAATAGTATAACAACATAATAATAGTGATTAAGAGAAGAGATCTTTCTTCTATAATCAAGCCAATTGTGTGTGATGGTCATTTTACCAATTACACTCCTGGAAAAAAATTAAAAACCATTCATTTGAAGTAAAATCCAGTTAAATCCACAATAATTATTATTAAAAATCTATTCCAACTTTTATTCACTTCACACAACGATTACACATTATCTCGATTTTCAACTATCGGTATCCATCCGATTTTCCAAGCCATCAAGGAAAATAGTTTATTTTTTAAACATTATTATTTAATTATTTAAAAATTTTTGTTTAAAAAATAACAAATATATCAATTATAGTTTTAATATATCTTTATCTATATTTTTATATTATTTACATAGTTTTGATATAATAATAATAATTAAAAAATGTCATACTATAATTCTTGCTATGGAGCAAGTTTTACTGCGAATCGTGAAATAAGATTCGATGATTTTCCAACTATATATGCTACAAGCCCAACCAATAATAATAACAATACCGCCATCAATATTAATGTAAGCAATACAAACTTGAAGAGAAGTAATCTTCAACCAATTCCAGTTCAGCCACCACCAGCATTATGTTCGTCTTTTTCGCTTGCCAGTTTCACAGATACCCACATTGAGCTGGAATCAAGAAACAGAAGTAACACCTATCATGACCCACAGATGTGTCAAAACATCTCCACCATTCAACAAAGAAATCGTAGTAATTCTGTTGTTACCACTTTAAATAACAAGATTGACATTGAAAATCAAATGATTTGGAATGATTATTCTATTTCCAAAGGTAAATATATAAATTAATAATATTAATACCTAAGTTATTAATAAATTATTTTATTTTAAAAAATATAACCAATACTATCCGATAATTATAGATTCAGTATTTGATGAACCTGTCAATTTCAATAAATTCACTCTAAGTTTAAAAGATAATTTAGAAAGTTCTTTTTTATTTCACCATTTCTATAAATATAGAATTTTATTAAGTGTAAGTAGTATCATTTATTTTATTAATTTTCTTTATTTATTTATTAATTTTTAAATTTAATTATTATTAGGTATTAAATATAATTGGATTGATTGCAGCAATCATTTCATTATACAATGGCAGAAACGATATTTTTATGATAGTGATTAGAAGTATTGTTGTGATGTCATATGGATCGATGGTTGCAACAGGATTTCTGCAACCGAATTTCTATAGAGTTGTCTTTAATGTGGTATTCACAATATGTAATATATTATTCTTTCTCTCGTTGGCCAGAGAATATCTTTCAGAAACACCATCTACCTATCTATTTATTTATGCAATTTTCTTCCTATCACTCTATTCGTTTGGAATCATAAAATTCCTATGGATGATTCTACTGAATTCCACCATATGGTTGATATCGGTTATCTATATATTCTACAATCATCTCGCTATCTACACATCCATTTCATATCTATTATATTTCTCTATCATTTTCCTACTTGGTGTTTCAAGTATCTATGTTTTAGAGAAATCAAGAAAACATGTAAGTAGTAGATCAATCAAGTTTTGATATTTATTATACAAAATAATTTATGTAATATTAATATTCATTCCTACAGAGTTTTGTTAATAAGATTAAAGTTATAAAATCAACAGATGAAATTCAAGAAGAGAAAGTAAAGTCTGAGCAATTGGTATCAAAGATTCTACCGGAATTCATTATCAATATGATGAAAGAAATATCATGTGACACTCCATTTCCATTACTTTCAAAAGTATTTCCAGATTGTAAGTAATATAAAAAAAACAATAGATAGTTTATACTTACTAACAATTATCAATATTTATAATAAAGGTTCTGTATTATATTGTGATATTGTTGAATTCACAACTTTATCTTCAAAGGTAACACCCAATCAATTGGTTACATTGTTAAACCAAATCTTTACAGAGTTTGATAAGGTAGTTGCTTCACATGGCTGTGAGATGATAAAAACCGATGGTGATGCATTCCTATGTGCAGGTGGTCTTACCATTCAAAATGGAAATCACTTCAAAGCCATCGTGGACACTGCATATGATATTTTGAATCTAAAGATTCTTAAACATAATAGTTTAGATATTGAAGTGAAGATTAGAATTGGTGTGGCGAATGGAACTGTTATTGGAGGTATGATCGGTTCACAGAAATTCCAATTCGATCTCTGGGGAGAAGCAATTGCGCTGGCTCATGCACTCGAACAAAGTGGATGTCCTGGAAGAATACACGCTATCAAGAAAGGTCTTGAGTTGCTCGGTGACAAGTACATCTCCGTTGAGAATCCATCGACACCCGACGAGTTTCAACAACCTACTTACTTTATCTATCCAAACCAATCGACTACCACTACCTCTGATGATAGTAGTAGTTGTTCGTCATCGTTGTTATCCGGCGCTATCGTGCCAGTGAGTGCCAGTCCACAGTCGACCACAAGTGAATCCACTGTATTGGATATCAGTGAAGTAAACTCATCTTCCACCTCTACAAGTAGAAGTAGTTCCAACAGTAACAATAACATAACGATCGGTGGTGGTGGTGAAGATGCAAGTTGTCAACACTCTGCATCTAATCTGGAGAACATTGTTTCAAAGACAAAACAGCTGTTAAAGTCAACCAATCTATTCCCAGCGAATGGTGTTGATTCCGAGTCAAAGCATATCGACGAGACCGAGTGTTATATATTCGATCGGTTCACAAGATTCAATCTCTATCTGCTGATGTTTAGAAATTGGTATGTCGAACGATTCTTCTACAAACACGTTATCAATAGAACCGTCTGTGAAACCAGAGTGTTCCTTGTGATCGGTGCATTAATACAAATGATATTCGGTGTCAATGACTTTCTATTGATACCCATTCAAGGTCTTTACTCAACGAGAACACTCTACATATGGATAGCTACATTGTATGTTATCTACTTTGTCTTTACGTTTACACCCTTCTTTAGAAGACCGTTTACACACCAGATTGGATCGTTTTTCTTCCTGATGACAACAGCAATACTCACCGTATTGATCATGCAACCGTCTTCATCGACAAACGCCACCACTTTCAGCAGTGATAGAATACCATTGGTTAGACTTACTATCATACTTTTCTTCTCCACCGTATTTCATTCTTTGAATTATTTATTCTCTGCTATAATTATTATAATTTTAACCAGTAAGTATAAACATTACTACTACTACTACTATTTAATTTATAACTATTATTGTTTATTAACTTTTTGTTTTATTAAAATATAGTTTTATATTTTGTTTATTTTGGTAGATTATCATTTTTTGATATGACAATTGCTGATTACTTTGGTATTGCTATATTCATTCTATTGCTTTTGGCATCACTCTATATTATGAAACTTGAAATCAGAAGAGCATGGTTAATTAGATCAAATGTTAAATACAAAAGTTTAGTTTTAGTTGATGAGAAAGAGAAATCATCTAAACTATTGCATCATATATTGGTATGTTTAAATTAGTAATGAATATCCTAATATAGTAAAGTATTAATCATTCATTTATGTAGCCACCACATATAACAGAAAAGATAATAAAAGATAAAAGCAATAATGGTAATGGTATGCTTATATCACAGAATCACAATGCGGTGGTTGTAATGTTTATAAATATACTTGGATTCGAGAAGCTACAGAATCACCACGAGATACTCTCACATCTCAATAAGATCTTTACTATCTTGGATGATGAAGTCATTCACTACAAGATCGAGAAGATTAAGACTATCGGTACGACCTACATGGTGGTAGCCGGTCTGAATCACCATATCAATGGCAACAACAATGTCAACATTGGCAATAGCAATGTCAGTCTCTCGAGTAGCAGTAGTAGTGAACAACAAGCCTATCTCAGACAATCGATTCAGGACATGGCCAATATGGCGCTGTCGGCCAAGGCATTCGTAAAGTTTATCGATCCGCGACTCGACGTGCAGATCGGGATGAGCGTAGGTCCGTGTGTCTCTGGTTGCATCGGTATTCAACGCGCCAAGTTTGACATCTGGGGCGACACTGCCAACACTGCCTCGCGAATGCAGACCTCTGCACCGCCCGGCAAGATACAGGTTACCAAGGAGGTGTGTCGTCTGCTGATGCGTTGCTTCTACATGGAGGAGCGTGGTGTCATCCAGGTGAAAGGCAAAGGTGAAATGAAAAGCTTCTACCTCATCGGCAGGAAGACATCGAATGACAACACCATCGACGAACTACCACCACACTGGAAAGAAGTAAACTTTAAGCAACACGAAGGTAGCTATTATTAATCAGTAATTAATTAATTAGCAACAACCCAAACTCTGTTAGCAAAACAAAACGAGCAAACAAACAGAAAACCAATAAAAAGCAACACAACCATATAATAATCTGTATTATATGTCTTTTTGACACTCCCCACAAACAACAACAACTTTACTTTTCAAAAGTTAATTGCATTCATACATTATTTGAAATTGTGTAAACTGAGTTTGTTTGTAAATAAACTTCATAGAATTTGTTCACCCTTTTTTTTTTTTTATTATTTTTTGACAAACTTTTCTGTGCTAGAACCCTTATTCACAAATTTATTTGAATGTGTGTTCATATGTATTGTTTAAAACAAAGTAGTAATCTTTTCATAATAATTAATTAATAAAAAAAACATATATTATAATATTTTTTTTTTATTTTTATTTTTTTAAGATTAAATTTTCATTTTCTAAAAACACTTTTTTATCCTCCCAAAAAATAGTATACTTGTTTTTTTGATCATGGTTCAGACAGGCTACACTGAAAAATGGGATCTTATAATGATCTCTAAAATACAATGAAAACCTCTAAATTTAGCCCAGAGTGTGGTGTAAACCCGCCTTCTGAAAAAGAAATTTTTTTCTTTTATCTTTTTTTTTTTTTCAAACCTCCAAAAAGTTTTTGATTTTTTTGTTTGATGATGGTAGGCATCACCCCTTTAGAGCAATGCAACAGTTTTGACGGATCATTAATTATTTTCTAACAAAAAGCTTTTTTTTGTTTTTTTTGTAACCAAATCTAAACAGTTATTTTATTACAAGCAATATCAATCAATACCAATTCATATTGTTTTTTCACAGATTAGGAAATACGAAAATAAATAAACTATATATATATATACACTATATATTCAATTGTTTTAGATTAAAGATTAAAATAGCGATATTTGTTGAGAAATCAGATTTTAAGTAGATTAACGTTAAATTGACTATCAGAATCAACATTAAAGAGGATCATCATAAGTCAAAGGTAGGCTTAAAGACTTCATAATCAGTAGTTACTTTTTTTTTTTTTTGTATTATAAGAGAGAAAAACAATGGTAGATCAGTTCCAAGTTTATAATATCGGTTCACCTATATTCAGTTAATGACGACAACAACAAATAATCTTCATGGTGGATTGTTTGTCATTTTATTACATATTATTACATTCTGTATTAAATTCGAGTCACAAAGACAGCAGTTTTAAATTTAACAACAAGTATTTTTATCATCTTTTGTTTTGTGATGTTGATTGCCATGTTTCAAACAATTGTTACCTCATCAGCTTATCCTCTCTCTCTTTCAATCACTTTATAAAGCATGCCATTCACATCGATGTAATAGGACCATTCGGTCATTCATTTTTATCACACTTGTCAGAAGTGTGAGGCACATAAACTATGTTTGACAGAATTGCTCACAATTTTCAAGTGTCAAATCAAATTCACCTGTGTGTGTGTGTTTTGTTGGTGTCAAATTTTATTTTTATTAATCACAGATGAAAAGGTTTTTTTTATTTGAAATTAATTTAAATTAAACACCCACCAACCGGTTGTAAAGTAATATAACTTGGTCACATGTTAGAGTGCTAAAAGAGCGGCATGATCAATCTGTATTGTCGTCGAAAAATACAAAAATAAATTTCTTTTTTGATAATAATCACCCCAATTCACTATTAATCCACAATAAGATAAATGGTTGTTGTTGAAAACACAAAACAAGAATAAGGTAGAGAAGAGACAAAGCTGCTTTTTTATTTATTTATTTTTTCTTATAATTTGAAAAGAGTTCAACAGCACAAACAATTTAATAGACATTCATATTTATATGATTGAATCTATCAACACTCCTCAAGTTAAAAAATCGATTTTAAAAGCTTTCCTCGATGAATCTCACATTAATCCACACTCTTTAGAAAGTCAGTCTTCCCTCCTCCTTATCTGTATCTTATCTGTGTCTATATCCTTACATCTATAACATCTATCTGTACTACCTATAACACATTGATTTGATTCAAGAGACCAAGTAGTGTATCAGCTAGTCATTCTTAAAACAAAACAAAACAACCATTTCAATCAGAAATTCAATCAAGCTTAAACTATTAAATCACTCAATCAAATTAATCAATCAACCAAACACACTCACACACCCAGCTCACAAACAAAATAATTTCAGCATATCTTTCCTTCAATTTCGACAAAATAACTACTGCAACATTTTTGTTTACCTTCTATATTAATGATTTATTTCCTATTTTAAACAACAAAAACAATAACGATAGTAGTTAGCAACTTAAAAGGTAGTGATCTTCTGAGCTGTAATTATAGCAACATCATTCATTTTAGGTACAGGTTGATTTCGATTTTCACTTATTCTTTTATATTTGTGGTTAAACCATCAAACCAAACTACAGGCATCAAGAGTAACTAGAAAGTTACCAACAATAATAATAATAATAATAACAACATTGGTCTAACAAGATTAATATATCATCGTTTGTCCTTTTACAATAACAGCCTTAATACTTTGACATCAATAACAAACAAACCAAATCAAACCACAAATCTAATAACAAATCATTTCAATCCATCAAATAATTTTACAAACAATTTTATAACTTGGACATCGTTTATCTTTCATCTTTCTTAAAAACCAATCACTTGACTTGCTCCCTGACTGATCAGTTAAGTATGTAAATATATCATTCAATAATAAATCACTCAGGCAACATCAGACCAATAATAAACAGGATTAATAATAACTACTACGATTCAATCGATTATTGATCAAACACAATCATCCAACACTATCTACCACTACCCACCAACTAAATCAACCACATCAATACCAAAACCAAGTACTTTACTACCTTTTAAAAAAAACAATAACAATAACAGCAACAACAAACAATCAAACAAACATTTCAAATTGAAAACAATTTTATATTTATTCCATTTTCCAATTTTCAAAGTTGACATTTTCTCATAATAATCAATATATAATACTGATAGCATTGTTATTGTATAACTATAGTATTGTTTAGTGATACCAAGCAGTCGATCGAACATATATAGACAAAAAAACTTTAAAACTCTGCCTTTAAGAATTGTAAATATCTTGGTAGTAGATGAATAAACATTAGACCAATCCTCATCAGCACCTACCACAACATTATCATCACAATTCATCAGTCATCTTCAATTTTATTTTATATCTATATGTTTACATAAAATAACCACCCCACCATTCATAATAACATCAAGGTATTGAATTTCAAACCATCTATCCCCAACCAATATATAAACAAAAAAAAAACTAATTATATACAATCGACTTTTACTACGATTCAATATATAAATCTACACCATCCAAATTAATCATGTATTATTTACAATAAAATAATAAATATTACTCGTGTTTGTTTGTTGTTGTGTTGCAATTTCAATCCCTCACCCCATCACCACTACTACCACAATAAATACTCACCCACATCAATCAATCATTACCACTACTCCACTTTTTATATTTCCCCATACATAACATAATAGCATCATCGTATAGACTGTTTTACTTATCAAGCAACAAAACTATCCAAACAACCAACCAAAAAAAAATATTATAGAATATACAAATCCACAATATAATAATTTGAACAATTGAAATTATCACTAGTAATACCAACAGCCAATTGTATTAATTAATTCTATGTGTAATATAATGATGATAAATGCATGACTACTATTTTTTCTACCTATCATTTAATATATAAACACTAAAAATAATAATTTCAATCAGTAAATTAATTCAATTGACAAACAAATATCAAAATAATTCAAATTGAATAGTGTTATCGATATTTTAGCGTTATTGAATCAAACATCATAATAATAATAATTATTTTATATCAGAACTAATAAATAAATCTGTTTGTTGTTGTTGATTTTATTTTATTATTAAAAAATAATAAAATAATAAAAAATATAAACATAGAATAGATAGACAGGCAGAATAGAAATTATCTTGTAGTTGATTAATAATTTAAATAGGCATTTTCTCAGTAGGAATCATAATTAATCAATTAAACAAACAAACAAACAGACAATTAAATCAATCAATCTCGTAAAAATGAAATCCAATATCGACAAAAAGACTATCAATCAATCAATCAATCAATTCGATTGTCAAAAATTGTTTCACTCAATCTTGGACATTTTGTTACTTTCAAAGTTGATCCAAATCAGCATTCGATTTAATTATAATATACATGTTTTAATATATATCGTCATTTCTAATATGACTCACTAGATTTAGTTGATATCGCTGATTCTAATTCAGAAATTTACTTTACTATTTTTATTATATTTATACACATAGAAAGAAATTTAATTTAATGATAATTTAATAATAATCAAAAATATTTTTAAATATTAATATATCTAATTAAAAATTTCTAAATACCCTTGGATATTATCTCCAAATATAATAACAACAATAATAATAATACACCATAAAAATCAATATATCACATGTAAGAACTAATATCTAGGCAATGGCAATTTATATCAAAAGCATTACACATTATTTGAAAATAATATTTATAACTTGATAAATTGAAATTCTTTTAATTATTGTGATCCAAACACCTTAATAATATTCTTTTTTTCACCACGCTGACCAGTTATAATCACAATATCCTTTTTTTTTTGTGTGTTTTGATCTTTTTTTTTAATTGGGTCAATCACAGATACAAAAAAAACTACCTTTTTTATTTATTTTAATAATATTGTTTGTTTGGGTGTAATACACATAATAAAAATAACGATAATAATATTTAAATCAAAAAAAACAATAACAATAGTGATCATTTTATTAACTTAATTTGCCTTTAGAATTAATAATAGGTTATTAGATTTAATTTAAAAAAAATAGTAGTTCTCTAAAATCAATCAAGTTTGCACTTTTCAACTAATATATTAATATTATCAACCAATCATTGGAAATCTAAAAATCACACAATCTAAAGTCTTTAGATAATTATATTTAATCAATAATCAAAATCAAATATAGTAATTATAGTTGTTAAACAACACAAACACTTAAACCAACAACATCATCATTTTCCACAATTACCCAATCCAATCAATTACAGTAGTTAGAATATTTTTAAAAATATACTTTAATTTTTTAAAGTAATACAAAAACAATGTTTAATATAAATCCATATAAAGTAAGTAGTATTTATTTATTGAAAATTAAAATATTCTAACAACAAATTTCTTTAAAGAAAAAATCTTTATCGCCTTTTACATCGAGTTCCTCATCATCAAAGGATAAAAAGAAAAAGAAGGAAGAGAAAATATCATCATCACCATCGTCAGCCACTTCAACACCAAACATCAGAGGCGGAGAAAACAGTTTGTCGTTGACTTCCATCTCTGAGATTACGAATTCACTTTCCAACACACACACTCATACAGATACTTCAAACACCAACGAGGAAGTTAGTGAGCAAGGCGATGACTACGATCCATTCCTTTCGATCCTCGAAGAGCCAATCGAGGAGGGTGGCATCGAGAAAGAGACCACCGAGGAGCTACAAGAGATGCTGGCCGTGCTCAAAGGTGTACAGAACGAGTGTAACGTGCTGCTGTTGGGACGTACCGGTGTCGGAAAGTCATCCACCCTCAACACAGTGTTTGGCATCGATATTCCAGTGCACTCCAGTGAGTCTTGTACCCAAGAGCCTTTTACATACAGTCGCAACGTCAATGGATTCAAGCTGAATATCATCGATACACCAGGATTTCTCGATAGTCAGGGTGACGCAGTGGACGCCGCCAACATGTTGAAAATACAAAAATATCTATCGGGCAAAACAATTCACTGCGTTTTGTTTGTTGAGAAATTCACAGAGACGCGTTTCGACGGTGCACATCAACTGGTCATCAATCAATTCACAGAGAAGCTAGGACCACAGCTGTGGCGTAATGCCGCCGTCGTCCTTACCTACGCCAATTCAGTTTTGCCAGATTCATGCTACGACGGATTCGACGAGGAAGACGAAATCGGTCCATGGAAAAAGCACTTGGAGTCGCGTAGTCAGCAGTTTAAAAAATTCTTTTCCGACATTTTCTCAAAGTTGCCACAAGACGATTTCCCACCAAAGAATATTGCAGTGTACGCCATGGAGAACTCAAGACGTTGTCGTCGTAACGAACAGGGTCAACGTATACTTATCGATGGAACCCCATGCTTACACCTCTTGATTAGCGGTCTGCTGCGAATGGTCGATCCAAAGACAGCGTTCCTTTTCATGGGTCATCTCCGTGCAAAGAACAAACCTGGAAAAACACACAAGGGTGATCAACTGGATCGTGAACGTTCCATCTTTGACAATCTCGGTGAAATTCTCAAACTATTTGTAGTGCCACCATTTGATCAACTTGGAAAGGGTCAAGTAGCAAAAATCCTAGAAAGTTGGGGTAAAAAATTGGATAGATATGGTAATCTTCCAAATTTACTCAAGATATAGATTTATTATTATTATTTTCATTATATTATTATTATCATCATCAAACTATTTATATTTATAAATTCTCATATATAATTATTTACGTAATATCACAACAAACTCCAACGGTAAAACAAAAAAAAAAAAAAAAAAAAAAGAAAAAAATAGTTCTACCCCCTCTTTCTTGGATGGTTCACTACTCTCTCTTTGGTTTGTCCAAACATAGACCAAAGCCAGCGATTACACTATGCGTTTACAGTAAACAACGTTTTAAATTTACCTTCCACTCCATAATAATAATTCATCTAAAATTATTTTATAACAAAACCAACATAACTAAAATGACAACCTGTAAATTAATCAAACCCAACTACATTAAATATATTTATAATCTTACTCAATAAATATGGTTTAAATTTGAGTAAATTCAAAATAATTTATTATCTTGCATTAATTAATATTATTTTTCCAATTTTTCATCCCTCATTTTTGATCATCATGATTTATAAGTTTCACCACCAAATATTGGTAAATAAATATATGGCAACATTACAACCAAAATATCAACAAATGCAAGCAGTAATTCAAATAGATCCTAAAGTAAACTAGGAGAATTCACTTTCTGGTGCAAGAAAGTCGAAAGCAAGTTTTTTTTCTTCAAGCATTCAGTTAGAGAAATTTGTTATAAATCTAGAGAATTGGATAAAAGGAGCTGCTACAGTATCACCACAGTATCACTCGACTCACTTAATAGCTGCAGCTCGAATACTCGATAGCTGGAAACTATCAAACTCTCATTTTAATCTAGAGTTATCTGGCCTCGATCTCTCTTCATTGCCAATTGGAATAGGACAATTCAAATCTTCGGTCACAGAGATTGATTTAAGCAACAATCTCTTTACAGAGTTCCTAAGGAGTTTTTGGAGTTCACCAGTCATCTACATGCACTTGATCTATCAAATAATCAATTGAAATAGATACCAAGAAAATTCTACAAACTCTCTAACATTTATTTCCTTGATCTCAGTCGTAATCAGCTAACAACACTCCCAGAGAAATTACCGAGATGAGGACTTCGTTTTCTGTTCTAGATTACAATCGTATCACTCTATTCCCCATGGATTTCACAAACTTTCACTATACAAAGATGCATTATCAAGTGACTTATCATCCATTACATCGAAAATGGCGAGATATTCTCTTTACGGAACAAATCAAAGTGACCGCTGGCCTTCATACACTCTCTCTGTTGCACAATGGTATTCAGACTGCCAATCTTCCAGTTGAAATACTAATGAGAAAGATACAACATCTTTATCTTAATATCAATGAGTTTACTGATTTACCACCAATGAAATTCCTTGATGTATGCTACCTTAACATTTCAAACAATCGACTCACCACATTGCCACCTGCAAAACATCAAAGTATAGTATATTCAATTAATGCATCAAATTACCAATATTCCCTTAGATCAAAAATGGATAAAGCATATAGTATCCTATAGCATTAAAGGAAATCCAATCTACCATTTAAATCTATTACAACTACCTGGGATTTTTCTATTTATTCATACAACCCATGATAAATTAAATAGAATTTAATCTAATGTACATTAAATAAATGATTAAAAAAGATTTCTTAATCATCAAAAGAGCAATCTGACAGAAGAGCTATTTTTATTAATTTATTACTCTCAGACTTCATATCACTATAAACTCTACATTAACAAATCACACTATCTTTGCAGGTCAAAACTTCTAGCAATTGATTAACAAAGGTTTATTGTAGAAACAAAGTTGTTATTTTTAGCTCCACTCTCAATTAATTAAGCTATTAATTTAGATAAATATGATATTAATAAAGTGTAAGAGCAATGGGAATGATGTATCATGTGATGACAGATTACTTTATAGTAAGTTACTCTATAACAGTAAAGCTATATTGATGTAAGTACTCTACAATTAGTTTTATGTCTATGTATCGAAATCGAATGAATCATATGATGGTTGGGCTGTCAATGATAAAGTGTCTTGAGAAAAAGCAATCATTGGATAATATATATATGATTTTCGATAAATAGATCAACCACATACTATATACATCATTTCTATTATTATCAGGGTATTTTATTGGTGGAGTGAAGTAATTATTAGATAGCACAATACTCGATCCATAAGATGTTCACTATGTGTATAAATAAATCATTATAAAACAAAGACACGACAACCAACCAAAAAATCCTACAACCATAATATATTACATTTATTTAGTAAATAATAAAAATAAATAATCTATTTTTATATTATTTATTTCATCTACCAGACATATATCAATGAAAATGAAGGTAGCTATAATTGACAGGTTTGTGCTTTAAAAATTTTATATTATCAAAGTAACCAATTTAGTGTGAGTGTGTTATTTAATAGTTAGTGACTACTATTTTTATTGTGAAAGTGAACGGGCAATATAATTATTAAATACACATGATGATGTAAAAGGTGGAATATCAAAAAAACATGTTCGACATCAGCATTAAAAAAAAACAATATGGATAATTTTTTTGTGTGTGTGTGTGGTGTCGATTAATTTGTCTAATTTTTAAATCATCAAGTGATAGCAATAACACAAAGTAGTGTGTAAACACACACAGTAAAAGATGTAATGTGAAAAGGTATAAAGTATTATACCCACACCAACATTATATAAGTCAAAGATATTACAGTATACAAGCAATAATAAAAGATGCGTTTGGGTTATGATATATTATATGGTTCACACAATCACAATCACAATCACAATCACACTTGATCAAGGTGTGAACAACACACTTACCACCACTATATTTAATATTTATTGTACAAACATAACAAACAAACACCATTAACAAAAAAATCAATCATCTTTTGCTGTTAATCTACCTACCTTTGACCACCTTTGTCAAGAAAAAAAAATATATATATTTATAAAATATTTAGTTGTTGGTCATCAACATCATCAGCAACAACAACAACAGCATCATCATCAACATAATCAGCGTTATCAACATCATAAATGGGTGTATGTTTGCCTTGTTTTACTTTCAATATGATCCGACCTCAATATCTATATGTATATATAAAAGCAGACATATAAACCACGTGTGGTGGTTTCGTTCTCAAAAGTAAGCTACTGTTGTCAACTTCTGTTGAGTAGGCAACTTATATTTCTCGTCGTAGTTACTTTACTTACAGAGCATTGATTAAAGTACAAACCTTCTAATCAAGAGCAGTTCCCACCATTTATCAATAATATTCTTTCCTTTATGTCATGACAAAGAGTAAGTGAAACCACCATATGGGTTGAGTTCATTAGATTTAAATATATTTTGATGATAATGTACACACCCACTTCTGATGTTATAGATCAAATTGATACTACACCTTGTTACATATCATTTGTTTGGTAGAGAGTGTGTGGAGTGGAGTGAGAATGTGCACACTTGTTGGAATAAGTGATGATTTATTAATATCATTTTCATTTCCATTTGACAATTTATTTTAATTATTTGTTTTGTTTAGGAAGAGAGATTAGTGTTTTTTAAACAAGTTATATTTTATTTTGATTGATTGATTTAGTAATAATCAATCAACCTTTTTATTTCAAAAAAAAAAAAAAAACAACCAAACAAACCAAACAAACAAACAATTTTAATAATAAAAACTATTCAATAGTTTAGAATCGCATACACATCTTAAACTTTGACCAGACTGTTGTTGTTACAGCACCAAACACACACCCACATCACCTATATATTATAACATTTACTTTTAAATTAACTTTCAATCAATAATTAATTTAAAATAATCAATCATTTCCACCACTTTCCAGCTCAGCTCACCTGTTCAGTATTAGTATCTCAACAACAACTGGAACCAACGCTTGTGGCTACATTTATGATTCACTCCACCTCCTTCCTTTGAAAATCTAATCTTACACCCACTACATTCACCAATAGCAACAAGTTTTAATATTACTTTTTCAATTGTTGTTTTTTTATTATTATTATAATTTTAAGAGATAATACAAGTTATAAATTCCAAAATAAATCACTCCACTTGATAATTGTTTTAATTTTTATTCTAAATAGTCGTTGGTTGATACTACTACTTTCAACTTCTTCAACAATTTATCATTATACAATTGTTTATTTCCTAAAATATAACATAGATCAATATTTAATACTTTTAAAGAGTATTAAATTCCAATCTTTAAATATATATATAATTAAATTTCGGTATTTACTTTTTTTATATTATATCAATTTATATATATATTACAATTCAAAAAAAATGTTAAATCATAACTTGTCAACAGTTCCAGCTTTAACATCTAATTTATCATCATCATCGCTATCGATTTTTTCTCCAGAAATGAATAATTTCCAACTATTAGAATATTTCATATTAAGAGAGGTTGACCAATGTAAAAGTTGGTCCACTTTATTCAGACTAAATTCACCGTCAACCGATTTAATGTCACAGTTTCTCAGCAATGACGCTTGTCGAACATATATCTCCAAGTTTGTTTTGCCCATCGTTTTGATGGTAGAGAAATCGAATACAGACAACATTGTTCCACGTGAAGTTGCCTTGAAAACCATAAAACAAGTGACACAGAGCATCGGCCAATGTCCCGAAATAATAATGAGCATCTCCAATTCATTGCGCCGTATAGTTTCAATCAAGTTCCCGAACCACTGGAATATTGCAGTTGCCAGTTTCATATTCCTTCGATCGATATCACCTGCAATCGTTACCCCAGAGAAAATAGGTATCAAGTGTAAGAAGCTCACTGACAAGCAAAGAGACTTGAAGTTGAGCATTGTGAAATCACTGCAAGAATTGGTAAACTCATCCATTTCAAAACCAACTTCATCGTCGTCGCTGTCCTCACTCGAAGAAGAGGCATGCTGCGAAACCGACGGCAAAGACAAAGACTTGACCGACTACTTTAACCGAATTTCAGTAACACCAAACAACCCCGACAGAACACAACGATTTAAAATTTCACCACAATATAGAAACAAATCAACCTACAATTTAAAGCAATACGTTAATGACTCTCGAAATGAAGAGAACCTAAATGACCCGGTCCTACTAAAAGTTGAAGAAGTACTTTTGGCAATCGAGGAGAAACAATCGTTTATGAAAAAATTGAAAAAGATATTCAAATAATAATCATATAAATAATATAAATTTTTTTTATATTGTATCAATTAATATAATATTTTTTAATTATATTAATATTTTAAAATTAAAATAAAAAAATTATTGTACATACAATGTTTTTAAATGTGTTTAGTTTATTTTTTGTTGTTGAACAAAAAAAATGGTGAGTGTAACAATAAAAAAATTTAACAATAATAATCAACGATTTAAAGTTGTTTCTCAAATCGCAACACTCGACGAGATGACATTTGTTTATCATATTGAACGTCATGTTATTAATTGAAATAATTCCCCAAAGACTAAAGTGAGGGACCCGACGCAAATTGAAAGGACACTTGTTTTAATGAAGTTCATCACCTCCGGTGGGCTTTTAACAATCTAAAATTCGATCAATATAATCAGGATGCAAAAATAGAATGGGTTAATATGGGCTGTGTTTAAACCACACACTTGTGTTTGTTGCTCTCAATTTAAAAGATTAAAGGTTGTGTGGTTATGAAAAATAAAAAAAAAGTGTAAAGTGGATTTATGATGAAGTTGTGGGTTGATATAATTGGCTTGTTTTTACCCCACCACACTTGTAATTGGGAAGCTTGTTTCAATCAAAAAAACTCAACTCTCTAAAGGAGCTCCATTTTTAAGTTGGTACTTATTAGGCAATAAATTATCTCCCTGTGATAACTAAAGATATATTACCACTTTTTTAAATAAGAACAATGAAATTAGCAAAGTGATATCAATGTCTTTTTAATACCAAAAAGAAATTAATTTTAACTATTTTTAAACTGGAACTCAACTCTTAGGTTCACTATTTAAACTTCATTTAAAATCATCTTTTGATCAAGTTATAATGATTAAACAACTCATATTTAAAAAAACATCTTTATACTTATAAAATTATATATATTTATACAAACAAAACTTTATCTTTTTATTTTTATTTTTATTCAACAGAATTATACATATTTTTTATACGAATTTTATTATTACTTTATATCATTACCATATATCATTACTTTATATTATTACTTTATATAATTACAATTACAACCATATATCCATTATAATATAATATAAATATATAATACGAATTTTTCCCCTTTAATAAAATGAATTTATCATATATTCTAAATCCAATAAGTATACCTAATATGTATAACATATCGAAAACCGATAACGATATATTTATTATGGAAAAGTCCAAAGTCAATAGTGAATCTCTAGTAGCCAAGGAGATGTTAGTAAAAAACCAAACCCCATCAAAAGTCCAAATAAAACCAAACTTTTTATATAACTGGTCCCCAGTTCAAGTGGAAATTCTCATCAGAATGGTCATAGAGTGTGACTTCTACAGTCTAGATCCAATGGAGAGAAGAAATCAATGGGAAAAAATAGCAAAGTCCCTTAATAGAACTGTACCAGCCGTCAGAGCCAAATTCAGCCGACTGAAATTGGATAGCAAATTAAAACAAGCAGCTTTATAAATATATAGTATTTCTTTTAATAACAATAATAATATCATATAGTATTTATTTTAATTTTTTCTCAATTTATTTTATTTAATAAACAAAGAGTATAATTGTTTTTTATGTGTTAATTTCAATTATTATCTATTTAAAGCATAGATCTTTTTCTTTTTAATTAATTTAGACTTTATATCAATCTAAAACAATAAAATCTTTAATTTACAGATTTTGTACTAAATTTGGAAGAATCATAAATAAATTAGTATATTTTTTGTCACAGATTCAATTTGGAAAATAACAAATTTATGAGATATCTTGAATCACCAATATTAATGAGACCTACGCCAAATTTTTAACAGATCTTGTCGATAATATTTCAATCTTAACCCATCAAATGTGGTTGCTACACATCTACAGATAGATAATCATTTTTTTTCGTTCAATCAAAAATAAATATTTTTAACATTTAAATTCTTTTTTAATTAAAAATTTTTTTGTCAGGTTTTTCAACCGATTTGTTACCCCCCATAAAGTGATAGTAATAAAATAAAATATCAAACACTCTTTATCAGTATGACATTTATATTTCGTTGTATCTTTATCTGTAACATATCTTTTACAATAGATTAACCCATTATTCACCTCTCAATTGTAATTGTAATCGAATTGTTCCTTTATCCAGTTTTCAATCCACTGCTCACTTGAACAAAAAATAATTAATAAATAATAACAATTGTTATTTTTATATATTATTATATTAGTGACAACATACAAAACATCAATACCATTATTAATTATAAAATGATATCATAAACTAATTAATTCTATTCGTAATAAATAATGGTAAATTGATGGAAATTAAAACATTGTCATTTTTATAATGGACTATCTTCTTGATTTGGAAAGGACATATCACGTGGAAAACAATTGAAATCAATACAATGTTTTGCTAGTTTAACATGAGCAAATAGAGAAATAAAATAAATAAGAGTCATTTCATATCTAAGGACATTCTATTTAGAATAAAATCATTAAAATAATACAAGGTTTCTATTATTATTTATTTATAACAATGAAAATTTCAATACATATCTCAATCTTTACTTTGGTTTTAATTTCCATCCTATTTTTCTTTGGCTCTGCCAAAGGTTATGCAGAAGAAGATAATTGTCCAAAGAACGCTTGTTGTTTTTTTAGTCGATCACAATTTAGAGGATCCAAATTCATATGGTACAAGCGCGATGGTACAGTCGATTTACCAAATGACCATTCCGGTCATGTAGGTTCCTACATTGCAAATATCGAATGCTGTCTACACTCCAACGAAAATGAAAAATACCATATTCGTGGTTTGAAATTAGACTACACTAGAGAGAGAGGTGCAGTATTATCCAACAGAGTATCTGATAGATGTTAAATAAAACCATTATAAATATTAAAATATTTGGTACATTTTTCCATTTTTATTTAAGTTTCTGTTTTGTTTTGAAAATACACAAATCACAATTAACTATTTACTCTCTTTTCTTCTTGTTATTGATCATTATTTTTTATCTATTTCTAAGATGAACCACTAATAGACCACCTTGATCTTGGAAAGTAAGTTTACATTCTTTCAACAATGAAATTAAAGCAGGTTTAATTTTGGCGACACCACCTTGACTGTGATTTCCAAGTCCGCATATAAACTCAATGGTTTTTGGTCTCTCTTCATTTCCTTGATACTCGCCATTGGTGTGAACATCCAAAATCTGACTGACCATCTCCAAAGCCTCTGTGACATGCAAACCATGTAAATCGATCTTTAATGAATCTCCAATACGTGAATTACTAAATAAAATAATTTGTAAATAAAAATAGTTGATTAATAAATATAAAACTACTATTATAATTCATTATAATAATAACTTACCATGATAAGAAAATTTGATTGGATGCATTTGCATTACATTCCTTTACTAAACGGTCGTAGTATCTACCTTGTTCAGATAAACCTCTGGCTTCTGCTGCCTTTCCAGCCATGTATGCCGCGGCAGCTTGTTGGAAGAATGTATTTCTTAGAGCAGCATAACGATTTGCCTCTGCACGGTATTGTTGATAATCCTTCCTGTTCATATCGGTATTTTTATTCTTCTGCTTGGATTTGTTGATCGGAGAAGTTGGCTGCACTCTTTGGAACTTAGCATCAGCCTCATTCTTTTCACCTGCATAGATCTCAACCTTGTTTGGACCGGTTGGAATAATATTGACTCTATCTTGTAACTGTTGCATCTGTTGTTGATATTGCATCTGCTGTTGATATTGCATATGTTGGTTATAATTCAAATATTGCATCTGTTGCATCTGTTGTTGATACTGCATCTGTTGTTGTTGCATCTGTTGTTGTTGAATCTGGTCCAAAGGCAATGGTGAAAAATTACCGTTATTGTTAATATTGTTATTATTAATATTATTAATATTGTTGTTGGTATTGTTGTTTGTATTGTTGGTATTATTTGTATGGTTGATTTTCTTTAATACATCGGTTTGTTGTTGTTGCTGTTGTTGCTGCTTGATCTTTGTTGCCAAGTTCTTGACTTGAGCACCACCCAACTCTTGTTTGCTCATTTCACTGAGAGAACGCCATGATGACTGGAAGTTATTGTTGGTTTGAGCGTAGATAGACCGAATAAGCTCTGGCTCCAACAATGAGAATTCCTTCAAGAGAATATTTAACTTCTTGTCGTCAGCCTTTGATTTCTTCTTCATCTTGGCCATCTCCAATATATCATCTGCATGAACATCACCGAAATCCTCATCTACCAATGCATTCTTTTCCTCAAGCTCTTGTTGTAGCAATTGTTGTTTTGTCTTATTACCTTTAGTGGTTGTTGTATGTACATATTTATATGGTGAACTAACTTCATTTGCACTCTTTGCCTTTTGCTCTTTGATAATATCATCAAGACTTTCAGTTGGTCTAGATTGTTGTTGTTGCTGTTGTTGTTTGTTCTTCTGATTGATTAATGGTACAGGTGTTTTAACCTTATTATTATTTGGTTGTTGTTGTTTTGGTACTTCTTTCTTTGGTTGTTGTTGTTGTTGTTGCTTTAATTGTTGTTGTTGCTGTTGCTGTTGCTGTTGTTGTTGTTGTTGTTGCAGCTGTTGTTGTTTCTGTTGTTGAGCAATCAAATCTTGTTCTTTCTTTAACTGCATCTGTTGTTTATGTTCACTTAATACAATGACAATACTTTCATCTAGCAATGCATTGGATGCTTTCTCGATATCGAAACCGTTCATCTCCAATACCAAGGCAATGTCAAGTCGTGAGAAATCAACGAAAAGCTCTTGAAGTTGACGTATCATCTCTGGATAGTTTGATTCACTTGTCGATACTGGCTGCTGATCTACTGTGGGTTCTTCAACTACTTCGGGAACTTCAGCTACTGGAGTACCATAATCATAACTACTACCCTCTGCCGCTCCAATTTGATATGCATCCGGTACTCCATACAATTGTTGCATCTGCAGTTGTTGTTCCAATGCTTTTTGTTTTTCTTTTTCTTTCTTTTTTAATCTCTTCTTTGCTGATGCTGATAATACAGTATTATTATTATTATTATTATTACTATTACTATTATTATTATTGTTGTTATTATTATTATTATTATTATTGTTATTATTATTATAGTTCTTATTATAATTTTTATTGTAATCTTTGTTGTAATTCTTGTTATTACCATTGATATGGTTATTATTGGATGTGCTGGTTGTTGTTGTTGTTGTAGTTGATGAATAATCATCATCAGAGATTGACAGTTTCTCTAATTTAGACATATCAGATGGATAGTCAGGGAAGGCACCACTATCATCACCATTGTTACTATCGTCATAATGAAACTCTAACATTGTCTGTACAACCTTTGACACATCTCCTTTGAATTCGATCAACATACACTCCAAAGTATCAAATTCAATGTCCGGTAACAATGTTACCAAGAAATCCATTGAGTTCTTATCGATTTGTATTACTTCTGGTTCTGGTGTTTGTATCTGTTGTTGCTGTTGTTCTTTTTGTTGTTGTTGTTGCTGTTGTTTATTTGATGAATATGGATTATTGCTATTCTGTTGTTGTTGTTGTTGTTGCTTCTGTGATGGGTATTGATTATTGCTCATCTGTTGTTGTTGTTGGTGTTGCTGTGATGGATATTGACGTTGATATTGATACTGTTGCTGTTGTTGCGGTTGCGGTTGCGGTTGAATGTACATATTGTTTTTAACAGTAGTATTGGTGGTGGTTGTTGTTGTAGTTGTTGTAGGTGAAGACATCATCGACTTTGGTGAATTTCTTTGATAGAACTTTTCAAAAGATGATTCATCGATTGACATATCAGGAAAGTAGTCTCTCGATATAGGATACATATAATGTGATTGATCCGGCAATTTAGGTGGTTTACCACCTAAATAAGGACTATTATTACTCATTGTTGTTTTTTAAATCTATGTTTATTCTCTTATCTTATTATTGTCTATGAATTGACTATGATTCAGTTATTGATTGGTTTAATTATCAATTTTTTTTAATTATTACTCTTTTTTTGTTTTTTAGAAAAATAAATTTAAAAGGACGAGAACAACTTTTTGTAAGACGGAATTTGACTCTACAAAGATTTGCTTAACTCATACAAACAAGTTTTTGTTCTTAATCTTTTTAAAAAAAAAAAAATAAAAAAAAAATAATTCAACTGAATATTAATCGTTGTTTGTGTATGTGTGTGTTCAGTTTTAATAAATGATACTAATAATAGCGAGAAGGTACTAGATCAACAAGAAAGAGAATGAGAGCTTATTAAAAATAATGAAGTTTGTTATTTTTATTTTATTAATAATAAAACTCAGTAAAAATATTATTATTCTTAAATATGTAAAACTTTGATATAGTTATTATTCTTTATTAGTTTGTATGGTTGATGTGTGTCTCTTTAATTTTGCCTCCATTCGCTTGGCATCCTTTTTGAATTTTCTCTTTTTCATAAATAATACAGTTGCAGTTGCTAACGCTGCTATCAAAACAACACCTCCAACTACAACTCCAACAATAATCTTCCATGTATTCGATGACTTTTCACCACATGTTTTCTCTTGGTTGTCGACGTTGACTAAAGCACTAAAGTCTGGGTCAATCAAACATTCTCTACACATTGGAATATTGATACCAAGTAGAACATGACTTTCACTGGCGTTCGGTGATATAGTTTGGTTGATAAGTTGAACAGAAGAATAGGTGGGTCTTCCATTGGAAACTGCAATATTGGTGAATCTTCCGAAGAACTCTACATCGTTGCTAAAAACGCGGAGGAATTGAACTGTTATGTCATCTTTATCCTTGGTAATTGAAATCGGTTCATTCGAACAGGAATCTAAACTTAAAGGTGACCTGTAAACAACTCTAAGATGTGAAAGCGAAGTCTGATAGACCCATCCAGTAATATTGACGGAAATCTTGATGGAATTGGGTGCCAAGTCAATTACTTGTCCTCCAAATCCAATTTCTACAGAGGTCGATGTGTTTGTAATTAGAACTACCGATTCAATTGAAAGATTAGCGACTTGATTTCTGGTGTCAAACACATAGTATACTGATGATAGACCATCTACATTGGTGATTTGATCTATTGTCCAATTGCTAGTCATCGGTATTTCCTTTAGAATAGCTTCGGTATCATCAATCTCTTGAATTGCAACAATCGAGAAATCAAAGTTGAATCCTTTGTAATTGATTGAAGCTGATGGCGTTGTATTGTTGACATTGATGTTTGGACCAGTTGCAATTTGTTGATTACATTTGACACCATAGTAACCACTTCCTTTGTCACATACACATTTTCCTTCTTCACTACACTGTCCATGCCCAGAACAATTTTCATAGATTCTCTTACAATAGTCAATGGTGTCCTCAGGTGGAGGAAGAATTACCACAACCGAGTTGGATACAAAGTAGAATCCACGGTCAGAGACATTGAGAGATTGGTAACCGACTGAAAAAGGTCCTTCAATGTAGCATGTGATAAAGAAGGGGCCATCGTCAGTCTTTAAACAAGGTTTGCCTCCAATCATGGTAGAAGTATTGCTTGTACCTGAGAAACTACCAGAGAGAGTGACAACACCTCCATCTACCGTAAGTCCAGACGCTGCGGTTACAATAGGGAATTCCAAAACTAAATTAGAATTTACCGAGACTGCGCTGTAAGGATCACTAATTGTAATATTCTTTAGACCACCTTGGACTGGATCACATAAACTATCGTATTTATAAATATCTGGTGGACCAATTGCCAAATTCGAAGTTGGTGGAGAGAGTGCCAATCCTACTGAAACACACTGTGCCCCATCTAACCAATAGTCTAAATACATATTGAAACCAAAGGTTAAATTGAGCGTTGATTGAATGAAAACACCACTTGGAGTTTGGTATAGGCTGGCCTCTAGTATAACGATACTTCTAATTTCCCAAGTGATATCAATCGATACATTCGCGGCGATAGAGAGTACAACATTTGCTTTATTCGGCAAACCAGTAATATTAAACAAGAATTTCTCGTTGATCTTCAATAATGTAAGTCTTGGGTCATAGTCATTTCGGTAAGCCCAACCCAAATTACTTCCAACAATTGTAATCTTATTAGGATCATAAGTTACATAATGCTTGGTATAATTTAATTCTAAAATGAAGAAGATTTAATTAATATTGCTAATTTGCTATGAATAGAATAGAAATACTTACTACATGAATATGTAGAAGGATTAAATGTTTGAAAGAAAGGGGTACTTCTAAAATCAGAAGCACCAGGTACATTATATGCTTTTAAATAGCATTTGAAACATTCTGGAATATCTTGAAGAGAGGTAGATTGTGCTAATATAGCTGTAGCATGACATGCTTCATCTGTGATGTTAGTTATACCAACGTTGCCACCAATATTGATTGAGTTAAATATTGAATCATAATAAGAATCTGGAACTGTACCACTAAGATTATTACCAAACAATGATAATGAAGCAGATCTAGTAAATGGGGTTTGTACAGTAAAGATTGGGAATGTCGCAAGATTTGAATAAGAATATCCACTATAATAATAATTTAAAAAGTTAATAATGAAAAAATCAAGAATAGTTTGATATTTTTTTTTTTATAATTTACATTGAAGCTGTCTTATTTGAAATGACAGAGTATGGGAAATCAGAAAATACATTATTACGTGAAGAACTAAATATACTATATTTATATAAAGTTTTCATTATGCAATGTTAAAACTCAAATAATATTTAATATTATATATATTTAATTTTAACATACCCCAAACTATATATTGAAAGATTCTGAGGTGAAAAAGATGATATCGGACCATTAATATCTAATAAATAGAAAGCGTCCGCCTTTGAACCACTTAAAGTAAAACCAGGAGGAGTGACAGTACTTTCTGTGTAACTATATACTTGACTATAAAAGGTTTTAATTAATTATTTAAATTTGTTAAATTATTAAATAAATATTGCTTGGTATTATTTTTTAAACTTACAGTGATTTTAAATATGTTGTATCAATATTTATAAAAGTATTCTTATTAAACAAAGTAAGAGTCCTATAGTGTTTAAATAAGAATTGTTAAAAAAATAAAATATAAAAAAAAGGAAAATCTATGATAATTACAAAACAAGAGGAGTTTGAATATTTGGCATTAATATACTTGAATCAAAAGTGATAGAGGTATCATTCATTCCTAAACCGATATTCCTAAATACATTTTTAATATTATATTAATATTATCTCTTTTTAATATTTAAAGATATACTACCTACAAATAAGAAATTCTAGAAACTGCATTTGGGTTGTATTCTAATGATAACAAAGGACTCAATGCAAGACTTTTTGAAAAATAGTAAAATTTTCATTAGAAATTGATTTATCAATCTTATAAATATTATTATTCCTTACTTTAGACTAGATAAAAAATAGGGGGGATGAAGTATATAGTTAGGTACCACTGTAAGTGACTTTGCACTTAGTGTTAGAGAAGTCAGTAAAGGAAGCTGACTTATAGCTGGTGGAATAGTGGTCATTTCATGGTCAACATGGACGAGATAATTTAAAGCCGGGAATCCAATCGGTTTAATTAAATTGATTAAACTTAAAGTTGGATCATAGATGGAAATCTGTTTTTTGTTAAATGAGAATCTGGTCATCTTTGGGAAAGTAAAAGTATCAAGAGTCTTATTTGGTTGTCCATTGTCAACAAACGGGCTATTATCATCTTCAAAATAACTGTGTTTGATGAAATAGAATTAATAATTAATTTTTTGTAAATACTATTATTCCAATAAACAAATACCTACATTTCTGTGATAGAGTTACTAATATCACATTTTATTGTGATTCCTCCAGTTAGTGCACCACATTGCAAATTCAAAATGTTGAAATTTATCTTGTATTGTTGAATAATCCAATTGACAGAAGAAACTAAAGATGAAAAAATTTAAAAATTATTAACAATTTTTATTTTTTAAATTATAAAAATTACTATTCGGATATAAACTTACTTTCTTCTTGGGAAATACCATTTACCAAATAAAGATTCAAAAAACTTAAAAAAAGTAATAAATAAAAGATATTTTTCATTTTAGTATCGACCTTCTGTTTACGAAAAAATAAATAATGTGATCTTTTTTTTTTGTAACCAATTATCAAGATTAAGATGGTGGAATTTAAAAAAATTAATAAAATGTACTTTGAAAACCGAAAAGAATCAAGATATTAATAAAAAACTGATCAAAAAATCTGATAATTCCTTAAAGTTTTAAAGAACTGCACCCCGCCTGGAATGTCTTCAAAAATAATAAAAAAAATAAAAAAAAACCATCAAACCCCAAATTTTGGTTTTTCTTCGTTTCAATTATCCTAATTTGGAACAAAAAAAAAAGTTTAAAAAAAAATAAAACAGAATCAAGAGTTCAGCCTGTTTTTAAATCATAATCTATTATTAAACAACCTCAAACACTTCTTTTGCAGAACTTAAAGAAACGATTAAAATAATCTCAATTAGACAAAGAGAATATAATGTGTTCAATTAAATTTAACAGCTTTATAAATTTTTTTTGTTTTTTTTTTAGTTTACAATGTTCTTCATTTTTAATAGTAGAATGAGGGACAAAAATTTAAAATAACCTGGTTTCATTGTAATAACCAAATTTGAGCCATCAGATAATAGCTATTGAACAAAATGTAAACGACTTCATTGTAACAAAAACAGTAACAAAACATCACACCCTTCAGATAGATAATGAATTATTTAATAAAAAGCCTAGAAATAGAAATAATATATTAGAAATCAATATTTTAATAGATACGTTACAATGCATATATCTACAGAATTTATAGAAAATGATAATGAAATGTTATAAATAATTTTGATTACCAAATAAAACATTTAACAACTTGACTTTATTTGGATTAAAGATTTAATAGTTTTAAAAGTAAAATCTTTAAATATCAATTGATAATGGGGATTGTAATACAAAAATTTTAAATTTTATATATTGTGGGTTATACAATATTTTTTATCTATAACTCAAAATTAATGGACAAACTATATTATTATGGAGTTAAATTGATTAGAGAATATGTAAAGAGAAAAGACAAGTATAAATAGGAATGGTTTATATTGGATAAACTCATAACATTCTACAAACTAATAAAATTACAAAGTCAGAAATACAAAGAAAATGAAAGTTTTAATTGCTCTTTTTGTTTTGATGGCAGTTGCCTTTACCAGTGCACACTACAGCTGTGGTGCCAACATCTGCAATCCATATTACTCATGTGTTTTGGATGGACATGATTACGGATGTATCTTTAGATGTGATCGTGTTACATTGACACAAAAGATTGTCAAACAATGGACTGATGACAACGGAAGCAAACCATACACTCAAGTGGAAGTCACCATCAGAAACAACGGTCCAAGATCAGTCAACCAAGTTGTTATCGGTGCTGCCGATGGTACTTTGAACATTAAGAGATGCAACTTCCATCTGGAACATTGCTGTTGTCGGTGCTGATTTCACACTCCCATCGTATGCCTCAACATTGGGTGCTGGTCAAACATTCACTTTCGGATACATCAACAAAGGTAATCAACCAGCCAACATGTACCTCAAGTATGCTCATGTCCTCTAAATTGTTTGATTGAGTTTCCAACCATATCCATCTATCTATTTATTAAAATTATTAAATTAATTTTAATAAAGATCACCTTACAATTTTTTAAAATAAACATTTATTACATTTGTAAAAAAATACCACCTATTTTTTTCTTTTTTTTTTAGAATTTGAAAATAAGATTAAAAAAAAGATTAGAAATAAGATGTTTAATAATAATAATAATAATAAAGAACAAACTTTAATTGATTTGGAATGTTCAGAACATAAAAAGGTGTTTGAATATATATGTTTAAAGTGCAATAATCTATTTTGCTACCGATGTGCCAATAATCATACAAAATCACACGCACAACACCATTGTGATCATATCGATGAAATCAAATCACATTTAAATTCAACCAATTTATCTTTTAATACTAAGAATAATAATAATACCAGTAATCAAGATAATTACATTCGATTACGTATCGATAATTTATGGTTAAAGATTAAAAGCTCATCAAAACAAATCGAATCATTTGAACAAAACATCGATGAAATCAGCAATCACTTTCAACAACTTCATCAATATCTAATTGTTGAAGAACATAAACTAAAGAAACCAATCATTAATAATATTGATGAATTAAAGGAGGAAATCAATCAACAACTTGATCAATTGAAATCGATCATCAACATTGTAGATCTATATCAACATCATTATAATCAACAACCAAATAATGAAAATGATAGTAGTAATTTAGAAGATATTGGCAATAATGATGATATTACCGAAAGATATTCAATAGAGTCAATCATTAAAAGCATTCAAATATCACAAACAATCATTGAATTTATAGATAGTAATAATAAAACGATCTTTAATCAACATAACAATAATAATATGATAAACTATTATAAAGATAATATAGATAACATAGATTCAGTCATTCTGATGTCAATCAAATTACATAATAATAGATTTCAATCAAAGATAAACAACAACAACAACATTTCAAGCAGTAGCATTATATCGAAAGTTATTGCAACGAAACGATATGATAACTATTTGGTGACAACAATGTTTAAAGAAGGTGAAATCAATTTACTTAACCAATTACTACAACAATCAATAATTGTATCATTGAAATCACAAGAAACAACTTCAAATATTACTAAGAAAGCTCATACCAACGATATAGAGATTACAAAGCGATATATGCCAGAATTGTTTGATGACCATTGCTTTTATCTTTGTAAATTGGTAATTGTTGGTGATCCAAGCGTTGGAAAGGTAAACTTTAAACTAAATATAAAATAGATTCTTATTGCAATATCTTAATATTAATAATCAATTGAATAGTCTTCAATCCTGAAAAGATTCACAGATGATCGATACGATCCATCGATTCTTCTGACAATCAATGTTGACTTTGGAATTAGAACGATCGAGCATGAATCACTCAAATATAAACTGCAAATTTGGGATATTGCTGGCCAGTCTGCATTTAGAACTGTGACAAATTCCTACTTTCTGGGTGCCAATGCTTTTCTAATTGTATATGATGTCAGCTATGAACGATCTTTTAACAGTAAGAGAATGAGAAGGTGTTATTAATGATATTTAACCAAATTTACTAATTGTAATTTAACCAATCTACTAAAGATTTAAGAGAATGGCTCACACGTATTAGCATCAATCAAGAGGCAATCAAAATTATTGTTGGCACTAAGAGTGATCATCCAAAGAGAGTGATTCAATACCAACAAGGCAAAGAGTTGGCTGACGAATTGGGTTTGGATTTCTTTGAGATATCAGCAAAGACTGGACAAGGTGTTGATGCTGCATTCACCAGTATCGTTGATAGATTTAAACATTGTATTCTTGATGAGCATGGTGATCTAGTTTATGTCAACGGTCTTAAGAAGAAAACTAACAATAATAATCCCAAAGGTGGAATTCTCTCTTTTTTTAAAAGATAAGAGTATTCGTACCAAAGCAACACAAGAGAGAATATAGCTACAGCTTTATAAATAAATACATTGTAAGATTACAACAATTGGTAGCACAGGACATCAGAGTAATCATACTGTCAGAGCAATAGTGAAATGAAGAGGAACAAACTTGCATGGTCCATCAAATGATTAAAAATCAAAAAAAAAAAAGGAAAAGATTGATTAAAAGTATTGATACAGTATGCAAATATCTATACTTTTATAGAAAATGATAATGAAATGTTATAAAACAATTTGATTACCAAATAAAACATTTAACAACTTGACTTTATTTGGATTAAAGATTTGAATAGTTTTAAAAAGTAAAATCTTTAAATTTCAATTGATAATGGGTAATATCATACACATAATTTAAAATTAAATTGAGGGTCCAAGATCAGTCAATCAAGTTGTTATCGGTGCTGCCGATGGTACTTTGAACATTAGAGATGCCACTTCCATCTGGAACATTGCTGTTGTCGGTGCTGATTTCACACTTCCATCGTATGCCTCAACATTGGGTGCTGGTCAAACCTTCACTTTCGGATACATCAACAAAGGTACTCAACCAGCCAACATGTACCTCAAATACGCTCATGTCCTCTAAATTGTTTGATTGATTTCCAACCATATCCATCTATCTATTTATTAATAAAGATCACCAAATTCAAAAATTTTTCCACAAACAAACATTGGTATGTGGTATCATATTTTTTCTTTTTTTTTTTAGATTTTGAAAATAAGATTAAAAAAAAGATTAGAAATAAGATGTTTAATAATAATAATAATAATAAAGAACAAACTTTAATTGATTTGGAATGTTCAGAACATAAAAAGGTGTTTGAATATATATGTTTAAAGTGCAATGATCTATTTTGCTACCGATGTGCCAATAATCATACAAAATCACACTCACAACACCATTGTGATCATATCGATGAAATCAAATCACATTTAAATTCAACCAATTTATCTTTAAATACTAAGAATAATAATAAGACCAGTAATAAAGATATTGATAATAAAGATAATTATATACAATTACATATCGATAATTTATGGTTAAAGATTAAAAGTTCATCAAAACAAATCGAATCATTCGAACAAAACATCGATGAAATCAGCAATCACTTTCAACAACTTCATAAATATCTAATTGTTGAAGAACATAAACTAAAGAAACCAATCATTAATAATATTGATGAATTAAAGGAGGAAATCAATCAACAACTTGATCAATTGAAATCGATTACCAACATTGTAGATCTATATCAACAACACCATTATAATCAACAACAACAACCAAATAATGAAAATGATAGTAGTAATTTAGAATATATTGGCAATAATGATGATCTTACTGAAAGATATTCAATAGAGTCAATCATTAAAAGCATTCAAATATCACAAACAATCATTGAATTTATAGATAGTAATAATAAAACGATCTTTAATCAACATAACAATAATAATATGATAAACTATTATAAAGATAATATAGATAACATAGATTCAGTCATTCTGATGTCAATCAAATTACATAATAATAGATTTCAATCAAAGATAAACAACAACAACAACATTTCAAGCAGTAGCATTATATCGAAAGTTATTGCAACGAAACGATATGATAACTATTTGGTGACAACAATGTTTAAAGAAGGTGAAATCAATTTACTTAACCAATTACTACAACAATCAATAATTGTATCATTGAAATCACAAGAAACAACCTCAAATATTACTAAGAAAGCTCAAACCAACGATATAGAGATTACAAAGCGATATATGCGAGAAGTCGATGGCAATTGCTATTATCGTTTTAAATTGGTAATTGTTGGTGATTCAAACGTTGGAAAGGTAAACTTTAAACTAAATATAAAATAGATTCTTATTGCAATATCTTAATATTAATAATCAATTGAATAGTCTGCAATATGGAAAAGATTCATAGATGATCGATACGATCCAAAGATTCTTGAAACAATGTATGTCGACTTTAGTTATAGAACGATCGAGCATGAATCAATCAATTATAACCTGCAAATTTGGGATACCCCTTGCCACTTTACAACAGATAGAGATGTACAATTCTTAAAGGGTACAGATGCTTTTCTAATTGTATATGATGTCAACGATGAACGATCTTTTAAAAGTAAGTAAGAGAATGAGAATGAGAAGGTGTTTATTAATGATATTTAACCAAATTTACTAAATTGTAATTTAACCAATCTACTAAAGATGTAATTACATTCTCGAGTTATCTCACATTTTTTAACATCTCTAATCAAGAGGCAATCAAAATTATAGTTGGCAATAAGAGTGATCATCCAAAGAGAGTGATTCAATACCAACAAGGCAAAGAGTTGGCTGACGAATTGGGTTTGGATTTCTTTGAGATATCAGCAAAGACTGGACAAGGTGTTGATGCTGCATTCGTCAGTATCGTTGATAGATTTAAACATTATATTCTCGATGAGCATGGTGATCTTGTTTATGTCAACGGTCTAAAAAAGAAAACTAACAATAATAATTCTAAAGGTGGAATTCTCTCTTTTCTTAAAAGATAATATTCGTACCAAAGAAGCAGCACAAGAGAGAATATAGCTACAACTTTATAAATAAATACATTAGGGTGTACTAAAAATAAAAAAAAAATGAAAAAAAAAATTGTTTGGTGTTAAACAATCAAATTTTTTTAATATTGAAATTTTTTTATTTAATTTTGTACATTTAAGTACTCTGCTCTGAGAGGACCACCATTAAGAATATTGGTAATATTTATTTATAGTTGATATTGAAACTCCATACTTTTCAGAAACGAATTCTTCATTTCCATGTTGAGAGTTTCTCAGCTATGAGTTTAAAAAAATTGTTTTGTTCTTCCATCTTCGAATAAAAAAATTAAAATAACAGAGAAAAAATGAAATTAGAGATGTACTATCTTCAAAAAATGTGTCAATTCAATTTAAATATGCTAAAAAAATTGAATTGTACCATTTTTAGATCCAGTATATCAAATGTACTAAAACTACTAAAATAAGTAATTTTTTGGTGGAACATGCAACTAAAAATCAAAAAAAAAAAAAAAAAAAAAATTGGTTGAAAAGATAAAAAGTATCTTTTAATGATATGTTTTTTTTAAATAAAATATATATCTATGTTTTAAATCTTTTGTACAAATAATTTTTAATTGATTTGGAATGTTCAAAACATAAAAGGTGTTTGAATAATAATAACATAAAATACATTGAGCCTTCAACATTGGAGTCAACAGACACAACAATAGTTTGATTTAAATTGTAAATCATTTGAATAGTTATCCTTTATTGTCAATCATTTCAGCTGAGTGCAATATGTTAAAGTTGTTATTTGTTTTCAATAGTAAATATATATAGTATACTAAAGTAAATGAAATTGAGAGAGAAGAATTGGAAGGTTTATAATATGAAAATTACTTATTACTGAATCGTTAAATAATATTATTATTGGGGAGTGGAGTTTGTTTAATTTAATTTAATATTGATTGGTTGGTGGTTGATAGATTGTTGTATTGAAATTGAACAACGATTGTGTGAATATTCTTTACATTTTGTTTGTTTTTGATTTGATTTGTATTGTTTGATTGTTGATTGTATGTTCTCGAATGATAATTATTAAAAAAGTAAACCTAATGTGTTACTCTATAAATCATCATTCATAATAAATCTGTTTCCTTCTGATTGTCTACCATAATAAACATAGTTGCTAACAGTAAATCCTGATTTTCCTTGACCTTCCTCTGTCAACTCCTGTGGTAATGCTCTAAATGATTCTTCTTCTTCCTCTTCTTTTGGAATCTATATTGTTAATTAAAGTTATTGATAGATTGATTAATTTATGTAAAGATACGAATGAATGGATATTATATTTATAATTACATCTTGTTGGGTTGGACGAGCAGCAAAAGCAAAAGCACCCAATCTGAGTGCTTCTTTCTTTTCGTCTTGAGTCGCTTCGTTGAAATCCAAAAACTTTAAATTCTTGAGGTTCGACAATACGTAATATCTATATTTTTGGTAGTCACCGAAATCGGTTCCAGTGAAGTAGTAACTCGGACATGCTGGATTCTTTAACAGACTGAGATGTGTCAAATTTGGGAATTTATCTTTAATTGATTCAATGAATAACTTTAAATCATCGATCTAATAATTAATTATAAAGAGAATGAATGTTAATTACCGATCTACAGATTTTACAAATAAAGATTTTCCTTTTTTTTTTTCAAAAAACTTACATTATTATTATTTAAAGAAAGTGTTTTCAATGTTGGAAGATGAGGAAATGAATTTTCACTTCCAATTTGATTGTTATCCAATACCAATGATTGTAATCTTGTCAGATTATCAATAGATTCTACTTTCCTATAAAAATAATAATAAAATAAACAACAATTAATGACTATTATTCATAATACCTATCATTGTCACTGTTTTTTTAGACTTACTTAATATTATTATAACTTAAATCTAATTGAGTAACATTTGGATTATTTTTAAAAAGATGTACTGGCATACTGTCAAAGTCTTGACCTGGACATGCTATTGATTCTTGCATTTCTTCTATTTCTGTATCTTTTAACTCTTCTAAATATGAACTCTTTTGTTTATTCTTATTGCTATTTTTATTACTATCGACCTATTTATGAATAAGTTATTATATATTAATACATGTTAAATGATAAAATAAAACTATAATGAACAATATAAAAAGAAAAAAAAAAAAACTAGATGATATTTTATAACTGTTATAAAAATAAATATCTAAAATCTTTATAAATTAAGAAATTGATGGATGTGATATATTTATATATATAGTTAAGAAAAGAAAATGAAAAGATAATTATAATGATTATTATGTTGAATAATAGTAAAACTAATTCGTGATGATAGGATAATCATCAATCAAGTTCTAAAAGTTGATGTTATTATTGTTTTTATTGATAGTTTGTGTTGTGTTGTGTTGTGATGTTGCAAATTAGATATCTAATTTCAAGAATTGGATTGGTTGGATTTGATACAACAAGTACTTGTTGTTATTGTCGTTATTAGTGTTGTTATTTTGCTAGTAGTGTACTTAGTGGGTGTGTGTGTGAGGAAATTGAAATGTAAGTGTTTGTTTTTACATATTTCTTGTTTTAATTATAGGATCTATTCATTTATATCTTTAAACACTCTACATATTCACTGTTCATACCCTCCCTGTTTTCTTAAAACTTATAAAAAAAAAAAAATAATAAAAAAAAAAAACACTACACACAACCACTACACACTTCTTTCTTCTTATGTTGTATGTCTACCCATTTGCTTTAACATATAAATATATATATTTATAATAAATTAAATATTTAAATATTTAGTTATGTTATGTTATGTAATTATATAAATATGGATATTGTTGTTGGTTGTCAAGATATTTGCATTCATTAAATATCTCTAAAATAAATGAAAAAAAAGAGTAAACAGGAAAAAAAAAGTATTATCTTAACACAATGCTACTGCTCTACTTACACCAGTATTATTTTTGTTGTCTGAAATGTTTGCAGTGTTACTGGGGATTTCTGTTGTGGTGGTGGTTGTTGTTGCTGCTGGTTTCTGTTTATATATATTTAAATCCTCTCTTTCCAAATAAAAAGAAAACATTGAATCCTATGATTGTTAATAATTCAACATTAACCAAAAAAAATAAAAAATTATTTAAAAATTAAAAAATAAAAAGGCAAAGTTTGTTTGCTACTGATTCTACTACAAATAGGACTGTTGATATCCCAATAATTTGTTAAAGGTTTTTTTTTTGATGCCAAATCGAAAAAGGATTTGAAATTTTTTATTTATTTTTGAATTGATTTTTGATTTTATTTTTGATTTTTTTCTTTTTTTACAATATTTAATTTCGAATTAATTGCAAGAAAATTCTGTATTCTATTTTCGAACAGAATAATGAATTACCTAATAAATTAAATAAATATCTCGTTACCAAATTTAAATATCTCTTGATTTTATAACTCAATGTTCAGAATAAAGAAAAGATGACATTGCCAAACACCAATCGATCTTTAGTGATATCGAAATTATCTCTTATTGTTAAATATGATTTCTTGTTTCAATAAAATTTTCTTTGTATATTTAACAAAAAAAAAAAAAAAAAATTCACTTAAAACATATTAATTAATATTGATTCAATTACAAAATATTTATTTGTTAATATGAATCTAATTGTTTGACATCAACTTTAGTTTGATATGCTAACAGTTAAAGAATCCACTGTGATGGCAAATACAAAAGGTGTATGGTGTTGGAGAGGTAACTGGGATTTGACATGCTGCGTCTTGACCAAAATTTTGAATAAAAATGGTTGGATTGGCAGATTCATTGACATAGACATAGACAGAACCGGGTAGTATGCCACATGTTCTTATTTATTAATACTATACATCTTGTTTGTTTTACAAACCTCATTAAGATGAATCTAATAAGAAAACTTTAGGTATTTAGGAAAGTTTATTATTATAATAGTTAAAAAAATTGTAATTGGTGAAATAGATAGATGGATATGGTTGGAAATCAAACAATTTAGAGGACATGAGCATACTTGAGGTACATGTTGGCTGGTTGATTACCTTTGTTGATGTATCCGAAAGTGAAGGTTTGACCAGCACCCAATGTTGAGGCATACGATGGAAGTGTGAAATCAGCACCGACAACAGCAATGTTCCAGATGGAAGTTGCATCTCTAATGTTCAAAGTACCATCGGCAGCACCGATAACAACTTGGTTGACTGATCTTGGACCGTTGTTTCTGATGGTGACTTCCACTTGAGTGTATGGTTTGCTTCCGTTGTCATCAGTCCATTGTTTGACAATCTTTTGTGTCAAAAGTAACACGAGCTCGACATCTAAAGATACATCCATAATCATGTCCATCCAAAACACATGAGTAATATGGATTGCAGATGTTGGCACCACAACTGTAGTGTGCACTGGTAAAGGCAACTGCCATCAAAACAAAAAGAGCAATTAAAACTTTCATTTTCTTTGTATTTTACTTTGTAATTTTATTAGTTTGTAGAATGATATGAGTTTATCCAATAAAACCATTCCTATTTATACTTGTCTTTTCTCTTTACATATTCTCTAATCAATTTAACTCCATAATAATATCTTTGTCCATTAATTTTGAGTTAGAGATAAAAAATTGTATAACCCACAATATATTTTAAATTATGTGTATGACAATACCCATTATCAATATCAAAATTTTTAATAACATTTCATTATCATTTTCTATAAAAGTATAGATATTTGCATACTGTATCTATTAAAATCTTGATTTCTAATATATTATTTCTATTTCTAGGCGGTTCATTAAATTTTATTCAAAAATTATCTAATGGGCTTATGTCTTTGGTAGTTACAATGAGAACAACCAAATTATGTGAACCAAATTAAAAAAATGTTGGTTGTGTTTCTTTTTTTTAAAATTAATGCTCAGGTGAAAGTGGTTGGGAGACAGTTTTGATTTGTGTTTTTTTTAAATATAAAATTTACAATGTATCTATTTATATAGTTGTAGCTAAAATCTCTCTTGTGCTGCTTTGGTACGAATACTCTTATCTTTTAAAAAAGATAGAATTCAACCTTTAGGATTATTATTGTTATTTTTCTTCTTACGACCGATGACATAAACAAGATCACCATGCTCATCAAGAATACGATGTTTAAATCTATCAACGACACTGGTGAATGCAGCATCAACACCTTGTCCAGTCTTTGAAGATGTCTAAAAATAATCCAAACAATTCGTCAGCCAACTCTCTGCCTCGTTGGTGTTGAATCACTTTGGATGATCACTCTTATTGCCAACTATAATTTTGATTCTGTCAATAAGTGAGCCATTCTCTTACATCTTTAGTATACAGATACGCCAAAATTTTTTATGAATCAATTCTATTACTTTGGGCCAAGCAACAGTATTGGTAGTGATAGAGGAAACGATTTATGATTAGGAATAAGAGAAAGATATGATAAAATTTCAAAGAGTTATATGGATATATCTAAAAATTTGATTGAGATTGGGGTAATGAACAATCCTCATAAGTTTCATGAAGAGAAAAATGAAATTTAAATCATGTTCTTTTATTGTATAATTCTCAAAGCATAACAATAGTATATTTATATTTATTTTCAATGTTTTTTGAATCAGAAAATGTTCATAGAAAAATAGTTAGTGGTCTAAGAGTGCGGATAGCATCGAGATCTGCTTATCTCAAAATAGGTCATTGATAGAAGAAAAAAACCAGTTGCAAAGTTGTTTTTCATATATAGATTAATATTTATTATTCATCATGTTGAACAGGTATCTCCAAAGAATAATCAAAATTTAACATATATAAGGATACCAAATCATTCGGAATAGGACAAACACCTGGTCTGAATAAATATCTTTAAGAATATTTGGTTAGAAATGAAATGAAATTTTAATATATTAAAAAGTATAAACTTACAATTCCACTGTAATAAATTCAGGATTATCACCTCCTGATATTCTAAGACAGCATTCTGATTTACTATCAGATTCATACCGGTATATTGGTACACCATCTAAAAGAATTTTATAATCATCATCAACAATCTTATGAATAGGACCAGTGGCACCAACTTGAACTGTAACAAACTTTCCAGTTGCTTTAAGAGGTACCGCCATAGCAAGTGCTTTTTAATAGAACAATTTAGATTAGTTGATGAACAACTAGAATAAATATATTTGTGGAACTTCACTTCAGGAACTCGAACCTCATAAAAAAATGATTTTACCCCATCTCTGGCAATATTCAAATTTTTTTTCGAAAATTGTTTTTTCAAAATAGTACAAGTTTCTGAAGTGAAGTTGATTTATTAATAACTCTTACAATTGTTATAAGTTATCGATCCATATCCATAATCCAATGGCACTTCTTTCAGGAGTAGGTCTTTACCATTCTCTTGATTAATAACTCTTACAGGGAGTTTTGAATAGTTAACAACAAATCTAATTTTAAAAACCATTTTATGAATTATATATAGATAAAAAGTTATTCAGAGAGATGACAAATAATTAATAAACAAAGTGTTCTCTTTGGTTAAAGGAGTTCTTTATTCAATATCTGACGAACCTAATCCTACCACCAACAAATTCAAAGTGTTATTTATTAGAATAAATTCTTGATCTGATTCATCGTTTTCTAAATATCTGATCACGGTGTTGTTCAACTCGACCAAAAAAATAAAATTTTTACATCCTCCTCAGCAAGAAATTTTTTTACATTCATCTAAATTTAGATCAAGGGTATCATTTTTTTTCTTGAAATTGAAAATCAAAATTCATCGCAAAAGTGCACTAAGGCGCCGTGTATGATCACGCTGGTGAACACCAACCGTCTACCTCTCAAAAACAAACAGTGTTCCACTTACGATTGCTTGTGTAATGCTCCATGAACATACATAACTCAGTTCAACTAATATTCAACGAATCATTCGTATCTAGAGAAAAAAAAAAGGTTTTTTGTTTGATACCTTTGTATTTAAAACAAATTTTACCTTATTCATTATCATTTGACCTAATATACTTTTGGTAAAAAGAGAATGTCTAGTATAGATAAATATTTGAGTGCAGCAGGTAGAAATTTATTAAATTCTTATTTTTTATCTTTGTTCTATTCTAATATAAAAGTTTTTAATTATTATTACAGCAAAGGTTTTGGTTGACGATAAGTTTGCCAATTTCATAGAAAAATCAGTATCAGCTCAGAGTGGATTGGTTGCAAATTTTTTCAATGGATCTGAGAAACCAGGTGACCAATTACCATTCATTTTTGCAAACTTTTTATCGGGCGCAATTGCGGCAGTCCCAGTGTATGGATCTGCATTATCTGCTGTTTCTTTGCTCATCTTCAAGTTGGTGATTGACAATCCGGACCCTGCTGAACAACAGAAAAAGTTAATTGCAGATATGATTGGTCAAGCAATGCAAAAGGATGCAATGGAAGAAGCTATGAACGTCTATAAAGGAATGGTTGCTCATATCCAAGATAAAGCCGATGCTGAAGCTGTAATTTTGAAAGGAGACCAACCAGATTGGATTACAATGAGAATGAAAATCGAGAATGTATTCAGTCATTTCTTGTTTTCCTCATCGATTATTCTCAAGGAGAACTATGAAGTTGTCAATCTTCCTATATATGCTCAATTTTCTGCGCTTCATTTGACATTCATTTATGATGTCATTCAAAGAGCATCGTACTTTGGTATTTCAGATCTACTTAAAATACATTATTGTAATACATTCAAGAAATACAAAAAATTGTATTTGGATAATATTTTTAGAATCTACAACAAAGGTCAAGAAGAGGTGATGAAGAAATTCCCAGAAAAACCATTGGCTAAATACAACTACCATTCAACATTCAACAAGTATCAGGAATATAGAAATACAATCATGTTGGATGTCTACCAATATATGCATATATTCGCAATTCTAAACATTGACAGACTTGCATTGTTTGATAATGGATTCAACTATGTCAATCCACGACCAATCTTCTCCAAGATGATTGCCAAGACAGTTCCTCCACTCAAGACCAAAGTTGTCAAACAGGGAGCCACTCCAGTTAAAGTGGTGAATCCAGGTAAATATTTACAATGGTCATTCTTTAATAATTAATTTTAGAATTTAAACCTATTTATCTCATTCTTATCTCTTTCAATTTTATTTGTTTTATACAGAGGCAATGGTATCTTTCAGAATGCCACTCGATACAATCCTCAAAAAGTTAGATGAACAGAAAGGATCATTCTATTTCCAAGAGATATGGCGTGTTTGGGTCACAGCCAATGAAGAGCGAATCAACAGTCTTCAATGTCAATATTACAAATCACCACTCTCAGCTGCACCATTCACAGATATCATTGGTGAAACAAATGGTGTACTCCAAGATCTTCTTGGACCATTGACAAACCAACTCATTTTCAATATCAGAGATGAAGATGATGATGATAGAATGAAATTCATTGGATTATATTCTGACAAGAGAGTGGGTGCAACCAAATATTTGGATAAAACACCAACTTTCGACAAAGTAACCTTTAAGAACCACAAGATTTCACAAGTCATCGGAATTGATAGAACTTCATTCCGTACCAAGCCAACAGAAACTGACCCAGGTATTTATGGTTTGGTTGTTGCATTTGTTCCAGAATCGCTTGAACCAAACTTTTTGGATCCAACTAAACTCAATATTATGTCACCAATGTGTTTGGATCAACCAATAGGTAAGAGAAGAGAAAAAATTTAATTCCATTAACATTGATTGTTTATTAAAAATGATATTGATTATTTTATTTTAAATAGAAAAAAACTTTGCCCTTCAAAAGAATTATAATAATGTTCTTGGTATAGATGCATTGTTATTGAAAACAAACGGAGAGGTGGTTTTCGATTATAAATGCAAGAAACCAACTCTGTTCATTATTTACATTGATGTGGTAGCACCTGTTGATGCAACTATATCATTCTGGAAATTAGGTGAAAAAGCAGTTAATTATGATATTGTCAAAGGTGGTGAACTTCGCCAAGTTTCCAACCAGACTATCCAAGAAAACACACAGAAATTCCACTTGAAAGTAATCAAAGGTCAAATTATTTTGAAATCAATCTATCTTGCACCAGTAAAACCACCCAAAGCCAATTAAAGAATAAATAATTAAAATAGTTCATTCAATACAATATTAAATTAATTATTCATAAATATGTTTATAGAAAATGAGAATGAAATTTTATAAAACAAATTGTTTGATTACCAAATAAATCATTTAACAACTTGACTTTATTTGGATGAAAGATAAGATTTTAATAGTTTTAAAAGTAAAATCTTTAAATATCAATTGATAATGGGTAATATCATACAAATATGATGTTTAATAGCCATAAGAATAATAATAATAATGAACATCTTTTAATTGGTTTAATCATTCAAAGTTAAAAAAATAAAAAATTGTTTATTTAAAAAAAATTGTAATTGGTGATCTTTGTTAAAATTAATTTAATAATTTTAATAAATAGATAGATGGATATGGTAGGAAAACTCAATCAAACAATTTAGAGGACATGAGCATACTTGAGGTACATGTTGGCTGGTTGATTACCTTTGTTGATGTATCCGAAAGTGAAGGTTTGACCAGCACCCAATGTTGAGGCATACGATGGGAGTGTGAAATCAGCACCGACAACAGCAATGTTCCAGATGGAGGTGGCGTCTCTAATGTTCAAAGTACCATCGGCAGCACCGATAACAACTTGGTTGACTGATCTTGGACCGTTGTTTCTGATGGTGACTTCCACTTGAGTGTATGGTTTGCTTCCGTTGTCATCAGTCCATTGCTTGACAATCTTTTGTGTCAAAGTAACACGATCACATCTAAAGATACATCCATAATCATGTCCATCCAAAACACATGAGTAATATGGATTGCAGATGTTGGCACCACAACTGTAGTGTGCACTGGTAAAGGCAACTGCCATCAAAACAAAAAGAGCAATTAAAACTTTCATTTTCTTTGTATTTTACTTTGTAATTTTATTAGTTTGAAGAATGATATGAGTTTATCAAATAAAAACCATTCCTATTTATACTTGTCTTTTCTCTTTACATATTCTCTAATCAATTTAACTCCATAATAATATCTTTGTCCATTAATTTTGAGTTATAGATAAAAAATTGTATAACCCACAATAAATTTAAATTATGTGTATGACATTACCTATTATCAATTGATATTTAAAGATTTTATATTGACAATTTTTCAAATCTTTCATCCAAATAAAGTCAAGTTGTTAAATGATTTATTTGGTAATCAAACAATTTGTTTTATAACATTTAAATGCATTATCATTTTCTATAAAAATTTTTAGATTTTTATGTATTGTAATGTATCTATAAAAATATTGATTTCTAATATATTATTTCTATTTCTAGGCGACTACATTAAATGTTATTCAATAATTATCTATCTGATGAGTGTGATGTTTGGTTACTGTTTTTGTTACAATGAAATATATAAAAAAATGGTGATTTTAAAAAATTTAAAGTTAACCTCAGATCAAAATTCAAGATAATAATCTAATGTTTAATAGATCTATCATTAATACATTTTACAACTAAAATTGATGAATAACAGCTATATCGAGCTACATTCTAATTCAATGTATTACATTCTATAGAAGTAAGTATATTTTATTTATCATGATAAATAATAATACATTCTGCTAAACATAAATGTAAAATTAGACTTTACTGTTAAAGTGTACTAGAAGGTAATACATCAGATAAACCAGTAAAGAAACCATTGACTGGTGGTGTAACAGTGTTTTTAGCATTGATATGTACTAAAAATTCCCAGTAGACATCGAATATCTTGGCACCACCTCGACTAAAGTACTCACTGCCATCCAATCTAAAGTTTACAAGTTTGACAAAGAGATGTGTACCATCAAAGTGGTAGGTCTTTCCATTACCGTTTCTTACGGCACTGGGTGATGCTGCCATCGTAAAGTTGTATGAATATTGACTGTTATACTTGTATTCACAACTCACTGAGAATGTTGTGCTCGCCGGATATCTAACCGCGAGGAATACATAGTTACTATAGACCACCTGTGATAGCCATATCTTCATGTAGGTTGGACTACCTGCAGTCAAGTATAGGTACCATCCAGCATTGGAGATACCGGTGACACCAGCATTCCTCGTGGCAACGGTTCTTCTCACGTCACTGATTCCATTTCCAAAGAGATAGGTATAACCTACGTAGGAGTTGGCAGGCCAGCTTTCATCACGTGAAATCAATCCTGGCACCCAGAATTGTACGTTGGCAATCTCACGACTACCTTTATCGCATACCCAGCTGTTCCAAGCAGAGTTATAGACGCAGCTACTATCGAACTGCCACCATTTGTCGTGGGCACCAACAATTGTTGGTACACCAGCTCTGCCAGTGACAGTTCCATCGAAATCGATGAAATTGAAATATCTCGAAGATCCAGTGTCCACGATGTTGTGACCGATAATCTGGCTAGCCAAACAGTTTTGAAGAGTAATGTTGCGAGTTGCTGAGATTCCTTGTGGTTTGAACTCGTCAGAGTGTGTCATGGAGATAATCACTTTGTTGTCGTCCTCAGAGCTTTGCGAGTATGGATACACTGTTGCATAGTTTCTGAAAACAACATTGGTGAGAATAGTCTTTACATAGGTATCGTAGAATTGGAATCCTTGTCTGGAAACTTCATTGCCTTTCGCCAACAGGTTTGCAGATTGTCCATTCACCAGAGCATTGTTTACCCACGATTCACCAAAGAGTGAAGCGGGTCGACGAGAATCATGCGACTCCAAAGCATTGGCTTCACTACGCTCTCCCCACATTCCAATGCCTCTGTTCGAGAGATACACTTTCGTATTGTTAAAAGTCATCCAAACAATGTTGGCATCGTTCTCCACACCGTTGGAATAGGTTTCTCTTGAAACTCTACCATTCGTATAGTAAAGTAAGCCATCAGAGTCATCGTAGGTTAGCTTTCCACCAACGTAGATCGATGAGCCAAACTCAAAATAATAACCTGAACTGTGTGCTGTATTTCCATTGAACTCTTTAAGTGGATATTGGAATGGGACGATTGGACTGGTCAGGAAATTTCCAACCGGTCTCTCCAAGTATGGAAAAGAGAAGGATGCCCAACCACCAGACGCTGCATTTCCAATGAATGAATTCCATGCATTGCTAATGTAGAATCCACTGGCTGTTACATCTGCCGGCTGTTTCAGAGAGTCGCTCTCTGTAAAGTCGTCACCATACTGTGTACTTCCAGCAGCTGGTTGACCAATAGTTTGAATTCGAGCAGCCAAATTGAATGATAATAGATTATCCATTTCAACACCATCCTCCAAATAGTAGCAATGTCCAATTGCATTGAATGCAACATTTCTAGTTAGAGTTAAATTGTTGGTTCCATGGATAGTGTAGCATCGGTAGTAGGAATCTAAAACAGAGCAATCAGAGATGTAGGAATTGGTTACAGTGCCGGCCATGTGGAAGTGGAGAGGATAACGACCTTTGATATTCTTTTGTCCCATTTTAATGAGTTGCAATCCAGAGAATTGACCGTTGGAGTTTACGAGAATATGTCCTCCAAACTGGTCGGAATCGGTATTACTACTATTTCCATCACCTCTAAATACCAATCTTCTGCTGAGCAATCCAACTTCAGCTTGGTATTCTTGACCTCCATAATGATAGTATCTCAATGAAGTGGTCAGTTGAATCTTTTTTCCTTCAATAGCGGCAATGGTCATGATTTCATTTTGATTACGAAGATTATCCTTATAGATACTTGTGGTAATAACAATCTGTTGACCAACTTCCCAATTGACATCATCTTGAACGTAGATAATACAATCACCAGACCATGCAGTTGCAGCCAACTTTGTCCATGTTTGATGGTATTGTTTACCTTGAACACTAATGAAACCGGTCGATGCCACAGCAATTCCTTTGCTTCCAAAATTGGTAGCTATTGTACTGGCTGTAGTTCTAGCACCATGGAATACAATATTAATATTGGCATTGTATCTACATGAACGTGTACCCATTGTGAATCTTCCCTGAACGTAGATATCCTTGACATTCCAAGTCATTGCAGCGTCGGAAAAGATTAGCTCTGATGTGGCTGGAATAACTATTTTTTGGTAAACAGCAGTTTGGCTGATTGAACAAGGCGATAAAAGAACTCTTTTGTTTACTGGCAGTGTAATGGTTGCGGTGTTTGGTGCTGGGACTACACCTCCACTCCAAATAGTTGGGTCATGCCAATGAACGAGGTTTGTAGCTGCATAGGGACAACTGGCTGGATCTTGAATATCAATCGCTGAAAGCGGTGGTTTTGGGATATTAACCAATTCCGAATCTTTGGTCAATAGAGTCGATGGTGGTACAATGGGCTGCGATGGAATGGTCAGTTTCATCTCACTGATAAAAATGGTGGTAACAACTGGACCGGTTTGAGTAGTTCTTTGGATTTTCAATGCTAATACCGATTCTCCAATATCTGTAGTTGGAATAATAGTGACAGAGTTGGCAACGAACGATGTCGATGAAGTAAAACTACCGGTAAAAGTCTTTTCCAACAAAGGAGTTCCCGATGAAGTTGTAAAATACTGACTACTTCCGTTTGGATCTGTAATATCGTCTGGTCTAAACAAATACAAGGTCATACTTGACACTCGATTGTAAGTACCGTAGACTTGACCAAGTTTGAAATTAAAACTAAATTGATAGGATACACCTGACTTTAGAGCTGGTGTAGGTGTTTTACTAACAAGATAATGATATTCTGGACCCCCTTTTTTTCAGACATATTATTAGTTTAGATTTTTGATTTTTATTTTGGATTTACATTTTTAATTCATTTACTTACAGGTTGGATAGTTTATTGTGAATGAATTTACGACACCAGATGGACCATCTGTCAAACTTGTTGCAGAATATCCATATTGTGCCATGAATATTAAATTACTCTCATCATAGAGTGTACTTACAGCTGGCGATGCTGTGATAGTGATTGGTGGAGAACTTGGTGGTGTGGCCGATGCCATTGTCGGTCTCCATGCTGTTGCAGTCGAAGGACAACTTTGAGCTTTAATCTAATAAAAAAAAAATTTTATTAATTAAAATTTGTTTTCTTTTGTAAGTACATATTTGTTTTATAAAATACCGTAGAAATACATAATAAATAAATAAATAAATAATTGATAAATATATTATTCATTTTATTTTTAAAATAAATAAAATAAATAGATTATAATAGAAAATGGTCTTTACATTTTATATTTATATCATTTTATTATATCGTTTTATTTCCAAAAAAAAAAACTTTGGCTATCAATAAAATTCTTTTAAAATTTGTGTCCATCCCATTTTTATGTAAATCTTTTTCAAGATGTAAAAATGGGTTTTGATCATTTCACAAAAATACTGACATGATGAATTTCATCTTTGGTGATCATCAGTACCAAAAAATATCTTAATTTTCGAACTTTTTTTCGCGAAGGATTTTTTGTATCTTCATTTTATTAAATCTGTTTCTAGATTTTAAACGATACATCAGTTCATAATTATTCTAATTGGAGGTATTAAATTTAATACAAACATTAAAAAAATAAATAATTAAAAAAATTAAATAAAAAAAGATATTTGAATTTATTATCTTTTGTTTTTAAAAGGGTGAACCATACTCTGCTATCATTCCGTTGTAAATAATAAAATTTCGAATTAGTGGTGTTTATTTTTATCTCTTTATAGAGATAAAACACGCAATTTGAATTTTACTTTTAGAAATTGAATACACACAATGTGTTAAATTTACAAATAATTTAATATTTTCCGAAAGATGGACCTATATGTATCTCAAATCTTCCTATTTTAAGATATTTATTCTTTTAATTTTATTTATTCATACTTTTTAAATAAAAACTAGATTTTTTAAAATAAAGTAAAAATAAGTAAATGGTTTAAACTAGTTTATAAATGAGAAAAAAAATAATAATTATTGGAAATGTTGGTTTTATACAGAAAAAAGAAAATTAAAAATAATGTTAAATTATTTTTCAAGAGGTGTGGGATACATTTATTAGTATTAATATTGATAATAATTATTATTGTCCCAATTTCAGTTTCAATCTATAACAGTCCACCAAGGAAATACAAGGGAAAAGGAACATTCTATCTTAGTACTCTCGAAAACTATGAACCAAGAGTATTGAAAGTTTACGATCAAACAAGTGTTCCAAAATACAATGTATTACTCGATCCTCATTCTCATTCGACTGTGTCAGACGGCGGTTTGTCACCGGAGGATAACATAAGATGGCACATTCTCAATGGGTACAATGCAATGTTTTTAACTGACCACAACAGAGTACGTGGAGGTTTGGAAGGTGAACGAATCGCTCGTGAGAAATACAACGATAAGATTGTAGTAATCCCGGGAATTGAATGGACCAATTGCAGATGCCATCTCGGACTGCTTGGAGTGCGGAGTGATGTTCCATTGTTTAAGAGTCCAACAGACCAGCAGATTAAAGATGTCATCAAATTGGTGCATGACCAAGGTGGTCTTGTCGTTCTAAACCATTATCCATGGTCAACTTGGGCAGGCTTGGATCAGCCAGATCTAAACACATGGTTGTCGATGGGTATCGATTTCATAGAGGTGGTGAACGATAGAACTCTGGATATGAGTGGATTGAACTTTGCCAAACAACATAATCTCAGGTATTTGACTGGTTCTGACTTTCACATGGGAAATGATGGTGCTACTTGGACAGTGTTTCAAGTGCAAGACACGAGAGGAGTGTATCAGCAAAATCAACCCATAACAGCACGTCATCTGACAACCGATAACATCATGTCTGGATTGCGACACGCCAACATATCATTCCTTTTCGATGCTGTAGGATCACATCACAAGATAGATAAAGTCAATAGAATCAGTGGAAGATATCAATTCCTTTCACCATGGATCTACCTAGGTGAATTCTTTCATCAATTCTATGAATTAAGAAAAGGTAACCAAAAAGATTTGAATCTTTATAATAATTTAGCATACATATCAAGATAACTAATACAAATGAAATAATAATAACAATAATAATATAGGAATGTATAGTTTTGTAAGTGGAAGTTGTACAAGACAATATGTTGTTGTTCATACAAAAGAGATAGTGGCATTGGTTGGTTGGATTCTATTTTTATTTTTTATGTTTGAAATTGTATACTTTATATTGTTTAAATTGATAAAGTCATGCAAAGGCAAAGAAAGGAAGGCATTGGAGATCTATGAAGATGTCAGTGGTAGTGTAGATGAAGAATCGATATCTACAACCTCGAGATCTAAAGAAAAAGATATTCAATACAGTGAAATGTATGAAGGTCAATCAAATTCTGATATACCTTCAAACTCCAACTATATGAATAACAAAAACAACAATATTATAAACAATAACAACAATATCAATAATAATAATAATAATAATAATAATAATAATAATAATAATAATAATAATAATAATAATAATAATAATTCAAAAGAAAATAGAAATAAAAATAATAAAAACAACAAAAATAACAAAAATAACAAAAACAACAAAAACTATAATAATATCGACAACAATAATAGTGATATTATAAATTCAAATATTAATAATCTTTATACATATCCATATTTAAATGAATTTAATAACTATAACAATAACAACAATAATACAAACTTTAATAATAATATAACTAATAATAATAATAATCAGATATATGGTTATTTTGGTTAATAATAAAGAAATGCTTTAATTTTAATCTGTTGTGCTGGTTTTTCAAAAAAAAAAAAAAAAAAAAAAAAAAAATTAGTTTCATTTTTGAAACAATTTTAATTACTTTTCTTTATTAATATTATTTAATTATAATTAGATTTATAAAATGATAAATATTGATAATATTAATAATAATAGTAATAGTAGTAGTGGTAATAGGAAACAATTCGAACAACAACAACAACCTACCTTTCCTCTAAGAAATGAACCTACCACAATAGACTCTGAATCAACTTCACCTTCCACCACCATAGTATCAACAACAACAACAACAACAACAACACCACCATCTACAACAACACCAACAAATATCAATAATAATAATAATAACAATAATAGTAGTAGTAGTACAAGTAGTAAATATAATGTTTTAAATCTATCTTCACCAATGGCGACAGCGACAACAAAGAAATCAATTGCTGGACAAAACAGTAGTAATAATAATGCAGATAAATATCAAAAGAGTAATAATAAACAATATTGGTGTTGGTTGCTAAAGGAATATATTAGATTAGGTCATGCTAAATCTATGAATCGTGTGATAAAGATCATAGATCAATTGGAATCCTATCCATTCAGTTACTTTAATAATATCTATCACGACGACCAAAAGAGCAACACGATAAACAGCAACAGAAACAACGTCATCTCTGATAAATACATGAATGACAGATACTACTACACCTACAACAACGTGGATCTAGTCGATATAAGACGTCTATCATTCCCATTCCTCTACATCCCCAATCTTCTCCGGCAACGAAGCGATCTCTTTCAGTACTTTAACAAGAACTTCTCATTCAGTAACATTCTATACGCTCTTAGTACCGCTAATATTGAATCGTTATTACAACCAAAGTATGTTTGATATATTATTGTTAAAAAACTAACAAACTAACTAACTAACTAATATTATTATAGTTATTTACCGATATCTAAATCAGTACCGATTGTACCATTTCTACTGACGATGGTATATTTAAAGTTGTGTGTATCTAAGGGAGAGGGATTGCGTGCTATTGTCGATGCACTTGTAGATTGTCGGGCAAAGATTCATATGATACCTGCCTATGAGTATCCAGCGATTCCACTCGATGTACTCTTGAACTCGATACTACTTGGACATGTGCGTTTCATCGATTGGGATCCAATCACATCCGATCTCATAAAGACAGAAGTATACTTTAACGAACTATTTGAAACTCTCTATTTAACTGGTAGAGATTATTTAACATTACCATCAACCAACACCAATAATAATAATAATAATAATAACAAATCAACAACTTTAAATTCAACTTTATCTTTATCTCCTTCTCTAAACAACAAATCAACAACAACAACAATATCATCTTCTACTTCTACTACTTCTTCTTCTTCACCTTCAAATTCAAATGTAATATCAAATTCAAATTCAACAACAACAACAAGTACGAGTACAGGTACAGGCAGTGTAAAAAGTTCAACAAGTAGATCATTACCATTGCTAAGTATTCCGAGTGAAGATTATAATCTAAAGACAATCGATATCTATTTGAATGACAGCAGGAAGATCGTTTACTACAACATAAAGTATCTGATCAACAGAAAGACAAACTCGTCGATATGGACCAAAGAGAACCTTGCCATTCTGTTTGAGTGTACATTATATAATATAGATCTCTATGTAAATAGCAAAGATAGTAGCACTGTTTCACAACTACAAGAAATAATGATTGTATTAGAGTCTTGTCTAAGACTATCGCTAAATTGGATATCAAAAGTAACTGGTATACAAGGTGGTATGTATCATTATCATTATGATCATTATAGATAGTACTACAATAACATAACAAACAAACATTTAACAATTTAATATTTACATACATTAATAACAGAGAGTTTAGATAAAGATAGTTGGTGGAATAAACAACCTGAACAATTGAATCTATCAATGAAACTTTGGATTGGTTTAATGGATAGAATATTCTCAGAGATCATCAAGGATCCGAATGCAGATAAGCTACGTTTGATTGGTTTGATTTGGTTGGGTATTTCTATATCGTTGGATGATGAATCATATCCTCTATTTATACATTATATCAATAAGTATCCTGATAATCTAAGGTTTGTATATATTTTATTATAATAATCAATTGATTCTCTTCATTTATTAATTAATACTATTGTTGTTATTATTATTGTCTTTATAGTGATATAACAAAATCAACATTAATTATAAAGGCAATTGGATTCGCATTGATTGGTGTACAAACGATTGAACAAACGATCGAGCTCGTTGGAATGATGTCATCACTCTGGGATAATCCTATTCACCAACCAAACACACCACCGACATTGGAACATGCATTCTTAATCTACAAAACGATTCACTCTGTATTCAACAACAAGTTTAAACAACAACAGACACTACAACAACATCAACAACTTCAACTTGAAAATGAAATAATAGATTGGACAAAAGTTGTTTGTGATGAAGCAAACAATATATTTTATCATTCAAATTTAAGTATGATTAATTAACAACTATTATTATTACTATTATTATTATTATTATTATTATTATTATTATTACTATTGTTTAGCTATATTATAAATTACTAATTAAATAACTCTTTAGACTCAAAATATACAAGTTTGTTTATTGGATCAGCTATTATTCTTTTAGTTCAAAGTAGTAAATGTAAATTCATTCCAAGTGAACAAAGAAAACAGATGATGAGCCAGATTCAAGAGATATTCTACACCTCTGTCAATCAATCAAATCATCTTTCGAAACATCAAAAGATTGGTGTTGCAACTGCCTACTCTATGAGTAAGATTGAACCATTCCAAGATAAACAAGCATGTCATGTAAGTATAAGTATAAATTTATTTATATTAAGAGTTTATTGCTTATTCTTATTAACAATCGATTTATTTTTATTTTTTTTTTGAAATAATAATAATAATAATAATATAGAATATATTAAAGATAACATTAGATGTTTTATTGGAAGAGATCTTGGGTATCAATTGTTGTTTGAATGAGTGGTTGGAGAAGCCATCTGATATTAGTAATCTTGTTATCAAAAAGATAGAATCTCATAGAACTGCACCGATCTTTACCGTATTACCTTCATTTGTTACTTCTATTACAACGTTAATATTGTATCTGAGTGACAATGATATCAACAAATCGATACTTTTGAAACTATGTGACTATGCTTACAATCTCAATGAACTGTGGTATAACTTTACCAAGGAAACAAACCTATCATTCCCAAGAGGTATGTAACTAACTAAACTATATATATAAACTAGAATAACTTAATTAATCAAATTATTTTATTTTATTTTTTTTTTATAGCATCGATTCAAAGAACATTAACACCTACTTTAACGGGTATTGTTAGATGTTTCTCATTTCTATTCACTGATATTGCTAAATCGTTGACTCCAATCGATAGTGTCATGGGAATTGAGATATTCAGTCAGATTGGATTCATCACTGACGATGACATACCGATTGCCAATCTAGCTATCATGTCGCTAGTCAACAACGTTAGCAAATCAGAGTGTGCAATCACACGTGTCGTTGACAAACTACCAATCTATTTAACAGTTCCAAAAGACGATAGTATTGCTTGCTCCAAGGTAGTAATCTATTTGCATGCTCTTGAGAATCTAATCACCAAGGTTCCACACAGTCTAATTATAAATCACATCGTACCAAACCTGTTTGAGTAAGTTACAACAATCAAAACATTACTATTGTTAACAATTTGATATACTAACCATACTCTTCTTATTTATCTCTTTAGATATATGGAATACCCAAATGAAAAGATTAACAAACTATCTCATATGATCATGGCAAAGATATTTACAATCCCAGACTTGCAACTGACGATAAAGATGGTACCAAAATACTTGTCTATTGCTTTAAGAGTATGTTTTAATATATAATCTTATCAATACTTATATTTACTAATGTTAACATTTTCATTTGAATTTCTTTACAGACATTCCCAACATTCACAAAGATTACATCTATATTTACAGTACTAGTTAGTATTATCGAGAATAATTCACCTACCAATCCGGTTGTGTTGTACTCTATCAAGATGCTTACTGACCAAGTTTTGAATATGATGCCACAAGACAAACAAAAGACATCGTTGAATGGTTCACTCAGCAATTTGGTTCATCTGCTATTCTCAACACTCCAGTTTATAGATGCTCAAATATTGAAGCTGGTCCTCGTAGATATTAAGGATGTCATCGACAAGGCACCAAACTTTAAGATTAAAACTGAACTGTGCACGCTTTTGCTTTCAGAGATCACCGGTAACCTTGAAAACTCAAAGAAGAACATTTGCATTTCATGGTACCTAGATTTGATGAAAAACATTAAATCAACACAAACAATATCCAACAACTCAATCAATAGTAACAATATTGATCATTTATAGTAGACTGATAGAATTATAAATAAATGTTTATCAAAATCAAAATATTTTTAGTTTTTTAATTATTTTTACCATTTTTTTTTATATTGAAAAATGGTATTTGTGTTCTATTGTTTTGTTTTTGGTTTTTGTAAAAATAAATTGTTTTAAATAAGAATTGATTCTGAAAGGAATAATTAAAAGTTAAAAAAATAGAGACTTTAGTATTAACTGGTGTTATTTGCAAAAATATAAGAAATAACTGGGCAAAGGGGGGGTTATTTTTTTGTTTTTTTATTTTTTTTTTAAATTTTTTTTTTTTTTTTTTTTTAAGAAGTAAAAATTGATTTATTAAGTAATATATTGGGATGGTGTAAACCATCGAATTTTTCTTTTTTTTTTTTTTTTTTTTTACAGTTTTTACTTTTTCATAATTCTGCAATTGATTGCTATTTTGATTATTATTATAATTATTTTAGTTATTGATATTAATAGATTGTTAAGCTGATGAGAATACTGATGATTGAATTGGTTAATTTGAAAATGAAGAAATGAAGAAGAGGAAATAATAGTTGGCTGACATTTGATTGGTTATTGGTTATTTAAGTTTGGATTGTAAGTTACTGATACTGTTATTTATAATTAATTTCATTACTGATAAGTGCTGTATATATTCATTAATGATAGATTCATTAGATAGTAGGTTGTTATCGTGGAGAGGAGTACCGCCAAAATAGGATTTACAATAGAATTTCCAGATTTGATGAAAGACAAGTGAAACGAGAGTAGTGATGTTGTCCTTTCTTCTAACCAACTGATACGCGTCTTCCATAGTCCAATCGAATCGTTGACCACCTGAAAGCTGTAAGGAGTCAAGAATGGTGTTAAGGTTGAATCTGTGCATAACTGCTCGACAATTAAAGAATGTATGGAAATATGGGTCAGAGCAGTATGTGAAGCACAGTTCACATTCTTTGTTTTTGTTGTAAGCTAATCCAGGAAGTGAACGAGAGAAGAACCGGAAGACAGTGTTTCGTCCACGCTGGTGTTTGATGAGCGAAATATAGGTGAAGATACAGTCGTAAGATGTGTAGTCGAATTTGGTTGGTGGTAGCGATAGTTGGAACTGACCATCAGTTAGTTGTGGAATGCCATGTTTGACGAACAATAGGTGGTCGTAGATTTGCTTTAGAGTGGGTGGTAGACCATCAATCAGAATTGGTTTAGCAGATTTGATCTTGTTGTCCAGATGTTTGAGATGAACTGCCAATTGGTGCCACAGAGTGTAGCATAGATTGAGATACGGCGAGGTGATAGATCTGCAATAGATTTGAGATAGCCAACTGGTATAATAACAAACTTTGGAAGGATCAGAGGATGAAAGTAGGAATCTGTTGAATATCCACACGTGTTGGGCATCGTTACGAAGTTGGATGTCCCATAGCGAGATGCCACCACGTAACCATGGTTGTACAGCTCTGGTCTTTTTCATTGTGTTTTTATATTTCTTGGAGTCGATGAACGGATTGGAGTTGGACGACCACAGGTACCAAGACAGTATGTTATCGAGTTTCTTGACTTCCTCATCGGTAAAAAAAAAAACTATATCCGCATGCGTTTTTTTTTTTTTATAATAACTAAAGTGGTATACATGTTTTATTAAAAGTTGTATTAAAAGGATGGATTTACCATCAAGTTTTTTTTCGTAGTCTATTTTTTTTTTCTTTTTAGTTGTTGGTTGATTTAATTAATTAGTTGGCAGGTTGGGAAGAGAGTTAATTTCATTTACTTGATTAGTTGGCTGGTGTTGGAGTGTTGTTTATTAATTTTAGAATGTTTCTGTGGATATCGAAGTCGGATATAATAGATTGGTTGGAGAAATCGAGTATTTTGTCATCTTGACTGAATAGAATTGAACTGACATGTTTCCAAATGTTGTGGTAGATTATCGCTGTTAGGTCTGATGATTCATCGCAGAGGTAGAAGTGAGTAGTAGATTTTTCCAGTGACCATTCGTCTTCGTAGTTGGCAATTTGTAGATGTTGTGTGATGTGTTTGAGGTTGAATTTGTTTAGGATGACTCGACAATTAAAGAAATAATGTGTGTGTGGGTCAAAGTCATTTGCTGAACATAGTTTACAACTGTCTTGTTTGATGTATGCCATACCAGGAAGTGATCTTGAGAAGAATCTGAATACTGTGTTTCTACCTCTGTGGTGTTTGATGGAGTTAATGTAGTAGAAGATGTTTCGGGTTGATGTAAAGTCTATTTTGGTGGGGGGAAGAGATAGTTGGAATTGACCTGATGTAAGTACTGGTTTGTGGTGATGGTTGATAAGGTTGTGGTATATGAGTTTAAGTGGTAGTGGTTCGTCATTACGCAATATTGGTTTCATTTGATGTGGAGGTAATTTCATAATTGGTCTAAATTGTTGCCAAAGAAGGATGGAATGTTTGAGTGTAGGTGAGGTTATCTTGTTATGTCTAATTTGGTTACGCCAGCTTTGGTAGTATGGGGAATAGACATCTTGATTTGCAATTACTCTATTTAGTATCCAAATGTGTTGAGAGTCATTTCGTAGTTTCATATCCCACAATGAAATGCCACCATTTTTCCAATGATGTACTGCTCTGGAGAGTGTCATTGTATTCTTAAATGATTTTGCATCTTCGAAAGGTCTGAGATTGGATGACCATAGGAACCAAGTGATTATTTTGTTGAGTGATTTGATATCTGATTCTGTGAATTTGTCAAGGTACATGTGGTAAGAGAGTTTTGATAGTGTGTATGACTTGAGTATTGACATTTTAGTCCTTAGGGTTGTGCCAAACTTCTTCCATTTGATCAGTGATGATTTAACTTCGCTGACTATTGATGAAAGTGAATGATGTAATCCTTCGGAGTTAAAGAAAAGACCGAGATATCTTTCGTTGACAATTGACTTTGGTATTCTTGTGTCGCCTATGATCGGGGGGTGGTGAAGATGGTCGCTGCAAGGTGGACCTATTTGGATGATACAACACTTGGTGGGATTGATTTTGGATGATGTGGCTTGGCAGAACAGGTTAAAGATTCTTAATTTTAGTTTCAGATCTTTATAATTTGCTGAAAATGTGCTACTGTCATCTGCAAATTGTAATAATTTAACCATTGTGTTGAAATCGTTAAGTGGAAGACCGATTGCTTTGGAATTGAGTATGGCTCTGGCCAAACATTCGATGACTAGAACAAATAACGTTGGTGATAGTGGATCTCCTTGTTTAACTCCTCTGTTGATAGGAATAGGGTTAGTTAAAAATCCATTGACAATTACTCTGGCGGTAGAACCTGTGAGAAGGTTCATTATTAGGTTGATTATTTTGTTGTCTATTTTAATGTGTTGTAGTGTTCTTCTAATAGCGCCGTGAGAGATGCTGTCGAAGGCTTTGTTGAAGTCGAATAATGTTATTAAGCCACTTAATCCTCTGAGTTTGCAGTATTCTATTATTTCATTCATCGTGATGATGTTGTCCATGATATATCTCTTGTGTACAAAGCCAGTTTGGTTGTCGTTGATGATTAGGTCTACCAAGGTTTTCATTCGATTGTTGATTGCTTTGGTGATAACTTTGTAATCGTTGTTGAGTAGTGTTATTGGTCTTCTATTGGCTGGATCGAATATATCACCTTTCTTGTAAATAGTTGTGATGGTTCCTACTTTGAATTCGCTTGGTAATGGATTGCCTGAGTTGAGTGATTGGTTGTAAAGTTTGGTGAGTATAGGGGCAATGACATCGCAGTGGGCTCGGTAGAACCAAAGTCCTAAGCCATCTGGGCCAGGTGATTTCCATGGGTTGGATGAATTAATAGTTTCTGTGATCTCTTCGGTTGTGAATTCTCTGGCAATGCTGTCATCGGTTATTTCACATTTCCATTCGTTAAGTAGTCTATTGTGTATGGTTGGATCATCAGGAACATTTCTGAATAACGATGTGTAGTACTTCTCCATGATGTTCACCATATCATCGAGATTAGATGTAACCGTGGTTTCATTTAATCTTAAACCGACGATGTTGGTATCTTTTTTGGATTGAGCTAGTTTAGCGGTTAATAATCGAGAAGGGATTTCACCGTTTAGTTGTTGGTTGACCTTGCGAATTGAATCTCTTAGATTTCTTTCTTCTGTTTGTAACTTGATAAGATCTAATTTTGCTGATTGTATGATGTTGTTGGGGAGGTTGGAGTCTATTGTTTTCAGTAAGTTGATTATCGCATTTCTTTTTATTCTTTTCCTTTTCTTTTGATAGTTTATGTAGCATTCTATGATTAATGATTTGACTTTTATCCAGTCTTCTATGTTGTTGATGTTGTTGGTGGTGATAATGTTATTAATAAGTGATTGTACTTCTGGTTCTAGTGAAGTTTCTTTATCGAGTCTCCACTGTGTTTGTGATAGTTGTGGTGGTGTGATTTTTATGTTTGTTGTGATTGGTGAGTGGTCAGATAGTGCTCTAGGGTGTAGTTGGAAGTTGGATGTTTCTATTGTAAATTTGCAATATATTCTGTCTAATCTCTTTTCTGTATCGCCACGTTTCCAAGTGCTGCTGTTGTTTGTACTATCTAGATCAATAAGATCATGATCATCGCTGAGGAAATCTAATATTGTTGATAGTGGTGAGCTGTCTCCTGGTATACAATTAAAGTCGCCAGTGCAAATGTCTATATGGTTTGGTAACCAAAGAGAAGTGTTGTTGAAGAGTTGATCAGCAAACAATCTTTGCTCTGGTTTGCTTGCTGGAGCATATATATGTAGGAGATTGAAGCTATTGTTGAATATTCTTATAGTACACAGAATGAATCTTCCATTAGGATCGATGAGAGAGGGGTATAGATTGATATGCTTGGAATGAGAGATGATTGCAACCCCAGTTCCTTGACCGTTTGAAGTAGTTATTATCTTATTATTATTATTATTTTTGTTGAAATATGAGTTGAGTGAGGTGATTGTGACGTGATTAGTTTCTGTAAGTAGGGTGATGTGTGGTGAAGTAGATGAAATTAAAGAGGCTATATCTTCCAGTGATTTTTGTAGAACTGCGCCCCTGCAGTTCCATAGAAGTAGCTTAAGGTTGTCCAATTAGGGCTAAGGGTATTCTCACATGTGTCTGCGTATTACCTGCTGGAGCCTGAGTTCTCTTGTTTTGATTTGTATCTTCTGAATCTTTAACTTCTCTTTGTCTAACTGTTGTAGTGTCGTTCTTCTTCTTATTTCTCTTCTTATCGGTTGAAGTTGTTGTTGTAGTTGTAGAAGAAGTTCTTTGTGTAGGTTCTACGTATTTGGTTAGAGTTGAAGTATAACCCGATTCTTCGTCTTTGTAGTCAGCGTCAGAAATGATGACATCTTTCTCGTAGAGTACCCATGTAGATGCTTTGTATAGTTTAGTGGTATTGTCTTTGGTGGGTAGCAGAGAGGAGACATGTGAAAAAAGAGCATGATTCTTCTTGTATATCTTCTTGAATTCATCCTCTTTAATTGCTTTAGAGCTGTCTGATGTTGTTATTGCTGATACTTTTAGAAAGTTGAAAGAAGGGAAATAGGCAACAATCTTTCTAGGTTTATTTATCGAAAGGTTCTCACTACAGTAAACATGTAGATCATTGAGACGTGATCTGTCAATCCTTCCGTTAAATACAATTCCTTTGCTTGTCCTACGACCCTCGGGATCTGATACAGTGCTCATAATGAAGAGATCATATAGTTTTTCTAAAATCTTGTTACTGACGTAATTTGATTTAGGAAAGTATAGACGTACATGAATGCTCTCTAGTTGTATGAGTTGCATGAAGGTCGCATTGTTGCTAAGCTTTAGATTCTTTTTATAGAACTCGAATAGAGTACTCATTTTACTAATTGATTGTTCTTATTGTTATTTAAATGTATATAAATATATATTATAGAATAAAATAAGATTTGATGGTGATTAGATGAATATGTAATAATTAGTTTAAATTTATATTAAATCTTATATTATTGCAATAATATGTTGTATTATTAATAGTTATTGCTAAATAGTTGATATAAATATGAAAATATAATAATTATAAATAGTAGTATACAGTTACTAATTGTATACAAAAAAACGAAAAAACTTTATCCGCATGCGTTTAATTTTTTTCATTTAAATTTTAAAAGTTTGTTGCTCTGCTGAGATTCGAACTCAGATGACTGGATTCAAAGTCCAGGATACTAACCCTTATATGACAGAGCATTTGATGAATTTTCAATTTTTTTTAAAATTCTAAGTTCGCTCGAAATAAAAGACATTACTATTTACTCTTTATGCACTTTCCATTTCATATTCACAGGCCCTCCTCCTATCAAAATCGAGCACCTCTTAAAATGCAAAATACTAAACACCTACAAACCTATTATAAAACGGAGCATACACAAATTCACAGGGGAGATGGAGTGAGAACACTTTATAAAAAAAAAAATTATAAGTACAAATATTAAAGATTAATCAATAGAGTTCTAAAATGGACAATTTTATAACATATAATGGAAGAGTAAATTTTCTCCGATAGTTTTGGTCATCCAATGAGAGATTTGAAAGTAGGTAAAACGAATAAACAGATACCAACTCCCGTATCTAGGCTTGAGCTTTAAAACAATTTTATATTAATTTGCTATCAATTATTTCTTTTAAACTTTAATCTGAAACAAAAAACAATTTTAAAATTAAACTTGAGATTCTCCGTTCTTTGAAATATATTTAAGATCTTCATTAAAACTAAATTCAAAGATTTATGCTTCAGAGATAAATGTCATCATCATATCACCACCCGAACTGAAATGATTTACTTTAATCAATCTAATAACTCTTTACTTTAATTGGAAATTAAACAAAACAAGAGTAATCAAACTAGTTGTGATTTAATACCCACATTACAAAGACCAGTTTCAAATATCTGTTTGAAAAAGAAAAGATAATATACACAGAAAATTGGTAAAGCGGTGTTAAATGTCACAATCAAACCATTGGATATTGACACTGCACCTCTTCACCAATATTTCGGTGATGGCTGGGCAAATAAAGATTTGTTTGGAGAGAAAAAGATCTTTGTTCCAAGCTTGACCCTATATGAAAAATTAGAAAAAAAAAGTAAAAGCAGTAAAAACTATAGGATACCAGACCATATTGTCGCAAACTTGATAATCTTATTGAAAACAAAACATTACTGGTAGATTTGCTGTTTGGTTGACGATGGTAATCAGATTTTTTTTTTTTGCAAATTTTTTTTTCAAATTTACACAAATTATATTAATTTAAATTAAATGGAGACTCTGGAATGCCTTTCGGTGGTTAACACAGTCATTCGAATGACTTTTTACAATGTTTTGATGGGATCACATCAATCAAACTTATCAAATTGAAATCAATAATCAATATTTGTGGAGGGAATGATGTGATACTTGAAACACCACATCCATTTTGTAAATACTAAATGATTTTTAGAAAGATCGTGTATGAAATGGATGATTTCATTTCTACAACTTTTTGGATTAAGGCCACCACCCCTACAATTTTGGAAAAAACAAAACAAAATAAATGTAAAAGTGACATATAAAAAGATCAGTGCCGGGAAGCAAATGAATAATAGGTCATAAATTCCCAAAATATCTTAGATGGGTGGTATCATTATTTGACGATATTTAGTTTTTTTGTATAAACATGCCAAAGATGAAATGTTTCGAAAAAAAAAACAAAATATCTAAAAAAACCAATTTTTTTGAGGTGGATTTTACGAAAAACCGCATAATCAGGGCTATATGTGTCAGAAAATCAAGCAACTGCGTGTGATGAAGATTAAAATGTGGGTCAGTTTTTTTTTTTGTTTTTTTTTTTTTTTTTTGCAAAAAATTATTTCAAAAATCAAAAGATCTTTCACACATTGGTTTCTTTGATTCCACCTATCAAAATGAAGCCACCTTTGATATGTAGATGCCCCTGATTTAGAACGCATTGCAAACTTTTTGATAAGCTTTGTTTCCTAAAACGAAAATGATGTTTTTAATTATTTTTTTTTTTACAGTTTAATAAGAATAGCACTGATCATTCGTATTTGAAAGAGTAATGAGGTTGTGTTTGGTGCTATAATCCTGGAACCAACGTACTCATCTAACTAGATAGTTCTCCCACCTTGACTAACACCAACGACAACACCACCACTCCACCAGAATACAGACACTCATCTAAACTTGAGTAATCATTTGATTTGATTTTCTTAATCTTTTTTTTTTATTAAACAAACTTGTAAAATACACATAATCAAAACAAATAATTACAACAACAAATAACAACCCAATTGAACCATTTTTTTAAAAAATACTAGTTCTTTTCACTATATTAGTAAAATTCAGATTCGCAAATATTAATATTCAATAATTTCACAAACAAAATAAATACCGACTTTAATTAACTGTAAATATATAAAATTAAAATACTTGTATGTTAAACATAATTTTGTTGTTTTTCAATATTTTAAATACCTTTTTTATACACAATCAACTTTAAACATTAAATATCAGTTATTTCAACATTTGTGGATAGAATCATACCCTATTAATAAATTTAATTTTAGTAATGTTTTTTTATGTATTGTTTTGTCACAAAATCTTGATATTAGAAACAATAATGATAGCTTGGAAATTTAGATTATTAAGGAAACATTTATTAAGGCAGAAATTATGACATCGTTATCAATCAGTTGTCCAATCATCAATAACAATACTCACATTACGATCATTGCTTTGTTGTATTTATTTATAATAATCCATCTGTAAATGTGTGCTTGTTGTAAGTCCAATAGTTGGATGGCAACAACAAGATTGTTACAACATCACTTCGGTGGTTCTTGTGCATTACTACAATCACACACCCATTTCGAAAAACCTTAAAAAAAAACAAAAAAAACCAAAAACATCTTGATAGTTGCGAGTTGCAACTTCTTTCGAACTTTTCACACAAAAAAAAACCTACCCTCAAATTTTTGTCAAATGATGTTTTTACAAAAAAAGCAAACCAAACACCCACCCCTATATACTAAAAATTCAATTTGCTGATTTCATTGGGCAAGATAATCATAGATTGTTTTGCTTGCGAATGGGATATCCGATATGATTGCAAAAATGCTTAAATTAAATCATTTTTGAATTCAGGGAACTTTTCAAGCTTATCAAAACTTGAAATACCATCAAACCAAAATAGTTATAACCCTCTTTTTTTTCTATTTATTTATCTATTTATTTATTGTTTTTGTTTCCAAATATATAAATTTTGTGCAAATCAACCTTTCAAATTCAATCTTGAAAAAACAATTGAATCGTTTTCTAATTTATTATTTTCAACAACAATTAGAGATCAACTAAATAAAAAATGGGATGCACACAAAGCTCAGAACAAAAGTCCAGTTCCTCAATTGACAAGGAACTCGCCGCCGAAAAGAAAACTCAAGAAAGAGAAATTAAATTATTATTGTTAGGTATGAATATATTCTAATAAGAATCAAATTAAAAAAGAAACACTTTACTAACCGTCATTTTTTTTTTTTTTAGGTGCTGGTGATTCTGGTAAATCAACAATTGCAAAACAAATGAGATATATTCATACCAAAGGTTTCTCAGATGATGAAATCAAGTCTTTTAGAGATATTATGCAATCCAATGTTTTGCAATGCGTACAATTATTAATTAGAAACTTAGAGAACTATGATATGGAAGTTGCAGCTGAACTCAGAGATAGATCCGAATACTATGCCAATGCCAACCCATATGAATTGCCACTTGCCCCACACATGTGTGATGAATTGTCCAAACTGTGGAAGGATCCATCCATTCAAGAATTATATAACAATAAGAGACATGAATTCAATTTACCAGAAGTTGCTGGATAGTATGTATACAAAAACATAAACCATTCATTTTTTTTTCAGAAAAAAAGTTAATTAACTCTTATATTTCATTTAGTTGTTTGGCAAATATTGAAAGAATTGGTTCAGAAAACTACAATCCAACCCAAGAAGATATTTTGAAGTGTCGTCAAAGAACCACTGGTATGAAGGAAACAGTTTTCGTTGTAGACGATGTTAAATTCCGTTTATTGGATGTAGGTGGTCAAAAGAATGAGAGAAAGAAGTGGATCCACTATTTCGAAGATGTCAAGACAATTATTTTCTGTGTTGCTTTGGGTGATTACAATATGAATCTCGTTGAAGATGGTGCCACCAATCGTATGATGGACAGTATGAAGCTGTGGAGAGACATTGTCAACAATGAATACTTTAAGAATACCTCATTCGTTTTGTTCTTGAACAAGAACGATATCTTCCGTGAAAAGATCACAAAGGAACCACTGAATCAATTCTTCCCAGAGTACACCGGTGGATTCGACTATGAAAAGGGTCTCGAGTTTGTCCGTAACCAATACCTGTCACATGTACCATCCGGAAAGACTGTTGTAGCTCACGTAACCACCGCCACCGACACTGAGAACATTAGCGTTGTATTCGATGCAGTCAGAAGATCAATTATCAATCAAATTCTTAAAATTCATTTCTAAACAATACCAATGTTGTTTAAATAATAATAATAGTAATAATTAATCAAAAACCAAATCCAATCAAATCAATCACTGAACAAAACCAAAATCAAATCGCAAAAAGTTATTTTTAGTCAAAAAATCGACCACCACAACCACCAAACCATTCACAGCAAAAATCAAAACTATTTATGATCCACCAGTCAAACAAACAAACCATCAATCAATACCCGCTACTGTTTTAATTAGCAAGTGTGTTCTACCGGTAGTCATCACACTTTTTTTCCAAACGCCAACAAATTTTTTTTTTCCTTGCCACCGAACAAGAAAAAATCAACAAATCAAATACAACAGAAGTTCACAGTCATTGTACAATGTATCTCTCCTACCTTTCTTTTTTTCTTTTTTCTGTCATATCCATACCTCATTATTGGATATTTCAATTTTCAACTTATCAATATTAAAAAATAAATTAAAAATTAAAAAATTAAACCTTTTTTGTTTTTTTATCTTGTTTTTATTTTTGTAGAATCAATCAGAGAGGCGTGAGTTCAATATCAGTTGATCAATTTATTTTATTTTTGATCTACAGATAATTATTTTTATTGTTTTGTATTATAAATGTCATTTTTAAATGAATTAAAGAATAATAGAAAATTAAAGAATGTTGATACTGTTATAACCAATAAAGATGGTACTAAACATAAGGTTAATATTACCACAGGTAGCAGAAGTGAATTGCACAGTGATGATGAAAATGCTCCACAATCTTTGGGTTTCGTTGTCGATACGAAACCAGATGATCAATGCTATCGATGCGATCTAAGTGAATATAATGACAGTGCGAACCTATTCATTGGATCACAAGATGCAGCTTTCAATAGACAACATTTGGATCATCATGGAATCACTCGGATTTTAAATGTTGGCTATGGCATTGCCAATCTCTATGCCAATGATGGTATTGGATATATGAATATCGATATCTACGATGATGTCGACTACAACATCTACGATCATTTCAGCGAGGCATTTCAATTCCTCGACCTTGCAATTAGCGAACAACGATCGATTCTCATACATTGCAACGCTGGAATATCAAGATCATCGACCATACTCATAGCGTACCTAATGAAACGACATCACCTGACGCTGGAACACGCCTACTCAATAGTGAAGAAAGCACGTCCATTGATCAAACCGAATCAAGGTTTCTACAATCAACTGAAAAACTATGAAGTAATAATACAAAAGAATCTGTAATAGATGACAAATCACACTAAAATACTAAACAAGAGGGAATATATACGACGACACAACATTATAATTAGAAATAAATAAATAATTTTTCAATCAAAAGAAGAAAAGTAGATTTTGTCAGCCTTTTTCCTTTTTTATTTAAATATATAATAGAGGGACTTTTATATATTCGTTTAATCGAAGAGACCCATACCCATATCTTCGTCGGATTCTTCCTTCTTTTCTTCCTTCTTTGGTGCAGCAGCGGCGGCGGCTGGGGCAGCAGAGGTGGTAGCAGCGGCGGCTGGAGCAGCGGCACCGGCAGCTGGGGCGGAACCAACCTTGGTCATACCAGAGGCAATGAGTTCGGTAATGTTCTTACCGTTGAGCTCAGCAACGACGGCAGCAACACGGGTGGCATCGACTTCAGCACCAACAGAGGACAAAACCTTGGTGACATCGGCAGCAGATGGGGTGGCGTTACCACCGAGGACAACTAAGAGATAAGCGGACAAGTATTTCATTCTATAATTTTGTTAAATGACGCGAATAAGTATAATATTCCTGATGATAGATGATTTTGATAGATGAAAGGTTGAATATAGTGTCTTGTTCTTGTAATTCTGTATCAAGTGTATCAACTAACTATGATCCATCTTCTATCAATCAACAATCTTCTAAATAATATAGAGTAGTATAGATAATTACTTGAGATTGAAGGATAAACGGGTGGCCTAAGACTACTAAAGTGATAGTAAAGGAGACAATTGGTCGTTTTAACACAAAGAGCAAGAACGGTGTCAGAGAGTCATGTGAAACACTCCAAGCACGCACACACAGTCGAATCCGCGAAAATTAATAAAAAAATAAATAAAAATTGAAATTTGAAAAATGACACTTTTTGACAGAACTTCAGATTGCACCCACAGATTAATCAATCTGTATGAATAATCACATCTTAATCTCTCTTAAATATAACATTATTATAATATTATCAGAATGATTAATATATAATTAACAAATTAAATTAAATATAACTGAAAAATAATAATAATAATAATAATAACTAACTAATATATATAAAGTCTAATCTCCAAAACAAATGTTAATATATAATTTTGATTTTTTATTTTTTACTAAAGTTTGATATTTTTTAAAACACATTGATTATCATTTGTTTACCCCATTAAGTTGTTTGTTATAAAATAAATAAAAATTTAAAAAAAAAACATTAAAAGTTCTGATTGAGATTAAGTTAAAAAAAAAACAATAGAAAGATTAAATAGTTACAAAAGTATTATATTTATAATCATTTTTTTTATGTACATTGTTGGTTGGTTATTTGGGTGGAGCGGAAAATGAGTGATAGGATGAACATTAGTTCTTCGAATGAAATGAATAGTTCATATATCAATAGTACATCTAGTATTGTCACAAGTGGTGATGATAGAAATAACAACAACAACAACAAAGATGAAGATGACATAGAGATCTCTGATACACTTTCGACCAACTCGACAGCTTCAACAGCCGGTGCCACACAGGAGGACGATGACTTGGCAGATGACGATGATATTGCACCAACTCAATTGATTGATGACGATGACTTGAACTTTGGACAGCAATCTAATCAAAGCCAACAACAGCAACAACATAGTAATAATGGAGAAGGTGACGATGGTGATGGAATACACTTCAAACAACTCGTTAGATTAAAGTCAACGTTGAGAGATCATATCATTCCGTTCAGTGAGTTGTTTGTGGAGCGTGAAATCGGTAAGGGTTTCTTTGGAAAGGTTTACAAGGGCAGTTGGCGTGGGAAAAGCGTCGCTCTCAAGAAGATTACGATCTCGAGATTCCGTGATCGCTCGGAAGCCGATCTGTTCAGCAAGGAGGTGTCGATCATCAGCAAGCTATGTCATCCGAGGTGTGTTATGTTTATTGGCGCATGCTCGGACGACCCTGCCAACCGGTGCATCATCATGGAGTACATGGGTGGCGGCTCGCTGCGGCGACTCCTAGACGAGCGCGCCTACCTTGTGAACTCGCGACTTCAACTGACGATTGCACGCGACATTGCCGACGGAATGAACTACCTGCACACCAACTTCCACGATCCAATCATCCACCGTGATCTCACCAGTTCCAATGTACTGCTGGATATCGATTACACCGTCGCCAAGATCAACGATTTCGGCTTGTCGAAAGAGATGAAATCCGGTCCGAACGAGATGACTGCTGCAATGGGATCGCTTGCATGGATGGCGCCAGAGTCGTTCCGTGGCGAGAAATACACAGAGAAAGTCGATGTCTATTCCTATGGAATTATACTGTGGGAGTTGATGACACTGAAGGATCCATACTGTGGAATGGAGCCATTGAAGATGGCATTCCTCGCGGCGGTCGAAGACTATCGTCCACCACTGACACAGGTTCCACCTTCTTGGAAATCACTGATACTCAAATGTTGGCATCCGAAACCAGATCAACGACCTACATTCCAAGAGATATTACAAATGATTGATCAGATCGATCAATCAGTTTCATATTCATCTGTATTTAAATTACCTACTACATCTACATTTATTTCAACTACCACCTCTTCATCAAATATCAATAGTAATAACAACAACAATCAACAAGCAGCAACGACAACAACGACATCAACAACAGCAACAACTAACAAAACAAGTTTTACTTCACAATTTTCAAATTTACAACAACAAGGATCACAACAGCAACTTTCACAACCAAATGGTTACTATGCAGCATCACAGACTATGGAATATGAAACCACACCAACAGTTTTAATGAAGCAAAGATCATCAACTATTATAGCAAATCGACAAAACAATATAAGATCATTTACGCAGCAACAATCGACTATAGATATTAGTTGTATGGAGTTACATCAACAACGATTGTTTGTAGGTTACAAGCAATCAGGTTTCATCAAAGTGTATAATATAAATACAGAGTCATTTTGTAAATCACTCTCACTCCAATATCAAGCAATGGTAGTCAATGACATGTCAATCAGTATACTCAACAACAAGAGTTTCTTGGCATCGGTTGGTAATGGTTTCATCAGTTTATTCGATTTAGAGAATCAAGATGATATCGTATCACCATTAAAGAATATCAATTTCAACAACAACAACAACAACAACAATAATAATAATAATAGTAATATAGATAAAGTTGTTTGGAATCAACAGAATATTGTTACAACATCATACTCTGAGAACTGTATAAAACTCTGGGATTTAGAAAAAGGTTGTTGTATCAGTACGATGGAGGCAGGATCACCTCAGACCTCGATCGATTCACTTCCATATCATCCATTGATAGTTAGTGGTGGTCTAGATAAGAAAGCAAGACTATGGGATGCAAGAGCAAGTCATTGCTTTAGAACATTCATCGAAGATAATCCTATTAAATGTGTAAAGTTTAGATCTCATCTAAGTGATCCTATATTAATGGTAAGTTTAACCAACCTATTTTACACATATTCTTTTAATTTATTAATAATTTTAATTATATTTAATATAGATTGGTACAACAAATCCATCACTTAGAGTTTGGAATATGTATACATCACATTGTTTACAGTTAATCGAACATCAACAGCCAATATTAGATATACATTCGAATATCGATTGTAAAGAGATATTGAGTTATTCAGCGGATGCCACAATGATTAGATATAAATATGATGACATCAATCAAGAGCAAATCAAATTGGTACAGAAATACCCTGGACAAGACGGTACCACCATTAGCAGCGCAAGACTAGTCTCACCCAACAAAATTATTTATTCACAAGGAAATTTATTACAGTTATTATCAACTTGATTGATTGATTATAATAATAATATATCAATAATAATAAATAAATGATAGTATATTGTAATATAATGTTAATTTTAATTTATTTATTTATTCTTTGATGCAAATCTATCTTTTGTATTTGAGTATACGATTGCAAGTATCACTATCAGTGAACCTACAACGGTAACCAACAATGTAAATACAATGACGAATGATCGTACACCAAGTTGACCTACTGGTGTTTCAATGTGTAGTGTTGGAACTTCTTTGGTGATTGTAATTCTTTCCCAGTGTGGTGGTTGTTGTTGTTGTTGATTGCTGTTGTCTGAGCATGAGATAAATAATACTGGTGGTAGTACAGTCGATACTCTATTGATAGTTGTTCCAGGATTTTGATATCTAAGATGGAATGGTAATGTAATGTCGATGTTTGATGACTCTGTAGTGGTGATTGGTTTGGTTACCGATACAAAGTTTTGTGTCGATGTATAGGATGGTTTCTCAAGGTCGATCAATTGATAGAGATAGACTGACGGACCACCGAAACGCTTGAGTTCATCTACTTCATAACGATCTACAAAGGCACCTTGGTCAAAGTGTTCCAACAAAAGAATTGAACAATGTTGTTGGTGTTGTCCTGCATTGTTTGTATTGAGCGAATTCAATTGAATAGAGGTGAAGAGTTCACGATGGAATCCTTGTTTTCTCGCTTCTCTCGATATGATTGTAGCTGTAAAGTTTGCTTGTTGTTTGTTATGTGTTTCAACATTGTCCGTCAGTCCTGTAAAGAGTTGGACGGTATGCTTGTGACCGTTGGTTGCAGTCGATACCGATTGGAGGATACTGGAACTTTCAATGGCGACATTCGATGCGCTAATCTCAATGACCTCATTAAAGTGTATATTGATCTGACCGGTCACTTGATTCTTTACCAACTTGATGGTACGTCCGATGTACTTTGTGGAGCTTAACGACCAGCTGATTCGACTTGGTTTGATACTATTGGCGGTGGTAGTAGTAGTTGTAGTTGGTTGTTGTTGCTTCTGTTGTTGTTGTTGTTGTTGTTGTTGTTGATTTTCAAGTAGTGAGAGTGACGACATCATTCCACCCAATGTAAAATCTATTTGTTGTTGGAAGAATCGTTGTTTGATTGAGTTGCTAGATGTAAGTTGGCTTGGTCGGTCGCCGGCGACAAATAGTGGCGCGGCAAGATCGCGTGGCACCAAACCCATATAGACAAGACTGCTAAGTGGTGATTGGTTGAGTGGCAAAAGTGGATGTCCAATGAGTGGCTCTATCGATTTGCAAAGTTCGGCGGTATCGTTCAACGACATCTGTTTCACTGTGGAGAAGTGTTCGGTTACCACCTTCTTGGAGGTATCGACATAGTCGACAACGATCGATAGCAACGGTGACTCTGAACCGATCGATGGATAGCGAGAGTAGAGATTCGCTCTACTCGCAGGTGACTCTGTAATGATGTTGTTGGATGTATGTTGATTGTAGGTGATCTCTATCGATTGAATTTCGGCATCGTTTGCCAACAAGACATCGTCCGCCACATTGTTTATAGTATAGCTATGTAAACAGAGAATCTTATTATTCGATGATCCCGCTGGTTGTTTCACAGTGAACGATGAAGGTGATGCAACCTTTACATCTAAACTATCTACACCGTTATTTGACCAAAATAAAAGTTCCTCATGATTCTGTTGTTGTTGTTGTTGTTGTTGATGTTGTTGTCCTAATACAATACCAATAACAACAGAGAAGATAATGAATAAACTCAACTTATTACTTTGAACAAACATTATCTATCTAATATACATATAAAAATAGGTAAATTTTATTGCTGTTCTTTTTTTTAAAAAAACTTAAAGGGATTTTTTGTGAAGATCATTGACTTTGGAACAAGATTGTTTTTTTAAAATTTTTAACACAATTTTTGTTTTAATTTTAGACGATCATAGAATAATATTTGCATACAGATAAATAATGAACAATAAAATCAACTCATTTTTTAATAATTAAGTAGTTTATTTAATTCAATCATCGATTGATAGAGTTAAAACTGTAATCAGTATATAGTTAGAGTTACATGTAGATAGAGTATTGGTTAGAAAATCATCGGGCGAAATCAAGTTTGTGGGTATCAAAAAAGATCTTTGGGAAATCATGATTTAATTAAACAACAGATCACTGTTCTTCTTCTTCTTTAGAAAAATACAAATCATACAATCAGATTGATCAAAGAAAATGAAATCTTAAAGTTATTTTGGTTTTTCAAACTCCCTGCAAAAGAAGATTTGGTATGAAACTCTCGATCATGATGACTGTTTTTTATTTCTATTTTTGATGCGATTTGTTTAGTTTAGATGGTTTGGGTGAGTCAACAACAAATAATTAAACACACACCAACCAACATCTTAATTAAATTAAATATTATCTAATCATTACATATAAAAAAAGTTGAAGTTTTATTAGTTGTAATGAAAAAAAAAAAAAAACAAACTAAAACTAGTTTAAATTCAACAGCAATTCATTATTAGCCAATTCAATTATAGTAGTTGAACATATGATTGACAAAAATTTTCATTCATATTGGTGTGAAAAAGGGAAGGTATGAAAATGCAACACAATGGTTGTTTTTTTCTGTTTTTTTTTTTTTTTTTTCTAAGAGGACTGGTTGTTGTGAAGTGAATGAATGAAAGAATGACTCTTGGTGTGTGAGTCAGAGGGTTACACTTTAACTTTTCCTACTTAAATACTACCAACAGTAATAAATTTAATATTGGTGTTACTGAACTCTGCTACTTGACTAATTACACCCCTCAGCATAAAAAAAATAAACAACATCAAAAAAATCAAAATAAAAAAAGAAAAAAATAAAATAGGAAAATTAAAATGACTAATATCAATAGTCTAATGTTGTTCAGCACTATATATACCATCCTTACACAAATTTGTGTAAGCTTTAATTCTATGTTTGTGTACACAGTTATTAGTTAATTAATAATATATAATAATAATATTAAAGTTGGAAAAGAATCTAGAATCAGATTTAAAAATAGATAATATTTTTTTTAATTTCTATTTTTAATATATTTTTTTTAATTTTTATTTATTTTTTATTTTTTATTTTTTAATTTTTTTGTTATTTGGATTTCCAATGTCTGGAAATCATAGTCCAAGAAGCCTCAGTTCAATAGAATGTCAAACTTTAAGCTGTAGCACACCCAGTGATTTTTCACTAGCCGAAGATCAAAATTTTGATCCAAAGATTGAATATGTCCAAAATGAAATTTCAATTATGGATCTTACCAACATCACACCTGAAGGAAGTGGAATTTCATCTCCAAGAGAAGTATCCGGTGAAATATCTCCAAAATTAAAATTTGGAAAGAAATCAATGTAATTATATTTAGATACGGTTTGTTTTAAAAGATTTATTAATTTTAAAAATTTTATTAATATAAAAAGAGGATTTATTGGTGGTGTATGTTTACTTATTGGAAACATGACTGGACCTGGAATGGTCTCCATTCCTTTACAATATCAAGAAGGTGGATGGTTATTGTAAATATTAATAAATATATTTATTATTTCTTTACATTAAAAAATATTAATTTTTTATTTTTCTAATTTCCAATTTTTTTTTAGGACAACGATTACATTTATTTTTATTTGTATTTTAAGTAATGTTTCTGGATTATTATTGGTTGAAGCAATCTCTTCTATTCCATATAATTCCGAATTTAATGTAAGTAAAACAAGTAATTATAAACTACAAAAAACAAAACAAAAAGAAAATAAAATATTTACTTTTGATTTTCAAAAACAAACAATTCTTTTTTTAAAGTTGAGAATTGAATTCTGTATTTTAGCAAAATTCTATTTTGGAAAATATGGATACTACATATCACAAGTTTTTATCAACTGTTCTCTACAAGCAACTAATATTGCTTCGATCATAGTTGGTTCACAGGTCATGGATTCAATGATCATCTCTATTTTTAAGAAAACCTGTGGTCTCGAGTTGTATCCGAACCCCGGATGGGTCTGTGTTTCCCAAACGTCTAGCCATATGTCACCCTTCCTGGATTCCTATATGCTTTTCACCCTGGGATACCTCATAGTTTTGTGTCTTATTATCCCACTGGGTTTCCTCAACCTGGACGATAATATTATTGTCCAAATCGGTGCTTTCATAGTGATGGTGGCGGTTTGCACAAGTTGGGTCGTTCTCTTTATCAAACATGGTTTAGAGCCTTCCAATTCACCTGTTTTAGGAGATGGTAAAGGAATTGCCCAAATTTTAGGAAATATAGTATTTAACTATGCATATATCACAACTTTACCTAGTTGGGTAAATGAATCTGTAAGTATAAAATGTTGTTTATTTTTCTAAAATTAATATAATATTAATTTTTAATTTTTTTTAGAAATCAAATGTTAATATTAAAAAGACAATTTGGGCATCTTCAGGATTTTCAACATTCTTATTTATTGTAGTTGGCTTGTTAGGTAGTTTGGCATTTGGAAATATGCCATCTAATTCCGATATCCTGAGTGTTATCAATTCATCACCAGAGGCAAATATTTTCACCAAGATCTCGGTCTATGCATTCCCATTTGCAGTCCTGACAGCATCCATCCCTGTATTCTCTATCATTGTTAAATACAATCTACTTCAAACAAAGCTGCCAAAGTTTGGTGCCATTCTATTAGCAATCTTTCTGCCTTGGATCATTGTTATACCGTTTATGACCGGAGACAGACTTCTCTACATTTCAAACTATGCCAGTTTATTTTTTAGTTCCGCCTCCAACTTTATCATTCCGCTTCTGATCTATCTAAAGTCAGTTCAATTCCGAAAGAATGGAAGAACAATGACCGACCACCAAAAACAAATACTCAAAGAGGCAGGAATAGATCCAATACTTTTGGAACAACCAATGTCACCATCATCTTCAGTGGAACTCGAGGAATTGCAATTGATTTACCGAGTGTTCCCAAGATTGGATCTGGAAAAGTGTAAGCGCGTTGCAATTGCCTGTATAACATTACTTGGATTTATTATTCCAATAGTTATTATTACAACTTTTGTTTTTCAATATGCAACCTAAGGGAATATTAAAAGATTAATAAACTATAGTAATAATAAGCAATTAAAAATAATAGATTGTCTCTGAGAGATAATATCCATTGATTTTGATTTTTCTTTTATTTTCCAATGTAATAAATAACATTGGAATTAGTTAGTTATTTTCTTTTTATATTTTTATAATGGGCTACCAAGTAGTTTCATATAAACTGGTGCCTTCTCTTTAACCAACTCTTTGTGTGAACCTTGGTGCACGATTTTACCATGATCCAAAACAAAGATGTGATCGACCATATTTTGCATTGAGATCAAGTCGTGCGATACAATGATGAGTGTAATATTGTTGGCTGTGGCAAACTGAAAGAGTTTGGGGAAAATGATTTCTCGCTTCTTGAATGCATCCATCTGACTCATTGATTCATCTAGGATGACAATCTTGGCTTCTGTTCTCACAAAGATTCTTGCGAGTGCAATCGACTGTGCGAAACCACCACTTATGTTCTTTCCACCCAGCTCGACCGTCTGATCCAATACGGGATTGTTGGTGATGTCCATCGATTGTGGAACGATCGGTGCCGGGTTGACATTGGATTCGTCGTCGGACTCCTCGTCATCGTCCATCGAAGCGAGATTCAATACCGACCAGACACGCTGTACCAACTTGGACGACTCCAAATCTTCGCCTTTCAAACAGGCATCGATATTGCTCTTGACATCTCTGCCCTGAACCAACGACTCTGGTGTATTCTGGAAATTAACAGTACGTCTGAGAGTGACCTGTTGTTGACTCTGATTGAGTATTGCCTCACAAGTATTGTTATCGATGCATCCACTCTTGGTTAGAGTACTCTTTATAGCCGGTGAAATTGGATCACCAAATGGTTTCATCTCATCATCGTTTCCATAGTAAGGTGAATCCGGTAGTTGTGAATTTGCATCCTCTGCAAAAGCAAATACTCCTGCTGCTGATGCTGCTTCAATAACTAAAATTGTTGTTTTTCGAAATATATATTATATTAGCTATTTGTTATCACATTGAATCAATTGATTGATTGATTGATAATTACTTTGTTCTTCGGTTGCAGTTGGATTACCAACTCTAATATTATCTCTGACGGTTCCGTGGAAAATAAAAGGTCTTTGGGATACATAAGAAATTAATCTACGTATGGATGATCTTGATATTTCGTTATAGGGAATACCATTCAAAAGAATTTCACCATCGTCTGGTGTATATATTTTACAAAGAATATGATTGAGTGTTGATTTTCCAGCTCTATTTTGACCAACCAATGCATATCTTTTACCGGGTAATATCTAAAAAAATTTGTTTAAAAGTGAGTAAGACATCAATTTAAATTTAATATAAAAATGTGTGTGTGTGTGTGTAACATACAGTCATTTCTCCTTGTAAATCTAAAACTGGTAGTGGAGGTAATAAAGAAAACTTATTTTCATAGGCATATTTTACATTTCTTAATTTTAATTCTTCAAATTTATATACACTATTATTGAATTGAAGAGTAATAATAGTTGATTATATTAATATTAATTCATTTTGATTGTATTGTAAATGTAGAATATGATTTAAACATACCTTTTAAGATTTCCATCTTCTTCGATAAAAGTTGGAATATTCAATAACTCTTTAACTTTCTTTTGATGTTTATATATATTTTTGAAACTTGCAAATGAGTTCCAAATTCTCTTACCCAAACGACTATATCAATTATAATGTATCAATATGAATATTATTTAAAGTTATTATAACGAGAAATATTAATAAATAACTAACTTACATTACACGATTTATCTCTAATAACATAGTTCTATACTCTTCATTGTTTATACCCTGACGCAACATTACTTTGTGAGCCACCCATACTTCCGCTGCGAATTCAAATACCGAACGGTTGTGTATCGATCGCCATACTCTTGATACAAGTGTTGAGAATGATTGAGTATTCTCTAGTTCCTTCTCGATGAGGTTATCGAACAACGACAGCTGAGTCTCTTGTAGATTGTTCACCTGTATATCCGATAGACCCTCCAGTGTATTGGTGACCATCTTACTCATAGCAACCTGATAGGTATCTCTAAACTTGATTTCATTCGCCTCTACCAAATGAACTCGCAGTCTCTGACTCACTTTCTGATAGATCGCAATAAGTATCGGATGTAATATAATCAAAGGATCAATCTTTCTCCTACTTCTAAACAGATCCGATCCTTCAACAACTATAAACGTGTATAAATATAGTTAGATCATATTAGTTAGTTAGTTAGTGCTTATCATGATATATTTGTATCTACATACCAAATGCATAGAGTGTAGCAAAGAAATCAGGTATTGTATATGTAAAGAATGAAATGGTTGTATTGATTGATGAAGATATCTTAAATTCCAACTCCAACGGTCCAATGTTATTCTTCTTTCTCAAAAAGTCGAATGCTCCAATCTCAGAATACAACAATTTCTCCATAACCATTCTTCTAATTAACAATTGGTTCTCAACAGACTAACCACAAAAAAGTAGTAGAAAAAAGTTGGTTAATAATTAGTTAACAATAAAGTAGTATATCATCAATGTTGTTGTTGTTGTTGTTTACTTTTATATAATACTTACAACCAGTTTAATTAGATGTGTATTTAGATTATCGAGTACGGCATAGTAGATGGTGAGTAGAACGTATTTGACGACGATTGAATGCGAGTATTGACCGTTGGTCGACATCCTATGGGTGATGTCGACACGCGATGCACGCAGGTAATTACCGATCTTTCTCTTTGAGGTGTACCAAGGCAGTATCTCCAACAGTATCGGAATGACATAGTGCACTGCAATGGTCTTTACCAACAACCTCTTATTACTATGCCACAGATACCTATAGAAGACATAGATCGGCATAGCCTTCACCAATGACCATATATACAATAGTTTCTTTCGAAACCATCCTATGAACATTAACATTGTTGTTGTTGTTGTTTTTGTTTTTAACTAGTTTATTGTATTGCTAACAAAATCACATATATTTATAAATTGCAGTAATTATTATAACAACAACAACAAACAAAAAAGAGACAAATTAAGTAAGTAGTGAAACAACAACCCAAACCATATAAATTAAACACACAAAAATTCAAAATATTAATTTTAACAATTGTTTTTGCTGAAAAATTTAAAAAATTAAAAAAAAATTGAAACGCTCAGTCTTAAGCTTGTTTTCCATTGTAACAATCAAAAGATATTTTATTTCTTTAATCCTCAATAATATTAATAGTAATATGTGTTGAACATAACTTATCAATTGATTAATTAATTGTACAAATTTGTATGAGATTAAGTTATTTTTAATTAATTAGTTTTCTTTAAAAGGATATGTAAATTATATTTATAGATAAATATTAATAATAATTACTTATAAAGATATGTACATATCTTTTTCAACTTTATAATTTATAATACGAAATGTTGTAATGATTTTAGTTAAAATCACCAAACATATTTTAAATGAATAAAATAAACCCAAAAAATAGTGAGAAAATAATTTTTAAAAAAATTTGTGCACATTGGGTTGGCGGTCCTACACCACTGTGAGGATGTGTCGACGAATCAATGGAAAAAACAAAAATTTAAATTTAAATTTAATTTTAAAAAATTTTATCGACAAACGAGTAATCCAACAACACACAACTAATACTGATCAAAGAAATAAAACAACCCCCACTAAATAAATAACACAATAATAAGTGTACCCAACAACAATCATCATTGTCAATACTGTAAAGTTAAAGACACCATTTTTTTTTTTCTTACATTATTGATTAAAAATAAATCATTTATTTATTTAACAATTTTGTAGAGTTAAGTTTTAGTAATATTAAAGTTCACAAAACAAAAAAAAAAAAAAACAAAAAAGAGTCAACCAACAACAAACTTAGCAATAACAAAAATACATACAGCAAACAATTAATTATATAACAACAATAAAAATAGTAGTAATTTTTATTTAATTAATATAATTAATATAATTAATATTATATTTAATATTTATATATCTATGTTTATGTTTAGTTTAATGAAAGAATCAACAACAACAACAACAACAACAACAGCAACAATAATAAAAACAATAGAATCAACTTTTACTACTTATTAATTAAACTAAACCTATAGTTAATAATATTGTAGTAAAAAATAATTATTTATTTATTAGATTGATATATAACAGACATTACAGATAGACAGATATTTTTTTATTGTTCAAAAGTAGAGTTTAAAAGGGGGGTGTTGGATTTTTATTCAAAAAAGTTTTTAAAGGTGACTTCATTTTTAAGCACTCAATAGATAATTATCGTGCCACCAACTACATCCATCATCAAACCACTTTAAACGAATATTTATTTTTAAAGATTCAATTAATATTCAGATTACTTAAAACACACCCCACACACCCCACAACAACAACAACAAACTTCGACAACACACAATTACTTATTATAATTGTTTACAATCCAAAGTATTTATTTATATTTTATTTATATTTTATTTTATTTATTTTTACCATATATATATATATACTAAATATATAGTAAATGGTTACATCAACGGATGTATTAAATATGGTACAACAAAATAGGAATAATAATAAAAGTCAAGAGGATGACGAAGAAATAGATATTATGAACGATAGTGATGATGAACAACATGAAGCTGTTAATAATAATGAAAGTAATAGTGGTTTAACACCAATGTTAATTGAACAGCAACAGCAACAGCAACAACATCAACATCAACAAAATCAGCAACAACAAGTATCAGTAGATACTGCTACTAATAATAGTTCATCATCATCTATATCTTCACCTTCGACTATAACATCACCCTCGATATTTTCAACACACAAACCACTATCTCTGCGGAAAAGCCAAAATAAAGTGAACACGAAAACAGCCGCCACCAACAACACAACACCAAATAAGAAACCAACATCTTCAAAGAAAAAGAAGAATAGCAGTAACCACAACTCTGATATTTCAGATGAAGAGCAAACAATTATAATACATTCAAAAGAAGAGTAAGTAAATTAAAAAGTAAAATAAAGATTCCATTTATTTATGAATTGTTAAAATTAATATTTGTGTGTGTGTGTGTTAGTGTTGGTAATTTTCAAAATGATGATCATGACAGTAGTAATGGTAATGGTTTGGATACAACGACGACCACTACCACGATGAATCACGATAGTTATCAAGAGAGGAAAAAGAGAATGGCAAAGAAGAGAAAGGAGAAAGAGACCGGCGGTGATTCATATGAACAGGATGAGTCGACTACTACGACGACAACTACGACAACCAACAATGTAAATAGTAACAACGGCAGCAACAACAGCAAGAGAATGAAGAGTAGCAGTAGTAGTGTTCATGGTAGTAGTGCTACCGACGATGGAACCGACGGTGAAATCGATATCAGCGGTGAAGATGCCGACAACTCCAATTTCAACTTAAACAGTCTCGGAATGATTAAAATCGATAATATTCTAACGAAATCATTACAACAACATTTATTATCGCCCTCTCAACATAATCAACACCAACAACAACAACAACAACAACAACAAAATGTACCATCTATAAACAATAATAACAGCAACAACAATAAGAAATTGAAAAAGAAGAAAAAGTCAACTAGTAGCAGTAGCAGTAGTAGTAGTAAGAGTAGTAGTAAAAGTAAAAAGAATAGTAGTTCTAGTAGTAGGAAGAAAAAGAATTCTACACATATTTTCAATATAACTAGCTCAACTTCTAACAATAATAATACTACAACTACATCGGACGATAGTTCGGATATGGAGATTAATATCAATACGTCGGATAGCGATGATGAAGAGTCGAATGCAGTACCAATTGCAAACGACGATGAGGATATCTTGATAAATAGTATCGATGACTCTGACTCGGAGAACGACGATTCCGACTTTGACTCTGAAAGTGTTGATCAATCCGACTCTTCCACTGCATTCAACATGGACGAAACAATGGACTCTGACGATTCCAACAATGAAGATGAACAGCAACAACAGGCAATCGAGCTGAAAAAGAAAAAATCAACAAAGAGGCGTGAAAAAGATAAAGATAAAGATAGAGATAGAGATAAGAAATCAAGTAGTAGTAAAGATAAAGATAAGAAGAAAAAGAAGAAGTCATCAAGTAGTAGTAGTAGAAGCAGCAGTAGTAGTTCTAGTTCCAGAAAGAAACAAAGACAACTATTGCTTCAACAACAACAGCAACAATATGAACAACAACAACAACTTCAACAGAGTCAACAACAGCAACAACAGTTACAACAGCTACTACAACTGCAACAACATCATCATAACAACCAACAATTAATACAACAGCAGCAGCAACAACAGCAACAACAACAGGAAGATATCCAACAACCAATTGATATAGATAATCCATTCCTCTCACCTATGCCAATACAACCATCCAACAGTATCAGTAGTAAACTCTCTACTTATACCTCACAATTTCACCCGTTTGATCCACACACTTTGCAAACACTCTCCTTTTTAGCACCGTTTTCACCGATGGCATTTCCAATGCCACTGGCATCACCCATCTCACCAGGTGTACTTGATTTCGCACCACTTTCACCGGTTTGTCCACTCTCACCGCTTTCTCCACTCTCGCCCATCACCTCACCGACCTCACCATCTTTCATCACCAGCAACCTCCTATCGTCAAGCAGCCACCAACACAACTCATCCTCCTCGAACGAATCGAAACCAGAGAGATATGTCAACAGTATTTTCAACTCAATCATCAAGCGAGAACCTAATTCCGCGCTATCCAACAGCAGTAACAGTATTGGCAGCAACAGTAACACTAACAACGATCTACCATATTCCAAATCGTTGTCGCTATCAACATCAGCTTTAAATACCACCACCACACCAACTTCGATCGCATCGTCATTACCCTCCATCCCAACACCAATAACATCATCATCAATATCAACATCTTTAACAACACCAACTTCAGTAGATTCCAGTCAATCCATTGGATCACCTCAAATTACATCGCTGACGCCTTACAACTCACTGCAGGGTGCAGCTCAGCAGAATCAGTTGTTACTAGTTGCAACAGGTGCCAACAACAAGAAGGCCAAACGTTTCACAATGGATCCAAATGTTCAGAAACATTTCCAACTGACGGTTTGGCACGAAGAAGAAAAGATGTTTTTCCGAGAGTTGTTTTGTGCGTATGGTCGTGAATGGCATATCATATCGACGTTGATGTGTGGCACAAAGTCACCGACACAAATCAAGAATTTCTACTATGATGTACGTCTCACTTTGTTGGCACCGTTGTTTGGATTGTCAGCAGATGAAACAAGATCACGTATAACACTACCACATCAATCGATTTCATCAGGTACAGCAGCAAATGGCAGTAGTAGTGCAAATGGTACTGGTACACCCAACCCCAGTGCTTCTCCACAACCGAAATCACCACAATTACTTCAACAATTACAACAACAACAGATTCAAATACAACCAACTCAGCAACCACAACAACAGCAACCACAACAACAATCAATCTTACCAACTCAAACAGATGATAGTATTATCTCCACTACTACAACAATTACAACTACCACCAATAATAATGGCGTAACAACTACCACCACAACAACTACTACCACTTCACCAACTATCACATCGATTCCATTCATTCATCCAAGTAACAAACGACATCTTGCAGTTAGTGATGACGATCTTAAATCGAAAAAGAAATCAAGATCTTCTAAAAGAGTAAGTGTTAATTTTTGAAAATTATTGAAAGTTGGCATAAACATTATTAATATATAAATATTGCTACATTATTATCAATATAAATAGACATTTAGATTCGGTAGATTTACAAGTGCGTCAACAAGAATTCCAAAGAATTCTGTAAAGGTCAGTAAGAATAAGGTACAGGAAGTAAATCAATCGGTAAAGTTCCCAGTTGGTTCGGCAGCGTTCTATTTCTATCAACACTCTGAGGTATTCCCACCTGGAAAGTGGTTCGAAGTGAAAGTGTTGGATGTTGGCGATGCCTCCACACCCAAACAGACAACAAACAACACACTTCCAATTGAACCAAAGATGGAAGACAATCTAAACGGTACCAAATACAAGGTGGTTATGTTCAACATGAACAAGACCAAAGGTTTCTGGGTGAGCGAAGAGGATTTGAAAGCGGAACTCGATGTCGGTGCTGAGATTTGGGAATTCAGTGCCGATCCACTGGCAGAAGACGAGTTGCTACAACAGCAACAACATCAGCAACAAGTTCAGCAGATCTCACTCATGCAACAGCAGCAACAACAACCGACACCTCTCCAGTCATTGTTGCCACCACCCTCGCTCGATGCCAACGTCCAAGACTCTGTTGGAAAGATGGTGGAGTCACTGTTGCCAACGACCGATCGTCTCAAACTCCAACAGTGGCTGGAAGGCAAGTTGGATAACATGCAACCGAATCCAAGTTTCAAATTTCCGACACTGGAGAAAGGCGAACCTGGTACTCTGACCAGAGAGATCTATGATATTCCTGCATTTTCAATGGAGTATCTCAATTGTGGATCGATCTCAATCTCTAGCAAACAAAAGTGTTTCTTTGAGTGTATTTCTTCGACATTTGAAGAGAAAGACTTTATCGCCATCAATTTCTCATCGATCTTTGGAAGCTGTCAATTCATATCGGACATCAACAATCGTACCTACATTACAGAGCTTTTCGACAATATTTTGAAGGCATCCGATATCTCAGTGTCTCTTGTCATATCGAAATTTGGATCGGGACTATTACCAACCAAATCCAATGCCAACCTAACCTCGTCATTGTCATCTTCGTCATTGCTTCAAAATTTGATACCAACAACAACAACGACAGCAATAGCAACAACTTCAACAGCAACCATTCCAATTGTAAAGACAGAGCCAACAAAACCAATTATTCAAAATACTCCAACATTGACACCTACAACAACAGCGACAACAACAACAACTCCAGCAGTAGTTCCAACTCAAACAACATCAACTCTAACATCGACCCTAACCCCTACACCAACAACAACAAATCCAACACCTACTTCCACCCCTGCAACAAGTGTTGCGGCTGTTAAAGTTGAATCAAATGTAGCTCAGGTAAAACCAGTTGTAAAGAAGCAGGTTGAGGTTGCTCAAGCTACAACCAGTACTGTTCCCATCTCACCGGTCAAATCGACCACAACCGTTGTCCCATCGCCAGTTGCAAAGTCTAGTGCTCCAGTTCAACATACTAATTCAAGTGGAGAGCCAACAACGACAACAACAACAGTTGTTCCAAAATCAACTCCATCAACAAGTGCAAGACCAATAGCAAGTAAACCACCAGCTCCTAATCCACACAGCTCAGCACCATCCTCAATTCCAACAACAGCAACAGCAGCAGTTGTCTCCCAAAAGCCTGCAGGAACTCCAATGACCTCATCAAAACCTGCAGCAACCACCACCACAACACCTGCTAACCAACTTAAAGTAGCTGGAGTTCCTTCAACTGCTGGCGTTCCTATTAAAACAGTTGTTGCATCAAAACCATCTGCCTCGTCAACATTGGTACAATCTACTATCAAACCAGGTGCACCAGGATCTGTTATAACATCTAAATCAATGGCATCATCAACAACACCTCAAACTGCTACTTCCACCTCCACCACCACCGGAACCAAACCAATAGTAACTACATCATCTTCAAAACCACTTGCTACCAGTGGAGTACCAGGATCTTCAATACCACCAAAACCAAAATCGTCAATGCCTCAAGTCATCATCAATGCCAACGGCCAAAAGATCTACACCTGTCCTTGCTGCGTTGGAAAGAATCCACCCTCTGTCAATCCGAATCAAGTCTCACACCTCAAGCCAAAGCCTGGTATGGTAACGGCCACCAAGCCAATGCCCAACAGTAGTGTCACCCCGGGTGCCACTAAACCACCACCATCATCTACCTATGTAATGTCCAAAACTGCACCAACTCCAACCAATGGAGTATATGCTAAAACTGCTGCAACATCGATTGCTCCAGGAGTATCAAATACAACAACAACAACAACGCCTACCACCAGTCCGACCAAACCAATAATCACAACAACACCACAACCCAATATTTCGAAACCAGCACCACCTACAACTAGTATTGCTAAACCAACCACCATGTCATCTGTCTCAGTATCAAAACCAATTGCTACAGGATCCAAACCATCGGCATCAACAACATCATCATCAACAATACCAACACAAACAACTTCTACATCTGCTCCATCTACTCCATCTACCTCAACTACACAGCCAACCAATAAAACAAATACAACTCCAGTAACTTCCCCTCAAAAGACTATCTCACCTACAAAACAACCAACAACAGCACCAACAACAAATACCAATACCAACACCAATACAAATACAAATCCATCTACAACGACTTCAAGCATTTCAACTCCCTCTGTAACATCAAGCATTTCAACATCAACACCATCATCTTCAGCCAGTACAACGCCAAATACTACACCAACTACACAATCACCCCCACAACCATCCCAAATATCAACTACAAATAGCGGTACTTCTACATCCACTCCCAATTCCACCCCAACTCCAACTCCAACCCCAACTACAATACCTACAGCAGCAGCAGCAGTACCTACACCAACACCACTCGTTCAACCAACTCATCCAATTTCAAACCTGCCAACAATATCGATGCCACTTCAAGTAAATCCATTATCAGGCTCATTAAACAACAATTTCAATCTGCTTTTCAATCCAGACAAAAGTTCGATCCCATATAAACTTTTCATTGGAAAACGTGAGCTTCTACTAGAGTGTAGAAGATTACTAAGATTACAATGCTCAAGAATTTCAGATTTAAATAAGCAAAGTAAGTATAAATCGATATTGAATCAACACAATAGACTTTATATATTCTAACATTGATTCGATTTATTAGATATTGAAAGTGGTAAAGATACAACCGAAGTGATTCAAAAGATGAGAGAATTAACCAATGAACTGTCGGTATACAAGTTTCTACTCTTGGAGGCAGCATCAGAAAGATTCTCTGCCTACAAACAGAATATAGGTATTTCTTTTTAAACTAGATCCTACAGTACAACCCCCTACAATCAAGAAAGCAATCCACCAACCACCACTCAACCAACATATAATAATTTATTTAATTTTTAAATTTTCTGTATAAATAAATTGATTTCCTTTTATTATTAAAATAACCATAGATGAATTCAATGATTTTGATTAAATTAATTATAATTAAATAGAATGCAAACAATTATTATTTGCAAAAACGAATGATTACGTAAATCATTTATTCATCTTTTTTTTCACAAAAATTTTATGATTTTTTAATATATTTGTATTATTGATAAGTGACATATATATATAGATAGATAAATATGGACGAGTTTGATGATATTATTAAAGTAGAAGAGAACACCTACATTGATGCAAAGAATCAAGGTATTGTAGATGGTCAAAAGTTAGGATACATCGAAGGTTATCAACTAGGCTATCAGAAAGGTACTGAATTAGGTCAAGAGATAGGTTACTATCATAGTTGTGTTACCATGTGGAATTATTTAGCTGTTCATTATAAAGATACACATAAGTTTTCGCAAAGGTAAGTTGTTGTTATAATAAAATATATTGTATATATTTATATTAAACTACTTTTTCTATGTTTATATATATTTTATTTAAACATGTTAGAGGATTAACAAGTCTAAGTAAATTAACAAAGATGATCAATGACTATCAATTGGATTTCAACGATGAGAATGTAATGACTGCCCTGGGTGACATCAGATTAAAGTTTAAATTGACATCAGCACAGCTTGGCTTACAAACAAAAGAAGATAATGAAATGTCTTTCTAGAAAGCTCTACACAACTATCGAGGTGTTCTGCAAACAATCAAAGGAAGGACATGAATTTTCTTATCAATCTACGTTTGAATACTCGATTGAGCTTTATTATTATCATTATAATATTATTCTCAACTCCAGAAAAACAATGACAATCATCTTATCTGCATCAAGATGTTGTTATTTGGACTATTTCTCAACAAAGAACTAACAAATAATTTTCAACAAAATTAACCCATTCAAAGAATCATTTCATGATGAGAAACCAAGCCAAAAAAAAAAAATAAAAAAAAGATTTACAACATCATCGCCACATCTAAAACAACTAACTTTATTTTTTCGTAAATTTTTATTAAAAATATCTTGAGGTTTAACAAGCATCAAAAAAAAAAAAATTCTTTTTCAAGGTCTTTTAAAAACCAACATTATTTCGTTTAATTGCATTGTAAATAGTTATATGTATCTCTGATTGCTTATAAATCTTATATAAGATGAATTTATTTAAAAATGGATTCTATCGTTTAATGATTACCTATCTCTTTTTTCAATTACTTATATTAAAAACAAACTCTCAACAACCTCCAACCAGCGAAAGTATGTTATTCTTCAACTTTTAGCAATGAGAAAACAAAGATTTTTTCAAAAAAAAAACCAAAGATTAAAATTTAGCTTTTCAGACTAATTGACTTCTTCTTTCTTTGATTTATTTAGTAAATGCATTGATGGCACTACAGCCTGCATTTGGAGTAGAATGGTATCCTCGTCCCAATGCTTGTGGATACTTGTGCAGAAACAGTGAATCACAGGTATTTTGTGGATCTGATAATAGAGTTAATTATATGTATGAAAATCGCAAAACGAAGAGAATTTTCAGTTGAATTCTAATTAATATTTTGAAATCTAAACTATTTATAGTTTATTATATAATCCAGGATTAGTGATAAATTTTCCCATACCAAATAATTTTGACCAATTTCCAATGCTCAATAGATTGGTTATTTATGATAAAACAATGGTTGTCCCACCCACCATTTACAAGCATCCTACTATAATTGAATTTGCACTTCTCAATTTAAAAAACCCGAAAATGTTGTCTGAAACTCCAAGTGATTTTTTGCACATGACATCACTTAAAAGACTATACATGATTAACTTTGCTGGAAAAACGCCAATTGTAAATGCACCAATGGAAGTTTAGTAAGTAAATATGCAACTAAAAAATTTATAGAAAAACATTAACTAATTCAAAAAATATCAAAAAAAATCAAAAAAGCTATATACAACAAACACTTGATTCAAATATCACCTTCAATACAGTTCAATATACGCTTCAAGAGAATCTATTTACTGAAACATTAGTTCATTTGTAAGCTATCCATTCAAGAACAATAATATTTAATATCATTATTAATTGAAATATAATATGTTCTTTCTTATTAGTGGACTTACTCTTCGTTGGTCAACTCTTTTAAATCCTGATTTTGCCGTTTCACCACAATTAATTGCAAAATCTCCTAATTTAATATCATTGTAAGAATAAGATTTTATGAATTACTTTACAAAATATTTTATTTACACTATTTTTTCAAAACATTTTTAGTACACTTGGAACAACCAATCCTCCACAAAACTTTACCTTTTCTTCATTTTATAACTTACCAAAATTAAAGATATTGTTTGTATTATTATTCAAAACTATTAATTTTTTTCAGAAAACAAATTCCTAATATCATTGTAATCTAGATCAATTGTATTTCAAGGTTTAAATCGAACTTTTCCATATTTTAAAGAAGTAAATTGGCCAGAGTTAGAATATTTGTAAGATTTAACTACTTTTTTTTCATTAAATACTCTTTAGTACTAAAAAGAAACAATTACATTAAAACCCAAATACAGGAATATTTATTCAAACAATTTTTTAGGAAAAATGGAAGGTGATTTCTTCACAAAGAGTAAAAATTTGGTTCGAGTTATTGCTGCATACAATCCAGGACTCTTCATACCACTCGAAGCAGTTGGAAACTCAACCATTAAATATTTGTATATGCAAAATTGTTCCGCTTATCTAATACCTGAAGATCTTCTCGATGGTGGGCTGATGGATCTTAATGCCAATGGTGTAGATTTCCAAGGCTCATATTATCCACAAGTCATGATGTGCGCACCATACGAACTTATTTCTCATACCATCCCAGATTCTGAAGTGTTTGATTATGCTGCTCTCCATCCAGGCTATAGGAATTATGTTTCCGACTCTAAATTCATAAATTTCAATCAAAATTTTAATACTAGGACATGTGGTATGTACAAAACAAACTAACGTTTTCCAAAAGAATATTAAATCTAATAACCTATTAATTTTTTTTGTTAATATTAAAGTACCAACAATTGGTTTTATTTCAACCCTTGCCTCCAACTTGGCAAATTTCACAATTTCTGGAGCTGACTTAGGCCCATTCTCTGATTATACTACGGTGACTTTAAGTAGTCCGTATATAAGTTCTGTAGTATTGAATTGTAGTATTATTAAACCAAATAGAAGCTACCAGTGTGTGAATCCTAGGACAATGACAGGTATTGTTTCTTTGAATTTGCGAGTAAATAACTCTATTATTCCAAATCCACAAACCACAGTGAATGTGGCAACTGCACGACCTTTTGTGACATCAGTATCTGCTGCTCCTACAAGAGGTGGACCTGTGACTGTTACTGGAGAGAATCTCTTTTTACGACAAGACGCGCAATCCTATGTTCGAGTTGGGGCGGCAAGCAGTGGAGTCTATATTACCAACTATAAAATATTGGTTCCATTTAAATCATTTTCATTCAATATGGTCTCTGGTTTTGGAGGGAATATATCACTTTATATAAATGTTACCAATATCGGAAGTAACCTGGCAACAACTCCTACCATTTACTATGCTGCACCTGTCATTTTTGAAGCATCACTCACAGCCAACATAGAACAGAACCTAACGATTTCAGGTGATAATTTTTGGAATGATAGTTCTCTGGTATCAGTTTCTATAGATTCTCAGCCATGTCCAGTGGTATCATCTGATTTTTCAAATATTGTATGTAAACCACAAATCTATCCATTCAAAGCGGGAGGACTACCTCTATCTGTAAAAGTAAATGATAAAACAACAACTGGTTCTGTCTATTTCATCGACACTGGAATTTGTCCAAACCAATGTAATAGTAATGGTAATTGTACAGTAAATGGATGTGTATGCTTCAAGGGCTTCACTGGTCCTGGATGTAAAGATAGTAAGTTTTTTAATCATTAACATTTTGACAGAGTAAAAATAGATTAATACAAATTAATTTTATATATTAGAAATTATTTATGTTGATCATAATGTAAATAAAACAAAACCAGATACAACCATTGGAGCTAAAGAAATTGATGCTATTCTTTCGATAGTTGCTCTTAGAGAGTTGGATAGTAATGGTGGTTTAATCACAGAGTATCCATTTAATACTTGGGCATTCGATAACCAGACTGAAAATATCTATATCTATAAGACAAATGCCAGTTCTACAAATATAACGGTTACCGTTCAATGGTTTGAAGATGCATCAAACTTTTCATTCGGAGGTCAAGTTATTCCGATTGGTTCAAACACCATTAAATATTCGATTGAAATGACAAATTATTCGTTCCGTGACAAGCTTTCAACTCTTCAACTTGTGATGTCAGCGACGATGTCGTCGAGCGAATCGGATCCATGTTCACAGAATCAAGTTGGAAAATCTACAGATAGCACATCGATTCAGTGGATCAAGTTGACTGTTAACAACCGGTCGCTCTATGGTCGTTTCATCAAAACTGGTTATATCGATGGTCGCAGTGAAGTGCTCAGTAATCATCTTTTGGATTCAAACTACCGAGTGATCGAATCAACTGATGGTAAATCAACATCATCAAACACAGCACAGACCTATATTGGACTGAATATTCCTCAATATGAAACATCGATTTTCCTCGATCCCGATTTCTCGGTGCTGGTGTCAGACGATAAACCACAATGCAAGAGTGGATTATCTGTTGGACAGATTGCAGGTATTGTCGTCGGAGCTGCTGTATTTGTAGTGATTGTTGCTATCATTGGAGCATTCCTTTTAAGAAGAAAATTCAAAATATTCATAGATGGTAAAAAGATAAAGATGGTGGAAATCAATAAATCCTAGATAATAGATAAAATATTGATTGCTCGTATTTTTCATTCAATATTAGTTATTTGAGGTAAATAGTTTCAATTTGCGAATATTTCTCTATTAGCCAGTGGTTTTTTACCAAAAGAATATAAATTAAAGTCGATTACAATTATCAGTTTGTGATGATCTAAAAGGTTCATTATATTCTATTTTCATTCGATCGAATAGAATAAGATCAAATGTGTTTTGGCTCAAACTGAACTTTATAAAAAAAAACAGAAAACTGTCACATTATGTCATATAATATGTTAATAATAATAATTTTATCTGATGTTTATTTTTGTTTTAAAGGCAGTTGGGGTGGAAGTCAAACCAAACAACATAGTATCATCAATGAGTTCACCCGGTGTTGTACTTTCGAATCTGAATCTCTTGAAAAGATAGGCAACCATTAAAAACAATTCATTCTCTGCCAAAGAAGTACCAAGACAATTTCTTGGACCTGCTCCAAAAGTAAATTTGACTCTTGCTATATTATGTTGATTTGCTTCACCCATGAATCTCTCTGGTTTGAATTCCAATGGTTCATCCCAAAACTCTTCTCCCAACATCGATCCATTTATATTTTGAATGATTTGAGACTGTTTATAAAATAATTATTAGAAACTTCACAACTAAAAATTAGTTTACTATCAAGATTATTATTAATACATACACCTTTCTTGATAAAATATCCTTTGAATTCGCAATCTTCTGATGCTGAATGAGGTATACCGAGCGGAACTACACAGTAACGTCTAAGAGTCTCTCTAATGACAGCATTTGTATATGGTGCTATTTGTTTGTCATTCAAAGTTGGATTTCCAGAGATCAAAGCTTTCAATTCATCATATAATCCTTCTTGAATATCTGGTCTATTACATACTAATTTGAGAAGTGCACTAACTGTGTTTGCCTATTCAATTATTAATATAAATAGATTGTTTAAAATTAGAATATTAACTAATGTTTAGTAAACCATTGGATATGATTGTTGTTTGTTAATTTACACTTGTATCGACACCAGCTAAAACAAGATCATAGAAAATACAAATCAAACCTTGCTTTGTGATGTTTCCAGCTTTGTATTCAGCGAGGTAGGCATCAAGAATATCCTTTGGATCCTTCTCATTCTCCTCTGAGAAGTGTTCCAATCTTTCATCTATGATAGTTTCAATGAAATCGCCAATCTTTTTGTTTGCATCCATGTATTGATGTGCAACCGCTGTTTTCATGAAAAGTGGTTTGATAAAGTGGAGGAAGTCCGATGGGAATGCTTTGCCTGCCAGAGTAAAGGTGGTTTCGATGAAATCTACAAACTTTGATACACTCTTATCTTCAATGTTGTAAGGATAGCTCTTGGAGAAGAGGAATCTAAATATGATATTCAGAGAGCAGAGTTTGATGTAACGGATTGGATCGATCGGTTGTCCGGTCTTGGCGATCTCTGCAAACTTATCGCAGAGACCAACGATCTCTTGGTTGATGGCACCCTCCATCTTTTTGATCTTTATAGGCACGATGCTCTTCAGTGCAATCGAACGGACGTAACGGTTGTAGTCACCGTTGGAAGTGGCGATGTTCTCACCGTGGTTCCAAATCAAACGACTGTCACGTTGGAATCTATTGATGAAAAGCTGATCGTTTGCAACGAAAGCTTCGTGAAGAGTCTCAGGACCTGTGAGAACAACTCCCTCGACCGATCCCATCTTCAATCTCATTACAGGTCCATACTTCTTATACAACTTGAAAATTGCATGATGTGGTTGCTTTCCAAGCAAATGCAAATGACCGATAAGTGGTAGAGGTATCGATGATGGTGGTAGTCTTCTAAAGGGATTCTGAATGAAAAAAAAAAATCACAAATTATTTAATAAATAAAAGTTTAAGTTTAACCTCAAATAGAATAGAATAAGAATAACATTAATTTAGTACCTTTTCTTTTAATACCCAAAAGATTATAAATATTATAATAAACTCTAAATACATAATAATATTAATTTATTTGTTTTAAAACTAAATATTGAAATAATCAACCAATAAATTTAATATTTGGTGTTAAACCTTCTTCAGATTTAATTTAAACTTTTGATAAAAATATCTTTTTTTAAAAGAAACCATCCACCAACCATATAGAGGTTATACCATTTTTTGCACAAATTCCGACCAATTACATTTATAAAATAAAAAATCAGCACAAATTTTTGCTTTTTTTTCACCGACATTATTTTATTTGTGAACAGTTCAAGTTACCTGTTCAATTAAAAGAAATTGTTTAACGCCATTTTTTTGCTAAAAAAGAAATGTCAATTAAACTTGTAGTTGCACATCTTATAATTTTATTAGATTAACTTAAAGTTTGTTTGCTGCTGATGATGATACTTTGTGTTGTTGAACTTATACGAAATATACAAAATCTTATCATTGTACGTATAAAAAGAAATATGTTTATTGAACTATTTGTATGCATTAAAAAAAAAAAATGTTTGCTAGACGAAATTAAATTATAATTTTAATTTTTTTTATTGTTATTATTCTTTTTACTTTTCTTGTTTTCTTTTTTTTTTTTATGTTTTTTTTTTTTTAAAAAAAAAAATATTTTAATGTTGTGATGGTTTTTGGTCAACAGCAGATACATTCAAAGATAATGGGGGAGGTTGGACTGGAACAACGATTTTTTTTCTTGTTTGGACTGGTTTGGGTTTTTGTGGTGAGGTTATTTCCACTGGTAGTTTTGAATTTAAGAATGTAATATCCAATTCCTTAAATTTGGGTGACAATTGCAATGATTTATAAAGTAAATGTAATTCTTCAGTGAGTGTTTCATTTCTGAAGCATACTCTTATGTCTGGTATATTTGTCTTTTTAATATCTGTAAAATTGTAAAGATTAATATTTAAATATTAGTTATTATGGATTCTCTTAACAATTCTTATTCTCTCATCTCTTACCGTTTTTGTTTTGATTTAGATATTCTTGACCCAACCAATGAGATTTAACATTATGTTCGAAACCACTTTGTAAGACACTGTTTCTTGCAATCTCACAGATATCACATGGACTCAAATGCCATACTTGTGTAGCAATACTGTACTCTTCCATGAGTGGCTCCTTGGTGTAATGGAATTGCAATGGATCGTCCGTAGAAATACTGACATTGAGACCTCTTGCAAAGAACACTGGGAATGGATTTCTATAGTATGTCAAGAACAATGAATTATTACTCAATGGTGACATTGCAATACCAATCTGTGTTAAATAGTATCTAATTTATATTATCATCAATTAGTTAGTTATTCGTTCTTTCTTTTGATTATTACTATTTTTTTTTTTGTTTAAAACAACTTACAAATATTGTAATACAGGTGTCTTTCTCAAGTTAATACCATGATTGATACCATGTGCCAAATAAAAAGCAGCAGCCATATGATCGACTTCTCCAGCTTCACCGGAATGTGGTCTCAATGCTAAAATATCTATAAATTGATAATAAATTTTTGTAAGTTAATAATGTTAATATTCTTTAGTAATGTTTTGTTAAACTTACTTAATCCTTTTTCTTCTCTAAACTTGTTTAATGTGTAAAGATTGGCGTAGAGATAATAGAGATAGTAGGTGTAGGGTGGGTTGTGCTCGGATGTCCATTCTTGTGGCACTGGGAACTTCTCGGTGAATTTCTTTTCAAACTTTGATTCGTCATCGACACAATCGATACCGACGACCTGTTGGAGGAACTTGTGAAGCTTGGGATGTGACTCGGGGTCTCTGGTGGCTTCGAACAACGGTTGGAATATGTTGGAGAGGAACACCTGGAATGTCGAGATGTTGTCGGTCTCACGGTAGATCTCGTAGAGTCTTGGGATTTGGATGAGCCATCTCACCTTGGTGGAGAACAACTCGTTGTCACAAATCCAGCCGGCAAGATTATCCCATTCGCTCATCTTTCTTCCGTAGATGGAGAGTCTGTACTCGGCGTTCTGGTACTTTGACTTCTCGAGATCTTCAAACAACTCTTTGGTCAATTCTGCCAAGTATCTACCCTTAATGAGATTGTCTGTCTTTAAGAAGATCTCTCTCAATCTAGATTGACCACATGGATTATACTTCAAATTGAATCTATCGAATCTATGGAATGTATTATTATCAGCCTATATAATTTGATATAATAACTATTAGTTTAAAACTTGTTCGATATCTATGATCATTTCCCTTTTGTTACTTACATGAACATCAAGTGTATCAACACTTAATTCATCTACATTCAAATTCAAACTCTTGAATACTTCAGAGAGAGTAAGATACTTATCATCACGGAAAATGACAACTTCCTATAGAATTATAAATGGTTATTAGTAATCGGTTTATAATAACTATAAAAACTAAGTTTATAAAATATAATCTTATCCTTGTTTTTGATTTGATTTGATTTGATTTTGAGGAATATCGTACATTTGGTGAATCTTTTAATTTTCTTTTAATGAATTTAAGTAAGTGCTTTTGATTCATTGATGAAGAATGATGAACGTGAGTGTCTACCTTTCTTACGTTGTAGAAATCTCTATGTGGTGCACTCTATACATATTATAGACAGATAGATATATTAGTATAAGTATTTGAATGATTGATTTGATATTATTTTTAATTGATTAGATTAATTACCTTTTGATGAGCAATCTCTGCGCTATCATTCAAAAGAATATGCATGTTATATTTAGATTCTAATAAACGGAGACGTTTGAATGAGAATGTCTTGGCAGGACCATCAGAGCAAAACTGCATCAAACGATTGATGTCCTTGTAGTAGGAGTTCAATGTTGAGTAGATCTGATGTAGTGGCTTATCTTCGAGTTCGTCTTGTTCGTTGGCATAGACATAGTAGACACCGTTTACCGCCTTGAAAGTATGTTCCGATGGCTGTGATGGCGCAGTGGTGAATGGATTGTAGGGTGGTCTGTCCGAGGGTGGTGCATCTTCCTTCCATATCTTTGGGTGAAAGATATAACGATTTCTCAAATTGATTGCTTTCAACAACTCTTGGCAAACATCTACATACTCTGCAATATCCTTTTCATCTTGATTGATTGATTGATTGATTATTTGATTGATTAGTCTTTGTTTTTGCTTTTAAAAGTTATTTATGTTTATACATACTTTCATTTGTTAAAATGATTCTCTGGAAAGTATGTTGTTGATCTTGTTTTGCTTGGCTAAAGGTGAAAGAGTTGATTCTTTTATCTTCCTCCATGAAATTTCTATAGGTGAATTGGTGTCCATCTCCATCCTCTCCTTCATGCTCAAAGTCCTCTACACCCGGTGTATAGAATGATACCTTTGGTGATGATCCTCTAAGTGGTGTTGACATTATAGTAATAGTATTGTTTCAAACAATAAATAATAAAATTTTAAAATTTAAAGACTAATAACTAATAATAAATAATAATGATAATAATAATGATAATTTTATTTGATTTTGATTTTGATTTGTTTTTCTTTTGTTTTGTTTTGTTTTGTTTTTTTTATTACAAAAATCAGAATTTGGAATGAATATTACAATTAAATTTTAATCAATTTAAAGGTTACTATTGACTTCACTAATTTTGGTTTTATAATTAAAATACTAACTTAAAATAAATATATAAATTTAATATATTATATGTGTGTGTTGTGTGTGTTGTAATTCAATGTTTATTTTTATTGCAAGTTTATATTTATTATATATGGTGTGTGGTGATTTAAATTAATTCAATTTGAAAAAAAAGATAAGATTCTTTGGTGTTTTAAAATAAGATTACAAATTTTTTCAATTTTGATAAAAAAAAATTAAAAAAATTAAATATTTTTAAATTTAAAAAAAAATAACATAATTGTTGTGATTGCTAAATGGTGTGAATTTTAATGTCACCCAGTTTTTAATTGGGAAAACACACACAATTCTATAAAAAGTAAAAAATAAATATTTATTTTTTAAAAAGCTGGTTTTGGAAAAAGTTTTTTTATTTATTTATTTTATTATTATTGTTGTTTGATGGATATGATATGATATGAATGCAAAAATGATGATTGTATATATTGATGAGATGATGCTTTGTTTAATATTCAGACTTTCCTTTAAGCATGGATAGATCTGGTTCGATGTATCCTGGCTTGTCGATGACGTCGAAACGCTCTTGGAGCAACACTCTGAAAATGAATGCAGCCATGAGTGCACCAACCATTGGACCCAACCAGTAGATCCAGTGATTGTACCAGGTTCCACCGACAATCGATGGACCGAGTGCTCTCACTGGGTTGAGTGCACCTCCTGTGAATGGCAGTGCGACGGCGACACCGGCAAACAACGCCATACCAATGGCGAACGGTGCAATTCTATTGAGTTTACGATCCCAGATGTTGAAAATCGATGTACCGAGCACAATCATACAGAGGAAACTGGTGGTGATCATTTCAAAGAGGAAACCATTACCCGAACCAACGCCAGGTCCGAGACGTGTGTTACCTAGCGCCTGAGTGAAACGCCATGGGATGCAACCTTTGATGATGGCGGCACCCGCTATGGAACCAACGACTTGTGCAGCGATGTAGGCGATCGCATTGATCAGACCGACACGACCGGACAACATGTTAGCCACTGAAACGGCGGGATTAAGATTACAACCGGAAATACCAGAAATCGACCAAATGAGTGCTGCCAACGCAAAACCTTGGATAGTGGAAATCAAGAGAATTCTTGCAGCGGAATCTCCACCGGTGACGTAGAACGCAGTCATTACAGAACCAGCAGCATAAAACACCAGAAACATAGTTCCCAAAAACTCGGCGATAACTCCCTTAAATAACTTTTTAAATCTCGATTGGGGAATTCTAACCTTCATCTTTGTAATATCCCTACCGGGATCATAAGTAATTAATCTAATGGGTGGTGCTATCTTCATTTTTTTATATATCTATAATATTAAATATTTAGATTTATTTATTAATAAATCATTTATTAATTTAAAATATTTAAACAACTTAATCTTAAACTTGAAACTTACAAATTTATTTAATTATAATAATTTATTTATAGTTATTATTTTTTAATAATTATTATAAAAGTTTTTTAGATGGATAAGAAAAAAATAAGATAGATAAAATACAAATAGAATTTTAAATATGAATAATAATAAAAACAAACTTATTATTCTATCTATTTGTTCAATTTCGATTCCATCTAATTGTTGTTGAAGTGGTAGTGTGATCTATCATATCTTAAAAATGTGTATATATTTAATTATATCAGTGGATATTTATTTAAACACACCATTTCTTTATTTATTCTATTTTAAATTTACATTTAAGGAAATATTATAAACCAAATTGAATCATATAGACTTACGTATATTTCATTGTATTAATTTTCAAAAAGAGATATCAAGCTGTATAAGTGATAAACGGATATTATTATTAGATTGATATATCTGTACATTCTGTTGTATAAACAAAAAAATAAAATAAAATAAAAACAAAGGTGTTAGATAGTGGTTATTATTTCGAATTTGATTAACGATATTTCAAATTTATCTGTATTTCGAGTGTGTATAGAGTATGTGTTTGTGTGTGTTTGTGTGTTTGTGTGTTGAAGTCAATCTACGCATTTTTGTCATATATCGTATCTATCATTTTCGTATTATAATTTCAATTTAATAATAAATAATAAATAAATGAAAATAATAAATACATAAATATTTTTCAAATTTTAATGTATTTGTTTAGTTTGCATATTTTTGTTGAGAATGAAACATGTTTTGAGTATTTCTTCTGTAATTTTAATTTAAATGTGTTGTTATTAATAATTTTTTTTTTTTTTTTTGCCGCCAAAGCTTTAGGTTTTCGTTTTTTTTTTTTTTTGTATGAATTTTTTTTTTTTTGATCAAACTTTCATACCATTAAAAATACCAGGGTCTTTGATCCTTTTCAAATCATTTCAAACAAAAAAAATGAAAACCCCACATTTAATGTTAACTGTGGTGTGATGGGGCACCCGTTGAGTTTTTTTTTTCACCTTTTAAACAAAAAACAAAACTATTGATTACTACCTTATAAATCTACCTACAAATTTGATTTTTTTTTTTTTTTAACAAATAGTGACTTGTAAAACAACAATCATAAATAATAATAATAAATATATAACAGATATAAATATTTCACCATTTTACACCATTCAAAAAATTTAGTAAATTTATTACAACATCATAGAGTGCAAAAACAAAAAAAAATTAACGCCAATAACACCCAAATCACTTTCTCACCACCCTTTTTGCACCACATACAGGTGAAAAACAAAAAATAAAAAAACTAAAAAAAAACAAAAAAAATTCAAAACAAAAATAACAACAACGACAACAACAAACATATTATTAAATTTCATCAACAACAAAGTGTTTGGTCCACTCTCAAGACACACAATACCAACTCAAATAATAGATAATAATCATAACTAAGAATAAAACAATAAAAGTAATACTAGTTTGTTTGTGATTTGTTAACAAATATCATCAAAAAGTAATAATAATATAGATATTTATTTATTTATACTTTTTTTTCGTTATTATTTTTCAGATCTTTGAAAGTTGGTTTCATTTTAGTTAAGCTCAAAAGTTTAGGTTAACCAAGTTAGTTCAACACTCAACACAATAACAACAATATTATTATTAGTATATATATATATTAATTATTTTATTATTTAGTAACTTTTTATTGTATGTTTGTAATAATAGTCAATAGTTGTAGTGAAATAACATTAAAGTAATTAATTGGATTAAAAAAAAAAAAAAAAAAAAAACTTAATTTAGAATTGTTTTGTTCAAACAATCTAAATATATATAACACCTTCAAATCAATCTATTTTTATTATTTTTGTGATAATTAATAATAATTTTAGATTAAAAACAACAACACTTCACACACTCACATCACATATATATAATATATTTATATATTTTTTAAAAGAAAGAAAGAAAGAAAAAGTAGAATGGATGAATCACATTTAAAGACAACAAGAGAATGGATGCATCATTCATCTATTCAAAGAAATGGATTGGCTAGCTCCTCGGGAGATCAAAAACAACATTATTTCGTGCCACAACCCGATGAAGATGAGAATGAAGATACTTTTTTGACTCGTGAAGAACTTACCAATCCAGTGGAGTTGGCAAAGGCAGTCAAAACAAGATTACCATTATATGTTCCAATTGTAAAGGTAAGTTAGAAACCTAATCATTAACAAACACACACATATCGGATTCGATCAAATTACTAAAAAAAAAAAAACATTCACAGTGGATTAGACAATATTCAAGACAAGATCTAATTGGTGATATATTGTCATCTATTACAGTAGCCACTATGTTGGTACCACAAGCATTGGCCTATGCAATTCTAGCCGGTGTGCCACCAATTTATGGTTTATATTCAGGTTGGTTACCATTGGTGATTTACGCATTCATGGGTAGTTGCAAGTAAGTGAAAAAACAAACGTAAAACATAACAAATTAATTTGTTACTTACTTTTTTTTATTTATTATTATTATTTATTTTTTTTTAGACAATTGGCAGTTGGACCTGAAGCTTTGTTGTCAGTGTTGTTAGGAACTCTTCTAGTTGGTAGTAATGAGGAGGATAAAGCCGAGTATGCACATTCATTGGCATTTTTAGTTGGTGTTGTCAGTTTCCTCTTTGGTATTCTTCAATTTGGATTTATGGGTAGCATCATTTCGCGTTGGGTACTCTCAGGTTTCATCAATGCCGTCGCTTTGATTATTGCAATCTCACAGTTGGAAGCTCTTCTTGGATTGGAACCTGGCAAAAAAACCCAAGCCCACGACTTGGAAGCGCTTCTTGGATCGAGCTCTGGCCAGGAAACCCAGCCCCACGACGGTCCCTATCAGAAATTCTGGTATGCTATAACACATCTTGGCAGTGCCAACAAAGCTACCATTATCTTCTCGGTCGGATGCATCGTCTTTTTGTTTGGTATGCGTATAGTGAAGATGATTCTCGCAAAGAGGGGATTCAAGTATGCTAAGTACATCCCAGATATTATGTTGGTCGTCGTCATTTCGATCTTGATCACTAAATTCGGCGAACTCGAAAGTCATGGTGTTGCTGCCATTGGAGACATCGATGGTGGTTTCCCAATTCCCAGATTCCCCAAGTTTGATTTGGAAGAGTTGAGAGCAATGCTCCCAGAAGCATTTTTGATTGTCATTATTGGTTTCGTCGAAGCCACTGCAGTTTCAAAGGGTCTCGCCACAAAACACAATTATTCGATCAGCTCCAATCGTGAGCTTGTCGCTTTCGGTACTGCCAATATTTTGGGTTCGATCTTCAAGACCTACCCAGTGTTTGCTTCGATCCCACGTACCAGTATCCAAGATTCGTCGGGTTCACGTACCTGTTTGTCTGGTTTCCTCACTTCCTGTCTTCTCTTGTTCACTTGCCTCTTCTTGACTGGCCTCTTCTACCATCTTCCAAAATGTACGATGGCTTCTATTATCTTTGTTGCCGCCTTTGGTTTGTTGGAGCTTCACGAAGTCGTCTTCCTCTGGAAAACTAGATCCTGGGGTGACTTGGTACAATTCATGGTTGCTTTGCTTGCCACCTTTATCTTGGAGGTCGAAATTGGTATTCTCATCTCTGTTGGAATGTGTATCTTCTTGGTATTGAAGCACTCTTCATCGCCACATGTCTACAGTGTTCTTGGAAGAGTTCCAGGAACCAACCGTTTCAAAGATGTTTCCAAGTTCCCAGAGGCCGAACCAATCGAAGGAATCCTCTTGATTCGTATCGACGAAGTTTTATACTTTGCAAACATTTCACAGTTCAAGCAGCTACTTGCTGAGATCGAGCGTATGATGGACAAGTCCGCTATGGAGGCTGGTAACGGTGGTACTCCACTCCAATCGATTATTATCAACATTGTCAACATTCCTGTTGTGGATGCCAGTGCTCTCCTTACTCTCCAAGAGATGGTAGAAGCCTATCACAAGCGTAACATCAAGGTATCATTTGTTCAGATGTCCGAGAAGATCAAAGATTCCTTCAAAAAGTCTGGATTGTACGATTTGATTACACCACAACTCATCTTTGATTCCAACTACGAGGCTGTCACCTATCTCGAGCACAACTCCAACCAAAATGCCAACGACCTCTCTGTTGATATTCCAACAACCAGAGGTGCATTCGATCAAGATGAAGAGGACTACACTCCAAGTAGCCCTGGTGCAATCATTGCTGATGGTATAAGAATGGACGATTTTTCCGATCCAGATTCAGATGAATTTATAACTAAAAAATAAGATTATAAATAATAATAAGTAATAATACGAATAGACAGAACAAATCATTTTTAAACAAATTATAATAACAAAATCATATCATATATAGTAATATTAATAGTATATTATACAAAACCAACCAACCAACCAATCAAACATTTAATTTATTTAATAATAATAATAATATATTCTTGAAATCAATTCACACAATTTAAACGTATCAATAAAAACCGTAATGATATCACTCCCAAAAGGTTGAAAGCCTTTGGAATTATAAATAATATACAATTTTTCGAAAGTACATTGTTCTTTATTTTTTAGTTAATAAAACTTTGGTAACTGACCAAACTGTTTTGAATGATGCAATTAAATAGTAATAATGGAATTGAATGGTTCTATAGATTTCCAATAGATCTGCTTCATTCATCTTTAGATCACATCCATTCTTCATTGCTTCCTCTTGGAGATCTTTTACAAGTCTTGATTTCATTGATCCCAATTTAATCAAATTGTATTCTAAAATCGATGGATAGCTATCACCGATATTGTTCATCTCCAAAAGTTGTAGTTGATTTTGATTCGATAGTAATTTAACAATATCATTTGATAGATTTGGAATGTTTCTATTGTTGTTGTTGTTGGAACTGGCTATATGACCATTTATGAAACCTTTGGGTGAACCAATGGCGTCTACAACACTGAGATATCTTGATTCCAGTTGGAATGGATTATGGGTGAACTTTGCAATCATACCCCAGTATTTACTTTCGATATTTGACTTTTTCAAATAGTAGCTTTGCCAGTAGGTAGGTTGGAGCTGTGGTTTATAGTCTCTTTCGTGATATGGGTGGAAAGGTCCCGTAATTGCCTGGATATATGCTAGTCCATTCAATTGAAGATTCGTTTGGCAGAATTCAAAGAGATCTTGATCATTCTCTCGTTCATCGATTTCAATACAAATAATTTTATCATAACTCTTTTCTTGGCCATAATAACTTTCGTCTTGATTAATGAACTTGATGTTAATGTTTTGTTGATTCTGAATATGTTGTTTTAGTGATCTAAACTGATGTGGTTTCTTTGTCAATACATCTAAACGACATCCAGTTTCTCCGATAATATTCAACAGCTCGATTGATCCAGATTCAATTATTAAAACATTATCGCTTTGTTTAATATCCAATTTATCAACTATATGTTGGTAGTGTGCTTTATATAATTGATGAACATCTTGATCGCTTTCTAATTTTGATTCACTAAATAATCAAATAAAAAGTTAGATATATTGATTTTTTTAAAGTATTGTTAAAACTATTAATTGACTTACTTTTCTATACAACAATGAACATTGTTATTGTTTGGATTGATATAGTTTGATAATATTGATGGGTCAATGAATTTCGATACTCCACCCCAAGTATCTTTATCAATTGATGGTGTGGTTGTTGAACAAGCAGTTAGGTCACAGAGCAATGCAATGAGTGATACCATATCGTCACAAATGAAATCATTTGCCATATAGGCCATTCCAAGTGCTTTTGCACAGAATCCAGTCTTTTGATGATAGAGATATAGTTTCCAATAGAATTCATAGTTTAATACATTGACTTTGATTAGCTTGTTCGATTCAGTCAAAAGATTCTCTGGTGTTGGCATGTTATTACTTGGTGCTATCTTATTGTTATTGTCAATGGTGACCGTCGATCCATTGGGATTGCTGAAAACGAACAATCCATTTGGAAAAGTAGATAGATAATCCATAAACCATTTACTTGCAAAACTCTGTAGTGGTGATGCCTCGATGATGATTGTTGTGTTTTCCAGTGGTGGGTTTGGTTTGGCATAGACATTAAGTCCTTTGCTATAGTGGAGTTTGGCAGCCTGGTACATAATTCTTGGGAGGGTCATCAAAGTTGTAATAGGATAGCTAACCAGTAATCGTAGTAGGTTGGTATTTGAGAGTGAATTGGCCGGCCATTTAGACCAAAGTCGAGTGGTAAGAATGAAATTTTGATCGGACGGCACTGTTTCGAGTGATGTTGACTTTAAGTTGGACAACAGGTTGATTCTAATGTCAAAGCAGGTGCGAATGTCAGAGAAGCAAAAGATGTACGATCCATCGAGTGAATTGAAAGGACTGACATGAAAATCTTTGTTTTGTTCGGCAAAAGTGAGGTATGGCTCATTGTTGATGGCAAAATGAGGCGTTTGTTCGTCTCTGGAGGTGGTACGTGGGAAATAGAGATGTGTCTCACCAAAAGTATTGTTAATCTCAACGATGATCTGTAGCAGAGTGCTCTCTCGACTGTAGCAATAGTAAAAACTGACGGGATTGAATTGCAAATTGAGATATCGCGGCATTGTAACCAGTTCGACTCGGTCTATCAGATCTGGACTAGCAATGACATCGGTAGAGTCATCCGATTGCTTCTGAAGCAGTTGCTTTCTGTATTCATTTGTGTAGATCTCTATTACCTTTGATTTAATATTTCTTTTCTCTTTTCCCATGTAATCGGTGTCATCTATTGAGAAAGGTCGTAGACTGTTATGACCAAAACAACTACTATTCAATTGACCTGACTCCAGCTCGTCTAAATCCACAATAAAATAGAAAATATCATATAAAAAAGAATGTTTTATAGGAAATAATCTTGAATGTGTGACTTTTGCTGTATAATATCTTGATTTTAAAGATGACTTTTGCATCATATTTTTTCTATTTATAGAATATAAATAAATTAAATTAAAATAAGATGAATTTTTTTGTAAAACTAATAATGATCATTTCAGTTAAAAATTAAAAAAAAATTTAAATTTTAGAAAATCAATTATGTTTTCAGCTATTTTGATGTGTTTTATAAATAGTATAGTATATAATATAATAATATATCGATCGCATCAGAGACTTTTGTCGAAACAATCATAATTTCTTGCTAATGGTGAGCAAGAGGGGTGCTTGAAAGTAGAGAAAGCAATTTTAAATCGCTAGATCAAATTTATAAATAACATCACACCAATGAGTTATGAACATTAGTCTTTTCACCTTTCATATTAATTACCATTGTTTCAAGTTACACAATGTTGGTCGAAGATAATTTAATTTTCAAACTTTTTTATTTTAAATTTTCCAAAAGTTCTTTTGTAAAAAAAACATCTTCAAATAAATATTGGTAACTTCAAATAAATAATGATTGGTTTTGTTTTTATTTTTGATGGATTTTATTAAATTATCTTTTGATTTTAAAATCAAAAATTGATTAAATAATGGTTGTTTATTTTTGTTCAACTGGGTGCTTCATGATGTAAGTCAAAAGATCAATCTTTGTAACGATAGATACAATTTCATCATTGTCAGTGACGATTGCAGATGAATGAGACTCGAAAAACTTTTGTAAACTGGCAAGTGAGGTTTCGGTGGAGATTGAAACAAAGTGTTCGTTTCTGTGGAATCTGAACATGACCTTGCTGACTGGGTCGGTTGGCATTGAACGCTTCGATGAGATGTGTGAGAGCAAATTACCGAGGGTGACCAAACCAAGGAGTTTCTTGGTTTCAGAGACGACTGGAAGTTGATCGAATCCGTGCTTCTGGAGCAACTCGACGGCAGCTGCACAGGTGGTGTTGGCAGAGACGGTGATTGGCTTTGGCAAGTTCAAATCCTTGATTGTGGCACCGTGGTATTTCTCCTCCTCGGTGGTTTTGTACGATGGGTAGACTGGGTTGACGAAACCGTTGTCGACCATCCAGTCGTCATTCAAATGCTTGGACATGTAGTTACGAATGGAGTCGGCGAGCAACACAACACAACGTTGTCCTTCACCGAGTTGAGCGGCAGCCTTCAAGGCACCGACCATGGCGGAACCAGAGGATCCACCACAGAGCAAACCTTCCTCCTTAATCAAACGACGGGCCATGATGAACGACTCGGAGTCCTCAGACTTTACCCACTCGTCAACGAGTGAACGATCCAAAACCTTTGGAATGAAATCGTAACCGATACCCTCGATCTTGTACGAGGTGATCTTGGTCTCGTTCAACGAAGCTGGCACGGCCAAGATGGAACCGAATGGATCGACACCGACAATCTTGACGTGTGGCAAACGCTCTTTGATCTTACGAGCGATACCGGTGATGGTTCCACCAGTACCGGCAGTGCAGACGACCATATCGATCTTACCATCGCATTGGTCGATGATCTCCTCGGCGGTACCATCGTAGTGAGCGAGTGGATTCGATGGATTGGCATATTGATCCAAGATGTGAGAGTTTGGAATCTCAGCGTTCAACTTCAAGGCGACACCAATGTGTGACTCCGGTGAGTCAAAGGCGGCTTCAGTTGGTGTACGAATGATAGTGGCACCGAGAGCCTTGAGAACGTCGACCTTCTCTTGTGACATCTTCTCTGGCAAGGTGATGATCATCTTGTATCCCTTGATGGCGGCGGCCAAAGCCAAACCGATACCGGTATTACCAGAGGTTGGCTCGATCAAAGTGTCACCTGGCTTGATACGACCAGATGCCTCAGCATCGAGAACCATACGGTAACCAATTCTATCCTTAACTGAACCACCAGCATTGAAAAATTCACATTTGGCCACTAATATAATAATAATTAAATTAATTATTTATTTTTTATTTTTTTATTTTTTATTTTTTATTTTAATTTATTTTATTTTTTTATTAAATAATGATATAATTTATATTTTTATTTTTAAAATCAAAAATACACATCATCATAGGAGACTAATAATAATACTAAAAGTAAACAAACTTGATTTATTGGTGTTGCTGTTTGTGATGTTCTTCTTAGATCTTTTTTTTTTTTTTTTTTTTGTTGTTTCAAGATTTTTTTTTTTTTTCGAAAATGTTCCGCGAAGGTGAAAAAATGAATTCCCAAATTTCCTCGTGTGCTCCACATCATGATGTATAAATTGTTTTGTAGTAGTAGTAATTAAATTATGATTATACTTACATAATTCACATTTCAAACCCTTTGAAACATTATTGATTCTAACCAATGGTGTATTTCCGATTTGTTGAAGAATGTTATCATAGATCTTTGGTGTTTCTTTACTAAAAGCATGAAAAAGAATAAGAAAAATAAAAGTTAATAAAACTATTCTTTTGATTACTTGATATGAATGAATAACACAAATATATTAACATGATTGATTGATTGATTTATTTGTTTAAAAACCAAAAAAAAACCAAAAAAAGATTTTAGATTGAAGATATTTTGACTTGACTTGCAAAATTTGCTGACGTGCTATGTTGATGAGGAGAAGCCAACTACTTACGCTCTAGTGGAATGTGGACACTTCTCGGTAGTACCTAACGACCAGGTGCACTTTGATGGTTGGTTCATATCAGCCATTATAATATATATACAATAGAAAACTAGTAACTTTCAAAAAAAATAATGATAATTGAACGAGACTTCTTTAGTTCTATGCTTTTAAAGAATTCTTTTGAAAAAAGCAAAAAAAAAAAAAAAATAAAAATAAAAATAAATCAAAATTAATTCAATTTTTTTTTTAAAATCAAAATTTAATTTAATTTTAAATAAAATTATTTCATATTACATTTTTTAATATTTAAATCTTGAATATAAAAAAAAGAAATATATAACACATAAAAACAACAATAACATTAACAATAACAAATTAAAACTAATAAATTACATCAATTATCATAAATGATGAATGTTTGTTTTTTTTTTTTTTCACAAACTTATAAGTTTTTAACAATTTAAAATAACAATAACGAATGTCGATTAAATTCTTAGTATTATAATACAAATTATTCTTAGTTATTATTCATCTGAAGATTAAATTTTTTAATCTTTTGAAAAATAACAACAACACCAGAACTTCAGTTTAATTGGTTAAATTGAATAGATAGAAAAGAAAAAAATCAAATTTAATTGTTTTCATTATTTTTGTTTTTATTGTTATTTGTGTGTGTGTGTGTGTTATACTAAGTGTGTTGGAAAAATTAATGATATTCAGAATAAATAACACACAAAGAGAGAAAGTAAAATTATTAAAATGGATAGTTCAATTGCGAATGATGAATTTGTCATTATGCAAACACCTTATCAAGCATGTCTGGTGTGGGAAAATAACTATCATCTTGACTTTATCAAGCCATTTTCGTCACACTACATTCGAATTTGAGGTGAAGTTGAATCGACCAGATGATAACCTCATTGGTGTGGTTGTGTGTTGTTTTTCATTAAACAAACTTTTGGTATTATAATTACCATACCATAGTATACCACAGACACTGGAATTATTATGTTGTTGAAACGAAAAACGATTGTTCATTGCAACCGGAAAAGGAAGAAATACACACAATTGCTATAGTTGTTTATTTGTGTGAATGTGTGTGTGTGTGTGTGTTGTGTGTGTGTAATACTAAGTGATATCAGGGATTTTCAATTTCGAGTTTTAAAAAAAATTAAAAAGAAATACCAATATCTTGAAAGAATTCTTTGACTCTATTTATTATTTTTATTTCTTTTGTTTGTTTAATAACTAAAAATAGTACTATAACTAAAATTTTAAAATAATAATAACAATAAAATCAAATCTAATTAATTAAATAATAATAATTATAATTTCATTTATATTTCCATATATTTCCAAATTATCTTTTTTATTATAAATATCTTAAATAATTAATTTAGTAATTATAAAAAAAAAAGAAATTAATAGATTTTGATATTTTAATTAATTTATTTAAATAGTATTTATATAATAATAGTATATTTATTTGTATTGGTAGTTTTTTTTTTTATAAATCATAATTTCTATTTGTTTTTGCTAAAAAGGTAAATATTAATATTTTTTATCTCTAAATAAAAAATTATTCATTATTAATTATTTTAATTTTTTTTTTTAATTTTGATTATAGGAATGAAAACAAAAACTACAAAATTAGTTCTCGACGAAAGAAATATAGTTGAGAACACCAGAAAAACTCAGTACCTGGGTAGAGATAGAGCACCGGGTGCACCCAATGATCCCTATTACTATGATCAATCAAAGGGTTTGGGATATGAGGAGACTCATAGAATGTCCAAGCATGTAGATCGTACCACCATCGATCCAAAGAAGGGTGGTAAGGACTACTACTCACGTGATGAATATCTCAGAGATTACAATCGTGATTTGAATGGTCGTCCCTATGTTGGTCCAATGGATCGTGTTTCCACCACTATCAAAGACCCAAAGGCCAGAAAGAACCAAAAGATTGAAGAGCGAAGATACATGGAGGAAGCCGCTGCCACGAATGTCAATCCACTCAGCCAGGTCGCTGCTCACGAGTTGGAGGCACCATTGTTGGGTCCAGACGGTTTGCCATTGAATGCTCTCTCTGTCAACGCTCCACTCAACGTACAATTGAAGCGTCACTACAATTCGATTGAACGTTTGATGGAGACCAGAATCTTCCGTGAGAAGACTGACGAGCGTACAAAGAAGATCGTCTATGACATTCGTAATTTGGTTGCCGATCTCATCTTGATGGTCGAAAGTCGTGGTACCGACAGACAGTTGATGAGTATCTTTGAAGATATGATGCTCTTCCGTACCGATATGGTCAATGACTCTGAGTTTAAGACTCTTATTTCCAACTGGCAATCTACCATCACCAAGTTGGCTACCGGTGACCAATCCAAGGGTCTTTTGAATGTAGGTAAGAAGCTTTTCGGAGACATCCGTCACTCTGACTCCATCTTGAAGTTGCTCTCTGAAGGTGCCAAGTTCCTCCAAATGATTATCTTGGACCGTACCAATCCACTCATCCCAGAACAAAGAGAGCTTGTATTTGACCTTTTCTTCAAGGCATTCGGTATTCTCTCTGCCAATCCAGCATGGCAACAGTTTGTCTCTCAGAGTAGAACCTTCACTACTGATATCTATGATACTCAAAAGTACGAGCTAAAGACTGCCGGTCCCAAGCTCGAGTCGATTGCCAACAATCCCAACTTGAGCAGTGCTGGTAATAGCTTTAAGGAGCTCCTTCAATCGTTGATTCGTGACCGTTCCGTTGCTGACATTGACAAGTTTATCCAGTACGGAAGAGAATCGATCGTCGAAATCCAAAAGAATCCACAGTATGAGAATTTCTTTGGTGATCTCAGACAAATCATGTTGGAGATCATGGAGAATCCATCTCTCATGGACGATCCAGCCACCAGAAAGGTACTCAGAGACATGTACAACCGTGGTGAGACTATCTTGACAGAGACTCGTAACAACCCATCCCTTCAAAAGTTTGTCTCTGAGGGTGGTCGTATCAAGGAAGGTATTGCAACCGACGAACTCAATGCTCGTTTCTATGAACATCTCAAACAATTCTACAGCAACTTTACTACTGGTCCAGGTAAGGCACCGATTGACCTCAAGTTGCTCAATCAACTCAAGATGCTCTTTGTACCATTCTTGCTTGAGGAGTTCAGAACCATCACCGTTCCCGGACAAAGTGGTATGACACCAGACAAGAAGATCGGTTTCCGTATTGGTTCAATCAATATGTCATCGATTGAAATGCTTCCAGAGAACATTCATTTTGAAATTTCACACAAGCTCAATGCTGATCCATATACCCTCTCCATCATTGACCCAGACACTGTCGTTTGGGTAGAGTTGACTTCCATTCGTTGTCGTATCGATAGATTGCCATGGGCATTCGAGAAATACACATTCCCCAAGCTCAAGGATGCCGGTCACTGTGATATTCGTATGGACGGACGTGGTTGTAGAGTTGGTGTTGAGCTCAGATTGCTCTCCAGCGGACACCAGAGATTCACCCAAATCTTGGATTCCTATTGTTCCATTGACAAGCTCAATGTTCGTCTCTATGATTGTAAGCACAGAATCATCTACAAGTTGTTCAATGGTATCGCCCAAACTCAAATCAGAAAGGCAGTTGAGAAGGCAGTTGCCGAGAAGATCGCACAACTCATTGCCGAGAATGACTACAAGTTGATGAGCAAGTTCCAGACTGCCAAGTACCAAGCTTCTATCAAGGCACAACAATTGCAATCCAAGGTTACCAACATGAAGAATAACCTCAAGAACAAGAAGATGGTTGCTCCAAAGCAAACTAAATTGATGGAATCTTCATTCATCAAGAACCTCACTGGTTTCGGTGAACAATCATCATCTGGAGCTGCCTCTTCATCTGGAGCCACTGCTTCATCGTTGGCTGGTGCCAGAGGTTCAAGAATTCTTGAACAAACTACCACCACCACAACAACAACCTCCTCTGCTCCATTGGTCTCGGGTAACATTCCAGGTCAAACCATCACCTCGACAGCTCCAGTCGTAACCACCAGCAATGTTGCACCAATCCAACCAACAGTCACACAATCGTATGTCTCGCAGCCACAACAACCAATGACCTATGTCTCGCAACAACAGTATGAGACCATCAGTCAGGGTACCACTCTCGGACAGCCATTGACTCAATCAATTGGCTCCAACATCCCACAACAAGCTACTGATGTGATTCAAACATACTCTACCAGCTCCCAACCTGCACCATCACAGGCCATCAAGACATTCAGTCAAACCGTCGAGGGTAAGATGGTTGAAGATCCAAGCATCACACCAAACTATGTAGGACCAAGTTCAAACTAAAGTACTGAATATTTCATTTTTTTCACCAAATATTTGTTTATTTAAATTTATTTATTTTAAAAAAAAAGATATATATTAAAATAAAAAGAATTGTAAAAGTTTAAAAAAAATAATATTTTGTTTCTTTTTTTTTTTTTTTCCAAAAAATACTTGCACCAAATCATCAAATCAGCTGACTATTGATAAAAATAGAATAATTTGACAAGGTTTGACTATATCTAAGTTTATATTTACTTTCTTATCACTGATTATCAAGATAGTGAATATGGGATATGTTCCCCGTCACTCTACCAAGTATGCAATATCGAAGATTTCTTTGAATAGTTCTTCAATCAATCCGGTTGACCGGCTTAATTTCCTACAATGATTTTTCGCTCAGTCAGATTAGCAACAAACGAAGTCTCGCACTATTATTCCAAGTGGTTATCTTATAAATTATTTAATTTATTTTATCCAATTTGTATCCAATATACAATATATTTAAATAAAGGCTTTGATGATTGCAACAAATACCATTGTTATTACTAATACAACTAAAACCAGCAGGATGCACAATCTATTTCTATAACCTTTCTGAAGTTCGTTGGTTTCTTTGAGTTCTACAACAGCACCGGTGAGTGCATCCTCGGTTTGATCCAAATTATATTCAATCTGATCCATAAGAGTTCCCTGTTTAATGACCAGCGTTGAAATGTCATGTACAATAGATGACAAATCCTCAATGGATTTAACAATTTGTTTGATCTCACGATCTCTCTTCGCTACTTCTTCTTCCATCTCGGTGACAACATGTGTCTGTACTATTGTGAATCCAACGCCTGCTGGCTCTGTATCACTATCTGAATCCTCTGTCCAACCAATACTACTTGAAGTATTCTTTTGTAATTCTGAAATGAAAAATAATAATCATTGATCGCGATCAGTATATATATGTTTAATATAATATCATTATTAATGTTATATTCATAGAAATACTTTACTATTTAAATATGATCTTTGTTTCCTCTTAAAATCTAAAGAAACTTCTTGTAACTTTGATGATTTAGCAGATTGTATATTTTTCTTTAACTTTACTTCCTCCGATGTCATCTCTTTAGCACCCAAGTTCTCAATCAACCTGTGTGTCTTGCGAATATCCTACATAATATTAGAATGTTCAACAAAATTGATTCAATACTCTTAGCAATTCTCTAATCGAAATAATCTAATGATATCTTACCATCGCAATTTCTTTTGTTAAAATCTCTATTTCTCTTTCATCTTCAGTGTTACTCTCGAATGTTTCTAAATTTCTTGTATGTAGTTTACCTAGTTTCTCAACTATATTATTGTTTGTCATTAATAATAAATAATAAACCAAATGAAATATAAAAACAATAATAATAATGATCTATCGTATAATTTTACCTCTTTCAGCTATAATTCTTAATTTAATATCAATATCATTGATTCTGATCCATTTCGGTAGGACATTAAGTGTTTCTAATTGAACTGCGTTTGGATCATCGACACCGATCAAAGGTATTGTCGAAGTTGTATCTTTCTTTGTATTATATGGTCTATGATTCTTTGATTGAGATCTAAGCTCTAAAAAGGCTGGTGTTCTATTTCTAAATGCCATTCTGTGTTCTATATTATTATAATAGTATATATTGTAGTATTATTATGTTATACTATGTGATTTGATGGTGATCAAGTCTGATCTATAAAAATAAAAATAAAAAATAAAAAATATAAAAAAATTTCTCGAATAAATAATAATAATAATATAAATTTAAAAAACTTTGTAAAAAAAAACAATAATAATAAAATATATTTTATTAAAAACAATGAAATAAAAAAATGATATAATTATATATGATAACGGTTCATTCAAAAATTTGATTAAAAAAAAAAATTAACACTAAAGTTTTTTTAAAAAATAAAAAATTAAATGAAAATTATTCGCTGATTGATAGTGTTCCCTGGTGGTGTAAATCACCTCATTTTGATCCCGATCAAAATTTATTTATCTTTGGCATTATTAATATTATTTCAATACTTGTACTTGTAATAAATACATTATTTTCAAATATGTAAAATTATTAATATATTAAAAAGAGGTCAGATTTTAATCTAGAAATTGTAAAAGAAACACAAACATAATGATACCTTATCATGTTGTCATTAATTTCAAAAAAAAACAAACTATCTAAAAATCTGAATTAATTTAGAAAATTAAGGTAATGCTTATGAAGAAAAAAGATCTTTATAAAATATCTCAACAAAAAAGTAGAAAATAAAAATTATTTATTTATTCCTTAATAAAAAAAGAAATAATATAAATATCCTTTTCTAGTAGATAGAACCTTTGTCCTTACCGTCGACAGATCAATCAAATAACTAGTTATTTCCATCTTTTCTAAATAGTTTCTTGATTTTTAATTTAGACACGGTTTGATTTTTTATTTTTCATATTTTTTTATTTTTTCAAACATCTTGGCAGTTACATCGATTTTGATATACAATACCAACCAAAATTGAAACAGCTATTTAAAAAGAGATTCAAAGTTTTCGAAATCAATCAGTCAGTCAACAAACTAACAACATCTTAACAACTCAACTTGTAAACTTAACTTTTTGTACATATATTATTATTTTATTTATTTTTAATTTTTCAATATAAAAAAAAAACATGAGATTCAAAGTTACATGGAAGGAAAACAAGTTGGTAATCCCAGCTGGTAATATAAATGACAAGGTTTCTCGTTTGTTCAAGGATATCGGTGACCGTTTCACTCCATACAATCCAAGTGATGACGATTTGATCATCTCTGAATTGCGTACTGCTGATGGTTTCTTTGTTTCCCCACATCTTACCATCTCTGATGCTTTGGTAGATGGAGATTACTTGACTGCTGTTGATTTCGATACCTGGAAGAATGAACAATACAAGTAAGTTAAAATTCTAGAATCAATAAGATAAGATTTGTTTTGATCATTTCTTTTTTTCCTTTTAAAGTCAAAAAAAAAAAAACAAAAACACTAATTTTATTTTTTAATTTTTCTTTTCTTTATTTTTAGATTATGTAAAACAATTTTTGAAACTATTAGAGTAAAGGATCATGATAAGGATACCACATTAAATACCTCAATTGGTATCAATACCAAGAATAATTTATTCATTTCTGTCAGTGTTGGAACTACTTTGATGAGATTGGATCTTTTCGATTCCTCAGACTTGAAGTTGTACGCCAAGGACGGAAAGCACTTGGTTACTCTCTATGACAATGAAGAAACCAAAGCTTCATCCAAGGCATTCTTTGTTGTTGAGAACGGTTCGGTCGTTGCCGTTGAGGTCCAATCAAAGACCTTGACTTCACCAAGCGAGGAGATCCGTGTCGTCAAGATCCAACGTGTCGGTAAGAAGATCAGCAAGTTGGATGTCGTCAACGTCCAATCGGCCTACAAATTCACCACCCTCCCAAATGTCACTTTCCCAGAGCCAACCAAGACTGGATTCGAATTCCCAGATACCACTTTGGATTGCTACACCGATGGTGTCGGTGGAAACGGTACCAAACCAGAGGACTACTTCAAGGTTACCTCCACCTCCAACATTAGATTCGAGCAAATCGATAGAACCTTTGTTGAACACGGTTGGTTCCAATCGGACAAGGGTATCACCAACAGTTTCTACTACACCGACATCCAAGTCGTCAACAATTCATCCGACAAGATTTCACTCACCAAAGTCTCTGCCGAGTACCAAGACTTGGAAGGAAACTGGGTTGCTGCCGATGGTTGTTTCTTTGGTTTCAAGAAGGGTATCTACAACTACGCCTGGCACTACGACGCCACCGTTGTTCCAATTACACCAAAGGAAGTGTTCCACGTTGCATTGAACGTCCGTATTCCAATCAAGAAGAACTTGGCCGACAAACAACGTCGTTCCGCTCTCTGCATGGCAGATCCATTGAACATCAGAATCACCTTGATCGATTCCACCCAAGTCAGCACCGTCCTCCCAATCAAGTATGTCAACAAGACCAAATACCCAGTAGTTGTTACCCAAGCTTCCCGTCAAAAATACATTGGAGAGTCAACCAAGATCGTCCACTTCCAATACATCGACTCTTTGGAAAGAGAAGACAGAACCTACGTACAAATCGGTAAGGTCGTTGAACAAGGTAGTGAAAACTTGGTTTTCTCTACTTCATTGAACTCCACTACCTATTACATCAACAATGATACTCTTGCCAAGTTCTCATGGGAAGCCAAGAAGACCAAACAATCCAAACTCGAAACCAAGTTTGGTGAAAAGAAAGAAGGTCACGAACTCAAGGTACATGCCATCGTCGACTTGGAATCAGGTGTTACCACTGGTCTTCAAATTGAACTTTCATCCAAGGATGCATCTTCAACTCAATACTTTGTTATTCCACCACTTGTCTAATTAAGCCGATCGTTAAAATTGAAATTGCAATATTAATTTCAATCCTTTTTTTTTTTCCAACCAAACCAATCTTTTTTGTTAAATAAAAATACAATTATCTTAAATTAAAATATAATAAAGAAAACTTTTTTGATATAAATAAACAACTTTCTTTTTTTATTCTTTTATAAGTGAATAAATTGTTAGAAAAAATTAATGTAAATTTTTTTTATTTTTTATTTTTTCCAGTTTTCAATCAACCATGAAAGAATCTTTGTTAAAAAACCACAATACAATTATCTTAAATTATAAAGAATAGATATTTTGATTATAAATAAACAAGATTGAATTTATTCTTTTTTTTTTTTAAATAAATACAATGTTACAAAATATATTAAATTTATTGTTTCTTTTTTTTGTTTTTTCAAGCGAATGAAACAGTTCCAGGACTCTTGTATAACATGAAGCAGTTATCGTTTGCGGCCGTCAAGTACATATAACCCGCTATACCCCACTTGGCACCCCAACAATTTCGAAGAATCCAATAGTCACCTTCGGTGTTATATCCAGTTACCACCATGATATGTGTTGTACCATTGTGTACTTGAGGACATGAGAATACACCGGACACATAACTTCTGAATTGAGGATCACCAGCATTAAGACTGACAGTGACTGGACCATTCTTTAGCTCTTGAATGATAGCGGCTTTGTTTGGTTTGATAGTGTACCATGAGTTCCATTTGATGGAAACAGCATTTGGGAATTGAGTACATGTACCATTCGATTGAGTATAGGGTGCAGTTGTCTCATTAACAAGACCAACATTCATAAACTCACTCATTACTCTCGTTGGCCAACCAGATTCACATTTATTCTCAAGACATTGTACTGATTGTTGTTCTGATAGATCGATTGATGGTGAAAGTGGATCACCTCCATTCTTTATCAAGTATTTGGCTTCAATTACTCCAGTTGCTCCGAAGCTCCAACAGCTACCACAGGAAGCCTGCCTCTTAACTGGTGTCATTACGTTCTTTGTTCTCCAATCGGTATCATTTGGATTTTTTATTGGAGTAGGTGTTGGAGGAGGTGTTTGTGTAGGTGTTTGTGTAGGTGTTTGAGTTGGAGTTTGAGTTGGAGTCTGAGTAGGAGTTTGAGTAGGAGTTTGAGTAGGAGTTTGAGTAGGAGTTTGAGTAGGAGTTTGAGTAGGAGTTTGAGTTGGTTTAGTTGTTGGAGTAGTTGAAGGTAGTTTATATGGATCTAAACCTACGTATCCACCAAATGGATAGTAACCACAGATAAATGTTGTCTTAAATGCACCACATCCTTCTTTAACACAACCAACACTCTTACTAATCTCAGACATTGCCTTCAAGATAAAATAAATAAACAAATTAGTAAAATAATAAAGAAAATAATTTAAAATAAATAAACTTACAATTAACCAAGATTGACAAGTTTTCTTTGATTTACAAGTATGTAATTTCCAATCGTAGTTAGTCTCTTGAGATTTAACAGATTTCAAGGTATTCTTTAAACTAAAACCTAGAGTACTTGTACTTCTCCACTCGCTATAGATACCAAAGAGACTACCAGGACTTAAGGAGGTGTTACAAACCGGTGAAACGTGTGCCAACAGAGCATCGGCAATAGTTTGATTCCATACTAGCACGGGTAGAGTCTTTGCTGGTTGAGGTGAAGGACTTGATCTCCAAGTGGCATGGGTATCCAAAATCAACTTGATATCGGAAGCATCCAAATCAGCTCGTACGACACAAACCGCCAATATACAAGTAATAAATAATAGTTTAATATTTATCATTATCTTTTACTTTAGTTTTTTTTTTTTTACTTTAACAATAAATAAATAATAATACAATACAATACATTCTACAATATTATATAATAATATTGATCATCATCGAAATCGATTAAAGACCTAGGCTATGCTAGTCTCTTTACAATAATAATAATAATTTGCAGGGTTCTAAACATTAAAATCTTGATATTGAATATCTAGAATAGAAATCTTTTCTTTTTAATAATATCTTTCATCTAAATTCGGTGTTACTTTAACGAAATTTCTAAACGTTCACATAATCGATAATAGATGTTAATTAATTTAGATTAATTAATTGATTAACATGGTTTATTGGGTGTTGAGATCGGTGATGTTTTTGCTAAACCAAAAAAAAACAAAAAAAATCGAATCTTGATATTTATTTTTGGAGTTACCCAAATAAAAAGCAGAGAGTCTCCATCCAAATCAATCGCTTCAAATAAATAATGTAGAATTCTATTTAATTTCTAAATTTTTAAATTTGTACTATATTTATACAATATTTATTTATTTATATATATTTTATTTATTTATTTATTATTTCCATTTTTTAAAAAAATAACAATATTATATCATGAGAATACATATTATATTATTTATTGTTATTTCTATAAATATTTTTTCTCTTGGATCATCGTTTGTTCCAAATGAAAATGATCTTTGGAATTCATTTGTAAATTGGCAAGATGCCTATGGAATTGCATATTCAGATGAAGAAATTCAATCGAAATTTGCCAATTATAAGGAAACGCTTTTTGGTTTAGCGCAGATATTAGTAACAAATGATCAAGTCGATATACTCTTAGAATATCCCAACATCACTGAATCAAGAATAGAGAGTAGTAATCTAGGAATTGACTCTGTGTTAGAGGTTGAACCAATTGTATCATATCCAAATTCAGATTCTGTTCAATGTATGTTTAATAAAACTAAATTAAAAATAATTATAAAATAATAAAATTATTAATAATTGGGTTGTTTTCTTTTTTCAAGATTCTATGAATGAGTTTAGTGATATGTCAAATGCAGAGTATCAACAATTCTATAATGGTGGTGCTGATCCTTCTTTGGCCGTTGAAAATGCATTAGCAGTTGGTGGTGGACTTACCGCTGGTGTTATCGCTGCTATTTCCGCTGCAGGTGTTGTAATTGTTGGAGGAGCTATCGCAGGTACTGTAGTAGCTTACAAGAAATTCCGACATGAAGAAGAAGAGGAGGCCCCAGTAGAAGTCGAGATGAGTAAACCAAAAGACAAGAGAAAGTCATTCATTGACATTTTCAATCTAAAGGCTAATAGACACAAATCGATTACTGCTAGAGCTGCACCTATACCCCTAGATAATTAATAAATCAAATTTGAATTATTAATCAATTATTCACACTTATAAAAAACCTTTGAATTTTACTTAAATATCATTTATTAGAATAAATATGTACATTAAAAGAATTTAAAACAAAAAAATAAACCATCATGATTAATGATAATTAACAATTGATTGAGAATAAATTTAATTCAAATAATCCTATGGACTTAGGATCAAATAGAATAAATTTATTTATCAGGCTCTTTAGTGATGCGTATACATTTAACTAACTAATTTTTAATTCTCTGAATATTGAGAAGATGTGAATGTCTATATTAAATGCTTTCTTTGGTTGTATGAATTTTAAAAAAACAAATTCCTCTTCATTTAAACATAGATATATATAGTATCGATTTTGAAGTTAATTAAATGTATACCAATCACTAAAGATTTATTTTTTTTACTCTTTTGTTTTCAAAACTTCAGGATTTACACAATTCTTTGTACCATGTTGTGTATTTGTTAAAATTCGAATTAAATTGTTTACTCCACATTCTGCCATTGCATGTCTAATAAAATTAAAAAAAAGATGTTAATCATTTTGATATGCTGGTTGTATAATAATTAATATATCTATCTATTTACCTTGTTTGATGAGTTGCACTACCGATGTGTGGTAATGCTACGACTTGATCCATAGTTAGCAGTGGTGAGTCCATCGACAGTGGCTCCTTTTCGAAAACATCCAATCCAGCACCTGCAATCACTCGGTTTTGAAGCGCTTCCACCAATGCTGGTTCATCTACTAACTGACCTCTAGCAATATTAATGAGAAACGCGGTGTTCTTCATCTTTGACAGTTGTTCTTTTCCAATGATGTGATAGGTTTCCGTAGTAAGTGGAGCTGCAATCACCAAGAAATCGGATTGCTTCAACAAGCTATCCAAATCAACTCGTCTCGCATTGACAGATGCTGCGTCGACAGACTCTGATCTATTGGTATACAGCACATCCATCTGGAATCCAATGGCTCTTCTTGCGATCGCAATACCAATTCTACCCATTCCCAAGATTCCCAGAGTCTTTGAATGAAAATCCGAGCCAAACCAGTTGACACCTATTGGACCGGTCCATTCTCCTCTTTTCATACGGTTCGCTAGTTCTAACAAACGTCTTGCGCTTGCCATTATCAAACAAAATGCAGTGTCTGCACATGTCTCTGTTAGAACATCTGGTGTATTCATCAGAGGTATTCCAAGTCTTGTCACTTCAGGTACATCAAAGTTATCATAACCAACCGAAATTGTTGAGATAACTCTAAGCTTCTGACAGTATTGATTGAGTAGTGCTTTATCAAACTTAATATTAGTTCCTATCGAACCATGAGATTCAGAGAGTGCTCTGTGGAATTCCTCCATGACTGGTGGCATATTACAACCATCGAAAATAGCTACATTGAACAAAGACGTTAGTCGTGCCATTAGGTCATCGAAGATCGCAGTACCAAAAAATACAATATTTAGCTTCTTTTCATCATAATCTGCTAATGATTTAAAATAATTTGTTTCTGTCATTGTTGTTTATCTGATTTGATTGTTAAAAGTGATCAACAAAATTTAAAAAAATGAATGTTTAAAAATGATTCCAAAATTTGACACATATTTAACAATTAATTTTGATGATTTAATTTTAAACTTTTGTTAAGTGTCATTTTCTAAATTTAGAAATTTTTATTTTAAATATATTGTTTTTGCTTTTGTGTTATTTGTTTGTGATTTGTTTTTTTTTTTTCTTTTAATATTGTTCGGTTAATAATAATAATACTAATGATGTCCAACCGGTGAATGGATGATTTCTCTCACCATTTCCTTCGATTCCGTGGTATTGCTCCCAGAGGAAACCGGTTTCTTTGTAAACCTGATAAATATTTTCAACCAAATTGTGTCTGAGTGTGAAATAGATCATCGCAAAATCTTGAGTCTGTGGGTGTTCCTTGCTGTACTTGCATAGTTGTGAGGCGATCAAGTAGTTAATGTTGATCCAGATTGGACCACGCCAGTAGTTTTCGTTGGTACCATAGAGTGGGTCTCTGAGTGACATCGATCGAATACCATGTCTACCCCAAACACCCTTAATATCCTTCAATGAATTCAAATAGGATTGCATTCTACTGGAACCTGCTGGTTCCAAACCCAAAAACAATGGGAAATAATTTAAATATCCACCGGTCTTTGTAAGTGTGCTATTCTTTTCATTATGATATAATATATCTTGATAAACTCCATTTTCATTATCCCAATGTAAATCTAAACATAACAATATCAATTAGTTATATGTAATATAATAATAAAATGTATAAATGAATGCAACTTACCAAAAATAATTTTAGTAATATCATTATAAGACTTTAGATAGTGGGAATCATCTTTACCAAGGAATTTTGATATTTTTGCAAGTGATTTCGAAGCGAATGCCATCCACGATGAGAGATCTACGTGAACTTCAGAAACGGATGGTGGGTTTGCACGTGGATAGTCATCGAGTCCCGATGCCAGAGTGTGGTTTACTTTACGTCCACGCCAACGGAATGCATTTTCAATGTGAGCTGGCTGTGTCTTCCAGTAGAAGCTGTAGAATCTAACGATTCTTGGATAGGCATCCTCGAGGAATGAGCTGATCAAATCAATCTCTACCTTGTGTTTCTCTGGTGATTCGCTCTTCTTGAAGGTATCAACCATATCGATCAGCTTATTGATAGACATGAGAAGAGTTGGTGGATTTGCAATTCTAGGTGATTGAACCTGGAACTCTGGCGGCACCATAGAGAGTGCTTCTTTTCCTAGGATCTGTTCTCTTGGAATCCAACCATTCTCATCGACCAAATTGAACCAATGTGCCAGTGTTTCGATAGTCAACTCGATATCCCAACTGGAAACAACCATTTGATGGAATCCTTCATCCCATAAGAATCCTCTTGGGAATGCTGGTCTTGATGGTGATGCTGAATATAATGCCTATAAAATAAATATCGAACGATTCGAAGGTTTTGTTAATATAATCGAAATGGTTGTGTTATATTAGTTTATAACGACATACATGAGGTGCTAATCTAATTGATCTATTTGGTTGGTCAGGATGAACAGAGATGGTTCGGCCATACCAATAACCGAAACCTCCTAATAAATTGGAAAGTACCATCTTTGAGAAACCTTTATATCCTTCTTTATAGTACTTTGGTAATGGGAATTTAACATCGAATCTCTCTAAAAATGATTTATCGTATTTTTCGAATAATTTATCAAATTCATCACCTGTAATCTCTTTGGCTACTTTAGAAACCTGTGAACTAGATAATTGTTGATGTTGATTGTTGTTGTTGTTGTTGTTTTGATCATCTTGATCATGTGAATTGTGTGAAATAAATGTGATTTCAACCTATAAATTTAAAATAATATTAATAAAAATGATGATCATTTTTATGTGAAATGTTCATTTACTTACTTCAAATGGTACTTTCATAACTCTTTGAATTACAACTAAATTTGATTGATCATTGATTGTATTTGGTAATGTTGGAACGAATGGTGGTACTGAACGTGAGGTCTTGGCAAACTCATGCCACTCACCATAGTAACTGGATACATGTTGTTTGGTTGTTTCGTCAAAGATATTTGGTACCATATCCCAGTTATCGTCATCGAATCTAGCTTTACCATAAAAGTGCCATTTCGAAAGTGATGGTTGATTCTTTAAAAACTTTGCATCTGGATTTACACTTGAAGAAACTATAGATAACATGAAGACAATACATACATATTAATATCAAAAAGTATCTATATATATATATATATTTATAAACCTATTAAAACTATTTACCATCATTAAATAATAAGGTATATTTTCCAATTTCAGGATGTTCACCATTGATGTGAATGTCACCTTCCAATCCGGATGCAGATGAAGGTGGTAGGTTGTCGAGCTTCAATGAGTTCTGTGAGGTTTTTGTTATGCTTTCGTCGTGGATGTAGTACATCATCGAGAAGTAGGGAGCGGTCAACGATTGGTTGAGTGCGCGTCCCGACAATCGCACGGTCCAGTCACCTCCACCTGGCTGTGAAGAGTGACCCTTCTTGACGAAGCTGGTTGTCAGCAGTAGGTTGCCCGGACGATCGACCAACTCTTGCTCACCAAAGTTCTTGCCGTCGTGACGCTTCCACTCGTAACGCACTACACCGTCACGACCTTGCTGTGTGCGGTAGAGATACCGAGCGAACAGGTTATCGACGTTCGGTGTCGACCAAACTAGACCGGTATTGACTGGTTGCTTGCTTCTCGTTTTCATACCAAAGTAGAGATGAGGTTTGTACGTACCCCAATATAGTGTATTGTTTAGTGAATTCCTTCCTGTCTTTATCAAAGGCATCGGTCCTTCATTTTGTGGCTCTAAATGTATATTTCCTAATCATTAAGAACAAAAAGAAAGAGAAAGAAAGAAAGAGAAAGAAAGAAAGAAAAAACATTCAAATCAAATCAATATAAAAAAGCTCATTTTACAAATCATCAATTTAATTTAAAAAAAAAAACAAAATAAATTTACCTTGATTCAAATGAACATCTATTGCATAAACTATATTTATAAATATTAATGATAATGATATTACCAAAATATAGTAATATTTCATCATTATTTATATATGTATATTTTTCTTTTCCTTTTTTATTTGAAAATCTTCAACTTTTTACTATTATTTTATATTTCTATAATTATTGTTATTATTATTATTATTATTTATATTCGAAACTTCAACTAAAAACTGATGATATATACTATAAATAATATTAAAAATATAAATAATATAAAAAGTGCTATTAAAAAATTAAAAACTAATAAATATGTCAACTATTTTAATTCTATCTATCTATAATAATAAATTAGAAATCACAAATAAATGTTAGTTTTTTTTTTTTTTTTTTTTTGACAGTCTAAAAATAATAAAATCTACTAAAATTATGTGTCTTTGTTTAATGTGTTGAATGACTTTGAGAGGAGAGTGTAAGTGAGTTGTGGGTGTTGGTGAGAATGTAAAACAAAACTGTGTGTTTAATATATTATGTTGTTGATTGAATTGATTTTAACCAAAAAGAGAATTTGTCAATTTATTTAATTTTTCGAAATGAATGAAATGCAACAACAATTTTCGTAGAGTGCTTAATCTTATTTTATTTTATTTTTTAAAAAATGGTGATGATGAAGTGCAAGCAATTCATAAAAAAAAAATGAAATGATTGAGAGTGATTGTCAATTATATATATAGATAAAACAATCTGAAACTATTAATAAATAAATAAATAACTAATAACTTGTATAATCTAATACTATCACTGTATATCTATATTAAATTATGATTAATTGCGAAATGATTGATTATACCCTTTTTACTTAAATGATGATGCAATATATAATTATATATTTGTTGATTGCTGACCGTTGATTGATTTTCAGAATTAATTTTAAATTAAATAAATTAAAAAAAAACAAATAGTTTGTTGTTATTGTTGTTTAAAGAATTTGGAATGCTTGAATTTTTGCTAAAGAGGTTCCAAATTTCATTTATCCGTTTAAAAACAAAAAAAACAAAAAATTTACTAATTTTTGGTGGTTGATGTTCTCTCAACTTAAATCTTTTTTTTCTTTTTAAATTTTTTAGTAAAAATTATCTTTGCACTATGATTATTATTCGCTTGATCACACCACACAATTTTAAATTTATTATTTTATTTTTTTAATCTAGAATATCTTTTGTTTTTTAAATTTTAATTAATTTTTAATCTTAAAAAAATAAAATAATCTACCACCAGAACCATTTTGTTTGTTGATTCCAACTTTGAGTTGATAAATAATCTTACAAGTCAAATCAATCAAATTTGGAATCACTGTTGTTTTAGAATTTATAATGATAGTGTAACTTTATAAAGTTTGCGTTGTAAATATAGTGCAACTGCAATGCCTAGATTCATGGACTGTATCCTAAGAATTCATAGATTAGAGTTATGAGAGGATCTTGAACTGTCAAAATTATTTCTTTTTCAAAGTGTTTTAACAAGAGAATAACTCACTACACTGAATAGGTAGGGATTTATTGAGTTTATTTTAGTTTGTTATTTAATTAATTAGTCGACATGTTTTTTTTTTAATCATAGATCATAGCAAATGTTCACTTTATTGGAACTATAGCTTAGTATACTAATGGAAACATACATTGACTTACCTCTTGAAAACAAGAATGACAACAATTTAGATAGTGAAACGTATGATGATGTTAGCAGCAAGGTACGTCTATTTTTTCGTAAGGCAACTTACATTGATAAGGAGTAAGAATTACCAGCTTTTTCGTAGCGAGCTCGATCAACAGCCTCTCTGGAGTTAAGACAGCAAAAGGTGTTATCTACAGCGGTCTTGTTCTTACCAAAAACCTCGATCGATTGCATGATTTCTACCTGGAAGAGTTGTCTATCGACAAGCAAATGCGGTTCCAACCAATCTTCCTTGACTTTCATTTTATCAGCATCAGCAAGATGACAAATGTCAGAGGACTGAATCTCGATAAAAGTTACACTCTCTACAGCAAAGCACTAGTCGATCTGGTTGGTGGTGAAGAATTGCGTGTCAGTGAAGCTGCAGTCGTATTACGAACGGTCATGCCTGAAGTCTTGGAGGGCGATCATCCACTAAACAAGATATCGATGTGGGCTCTATTTGACAAATCGATAACGGTCGGAAACGAGGTGAGATCGGTAAAGGATAAGAATTAGGCCTTCGAATTTAAATTCTTTCCACACTCACCGTCACCGGAGGCCAATGAGGCGTGCAAGAAAACCGAGACTGCTATCAATAAATCACCAAAGAGATGAGCACACCATTTTGAGGCTTACTGTGGAGTGCGTCTGTAGTTATCTGGTAAGACACGATTTTATTTGCTCAAAAGATCTCCTTGACAAACAGATGCCACTGCGGTTATGCTGCCCCCTTGGATTTACTGATTAATGTACTTGTTGGTCACCACTCGCTTGGAGATTTCGACGAGGTCGATAGTAAAATCAATTGGTCGTTGTACTTAGCTTCAGAGGTATGACCACTACTTAAATATTCGTTTATTAAATTATCATAGGTTTATTCAATGGATAGCAAATCAAATTTTTGATTCTTACGATTAAATAAACTGAAACAAATAAATGATACTTATCCAATTAGTTGTCAATAGCGAAGGCATGGCCGGCGTCAAAATCCTGGGTGATACAATTAACTGTTAATGACCTTGAATTCGTAGTGCTAACCGCCTACCATGGGGAGATTCTTCGAGATGGCTCACAACTCTCTACATAGTGATTATTTTTCAGTTTCAGTCAGTCATTCCTAGAATGGGTTTATCGTCACTGAGCATTTATTAGCCATTTGTTTGGGCATTAATGACTAGGTTTACATAGACAGGACGACTTGTTACTGCTAGCAGTAACAATCAGAATCGGCGGCGTGTGATCAATACAACACAAAAGACTCATCGTCATTAATAATAAAAAATAATAAATAGATCTTTTGGTTTGTAATTTTAATTAAATACTATAGTTACAGTATTTTTATTTGGTTGACAATATTTGTACAGTTATTTGTAGAGAATAATACAATGGTAAATTATTTAATTAGTGGCAGAGAGCAGAAGTGAATAGAATTCAAGTCTATCCAAAATAGTTTTATACTTACTATTGTGGACCTCCAAGGTTAGAACCATTGGAATCGTTGACATGTAGCGATAGTAGTTACTCAATAAACTTAAAGATATTGTGTTTTTTTTTTGTCAATTATATACCTTTCCCAATCGACACTGTGTTTGTTGTAGATCATCATTGAAGCGAGTGAATCTTCCTCTGCACTGTGTTCGTATGTTTGTATATCAACAGCTAGATACTTCTTTGCCAATTTCTTTAATGCTTGTGGATAGAGTCTCTTTACGGTTTCATATTCTACCACTACCGGTTGTTGATCTTCTTCCGACTGCTCTTGAGCAATACTACTTTTCTTCTTTACAACGATATCTCTTTCAGACATCAAGGGTTCATAACAGTAACTATCTCTAACTCTCTCGGGATCATCGTGTTGGTAATCCAACACTTGAAAGTCTTTCTGCAAGTTATGCCCGACCACTATCTTGTTGCGTAGGATCATTGCAACATCTCTTTTCACTGAAGCTGCAGGTGGTGCTCTTTCAAGCATTCCATAGGTCAGTCCAGACCATCTTGTTCGGTAGTTCGTTATAAAACTCTCTGGTTTAGCATAACTCTTATAGATTGTATTACCATATGAATTGACTATACATACACTTCCAAGAGCCTCTTTTCTACCCTCGACCTCTACCATCTCACAATCTATTGCAACAATAGGTGTTTGACTTTATATATTATATATAACCATGATTTGATAGAATGAATAAGTATAAGACTTCTATACCGCTAACGATATTAATCATATTTTTAAAAAAATCATTCTTACGATATATCATATTTATTCGTTCTTAAATCATATACAGTCTGATAATAATGAGACATTAGGTTTAAGTAATAAAATTTATTTGTAATAATTGCACACAAATAAATTTGTGTTTAATTCCATTCAATGACAGATGGAACAAAATTAAAATTTGATTTATTAAAAAAAATCAAATTAAAATTTTAATAAAATTTGATTTATTAAAAAAAATAATTGTCCTTGTTAAACTACTTAAAGAGGAGTGTATGGATTCCTTGATTGATGATATCTAGATATTTTATTATTATTATTCATTCTGTTATTGAAACTTTAATTTTTGAAGAATCTAGATTATTAAAATAATTCAACCAAACAAAAGATATTAATATAGTTTAAAAAAAGAATTTTGGATCTTAATAATTAAAACTAAACCAACATTATATACCGTTTCAAAACAAAGTATTTGTAAAAATCCAAACAGTTCTTTGAAACAAACATCATTACCAATGATAAAACAATTTTTAAATTGATACCACAAATAATCAAGAATAAAATGATTTTGTAAAATATAATTAACCTTTTTTAGATAAAAAATTTTCATCAAAATAACATCATATTTAATTTTTTCTATGGTTGTTTGATATCGGGATTGTGTGTTGCAAATTCGACAAATAATATTTATTTTGTTTACTATGGTTGTTTGATATCAAGATTGTGTGTTACAAATTCGACAGATAATATTGTTTTTTTTAGAATAAATAGATTACTAAATTTATGGACTCTAATAAGAATGAACACCTTTTCATTTTCTTATACTTGTTCTATTCTTTTATCAAGAACTATAATCTTTTATTTTTAAAAATTATTTTTTATCAGTTTACTCAAATATAATTGATTTATTAAATAGTTTTAATTTTTTAGAAACAATGGTTTATATACTAGACCTGGCAAAAACGACTTAAATCTACAGATTCAACAACATTCAAGTTTTATATATGGATATCAAATCAGAAAATCACATTCAATTAAACGATCTCTTTGAATATGTTAGCAAATTCACAGCCCTTAAAAAATTAGTTATTTCAACTGAAAGTTGGTCTTTGTTAGGCGAAATCAAAAACAAGTTTCCAACTTTACTTCTTTATGTATACTTTAAGGAACTTAGTTTTAACCTATATCCTATCCTCTATCCTGAATTGTATAATAAAATAAAAGAAGGTATCAATTTTCTATATATTCAAGAAATTCCATTAAATAAATAAATCAATATTTGTTTTAATAAAAAATGGTTTTGTTTTAAATGTCTCTATTCATATTTATTAGAAAACTTAATATACCGATGAGTAAGGGTGATATAGAGTTTGATTAAATATAAATTAAATCTTATTATATTTTGTAATCAATTCAATGATGCGCTCGATCTCATTTAATTCTAGTTTAACATTGTAAGATAACATAATTTTACTCAAACTTAACTTTTAATTTTCATTTAGAATCAAAATTTTTTTTTTCTTTAAATTGCTTTTTTTATTTTAAACAAATAAATAATATTTAGAATTAGGAGTATTTATATTTATATTTAAATATATTATTTTTATTATAAGTAGCTTGTTTCGAAACAACACTAACATAACCATTGTTGTGAGAAAAGAATCCAACCGGTACTATTTTCTCAATTGAATCATTATTTCTAAATTTGTTGGCGTTGACAACATTCATCAATTGTATTGTATTGTACAATTCCAAAGAATTCGGGTTCTCTTGATCTCTAACAAATGTGAAGTGCAACCAACATTTTGAATATCCATTTCGCTAACTTTGTGGATTCTTCTTCAATTATCAGCATGCCACCATTGATTGGACCACTAAAAAATGACGGTTTACCCTTTTTGTCCAAAGAAAATAGATAGATCGGTCGATGATCAACTACATAAGGGTGATTTTCATTTAAAATCGACCTTTTAACAAATGCTACTAATTCAAAAGTAGAACTATTCTTTACAACGATCGAACAACTTTTGTATATATCATCAGCAAGTTATTGAATGAATTATGTTATATTATGATTGAATATCTTTGTGCTCATAGAATTAATTAAAGTGACCAGAAATGTGATTTTAACCAACAAAAATATAATAAACTGTACCGAAAATGATTTCTCAGCATATTATTTTAAAGTGTGATGTTATAAGCAGGTTGTTTATATATTTATAATAAAAGTAAATAAGATAATTATAAGTAAAACAAAGATAATTATTTATTTATAAGTTATTTGTTGAGTAAAAGACGACTTGTTAAACAGCTAACAACGACGACTTAAATACTATAGTATGACGAATCTTGAGGACACCAAATTAGCAATACGGGGAACACACCACTGGGGTTAACACCATGTTGTGTTAACACTACATTGAGACGTAGGAGATCTTTACCATAGTTGGATATCTATTAGTACCCTTTAACAACGGGAAATAACCTAAATCTCATTATACACACATACAACAACAAGCAATCACTCACCTCTACATTTTAAATCAACAATCCTCTTCGTTTTTCACCAACACAACCTCTATTCCATTTTATATTTCACTTACAACATTCATATTAACAAAAAAATAAAAAAATAAAAACCAAACCCAAACCATAGACTTAAATTTTCAAATCTACACAACTTTTGAAGCATTTCATAAAGTTCTATTTTAAAAATAAAATACGGGAAATAACCTAAATCTTTTCATAAAGAAACATTAAAGCAAGCTTAGGAAAGTGGTTAAATCCGCTAGACTCAAGTTCTAGTCCGCAAGGTTCGGGAGTTCGAATCTCCCAGCTTGCATACATTATATAATTTTTTATATTACCGCATGCGGAAATAGGTATTCCATAATCGACTCTGAAGATGGCCATAGTCAAAAGCTAATCTCACCTACAATGAAAATAAAGCACCTATATTTGGTAAAAGTAGGTAGTTACTTTTGAACCCCCTTGCAAGATTCTCAGTGTTGTTTTTTCAAATTTTTTTTCACAATAGACACTTATTACCAAAAAAAATTGTTGTTTTGCTCTATTGAGTTTAGAATGAATGACATCTGGTATATTTATCTCATGAATACCCAGGAATTTTAAAAAACATTCAGGTCCTAACAGGTTGTTTGTATATCAAATTTAGTTAAGTATTAATTTTAAGTAAAAAAAAAATATATTGTGTTTTCGAATGTTGATGAAAAGTGAGATGTCTTGTACAGTTGTCGAATACACTAAAATTAGTTAAACAAAATTATAGATCTAATACTAATTTATAATACAACTCTAAAATTTCCAAAAAAAACTGGGAATCTAGAGCTCCTTACAATCTTAGATAAGATTGTTTGTCTAAGTATCTGGTTCCATAAAATATTAAATCGAGTAAAGATTGAATTTGAATCTACTTTCAACTTAATGATAGAAAATAATTTTTCTATAATCGTGAACTCCTTTAAATAATAACCTTTCTTTATACTATATTCTCCTTGTTTTATTTTCGTTTCATCTGTTAAATTACTTTTCTAGAAAACAATATCTTTGTAAAATCAGTTAAAAACCTTTACATTTTGAATAGGAGTCTAAAAAGTTTTTTTTTTGTATTATTTCTCAAGTAATTCCCTTAATCCTTTATTGTTCTTCTAATAATGTTATAGATTTATCATTTTAAAAATATATTGATATCCTTTTTTTTTCAATGATTTAATTGTTTTTTAAAAAATTATTTTAAAATTTTATTGTAAATATAATTGTTTATACAAATAGTACTATCTCACTGTGATGAGTTTGTTTTTTTCTTTAGTCTTGAAATTGTTGCAAATTATATTTGAATTTTAAACCAATAACTTCTTGTGCAATTCAGGAATCCAAATCAAGTATTCCAAAATCTTTTATCTTTCTGTTAACATTTTACTTGGTATCATTCTTTGTTATGATATAATTAAATATTTCAAAATAAATTTATGTATATGTTTTTTTTTGATCAGCTAACACATTTAGTCCGACTGATGAATTAGGGATTTATTAAATTTGAATTACTTCGGACTTGATTATTTTTGTTGTTTAAGTTTTGAGTTTGAATTTACTTAGTTGTCAATTTGGTGAGTGGTCGCCAGTTCGAATCTCAGCGTAGACCAGCTTATAAAATACGGAAATTGATGTATGTTAATAAGAAATAGAATCCGGTTTACAAAAAATTCAATAACCAAAAAATAAATAAGATAGCTAGATCAAATCGATTAGAGTTCTACTTCTTAAAAAAAAGTTTTTTTTTCTTTAGTACATGACTGAAATATATTTCACAGCAAACACTCTGAAAAAGTTTAAAAAAAAATATAATAGAACTCACTTAATATATGTCCTGGAAAATTTAGATGCCTATATTCACTTTGTTTTTAAATGTTTTGTTAATAGTTTATTTAATATTTTATTATTTAGTGAGTTGTAAATATTTTATAGAGTTTGCAGTCCAAGTGATTCTTCCATCGATGTTGGTAGCAATGAATTCAGGAACACCAGATGGTGCTTGAATGTAGTAGGTTGTAAGTGGGAACTTTTGACACCAATACGATAGAAATGTACACGAACTAGCTACAGTAGAAGAATACACACAAAGACTAGGCATAGCTGGAGTAAAGTAAATACCAAAATCAGCATAATATCTTCCACATAGTTTCTGTGGTATGTTGGTGGTTGGACTTGTCCATAGAACTTCACCTGTTTGAGAGTCTTTTGCTGCAATAATTCCAGTTTGGTCATCCCATTTGACACCGAAGTATCCATTTGCAAAATTCTTTAGAGGATTATTTTCGATTTGTTGGTAGTTTGACCATACTCCAGGTTTTGACAAGTATCCATCAATAATCTTTGTATCCTTGATGAAAGAGAATCCCCAATCATCAGAACGAGTGGAACCCATCCAATTCATTTGGAATGCGGTTGCACTTGCAACATTTAGTTTGCCTGCTAAGTAACGAACGTTGGCACCAACCACAACAATACCAGTGGATTCAAGTTGAGCATAGAATGGTCTTGTCGGTGCAACAGCTGGTAAATCTGATCTCCAGAGTACTATTGGTTGTGGTGTAACTGCATTATATGGATTCGAGTCATATACAGCAAGTTGACCGTTACTCTCCAACCTGATATATGATTTTCCATTTGTCAAAACACCTCCTTCATTGATAATTCTATCTTCAGTCTCTGGATAATACTCTTGATTGTTTGCAACAATGAAACTTCCTGGGATCATCTTCAGGTTTGATCTTTCTTGTAGTGATGTGAATCTACCGTACACCATTCTACCTTTGGAATTGAGGACATAGAAACCAATTTGGGTTGTTGTAAAGGCAGGTGCCAATCCAAAGTATCTTCCATCAAGCTGATGCGAATATGTACACCATGAAACTTGTCCACTAAGTGTTTGTGCACAAAGATTTCCATCAGTACCAAAAACCAACTTGCAATTAGTTGTTGGAACATTAGGCATGTTGGTATAATCTGATGTGTATATTGGATTACCACTTATCTGGACGTTGTCATATATCTTGAGTTGACATTGGTTTTTGTCCATTATCAAATAGTGGACACCATTGGTGAGAACACTTGGAAGGTACTCCGACTGCCAAGAATAGAGTACATTATTTGATCCTGTATTGTCAAGGACAATTGGTGCATAAACCAATGGATTGACAAAGTTTTCTTAAACTCAGTACCTGCAAGATTGTTGATATAAGAAGAATGATATTTGAACCAAACAATTTGTCCATTGGCATTTTGGAGAACAACACCATATGGAATTAATTTGAGGTATCTAGCTTTGGAGTGGTGACTAGAGAGACACCATCTGGGACATGATTTATCAGAGATAACATTGTTAATGCAGAGATTACCATCGGGTTGAATGAAAAGTCGGTCCTCTCCATTGCAACTGCTTGAAAGGTAAAGAGATGATGACACAGAGAAAAGAGTGGTTCCCATCGATGAAATTGTCAAACCACTTGAAGTCAATGATATTTGGGAAGTAATAGATGATCCAGATTGAATTTGGAGATTTTCATTGATTTTCAAAGAATTTTTAGTTGAAGACTGTGAATCGAGTGTTGGATATTGTCCTTCATCTCCATATGGTGATGTGTATTGAATGGAGTATGTTTTTGATAGTTGAGCATCGTTGTACTTGATAGTAAGTGTTTTGGTACCAATATCAGATTTGAAGTAACATTGGGTTTGAGAACATTTCAAATTTTCACCTATTTGTAAATTGAATATTAGTAAATCGATTTAAAGATAATCAATATATCTCGATTACTTACTTCCGATGTAGTATTTAATAAGTGAGGGATTTGGATATTGATTAAGAATATTATGGTATCCACCTGCAAAACTAATTCTATCAAACATTGCTGTTTATAAATATAAAGATTATTAGAATATAAAATATTTTTGGGATTTTTGATTTATAGGTACTTACTTTGATAAGAAAGATCAAATTTAGTAAGTTGTATATTCACAGAGGAATATCCTGGATTAAAAATAAGATTGGTATTGAGAACACATTTCTCTGGGACAACCAATGATTGAACAATTTTGGACCATCCAATATGAGTGAGATCTCCCTGAGTGTAATATCCCACAGGTAATGTGAGTGATGAACCCAATTTGTTTGGTTTTTCATAAAAGTTAACTGTTGGGAATATTCCAGAGTACATTGGGAGAGTCTTTGTTGTTGGTGATAGAACATCAAAATTGTTGATGATTGGCCATGTATTTTGATTCGGTGTTTGGATATTGACGACACCAGTGATTCCAACCGGTAATTTAAATAAAATTTGACCATTCCTATTGTATTGTTTGAATAAGTAATCCTTTTGAAGGTAGGTAAATTTAATCTCTGCAAAAGTTAATGAATCATAGTATACAGCAGTATTATAATTTGGTGGGACCAAGTTATCTAATTTTAGATTCAATGAGACAATAGATGCTATTAAATAATTTTTGGTTAGTATAGATATTCTATCAATATCCTAAATGGACATGTTATTACTTACAATATGAGATAGATAGTTTGGTTCCAGTTAGAGTAGCTGCACAATCATTACCATTCGTAGTCTTTATAGAAAAAATAAATTAGTATTTTCAAATTTAATAAAATTTTGTTGAATTAAATAGTTACAATTGAGGAAACCTGGAATTTACAAGTACTGGGTGGTGATTGACACATTTCATATGATAAAAGGTCATACTCACCATATGGTAATACCATTGTTGAAGATTGAAAAGTTGTTAATGTTGCGAAACAATTGTATCCTGTGTCTTCAATAACACTAATATCTCTTTGGATGATTTGATCTTTGAGAATATCAAAGAAATGTGATGAAACCACAACGAAATATTTGGTTGGACTGTTGATAGTTGATGTAATTTCATAAGTTGCAGGTGCATCAAGTGATGCAAATGAATAGTATCCATTGGAATCACAAGATGCAACATATTTGGCAACAGAGTTAACAGACAAGGTAACTTTGCAGTTTGTGAATACTTGTTCACTAGAATCTCTAACATTATTAAAATTCTTGTCCAAATAAACATAACCATGTACAAACGTAACTTTTGCCATAATTGTGTTTGATTTTTGATTTCCAATGTCAACATAAGCATAAATTTGGTTGGTACCAAGTGCAGGCATTTCATTGCAATTGATTGTACTTTCATCGGTAAAAACTGGACTTAAACATGGCTTCCAATCAATTTGATTATTACTAAAGTAGATATTGGATGTTGCTGGTGCAACTCCTTTTGGAACAAAGTTTTTACCAAAGATTGTAAATGTATTTCCAGAGTTTACATAGTTTCCAATGGTTGGTACTTCATAAGAAATATATTTCAATGGTGAAACAATATTGATTGAGTTGATTGTTGCACTAACTGAATAATCTGCACCAATTCCAGGTGGAACCAAACATTCAATAAAGAATTGATAACGGTGACATCCAATAAGCTTGACACCATTACTCAATTTGATATTGTCAAGTTCACTTGATGATATTCCAAATGAATCACCATCAAAAATTACATACCATCCTTTCGTTGGAACAATCATCGGTGATGTTGTTGGGATGAAGTAACCTCTTGATAAACTGAATGTTGAGGTGGCAATCGAATTTCCAACTTTTACTTTTAATGGAATTTGTTTTGTTGGAATCAACATATCATCTGGAATAGTGATTCTTAATGTTTCGGAACTGAATAATTCAAATGGATATTCTTTGTCAAAGAGGAATAGTTTGGTGTTTTCAATTGTTCCAAATGATTTTCCATTGATCAAGATAGAATCTCCTGGGAATGTTAACAATGGGTCGCTTGGAATAACCGAGAGGATAACCGGTGATTCATATGATACTCTTTGATTATTATCCATTGATTGAACAAATGGACAATTTCTAAGTTGAATTCCAATTGGGATATTCTGACCAGTGTATGAAGGTGTTATACAGGTGATTGAAGACTCTTGAATTTTAATGATGAAACACTCTTGGTGACCAATAAATGCTTGAATATCAGAGAATGATGAACCAAAGAACATTCCTTTAATTTCAACAATATCACCACCTGATACTGAAAGAAGTTTGTTTGTTGTTCCTACATCAACTTCATTGATGATTGGACATTTGTTGGTGACATAGAATGAGTGATCATTGATTGAATTATCAACTTTAACAATATTATTGATATCGTTTAGTTTTGGTAATTCACAAAGAATGTTTGTACTGTTGAGAAGATGTTTCGAAATACATCGATATCCATTGGAAATTGTAACTTGGGTGGATGAATCGAAATGAGTTCCACTGATCGTAATAATACTATTTGATGTTGGTATGATGTTGTTGATTATTGGAATTCTACAGATATCGATTGATTCAATATTGCTGAGTTCTGTTTGTTTGACAAGTTTGATATCACATAGTTTCGAATTGATTGTGGCAATTAAAATACCATCAAATGTTGTCTTATCCAAAAAGATCGATTGGAAAGTTGATGGATATGCTGAATAATAATATTCGAGCTCGCCAAAAGAATATTTGATTGATTTTGTAGATAATTGTGTGTGTTTGATAATGTTGGTGAATTCAACAATCGACATTGGTCTGCAAATTTCATAATGTGTAATTGAGGTTGGTGAATATTGTGGACATATTTCATTTGTCAAAAAGAATCTAAATCTTTCTTGGAGGTATTTGACTTCGTTGGAACGTGATAATCCGAGGAGTGTCGAGATCATTCTGTTTTCAAGCCACATATCCAATGATTCTGTCAATTGTTCAGTTTCAAGAGTATCCAATTCAAATATTTCATTTGATTTGAAATGATTCGATTGTAAAAGTGAAACTAAAAGTGATGAACTTGCATGTTTGATTTGAGATTGAAGTTTGAATGAACGTGAATTTGAAGATCCTCCATTATTATTGTTATTATTGTTGGTAGCGGGTCTGAATAAATTCTCAATTGCTGGATCTGCTGGAACAATTCTAATTTTGAACTTATCATAAACATCGACTGCTGATGTAAGTTGGAATGTTGTGAGATCTGAGAAAAGTTGAGCATATGTCAAAGGATTGGTGCTTTGAGACATCAATTTCCAGAACAAATAGGTAACTTTGGTAAATTCATTATCATTTACATCACTAATTGAAAAGATTTGGTTAGAATTTGGATTAAATTGAAAGTTCAATTAAATTCATCATTAACTTACGGTAGTGTGTTGATTGTATTCTTGGATTTAATTGGAATTGTAAAAGTAATGCCTAAAAGATCTGCTGTTGGAAGTGGAGGAGTAGCAATGTTGGTTGGAGTTATCATTCTCATATGAATGAATTTCGATGCAACCAATAATACAGCATTTCCCAATTGATCATTGTTGTCTGAAATCGTTGGGTATCTAGTAACACTCATTAATCTTTGAGTCAATAGATAGTAAACCAATACTAAATCATCTGGAATATTCGAAGTTTGTGAATAAATATATGGATATCTATATTGAGATGCTGTGCTGAGTGTTGGATCAATGATGATATTGTATCTTGATGTATCGCCCATTGCGGTTTGGAACTTTTTGGTGAAAGCAATTGTTCTAAATTCAATATTGGTTGTTTCAGTCAAATCATATATTCTTGTGTTTGCTTGGGGATTGGAACGTCTTGCATCACTATTTCCGTTTAATTGAGTTGGTTGATTGTCAACAAAGACTGCGTTGGCTCCAGTATAGGTGATAGTTGAGGTTACAGCATTTTGATCAAGACATTGTCTGACTTCATTTGATATCTGAGCTGTTCGATCGTTGGTACATGTATGAAGTGTATTGATTGAAGTGATGGTTGCTCCAGTAACATCTAATGCTTTGTATTCAACTGTTAAATGTGTTGGTTCACTATAAATCTTCAATGACCTGGATTGGAGTGGTGTTATTGGTGTCCATAGGTAACTTGATACATATGGTTTAAGTTGGGAGACTTCCTCTTCATTTGGGCTCTGAGCATCTGTTGTATATGGTGATGTTGTTCTTACAATTCTGATTTGTCTCGTGATATCGTGAGTTGGGGTGGCCGCGGTGATTGTGAGTGTTTGTAAAGGAATTTCAGGGATAAAGTGATGTCCGTTTCCTTTCTTGACTAAAAGTTGAACTTGACCAACAAAGTTTGGAACATTGATCCTAATTATTTGATCAACTAAATGTGAAATAACTCTACTACGAAGTTTATAGTTTTCACTCTCATCTGTACCTGCAATTTTGACTGAATATGATCTAATAAAACTATGCATCTCTCGTGAAAGCTTTTCGTCTTCAAAACATGTGCAACCTCCACCTCTATGTGGCTACATCATTAAATTATTAATGTTAGTGAACTTAATATCAGTTTAATTAAAAGAATCAGTCATACCTGGAATGCATGTCGATTTGATTCTCCAAAACAAATTGTTGGATTTGGAACATCATATGGGAACATGTCGATCATAAATTTCGAGTGATCTTGTTTATATCCAGAATATGATTGGTATTCCCAATCATTTGCTGGTGTGACAGGAGTTCCAAGTGCATCTCTTCTTACCAAGAGTTCAGAGGTTAATTCTATTTAAAGTGTTAATGATTGCATCGTAAAAGTGATTTATAATTTTTGGTCAACTTACGAAGAAAACCAACTTGAGCAAGGGTTGCAACTTGGTACAAAGGTATCTGAGCACCTCCCACTAAAATCGGAATGGATATTTATTGTTAGCTCTTTTGCATTGTATTGACTTGGAAATGTAGTACTTACTGTTATAAGTGGCGACAAAGAATTTTCTTTTATAGTAAACTGAAGCAATAACTTCATGAATATCAACACCGTCAAATTGTGATGCTCTCGGTTTTTGGATTAGCTCCCAAGGTAATAATGGATTGATGAATTTATAATTATGTCTACCTCTTGTTGACAAAATATTTTTTTCCAAAGCTGGAATTTCAATATTAGTTTTAGCGAATGATTTGATGACTTTGGAAACTAATGGCTTTTGAAGACCTTTGATTCTATGTTCAATCATCCAATAGCAATGATCCTGTAAATTTTGATATCTTTGAATTGGAAAATCATCATTTAATTTTTCAATTTCAATATCAGTCAAAGTATTCGCTTGTAACCTTTGCATGAAATTAGGAATTCTCTGAGTTTCGATTTCTGCCAATCTTTGATCATAGATTGCTTGTATTCTATTGGTACATTGCTAAAGTTGAAGAATTGATTAATTAATATAAATAAAATAAATATACATTCAAATGATTTGCTTACAGTTATATAGAATTGAGATCTAATTTTAAATGTAGGTACATCAGTGAGTCTATAGAGATTAACACAAGGTATTCCACGACACATGACTGTGTCCGCTGGTATTCTTTGACCATTTTGGTGGTTACTCATATATACCTTGTTTTTCACCATTGTATCAATAACATCAGAGAGATCTTCAAAGTTGTAACAAAAGAAATTCTGTCCTGCATCTGCTTTACCAAGCCAACCAAGAAGATGTGCACCTGTTCGAGTGAAATGTTCATAGAAGTCTCTATTTTTTGCTGGGAAATGAGGATTTGTATGTGTGACATGAATTCCTTTGGCAACACCATCCTCGATATCATAAATAACAAATCCTTTGGAATGAGCATAAGAAAGTGAACTCTCTGTGGCTCCTCTTCCACCTTCTTTTTCTCTTGGACCTGTTTGGTCGTTCCAACTGGATGAGTTCAAAAGATTTCTCATTCATTAATAATCTTCAATCATTTATAGCTTGTTTTGATAATGAATATACATACACGTAATAGTAGGAGTTGGTTGTACTCAATTGTTTAAAGGTGGCTGCAAGTGGTGAAAGTTTTTGGTTTAGGTCGATATTATAACTTGCAGCTGGATTTTTTACATAATCTCCTTCTGGTGTGAGATGATCTCTCATAATCATACTATCCATTGATTCATCGGTGTATAAATAACTGTTGGTTGTATGTTGGTTAAATTTTTGTTTGTTTCCTAATTTATAAGTGAACCACCATGAAACTGGTTTATTATTATATTGATTAATTGGTCCATCTGCTTGGTCCTAAGCATGAAATACCTTTTAAAAAATTAAAAAACAAAAAAAAAAAGAAATAAAAATGGTTAATATATCATGTTCATTATGATTCAGTATTTGTTGCTTACCATAGTTATTGAAATAAATTCTCTCCAATGAATAAGCGGATAGAGTTGGATCGAATACTTGAATCAAATATTTTCCACTTGCTTGACCTGCTGGTTTGGCACATGATTTTTGGAACTGATTATTACCAAGTGCAGTCTCGGGATCACAAGTGAGAGTAATCGTTACACCAGAAAGTTTAACAAGTCTGATTTGAACAGCTGTTGAGTCACCTTTGGTATAGGAAATCGTCAATCGATCATCATTATATTTTGAACCAAATAATGGTGTTGCATTGATGATTCTCGGAACTCTAAATTGAAGAATTTGATTGGTGATTGTTCTGCCTCCAACGGTGTATCGAAGTGCTCTTGTGTCTAAATCAGTGGTCTTTGGTTCTGGGAGTGAACATATCATCGATTGTTTGAGTGGAGCTGTTGGATTGATGAGAAGACATCCACTTTCTTTGATATTCTCAAGATCTGCACTCACTGTGAATGAATGTTCTGAAGGGAAAGTAATTTCATTGTTGGTAAAAGTGACACCAATCACTTCGATTTCAATGAATTCTCTTGGTGGATTGGGTGGGAATGTGTTTGTTGTTGGATCTAATCCAAGAGTACTTGATGTGATTGAGTAGACTGGTTTTACTCTCTTGGCTTTGTCGATTTCATACTCATCAGTTCCAACTGTGAGAGTAAATGTATCGTAGTTGAATTGTCCTTCGACCACAATAGTGCAAATCGAATCGACATGACCAACATATATACCATCTACAACATAGTTGGTTATAAGCTCTTCATGAGTAAGAGGATCTACCTCAAACATTGTAACTGCATTTGCAGTATGGCTACTATAAACACCAACGAACGACACCGTGAATAGATCTTGTGAATAATTAACAGTTTGTTTATCGATGAGCATTCTCATTCTCTGGGTTGCAGTGTCATAGTTTAATACTCTTCCAGTTACATATAAATCGTTGGCATTTCCTCTTCTGATAGTTAGAACATGGTCAAAAGGTATTGGGGCATCACCAATTGAAAGAGATTCAATACGATTAAGTTCTACTCCATTTAGCATTCTAAAGTATCCTCCATAAGTACTTTGGATAACATTAGCCAAGAGACTTTGAACATCAAATACAAGTCCTGAATTGAAATAAATTAGTTTTGTGAAACAATAATAAATAAATGATTATATGATAGTTACCAGTGTATTTGAATTTGAGAGTGGAATCAATTGTCTTGATAAAACCTGGTTTGGCATTGTTTGGATCAAATACAATTGAAATCGGGAATTCAGTTGGTAGATTGGCCAATGATAAATCTTGGATACCACTACATTTGATTGGAGTTGGTGCAGAAGTTGTTTCTGGAGCACAATTCAAGTTGTAGGTTCCAATTTTAATCAAATAATCTTGTTTCTCTGGGAAATCTGTGAGATCAAAGATAATTGATTTACTGGCTGCGTCATCCAAGAAGTACAATGAAAGTGTATTATCATCTTTGGCCTTGATTGTCGGTGCTATTATAGATCATTAATAATCAATTTATCAATAATATTTATAACTGATTAATGATAGTTACCAAGTAATTTCATTTCAATATCGGGTTTAACTTGATATGAATGTTCAACGACAGTTCCATCATTCGAGGTTAGACTCTTCTCAACAAAGAACTTGATTGTTTGATCACCAACCAATGCAGTACTAACAATTTCAATTGAAAGAGTATTGTCTACAATCTGGAAGTCATTGGTATTCAAAGCGATATCATTCAATGTAATCTTGTTTATGATTTCCAAGTTTTTACCTTTGAGTGTACTTATTGAATGTCCGGTATTGATAATCTTAATCGATTGAGTTGGTGTCAAATCAAATTCAGGATCTGTATGAAATTAAAAGATTAAATTAGATATTGACTCTTTAAGAAAGATAATCTAAACTTTACATACAATTAAATATATAGGTATATCCAGTCGGGTAGTCTCTTCCATACATCTTTGTATTGATTTTATACTCCCAAACAGGTGGATTTGTAGCATCTGGGAAATACGAGAGTGAAAGACATTCGTATTGGTCCAATGTCGATGGTGGTACAGCTGCTTTATATTGACATTTCAGTTTTATATGACTTGTACCAATGAAAACAGATCCAGATGGGTCAAGATGCTCACCATCAATCACAAACTTTACATCTCCTGTCATAGGACCCGAAATATCAACTCCCATACTTGGGAAACTCGGAACTAATAAATAAAAAAAGAAGGAGAAACACAGAGTTGTAAATAAAGCGATCATTTAAAAGATTCTTTAATCTATAAAACAATTTGATAATTACCAAAAAAGTTATACTTTTGTGAACCAGTAATTGTTTTACCAAGTACATTGACGTAAGCATTGACAATACCTGAAGGGAAGTTGGTTGGGACATCCAAAGAACATATGATTTGATTATCATCTTTCGAAAGTTCTTTAACAGTACACTTTACAGTTTTAGATTGATCTTCATTAATAAAGTTCACTTCAACCTGATCGGGTTTAAGACTTGAAATGAGTGAATCAGTCTTGATAATAATGGCATCATATGATAGATGTGAGTTTAAAGAGAGTTCCGTTGTTGGGATGATCTTTGCTAAAAAATTATAATTAAAATTAAAATTATAAAAAATAATTTAATCAAATTTGATGAACTTACGAAGTGCTGTGATTTTGAATAGAAATTTTGGGATGTGATTCGAATCAGCATATTCAAAATTAAAAAAATAATCACCGAATGGAACTACTTGAGTGGTGGTACATTCGATTTCATCTTTTGAAATGACTGCCGTGATTAAACATTCATACTTGACAACTGGTACACCTTGGGGAATAGGGACTAGAGTTATCTTTGGAGCATAGTTTGGAAAATGGAGAGCATAACCTTTAAACTTGAAGGTTTTTGTTCCTTCTAGAATCACAGTATCATCATAAATGATAGAAGGAACTTTATTGAGTAAAAAATTTGAAATATTAGAAAATCATTTTCAACACATTTTTGAATAATAAGATATATACATACTTGTGAATTTCATATAAAAAGGATTGTGGTGGGTTCATTGTTGATTGATCCAAGATGACAAGAGAGTAACTATTGGTAATTGATGATTTACCTCGTTTGAGTGGACGGGTAGACTTAGGACGATCATCACTACCATCACTACCAACCATACCATCACTACCATCACTACCATCATCATCATCATCATCAATGTCAAATACTACTCTCAGATTTGGAATTTTGTAAACCACTACATTAGTACCAACTCTTTCAACAAAAGTACATGGTTTAACATTAGTTCCATCTTCAGCAGTAACCTTGAATTTATCCTTGTCAAAAGCATATCCATCTGGAAGTTTGATCGATACCCTAAAACCATCTTGATAGATTTCATTATCAAATTCGAATTTTACCTGATCAGTTGTCCAAACAACAATAAATGATAAAAATAATAATATTATTATTTCTTTCATCTTTTATTTTATAATATATAGAATTATTTGAATTATTTTTATATATTATTATATAATGAAGATTTGTAAATGATTAAAAAACTATTGTATTTTGTAAAGTATGAATTAAAGAAAAACGAGTGATTGGTTAACTATTGAAAGTAATCATTTTAAATGACCAAGCTGATTTAGGCGATTAACCAGTGAAAAATAAGACTTTAATAGTATTGAATTGAATCCCATTCTCTAAAAGTAATAGCAAAGGTTTATTCGGTTAAATGAAAAGAATGAGGGATCAATCAAAAACCAACTTTGAACCTTGTTGTTTTCACAAAGTTTGCACATTTTCAATATTTTGAAAAATATGAATCATTTTTCTAATTTTGGCACGCTAAAAGTTTATAGCCTGGGATTAAATCGTTCTAAGTTACTCGTGTACGGAGTGTTTTCTTCGACCTTTCCGTACCTATTTTTAAAAGAATTCGACAGACTGACTACGTGGTAGATTTTGCAAAAGATAGAACTTAAAAAAAAGTAAAAAAATCAACTTTGAGATTAGACGCAAAATAAAAAATTTTGGACCCTCTAAAAACATGTACATTTTTACTCGTTGTGAGTTACAATTCTCGAATCAAAATTTTGTTTAAATCCTTTTTTAGGAAAAAGATTATCAACAATCTTTTTCGAATCATTTTTGCACTTTTATTCCCCAAAAGGTAATAAACATTAGGCACCATCAGAAGTAAAATGATTCCGTTGAGAGACAAACCGTGATCGCTAAATATCTAGCTTTTGTATAATAGTTTTTCAAAAAAAAATAAATAAATTTTTTTATTAGTTTGAAACGAGTGATTGATTGGACGAGTTTCATCTGGATATCTAATCACATGTAAAATTTTATTAAAATCAATAATAATATTATTATTTAAAAAAAATATGAAGAATAAATATTTATATATTTATATATTAATTATATTTATTTGTAATAATATTTCTTTTATTACAGCTATTCCAAGTTGTTTGTCACCTGACAACAATAATGTGCAATGGTGGTATATCAAAAAACTACCATTAACCAATGCATATTTGTACATGGACGAGCATAATGTAATTTTTCTTAGTGATATCACTCTGGCTGAAAGTGCACTTGGAAGAACGCTTGAGAGTATCAAAACCAATGAAGTTTTGATGTTCAATGACAAGCCTTGGCAGTTTGGTGACAAAAATGAAAATCAAGAGACACCTCTAAATGGCCAGTGGCAACCTGATCAGTATGGTACATCCAAAGGATTTGTTGCACTTACCAGTTCTGGAAATGGAATTCACGTAAAACACACTATGCCTGGTTTTCCTGCCATTTTGCCCACTAATAATGAGGTTGCAATGCCTTCAAGCTATCCAGGAAAGTGGTTCCCTCAAGACTACCATTTGGCTGATGAACAATCGATTAATTTGAATATCGGTCATTCATTTTTATGTCATACTCTTATCGGCCTTAGCAATTTAGAGATGACTGCATTTTTTAATACTTTAGTGCCATTGGTTCCAAAGATTTATTTTAACACATTCAGTGAAAGAAATCTAAGATTCTTGAATAATATATTTGAAGGATCAATCGTTGATTCCTCAGCCAAACAGTACATCAGCCCAACTATTGAAATCCACAGTGGTTTACAATCAAGTGCTTGGCAATCTTTCTTTGGATACACTACCGTTCCTGTAAGTAAATAGATGATATTGAATTACACTGTAACAAAGTTAATATAAATATAAATACTAATGATTCTATTGTATTAATTAGAGAGATGCCGTTGCAACTGCTAGTTTTAGTAGTTTGGTCGAGAATAGATTGCCAATTGATTTTTCAAATCAATACAACATACCTTTGGAGAGTAGACATTGGATATCGGATGTCGAGGCACCAGGATTTGCATTTGACAAACTCAGAATATGTCTTGGTGATTACCATCCAACTTTGTCTTCATCACCTGCCTCGTTTGTGTGTGTTGTTACCTCGAGTGCTGCCAATACTTTCCTAATCAATACTGCCTACAAACTTAGATCAAGTATTTGCTCGTCACTTGATTGTGAGACTAAACTGCAGAGTGATTTCAATGGAAAAGGTCAAGTTAGATTCCAAGTCAACACTGTCAGTACCAATATCGGTTCACTCCTTTCTCGTACTCCATTCGATTCAAGTCTTCCTGATACTGAATTGACTGTTGTACCTGCTTCCGATCCGTCATGTCAGAGTGATTGTGGTATCTTTGAATATCAAACCAATGAATTTGCTTCTGTTGATATTGTCAAGTATTACACTCCTGAGATTAGATTGTATCTGAAGGATAATAAGAGAGGTATTAGTATTCAATACTATTCTGAAGACTCTGAATACATTGTATACTCTACCATTCTAAAGTATCAAGACAATCTATTTTCACCAGAGACTGTCAGTACTTACGATACAAATGTATTAATGTTTTATCGTACTTTACAAATGTTGGTAGATTTGTATCCAATTGTCAACACTGATAGCACTTTCACACAACCACAAATTACAGTTAAAATTAATAATCAACACACAGCAATAATCAACGATAACAACAACTACGGAATACAAATCGATAACTTGTGTATTGATGATTTGTTCCTTTCATATTCTTATCACTACATAACATCATTAAATAATAACTATAAATTAGATTCTCTAAATATTAATGATCGAATTCAACAACAAGAATCAGATGAATATGCAGAACAATTGGCAACAAGCAAAGCATTGATTTATTCTTTCGCGCTCAAATTCAAACAGGTAAGAATGAAAAACCCCGCTCTTTTTATATTTTTTGATTGATCGTTAAATCAAAATATCTTACTAACTATTTTTTTATTTATTTTATTTATTTTTTATTTAATTTATTTTGATTATTTTTCTTATTTTTTTATTTATTTTTATTTATTTATTTTTATTTTTATTTTATTTTATTTTTCAAAATTAACAGGATATTTTCCCATATCTGAGATCAGATATAAAACAAATCATTCATTGTGATTCACCTGTTTCACTTGAAATCTATCAAAAGAATGGAGTTGTTCAACCAGTTGCTCGTTCTTCAGGACTCATTGCATCATTCCTTTGGGATATCATCGATAACCAAGCTGATCAAGATGAGATATTCTATCAAGATAGCTTTACCAGTGGATTAGATTCCTTATCATTCCCACTGATCAAAGAGATCATCAAAGAGAATGTTCCATCCGATATATTCACAGTCATTGATGTTCTAAAGTCAAAGATTCAGAGTTCTGTCATCGACACAACAATGATTTTTGACAACTTAGATCGTGTCATGAATTTAAATTATATTTACAAATGTAATTTCTGTTTGGATGTAAGTAATATTTAATTTATTATTTTATGAATATCATTCTAACAATCAAACTTTTTAATTTTCAGAGTCCAACAAATCCACCAACAGACCCAATTTATGAGATATTAGGAAGATATCAAGTTTGTGAATCGAATTTCCAAACACTTTCACTCAGTAAACTTTATGAAACTGTTGGAAAATGGGTTCAATTTGATGAACATCAAATATCATCCAATGTTATTTGGGATTCAATTTACGAATCTCCATTGATCAGATATTTACGTAGTTCACAATATTTGAAGAATCAGATTGGTATTCGAGATAGATATTACTGTAATAATCCAATGCACCAAGGTGATCCATTCTCTTCGATCACTCCACTTGGTCTTGATATTATCACGGAATTGATTGGTGTGTTAACTCAAACAGAAACAGTTATCACCTATGGAGACCACCTTTCAACCTATTTTATTCCATTGGAGAATGAACCAGAGGAAGGTTTTGGAATTGTCATGTTTGATGGAAAGATCTGTAGCTTTACTCATTCAACAAAAGTTGAGTTTGAAAGTGGAGAACTTCTTCAAAGTTGTCCAGTTGATCCATTCATTCTCTCCGTTGGACCATTGACAGGTGACACCAAAGATGAAACAACACTCATCATCAAAGGTCGAAATCTTCAATATCTCCTAGTAAAGTTTGGTGACATTTACCTCGAAGACTGTGACTATACCAATGAAGATGATCTCCACCAAAAGCAATGTACAATTCCATCTGGACTTGGAACCAAATCGATTTCAATCACTACACCAAAAGAACCTTCACTTAGACTTCCAAACACATTCCAATTCCAATACAATGCACCAACAATCAGTTCTCCACGACCATCTGAACAATTCAACACAGTAGGTTCAGAGATTACACTTTATGGAAGCAATCTTTTCTCCATGACATCAACAGTAAACGACATTAAGTTAAAGATTGGTGGAGTCTCAATCGCATTGATCTCTGGTGGCATCCAAGATTCAAAAGAATATATTACATTTAAAACCAGAGGATCTGGATGGAACAAAAATATTTCAATTGAAGTTGGTGGTCAAATTTATGAACAACTTGACTTTATTGATCATAAAGCACCAAACATCGATTCAATCTCCAAAGTAATGTGGAAAACCGATGGAGAAGAAGATATAATTATCACTGGTTCTCAATTTGGTGATGAATCTCTGACAATTGATGAATCACCAATCTCGAGTTTGACCTGCAATAGTCTCATTCGTGTCAGTGACAACAAGATTACTTGTAAATCTGTCATTGGTGGTGGAAAGAATCTTAAATTCAGTATTCATGTCGATTCACAACAATCCAACTTTTTACCTTTCGATTATATTGCACCAACTATTCTTCAAGTTGTTCAAGAACCATTCGTCAACACATCATATGGAGGTAATTTCTGGGTTGTTGGTCTCAATCTTGCAACAATGACCGAGTTTGTTCCATCAGTTAATATGTCCAATGATCATTATCAACTTTATGAGTGTATTGTAGATGAAGAAAGTGTTTGTTTTCCAAACAAGTTATATTCAAATGAAGATGGTCAAGTAATTGAAGTACCAACACAACAAACACCAGATAAAGATTTCGATCCATACATTGAAATAGATAAGGAATTCAGATCAATGGAATTTGATTGTATTAAGTGTAGACTACCAGCAGGTGTTGGAAATGACAACATTGTCATTCTTGAAGTTCTTCAACAACTATCTGGAAATTCAACAGACTCACTCGTTTTCCCAAGACCATTAATCTCCAAAGTAATCAACAATACATCTGGAACTGATGGTTCAGTAACACTCTCAATTTTTGGAACGAATTTCTCACCAAAAGAACAAAAATTCGTTTATGATGAAGAATCTGAGGATTATTATGAAGTTCCACTTATCGAATATGAACGTGGATTTGACAGAAGTAATATTTCCATTGGTCACTACCATTTTAAGAATATCACATGGGTGAATTCATCATTGGTACACACAGAGATCTATGCTGGTGTTGGTGCCAATCTTACAATTTCTCTCTTCTTGGGAAATCAATCAATGTTAAACATTGAACCAAATCAAATTCTATTTAATTTCTCATATGAAAGTAAGTTTTAAAAGTTTATATAATATTATTCTTATAAATTTGATAGATATTAACTTTATACACTCTCTTTCTATATTTTATTTTATATTTTAGGACCAAATATCTCGGCGATTGTTGGAAATTTGAATACAAGTGCCAACAATGAAATTACAATCAATGGTTTCAATTTCATTCCCAAAAATCAAACGTTTTTGAAACAATCAGATTTCGACACCAGTTATTTAACAATCGGAGAAAACAATTGCACAACACCAACTTGGACAAACTCAACTTCATTTACATGCACTCTCCACCCAGGAATTGGTGCCAACTTGACATTAACCGTTTTCATTGGAAATCAATCGAATATCGATGGAGTCAAGAATTTCTCTTATTCTGAACCTCACATTAAGAGTGTAGATTCAAGTGATACCAAAGGAGGATCAGTCATTACAATTCATGGTGTCAACTTTGTTCCGAAAGATGTTGATCCAAAAGACTCTAAAGTTTTAATCGATGACGTTGAATGTAAAAATATCAATTGGATTGATCAAGACAGAATCGAATGCACTCCACCACCTGGAATTGGTAAAAATATATCGTTGGAAGTTGGAATCGCCAATCAAAATACAACTGAAAACATATTCAAATACAATGAACCAAGCATTGAAGAGATTCCAAATGTTTTGACGCATGGTGAATTGATCACAATCAAAGGAACCAATTTCGTTCCGAAAGATGTTGATCCAAAAGGTTCCAATCTCACCATTAATGACGAACTTTGTGATGATATCACATTCATCGATGAAACACAAATATCATGCAAATTCCTCAAAGGTATCGGAAAAGACCAACCATTATCGATATCGATCGATTCACAAAGTGTCAAAGCTAAATTCAATTACAAAATACCAGAGATTACAGAAATACCAAACAGTGATACATCTGGATCAACGATCACAATCAAAGGAGATAACTTTGTTCCAAAAGATGTTCAAGATGGTGGACCAACCTCGAGTTATGTCGAAGTCAATGGAAAGAAATGCACAGATTACGATTGGATCGATCACAATCAACTTTCATGTAAAATACCAATTGGTATTGGAAAGAATGTTCCATTTAAACTTTACATTGGAAAACAAACACATTCAAACAATCAACATATCGATTATAATCGTAAGTTTAAAAAATACAAATATTTAAACAATTATTGATATTAATACTAATATTAATATCAAACTATAATAATAGCACCTTCACTGCCAAGTGATTCAGATTATTCGGGACCAACCAATGGTGATTTGACTTTGATGATCACAGGATCAAACTTTGTACCTTCTGATTTGGCATCATCAACACCAACCAATGATCAAAACAATTATGTAAAGATTGGTGGTAAATCATGTCAATCACTGACTTGGAAAGATTCGAACTCATTACAATGTAAGATTCCAATTGGTACTGGTGTCAAGAAATCAATTGAAATCAAAGTTGGAGGTCAATTAAATCAACAAAATACCTATTTCTCTTATGACAGTATGTTAAAATTATTTTACAATCAACAATAATAATTATAATTATAGTATATTTTTATTAATATGATAACTTGTTTCTATTTCTAACTTTAGAACCAACAATACGTGAAATAACACCAGAGAAAGGAAGAATGGCAAGAAATACAATCGTCACTATCAAAGGAACCAATTTTGGAAATGTCCAAGATAAAGTCAGCATCGATGGTAAAGATTGTAATGTTTTCACATGGAATCATGAACAGATTGTATGTGTTGCTCCTCAATCCAGTTCTGAAGGTGAGAAAACAGTTTCAGTAACAGTTGACTCACAACAATCGAATCAAAACATCAAATACACCTATTATGACAAACCAAAGATTGAGAGAATCGAACCAAAAGAAGGATCAATCGATGGAGATGAACAATTGACAATCTATGGATCGAATTTGATTGAAGATGGAAGTACATTGAAGGTATACTTTAAGAAACAAGAATGTCCAGTTGTTTCTTCAACAAAAGATCAAATCGTATTCACCAACAAGAAAGGAGCTGGTCAAAACATTGAAATTTATATCAAATTGGTAAATTCAAAACTTTCTGATCAAATTTCAAATACAAACACTGAATTCTCTTTCACTGGTAAGTTTTTATTGAATAATAATCAATTAATTATCATAGAATTATATCTAACTTTTCTTGCTTTTTTAGGTCCATCTATCAGCAAAATTAATCCAGAATCTGGAGATAAGAACACGAAACAACCAATTGAAATTACTGGTACAAATCTTGGACTTGTTGGAGATGAACCATCTGTCATGATTGGCTCGAAAGAATGTTCCAATGTCAAAGTGATCTCATCATCAAAGGTGACATGCATTGTTCCAACTTCTTCAACTGCAAAAGTAGAACCAGTCAAGTTAACCTTTTATTCTAAAGAAGCCACCTCATCCTATGAGTACACTGAAGAAGAAAGCAGCAGTGAAAGTGAAAGTAGCAGTAGTGACAGTGTATCTGATAGCACTGAAGAGCCTGAGCCTGAGCCTGAAGAAATTATCACCCAAATGTTCTATATTATTGGAGTTCCACCAATTGTTTGGCCAGTACCACCAGGTCCACCTCCAATCATCCCAGTTCCTGTTATGGTTGTAAATGTTCTAAAAGGATCGACTGCATTCGAAATCTTTAGAAAAACGATGATATTGAAAACACCAGACAATTTTGAATTCCCATTCTCAGACTTTGACTCTATCAAGATCGATTGGGGAAAGATCACATCCTCTAGTCTCACCAAATCTAAATTTAAAATTAAAATTAGATTCAAGATTAGTTTCAAATTAAAGAGTGGAAAATCATGGTCATGCGAATCTGACAGCTCTGATGAAGATGATAATGATTCAGATGGATGGACTCGACCAACAGTAGAAGGAGGTCCACCTCAAGGTAAATTCCCACAATGGTTATTGCCAGCTGGAAGCGATCCAAATCAAATTCCAACTGAATTACCAAACCCTCCAGCACTCCTCCTCAAATCTAAAATCAAAGGTCGTCTCTTTGAAGACAAGAATCAAAACATGAAATTTGATGGTGATGATACTCCAATCACCAATAATCAAACGTTTATGATTGGAATTGTCAATGATGATGGAGATTACACCAATGGTAAAGTCAACTCTGATGGAACATATGAAGTGGAGACTGACAAACAACTTGGTCTTTACACTTTGGTTGTGACATCAATACCAATATTTAGCAATGCAAACTACTTCCTTCCACAAACCAGATTCCATATTCCATTCACTTTTGAAGGATATGAACAGAATATTCCTGTTTTCACCAAATCACCACTTGGATGTTTGGGAACTGTCGAAACCTATTCAAAGAAGATCACATTACAATATGGTGAATATAATTTGTTGGATTTCGGAGTCTACATGTTTGAAACTTCCACTCCTAAATTCCCAGATTATTGTCAAGTCAATCTCTTTGCAAATAAGATTGCCATCAAATATAGTAAGTAGTTTAAAATAAAAGTAAATATAAATGATCATATACTAACGATGGTTCGATTAATTTTCAACAGAGACAACATCAGATTTAACATTATTCTTGGATACCAATTTAGATGGAAGTCCAGATAGCTCAATATCTTCAGTTGATTACGATGTTTTATCGACTGTTGATGGAAAACAGTTAATTCGTAGCTATTCTTATAAGGATAAGAAATCATTTGATTTACCATCGAGTTCATACATTCGATTCAAAGAAAGTACAGAAATGACACCAATCATCAACAACTATTATGTTAAAGTTGAAGATCCAAATAAGATTTCAACAATTTCAAGCAAACTTGGATTCATAAACATTGCACCATCAAAGACGATCTCATTCACTGGTTCCAATTCACAAATACTTTCACTCACCTTTGGAAAGTTCACCAAACAATTCTTTACCAATATCGAATGGACTGACACCACATTATCATTCACACCAAAGACCAATCAAACTGTAATTTTCAGCAAAGATGATGAAGACACCAATGGTCGAATCGCCTCACCAAATGGAAATCAATATGTTCTCAACAAAATCACTTTTGGAAATGTTGAAATTGTCAATCAATGTATGTTTATTTTTTATTTTATATATTTTGTTAAAAAGTACTCATTTATTAACAAAATTTATTCTATTTATTATTTAGATCTATTCTCAAATGTAATTCCAAGTACTGGTGATAAGATTGTGATATCGAATGATTACCCATTCAAAACAGCATCCTATTTTATTGATTCCGTTCAAATTAAATGTGATGTTCTTGATTCACTCCATTATAAATGTGATATCCCAGCGTCAACTGGAGGAGTAAATACCAAACAAATTACATCCAAATGGAATGATATGAATCTTTATAACATTCATACTCTCACCTATTCTCAATCACAAACCACCACAACATCATCAACAACATCCAGCACTGGAACTTCATCAACTACTGGTGGAGTAACCACCACTGGTGAGATAACTACAAGCTCATCAACTACTGGTGGAATAACCACCACTGGTGAGATAACAACAACTTCAACAACATCAACAACTGGTGGTGGTGGTTCATTTTCAAGCTATATCTATGGTTATATTCACGATGACAGAAATTATAACAATCAATATGATCAAGGTGAACCATTCTTGACAAACTTCAAAATTCAAGTTATTGGAAATAATAACTTTGATTATAGAACCACAAGTAATGAAAGTGGAATCTTTGAATTCAGAGTTGTCGAACCTGGAACTTACAAGATCACAATTGATTCAGATATCGATGAAATACCATACTTTATTCCAATACAAACTGTTTATGTCAGAGTTTCCAATCAACTCACAATTGTTTCAAATATTACTGTTTTCTCGAAATGTAAGTAATTTCTTCCACTTCAACCACATTGTACCATATTAATAATATTATTTATTAAATTAGCAAATTATGAATGTTTCGGAACAATATCCAATGCAGAACGAGAAACACTTTCAATTCAATATGGTTCATTTGATTTATCAAACTTTAACTATAATTTTAATTCATATTATCAAACCTATTCAGTAAGTGACCATTTATAATTTATAAATTCCTCAAAAAAAAAAAACTAATTGTATTTTTAAACTATTAGTTCCCACCAATTTGTAATGTAATCTTGGAAGACTCAATTATTACAGTTAAATATAGTATGTATATTCACAATAATAACTCGAATTCAATTATTTATTTATTTACTAATATTAATAATAACTTTTAGAATCAATGTTAAATTTATCAGTTTTCTATGATGAGAATTTCAATGGATTAAATGATGATAATGCAACATACCCAGTGAATATATCAGTTTTAGTTCAATCGAATTTGAAAGGTAAACAATTGGAAAGATCGTTTATCATTGATAAAGCTCCATACTTTATTGTGACGGATATTCCAGGTGACTCTTTTATCAATATGACACAAAGAACAGATTCATGGAATACAACAATCGGATTCAACACCAAAAACTATTCAATTCCAGATGCAACATTATTCTCAACAATCGATGACAGTTTAATATTGTTTACATCGAATCCAAACAACACAATATCATTATTCAATGACAGAACTATCTCAAACAACACTCTTATCATTCCATTTGGCAAATACAATTCAACATTCTTTGATAATCTTTCATGGAATACTTCAAATTTGACATTGACCACAATGCCAGATCAAATTGTTGTAATAACATTGAACAATGGTTCATCGATAGTCATTGAAAACAATCAAACAGCCAACTTTATTAATTTCAATATTACAACAATTGAATTGATCTATTTAGATCTTTTCAAAGAACTCCCATTGATCCCATTGGTTGGTGGTTCTATTAAGTTATTCAATGTTTATTGGAATTATTCGATTCAACCAGAGTTATCAATTGAAGGATTCAAGATGAACTGTTTAATTTCATCAATTGACTCATCTTTTGTTGATTGTTCAGTTCCACCATATTTGATTGGTGATCTCAAGAAAGCAATCAAAGTTACTTGGAATGGAATGGATTTGTACCAAAATGGATTTATTACCTATGAAACACCTTTGACAACAACGTCAACAACATCAACCAGCACCACTGGAATTCCAACAACAACTGGTGGTTCTGACACAACAACGACTGGTGGTTCTGGTTCAACTACGACTACATCGACAACTGGTGATTCAACAACAGCCGGAAGTACAACAGCTGGAAGTACAACAGGAGGCACAACTCAAACAACTTTACTTGTTGGATACCTATTTAATGACACCAATTTCGATGGAATCTTTGATTCTTCCGAAAAACCAATGAGAAATATCAAAGTTGAAATTGTTGGACCTGTCAATTCAAGTACAACAACCTCATCGACAGGTCAGTTTAGTTTCATCAATTTGATTCCAGGATCATATGAAATCAAAGTCGATTTCAATGAATCATCAAAGTTCTACAATCCAATTGGAAATTATACAATGCAGGTCACCAATCAATTTATGATCCAAAGAAACATTGCACTATTCTGGAAATGTATGTATTTTCTGCTATAATTAATCATTTGATACAAAATATTAACACTTTTTTTAATTTTTAAACTCAAGCACCTCTTGGATGTGTCGGATCAGCAACAACATCAGATTGGACATATTTGGTTCAATATGGATCACACAACTTGACAATATTCAAGTTGAATACCACAAATATCAATTCAACAGCATTTGTTCTTCCAGACTATTGTGTTGGAACTGTTGTCAACAATGAAACAATTGAAATCAAATACAGTAAGTAATTACTATAAAAAAAAAATTTTTACATATAATAATAACATTAATATTAACTATTAATTTTAAAACTCATAGAAACTTCAATCAATTTAACATTGTATTATGATATTAATATCAACGGAACACTCGATGAATCAGATCTCAAAGTCAATAACACTGTCAATTCAACAATCATGATCACATCGATTGTCAATAATCAAACAATCATCAGAAACATGACATCATTGATGATTCCATCGACATTGTTGATTGATCTTCCATCGAATTCAACATTCACAATCATTTCAGATCCACAATCCAAAACATCAGCAATTCTCAACAACCATCAAATCAGTTTATCAAACTTCACAACATTACACACAGTTAATCAATCATTTGCATTCTATAATGAATATCAAAACAACACATTGACACTTGGAAATAATGAAACAATCTCAACATTCACAATTCCATATGGTAAATACAATGTATCGTACTTGGCAACACTTGGATTCAATTCAAGTTCCATTAAATTCAGAACCAATGTCAATCAATCAGTATTACTAAACTATGAGACTGAAACATTAAACATCTCAAATAGTACCATTCAAGTGTTTAACACATCAGGTCTTGATTCAATCGAACTTTATGATCCAAGTAAGTAAAATTAATAGATTTTAATATTGTTTATTCGCTATACTAATATTCATAACAATAATTTAAATAGATCTATTCAATATTTCATTCATTCCAAGTCATGGATCATCAATCAATCTAACCAACAGATATTGGAATTTGAATCAAGCAAATATTTCAATTGAAGGAGTCAATATCGATTGTCATAAACTCAATGATACTGACCAATTCGTATCATGTTCAATTCCAAGATATATTGTTGGTAACTGGACAAGATCAGTTTCGATTTCAATGAACAACCACACACTTTATCCAAACTACACAATCACCTATCAAAACAATTGTTCGAATTGTACTCTTGAACAAAAGTTACTCTCCCAATGGACTGTTGATAATGTTAACTATTACCAATATGAAGCGAATATCACCAATTATGGAAGTCACGATCTTTCATTCATGGAGATATCAATTGGTAATGATGAAAGCATTTCAAATATGTGGGGTGCCACCAAACTCCAACAATATCTCTACTCATTGAACATTGAAGGTGTATTTAAGAGCAATACAAGTGACAATCTTGTTTACATCACCAACTCAAGTAAACCACTTGATCTTTTCATTGTTTATTGCACAGAGTTTATTTCAACACCAATACCAACAACACCAATAACACCAGAACAAAGTTCAAACAAAGTCAGAACATCATCTTTTAGAAGCATGTCCAACAACAACAATGACAACAACTGTAACTTTGAGATCACACAAACAATCATGAGTAATTGGACAACAGGTGATCAACATTATACACTTTACTACATGGTAATGAAGAATATCGATAACACCACCACCAATAAGCACCAACATGTCGAAATCACAATCGACACAAACATTGAATCGATCTATGGAATCAAAGAACAAACAACAACAAACAACTATTCAATCGATATCGACACTGACAACAAACAATTACAAAAAGAATTTGTCATCATTACAACCAACACTGACATTGATCCAATCATTTCAATCAATCAATGTTCTTAATTATTTTTAAATTAATCAATAAATACAATCAAATTATTTCATTTAATCTTAGAAAATTTTAGAATATTCACCTACAAAAATTCTTATTATCATTCTAAATACAAAGATATATCGTTCTTAAATTCTATACTTGAACTAACCTATAGAGTTTACAAAACACACTTTCAAAAACTATTTTGTTTCGTAGATGTATCTGAATCAGAATCTATTGTTCAAATAAATGTGTTTGTAAAGGTATCCGCATGATTTTTTTTTTTTAAGAATCAAGATTCTTTTTTATTAATTATTTTAGTTTGTAGATGGAGCTGGAGTTGGAGTAGTTGTGGTTGTAGTTGGTGTTTGTGGTGATTCTTCATTCTTGACTGGCTTCATTGCTGGGAATAAGATAACCTCCTTGATATTGTAAACGTCACATAGAAGCATAACGAATCTGTCTACTCCCAGACCTAATTATTATAATTAAATTAAAAAGATTAGTATATTAAAAACACTTCCAACCTTTTTTTTTTTTTTTATATTTGTACTTACCCCATCCTCCAGTTGGTGGTAAACCGTATTCAAGTGAAGTAGTGAAAACATTATCAATGAGTTGTGCTTCATCATCTCCCATTGCCTTGGCCTTGGCTTGCTCTTCGAATCTATCGAGTTGAGTGAATGGATTGTTGAGTTCGGTGTAGGCGTTACAGGCTTCACGAGTGTTAATGAACAATTCGAATCTCTCAGTTAAACCTGGGATGGTTCTGTGATGCTTGGCCAATGGACTCATAATTTCTGGATGATTGATAATAAAGGTTGGGTTGATACATTGGACTTCCAAGAAGTGACCGACCAATTTGTCCAAAAGACGAGCAGTGGTTTGTGGAGCGCTGCACTCTACCTTGAATTCCTTGCACTTCTCGGCGAGGAAGAGACGACATTCGTCGGAGGAGTATGGAGTTGGGATCTTACCGATGTGTGATTCCAATTCGGAAATCATATCGATACGACGCCATGGAGCGGTGAAATCGATTTCGATTTCCTTTCCTTCTGGACCATCTGGATGATACTTGATCTTCTTGGATCCGTGAATATCCTCAACGATTCTAGCCAACATCTCTTCGGTGATGGTCATCAAATCGTTGTAGTCGGCGTATGCCATATAGAACTCGCAGGTTGTAAACTCTGGGTTGTGAGTGTGATCGATGTCTTCATTACGGAATTGCTTTCCAATCTCATAGACACGGTCCATACCACCGACGACAAGTTGCTTTAAGTAGAGCTCTGGAGCGATACGCATGAACAAATTCAAGTTCAAACAGTTGTGATGGGTGACGAATGGCTTGGCTGCGGCACCACCAGCAATCATGTTCATCATTGGTGTTTCGACTTCGACGAATCCCAAGTTATCGAGATAACGACGAACTCCTTGAATAACCTTGGAACGAATAACAAAGTTACGCTTTACATTGTTGTTGACGATCATATCGAGATAACGCTGACGGAATCTGGTCTCTTGATCGGTCAAACCTTGACCTGGCTTTGGCAACATATGAAGACATGGCGAGAGGAGTACAACCTCTGTTGTGAACAAAGAGAGTTGTCCGGTCTTTGCACGACCTGGTCTACCCTTGGCACCAACGATATCACCACGACGCAACAAATCGTTGATTTGGTCTACACTGTCACCCATGTTGCCTCTGTTGACAAACAATTGAGTCTTGACACCGTCTTGAACGATATCGTAGAATGCCAAATGCTTACCATTCAATCTCTTTGAGAGAACACGACCAGCAATGCTAATCTCTGGTTGAGCGTTCGAGTCGTCTTCAATGGTCAAGTGTGAATAGGTCTTTTCAAACTCTGCAATTGTAGTTGAAACGTGGAATTTATGTGGCCATGCATCAGTACCATTAGTCTTTGCATCATTCAACTGCTTGGTACGATTCTCCAAGTAAGCGGCTGGATTGAAATCCTCCTCTTCATTCTTACTATAATTATTTTATAAATATTATTATTTTTATATTAATATTGCAAATTTAATAAAATAATCGATTTTTGTTTTTTTTTTCCAAATCAAATTCCAAAAAACCCTTTAGATATTATCTGTTTGCAAATCATTTTTTTTATTCTTATTCGTTTGTGAGAATTTGTCGATATATCTGATAAATCTGAATTAAAAAGTGGTAATCAAACGTGATTTCGATATTATTTTTCGAAATGCTGTTAATTCCATTATTAAAACTAAATTTATGTCTATTTTATTATTATGATTGATTATGTTGTTATTATTATTATTATTAAAATGCTAAACTTAAGATATCTTTAATGATGATTTTAAATGGAGTCTGTGGAAGATTTGGTTATTCATAAATATACATACATTCCTGATGGCTTTGGTGGCATTTTACTACAAAAACAAAAGTATAATTATACAAAAGTATAAAGTAAGTATTTTTATAAATAAATAGAATAAAAAAATTGGTTTCGAACCTTCTGTTTATAATTTAGTTATGAACTCAATTTTTTTTTCGTTAAAAAAAAAAAAAAAAAGAAAAAAAGAAAAACTTAAAAAATTTTTTTCAACCGATGAAGATTGTTGTTGGTCGTGCACGACCCCAATTCATATGATACCACAACGTTACACATATAGAAATAATCAAGATATTATAATTCTAAAAAGAATAGAATAATTCTTGTGTATTTAACAATAATGATTAATTCAAACACACATACACACAATCTATTTTATTTTTTTAGAGATGAAAAATGAGAAAAATTATTAAATCTAATATGTAAAAATATTTTTATTTCTGTCGAAAATTTTTTTAATTTGTTGTAATATTCATAAAATTTTAATTTATCTATCTATCTATCTATCTATTCAACTTTACTTTCTTGATGTGAAATACCACTAAAGTATGAGAGTGTTGATTTAACAGGGTTGTTGGGGTGACCTGATACCGAGGTGTGAATTGGTGATTTGTAGTCTTTGTGTTGATGTCGACGTCTTGTGTATACCCAGAACACGTAGACAACCATCAGAACAATAGCGAGTGCAATAAACACGTAGAAGTAGTCATCTCCCGATTTAGTTGCGTCAAACTTTCTTGGGTAGCCAGGCTGCATTTTTCTGCCCAGCAGGATCTCGCCATCGTAAACATCCTCCAACTCTAGCATTCCCACCTCTGGATTCTCGGCGATCTGCTTTCGCATGCCCTCAATGAGATCGAGCTGCTCTCTCAATCTCTTGATGTGCAACTCACGTACGGTCACTTTACCGGGGTTGGGTGGTTTCTTCATGAGAGTTTGAATCTCTTGTTTCATGCCTCGAATACGCATGTTGATATCGGATTCGATGGCATTCAATATCTTCTCAAGTGGCAGCAACGGTTTTGGTGGAGTGGTCACCTCGTTTGGCATGATATCCATCTTGGATAGCTTCTCCAAGAGTCGTCCAAACAGTCCTGGTGTTGGTTTGATTGCATCTTCCAACTCCTTGACACGCACCATGTTGAAAAGATTCTCCTTGGCTGCCATTACACCGATCTCCTTGGTGTCCTTACTCTGTTTCTGAAGATCGTTGAGCTGTTGTTGTTTCTCATCGAGCTGCTTACGATAGTAGCTATTCAACTCTTCCTTCTGTGAACGTTGTTGTTCCTTTTGTGCTTCAAACTGTGAGTGTAGTCGCTTCATGTCATCTCTAGTCTTGGAGAGTAGATCGAGATTCACTTGGTGTTGAATCTTTAACTCTTCATGTGACTTGATGCTCATTCTCAGTTGTTCCAACATTCTGTCTCTCTCCATCTTTACATCTTCCATCGACATCTTTTGGAGCATAAGATCTTGCTGTAACATAGAGTAGGCAGACTTGATCTTCTTCAACTCCTCCATCTCCTTGATCTCTGATTGTTTATTGAGATTCAACCAGTCCAGTGCCTTGTCATCCATTTGAATATTGATCTTTTCTTGTTTTGGCTGACCATCAATCAATCTCCTTGAAACCAATTCATTGTTGATCTTATCATAGTTTTCATTGACTTTGATATATGGATTGGATTGATATTCATTATTATTATTATTATTATTACTAATTACTTCATTATTTTTGTTTAGGTTATTTAAAGACATTTCTTTTGCTTGCATTTGATTCTGTTGTTGTAGAATTTGTTGATATTGTTGTTGACGTAATAATTGTTGATTATTATCTTGTTGTTGAAGTTGTTGGATTGGTTTTTGTTGTTGTTGTTGTTGTTGAAGTTGTTGGATGAGTTGTTGTTGTTGTTGAATTTGTTGTTGCTGTTGTAAATTTGTTTGTTGATCATGAACCTCCTTCTCAACTTTCTTCTCTTTTAATTTCTCTTTTTCCAATTTCTTTCTCTCTAGAATTTGTTTTTGAATTTCCATCAGGTCTTTGGCCTTTTGCTTCTCAATCTCTGGGTTGTGCTCTTGTGCCTCGGGAGCTGCATTTGGATCGATATGAGTCTTAAAGAGGTCCTTAATGGCATCCTTACTGAGTGGACCTTGGTTGACTGATTTCTGGTTGAAAGCATTCTGGTTGAATGCTTGTGGTTGCTGCTGTTTAATATACTCCTTGGCCGGATCTACTTTCTTATTGGAATGTTGTTGATTCTTGACAGCCACATGGTGTTCAGTGGCAACTTCATTCTCATTGACTTTGCCGGCGAGTTGATCTTGGATTCTACGTTCTTTGGTCTCAGTTCCACTTTCGATGACCGGTATCATTTCAACTGGCTGATTGTTATTATTGATAATGTTTTCATATGGACCTTTGACGTGTGGAGAATTGAACTTGGGTGGTGCGTTGTCTGGAACGAAACTCTGTTGTTTCAAATTGAGATCTTTGGCCAGAGTTTGTTGCTTGACACGCACTTCAGTGTCTTGGAATTGCTGAGTGAATGACTTGGGTACTGAATCAACTTCATTTTGCTCTTTGACTTTAGATGGTTGGTATTTGAGTTTGGCGATCATCGTTGTCAATCTACCGGGTGGCAAGACAATCGACATATTATTGCCATCCAAAAATTGAACCAATGTCAAGTCCGAGGTGAATACATGATCGACATCGAATGCTGGGAATAACTTGGCCAACTCAATACTGACTGGTCGTGAATGTTCAGTGTTGAGGTATCTCAGGTAGTTTACGTCGTCTTCGAGTGGACCGAGAGAAATCATTTGGAGATTCGATGGAATGTGTATATTCGGTTGGAAGGAACCAGCGCATTCCGATGCAGCCGATTTAATTGATGCAGAGATCAATGGTGATTGGATAGTTCTTACCAGTTGGAATGGGAATTGTGGTGATGACATCTCCATACCTTGTTGGATGGTCAGCCAGAGTGGAATAGTAATTGGACCTTCGTTGGTTGCCATACGATGACTTCTAACCATGACATCGAGGATACCTTCATTGACACCGGCCACACCCAATGGAATTCTTGTCAACACACCCAGTTTCAATCCAGAGACAGAGTTGGATTCACCAATATAGGCAATTGCAGAGATTGGATAGAATTTCGTTTTATAACTCTGGAACTGTGAGATCTTTCTCTGGACAAGTGAAATTCCATTCTTGTCGGTGTAGTAGACAACTTTCTTGTTGAGATCGGACGATGTTGTTGGATTAATAGAGAATCTGACAATTGGATCATGTGTATAATCATTCTTCTCGACAGTGGTGGCGAAAAGTATGGTCTTGGAGACATCGGTGCACTCATGCTTCAGCGCATCCATACAGTTGATTAGTTGAATATTTTGTTTTCTAAATGGACTGAGTGTAGAGTTTTTGTAGGAAATGATTTCTTGTACGATTGGACCTTTGATTAGACGCATTAGAATGGTTGGTTGTTTAATGGGTTGAACCTCTCCCGGTGGAAGAATTGGCACCGCTGCATTGGAGCTCGAGTGAACGTAATACATGTTCTGACTCATCAGAGGCATCTCAATCTCCTTACCCTTGATGTAAAGACGTTCCATTGAGCCAGAGGTATGTCTCAAACGCAAACGATACATTGAGTTCTCAAGATTCAGCTCCTGTGAACCGATTCTTACTTGGTTGATAACGAACGGTTCGAAATCACTGGTTTCCATTGAGAGATAGCTAGTGGTGAGGATTGTAGAGGTGGCTGGAATGGTGGTGTCTGGTGACTCTGAGTATTGGAGTTTGTAGGTGGACATACCGAGTGGATTGACTTCAACGAAAAACAAGAGTTCATAGATGCTGGCTTCTGGAATAATAGAGGTATCGGTATCGGACCACACCGGATTGACTTGAGCGACAATCGGTGTATTTAAATGGTTGCGAACCATAACCTTTGGTGTATTGACAAAGAGTCGATAGACCTCTTCTCTCTTCACTTCCAAAGGATTATAGAATACCAATGACTGGTCAGAATTCTCTGATATTTCAATGGTTGGTTTTGGTGCACCATTGGAAACTTCACCTTCCAATTTAATTTCAATTGGTTTTTTACAAGAAATTCCAATATTTGTTAATCTCTGTAATAATAAAATAATAGGAATAATTATTCGTTAATTAGTTATTTTATGAAATATAAAATTAAAAATAAAAAGTTTACACTTACACTTAATGAGTTTGTCAAGTTTGATTGACAATTTCTCATATTATCCATTATAGTTTGATAATGTTCTTTTGTACCCATTCCAATTAATGATTGATCACGTTGGAAAAGATAAATACTTTGTTTACATTCATCAATTGTATTAAAATCTTTTACTTTATCAACAATATTCTTTAATTATTTTATTTTTTTAAAAGTAAAAGAATTAAAATTTGAAAATAAAAAAAAGAATAAGGATAAATAATATATTACTTACATTTTGTAACATTGAATGATAATGTTCAATAGATTTCATAATATTTGTAGTATTTTTTACTAATATCTAAATTATTTACAATAATTAAATTAGAAAATAAATATTAAATAAATAAAAAAGTAATAACATACTCTAATATCTGAAATTGATGAATAATGAGAGGTATAATATTCTTCTTCAATATTACCGTAGGAGAATAAATCACCACGGTAAATATTAAATTCTCTAGAGTCTGGGATGATTGGGGATCCTGGTGGAACTTGTTCATGGTTTTGCTCGGACAACTCGGCGTCACCAAATGTCTTGACTGGTGCTAATCCAATTGGGTATTGCGAGTGATGAACACCTCTAAAGTAATCGGCAAGTGTACTCCATCGGATCGATGTCTTTAGCGATGGATTAGAGTTGATTTCATCAAACATCGCTTCGTAGAAATTGATCATCTTTGAGGCATACTCCATGTCCTTGAAGAATTCGATATCACCAAAAGGAATCAGTAGTTGGTTGGTACGGAATCCCAAGGCTTTCGAACGGTGTTGGTCGAGTAGTTGATGTGCCATCTTTTTCAATTGTTGTTCGCTGACATCGCTGACCGACTTGTCGACAAAAGTAAACAGTTTGCACACCTCTGGATCGGGACCACACGACTGACCAATTCCAATCTCGTCATTCGGGGTGACATGAGTAAAGATACTGAAGGAGGTATTGGTGTGGCGACTGTGTGATTCTTTCCAAAGGAACTCCAAATGCTTATTGGAACTCATTTGATTCTTGATCTCACGAGAGATTCGGTTGACAACCATATTCTCAATACCCATCGAAGCAAGAACGTATGCAATTCCCTCGGAATGACCATAGCTATTGATATTGAAAGCATTCTTTGGTTTCACATGGAATGTCTTTGTAATGAATTTGACACCGTCCACCAATTGATCAATATACTCGTTGTAATCAATCAAACCTTCATCCATTATTGTCATACCACCATTTACAAATTCAATATGACCATCTTTAACCAATCTATTAATTATTTATTAAATGTTAGTAACATAATAAAAGGTTAGTTTTTTTTTTTTTTTTTTTTCTTTTTACATACTGTTTAACTTTACTGGAGATTGTGGTTTGCGAAGAAATTTTATTCCACCAAGACTTGAAATTGTAAACTTCAGGAATAATGATTTTTCTTTTTATATTCGAATGAATATCTTGTGATAATAATTGATATGCATTGTTTATTATTCTTTCATTATCCTGTTAAATATTTTATTTATATTAGAAATTTGTTTTTTATTTTATTTTATTTTATTAACTACTTACTATCTCATTTGATTTAAATAATGTAAAAGGCACTACATGAATATCTAAATGTTGACCTTCTGTCCAAGCCAATGACAAACGTGATAACAATAATAAGGTACCAATAAACAATATAAATTTAATAAAACTATTCATTGCCATTTATTAATGTTCTAATATATAAATGGATTAAGAAATAGTATTATTTGTTTATTTTATATAATTATATATATAATAATAAAGAAATATATATTGAAGAAAATATATTGACCAAAAGTTGTACTTTTTACATTAATTAAAATAACAATGATTTAATTTAATCATTGTTATTGTGTGTGTGTGTGTGATTGATTATATGACATTTTATGTGAGAATGCACAGTGCTTTGTCAGCTAAAGTAGTGTACCTTCTCTTTACTAAATAAAACATAAAAGTAATATTTATGTTGATAAGTGATTGTATTCTAACTTCAATTTAAATTAGATTTGTAACACAATAACACACACTAACACACATACATTAAATTGACTACTGCTATTATTTTTATTCATATTAACACACCTATTGTTCATATTATAAATTCAAAGTCCATGAAAGTTTATCATTTTAATAATTATAAAAATCACCTTTGTTTTTTGGAGGGAACCACAACCAAATGTGGTTTTTTTTAAATTAACAATGATTTTTCTTTTTATATTCGAATGATTAACTAAATTTACTAGTAGCAATTATTTTTATTTATTTAATGCAGGTTCAATAGAGAATCTCTTTTTCTTTGGTTTGATTTCTAATTGTTTAATGTTTGGATCGTATTCACCAATATATATTGGATCCCATGCACCAAAGAGTTGTGTTTTTTGTTGTTTACTTTGATCATTTATCCACTGATAGCTATTGTCATTATTTTTGTTGTTGTTCCATCTATCTTGATTATCTAATACAACTTTAAATAGATCTCTTATAGCATTTGGATGATGAACTTTTACTATATCGGTAATTAAATGTAGACCTGGATTAGTGTTGACCTCTATCAAAATAGGTTGAAGGTCTTCTGTCAACATGATATCGAATCCAAGCAACTCGAAACTATTCTTTCTATGTCCTTCCTGGGGCCACGACTTGATTGTCTTTATAACCAAATCCTTTATTCTAGAGTAAATTATATCGTTCCAAATATCTTTACCTTGATTATTTCTTTAAAGATATGAGTTAGTTAATAGTTTTTTTTTATAAAAATTAAAGAATAATAAACCTAATAATTATGTTCTTACTCTTTTAGATATGATTTAAATTGTGAAAGTGACCATTGATTGAATGGAATGGTTAACTCTTCGGTGAACTCCTTTTGGACTTGATGGTTGCTGAGATGTGCAAATTTGTCGTCGATATTTGCGGTGGAGTATTCGACACTGCAGAAACGTAGATAATTGTCTTTATTGAGGAATATGACCAATGGATTCAAACTCTTCACCAAAACAAACTGTCTAATATCAAACTTTTTCTTCATAATCAACAATGGTTTCTCCAAATATTTCTGTACAATGAATTCATTATTGAATGTCTCTGAATAATTTAATAGACTCTTTAGATCTTTAAATATTTTAATACCAACTCCTCTTGCCACTAAAAATATATAAATTATTGAAAAAAAAAAACAATTAATATTATAGTTAATACTTTTACTTTTAAATATTAATCATTATTGTTTTTCTAATTAATTATACATACTTGTTGATGGCTTTACAATCCAAATATTTTCATTTCCATCGATTGACGGTTGTTCAGGATAAACTAGAGTATCGACATTGGTTGTAATTCCAAATTGTTCGAGTGTATCGATATCGTTGAGTTGGTGGTGGTTGATGGGATTGGTGTCGTGAGGTTGCTGTGATTGTCTATTGAAATCGATGATAAAACTATTCTTTTCGTTTGGGTTCGATAGAACGTATGACCTTGGGAAGAATGATTCAATATGCAAGTCAGGTTGTTCTTTTCTCAGTCTATTTAGATTTCTAGTCAATCCACTTTTCGTTCCTATTTCATCGTAGGTTGGGAAATGATTTACAATTTGATAGTCATTTACAACATACATTGTTTCCCATGACCATCCCCATTTAAAATTAAAATTACTAGTATTAAATAAATAAATAAATAAATAAATAAAAAAGTTAAAACAAATATACTTTTTTAGAAGTCTTATAAAAACTGATACATACTTTGATCTCTTAGACTCTATTAGACCACGTTTCTCTAGTTCGGCAATGACCAATGTCTGATTAGACTGTAATCTATCTACTTTATAGTATCTCCTCATCGAATTCTTTTGTAGATCCTCTTTCAGGTGATCATATTTATGCTCTTTTGAAAATGTTTGTGTGGTGTCATGTGCTTTTTCGAGCATTGGGGTAACATTGTCTTTATTATTATCATTGTCAATGTTTACTACTATAGTATCTTCTCCAACAACAATATGTAAAATTACAAAAATAAGCAGTAGATATAAAGTATTATTTGATATTAACTTTTTATACATTATTTATTTTATTATAATCAATATTCCTTAAATCTATAATAATTGAATTGTGTATAATACTATCATAAATAAGAAAATATAATATAATGTTGTTGATGTCTTTTTTTTTTTTATTGATTGTTACATTGAACTTTTTTAATCTTAAAGATATTTATTTAATAAGATTTTACTTTAAATTTGAAATTTATCCGAGCTAACATGGGGTCAGGTACACGATAATAGCGATCTAGCATGTATTTAAGTAACTCCATGTTGTTTTGCTCGATGATCATTTTGATTGTTGATGTTGAAATTGCGGTATTATCGTATAAAAACTTATCAATATAGAGTTTAACCATGTTGAGACCATGTTTACATGCATAATTGATTGCTATCTTTGATTGATTACAATTTCTAAAGCTACAAGCTAATAGATAATCTATCAACTTTATATTACCTGTTTTAAATGAATAGGTGATAATATCACCGATAGTACTTTCATTGAAGAATCGGTGGTTGTCGAGTATCAGTTGTATAATCTCCATGGCTGACTCTGATTCATCTCTTAATTAACAACAATCAACAATTTCTGTGATAAAAAAAAAAAAAAAAAAGAGGGTTTTTGTTTTTTTTTTTTTTCTTTTTATATCAGATTAGTGATGATCAATTTATGTCAATCATATTCATTATAGTTAAAATTATCAATTAATATGTTGTAAATCTAGTCATTCGATCGTTTGAAATAAGAATAGAGCAAAAAAAAAAAAAAAAAGAAATATATAGTTTATTTAAAATTAGACTAAGTCGATTATTAGGTAGTTATGTCAAGCAAGGATAAAGAAAAAGAAAAAGATAAAGATAAAGATGCAAGTCAGAGCAATGGTCACCATCTAAAGGAGAAAGAGATAGATCTAGCGGTGTTGGAGTATCTCAAGAAGCGAGGTTACTCCAACTCTGAGAATATATTTAAACAGGAATCGAATGTCGTAGATATCAGACGTGGTGAGACTGCATCGATTGAACTCGACCAATCGAATATCGCTCAGTACCTGTTGTTCTATAATCAACAGGAGTATCTGAACCCACAGAAGTATCTAGAGTCCTACGAGAAACTGAGGAATTGGATACATCTGTCACTCGATATCTACAAACAAGAGTTCCTCTCTATTCTCTACCCTATATTCGTACATTGCTACATAGATCTAATATCAAAAGGTTATCCTAATGAAGGTAGAGTATCTATATCTATATTTTTTAATATCTAAATTAGATCAATGTTTGTAAAAGTTACTAACTTTTATTGTTTGTTTCGTTATTATTCATAGCATTTGAATTAATGGAGAAACTAGGACCTGAACATGAAGATTTCTACGACGATGACTTAAAGCTATTGAGAGGTATTAGAAACTCTGATCATCTAAAAAGAAAATGAAGTATGTTACAAAACATCTATCTAGTAATGTATCATTTATTGTTGTTTATTAATACTGATATCTTAATTATATTATAAATAGTTGGCTAGCACATTTAGAAATAACAGATGGAATTTAAAGATGTGTGCGTATTCATTCGAGCTGTTAATGTCGTTCTTACATGAATCAAAGTTTATTTTGATTATCAGTATTATAAATCAATATTTCAATATTAAAGGTAATTAATACTTTTGAAAAGGATTTCGTCGTCGTTGTAATTAATTATTAACATTCACGTGTTATTTTTATAATTAGTTACAAATACAAGACCAGGTTTAATAGATGATGAATCATTGTCAGGTCAATCTGAAATCGATACGAGTGGAGTAAACTCTACACCTATAATGACTGGTCTATTCAAGACAGAGGAAGATGAAGACTCTGTTGAGGATGAAAAAAAGAAGTTAAAGAAAAAGAAAACAAGAGAAGATGCCGAGAGAATGAGTAGATCGAAATCAAATGTACCTTTACCTAAATTGTAACTATAAATATATCATATTAAACAGTGTTATTATTATTATTATTATTTTATTAACATCTTTATCTTTATCATTATTTTAGTAGTGACGCCTTTGAAACAGAGTTAAATAATGATATATCAAGATGTGTAACATTATCATCATCTTCATTACCATCCATTTGTTGTTATACTTTCTTTAATACATATCAAGGGTAGATAGATATCAATAATATAAAGAATATTAATATTAATATTATATTAACAACACTCTATTATTTTCATTATATATATATATTTATAGATTAAATAGTGTAGAAATATCAAAGGATGCAAGTATTGTTGTTGGTGGATTCGATGATTCATCTATTAGAATGTGGAATCTAAAGGAAATAGCAGAAAGAAATTCAAATAGTGGAAGCGGTACAAAAGATAATGTTGGTGGTGGTGGTGGTGTTGAATCAACCTCTGCTTCGACTGGTACGAATGCATCTTTGTCATTGTCGGCATCGACAACCTCCACTGCATCTAGCATGCCAACAGGAAAGTCAACATTTACACAGCAGAAAATGGATTCTGAATTCCGTACATTCATTGGACATTGTGGACCTGTCTATGGCTGTTCGATCAGTCCTGACAATCAGTTTATCATGTCGTGCTCCGAAGATAATACCGCTCGGCTCTGGAGTCTCGAGACAATGTCGAACCTCGTTTGCTACAAAGGTCACAACTACCCGATCTGGGATGTAAACTTCAGTCCATACGGATACTACTTTGCCACTGCATCTCACGATAAAACAGCACGTCTCTGGTGTACCAACTATATCTCACCAATGAGAATATTCGCCGGTCATCTTTCAGATGTCAATGTATTTATTAATGAATAATAATATCACCAAACTATTTATTTAATGTTTGTACTAATATATATGTTTTATGTTATGTAGTGTGTGAAATTCCATCCAAATATAAATTATGTAGCAACAGGATCAAGTGATAAGTCAGCAAGATTGTGGGAGTGTCACACTGGAAAGTGTGTGAGAATATTCATGGGACATCGTGCACCCATTTACAGTGTATCGATATCGCCAGATGGCAAGTATTTAGCGACTGCCGGTGAAGACACCAGCATCATTCTCTGGGATCTTGGAAGTGGAAAAAAGATTAAAAAGATGGACGGACACAACAAAACTATTTATTCATTGGATTTCAGTATGGATGGATCCATTCTTGCTTCGGCATCGGCCGACTGCACCGTTAGACTTTGGGATGTAAATGCTGCCAGCTCCACCTCTACCAATACCAACATTGAAGATACCGTAAGCAAAACACCAAGTAAAAAAGCAAGACTAAAACAAAAACGGTAAGAGATTTTAAATAACATTTATTATTATTTTTTAAATTAAACAATTGTCAATACACAATATTAACATATATGTTTTATTTCTTTTGTTCAAAAAAAAGCATTTCACCTGAATTACTAGAGACTTATCCAACAAAACAAACACCAGTATTCAATGTTACATTTTCAAGAAGAAATCTTTTATTATCATCGGGACCATATCAAATTGAAAAATCACTCTTTTAAAAAATAAAATAAAATAAAAGTAAATGATAGAATATATATATAGCTTCTTTATTACAAATTGATCAAATGTGATCATTTACAGGTTTCTAGTTTCCTTTTTTTTGATTCCATTAAAAGTTGACTATTATTAAAAAAGCTGTTATTATTATAATTAAAAAGATAATGATGATGATCATTATCGGTTATAGTGTTGTTATTTGTATAATGTTGAATAGTATGTTTGTTAAGGTTATTAAGATTATGAATATATATTTGTTGTTGTTGTTGGTGTTGATATATATGATTATTATTACTACTACTACTACTACTACTACTAATATTATTGTTATTCATATTTATATTATTTTTATTGTGATAGTATTGTGATTGTAATATAGGTGATTGTCGTGGTGATTGTTGTAATGGAGATAGCTGAATTGATTGATATTGAGGTAGTACTTGAGCTTGAACTTGTACTGGTTGGTTATTTGTTTGTTGTTGTTTTATAGATTGTTGATTTTGTAGAAAGTTGATTGGTACTTCATTATCCAAGAGGATGTTGACGTCGGGTGGAATAGAAATGTTGATAAATTCGACCAACAATCTCGATTGGAAGTAGTTACCTCTGATGTCTAGTTGCTTCAGTGTCTTGTTGGTGCTGAAACAATGGATCAGCGAGAGTGCACTATCCATCGACAGGTAGTTATTATCGAGCGATAGATGTGTCAACGACTGGTTGCGCTTCAGTGCGTTGGTGATGGCGAGCGTTCCGTTCTGTGCAATCATATTGTTCGATAGATAGATCTCGGCGATACGCGGGCTCTCTTCGATCAAGACGCTGATTGCTTTGCCGCCTTCGTCTTGCAGCTGGTTTCTACGCAAGCTGAGCGACTTGAGTGAAGACGACGACTTGATGGCATGTACGATGATAGAGCAGTCAGAGTCACGTAGATTACAATGATCGATGACCAATGTCTTTAGGTACACAGAGTTTAGCAGATAGTTTACAAAGCCAATCGATCTAAAGTTGACACACGACACAATCTCCAAGCAGGTGATCGACACTATCTCGTTTTCGTCGGCAATTAAATTGATTCTATCTTCTATACTCGAGGAATGTGGTGATATTACGGGTGATCTTGATTGTGATAACAATGTAACCGGTGCGTAGTCACTAACTGGTTCTATTAATAACATCTGTTGTTGTTGTTGTTGCTGTTGTTGTGGATGATGATTGTTGTTTAAAGATGTTGTTGTTTGTGAAAGTGATAATGGTGGTATTGATGATGATGATGGTGTTACTTTGTTGTAGGTTGACCTTACGAAATGAAAGAAAGAAAGGTGAACACTCTTGACTGAGGGGAATTGCTTTAATACCTTTACGAGAAGATCAGTGTCAAACTCTCGAATGAAAGCATTATTCTTTGAGGCATTGTATTTGCGTAGTTGATAGAGTACATAGGGATTCAGCTCGAGTATATACAGATTCTTCAGTACGATCTCTCTCCACTTCTTACAGACACTAGCAATGTTGATCGTATTAATCAGTATGCTGTAGTGTTGTTGCTGTTGCTGCATCTCACGGTAGTTGAACGGACGTTCGTGGTCATGTCTGCTCGAAGGTCTAGTCAACGCTCTTAGATTTAATGCGAGCCTAATGATATACTCTAATATATAACTTGGTAATCTTATCATTCTATTACAAAAAAAATAAACAAATAAAAAAAAAACTATTTCTGTCTAACTAACAATCTCTTTTTCATAATTTTTAATATAATAAAATACAATTAATAATGTGAAAAAAACAGCAACTATTTTAGTAAAAGAAAATCAAAACTTAATTTTTTTTTTTTTTTCTTTATTTTTGTTTTTTTTTTTTGTCTTTGCTCACGTATTTTCAACTGTGGTAGAATTTTTAAAAAACAAATAAATTACATGTATTGTGAGCTCAAATTTATTTTGTTATGTATATCTTCTACTTATAATATTTGTTATTTATTTTAGATATTATATCATTTTAGAAAATGTTGTTGTTTTTTTATCGACAAATATCTTAGCAAAAATGTGTTCGGATATCGCAAACACCGATGATAACATTGATCAAAAAAAAAAAGTGAATTTTTCGTAGATTAATGGGCAATGAAGTGTGACCTCGCATTTTCTATAATAGGTTGCCTCAAAATCAACAAACACTGGTAATACACAGTTTTTTATTAATTTGATTTATTAATTTGATAGACCCTACTATTGGGCAAAATAGATTCAAACTTTTTTAATTCTTTATGTACCAAATTTGATATTATTTAATATTAGATTCGTTTTTTGCAAATAAATGAAAAATATTTTGGGGCAAACCTATTTTGAAAACTATAAATATGACACAGTGGAACCAATTTCTAATTCAAATCACAAACAAAACAAATATTCAATTCAACAATTATCTTTTAATATATAAATTTAACAACAAATGGATACTCCATCAGTAAAATTAAATATTCCCCAAATCACTTCACATGTTGAAGATGCTTCCACTCCAAAGGCAAACAAGAAGGTCTTTAAATTCATCCAGGTACCTGATTACACTGGAGCTGGAATTATTCATGTCAAGGTTAAGAACTATAACACAACCAACGTTTCCATCATGCTTTACTGTTTGGAAGACAATCATGATACCAACATGACATTGACCTACACAACCACCATTCCATGCACCACCGCTCGTCATTACAGATACACACCAACTCAAATGACCTGTGCCGCCTACTATGCTATTTTGGTTCACAATCAACAGAGTTATCCAGCAACTTTGCCAGCTTCCAACATCATGTCATTCCCAGGATATATGGTATTTGCTGCATGTAAGTATAATAATTATAAAATATTACAACATTGTAAAATATTAATAAATATTTTAAATTGAACTTTAAAAATACCAGCTGGACCATACACTCCACCAGACGTTGTAACTTCGGTTAATACTGGAGTAAAGTCTTGGGTTACTTCACAACAAGATTCATCACTCAAGAGATTGACAACTGGTGATGATCCACAACTTCCATCACTCACCCAAACTATTTCTGAATTAAAGACTTCTGGTGTACCAGCAAATTTCTTTACTACCGATGTTACCAATAATCTACAAATCTTGTTGAATCAATACAATGATTCTTTCACTCAGTTAAAGGCAGCAGTGAAGGCAAACGGACCACACGCAACAATTGCAACAAAGCATGATCAATCTGTTTCCTGGGGATGCTGGTGGTGTCAAGTAGGATTCGGTATCATCATTACACTCCTAACTTGTGCAATCACAGTAGCTCTATTGGCATTGATTCCCACTGGATTTGGAGCTGCTGCCGCTGGTGGTATTGCAGCCTATCTTGTTGTTTGGTTCGATCTCGCTGCCGCTACTGCATCTACCGTTGCCACTGGCCTTATTAGCACTGTTGTTACTGTTGGGTCTGTTTCAATCGGTACCATTCTGCTCAATTTACCAAACCTTATCTGTGAAGCCATCGGAACTTGCAAATAATTATAAAAAGAAAACATTTTCAATTATAATTAAATAAAAAAACACAATATTAATTCTCACAATTATTTTTTGACTTTTAAAATTGCTAAAATTGTTTATTTTTATTTAACAAAATTGAAGTGTAGATTCATTCTGTATAATAAAAACCCATCACCTATTTTTTTTAATAATTTGATGTTAAGAATTGAATTTGATTGATTTATTGATTAATTTAAAAATAATTAAGAACATTGATTGATTGAAATGATTGGATCAATGTCAGTGTTGGTTGTAATGATGACAAATTCTTTTTGTAATTGTTTGTTGTCAGTGTCGATATCGATTGTATAGTTGTTTGTTGTTGTTTGTTCTTTGATTTCCATAGATCGATTCAATGTTTGTGTCGATTGTGATTTCGACATGTTGGTACTTATTGGTGGTGGTGTTATCGATATTCTTCATTACCATGTAGTAAAGTGTATAATGTTGATCTCCTGTTGTCCAATTACTCATTATTGTTTGTGTGATCTCAAAGTTACAGTTGTTGTTGTCATTGTTGTTGTTGGACATGCTTCTAAAAGATGATGTTCTGACTTTGTTTGAGCTTTGTTCTGGTGTTATTGGTGTTGTTGGTATTGGTGTTGAAATAAACTCTTTGCAATAAACAATGAAAAGATCAAGTGGTTTACTTGAGTTGGTGATGTAAACAAGATTGTCACTTGTATTATTCTTAAATACACCTTCAATGTTCAATGAGTAGAGATATTGTTGGAGTTTGGTGGCACCCCACATATTTGAAATGGTTTCATCATTACCAATTGATATCTCCATGAATGAAAGATCATGACTTCCATAATTGGTGATATTCGCTTCGTATTGGTAATAGTTAACATTATCAACAGTCCATTGGGAGAGTAACTTTTGTTCAAGAGTACAATTCGAACAATTGTTTTGATAAGTGATTGTGTAGTTTGGATAAAGTGTGTGGTTGTTCATTGAAATCGAAACTGATCTTGTCCAGTTACCAACAATATATCTTGGAATTGAACATGATACGAATTGGTCGGTATCATTGAGTTTATGACAATCGATATTGACTCCTTCAATTGAAATATTTGCTTGATTCAAATTCCAATATCTGTTGGTTAGATTGATTGATGATCCATGACTTGGAATGAATGAAATATTGAATAGATCTATTTAAATTATTGTTATGAATATTAGTATAGCGAATAAACAATATTAAAATCTATTATCTTTACTTACTTGGATCATAAAGTTCGATTGAAACTAGATCTGATGTGTTAAACACTTGAATGGTACTATTTGAGATGTTTAATGTTTCAGTCTCATAGTTTAGTAATACTGATTGATTGACATTGGTTCTGAATTTAATGGAACTTGAATTGAATCCAAGTGTTGCCAAGTACGATACATTGTATTTACCATATGGAATTGTGAATGTTGAGATTGTTTCATTATTTCCAAGTGTCAATGTGTTGTTTTGATATTCATTATAGAATGCAAATGATTGATTAACTGTGTGTAATGTTGTGAAGTTTGATAAACTGATTTGATGGTTGTTGAGAATTGCTGATGTTTTGGATTGTGGATCTGAAATGATTGTGAATGTTGAATTCGATGGAAGATCAATCAACAATGTCGATGGAATCATCAATGATGTCATGTTTCTGATGATTGTTTGATTATTGACAATCGATGTGATCATGATTGTTGAATTGACAGTGTTATTGACTTTGAGATCTGATTCATCGAGTGTTCCGTTGATATTAATATCATAATACAATGTTAAATTGATTGATGTTTCTATGAGTTTTAAAATTAATAGTTAATATTAATGTTATTATTATATGTAAATTTTGTTTTTTTTTTTATAAGTAATTACTTACTGTATTTGATTTCAATTGTTTCATTGTTGACAACAGTTCCAACACAATAGTCTGGAAGAACAAATGCTGTTGAATTGATATTTGTGGTATTCAACTTGAATATTGTCAAGTTGTGTGATCCATATTGAACCAAATATGTCCAATCTGATGTTGTTGCTGATCCGACACATCCAAGAGGTGCTTGAGTTTAAAAATTAAAAAAAGTGTTAATATTTTGTATCAAATGATTAATTATAACAGAAAATACATACATTTCCAGAATAGTGCAATGTTTCTTTGGATCATAAATTGATTGGTGACCTGCATTGTATAATTTCCAATTGGATTGTAGAACTTTGATGATTCATTGAAATCGACTTTGATTTCATATGATCCTGGAATCAAATTGATGAAACTAAACTGACCTGTTGATGAAGTTGTTGTACTTGAATTGACAGGTCCAACAATTTCAACTTTGATATTTCTCATTGGTTTTTCGGAAGAGTCATAGATTCCATCGAAATTGGTGTCATTAAATAGGTATCCAACAAGTAAAGTTGTTTGAGTTGTGCCTCCTGTTGTACTTCCAGCTGTTGTATTTCCGGCTGTTGTTGAATCACCAGTTGTCGATGTAGTCGTAGTTGAACCAGAACCACCAGTCGTTGTTGTGTCAGAACCACCAGTTGTTGTTGGAATTCCAGTGGTGCTGGTTGTTGTTGTTGACGTTGTTGTCAAAGGTGTTTCATAGGTAATAAATCCATTTTGGTACAAATCCATTCCATTCCAAGTAACTTTGATTGCTTTCTTGAGATCACCAATCAAATATGGTGGAGCTGAACAGTCAACAAAAGAAGAGTCAATTGTTGAAATTAAACAGTTCATCTTGAATCCTTCAATTGATAACTCTGGTTGAATCGAATAATTCCAATAAACATTGAATAACTTAATAGAACCACCAACCAATGGGATCAATGGGAGTTCTTTGAAAAGATCTAAATAGATCAATTCAATCGTTGTAATGTTGAAATTAATAAAGTTGGCTGTTTGATTGTTTTCAATGACTATCGATGAACCATTGTTCAATGTTATTACAACAATTTGATCTGGCATTGTGGTCAATGTCAAATTTGAAGTATTCCATGAAAGATTATCAAAGAATGTTGAGTTGTATTTACCAAATGGAATGGTAAGAGTGTTGTTTGAGATAGTTCTGTCATTGAATAATGATATTGTGTTGTTTGGATTCGATGTAAACAATATTAAACTGTCATCGATTGTTGAGAATAATGTTGCATCTGGAATTGAATAGTTTTTGGTGTTGAATCCGATTGTTGTATTCCATGAATCTGTTCTTTGTGTCATATTGATAAAAGAGTCACCTGGAATATCCATCACAATAAAATATGGAGCTTTGTCAATGATAAACGATCTTTCCAATTGTTTACCTTTCAAATTCGATTGAACTAAAACTGATATATTCACTGGGTATGTTGCATTATCATCATTTAATCCATTGAAATTCTCATCATAGAAAACTGATAAATTTAACATTGATTCTAAAAATTATTATTAATATTAGTAAATAAATAAATAATTGAATTCGAGTTATTATTGTGAATATACATACTATATTTAACTGTAATAATTGAGTCTTCCAAGATTACATTACAAATTGGTGGGAACTAATAGTTTAAAAATAAAATTAGTTTTTTGAGAACTTTATCATTTATAAAAGTAAATGATTACTTACTGAATAGGTTTGATAATCTGAATTAAAATTATAGTTAAAGTTTGATAAATCAAATGAACCATATTGAATTGAAAGTGTTTCTCGTTCTGCATTGGATATTGTTCCGAAACATTCATAATTTGCTAATTTAATAAATAATATTATTAATATGGGTACAGTTATATTTTGAAGTGAAGGAAATAACTTACATTTCGAGAAAACAGTAATATTTGAAACAATTGTGAGTTGATTGGAAACTCTGACATAAACAGTTTGTGTTGGAATAAAGTATGGTATTTCATCGATATCATCGGAATCAATTGTGATCTTGTAAGTTCCAGGTTCGACAACTCTGAATTCAAAGATTCCACTTTCATTGCTTGTGGTTCTATAATCAAAGTTGTTATTTCCAACAACTTGAATTTTGAAGTTTGTCAAGAATGGTTCACCTTGATCATATTGATTGTTATAATTTCTGTCATCGTGAATATAACCATAGATATAGCTTGAAAATGAACCACCACCAGTTGTCGATGTTGTTGAAGTTGTTGTTATCTCACCAGTGGTGGTTATTCCACCAGTAGTTGATGAGCTTGTAGTTATCTCACCAGTGGTGGTTACTCCACCAGTAGTTGATGAAGTTCCAGTGCTGGATGTTGTTGATGATGTTGTGGTGGTTTGTGATTGGGAATAGGTGAGAGTATGAATGTTATAAAGATTCATATCATTCCATTTGGATGTAATTTGTTTGGTATTTACTCCTCCAGTTGATGCTGGGATATCACATTTATAATGGAGTGAATCAAGAACATCACATTTAATTTGAACGGAATCAATAAAATAGGATGCTGTTTTGTATGGGTAATCATTCGATATCACAATCTTATCACCAGTACTTGGAATTACATTTGAGAATAGATCTAAATAATAAATAGAATAAATTTTGTTAATAAATGAGTACCTTTTTAACAAAATATATAAAATAAAAATAAAAATAAACATACATTGATTGACAATTTCAACATTTCCAAAAGTGATTTTGTTGAGAACATATTGATTTCCATTTGGTGAGGCGATTCGACCATTGGTGTCTTCATCATCTTTGCTGAAAATTACAGTTTGGTTGGTCTTTGGTGTGAATGATAATGTGGTGTCAGTCCATTCGATATTGGTAAAGAATTGTTTGGTGAACTTTCCAAAGCTGAGTGAAAGTATTTGTGAATTGGATCCAGTGAATGAGATCGTCTTTGATGTTGCAATGTTTATGAATCCAAGTTTGCTTGAAATTGTTGAAATCTTATTTGGATCTTCAACTTTAACATAATAGTTGTTGATGATTGGTGTCATTTCTGTACTTTCTTTGAATCGAATGTATGAACTCGATGGTAAATCAAATGATTTCT